AAGGAAGCAACCGGGGATCGTCCTTGTGAGGTGAGCCGCGGGAGCTATCAAGTGCGGGAGATTTGCTGAATCCACGGATCCAGCGCCAAAGGTTCACAACGTCCAGACTAGCTGAAATTCGGGGTAGCACAAGATGGCCACATGCAGGGTCAAGGGAAAAGATTACTGCGCGTCTGCGAAACCGTCGGTGAACTCCACGAAGATGAACTCGATAAGCCGAGGAGAGTTGAAGGAGGCAAGATGAAAGAGATGATGAAGTTGAGAGTTGGGGGGAGGCGACAAAGTCACGGGCGGGCCTCGCCTGGATGAGCTCATCTACTACTCTGCTACCTCCTCAAGCTCCTACTTTTTCGATAGGATTTTTTTTTTTTTAAATTTTTTTTTTTAAGTAGTGTTTGCAACTCTACTCTCCAAACCCTCCTGCTTTTGTCGAGTATCGACATTGTCACTTCAGAGCTTTGCTGTCACTTCAGCAGTTTTTCTGCTTCCAGCGCCATCAAACCGCCATCCACGGTTCTAGCTGGAGTACTGCTAGCTTCCAACCGCATTTCATCAATTTCCAACCCGTCATTCCGGTTCAATATTATTCTTATCATAGATCTCGATCGCAAGCTCAGGCCTGTCGAGCCCCTTTTCCGATCGGTTAATTCTCGCATCGCACAGTGGCACATCCGGCGCAGGAACCCCCGAACCAGACTGTCGGGTCCAGGCTCCTGCCGAGAACGGAAACCCCGACCCACGACTGCAGTCGTGGTGGAGGATAGCTCCTGCCGCAACGGGACACCACTCTGGATCCTCGGACCCTGGATGCGATCAACTCCCTGCACTCAGTCCAGGATCGAGTATCCGGAAACATTGGTATTGAACAGTTAATGCAGAAGACAGCAGGATTAAGTAGCTCTTTAGCCGCAATCATCTTCCTTTCGAGCTACTCTGGTCCAGACTCGTATCGAGGAGCAGTCTCTGACGTCATCTGCCGGGTTAAGCCCTACCAACGGAGTCGCCGATGTAACAAAGTATGGGAATCTAGCCCGGTCGACAAGACTGCGAGCGCTCAAGGTACAGCTGTTCTCTAACATTGATTGGTCGAGTAAGGACAATGTGTCGTTTGGGTGCCTGGGCCCTATTCGAAAATTTTGATGCTCGAGATACATACTCAAAGCATGTTTTTGGTGTGATATATATATTGATGTCGTGGACTTTATCAAATAACAAAATAACAAAATAATGCAGTTAGTCAATGCAGGCTACAATATACTTACTATTCACCGAGAAACTTCTACTTATTTTGAAAGCAAGTACAATTCCCAAGATATTCTATACCATATCGGTGGCAGGGTCGATGTAAAACTCCAGATCTCTGAATTTCAACAAGACAACTGCGCCTCGATAATCCCATTTGTTCACCCATCGAAATTCAACTCCCAAGAACCAAGAATTGCAACCCCCCAAAGCCTTGTCATGATTCGTGAACACCTTAGAGTTGACAAGTATGAAGTATCCTTTGCAAAGTGCAAATCTGGACACGGATCACCGTGCGAGCCCGGGACCCGTCGGACAAGCCGACGATTACCCGTCGAGTACCGAAATAGCCTAATCGCATTCACAGTCCACACCGAAGGAACAGGAGCGGGTGGCTGGGCCCATGCTCTTATCTGATTCTTTTTGAAGGAAGTGGAAAACACTGCAGTGGAATTTCCAAGGCAAACCAAGAGGGCAAAAGGAGGCGCATCTTGACTCGTGCAGAGCATCATCGACACCGTACGAGAAAGTCAAAGTGGATATGAGGACGGACTGCCTGTTTAGGTAGGACTATGTGCGCTGGCATCTTTAGTATATCTTCCCCTTTTTCTTCTGGCGCAATGGAAAGTAAGCCCCGAACTCGTTCTCAAGCTTGAACACGATTAATTGTCCTTCGATGGGCACGAGGATGGTCATGCTATTAAGAATATACTTCAGGGATCGGCGATAGAGTTCACTGAGCGCTCAAGCCCTCAGCCCACTGTCAAGTGGGCAAACCTCCCAATGCCAGCTGAAACGCACGGGGCATTTCTCCATCGTAGAGGGAGCAGTATGGAGCATGCAAGGCGATACATATGTGATGTATTAAGTATTAATATAAAACACCTCCGCGCTCGACGCGGCTACTCTTCCCCCTTTAACGAACGCAGACCGTCAAATCAAGGCAAAAAGATCCCCGCTGATCAGCGCAAATGACATGAACGGCAGTTCCCCCAAAGGGTTCGCATTCGCAAGCCGCAACTCGTTAGTCTGACTTCCAATCGACCCGACTCCTCCTGTAGATGGATGGAAGGTCAAAAGTGGAAACTCCAAAATGCACGCCTAATGATCTGCACTAGTGAACGCCGTCCCCCTTTTTTCCTCCCCGAACCCTAAATGGGCGAAGGATCAGCTATAACTTTGTATGGTTAGTCTGTTCGAATGGGAAATTCTTGTGGAAACTAGGGCTGACGATCGTGTTGGAAACCCGCTTCCTTGAATTTGGAGAATTCAAAGTGTAAACAAGCATAACTAAACTTGGTGTTGGGATTTGGGAGGTCACTTGACGCGTCCTGCTTTACCAGAGCCTTTGTTTGCCGAGTCATGCGTGTTGGAGACGAGGATTTCCGAGTTTCGGGGACCTCTGTCTTTTGATGATCTATCGACTCGTTTGGCTGACAGACTGTTTTCATAGTCGATATGCATTGTAGATCATTGGATTTTGACATTCCAAGGACCAGATCCCAGAGCCGAGGGCAAGCATGTGAAGTATAAAAAGCAAAAAAAAAAAAAAAAAAAAAAAAAAAAGATGCCACAGGAGTTCAATCGTGGCATAATACTGTGCTGTAGGTGGTTACCAGGCATTGAATAGCAAACTGTCCGCTTTTTCCATTTCAGTCCGCACAGGGTGATACTAAGGAGGCGGAGCGGCTTGCTCATGAGTTGGCAGATCCTGTGTTCTTTCTTCTTGCATTATTTCCTGGATCCATCTGAGATGCAGTTGACCGCCAATATAGGCAGCAAGCATGGCTCTCTACAGTATATTTGCCACCGTTCAAGCAGTATGAGCTTCCTGAATGGGATAATGGTCAATAAATGCATGGTCAGGCAAAAAACCAACATTATTCTCGCGCAAGGACTGGCCGATTCCATAATTTGTTGGATTCCGAGTTTAGGCGAGATCTGGACTGTGTCAAACTGGGCGTTATCTAGCAGACCGATTCGATCTGCACGTCGCATGACGCCGACGCCGACGTGAGATTTGGGTTGGACGGTAGACGATATTGATGGAGGGTGAGCAAGCCTTGCTCATGTTGGTTGCGTCATGCAGCCTGAACGTTATTCGGAGGCCTGATACATTGGTGGAGGGCCGTAGCCTGCTGTATCAGAGTAGTGATCCGTCGATGGAGTCGGTCAGCACTAGAACAATGCCGGAGAAATTTACGAACGTGATATGGGGGAACATGTTGTTGCATTGCCCTTGTTTGGACATCTCCGCTGGATCCGAGGTCTTTCCCTAGGGTGCCTTTATAATCAATGCAAATAGGTGTGGCCGGAGGTGAGTGGGCAGCCGAGCATATTTGGCCGCAGCAAGCTGAGCGTCATCACTGGAAGCCATTCAGCTGGCGAGCCTGACTGACAGGATGGTTCGTCGATGAGTTGGAGAGGGTCAGTGCGGCTGTCTGGATCACTGTCGAATATTCGATATGCAGGCTTCATGACCGAGTGCTAACGATGCAAAGTGCAAATGCACCTCGGGCTTCCCACTTTGGGCCGAGACAATTTCCAGCCAATTGAGAGACCTCTTGGTCAAACAAGACGCGAGTCAGAACTGGCTGACTTGAAATTGAGCCGAGATAAGGCGGCACAGCGGATGGCCATCCCTTTAATCCTTTGGGATGGCAGCGGCAGCGACTGCGAGTGCGAGAGCTGGAGGACATAACGGTCCGTCGGCCGTGGGTCAACATCGCCTGCCGCCTGGGAGCCAGCAAGCCTCAGCGGTGATTTTCACGCACCCGCGCACGGGAAAGCCTTAATTCTCGAAAGGGATTCGCCTAGAATTCCATGATGCAGCCCAATCAGCAGGAAGCAGGGCCGCTGGCAACAGGGCAGGGTTCCCAAAGCAGTAAAAGGACGATGACCCGATCGCACCGAAAGGGGCAAAGCGCACAGTGCAGGGAATTGGGTTTTTAGGTTTGGGCCGGCGGTCAAGGAGAATTTTCGATCCACGAAAGCATGTTTGTCCCAATTGGGAATGTCGCTGCCCCGTCAGGGGAACTGCTGATCGTCTCCAGGTGCCGGCCGGCGGTGGAGTTCGCTAAGAGGATTGGGCCATTGGCCGGCGATCAGTGAGATGCTCGGTGATCCGTGCTTGCATTGACAGCAGCAAGAAATTCGGGGGGCGAGGGCCTTGTCAACCATTTTCCTAGTCCGGACGGTGTCTGGAGGACAATTATTGATTTTCCAGCTAATAATTTATGGAAATTCGATATTTCATGCCAATCACCAGGGACCGCCCGCCCCAAGACTGCAGGGCGCCGAGCCCGGTGGGCCGCCAACAAGCACCAGAAGCACGGGCATTCGGCCTGCTATGGCATGAAGCATTTACTGGTTTCGTTATGACGTTCGCCAGACCCCAGTGCTTGCACCTCCTCGGACAGTTGCTGGATCGAGACACGAACTCGCACCCGCCCCACACCAGCAACGATCTATCTGTTTTGCTGGGTGTCCACCGCGCCGAGGGCTGAGGAGTCGAGTTAAATAGATTAAATGCCTGGCTGTCGTCGTCTGTCGCAGGACGTGTTTTGCTTTCGACCCGGGAACAGCCGTCACCTTCGAACCCCGGAAAATGTTACCGCTGGAGATCGCGCAAGTGTCGGTATTGAGAACTGCTGCTGCATGAGCGCTCGAATTTCCCTTGTGCACTGAAACACCGAAGAGGAGCAAATCTCCAGGAATGCCCTCCCGGCGGAGCTCCAAGGGCCCGGGCAGCTCTCGGCATGGCTGTTTGGAGTGCAGGGCCCGGCGAATCAAGGTTGGTTTTCTTCTTCCATCTGCAATTAGCGCCACTCTCTTTCTCCTCCCTTCATCTCGCCCCGTCTCTGTCAACGGCCTGTCTCTCGATCTCATCTCGCGCCTTTTGCCTCCGCTGCCCAGCGTCATGCGACGACGCTTTAAGGGATCCACCTGCGGCACAGCAGCCCTGCTCCAAATTTCTTATCCTTTGTTCCGATCCCAGCCAAGGGTACTGTAATTCTGCCGATGCATGTGCTAATTGGTCCCTTGCTCAGTGTGGAAAAGAACAGCCGAAGTGTTCATCCTGTCTCAGTCGCAACCTGGCATGCGAGTATATACCCCCCACCTCCTCGCTGCCATGGCGGCCCAAAATCAAGTCCCGTTCATCAACACAGTCTCATCCCCCTTCAGCCAAAGCATCGCCCTCTGTTGCTGTTGACCCTGCTTTCCTGGCCCAGTACGAGGATTTCATGGAGACCTCCCTCACTGTGCCTCCCGCCAAGGAGCTCAATATCGAGGACCTTGAATTGATGGTGCAGTGGTGTACCAAAACATATCGCTCCGTCTCCCGCAATGGCACTGTCGAAAGTATATGGCAGGCTGTCGTACCCAGGGAAGCAACGAGCCATCCATTTCTGATGCATGGCATCCTCGCCCTCTCCGCGCTTCACCTTGCGGTGACTAGCGATGACGACTTGAGAGACCAATATATAGAGGTCTCCAAAGCGCACCAGCGCCAGGCTATGGTTGGCCTGGGTAAAATATCAGGGAAGCTCAAATCACACCACTACAATGCGGCGTTTACACTATCCAACATCATGATGATATTTTCCTTTGCCCTCCCTGAAATCACGGGCCGAACCGTGAGCCACAGCCCCGTGGACGAGATACACCAAGTTTTCCTATCGACCAGGAAGTCGAGGGACGTATTATCCAACGTCACCGATTGCGTGGGAAACGGGGAGCTCAAGATGCTGCTTCAGTACGACACGGCACAGCCGAAGATGCCCGATACGTCGCGGCTAGCGATCATGTCCCTGGCCCAGTTGAACGCAAATTTGGCTCGCAAGGATCCTCACCACGAAAAGGACGTCTATGACACTACAATTAAACATCTGGGCCACTCTTTGGACAAAGTGTCCAGAGGCGGCGAAACAATGATTGTTGCGTTCCAGTGGATCTTTCAGATACCGGCCAAGTATATGGAGCTGTTTCGAAAACGCGAACCATTTGCCCTTGTGATTCTGGCACATTACGCCGTGATCATGCATTTCCTAAGACGACATTGGTGGATGGGCGAATGGAGTCTCAGACTGGTCCAAGAAATTGGACAACACTTGGATCCTAATTGGCGGAATTCGATCACTTGGGTTCTCGATGCCACGAGCTACTACATCCCACCAGTGTGAGAACGGAGACACTCCGATTTCCCACTACCACTAGCAAACATTCATGACCGCTTCGTGGTGAAGCTGGAGCTTGGTCTTTCCACGGACCGACCACCCGTTCGGAGCTGACACTTGACGCCACGTTCCATATCTAGGTCTTATCTGCGTTATGGTCAAACAACTAGCCAAATCGCCGGCATACGAGACACATAACCACGAAAGGCCAATCGAGCCGTGCGTCTCACCCACACTACCTCGTATAAGACCGGGATACGATCGAGGAGCCTTATTGACCCGGTCAAATGATATCCAAAACACGATGTCAAAGCAAAGAAGAATGAAAAGACAAATCTACCGCCAAAGTGATACCAAACCCAACCAGCCAACCAACCAGCCACGACCGGCTTACGAGGAGTTGTATTGTTTGGAAAGGCTCCTCTGGAGGGCCGGTTCTACTCTGTATTCAGACCTCCTTCTATGATCTGAATATGCTGCATATATTGTACCAGTACGGATAGATAGAGCCCATGGGTGTGAAACCTCGAATCAAACCCATGCTGCGGGGGCATGATTAGGAATAATAAATACGTCCTTAAACTTAACCGGAGTATACGGGGATAGAAACCAGTATACATAAAGAGGAGAGGTAGTCAAGAAACTATACTATTCTCATAAGCTCGCCGGGTTTCATTGGAGACAGCGCTTTAGTGTTCTTAAGAGCGAAATTGAATAAATTATTAGGAAATCCTCAGTCAGCGTCCTTCCACGACAGGCAAAACAGACCTTAAAAGGTTGTTGCAGATATTATTGAGGAATATGATACCATGTTTTACTATAACAACCAACCAACCTGAAGCGGATCAAGAATAAGTAATAAGATGGCAGCAGAGTAGAGTGTCGAGCAAGCAAGGCAAGCCTCTAAAACCAAAGAGAAGAAAGCAAAGCAAACCCAAACCACCAGAAATAATAACAGAACCGCCCCCAAAATTCAGTAGTGGTATCAGACAAACGTTCAATTAAACAACCAGCGGATCAATCAATAAACCAGCTCAACAATTCGAGAACTCCCTTAGCTCGCACGTTCATCCTTTACATTCTCATTCCCCTCCTCGATATCCCGCGGCCGATGTTGTTGCTCGCGCTCCGCCCTCGCCGTCACAACCCGACGTAATTGCTCCTCCTCCTCGCGTGCCTTCTTCTCCTCTTCCGCGCTGGGGATATACTGGTTCGCGGCACCACCTGCAAATGCAAACAATATTAGCCTACGAACCGCTATTTATTCCAAAAGACAAGACAAGACAAGACAAAGTATAGACCTACCACGACCGGTATGGTGCGCGCCCTCCTGGATGCGCACAGGCGGAGCCTCAACATCCTGGCTTTCGCGTGCGAGCTCGGGGTGATCGGGGTCATTGTGCATCATGTTTCCTGAGCCGCCGCGGCCGGTGGTGTAGACGTCCTGCTTGATGGTGGGCGTGACGAGGTCCTGCGGGGTTGGGGTTGAGCGGCTTTGGCTGGAGTAGATGTTTCCTGCAGGAACGGGATGTTAGAATTATCAAATTACGTCGAGGCTGCATAATTCATTGCAATGATGAGAGACTCACCGGCGCCGCCGCGGCCGTGGGAAATGTTTCGAGACATTGTCGTGGTAGATGTGTGTGTGTATTGTGTGGTGTGGGGTATGCGACGATGCGGTTGAGAAATTTGCGGCGGGGGGAGATGGACGGGCTTTTTGCCGAGTAAAGTCGTGGGAGGGACGATTATTCGTGATGCGGTAAAGAAGAGTCTATCGCACAGCTGGGAAGAACAGAAGATAATATAGGGAGGACGTTGTCAACAAAGGAGGTCGGACGGAGAGGGCCCGCTTGTCCCAAGCTGAGGCCGATCGAGCGGAGCTTCTGGAATCGATGATGTGACGATGCCAGAACGCAGTGGCGACCGGGCACAACAGAAAACTCTGAACTGTGAATGACTCGTCAGCCAAGGAGCTCCATTTAGGCCTAACATGGGCATGAATCAATTAAACCATCACAGTTTCAGTCCGGTGACGCTGGTTGCGCTATTTTGCTGGTCTTTGCTTGATTTGAGACTTTATGAAGCTCTCACGGTCCCCGCTGCGTTTACCCGCATTCTGACCGCAGGGCTGATGCTCGCTGCAAACAGCAGCATCACTCCCAAACCGGTGAAAGTATGTCTTGGATTAAATAGAGATATATTGAAACCCGCACTTGGATAAAGTTATCTTTATATTCAGGTATATAACACTTTAAGGAAGTTCGACGGGTTTTTGATGCAACAACATTCTTGCTTTACCATAACCCTGGGATGTAATAGGGCTATTCCCGTCACCCATCCCAACAACTCCCATATAGCCACAGAATCCAATATCCATCAATACTTCCCCCTGGACGCCCGTTACTAAAAGGCTAAGGCCTCCTATCCTTCTTCCCACCTCTTCAAAGCTCATCAGCATCTGGCAACGACAAACACTGAGATGAACATACCGCTTAAGATCGGTCTTCCTTTTCATCGAAGTATCCACACTCTTCTCCAGCTTCTCGCATTGGCAGGTGTGGCACGTCCCGCACTTTGGATTCTCTGTCGTCCCTACACAATAGCTTTTCTCCTTGCGTTCTTTCTTACATGCTGCACTTCTAGGTTTCTTGCAGGCGCATTCTTCACGGACGGTTTTCGTGGTTGCGCCGCATTTGAATTTGTTGAGGACGTATTTTTCGTAGCACATCCTGATGAATTTCGATGGGTCGGCTGTCAAAATAGGGACTGGAAGACGGTGTCAGTATTTAAGCCTGGGGTGCTGACGGGTATTTATGGGGTACTTTGAAGATGCTTGAAGCGGAGTTTGTATCAAAAGGGTTTATGCTGAGTCTGGTGTTCAGCCTGGTAATGGCAGCGAACCAGCAGTGCATGTTTGTGTATACAGCCTTTGGCTTCAGTGGCTCAGCAATGATTTGTTGCCTCATACCATTCAAGCTAGTAATAGGATGGCTTTTCACTTGGCAGAGTTGAAAAACATCACCAAGAGTACAGCCTCGCTGGATAGCCGAGTGACAAGCGTTAAGTTGGCAGGGCGCCGCTAGACAGTCCATGGCGAGGCTGTGGACAACCAGCACTTGGCATGTCATCATTCTCGGACAAGGCTTCACCTTCTTTCTCACATCACGTCTTAGAGTAACACGTCTGCCCACTCCCACCTGTATTTCTATGGCAGAAATCGTTGGCCTAGTGTCTGGGGCAATAACGTTGGCTGATGCATCTCACAAAGCAGGCAGCGGAATCCTAGCCCTCAGGCGCCTCTGGAATGATGTCCACGATGTCCCAGACTACATCAACTCTTTGCTCGACAGATTGAGTCTCGTTCATTCAGTTCTGGCGGATTTGAAAGACCAGCTAAGCCGCGATCAAAATATACTGCCCGCGAACAGTGCCATCCAGCTAAGCGTCCAGTACTGCGACAAGGCAATACAGAATCTGGATACTTTGGTGAACGAACTAAAGCAAAATGTTGAAGACAAGGCAAGGCTGAGAAGGAACAAAGCAAGGATCAAAGCGGTTTTCGAAAGGGATCTAATACAGCGCCTTGAGAGAGGATTGCAGGATGCTTTGCAGCTTCTTGGTATTGCCCAACAGACCTACGCTGTGTAAGTTAGCCCTTTGTAGGTCTGCGCGCCTATCTTGTTAACACAATATAGGGCTTTAATGAGACAACAGCCTTCGTTAATCGCGACTCAAATGCCCACCCAGGCTGGGACACTGGCCACGTCCGGAAGTCCCAGTACTACACAGACACTTTCCCCGAGGAAGCATGAGCCCCCATCAGCGACGGAAGCGACATGTAATCTATGTAAACCTACTAATGCCGGTTTCCTTTCTCTTCCGTGGATTTATTCGAGATTTCTTGGAAGCTACACATCAAAGTCTTCGTTCGTTAACTCCACTGGACTCTCGGCTCCAGCTGAAGAGAGTCAGGATTCCTCCGATTTGACTATACTTTAGCAATTGGCTAACTTCAAGCAGCATATCGTGCTCGAGTTCAGCTCCCATCATGGCTTGCGCGATCCGTGTGGGATATCTGCGCAAAGCGAGCTAGCAATGGATGGACATACTCCCTACGACATTGGACGATCAGACCAGAGAGAACTGAAATATTTGAAACAGCTTTTGAAGGCGACCTTGCAAGTGTTGTCCAAATATTCGATGACCGGGCAGGGTCTTTGTACGACCGAGATCCGCAAGGTTGGACCTTGCTCCACGTAAGCATCAACACAGAAAAGCCAACCACAGCAGCTAAGTGATATATATCTAGTATGCTGCATTCCATGGCAATCTCGAAAAGGTCACCTACCTGATGCAAAAGGGCTTGAGCATCCACGAGACGAACAACGACGGAAGCAGCCCGCTATATTACCTCTGTCGAAACGCCGACCAAGCAACCGAGGTCTTAAGCACCTACCGGTTCCTAAAATCAGCAGAGGATCTAACAGATGCTGCTAATACGGTATTCTTTTCCATCCGGAGTGGTGCGTCTCACCAGAAAAGCACCCTGCACAGGTTCATATGGAGTGTACCAGGCCTGCTGGATCTCGTGCTTGATGAGTTCCATTCAGTGCCCCTAGAGTCCCGGTTCAAGTCTATCATCTGGCGATACGTCGATCCAAAAGTCCTTCTTGATACGATCGTACGAGAGAATCTAATAGACGCGGAGATTTTTCGTCAACAACTGCACGCCGACCCAACAAGATCACTACATGAATTCGCTAAGGTGTACTTCCAGAATGTCCCTGGCGGCCCCAACGCCGAGGACCAGGTTGTGCACCAGCTAGAAACGGCCTTCGAAGACTGGAGGGAGCTTGCTCGTTGGCTATTTCAAGGAATCGCCTCTGAAGATCTCAGCCGGCAGGGTAATGATTCCTGGGAGGCTACAACGCCGTTATTTGCAGGGTTGCTTGGCTGCGGGTGGGAGATTCCTTGCTCGCCCTGGGAACTGAGACGTAATAAACGGCGCCTTGATGCTGCTATTTCGTTTTGGTTGGAAGATTTGAAGAGCGCAGGGGTTGATCTGAAGAAATACGGGAAATGGGAACGGACGATGTTTCGCGAGAGTTACATGTTGCGAACTGCTCGCTGGGAGAGATTGGGATGTGGTGGAGGTGATGAGGGTAATGGACAGGGGCCGATACTGGTCTCTATACAATCGGGTCCTTGTCCTGGAGATTGGGAGCTTGTACTCGACAGTTTCGGAGAGACTTTTGTAGGGGCGTTCTTTGAATGGGCCGAGTCTAAGCGGCCTTTGATGCCGGGGTCGTGGGATGAGGATGACGTAGATTGACTGGTGTAAATTGCCATTTACCTTTCATAGCACATCGCTGCATTAGTCCCTAGGGATTCCCAGACTCTGCTATTATAAGTAGCAGTAACAGCCGTCACATCGTCGCCCGCTGGGTACACCCCAGTGATAGAGGATTGGTCTGTCAAGATAATATCAATTCCAGCAAAAGCTGGTCACAGTGCTGACTTAAACTGAAACAACGTGATTCAGATGAAAGGCGGCTTTGAGGCGCAGCCTGTCGATCGGACGGCGAGGGAGACAAGGATGTGTCGGAGTGGAATGGGTGGCCTTAAGAAAGACGGGTTAAGTCTACAACCAATCGTTCACTCAGGTAACTGCCCGTTCAGCATGATGAGACACCATTTCGTTGAATGCCAGTTTAGCAGAATCCGAATAAACAAAATTCGTTGGTCAAATTGACATTCGTAATATGTACTTCGTTAGATTATCTATAGATCAGTTATATAGGTACAATAGAATAGGCGGTAGAGTATCATTCTTCGTAGGCTTTTTCAAATCCCATACTCCATACCCCATGTGCTCCTTGTACTGGATGTGGTCCCTTGCGAAAGTGCTTCCTCTTCTCCTTGAACGAAGCAGCACCTACATGCTGCATCTGGGAAGGCACTATCACCAGCCGGTCCAGTTCATTGGCATTCGCCATCCGCTCAATCACAGTGTCCACCGCATATGGTCGCGAGCTCGGCAAGTTTTCCATGTAATCGATAAGCTTGGGGACATTCTCGCGGGGAAATAGAAGCGCTTGGGAACAGCACCCGTGGCTGTTCATCAGGTGGATACCGGGCCTCATGGGTAGCACCGTGACTCTACCGGCGAGGAAGTATAGGATGATGAGCAGAGGTACGCACACGAAACATAGGACACCAATGAATGTGTTGTTTAGAATGCCCTGTGCCGGTCGGATCGACCGACGGCTCTGGACGCCTATAAAGGCGACCGCTGCGACAAGCCCAATACTCCATGACAAGTAAATGTACCAGTTTTGCGAGTTCCACCCGAGAAATTTTTCAGTATAGAAGAGCCGGACGTACAGCCAGTCCTTGATGGAGCCGTTGCTGCGCCATGACTGGATCGTTTTGACGCTCTGCATGGTGTGGTTATACCACTCACGCTGTGCGACCACGTCGTCCTCCATCATCAATATCCATGGCGCTTGGGTATCTTCGTAGCATGACTTGAGCGACAGACTATAATCAATTATCGACTTGCGCTTTATGTCCTTCCTTTGCTCCATGCGACTGATTTTCCATAATGGAGCATCGAAGCTATCGTAGGTGAGGATGCGATCGACAACTTTGGGAAGCCAGGGTAGGTTGTAGTCTGGGTGGTCGGTGGGGGAGGTCAAGGCAAACAGAACATGGACGGTGATGCTTGCGCGTTGTTCTTCGGTCAAATTGTCGAGGATCGAAGCGACAGTGACATCGATTTTCTGCTCGAGCGGGCGCCTTACCGTGACGACTCCGACACAAAGTGAAGCATCGTCAGAGGGCGTGGTGAAATTTCGCGAGGGATGCGCGGGATCATTGAAGGATTGATTGTACGCGTGGAGGTAATCCAACGATTCATCGATTCTTTGCACGCTGTATCCGGGACGGTATCCTTCATCTGGCTGAAAGAAAAACGAGCCGGGGTCTCGAGCAGACCGGAAACGAGAGACGAAGAGCAGAAAGATGTAAAAGAAGGCGAACGCGATGAGGAAGAGCCTCTGCTTCCTGGTGAAGAGAGTCATCTGGCACTGAGCATTTTTGGGGGGTGGAGGAATCGCCCCGCAAAATTCAATGGCTGGGAGGGTCCAATATAAAAGAAGAGGAAGAGGGAGAGGAGAGGATTCCAAAATCTGGCGCGCCCTCGTCCGATTCGACAGTGTCGAAGAGTTTCTTCAGTCTCACCTCTGAAGCTGCTTGGCCCCCAAAGAATTGAGTGCGAGAGTCCAGGGTGGACGATCTGCAAGCCTCGTCAGCGAAGACCTGACAGGGTCGTGGGCGCTGATTGGACGAGGCCGTGTCTTTTCAGGGCCCGTCCCAGCAGGGCTCAGGGCCAAGCACTTCCCACATGGGCCCAGTTGCGTGTGGAGCTTAAACCACCCATCCGCCCTGCCGCCCTGCTGGTCCACAGTGAGCAGTCGCTCGATCCGATGGAGATGCTTCACGGTCGTCGTTTTGACCCAACTTTTCTTTTTTGTGGGAGACCGAACGGCCAGAAATTCGTCCGCAGTGGTCGGAAGTTTGGTTTGAGATTATTCAACGCCACTTCCTTGGTCTCATCTGTCGCTCGTTTTGGCACTTGAATCGCCAATGGAAGTTCGTATTAAGTGGGCCTTGTCTGGCTAAGCCTCAAAAATCATCGGCGCAGGCCGCACTGCGACACGGGGTTTGCACTGTTTGAAGGCGTGCCTGCGCGACGCCCAGATGACATCAATTCGTTGATAGATGCGCTTATTGCCAAAGTAGGCCTAATGAGACCGTTAGTATACATGCATGTCTTACAATTTCTAAAGACTACTTATAAATGAGCGCCGATTTAGGTAGTATGGAGTTTCGCGTCTTCCCAAACACGAGTCCGTAACGAGCGCCTATTACTCCAACAGTTTTTAAATTTACAGATGATACATGCGAGTTTTATTTCTATTATTAGTAGCACTCTATTAGACAGCTAGTCTATGAGAACCGACATATGAGTTATAGGTACATCTTCAACAAGCGTATTAGTGTCACGTGCTGGCGGGGAAAATAATCCTGATGGTGGCTGACGATAATTTCACCTCTTTCATCGCTCAACATATCAAAACCATAAATATCCTACGTATGGAATCATGGGCTCAAAATCTCCCGAATACGATGGCCATAAGGGCCAAGGTAAACTGATATCCCTTTCCCCCCAGTGAGTTAGGCTAATTGCACCACAGACAACTCGAATGGGCCCATCGAGTCGCCCACGGGTGGCATGCCACGGGGTGAGATGCACACGACGGATGGGGATGGTACCCTCGGAGATAGTGACGAAGGGGACGACGACGAAGCGCACCCGGCCGCGTTAACCAATGGAACTACGAACGGCCAGAAAAAGAAGAGAAAACCCAAGAAGAAGAGCAAGAAGAAGGCTTCCAAGAAGCAATCTTCGCCGCCTAGGGTCCCACTCTCTCAACTATTCCCGCAGGGAAATTATCCTGTCGGTGAAGTTCAGCACTATGAGCCTGACGTGGAGAACACTTCACGGACGACAGCCGAGGAGCTGCGCTACATGTCCTACCGCCACCTTGAGGACGATTCATTTCTCGATGACTACCGAAAGGCTGCGGAGGTCCATCGCCAGGTCCGAAAGTGGACGCAGGAGCATGTTAAGCCAGGACAGGGCCTGATGAGCATTGCCGAGGACATTGATGACGGTGTGCGGGCACTGCTTGGCCATGCTGGTCTGGAGCCTGGAGACAGTCTCAAAGCTGGATTAGGCTTCCCGACGGGCTTGTCGCTGAACAATGTCGTTGCGCACTACACGCCCAATCCCGGGCAGAAGGATATTACTCTGCAGTCGAGCGATGTGATGAAAGTCGATTTTGGTGTTCACATCAACGGGTGGATTGTGGACAGTGCGTTCACCATGAGTTTTGATCCAGTATACGACAATCTTCTGGCGGCAGTCAAAGATGCCACCAATACCGGTCTAAAGGCAAGATCTGAGGTACCAAAACTGAAATGCAACGCTAACACCATGTAGAACGCGGGAATCGATGTCCGTATCAGCGATGTTAGCGCAGCCATCCAAGAGGCCATGGAAAGCTACGAAGTTGAAATCGGAGGCAAAACATTCCCCGTGAAGCCGGTGCGGAGCATCACTGGTCACGATATAAAACAGTATCGCATCCATGGTGGGAAGTCGATTCCGTTTGTCAAAAACTCAGATCAGACCAAGATGGAAGAAGGAGAAATTTTCGCCATTGAAACCTTTGGAAGCACCGGCCGAGGTGTTACATATGAAGACGTACGTGGACTGGAGACCAATTATCGTGGATGTAATGCTCACTCGTCTATAGGTTGGTGTTTACGGCTATGGAAAGTCGTATGACGCTCCTCGCAATGTGTCTTTGCCTTTGGCTTCCGCAAGGTCCTTGTACAAGACAATCAATGAAAACTTTGGAACCATTGTTTTCTGTCGCCGTTATCTGGACCGCCTAGGTTTGAAGCGGTACCTAGCTGGCGTAGGTTTCCTTCCACCACAAATCCCGCAATTTCTAACAGGGATACAGATGAACACGCTTGTACAGCACGGGGTTGTTGATGTCTACGCCCCTCTTGTCGATGTCAAGGGGTCGTACTCGGCGCAGTTTGAACACGTATGTTTCCTTTTGTTTCGATGGCAACACGGACTAATGATGATAGACTGTTTTGCTGCGAGAGTCAAACAAGGAAGTTATTAGTCGTGGAGACGACTATTGAGTCTTGTGTTCAAGACTCCAGCTAACTTAACGTTTTCTGAAGAGTAGTTCAACACTTACTCTACACTTTCTGATTGTTTGCTACCGACCATGTTCCCTCCTTAGCTTTGTCAATCTCAATACAAGAATCAGGAGAATCAGGGTTCGAAATTTTGATTATAATATCCTGCTCATTTCTTTTGCTGTGCGAAGAAAATGTAACTCATAACAACCTATCATAAAACTCATAGAGGTCGGTTTGAGGCTTCTCCGCATGTGCGGGGTACCCCAAACGTGTAGCCGCCATACCGAGGTTCCGGTTCCTCCACCGTAGCTTTCAGGCTGCCGATTACAATTCAAGAGCTTCATTATTTGAGCCGACGGCTGTCAAACATGAAGCCGAGATTACTGATAAGAGGGCTGTGTCGTTAATTCTTTCGTCTTTCATATAACCTTGTCGATACTGGCCCAACCTTTCGACTACAATCCAAGATCTCCCTTGTCACATCAAGCCCCGTAATCAACAAAACTAACAGCAACGATGTATTTCAGCCCACCGCCCGTCGAGATCCCCTCGTCCTATGAGTCTCTCCCAACAAGACATATCAAGGTCTCGCATTACCCAGTGGGATCTTCGGCCGCAACCCCCGTCGTGATCGTTACGCTGAACAGGCCCGAAAAGCGCAATGCTTTCACACAGGACATGGCCGAGGACCTGGAGAAGGTCTTCAATCTGTTCGACCTCGATGAGCGCGTTCGGGCTATTGTTTTAACTGGCGCCGGGAACACTTTTTGCGCCGGCGCAGATTTGGATATCGGATTCCGGGCCTTGGAGCCGAGAGCAAAGGACCACAGGGATAGGTTAGTCCCCGCTTCTGCCTGATTCCATGAAATGGTCATATAAAAGAGCTTGGTTAGCTGACTGGTTCTGATTCGTTCGATATCAGCGGCGGTCGCGTTGCCCTCGCAGTGCACAAGTGCCGCAAGCCCACCATCGCTGCCATGCAGGGCTCAGCCGTTGGAGTCGGAATGACCATGGTTCTACCTGCTGCCGTTAGGTACAGTTGTTCCCTTCAGTCCGAGCAATAAAGCAAGCCCTAACAGGGTGCTACCAGGATCGCACACGAAACAAGCAAATACGGCTTCGTCTTCGCCCGCCGCGGTATAACAATGGAGTCGTGCTCCTCCTACTTCCTTCCGCGGCTAATCGGGCATTCGCGCGCAAACTACCTCGTCTCAACGGGTGCTGTGTTCCCATCTACATCCCCTCATTTCGGAGGCCTCTTCGCCGAGACGATGCCCGAACAGACACAGGTCCTCCCCCGTGCTTTAGCTCTGGCAACCGAGATTGCGGAAAACGTCAGCCCGCAGGCCGCAGCGCTTAACCGGGAGCTGATGTGGCGCGGCCCTGAATCTGCGGAGGAGGCGCATATTCTTGAGTCTGAAGTTATCTATCATCGGTTTATTTCTCCGTACGTTTGTTTGTTTTCATTGAATTTGAATGCTTTAAGGGGTATAGTGCTGACTGTCTTTCTTTCTCTGTATAGGGACCAGAAGGAAGGTGTTACGGCCTTCTTTGAGAAGAGGAAGCCGAATTTCACTGGGGACGTGACGAAGAGTCAGCCGGGGGGTTACCCTTGGTGGGCTGATGTGAATATTGACCCTCCAAGTGCGGTTAAGGGTTCAAAGCTATAAATTCATTCTCCCGGAGGAATGTCGTTGAAGATTTATAAGTGCTTACGGCACAATTTGAGTATGTATATATTGGGATCTCATGAGACAGTAATTCCTCACAGTCGCTTTTAGCGTAGCCCTAGTGCAAAAGTACGACTATCGTCGATGGTATTATGGATTCTCTAAATTAACCAACTGCTATGAAGGCCCTACGAAGAAGGAAATGAATGCAATACAGGAAACGCGGTTTGAAAAAATCCAGTATATTCGCTCAAAAACCTGTAGGCATGTTGGTAGAGATAATAGTACAAAAGGAATAGAACCTGAAGACAGGAAATCCAAGCGATAGCTGACAGTGCGATGCCGAAGAAGTAGCAGACAAGCCGACACTATGTTTTAAAGTAGAAAAAAAATCATCTAGGCAATGAAGTTGCGTCTCTTGCGGTTATACGCGCGCTGGTCCTTGAGCCATTGTCGGTATCCCTGGACACTGCCAATCTTCTCGCCGTAGTAATCGGGCACAGGGTTCGCAATCGAGTTAGAGGAGGGGTCGACTCGGTATCTCCGGATCCTATCGAAGAACTCCTTTTCTTTCTGCGCAGAAGGTCAGTCCAGATATTCTGGGTTTAAGCTAACAGGGACGAAGGGAGGAAAGATGAAAGGGAAAGAAGAAACATACCACATTGACTGCTGTCTTGTACTTCCGGTTAACAAGCCCCCAGATGGCATTTCCCAAGAATGGTCCGACAAGCCATCCGGCAGCACCGCAGGCTGCGGTCGCCATACCCAAAACAACAAACGGATCCAAGCCCATAACCTGCGCACCTAGGTTCTCCAGGTTCTGGCTCGAAAGGATCTGCAGGCCGGTCACGGTGGTAACTGCTGAGCTCGCAATCGAGGACCCTAGGGTATATCGCCGACGAGAGGCACGGAGCTTGAAGAACGAGTTCCAGTCGAGCTTGGCGGCTTCTTCACGGGCGGCCGTGGAGAAGTTGGAGTGGATCGATGGCGTTTGGTTTATGCATGTTGCAATTGGCGCTTGGGGTCGAGAGGACACAATCTGAAGCGAAGGAGCAGCTTTGGGGAATCGTACTGTGGAGGTGCTTGATGGGCGTGCTTGGGACTTGAGCGAGACGGTTTGATAGAGGGAGGAAGGGGATTGGAAGGCGATTGGGTTTAGAGTCGCAGAAGGCAAGCGAGTGCAAAGCACAGCGCTACGAACCGGGTTGCTGATGAGAGCTGTGTGCATTTTGAGTATCGTGGACGAAATAAATTGAACACAGCGCTGAGCGTCGAGCGGGTTGCAGATCGACCTTGGACTTTGAGGCCTTCGTCAGTTCTCCGGAGGCGAGCTTGGCAGGATTATGTAATCAGATGTATGCTCTCTCGCCGGCCACCAACAATTATGATTGTTACAGCTTTCTTCAAAGCTAGGATCAAGTTTTCTAAAATATCTAACTTGGAAATTGCGCCAAAAATTCCAGCATTGGGTCAATGCGTCATTATTCTATACGGTTTCTATTTCTCAGCCTAGACCCACAGCGCATCTATAGCTTGGCTTGTCGTGCTGTTGAGCTTCGTGCCTGGTCCCTCAAGATTCTCCGAAGAATTTTGCCTGATGCGCTCTTGGGTATCTCGTCGATAAATACAACTCCGCCTCGGAGTTGCTTATGGCGTGCGATGTTGGACTTGACGTACTCCTTCAGCTCGGCCTCGGACACCCGCTTGCCAGCCTTGAGCACAACATATGCTCGAGGAAGCTCATTACCTGGCGCTTCTGGGTCAGGTGCACCGATAACAGCGACATCTCCAACGCTGTCATGCGTGAGCAGAAGCCCCTCTACTTCGACAGGAGAAACCTGCAGTCCTTTGTACTTGATGAGTTCCTAGGCGAGTGTTAGCACGGTAACCAGTTGTTTGACTGGAGACCTTTACCTTCTTCCGATCAACCATGATGACCTTCCGGTCTTTATAGACGCCAATATCTCCGGTTTTATACCAGCCATCCGGCGTGAAGGAATCTGCTGTTGCCTCCGGATTTTCGAAATATCCTTTCGTGATCATCGGCCCCTTCAGCAGAATTTCACCCTCCTCTTCACGTCCAACGTCTCTCATTTGTTCGTCCACAAGTCGTAATCTTGTGTTGGGTAGCAATGGGCCAATACTCCCAGTATTATCGGACTGACCCCAAGGCATCGTTGTCACACTGCCAGTTGATTCCGTCATCCCCCAACGCTGACTGATACTGCATTCCAGCTTCTTTTCTGCTTGGTCCTGGAGCTCAAGGCTTAGAGGGGCTGCACCCGATTCCGCCCGGATAAGTGTTTTGAATTGATCAGTCACGCGGTTACTTCGTACAACTGCATGGTATACTGGAGGTGCAGTTGCCAAGAAAGTTACTTGGTACTTCTTGCAGTAGTCGATGAATTCATCGATGTTGAATTTGGGCATCCAATACACCGTCCCTCCAGCAATCGCCGGTGTGACGAAATATCCCAAACATCCCGCAATATGAGCCGTTGGAAGATGACCGACAGTCCGATAGGGGACATTCAAATGTGGCTTTCCTCGCCTAGAGTCCCGCAGGACCAACTGAGTGAACAGAGCCTCGGAAACAAGATTCATATGAGACAACATTACTCCTTTGGCTGGTCCCGTCGTGCCGCTGGAATACAGCAGGCAAATGGTGGTATTTTCCAGTGCCTGAATATCTGTGATTCGATCCCATTCTAGCTCAACGCTGCTGTGTAGGTAATTCCTTTCGGGATGAGCTGTGTCACAAAGTGTCCGCCGGTGACCCATGCTCTCGAGCACCAACACCCTGTTTAGGGGGATGCCGCATTCCCTTGCAGCTTCCAGCGCCTTTGTCTTATTTTCCTGACACGTAACAACAACCTGGCTTTTGGATTGTCGGAGTTGTTTTGATACCTCTGGCGTAGTCAACGCCGTTGATGCTGCAGCATATACACCCCCGGCGCCAATTATTGCGTAGAAAACAGCTGGGAGGAGAATCTGATTCGATGAGATACAAAGAACAGCATCTTTACCTGGCCCATTTGAACCGACCCCGAACTCAGAGCGTAAAACATGGGCGAGACGCTTGATGATCGTTCGCGTCTGAGCCTTGGTGATATTGTTTGTTGGGTCCGCAGCCTCTGCGTGGAGGATGGTCGACTCTGTTGTTAAGGATTGGGGAGACTCTGAGGCATGTTAGAATGTAACTATCCCGTTGGGATAAGCCTGATTGCAGTTCACGTACCGAATAAGAGGGTGAGTAAATCGAGCCTGGGAAGGTCATAGTCCTTGTCGGGTAGGTACTGCATGGTTGAATACTGCACACTACGTAGCTGGAGTTTAATTCGTTAAGCCAAGCGCCAATGACTCGCGAGAACTGGTAAAACAAAATATCGACGATCAAAGTCCAGAGCCCAATCAATTCACCGTTTAACAAGATCCTTATGTTTCTTAAGAGACATGCTTTTAAATCCCAGATCTCGGCTACGCGAATTGCGGGGATCCCGAGGTTCTTGCCTTTTACGGCGAGTACCGCTCCACTCCAGGTACTCCAAATCCCATAAACATTAATCTAGAGGGCGGATTCGCTTTGCCGACTATATAGGCTGCATGGTCCGGCTTTCAGAATACGGTCCTAATCCTTCGGTTGTTGGCTGCTTTGCTTTAGGTTTTATACAGTGGAACTCCGTAGTTTGCCATCGTGATCATTTATGGGAGGAAAGTTATTTCTTTGAACTTTTGGAGTTAATATATATATATATATATATATATATATATTTATTTATTTATGTTGATTCTATACTATGTATGCGCTTGTTCTTCGCTTCCCTATCGTATATATATGCAATGACAACGCCCCGAAGTCTCACCAGGCCATATCGATTACGATTTCCTGCAGTGGTAGCGAGGTCAAAAACAAGGTTATCTAGACGGCGGTAGTTCGCTACCTAGGTGGTGCCGTATACTCGGTTCAACCCAGTTAGAAAACATAACCCTTACAAATTCCCATTCGCCTTAACAGCACCCGGTCGAGCCTGAGGCTTCACCGACGTGCCAAACCCATTAACACGGCCGTGGAGCCATTTCAGGGTTGCGGTGCTGAGAGCCATTACGACGGCACTGAGGACAAAGAGCCCGACGCGGCCTTCGAAGGGGACTTGCTCGAAGATTGGATAAGGGTACCTGTTCATAGCAGTTAGGTTGCGATTCCAAGAGGGGGGAAATAGGGAGATTAGGTGCATTGCTTACCATCCGTTGAGCTGGAAACAGCGTTCTACCCAGAACCAGTAGCTGACTGCGATGGTGCTGGAGAGGGCGAGGGCGGGGCCGATAGTGATTGTCCAGGGTGGAGAGAGGAAGAGAAGGTCTATCAGGAAGACGATTGATGGGATTGCGTGGAAGCTGATGTCTTCAAGGCATAAGCCAGGTTAGTGGGGGATAGACGGTGGGAATATAGTCTCAACTGGGAGCTTACCAGCACTCATGGGTATAACTGCCCACTCAGGAATGACGAGGCGTTCATCGATCTATATACGAGCTGATCAGTATAGAGAACGCAATTGGGACGTCCTTCGGGGCGAACTAACAAGGCGAAGGCTCCAGTAAAGAATGCTAATGAGGATTTCCATAGGAGCGCTACAGATAGACAATATATTCTTGAGTAAGAATAACCGCGGCGAGAGGGTAATATCAGCCAGAAGGCCAAAGGTAAAGGTGATTGTCGCGAGCGATAGCCCAATGACGGTCAGGTACTGGAAGTGCCATCCGTATGCTTCGTTGCTACGGGAGGGACCGAGAGTCAATTTCTGGCCGAACCTTGGGCCTTCTCCGGGGTAGATTGGAGCTTACGCAAAGTTAGGATTATCGTGCATACTATAGGAGAAAGAGTTAGCAGGAGGGTTCCGGCACTGCACTATCATAGACGCTGAAGACCGTAGTGATTCTCGTATAGACTTACTATTTGAAAGACCAAATAAAACTGGCTAGTCCGGATGCCTGCGGAAGGGTTAGTTTTTGCGAGATTGAACACGAAGTCTTAGAGACAACGTACATGAACTAATGCCGAAACCCCTCTTGAAGGGCTGGGTAGCCGCTGCAATGGGTGCATTTTGGTAATCGAGGGAGACATGATAGCAGTTGTTATCTGGAGGTCTGAGGATAAGGTAGATAGGCGATAACAGTATAAAAATAACACAGGTCTACAGGCTTAAATACTGTCAAGCAAGCAGAGAGAGATAACAATGGAACAAAATGCAGAGAGCGAAAAAAAAATCAAAAAAAATCAAAATGAAAAGATAACATTAATATCTAGACATCGTCGTCCACCGCAGAATCCCACAGAATACGCGAAAAAGCAAGGAACGTGTCTGATGTCAGCTGCCCCGGAGAATGAGTAATCCCGCCCCGCTGAGTTCGGTTCCACGCTTATCGCTGGCAGCCTGAGGTGTCAACAATCCCAAAGGAGCAACTCGGGGCGTCCCCACGCTGGGGGTGCATTGTGATTGCTCGAGATCTCCGACAGGCAGATAAGAACAATGCGGATGCATCCACGATCCAAAGTGCGACTCTCCTCCTGCAACCTTGCTTCTTTCTCTCCCTTCCCGCCGTATTTCTTCTCCTCTGCACTGTCTTTTGCTGCTTCGTTGCGCTCTAATTTCTCCCACCTCCACCCTCGGAAAGTTTACGGATAGGGGCACCTTTGCCGTGCTAGGTCGGTAGTAGCTGGGCCTTGTGCCAGATATTACTATAGCGAATACTACGTATTTCTCGTGACTCGCTCTCCGCTCCCCCCTCAAGGAGAGGTAAACCAGCTGTCCTTCATTTACCACCCACCCTATCAATCATCATAATAATCCATAAAAACTACTTGGCTGGCTCCGCCATATCCCATACCTCGATGAGCACGAATAACAGACGCGATTATATCGTTATCGACTATCGTTTCCTTTCTTCCTGGGTCAAACGCCCAACTCGCAGACGGAAAAGAACCCCTTCATTCAGCCCTGTGAAGATCGACTCTATACAGTCGGCCTGCATGGCGATCTTACTCCGCAGATTAAGTTGGCACTATCTCTCTCCCCGAACAATTAGTTCTTCAAATAATCATCGCTTTTATCCGGCGCCTTTGATTTGAGCATCAAATGCCTCGCGCTCGAAGGCCCGGAGCTCCCGAGCCCAAGCGGAGATCACGCAAAGGATGCTGGTAAGTGGGCCTCTTGAGAAATTTTGAGCGCATAAATATTGATCAACAGCAAATAGGCCGTGTAAGGCTCGGAAGATCAAATGGTTTGTATCCCATTCGCCTTTCTCGTCACCCAGCTAAACATTTATTTATACATACAGTGGGGAGGAAAAACCATCTTGCCTGAATTGTCAAGGCCAAAATGAACCATGCGACTACAGCCTCCGCTTGAATTGGGGCGGAAGGACCAGAAGAAGGTCCTCAGTCGACTCCCCAGGCTCCCAGTCCAGTGGCCTTTCGTTCTTATTTCCTTTATCACCTCTCGCCCTCTCACAGGAATATTCGACCGACCCGGTCCCCCGGTTCAAGCCTAGTGGTTCGGAGGAGAACACTGAACAGGATGCACCTGCGAAGATGTTGCTCTGGGAGGCTGGACACGCAGGGGAGATAAGTATAGGAAGAACGTACCCTAGCAGGTTACATGATATCCAAGATTCTGCGACTGTCCCTGACCAGTCTCTTAATCCACCCACTTGTACAACCGATAGAGCTCCAGTAGATATGGACCTGTCGCGAGAGGACGTGCCTGACAACCCGGTTCCGAATTCATTTGGCGGTCCTCATTACCACTCGTCCCTCAATACCGACTCTAGCATTTCCGCGTTGCTCAACTTCAATTTGCCCACCGGCCCCGTTTCCCAACCTATATCCTTCATTCGACCATCAATAGACGTGACCGGATACACTGTTAACCAGTCGTCGGGCCTGCCTGACTACCAGAACCTCTCTGGTTCTCCTCCGGCTAATATGGGCCCTGTAGGGACTTCCTCCGGTAGCCCTTCGGATTCCCATGGAACTCTCTCGCCTCGTTCACTTGACACAAGTCTGTTCACATCTAGTACATCTGGGGACCAGAAAGAGTCTCCAGATATGTTTCTACCTGGCCCTATTGACGGACATCCCGGCGCAGCACCAGATAGGGCAAAACATGCCAGGTCGAATTCTTTCTGTGCACGGCTGGGTAATAGTCGAGTTACATTTGATGAGTACCGTGGCCCTACGAACTCTGAGAAATGGCGCGCCTATCTCACTAGTGTAACTGATCACTACGGTATGGACTGTGGCCGTCCAGATATGGACTTGGGGAATAACGATGATCACTCGGCGATTGATATCGATGATGCGCTCGGCACTGTTCAATCGCAGACAACGAGCAAAGTTTCCAGCCCGGAGACTACCCAAATGGAAAACGCGCAAGACAGGGCGAGGGGCTGCAAGTACGACTATTATGCGTCATCTGTGGCCATTAATATCCCAAGATATTTGTCACCACTTCCGCCATCTCTAGTAAATGTGCCCATCAACCTGATGTATTTCCATCATTTTCTCAACCACACTGCAAGAGTGCTGGTTACGCATGACTGTGGAGACAACCCTTTCAGTTCTGTTCTACCCTCCAGTGAGCCTCTTGCCCCTATATCCTGCGCATAACCGTATACTGACTGAATAGTGGCCATCGGTGATTCAAATCTCCTCAACTTAATGCTCGCGTACTCGGCAAGCCACCGGGCAAGGTTCCTGGGCCACCCTGAGCCTGCTAATAGGATTGCCCACTGGGTGAGAAATGTCTTCCCCTCTTTGCGCTTGGCTCTGGAGAATACGCAAGAGAAGATTACCGACAGTCATCTCGCGACTGCCATTATGCTGCTTTCATTGGAGATAGTCTCTCCAAGTACATTTGAGGTCCCGATACCTTGGCAATGCCATCTCAAACTGGCTCGTGACCTGTTTCTAGCGCGCAAAAGCCAGATGGCTTATCCTGGAAACCGGGTCGGGGCATTCCTTACCCGCTGGCTTGGTTACCTCGATATATTAGGCTCGCTGTCGTGTCGACATCACTTGCCGCCTCTATTGGAGTATTATTCCGTTTTGAATACGTGCACTATTGTTGAGGATTGGGATGAATTTGCGATTGATTGTATGACCGGATTTACTCCCCGAACTGGTCTTTTCTTGATGCAGCTTGGGGGACTAGTGCACCAATGTGACAATGAAAGGTTTGACGCCACCGGAGAGTTCCTGCCCGACTGGCAACCCTCTCCGGATATAGTTCGCAGAGCTGAAGCATTGATATCTGACTGGGAAACACTGGATGCGCATGCGCATGCGTACGAAAAACACTACCAAGACTGCGAGTCCTCAGATATTATATCTATCGACCGTGCGTTTCGATATGCCGGCTTAGTCCACCTCCATCGCCGAGTTCTTGGTGATCCCCCCAACTCGGATGCGGTGTCGAAAGCCTTGAATGGTCTGATGGAGTCGGTAACAGCAATTCAGTCGGGCTCTGCGATCGAAGCTGGAGTATTGTTTCCGATTTTCACAGCGGGGTGCGAAACGCAGAACCTCGAACAAAGAGCCGAGATAAAGGAGCGATTAGAGACCTTGGAGGGAATTGGGATGAAGCAGGTACATTTCATGTCTCGAGACTATATTAATCCAGACTGACATGGTTTTAGATCCAGAATGCTCGCACGCTAATGCAGAGGAGCTGGGACACCAATTTGCCCTGGATCGCCTTCGCGCAGGGAGAGTTTATTGGGTAAATTGCTAAAAAATTCTAATGTTACTGGTAGCAGTTCAACACCGCGTGAGACTTATGTGTTTGATTGGAATGGGAGACTGTTTAGTGCCATTTTTATGCGCAGGACTCCATATACAAGCAACCTCTGTTTGCAATGAAAGACACTTTTCCTGAAAGCGAGCCTTGTGAGAGCAATCTCCCCTCAGATTCACCTCTCCTCTGCCTTATCTCCTTGTAACTTACAGTATCTTCTGTAATACGCAGCAATTTCTCCTAGTTAAATTGATCCTAGCTTCATCATCCTTCTGAGTGTGTATAGTTTGGTATCCAACAACAAAGCATTTCCATTGCGGCAATAAGAACCCACTCATTCACTAAATCAGACCTCTCAGCACTTATTCTCTTTATTGAGCACCTTTTAGCCTCCAGGTTGTTTCATGCTCTCTTGATTCGCCTGTTTACCGCCAGAAACGATTTTACATGAGCTGCCCCTTTCCAAAAATGGAAGGCTGCAATGTCTCAGATCCCCGAGGAGCAGGAGTCTTCACCACCTACGCCCTGCTCCTCTTCTCCACCCTGACCTCCATTTCTTTGATTTTTTGCGTTGTTTTGTCCTTTCTTGAGTCTCGCATCTTGAACCTCACTCGCATCTCAGTTGCGGGACATACCAACAGCAATTCTCGTCGCTGCGCAGGGCAAGAAGCACAGCAGCAGGGCGAAACAGTACCAAACCATATGGCTTACTCCACGGACCTTCTCGATGGTGGAATAGAAGATATCCAGATTCAACCGCTTTGTCCGTTGCTGATGACGCCGTTGCCCGATGAAAACAGTCATCCACTTATTGGTGACCCGGGCGATTTGTTAGGTAGTATTGTGGATAATCTCAAGATATCTGCACTGGACCCCAAGGTAAACAATTAGTGTACTGAGAGCAAAACAAAGCACATGTTGATGATTTAATTGCCTCTCTCCAGCGCGCTCCACGTATTCCCTTCTTCCAACGCCACCGTCGCGACGCGACGCAGCCAAACACGCACCCTCCGTGCGAAAACGAGACCGTTTCAACTGTTATCAAGTGGGATGGAAATATCTGTTGGGCATTGAAAGGTTCCAGCATCTTTAATGACGCCGATGAAGAGATCGACGCCTTCAACGCTCGCTCAAATATGATTGAACGTCAGCCCTACTCTGAGCTGTGGGTCTTCCAGTATGGTCTTCGCTACATCCCCGCCCTCTCTGATCGTGATGTCTACCGCACCATCCGCATCGAAGAGCTCCCTCGTGATGTTGTGATGAGCCAGGTCCTTCCGCTTATCGTTGGTGAGGTCTACTGCGCTAGACTGGCGGATACAAGAAACATCAGCGGCTATAACACAGCCATGATCACTTTCGTTACGCAGAAAGATGCTGTCAAGTTTGTGACTTTGATCGCAAACAAGACAATTGTCCTACCATTCGGGAAACTTGTCCCTGTCCATACACCGACCTACCCCATGCCTGCTGAAACAGACCGCTTGATCGCCGAAGAAGGCTACACCCGCACACTAGGCGTATTCCACATCAGACCATCGCTCAAAGCAGAGATCATGCGCGTCCTAAATAACACAAACTTCAAATACTCCTTAGAGGTGGAAGCTGTTGATGATGGCCCCGCTGTTGGCGAAGTTTCCGTGAAGATGCTGTCAGTCAAGGCAGCGGCAATGTTGTTTGAATGGCTTCGGAAGCACCCAGCCCTAGGCAAATGTCAATTTCGATTCTTGCAACAAAATGGCGCGCCCTCTGAGGCAAGACCTGTGGTGTTGAACGCTGATTCACAAACTGCCAGCTGGTAGCCTCCTATGTATCTGGGGACTTTTACTTTATCTCCGTTTCCTTGTGTCTTTGTGGCGGAGGACCCCCAAAAATATCTTGCCATTCTACTCTTCAAAAATTGACACGTTATGTCACAAAATCACAGATTCTATGTTTGTACTTGATTATGACGTTGGTAAACATCCAGCAAGCTTGATGTTATCAGCTGAAAACTCCTGTTACCAATGACTCTGACAACACCCTTAGCTAGCTTGCCATGATATTCCAAAAAAGTGAATACTCCGCAAACCAGGTAGCATATCAAACAAAATCCAATTGTCGTCCCATCAAAAAGTAATAACCATATATAGAAAGATAAAGCCCAGAGTGTCGTTACAGTCGAAATACCTTAGTGTGCCTACCCAGAATTTTGCCCCAGCCCATCAAGACACACCGGACTTTGGAGTGGAAGGCTAAGTGAGACAAAAACTATCAGCGCCTTATATCCGAGTCTCCACATATTCATATATAGACCCGGGAACCCTAAGCTGAAATGTCGGGCTGAAATTCTTGAAACGGGAATACTGCAGTTGCATAGGTCGGGGGGCACTTGAACCCCAGAATGGGACTGTATTACCAACATCCGACCTCACCTTGTTTATAAGCAAAGTTTGTAGGTTTCCTATGAATAGTAGATACTGGAAATGAGCATGGTATATTATTTTATTAGATATTGTAGATGTATCTCGTTATACAGGGCGATATCAAGACAACAGCTTTGAGAAGAGATAGCGGGGTTGACCTATAATAAGAGCAGAACCACACCACTGTACTTTGGCAAGAGGCCCATGCTTAAAAAACACGGCCCTTAACCTGATCAATCTTCTTAACGTTCACATTCTTCCACATCATCACAGACACTATGGTGATGGCGTAGAGGCACGTGGCCGTGATCAGCATCAACCGTTGCGTCTGGCTGTATGACAAGTTGATGGCATCACGCTCAGGGCTTCCAACGGGATACCCGTACTGCGTCTCGACGTCTCCGTAGATCGCTGCAAAGTTGGACATGGCCTCGGCCGGAAGATTCTGCTGCAACTTCTTGGGGAAGATACCGGTCCACATCGCGCCGGCGATAGAGTTTCCAATGGCAGAGCCGACGCTGATAAACATTCCTTCGGCCGCGATGACGGCGGGGATATCCTGCTGGCGCGAGACGGCCATAACGGTCATTTGCTCGCAGATGACGAGGGTGCCGCCACCGAACGCGATGAAGATCTGGCACATGACGATGTAGCCGATGTCGACGCCTGGGTGGCGGAAGTGGATCATCAAGGCAACGCCGAGAATGCTCATGGGAACGCCGAAGTAGAGGGCTTGCCATTTGAGGCGTCCATTATAACGCACGACGACACCCATGACGAGAGCCCAAAAGGATGATCCTACTGTGTAAATGTTGCTGATGTAGGAGGCTCGAGTGACGTCCTGGTTGTAGACAACAAGCAGCATGGAATAGAAATAGTTGTCCCATACGTACCAAGCAATGTAGATACTTGCCGCCATGGTGTAGGTAAAGATGACGGTACGGTTCTTTAGCAAATCCCAGGGAATGAAAGTGACAGGAGCAAGATATTTCTCGTAGAATATGAATCCAATGATCAGAAGTCCACCAATAACCAGGAAGCAAATAATCAGCGGCGAGCGCCATTGGTCGGGCTGCCTGGTATACAGATTGAAGGCTAGAAGGAATAGTGCCAGACCGAGTGCGAAGACAAAAATACCGATGAGGTCGAACTCCTTGGCATAATGGACGACGGACTGGATGGGAGTGCGGTTCGATTCATGCTTCGAGACCAGGCCCATCTTCTCGGCCTTGCGCTGGTTAAAATAGAATAAGAAGAACAAAGGTGAGCAGACAACCGGCAACACGATTGCCCAAATACCAAATCCCCATCTGAAACCAATGGTTTTGAGGGCGCTCTGTGTCGCGGGGCCGTAGGCCCAGACGGTAACAATATAAGGAGAGGCAACGAATGCAATCCAAAACGCTCGGTTCTTCAGTTTTGATGTATCTGCAATGAAGATAGTCATCGTGAAGTCCAGGCAGTTGTAGCCAACCCAATAGAAGACCTGAGCGGCGCAGTAGGTCTCCACGTTGTTACAACCAGCCATCATGATCAAGCCTATGGTAATGCTACCGACCATAATCGCAAAGCCCTGAGGACGTCCCCAAATATCCATCAACTTGGCATATGGGAGCTTGACCAGACCAGGCGCCAAACTTGAAATAATTCCCGTTGTAGCAGTCAAGGAATGCTCTTGGAAAGAGCTGGTGACAAACGGGGTCAGGTTCGAGATCATGCCTGACGAAAAAGCCATAATAAAGTGGATTACCCAAATCCTAAGGCCGTTGGCATTTAGCTTCTTTCCTTGTTGTGCCCGTAACCTGGCCGTTGGGAGACTTACAAGACGTATGCCGTGGCGATATGGCTAAACGGCCACACTTGCGTCATGGCCTGAGCGGCCTGTACACCGCGCTGGAAATCCTTATTAACAATGTCGCTTTCGCTGTCGTCCGTGGTGCCGAGCTCTTCAGGACGAGGCTCCGGTCCTTTCTCTGTGGAAACTTCATTGTCTGTCGGTCGCTGGCTGTTTTCATCGACCGGCAGCTCGTCGTGCTTGTATGGAAGTCTGAACCTCATGGCGACAAGGAGCTGCAAAAAGGAAAGTAATGGCTGGAAATTGCTAGGCGCGCTGTTTTGGAGGCAAGAATTGAATGTGAGAGAAGTTCGGGAAAGGAGTAGACTATATACTGGCGGACATGGCGCAACAGCAAAATTCGAAGGCCGAAAAGCGGCGTACTTCTGCTGGTGTCACTTGAAAAGAAAAAGAAAACTTGACCAACAGAATTATCAGCCACCACACGACTAGAGCCAGTTGTAGCTTTAGTTCGGTTTCTAGACCGTAACCTGCGTGGTGTCTCGGTTGCACGGCCTCGTGGAGATAGCGAGTTTTGTCTTCTGGAAACGAGAAGACCGCTTGGATTTCCGATCGAGAACCAATGAACCCTAGGGATTTTATAGCACTTTCGCTCCGGCTCGCCCAAGCAGGAGTGTGGCCCGTGGGTGTGGGATGACCTGAATCAATGGCCGGGTTGTTGGTGGGTCCGTGTTATCTGATCGATTATCTGATAATCAAATCAGGTCACGATGTTGGGCCTCCGACCAGTCTGAGCCGCGAGCGAGATCTTATCTTTTTTGTCCCTGGTGCGGCCCTGTTGCATGCCCATAAACGTCCTGCACTGAGCAAATTCAGTGCCCGTATACGTATTACCGCATCATCCTTTCATAGAGAACAGCGTTCGGAGAAATACTCTTGACTCGCCAGTGGGTTGGTGCTAATTTAACGGATCCGCAGCAAAATCGGAAAACCCATGGCTTTCCTTGGCGTCGTGAAAAGGAATGGCCAGAGCAGCTAGCCGTCCACTAGCTAAGCTTCCTCGACGTTTCTTGCAAAATTTGCGCAGCAGAGCTTGGCTTTTCAGCCTTAACTGGCCTTGCCGACGATCGGCGCGCGTGCTGGTGAGCGAGAAGTCGAGAGAGAATACGTCAGGTTTCAGAATAGCGACAGAGTGCACATCCTCGAACGTCACGAGCCGTTGCTCCAACATTGGAGCTAGCAGAAGGAAAGCCGAGAGCACAGGACACAAATCGATTCTGTCGTTGGCCAGTGGCCACCCTTTGGAATGCGTTTGGGTATCATTGCATTCCAGGATCACACTAGCCGACTCGGATTCCAACAGGGCCTCTTAACAATAACTCAACGAGTCACGGCGAGTTGGACCATCAGGCTGAGGTATAAAAATATCGATCATCTCGAGTATCTGGGTGACTTCCTCTCGTTTTGTCTCCCTCTCGTGTAAGCCACTTTTCGTCGTTTTCAACTGGCAAAGGCCCAACGCCCGACTCAAGTCCAGGCGTTAGATGGCCGGGATCTGTGTCATGCCCCGACTCTGTGACCGCCGCTGGCCGATTCGACCCGGCCCAAGCCAGCCTCTAGTCATGTTATCGTCATTTCTACATTCCAAGGTCAGCACCTCATGAGGGACGCGACACTGCCCTCATGGGGCAGGCAGTCACTTCCTGAGCTCCGAGGTTGGAATGTAGGAAGCAGGTTGGTCAGAACTCAGAAGCTCGCAGAAGAGGATCAAGCGTCATTCTGGCCCAGTCTTCCAATCTTGGGCGAATCAGGTTTCAGAGATTCCCCATCCAAGCCTTTGAGCATTCCATGATCGGAGCTTTGGACAAGCTCTTTCCCCATCGGAACAGGTCTGCCGCTATCTGTACTGGAGCCTATGATGTTGTCAGTTAATGCGCTGTGAAAGGGGCGTCCTATGTCGCAATCAACAAGCAACGGCAGCCGGATATTCACGCTGGTCAAACCCTAATACTAAATGGAATGAACGGCCAAGCATGTTGATCCCGCTAACTCGATACGTGAGGATGGTTTTTGACCAGGCCCCTTGACAGTGGTGCGGACGTATATTTGTACTCAGACATCTGTCTGTTCTTCTTCTTTTATATCAGTTGCTTCCAAAATGGCCGACTGCTACCAGAGAATAGAAAAGTTTCAGGTGCTCCAGATCGCTCTAGAGGAGCAGGGACTGGAGCTTACCCCCGATGGGCGGTACGTACGCTGGGCCAGCAATAATTTGAACCATCCAAGGAACTGGAACAAACTCCGAAAGGCATACGACATCGGCCTCATCATTTTTCTTGAATTCTATACGTGAGTGGCGTACTATGCGTTCATAGCTCGAGAGGAACGTTACTGATTTGCGTTTTCTACCATCACTAGAACGGCCATAAATGCGTCTGGAGTAAGTTGGAATCCCTGGAGTTTCCCGTATTTGAACGCCTGCCGGGTAATACGTTGCAAAAACGGAGTCTCATATTTTGCAGGCGACGGCAGCAAAAGATGCGCTGCACGAATTTGATATCGACTTGACTTTTGCCGTATTTCTCTTTGTCTCGACGTGCGTATCTCCAGCCATGCTCAACCATGTCGTTTGGAGCATTAGAGACTTACGGTGTTTAGGTACTGCCTGGCGCAAGCTATCGGAAACGTCGTCTTTCCCCCATATTCCGAGGCTTTCGGACGGAAAAGACTATATGTCATCAGCGCTGCATTGTTTAGTGGCTTTAGCATAATGATTGCGGCCGTACCTTCGATGGGAGCAATGGCTGCCGGGCGAGTCTTGACCGGTTTGGCTTCGGCCGTACCAACCGTTATAGTCACAGGCAGTATTGAGGACATGTTCAACGCACGGGACCGGATCTGGCTCGTCTTTGCGTATATGGTGGTCGCCAACTGCGCGGTAGCCTTGGGCCCTGTGATGAGTGGGTATATCACCGCTCAGCTAGGATGGTCAGTTTGCGGCAGCTATTGCATAATCATGTGCTGGATCGAAGTGATACTGACCTCGGTGCAGGAGATGGGTGTTTTACATCTCGGGTATTGTTACGGGTTTTGCGGCGGTGTTGCTGCTGGGCATTCGAGAGTCGCGGCCGTCGCTTCTTCTCACGTGGGAAGTCGACAAGCTGCGTCAGGTGACGGGCGACATGAGTCTTCAGGAGCTGAACCCCGACACCACGCCCAAGATTCGTGATTTCGTGCGCGAGGGGCTCCTGCGGCCAGTCCGGCTCTTCTTCACTGAACCGATTGTATGTGCCTGCTCGCTAATGAGCGGGTGGAGCGTTGCTCTCCTGTACCTCTTCACTGAATCTCTGCCTACCATCTACGAATCCATGGGCTTTGGACAGCAAGAATCCAACTTGCCATTTATCGCTATGGGGCTGGGTTTCATACCCAGTATCGTGGTTCGGTTGATGGATCAACGTGTCGCAGCGCAGCGGCACCGCGACGGGCTTCCCTTGCTTCCCGAGAACAAGCTGGTTGGAATCACCCTCGGGGCGCCGTTCCTCGCCATTGGTCTCTGGTGGTTTGCTTGGATGGTCCCTCCCGCCGTACAGGAAATTCACTGGTTTACGACGCTTATCCCGCTTTTCTTCATTGGCTTCGCAATCTACGAGTTCGGGACGGTGCTCTCGGGGTATCTTGCGGACAGCTACCACAGCTATGCGGCCAGTGCGTTCGCTGCGATGTCACTGGCACGCTCGTTCTTATCGGCACTATTCCCACTGATTGCGCCGAAGATGTTCAGTGCCTTGGGGTCAAATGTAGCTTTGTCGATTTTGGCTTCAGGGGCACTTGCCTTCTGCCCGGTGCCGTTCGTCTTCCGGTACTATGGGCAGAGACTGCGCGAACGGAGCAAGTTTGCGCAGTACAGTCTGCAGGTGTATGAGGAGACCACCGTTGAGAGGGAATACTAGGGCACTCAGAGGCCTTTGTACGTGATAATTATGCTTCTGTCTATATGTTTATAGGAGATGCGTTGTATTTTTACGGCGGCATTTTACTTAGATTTAGGTGCAGGCCATTTGATATTGTTCAGCTGTCATATCTCGGCGTTCCTCCGTAGGTCAGCCATGAGCTATAGGTAGTTAAATCCCCCGGATTAACAATCTTATTACCAGGGTCTTATCAGTCGCCGCTGCAACGAGAGAGGGGTATGGTCCGATCGACACGGCCCAGAATCCTGCCATCCCTGGTTCTTCTTAGCTTCTGTCGCTGAAGCTTTAGAGCGAGCCGTGATTCGACTGCGGTGCTTAACACCGCGGCGTCCAAGACAGTGGCCATGCCAGAGTTACATCACTTCAAAGCGAATACCGTGGACACTAATGCCGAAGGGTGTTCGAAGCCCGACACTCACTGGCTCGAAAATCCCCGTAAGTCCGTGACCATCAATTATTTGGACAATCCCGGAAAACCCGTGCATAAGCAGCCAACCCCCTCTTTAAGTCCTGGTCATCCCCTGCGGTTTCTCGATGCCCCTTGTTCCGTTCGATCGCAAGCTATATCCAAGTCCCTGTATGACCGTGAGTCTTTGTCGGATCGTTTGTTATGGCACAACCGGTACAGGAAAACTCGCCCGAGACCTCCGATGTCGAGAAGGTCGACTTGTCAGGCGGTCATCACAAAGACCGGCTAGCGCAGTTCGAGGATCCAGATGAGGGATTGAGCGACGAGGAGAGGGCGAAGATTGTGAGACTGTGATGGCTTCCCAGCAGTGTTTAATCGCTGACGCGCATAGGATCGCGCCCTTCTCTGGAAACTCGACTTGAGATTGGTTCCCTGGTTGAGTCTACTCTATCTTATTTCCTTCTTGGATCGGTAAGTGCCCCTTGAGTCTCTTAGCTGCGGGTGTCTAATCTGGTATGGATAGGACCAATATCGGCAATGCGAAGCTCGTGCATCTAGAAAGGGATCTGAATATGAGCGATAGCCAATACAATGCGGCACTCACCATTTTCTTCGTTTCATACTCGGTTTTTGAGCCTCTGACCAACGTTCTTCTCAAGCGTTTGCGACCCAGCATCTTCATACCAATCATCATGGTCCTATGGGTACGCTTCGTCCCTTCAAATTTCCGTCGTGTCCAAATACTGACAGTCTCGGACGTATAGGGCGTATGCATGATGTGTATGGGCTTTGTCCACAACTGGTCCGGTCTCATGGCTGTTCGCTGGTTTCTTGGACTAACAGAGGCCGGTCTCTTCCCAGGAGTCGGGTATTTTCTCTCCTGCTGGTATAAACGTTCCGAATTCGGTGTGCGCATGGCCATATTCTTCTCCGCTGCCGCTCTGGCGGGTTCCTTCGGTGGTCTCCTCGCCGCCGCCATTGCCCTGATGGATGGAAAAGGTGGGAAACAGGGCTGGGCATGGATTTTCATCCTGGAAGGTCTTGTGACGATCGTTATCGGTGTCTTGTCCTTCTGGATGGTTTACGATTTTCCGGACGAGGCGACATTTTTGTCGGACGATGACCGGAAGCGTGTCCTGCGCAGGCTGGCGTCTGATCAACAGGCAAGTGCGGAGCACGAGAACTTTAAGATGGCGTATTTCTGGAATAGTCTCAAGGATTGGAAGACCTATACGGGGATGATTATTTATATGGGTGCAGATGGGTGTCTCTATGCATTCTCGCTGTTCGTGCCCACTATTATCAACGAATTGGTAAAACCTCTCCCCCCTCAATTGGAGTCTTGATTATACTAACTGGTTGACTTAGGGTATGTCTACCGAACGCTTAACTCTTTAGGTCAGACTAACGAATTCTAGGGTATGCGGACATCCACGCGCAGCTCCTCAGCGTACCACCGTACGCTGCCGCAGCAATCATAACAGTAGCAATTGGCTTCATCGCCGACCGAACCCGCCAGCGCGGAATCTGCAACATGCTCGTTTCCCTCCTTGGAATCACGGGCTTCGCGATGCTCCTGGGCGCAAAGTCCGCTGGGGCGCGGTATGCGGGGACATTCCTCGGAGCAATGGGGATTTACCCAGCCATTGCGAACACAATCTCGTGGACTAGTAACAATGTCGAAGGTACGTAATGACGTATCGATCTGCCTCCTCCCTCCTCGGCAATCTATGGCGCGTAATTCCAACAGATTTGCTCATGCTTACAAACACAATATAGGAGTCTACAAACGAGGCGTGACCCTTGGCTTCGTCATCGGCTGGGGTAACCTAAACGGCATTGTCTCTTCAAACATCTACCGCGGTGAAGACAAGCCGGATTTCTACCCAGGTCATGGGACGGTCCTTGCGTACCTCGTGCTCTTCCAGTTTGGAGGGTCGCTGCTACAGTATATTCTCCTGCGAAGGGAGAATACGAAGCGCCGTCGTGGAGACCGAGATAGCTGGACGGAGGGACTAGACGAGAGCGATGTTCAGCTTTTGGGTGATAAGAAGCCGGACTTTATATATACACTCTGAGGGAGAGATATATACAGACTTTGCCGGTCCTGTGTGTTTTAGTCGTCGCTAGTTAGTTAGTCTTGCGGCCCTTGATCATGTCAGAAACTCCGAAGTGAAACCAAGACCATGCACGCGTAAAATCGTACTACTACAATATTTTGTCTATACTATACCAGCCCCCGATTCTACATAGCCCTCGAATACAGATTAACTATATCCTGCCCCTTCTTCGGCCCTTTTACCACATGCCGACTCGCCCAACTAAGCACCTCGCCACTACCCTCCGCAACCCGAAACGCATACGCCGTGCGATACATATCCTTGATACAGAGATGATTCCCGCGCGCCGCAACAATCTTCGTCTGCAGTCCCGAGAGCGATCCAACCTCCGGCGGCACAGGTGGGGTAACAAATTCCTCTCCAGATTCAGATTTAGCAGCCGACTCATCAGTAGAAGACACCAAGTCGAATTCGTGGAAGAGATAATCCGCTTCCTCCTCCGGCGCCTGTCCATCTCCATCTCCATCTCCATCTGCCGACGGTTTCTGCTTTTTGTCTATCTTCACGAACCAGACGCTTATCCGACCGTTTGCGCTGAGTCTCCATATGTATTTCTTTGTCCAGCGGAGTCCGGGCCCGAAGGATTGTGGGAGGGAGCCTTCTTCGCTATAGAGGAGGTCTGTGTATCCATTGCCATCGCCCAATGTTTCGGACTCGGGTATGTTTTTTCGAGCGGCTGGGTCGAGTCTATGAGAGCGTAGAGGAGTGAATGTTGCAGTGCCGTGGAGATCGCCCTGCATGTCGTTTGAGTTTTCGCTTTTGAGGGTGCGGAGGAGCGTCCAGCGCGTGGGGGAGGCGGAGGAGGATGAGCGGGAGAGGGAGGAGAAGATTGTCGGGAGGAGGTTTCGCGGCGGCATTGTTGGTTCTTCTGATGGCGGTGTTGGAGTTGTCATTGTGAGGATGGTGGTGGTGTTCGGTGCATTGAAGTGAAGGCTGGGTTGAAGTTGAAGTGAGGGACGCGAACGAGTGGGGACTGGAGCTGGCGGGGCGGCCCGCCGATTGCTAACCCTGAGCCCAGAGTATCTATATCATGACTTCTGGCGCAGTGAATCCGTAGCTCTTGGAAAGTAGAGTAATGAAGCTGCCAAATCTCTATCTGAATATTACTAAAGAATAATAATACAGCGCAAATTCAGACACAGCTCGCGCGATTAGGATTCGAACCCCGCTTGTGACGGGTGAAATGTACGGCCCCTAATATCGCTCCCATCGGATTCTGCTGGCAGGGCAAGGAAAGGCCAGGCGGGATATTCAGCGCAGCTGAAGGATTTAATATTTGGAAAAAGTGTCAGTGGGCCTCCCCAGGAGCGAAACCAGCGTGGTGCAGGGACGCAACGCAACCCCAGGCATTCCAGCCACAATTCGGCTCGCCAAATTTGGTAAACGATGGAGCTTTCCATAACATGTAGCATAATAGCAGGCTCAGACAATCTGTATATTGATTCTGAGGGCCAGTGCCATTGATTCAAGGCGCCATGGAGGTCCGAATGATAGCACATGTACCACAGAGCTCGGTAAACCCGGTATTCTTTAACCCAAGAGAAAGAATACGTAGCATCGTGCAAGTCCTCTTCGCTAGTCGGAGTACTGTCGGAATCTGGGTAAAGCACAGAGTCAAATATGTCATGTACGATGGTTAGACATGCGCACGCCAAACGCTGGATTTGTGCTCCAATATCGAACATATACGTTGATAACTCAGAGTTGTTTTTCAGGAGGAGGTCGGTAGGAGTCTGAGTATCCAAAAGTGAGATATACTCATCAATGTTACGACAAAAAGTTGATGGGTGATTAACAAAAGCTATCCGGCGGAATAATTTTCGACATTGGTCTGTGACGAGCACTAGATGCCGAGTCTCTTAGGCCTCTGAAAATATGGGCGGCATTCTCTTTCACAATATCATCCACCATTGGGTAGACCTCGCGCATACTTTTAATTCCAACGAAGTCGGATTCCTGAAGCTGCTGTATGATTAATTCGACTGGTTGCTCGTCGATGCGGACCATGGCTGCTGTATCAATATGTGAGGTGCGCCCCCTCTGTATAAATACGGCGGTGCGCTGAACGAGTGGACAGGTGTTAGAACTAAACAAATACAAACATCATTTAATAGTAATGAGGGCAAATAGTTAGAAAGATATCAGGTTGGTTTGGTCTGCGAGTTGTTCAGCAATGTCCCGCCTGAGCTGCACCTTCTTCATTCAGCGAGTGTCCACAGGCACTTTTCCACATAAGTACCGGCATTGAAGATGGAGATACGGCATTCAACCATATCGGGCCCTATTCCCAGATGGAAAATGCGAGCTGTGCGATGTCACTTTACATCAGCATGATTAGCTATAGGAAGGGCGTTTGACGGGTATATAGACCCTACGAGCTACCAAACAGGACCTCTCTGGTATCATAATTATACTCCAGCTCCCCATGCCAATAAACCGACGCCGTGGCCTTTGTAAGCATCCAAGCCTCCTCAAACGCTTCAACGACATCCCCTGGCAACGGCCCCTTCTCCAAATCTCTCAGATTACTCTCCATCTGCCCAACACTACTAACACCAATAACAACCCCGTCATTCCCATGCGGCGCAAACCGCAGCTGCGAATGATGCCTGGTCCATCTAAACGTGCATTCAGCCATGGTCAAGCCGTGCTTCCTTGCCGCGGCCTCGATAACCTGCACAGCAGCAAATGTCGTGTCCTTGAAATATCGATTCCGGTAATTCTGCCCCGTTGGGTTCTGTGCACTGAAACGCCCTTCTGATGGGATGATATCCGCCGATTTGTATTTCCCGGCGAGAACGCCCGCCGCAATGGGGTTGTATATCACGATATCAAGTCCGTACCGACGACAGGCGGGAATCAGTTCTGGCTCGATTGTCCGGACTGTAAACACACACATATGTTAATTTAGTCTTCGAGCCCAGTCATTAAAGAATAAAGGCTTACTGAGCGCGTTATACATAGCCTGATAAATCGTCGGCCTCACCCACCCCCTCTCACAGCAAAGCGTCATAATCTCCGCAACTTCATACGCCGCATAATTACTCAAACCCAGCTGCTTAAACTTCCCCTCGCGATACAAAGCATCCACCTCCGCCAACGTCTCCGCAAACGCTACCGCGCGGTCAGGAGCATGGAGGTAGAAGATATCCACCGAATCCGTCCCCAACTCTCTCAATGACTCATCGAGCTTCTCGCGCAGGATAGCCGGCTTATGGAAGCCCGGCTGTAGCGGGTACCACTTCGTGGCGATTTTCAAGCCGCGCTCTTTCCAGCCTGCGGCTGCCGTGAAGGATTCTTGTTCTCGACCTGTGTAGACTCGGGCTGTGTCGAGTTCGGTGTAGCCGTGGGATTGGAAGGTGGTGAGGAGGTGTTGGAAGTCGGATAGCGAGGTTATGCGGGCGCCGGTGCTGGCGGAGGGCCCGACTGTCATTAGGCCGAGGATTGCTCGGGGGTTTGGGTTTGATTCTGGCTCCGACATGGTGAGGTATCGATGTTTACTATGTGCGAGAAGGGAATTTTGGGGGTTGTTTGTGTATATGAAGGCATTGTGAAATGACGCTTAACCAAACACATCACGGCCTTTGGTGAGCACTTGCTCCGTTTGTTTTTAAATGGCCGTAGTTGTATGAATATGCATGTCGAAATATGATCGATCGGGATTGTTCCCGATGCTTTTACTTAATTGTTGGAGACGCTTCTGACGCAACATTGGATGAGATGACGAGACACGAGAAGGTTATATATTTGAAGCTTGAACCCCGCATGGCTGAAACACATCTTTTTTGACCTAATATCCATCTAAACGAAGATGACATCTCAGCAAGTCTATATCGATCATCTTCTCCTTCAGTTCAACCAGGAGCAGTTTGAGAATATCCCGTCCTGGATTTCGGATAACTTTACGGTGATAAATGGCGGTGTTCATACTGGTAAGACCATTTATTCGATCCATGGTTTACTACAACTGACACACCTCCTTACTAGGTGGCCTGAGCCAAAATAAGCTTATCGTATTCCGTGATGGAACCTACCTCGAGCTGTACAATTGGATCACAAAGCCAGAAGACTGGAGGAAGCGGTTACCAGGGGACTTCGCCTTAACAGCGCTGGACCCAATCTCTGCCGAAGCCAGCAGGGAACGAATTGTGGATGCACTGGAAAACAAACCAGGGGATGGCAAAGTTGGGCTGACGTATTCTCCCCCTCAAAACGGAGGGCGCAAAAACGCCGAGGGTGTCGACATCCGCTGGAAAATTGTCAAAGCACAGTACAGCCAAAAAGCTTCAACCCCTCCCGACGAATTCTACCCGAGAGGACGCACAGATGCGCCTTTCTTTTGCCATGACCTCACTCCGCGCAAGCGTCGCGTTACTTTCGATCTACCCTCTGTGACGCAGCATCCATCTGGGGTGACGGGGATAGAGAGGATCGAGGTTCTTGTACCGAGGGACGGGCTGCGATCTTACACGGATCTGTATACGTCTATTGTTGGAGCTTTTCCACAGCAGCACGAGGGAGGAGTCGAGTTCCAGCTCGCTGCTCCGGGCGTTGAAGGCTTCTCCGGAACGCTCCGCGTTCGAGTCGCAGAAACAGCCGCAGATGAGCAGTTCTTGCGAGAAAAAGGTGTTGGTATTAGTTCTCTAGTTTTGCGGTCGGAGACTGGTGGCCCGTTGAATTTTCCGATCGTCGATTACCTTCAATGACCGCATTGTGCGGGTCTGGGTTGTGATACGTTTTAGGTACCGTCCGCAACGTGCTAGTGCGACTGAGTTGCAGCCTTGTAGGTGCAGTTTTCCATAGCCAAGCGACCCAAGCCAGTGTAACGTCGCTGATTGAATCGAATACGAAGATCTTTTTGGATCCTGGGGCGATCCGTGGATCCGATTCCGATCGGGCTGTGGAAGCTCAGCGTTGTCAACCGCTGGTTTATGGGGACAATCTTGTAATCCGACCGTTGCGACACAACCGTTGCATCCCGTGGTTCCTGGCTTGGACCTGGACCGTATACGAGGGCGTATTCTAGAAGTAAGGCTAGTGGAAATAGCGTGATGCGAGGACAGATCAGTTTGACCTGGCAAATGACCACGCATCCGGCACGTCGCAAGCGGAGGCGTTGACTGGAGCTGGGTCCCTCTCCCCAGAGGCAATCAGGCTCCCCATTTGCTCTTAAAGACGAAACCACAGCGACGAAGCGAGGGAGAACGAGGAGCGGCAGCGCAGGAGAGGGGAAGCAAGACACACACACAACTTGAAAGACTTGGAAGACTCGGCGGCTTCCAGGGCTGTTCTGGACCAATATTGGCCCCCATATAAATAGAACCTGTTTTTGGCCTTTCCCTTTATGCTCCACCACCAAGTCGTAGTGAGTTAGTTAGTGAAGGTGCTGACTGTTTCTTGCCGCAACCGGGACTGGGAGGGACCGTGTCTCATCCTTAATCTCTTCCACAATAATCACAGTCACAGTCACAGCCGTCGTCGGCCTTCTCGTCCGCGCCGCTCGCTCGTTAATTAATTTGTCGTTTCCCACTCCGTCTCCCTCCTCCAGCTCTCGTGCATCCCAATAATGCTGGGCTACTAACAAGCGCAAGCCGCACATTCTTCAACGGTCTCCACCGCCGATATGCCTTCAGGGACTTCAGGGACTTCAGGGTCCTGGCCCTTCTCGCTCAGGGCTTCATTCCTAACGCTATTTTACCTGACCCTCGCTTTCACCCCCTCCGTTCTCGCCCAAGGTGAGGATGTCCAACTTCGTCCTTCCGCCGCTTCCGACTCGTTTCCCGCCTGTGGTGTGAACTGTAATATTCTCGCCCAAGCCGACGATGCTTGCACGCCTCCCACCGTCCCAGCGACAAACCGACAAACTTACGTTTCGTGTTTCTGTCAGTCGGCCTTGATTACGGGTTTGAAGACCAACGCGCCGAGCGTATGTGGCACCTGCACGAGCCAGAGTGATAGTCAGAAACTGCAGAAGTGGTACGTCGACTTTTGCAACAGCGGCGGCGAGACGGGCAGCAATTCCGGGGACTCAAACTCTAATGACAACAACGGAAACGACGGCGGAAACAACAACGATAACGGCGATAACAGCGATAACAACAGCAGCAACGACAACAACGCCGACTCGAACTCTTCGGCCAGCTCCAGCTCGTCATCAAATAATTCGGCACCACAGTCATGGTTAGTTTTCTCCCGCCCACTTCTTGTGACGGCTCCTAACAAATTCCAGGTGGGATGGCCACTGGAAATGGATAGTTATGGTCATAGTCCTCGCCGGTGCATTCACAATCATTACCGTCGCCGGAGTCTGGCTTAAGCGACGCCACGACAAAAAATACCCAAATTTGTACCACGCGGGTGCGAGCGACAGCAGGGTATTTCAAAGCCGTAGCCACGATTCCCCCGTACCGGGCGCTATACCGGGCGTGCTTCCAGCGCGGCGCCATGACTCGATGAATACCAATTCCTTGGCCAGCAGTTCCCGAACAGAATACGTTCCGCCAACCGCTCGACAAGCGCCCGCGCCGTCACGCCTGCAAAAATCGCAGGGTGTAAACGATGTCGAAATCAGAGAGGCGCCGCGGTGATGATTTCCTTTGTGCTCTTGGCTGATCAGATTACTGACGCGGGCACTGGAGATCCAACCTGGACCACCGGCTTGTTCCTGACACGCTTGTTTTCATAGTTATGCCGACAATTGCATATACCTGGCGTTCTGCGTCCGTGCTTCGTTCATTTTCACTTCTTGTTGAATTTTTTTTTCTTCCCCAGAGGGTATGCGTACAGTTTACTTCGTCCATTCGATTCCGCCATACCGTGTTCCGTTCTGTTCTGCCCCAACCTCTGGGCGCCTTGTCCATACTACTTTTTTGCCTCTTGCATGTATCTTTTGGTCACCCTCCTTTCCCCTTCTTCCTTCGAGTCGATGGATGCCTACTATGAGCTAGCAATGAACAAACCTTGGAATAAGCGGTGGAGAGAAATCTCCGCCAATTTCCACTTCTGGCTCGTTTCCATACTAACTTTTTCCTCCCTGCTAAATGAGCTGCTGAATTACAGATGCTCGGAAATGTGGCTCCGCCAGAGTTTCCGTCCTTACGCACCCTGGTAGAAAAAAAAAGCGATACCAACAACGCCAACAGTGTAGCGGGCCCGAGTACTTGATTAATCACCAGCGGAGCGTTTTTTATCATTCGAACCTGTATCAAATCCGTCATTGAGTGACGTCCTCCGCTTCAGACGAGGCGGTAGATAGACGGGACAAGACGGGATAAGGTTCTCCACAACAAATTGAGCACGCAAATACAGCCGTGCATGGGGTTAGCTGTAGTACGGCAATATCTACTACTTCTTCAGCGAACAAGCAGAAAGCTGAAGCAACATAGTTGTTGGCTAATATGACAGACCAGATATGGCATCTACGAAGTACCGGGCAGAAAGACAATGGTATATTTCTCGAATAGATCATCAAATCGCTGGCTAGCTACCTAATATAGTACAAAACAAAAATCCATCATGAAACTGTAATACTGACGATCTTCACATCAACCTCGGGTTTCTCCTTATGTGTCTTGACATTTTCAATCTTGTGCACAACATCCAACCCCTGCACCGCACGGCCAAACACCGTGTGTTTCCCATCCAACCAAGGCGTTTTCTCTGTCGTAATAAAGAACTGACTTCCGTTGGTATTCGGTCCCGCGTTCGCCATCGACAGTGTATAAGCCTTGTCGTGCTTGAGAACCGAGAACTCGTCCTCGAACTCCCCGCCCCAGATCGATTCTCCGCCTGTGCCGTCGCCGAGCGGGTCACCGCCCTGAATCATGAATTTACGGATAATCCGGTGGAAAATCGTGTTGTTGTAGTAGCCCTGGCGGGCGTGGGTGGTGAAGTTCTCGACGGCCTTGGGGGCTGCGGAGGGGAAGAGTCGGAGATGGATGTCTCCTAGTGTGGTGTGGAGGACAGCGGAGGTACCTAGCTCGGCGGTCTTCTGGGCCGCGGTCGTTGATGCAGCTGAGGCAGCGTCGCAGGGCCGTTCGTTGTGGACATCGCGAGTGGATTTGGAGATGTCAGTTTCGTTGGTAAAGAGGTAGAAGCGGAGCTTTGCGAAGCCAGTCGAGACGAGGATGGGGTCGCGCTCTTCAGCTTCGGCAAGAAGTGGATTTGAACTGGCCGCCATGGAGACGGTCACGACGCCCTTCTTCTGAGGCTGTCCTTGGTACATGGCTAGGTTGAGAGGGCGGAAAGGCTCGTCTTTGGCGTAGACGCGCACAACGCGGTTGGTGTACGTGTTGATGCATTTTATGCCGTACAGGGAACCGTACAGGATGAAGTGGTTGGATTCGTCGAAGATGACGTTGACCTTGGGCTTAGTGACGGGATTTTCGAGCTCGCGCTCGGCGGCGAGACGGCGACCGAATTCAACAGCTTCGAGGGTGTATATCGCGGTTCCAGCTTGCTGCATGTCTGTGATTGTGGATAGAGATTCGTCATACTTGCGGTATAGCTTTCCTGAAGCGAAATCGAAGACACGGACTTGGCGATCTGGGAATGAGACTGTTGCGAACTGTTTTCCTGACGGGGAAATTGTCAAGGAAGCCGGGGTAGATTTGGCTTTCTTGAACTCGAAGAGATTGGTAGAAGACTTGAGCTCAAACACGTTGTCTGGCTTCTCGAAAGAGCCATCCGAAGCTCTCCAGTATTCGATCATACCCGACTCGTCTGCTGATAAGACACAATCGTAAGCATCGTTGAAGGCTATGGCCGCCACTGGGCTTCGGTGGACGTTTTTCAGGGTATGTAATGGGTTTGGGTTCTCGCCGCGTCCGTCGTATATTTGTATTAAACTGCTGGCTTCGTCGGTCACGGCTAGGAGTGGTAAAGATGCGCCGCGGGGGTGCACCCAGCAAATGCAGCGAGGCTCGAATTCCAGAGTCAGCATAGCAAGCAAGTCTGGGCTTGAGTTAGTATTATAGCGCTATAGTGCGGATATTTCGTTAGCTTACCGAAAGTAATCACATCGAAGATCTTGACCGTCTTGTCTGACCCTGTTGTCGCAAAGCTTCGTCCATCCGCGCTCACACTGACGTTTTTGATCTCGGTAGAATGAGCGCGGAACTCCTTCACAAACTCGACTCCGACAGCCATCTTCTTCCAAAACTTTACTACCCCATCAATCGACGAAGTAATTAAGAAGTCCGTATGCGGCGTCACCGTCGTAAAGGATAATTGGTCCTTGTGCATGAGCGATTTGGAGTACCGAGGCGATACGGGCAGCGCATTCACGTAAACCTTCTCGAAGGGAAGCTTTCTTCGCTTCTTTTTGGGCGCATCGGCGGACGGTAAGGCAGGACCGAAGTCATCGTCAGAAGAAGAGGCGTTTTCTATTCAACTGTCAGCGGCGTTTTGGGCAATGGAGAGCTAGCTGCTGGTGGACGTACCATCGTCGTTGGCGTCTACTTCAGAATGAGGTCGCTTGTTCTGCGCCAATCTGGTCTGCTCATCTTCAGCCGCCATTTCCAAGAAGAAAAGCTGTAGAAGCTCTGAAAACAGGGGAATTGGGGGGAGAATCACAGGGAAACCGACTGGAAGATGAGAGAGCCTCGAGGGCGGTCTGAAGCTCGGACCACATCGCGAACTTTTCTGGGTTGTCCCGCATCGCTCCAATTATTGTGGGAGACTCTCCGCCTCTTCTTCAGCATCCCTGAGCTACCACCTTCCCCTCCCTGGTAGTTTTTCCTTTCCTTTTATAATCATTAATTATGGTGAGTCTGATGGATCACGTTTTAATCCACTCTGATTTATACTGACCAATTTAGGCGTCTTTCGCCAATCCCACGCAGATCTTTGCGGACGATGTTATCGAGGAGAAAGGAGAGAACGCTCGTCTCTCTGCCTTCGTCGGTGCCATCGCCGTCGGAGACCTTGTCAAGAGCACACTAGGCCCCAAGGGAATGGACAAGATCTTACAATCAGCGTTAGTGGCCGATACCGTGTGCACCATGGCGGGGTTCATGATATACTGACCAACGGTGTGCAGGTCGACCGGAGAAATTCTCGTTACGAACGACGGTGCTACCATCCTCAAAGCGATCGCCCTCGACAATGCGGCTGCAAAAGTACTCGTGAACATTTCCAAGGTCCAAGACGACGAGGTCGGTGATGGAACGACCTCCGTGACGGTATTGGCTGCGGAGCTGTTGCGGGAAGCCGAAAAGCTAGTCAACCGCAAGATTCACCCTCAGACTATCATCGAAGGATTCCGCATAGCCAACCGTGCTGCCCTGGAAGCCCTGGACAAAATTGCCGTTGACCGCAGCCAGGACCTGGAGAAGTTCCGCAAGGACCTTCACTCGATCGCTCGTACTACCCTCAGCTCCAAGGTTCTGGCCCAGGACCGCGACCATTTCGCTACGCTTGCCTGCGATGCCGTTCTCAGACTTCGTGGATCAACCGACCTTAGTCACATTCAGATCATCAAGAAGGCCGGTGGAAAGCTCAGCGACTCTTATCTCGATGAAGGTTTCATTCTGGATAAGAAGATTGGTGTCAACCAACCGAAGCGTCTGGAGAACGCGAAGATTCTCGTTGCGAACACAGCTATGGACACAGACAAGGTGAAGATCTTCGGTGCGCGGGTGAAGGTCGAGTCAACAGGAAAACTTGCGGACTTGGAGAAGGCAGAGCGTGAGAAGATGAAGGCCAAGGTTGAGCGGATCAAGTCACACGGCATCAACTGCTTCGTCAACCGACAACTTATCTACAACTGGCCCGAGCAGCTGTTCACCGAGGCCGGTATTATGTCTATTGAGCACGCCGACTTTGACGGCATCGAGCGTCTGGCGCTGGTCACCGGCGGTGAGATCGCTTCGACCTTCGAACACCCTGACCAGGTCAAGCTCGGACAGTGTGACCTGATCGAGGAAGTCATCATCGGTGAAGATACCCTTATTAAGTTCTCCGGCGTGGCCGCCGGTCAGGCCTGCACAATTGTCCTTCGTGGTGCTACGGAGCAGCTTCTCGACGAAGCCGAGCGTTCGCTCCATGATGCTCTGGCTGTGTTGTCCCAGACCGTCAAGGAACCCCGTGTGACTCTCGGCGGTGGCTGCGCTGAGATGGTCATGTCAAAGGCTGTCGAACAGGCTGCCCAGAACACCACAGGCAAGAAGCAGCTCGCTGTTGACTCATTCGCCCTCGCTCTGAGACAACTCCCCACAATCCTGGCCGACAACGCCGGTCTAGATTCCAGTGACCTCGTTACTCGACTACGACAGGCGATCAACAACGGCATGACCAGTTCTGGACTGGATCTCCTTACACCTGGCGGTGGTATTGCTGACATGCGTGAGTTGGGTGTCGTGGAGAGTTACAAGTTGAAGAAGGCCGTTGTGTCGTCTGCTTCTGAAGCAGCTGAGGTAAGATCCCGTCACTTATATTGAACTCAACTTCCACTAATCAGTCTCCCTCTTTAGCTTCTCCTACGTGTGGACAACATCATCCGCGCCGCTCCCCGTCAACGCCAGCGGATGTAAAGCTGAGCGATGGTAGAGGAGAGAAATAGGATTTTAATCAAGTGAAATGAACAACTGGATATATGTGAATAGGATGCTCTACCCGAGCATAATCACCATGTTATAGATCCGACTTTTACGAAATAAAAGCAGCACACCAAAATGACGTTTCCCTTGTCAGGCAGGTACGACCGAGAAAACCAGGCCGGTAGCCCCTTCCTCCACGAGATTGAGATACATACCCAAGAGAAGAAGGAGCAACAGTTGCTCCTTCCAAGTCAAGTAGTCGCACCTTCCTATCTAAGTAGCTGGTCTTTCCTTAAAATTGTGACTGGTGCATACCCTCCGTCAAGGTAAGTGCGACTGCCTCCCGTCGAGGCTTAACGGCAAACATACTTCCACATGAGAAGCTGTGGAATATACCCCCCAACCACCCTTTCTGTAGGATAGCTTACTGTTGGCGGTTCGCAAGATGCCTGTAATGTTGAATTATTCATCACGTATAGTTACAAATTCCAGAAATCAAGACAGCAACCGATGTTTAATGACTATATTGCGGCGAATGTCTAAGAAATCCTCGTCTTGCCGGATTATATTAAGAAAGGAGGCCTGGCCACGTCTTATCTATCAGTAGGATAAGGCGGACAACATCCTTGCTGCATGATCAACCCCTACAGCCTTTTCTTCAAACTCATCTCCGTCTTCAACCGGATAGCCGCTGCCAGAACTGCCGAAGTCAATGCCAATGACCCAGCATAGAAAATGGCCGGTCTATACGCGTTCATCCCGCCCTCATCACCACCAGAAGCCTCGAGGATATACCCTGCAATCGGGGCGCCCTATGTCAACCGGTTAGTAAAGATGCAACATCAGCCACTAGCCAGCAGCATGTTCTAAAATGTGACCTACAAGTAAGTACCCCCCAGCCCACCCCGTAACAATCATCGCCATGGCGACGCTCACCCGCGCAGACCCAAACACATTGCCTACAACTGTGGGCATGGTCGAGAAGAACCCACCGTTCGCCATGCCGTTTATGATGACGAATGCGACGAGTGGTCCTATCGAGCTAGAGACAGGCCACAAGACAAGCATGCTCACAGCGCTGAGGAGGAGGGAGGCGAAGAGCGTATTCAGCGGCCCTAATGTGTCGCTGCAGTATCCGCATGTGAGCCGGCCGAGCGCAGAGGAGAAGTTGAATGCTGCGACTACGCCGGCGCCGACGGAGGACTTCATTCCCAGTGAGGAGGTGAACAGGGGGAGAAAAAAGGGTGGGACGAAGAGTGGGAACGTGGCGATTGCGCCCATGCAGAAGAGGAGTGTGAAGCGGGCGTCGCGGAAGAGGCTCCTGTGGGTATTGGTTACTATGCTGTATATGTCTGTACAGAACGGAGAGAGGGTAAGTACCATTCAATAGCAGGGGACTTGCGGATTGGGACACGCTCTTTGACAAAAAGGGCTGCTGGGATACCCGTGGCTAGGGTTACTAGACCCAATGTCCTGAATGTCCAGGCAATGCCGGTATTTTGGATCAGAGCATCGACGATGAAGCTGATAACTGCTCCACCAAGTCCTCCTCCAGCGTACACAATTCCATTGGCGATTCCGCGCTTAGCCTTGAAATACTGGGCTGGAATAACTGCTGCGACCTATACAAAAGAGGTGTATGGTTAGTCCCGCAAACAACACTTGCACTTCACACATCTCACCATAAAGCAAAGACTAGAATGTACAAATCAGCAAGATCCTAATAGCAATAAAAATGGAAGAGATCACATACCTAATCCCCATCCCCATAACCGCCCCAGCAGTAACAAACAGTCCCCCAATATTATTCAAGGCAAACCCACTCAAAATCTCACCCATACTCAACAACACAATCCCAAGCACCGCACAAACCCGCGCCCCCAACCTGCGAATCAACCTCGCATTAATAATTCCCAAGAACGAGATACAAGCAACCGCAAGCGAGCCAACAAACGCCAGTGTCGACGACGACGAAACGCCCTCTTTCACTAGCGCGGCTTGCAGAATACCCCAGCTATAGGATGTCCCTGTGAACCACCACGCTATCACGGCGCACGCGGATACAGCGACCCAACCATATCCGCCGTCTGGAACCTGGGAGTCGGCAATTGCAGAGGCTTGCATTAAGTCATTGGGATCGGTTTCTGGGGCCGTTGGTTCTGCTCGATGGGCTCGTTCTTCTGCTCCGCCCATGGAGCGGAGCTCCACGGAGGTGGCTGTTGATGACTGCATTTGGCTAGCCATGGGACGGTATCTCACTTGGCGATAATTTCAGCAAGATTATGGCAATTCTTGAGGGTGAAGAGGTATGGATGGTGAGCGTGAAGCAGCTCTTATAATTTGCGGGTATGGTGGGTCGTGGTCGTCATAGGGCGTAAAGTACGAGTCTTTATGGGGACGCAATTTGTGGTTAGAAAAATGGTCAGCGTAACCACAGAATACTACTACTAATTCCCTACTACGTCCATCCTGTATTATGGGGTTAAGAGGCTAGGGAGATTGGGGCTTATATGTAGCTTATCATGGCTTGAATCTAGAATTAAAAATATTTGCTAGTTTCTGGGTTGCTTTTAGACTTGATTTCAAGGTAGGTACCCGCTTATGATGCTAGTGCTGCATTACAAGCTAGATTGGTCCGTGGCCACTGCGCTATACTTCAGAGATATACAAACCAGAGAGCCAGATCATGGCTAAAAAACGTATTCCCTTATTATGCACATGCAGTATCATGGTTTCTAGGTCCACGGAGTAATATTCCGCTCCAGTGATTAGCATGGACGCCGACAAACCAAGCGACTTTCCTTCTGCATGCAAATGGCCTGTGATTCCACTTCGAAGTTTATACTGATTACCAAGATCAGATTTTCCGGATCTATGTTCCAAAATCGCACAGGGCTTTGGAGAGTGGCAAAGGCAGCCTCATTGGACTCCGCCTTCGACCATAGACCGGTAGGTGGTTTGGTCAGGGCCACAAAGCTTGTCCTCATAGAGTTGTATACATGACTCTGATTTAGCGTTTCGCTAAAAGGTTCTTTGGTAGAGCCAAAAGCACCCTCTCACCTCTTCAGATGTCTCCTCTACCACACCTTCTCCTCTTCTCATAACCTGCAGCAACATAATAGGATTAGAGACTTACCAAACAGCTCTCGTCCATCGTTATATTTGTGCCACATTCGATAGTGCCATATTTTTGATAGCAGCTCCGTCAAGTCTTAGACAGTTCTGTTCGACATTGTCTTTCTCTTCGATACGGGCACGACGACCTCAAGATGCAACCCCGTAAATGGCTTTGGCTATTTTTCCTGGCTGTTTTCGTGGCTATCCAGAAAACAGCCAGTGCCCTCGACGTCGAGATCCAAGACCCAGGTAAGCAAGTCTTCCATTCTGGCCCAACCAACCCAAACTAACCTCATCATCACGCAGAATCTATCAAGCAAACCGCAAGGATCGTGGCCCATAATATGATGGCGCACTACGACGGCAACAAACCGGGCAGTATCCCAGGCAATATACCCGACGCCTGGTGGGAGGGCGGTGCTCTCTTCATGACCTTAATCCAATACTGGTATTGGACCGGCGACCCCACCTACAACGAAGTGACGGCACAGGGCATGCTCTGGCAGCAGGGCGATAGGAACTATTTCTTCCCGCGAAACTGGAGCGTATATCTGGGTAATGACGACCAGATGTTCTGGGGCACGGCGGCTATGACTGCTGCAGAGTTGAACTTCCCAGAAATCGAACAAGGACAGCCGTCATGGCTTTCGCTCGCGCAGGGGGTGTTCAATACTCAGATTCTGAGATGGGATAGGACCGTTTGTGGTGGGGGCATGAGATGGCAAATCTGGCCGTACCAGGTCGGGTATACGACAAAAAATGCGATTTCGAATGGCGGGCTGTTTCAACTTGCTGCCAGGCTAGGAAGATATACCAAGAATGAGACGTATATTCGGTGGGCGGAGAAAATATGGGACTGGAGTGCGAGAACGCCGCTGCTTGGAGACGATTGGGTTATTGCTGATACAACGAGCATGGAGCATCACTGCTTAGATCACGGGGATCAGCAATGGACGTATAATTATGGGGCTTATTTGAGTGGGGCAGCGTATATGTATAACTTGGTAAGTTTGTCATTCACTTTTGGTGTGTAAGGCATGGCTAATTATTCTAGACCAACGGTGGTCCGAAGTGGAAAGCCGGTATTGACGGCTTGCTGGGAACGGTCTGGGGAACGTTCTTCCCCGGTGGAGCTGCCATGTCGGAGGTCTGGTGTGAGATCTCAGAGACTTGTGACAGGAATGAAGATCTATTCAAAGGCCTCCTCTCGTCTTGGCTGACCTTTGCAGCCACCATTGCACCATATACTGCGGACGCTATCATCCCCCGAATTCAGCAATCTGCCATCGGAGCAGCCGGCCAGTGCTCGTACGGGAGAAGCTGTGGCCGACGTTGGAACCTCGACGACTGGGATGGCAGCGCAACAATGCAGTCTGATATGAGTGCCTTGAGCGTTCTTTCTTCGTCAATGGCGACCTTCAGACATGGAGCTCAGCCATTGACCCCCGAGACTGGAGCTACTAGTAAGAGCAATCCGAATGCCGGTACAAGTGAGGACAGAATACCGGATCAACCACGTCCTATCACAGCTGGTGATCGCTTTGGTGCAATCGTTGTGACTCTGGTGTTTCTCGCTGTCTGGCTGAAAGGCCTTAGCTGGATGGTTTTGGAGGATAAGTATAATATATATTGTCGTTTTGTTCCTTGTCCGATGGTGTGATTGGACCCATGGTGTTTGATTCACCCCGTGTTTATTTGCGAAATGTCATGAAGTCCAATTGGTTGGCTAGACTATTGTATATAGAGACGAAGATTAAACTGGAGAGAAGATGAACCGTTCTTGTACTAGCAGTCCAGATAAGATAAATGATGCAGCTGTAGATAGTTGTAGATAAGAGTGGAGAGAGAGTGCTGGCGGTGAAAAGACAATCGGGGCAGTTCCGCGTTCCTGGATTTCTCTCACGACAAGCCTCACACTCCAGGTCCCTACTGTCACAGCTGCAGGCGGCCATCCACCCCGCTCAAGGCAATTCAATTCGCTCTTTTTCCTCTTCCTTTGGCTCGACAGTGTTACTCTTGTGTTGCCTCCCCTCAACACTCCTTTGCTTCTCCTCCCCTCCTACCAACCACCCCCGTGTTCCTCCACCAACTTTTCCACGAGCTTCCCCACGACCTGATTATGACCTCTCCGCATTGAAATACCTAATACCGTGATCGCAACCCTCTGTTTCCGAACATGGTTTTCTTACGACTCACCGTCAAGGTCTTCCCCCGAGACCAGGCGCCACCCTCCAACTCTTTTTCCTTCCGCTCGCTGCTGGGCGATCGCGAACGCGACGATGCCAGTCGCTCTTCCTCTAACACAACGGCCGGAAAGCCCGCGAGTTTTCTGATCGTCCTAGAGAACCCGGAAGATGTCACACTGGGTGGGTTGGCCGGAATGATAAGGGAAAAATGGAGGAAGTTGAGGCCGGGTGTAGAGTGAGTGTCGCCTCCTGCTTTTGCGACTCCGAAGAAATTGTGCATGTGCTGACTCGCGCTTTGTTTTAGACCTCTTCAGATCAAAAAGCTCCTCGATGATGACCATGAATCCGATGATCTCGATACTGATATGACCGTTGCGGATGTGTTTGTGGACAATGGAAAGGCGCGTGCAGATGGTCATGACCAACGCAGGGCTGTTCGTGTTATCCAGAAACCAGCCAATAGAGAAGCGTCGCCGGTGAGATTCCCTTCGGTTGCGCAGGATTGGGATGCTGCGGCTGAGCACTACGAAATTGAGCGCCAGAAGAAGCAGCAGCAGCAGGCGGGGCTTGCTGTCAAGAAGCTGGGTGCCATTGCGGAAGAACATCAAGGAGGATATGGCTCAACATCACCGGTCGATATTGGAGACTGGTCTAGTTATACTCCTAATCGGACCCATCGCAGAGACATCCCCGTGTCTTCTGTTGAGAAGGATGATGAAATCCCTGTCTCGCCATCTCAGCCAGCACGCCAGTCATCAACCCGGGAATTCTCGCGGGATCTCAATGGTGAAGATTCCAGTGCCCCGCAAGGGCACCGTATGGCAAGCCAGGAGCTCGGTGATTCGCCTCGTTCGTCTCGAGCAGCAACACCGAAGAAGCTTACCCCTACTAGACGTGATTCGGCGCATAGTCGGGGCTCTACAACTCGATCCGGAACCGGCGATGCTCGTGATATCGACTCTCCTGCTCTACAATTGAGACATGAGCACACCCATTCGGTATCTCCACAGAAAAAGCCCGCTCCTGAGGTGGCCAAGCCCAACACAGTCTCCCTGGACTCCCTGGACGAGGAATCGCAAAGCGAAGAAGACTCTGAACCGAGTGACGAAAATCTAGATAAGAGTGACAAGGATAAAGCAGACAAGGACGGTGACATTGCGATGGGCGAAGAGTCTATGCCTAATAAGCAGAAGCAGTCTCCGGTAGCTCAGCGCGCAACTGCGATCGAAGTACGCGTTCCTAGCTCTGCTGCCGCCGACTCACAGTCGCGCAAGCGCAAAAATAGTGCAGAGCACACATCCCCTAACAAAGAACCGCGTTTGGATAGAAAGACCCCTCCCGCTGCTGTGAATGGTGACAAGCGACCACCCAGCAACCTTTCTCCTGGGACCCCTAGATTTAGCCCGTCAGGAAGGCGTCTGGGGGGGACGGAGTCTTTCTCCGGAGTTGCCCGCCGTCTCAGTTTCTCGGAACGACCATCAGAACCTCCCAGCCACGGCTTGGGACTGGGTATTACCAGGAGTCCACCTAAGAAGCCATCGGTACTGGTTGATCTGTCTCAAAATTCGACGCAATCGGGTGGAGATGTTCCTCAAAGCACTCCGATACCCACCAGTAGCGCACCTACAGCTCGGCGGGGTTCAGTCACGCAAAATATCTCGACTCCGACAAACGTGCAGAACCCGGCCGATAAGTTGAAGAATCTACATTCTGCCCTACGAAAAGATGCGTCCGTTGAGAGAAACTCCGTGCGCCGCTCAGTTTCATTCGCAGGGGACGATGAAGTCCATATCACGGCGTCGCAGGAGGCACCAACCTCAACACCCATGGACACGGCCAAGCCTTCTGAGACTGCTCCAGCCTCTGATAAAAGGAGATCTAGTGGCTCAATGGTTTTCCCTCCAGGTGTTTCCATGGAACGCATAGCTCAACTTGAACGCGAGGCAGAGGAGAAAATTGAACGCCGGAAGAACGAGCGAGCCGAGTTTGAAGAAAAGATCAAGGCTGTGGAGAAGGACAAAACCAAGTCGGAGTATTCGAAGAAGCTCAAAATGGCGTACAAGACCTGGCAATCGATCTTAGCTAACGAGAAGAACGGCCGGAAGAATCGCGCGGAAACTGCGGCTAGACTTGAGAACGAGCTCAAAAAACAACAAGCAGAGATCAAGAAAATGGAAGATTCGATGAACAAACCTGCCTCTCAGGACAAGGCAAAGAAATCGCAATCTCAGAAGTCCGTGAAACCTCAAGCGGATACAAAGAAGGATATCCCAGCGTCGTCGAAGCCAAGTTCTACACCAACTGCTGATGAAACGAAGAAGTCACAGTCTTCTCAAAAGTCTCCGAAGCCCCAACAGGATCCGAAAGACGATAATTCAGCATCCGCACTGGCTACTGACCAGAACGCGAAATCACCAGTAAGCGTTTCCGGGTGGAATGCGATCAACGCGAAATCCCCGACGGGCACCGCAAAATCAGCTGCACCCACTGCAAACGGGACTGGCCCCAAGTCTACTCCCAAGGAACCCACCGCACGTACAGTAGCAACTAGAAGTCTGTCAGGATCAAAGGCATCTAAGCCGGCATCAATTCAGTCGCAGAACTCGACGGCGTCTGATGAGATCGATCTGCCAGCTATGAAGGTGCAAGCCCGCACCAATGCCAATCCCCCCAAGAAGGCCGCTCAGGAGCCAGTTGAGGTATCTTCGTCATCAGAATCCGAAGAGACCTCTTCAGATGACTCTTCCGAATCTGAATCCGAGTCCGATTCCTCTGACGAGGAGGTCAAGAACAAGAAGCTAAGCGCCGCAACATCATCCTCGTTTAAGTCTCCGCAGAAGGGCAACAAAGCCGCATCTCCCCCCTCTGCCCAACGAACCACCAAATCCCCCGCCCCGTCTTCACAGCAAACCTCCCAGGCTCCGTCACAAGGGGAGAGCTGGCGCTGGCCCCGAGCCTCCCAAACCTCGTTCACCCGTCTTTCACTCAAGAGCATAAAGGGTGAAGTCGCAAGTCAAGCCCAAGCCCAAGCCGCTGCAAAGGCAGCTCCTCAGAAACGTGCTCAGCCACGTAAGGATCTCTTCTCGCCGCCTGATAGTGACTCGGATGAGACGGAGAGTGAAAGTGAAAGCGAGAGCAGCAGTAGCAGTGACGACAGTGATAGCGACAGCGAAGATAAGAAAGGCACGGGTGCTAATGGGACTAATGGGAGCAAGCGCAGCAACAGCCCTGGTAGTGTTGCTGATGCCGGCGATATTATGTCTAGCGGACAGGTCCAGAAACTGAGGCCTGCGCGCCTTGGGGGAAGAGCTTAAGGTCATTGTGAAATCGCTGGATTCACCGCAAAACATTCAGCCACTTCACCAACAACACGCGGTCTGTGGAAAGGCTTTTGTTTGCCTAAGTATTGGAAGAAATGGCCCGCGACATGGTTCGAGATTTGCCTCTCCATTTTGTATGTATGTATTCTAGGACAAGTTCGTCTAGTTAGGTAGTGTCGTATGGCTGGATCATGAAGCACTTTTAATCTACCACTGCAATGAAATCTGTCAACAGTTTAACATCTCAAGGAACTTCAATCCCCGACTGCTCTTTCTCAGCAGCCTCCACCCACTCCACCGGTGGCGCCTTCACAACATGGTTCCATCCCAAGTTCTCCTCAACCTTCCCCAGCTGAATGCCCTTCAAAGTGGACAGGAGTTTCACGCAAATATCCCCACCTCCAGCGCTCTCGCCGCCACATTCATAAGAAAACTTATCCGCAGTTGAACGCCTCGTGATACTTCGAATAGGAACCAACGCCGCCGCCGTGCCCGCAGCCATGACCTCCTCAAACTCACTCAGCTCCTCATACGGAATCCTCCTCTTCTCAACCCCATACCCAAACCAGCGCTTCCCGATCTCGCACACCGTCGATGCCGTCACCGAATCAATCACATTCGGGCTATCCGGCTGCACAAGCGTAATCTGTCCGCTCACTTTATCCTTCTTCACTGCAATCATCGCACTAGTCGAAAACTCATCAATCTCCGACCTCGTTCGACTATCCAAATGCAACGTAATCCCAAACCCCTCGTGGTGCGCCTTCGCACTGTGTCGCAGCACAGGCGCGTAGTTCCCACCAACCTTCGCACTCCCCGTCCCCTCCGGCGCAGAGCGGTCAAAATCCTCCAACACCAACGCATCAACCGCATGAACACCATGGTAAACCCCCGTCGGCATCACAAACACAACAAAGGTATACTCTTCAGGCGGCGAGAGACCCAACTGCGCCGACGACCCGAAAATCAGCGGGCGGATGTACATCGCCGCCCCGGTCTCGTGGGGCGGCACGAATCCCGCGTTCGCGGCAACAGCCAGCTCCACGGCTTCTAGGAAGAGCGATTCCGGGACGGGCGGGATGGAGATGAACTCTGCGGAGCGCTGCATGCGTACTGCGTTGCGGTCTGGGCGGAATATGGAGATTTTGTTGTCTGATGGGTGGCGGAAGGCCTTGAGGCCTTCGTAGGCTTGTTGTCCGTAGTTGAGGCCGGGGGCCATCCCGTGGATGGGTAAGTAGGGGGATTTGACGAGCTTTGGGGCGGACCAGGATTTTGTGGACGCGGTATAGTGGGCTTCGACGTGGCCGTTTACTGTTAGAGTGGTTAGTTAGTTGGTGGATGGCGGGGTAGAGGAGACAGCTTTCTTACCTTCGCGGACCTTGAAGCCGACATTGGACCAGTCGATTGTGTCGACTGGAGGAGGGGGGAATTGGGCTTGCGATGCCATTGTTGGTTTTGAGAGATGTAATGGGACTGGTTGTGTTTGTGGTTGAGGTTGAGGGCGATGGTGAAGAGCTGATGAGATGCAGAGGCGGGGTGATGCTGCTGGTCCGAAATCGGCTTAAGTTACACCATACAGTTGCATGGATGAGTCAGGATGCAGTCAACAATGATAGAGCACACAATTAAAAGAAATAAAATAACGAAAGTTTTCAGAGAATGTAGACCTATATTTACAAAATGAATCCCTCAATCCAGTTTAGTAATTGTGGAGAATTCGTGGACTGATGTCTTCAGCAGGGGGTGCTGCTCAGACCCATGAGAGCTTCTGTGTGACACAATGGCCTCCAGCCCAGCTCGATCGCCTTATTGGTCGCAACACCGCTCTTCAGTGCGAAGCCTTTTTTAGTCTCGTTCCCACGATTTGGAAGCGATCGCAGCTTGGCCCGCTGCCCATCCACTCGGGCGCTCCACTGCGTTCCCTGGGCCGTCGTTCCTTGTCTATCACTGCAGCTGGGAGCTCTCGGCTCTCTATTGAGAATATTTGCCGATAAATGAAGCAGGCGTGGTCACGTTAAGATGATATGTGTTTCCTCCCGTATAGGGATTCAAAAAAGCTCAGCTCACCCCAAGTCACTTGGCGTCCGCGGCGAAATCTTCGAAAGCTCTCTAGAAATCATTTCTCCCTCACGCGCATCCGAAAAGTAACCGCCATTCCTAAACTCGCTACCATGTGCCGATGAAGGCAAGATCGTATCGAAACCCGGTGCGCCGCCAGAGGCCGCCGCAGAGCCGCCCTGCGCAATCTGCACCAGGCGGCCGAGCACCGCGTACTCAAGCTTCAACTTGATGCTGTACGCGACGGGCTTGAACATCACCTGCACCGCGTAGAAGCCTATGTACTCGACGATGACGACGACCAGGTCGATGACCAGCACGACGACGTTCATGGCGAGCAATTGCGCGAGGATCCGGCGGTGGTGTGCTTCTGAGCGCAGGCGCAACATTTTAGTCGTTTCCCAAACATACACGCCGGAGAGGATGAATTCCTGGATGCAGAACCCCACGAGCTGGATCCGTTCCATGATATTGTATCCGACAGAGAAGGTGTGCGACAAGGAGGGCCTTGGAGAGACGGTGCCGAAAAGAAGGACGGTTATGGGCGTGTGCAAGAGGAACGCATTGACGATGATCATGACAAGAAGGCCTTTGATGAGGCGGGGGTTATGAAGGACGAAATGCAGACGCGACCAGAGGACCAGCGACTGCCCGGTGACGGTGCAGATCCAGCCGATAATAATGAGCGAAACGGCGGCATACCGCGAGACATCCTGGCGGAAGAAGAGAAGGACATATCCGCTGACGTGTGGGATCAGGCTGATCGAGGTGATGAGCAAGCACCAGAAGTACAGGCTGCCGCAGCGCTTGAAGGTGGCCAAGCAGAGCACGATCAGCTCGATGGCATTGTAGTAAACAAGGGTTGCGAAGGCAGCGAGGACAAAGGAGACGACGGGGTCATCGCCGATGACAGGAAGCGCGAACTCAGACATAGGCAGACATGCTCAATTGACCTCGAATTGGCTTTGGGGAGGCCAACGAAGAGTCAAGAGTCAAGAATCCAGCAAAGGGTCAATGGAGGGGGCACCCATGATGATATTTATCCACCCCTTGCTATAGCGGATGTTTTGCTTGACACCAACCGCGATCGGCGGCTTCAACCAAACTATTGGATCCAGATTGTTTGTACCTCTGAACCAACGGCGCGGCTCCCAAAATTGCGTGGAGTTTGAGTTTGGCTTACTGCCTGCGACTGGCCCGGGGCTCCTCCGGCGAAACGAGGCCTTCCCCGTGGCTCAACTCTCAAGTCCTCACTCGTCACCCGTGAAGCTGCTGATCGCTTCATGACTTGCAATGAGCAAGTGCGCGTTGAAGATTGGCAGTTGCCGGCGACAGCTCATGCATGAATTCGATATCCACCGGGTGTCGATGTATACTGTCTTGACGTCAGAGCGTTCGGCCCCGATCGATCGATCGCAGTCCACAAAATCAAGGGTTGCACCCAACTCAACCTTGGAAATCCCCGACGACAGCTGCAATAAACGAGAATTCTATTACTATAATGCCTGAGAAGCGCAAGCTCTCTAACGATGCTGACGAAAAATATCACCCTAATGCGCAGCAAACGGAAGACTTTGGGATTGTCTTGCGCGATTTTTATCCACCTGAAATGAGCAATGCGCGATGTGAAGCTTACACCAACGGAGCCATTGAACGCCCAATTGAAGTATGGCAACGGGCATACACAGAGACAGCTCAACAGCGGAACACCGTTTCCGCTAATGCCGCTGTCGTGCACTGGTTCAAGACCGACCTGCGCCTCCACGACAATCGCGCACTGCAGATGGCATACCATGTTGCGCGCGAACACAAAATCCCGCTAATCACGATGTACATTCTGTCACCAGAAGACCTAACAGCACACCTAGCCAGCCCCGCCCGCGTAGATCTAACCCTGCGCACACTGGGACAATTAAAGCGCGATCTCGCAGAGCTGGACGTGCCGTTGTACATGGAGACGGTCCCGCGACGGAGCGACGTCCCCGGCCGGCTCGTCGATCTATGTCACGAATGGGGCGCGAACCATCTCTTCGCCAACTTAGAATACGAAGTCGACGAGCTCCGCCGCGACGCAGGTCTGATTCGCCGGGCCGCAGAACATGGAATTAAATTCGAGACTGCCCATGACACCTGCGTTGTCCCACCGGGTCTGCTTTCCTCCCAACAGGGCAAGCAATATGCGGTTTACACCCCTTGGTTCCGCTCCTGGCTCACCTTTCTAGACCAGAACCCGGAGTATTTAGAGATATCTGCGGATCCGGGGTCAAATCCGGGCGATGCGAGACGCTATTTCGCCACTCTGTTTGAGAGCGAAATTCCCTCGCCGCCGGCGAATAAGCAGCTAGATGAAGAGAAAGCCGCTCGTCTGCGCGAGACTTACCCTGCTGGTGAACATGAGGCATTTCGCCGCCTTGAAACGTTCCTAGATGAGAAAGCCAAGGCGTACGACGACGAGAGGAATTTCCTAACTGGGGAAACCACCTCTGTGCTCAGCCCATACTTCGCATCTGGGGCCCTCAGCGCGCGGACAGCTGTCGTCAAAGCTCGCGAAGCAAATAATGGCAAGATATCCCGAGGCGAGCCCGGCTACATCTCGTGGGTCAGCGAGGTCGCCTGGCGAGACTTTTACAAGCACGTTCTAGTCCACTGGCCATTCATCTGGTACCCACCCTCCAACCAAACACAAAAGCAAGACAGCCAAACTAACAACCCTAACCAGCATGAATAAATCATTCAAGCCCCAATTCACGAACCTCCACTGGTCCTACAACATAGACCACTTCAACGCCTGGACCACCGGCCACACAGGGTACCCCCTCATCGACGCCGCCATGCGCCAACTCTCCCAAACAGCCTGGATGCACAACCGCGCGCGTATGGCCGTGTCCTCCTTCCTCTCCAAGGACCTACTAATCGACTGGCGACGCGGAGAGCGCCACTTCATGGAGAACCTGATCGACGGCGACTTTGCGTCCAACCATGGCGGGTGGGGGTTTGGGTCCAGCACGGGCGTCGACCCGCAGCCTTATTTCCGCATCTTTAACCCTACCACCCAGAGCAGGAGATTTGATCCGGAGGGCGAGTGTATTCGACGCTGGGTGCCGGAGTTGCGGGATGTCGAGGGGGATGCGATCCATGCGCCGTTCGAGAAGGGTGGGGATAGTGAGGCGGCGAGAGTTGCAAGCAGGAATGGGTATCCGAGGCCGATTGTTGACCATAAGGAGGCGAGGGAGAGGGCGTTGAGGAGGTATAAGGATGCTACGCAGGCTTAGTTGTGCGCCTTGCCCTCATGCGCTCTATACAGATGGAATAGCTCTAGTAAATAGTATACAAGATCTGCGGAAACGGAGACAAGGCTCCGCCCGTCAAGCCAACAAATAAGGCCAAACAAATCTATCACTGTCAGCTATCTAAGTGGAAATTAACGATGCAGCGCAGGGGCCGCTGGCTTACGGCTGAGCCGCTGGATCGTCCGGAGCCGAATCCGAGCTATCCAAACTCCAAGTCGATGCCAACGCGGTGAGTCGGAGTAAAGCACCCCGTTCTCGATGCAGTTTAAATTTATAGTCTAGGCAAGGAACAAAAGTCCTGGTTTAACTTTCGGTATTTCATATATTTAATATCTTGCCGGTGTCACATCGACTTCGTAGTATATATACCCAAGAAAGAATCTGCCCACTCAACAACCCAACCAGCCAATGAATATACATTATACAGTAATTATACACATACACATACTTATCAGTGACGCCCAGAATCCCCACCACCTCCATAAGCAGGCCCAACCTGCCCAAAATTCGGATGGTCGAGGTTTGCACAGACCACTCCATCGCGCTGGAGATCTGACTCGGCCAGTCGCCCGGGAACGGGATATCGTTAGACAGGATGGACGAGGGGAGTTGGTAAGATTGCAATGTTATTCATAGGATCCCACGGCCTCATGTAGCCATCCTCAGCTCAGCCACACCATCAATCGCCCGGATGGTCTAGTGGTATGATTCGCGCTTAGTAAGCCTTCCTGATCTATCCTAGCTCATTTCAATTTACTAACAATAACTCCAGGGGTCAACCCTTAGCAAATATGCGCGAGGTCCCCGGTTCGATCCCGGGTTCGGGCCTAATCTTTTTTGCTTTTTTTGGATTTGTACTCGGGCGACCTATCACAGAGGGCGCTATTATTCCATATATGGTTCTCGTTTTAGAGGCATTCCAAAGATGTATGAGTCAAGTCAGACTCATCCGTTCCTTTGTATCAATCATCAACAACTAATGTACTGCTGGGCCATGCTGCGTCCTTTCTTTCCAGCTTATACCCCTTTCGACGTCGCCCGGGGTGTATACCCCTGACATGTAAACATTCCTTCCACTTAATATTGATGTCATATTTCTTTGAATCCCAACCGAAAGGGGCTATAAATAGTCTACAGTGTTGCAAGGGTGATACCAATTGGTATAGAACGTGTGAGAGTATTGAAATTGCAGGGCAGGGGACAGACACACTCCACAAGCAACCAGGCTAGAAACCAGGTTAGATCAATCCATTTTGAAAGTATGCTGGCCATGGGGATAGTGAAAAAGACCGAGAGCCAACTAATGAATATAAAATCGACAAGCATTAGCCAGTCTCTTGTTAAGCGGCACTCCGTGTCCTAAGGTTCCCGGTATGTAGCAGCGCCAGCCTCGCGCCAGCGGGGTCCCTTGCTTAACATTGTTTCTAACAGTCACTTTAAATGATATCTATAGTGGCAACGACTATCTTCTGATTGCTGACCCCTGCAGCGATACTCGAATTTCTCTCCCCTCGAGTGATGGCGCTGGTGATTATAGATCCTTGCTACTTCCAAGAAGCCCTAATATGCCAGCCTGATCGATGGCTCGTTTGGGCGAATACCGCAACTTGAAGCAGGGATGAATGAAGTCTAGTGGGCAGTAGAGTCCCTCGACCATCATATAGAGAAAAGCCAAAGTCTGGGTTGACTGCAAGCAGGGATTACTTTGGAACAACAAACAGTGCGTCATTGAGCGGTACGAATATTCGAGGCAAGAGAGGCAGGATAAGAGCAGAAAACATTACGAAGAGCAAAAAAAGTAGGGCCGGGGGGGAAGTTGGAAACAAAAGAAAAAAAGAAAAAAGAAAGGCCCGAACCCGGGATCGAACCGGGGACCTCGCGCATATTTGCTAAGGGTTGACCCCTGGGGACGTTGTTAGTAAATTGTAATGAGATGGTGGTTTCAAATCGGGAAGGCTTACTAAGCGCGAATCATACCACTAGACCATCCGGGCAACTGTGATGATCGAGGTCAACCTTTTGAAGTAATAAGCCAGAGTCGGCCTCTGCTATCTAAAATTCAATTCTTGGCTTGCAAGGCTCACCCTTCAACATAACCTGAAGCCAGGCGCCGCGATGACGACCATGAAGATAAGCGCAGCAGTAACTGGAGGAGCCATCCATTTTGCAGGAGGTATCGTAATATAAAAATGTATCGACCATCAACAAGCCAAAGTAATCACACTGTTGAAGCTGTGGCTGCCAGTGCTATAGTGTTCTGTTAAACCGCAGTTGGAACGTTTACAGCCTAACCGACCAGCGTGAAAATATTTCATTGCTAATCATCATGGCTCAAGGCCTTTTACCGGCCTATAAAACTGCTGGTAACCCAAGGAATTACAGTCGCTACTCACTACTGCAATAAAGGGGATCGGTACAGTGCAGAGAAGGTGAGCTGCAACTGCCATAGCCAATTGCATTATGAGGCTCGGGCCGTGGCAAGCGTCTGCAGTTCCTCTCTAGGTATTTTGGTACGGGTTTAACTCTCAATATTTATTAAGCCATCGAATTCAATGCTCAGCTTGACTCCTGTCTTGCAAGTATTGGTATTTCTTGCTTGCACTACAGCCCGCTTACGCGAAGTACTAGGTACGCCATCACCCCTATATCTCCGGATGCATAATTCTACAGTGTATGTGGTTCTGCTACGTGGTTCTATCTTCGATATCCGTGTTCCACAACGTCCGCTGCCTGCAAGGACAGCTGCGCAGTATAAAGCGACTGCAGTCCTGAGCAGCTCCAGGCGGGCTATCTATCTGTATCCAAGTATCTGCATTCCACTAGCTGGCCTTGGGGCCCGCAAAGAATATCAATATACACGTACAGAGTGTGTGACTTGCTTTTGCAAAATAACGCACCGCGCCAACAGCCACATTTATGTATGTAGGTGATCGATCGGTCTTCTACGCGTACAGAGGGCGTACGTATACCGCTATATAGATCTAGCACCCATTAACTTGTCTACTATCCGTATTGAATTAACACCAAAAAGAAACAAAAAAAAAAAAAAAAAGAGTAGGCCCGAACCCGGGATCGAACCGGGGACCTCGCGCATATTTGCTAAGGGTTGACCCCTGGAGTTATTGTTAGTAAATTGTAATAGTTATAGTACGAATCGGGAAGTCTTACTAAGCGCGAATCATACCACTAGACCATCCGGGCGATTGATGTTTATTTTTAAATATTGATGTTATTAGAGCGAGCACTCTCGTTCGAACGAAATTGGATCAATTAGCTTGGAATCACACCAGTAGTAACAAGACAGGCATCTCCAACACTGCACCTGGCAGTGGCTCACGACTCCTGCCCTGTAATTGGGTGTTAGTATCGTAGTCTGTGGAATATGCCCTTACAATGCCTAGTTGAAACCTGAATTATACGACCTTGCCGTCAAGTGGGTTAAAATATATATTGTGGTACGATATCGCCTGTTTAGCAGTAAAACCACTGTGTCTGAATATGATCATTCGGGAAGATATCTTGTCCTTCAGCTACAAGTGAAGATACCATCCAAGTTCATAAGAATTAGAATTTTGACCAACAGCAAAAGCATCACATGTGTCAATTTTGGACGATCTACAACTCCCTAGCTAGCTCATAGGGCAGTTGGCTGGCTCAGAAACCATGCGGGCACTCCCCAGCTTTCCTGATTGGATGGACTGGCAGCCATCAACTATATTCGTGCCTAGTACGCGATGCCTTCCCAGGCTTATTTCTGACGATCCAGCGACGTCTAAACGACTCCCTCTCTTCCAGATTGTATCCCTCTAAGATGTCCACGAGAGTATTTGTCTTTTTAACGGTCTTTTCTCCTCTGCTGACGAGCCAAACATGGAAGCTCTCGTCATCATTATAGCCAGGAATGGAAAGAGAGATGGCCAATCGCGAAGCAGGATCTATGGGTGTTGATTTGATTGCATACTTCATTGGATGGTCAGTTTCTGCAAGGTGAAACTGAACCAAAACCTTGTCGCCGTGCTTTAACCCGAGCCCGAACGACACCGAGACTGTGGCCTTGAACATCCCGCAAGTAACATATTGCCCTGCCTTCCCATTTGGCACTTCGATGGGCCTTTCCTTTTCTGATAGAAATCCCCGTAATCTCTCTCTTGCTCTTTCTAAGTGCGCGGCATTTCCAGCGCGTGTGATTTCACGAATCTTCGATTCGTAGTATGCTCGAAGGATGGGATCAGGCGAATTTCGGAGCTCATTAAATGCATCTCGCACTTGCTTTGCCCACCTACGAACCTCTGGATCGGAAGACTGCAGAAAAGCTGAAAAAGTGGCTCTACCACCAATAGAATCTACTCTGTCCTCCCAGGACTCAGAGAAAGATTGCCAGAGGGGCAGTGCAATGTTAAGATGGCGTCCGGCCCAGAGAGACTTGATACTACTTGGCAGATAATTCTCAAGATGGTGTGGTGGTAATGTCTGTAGAATGCAGCACATCCATGTCTCAGCTAGGTTCAAAAGAAGCTGACGGTATTCCTGCGGTAGGCTATCATATTCGGGAAGCCGGGGTGTCCATAGAACCACAAATTTAGAGGGCTTCTCGTCGGGCTGATTCCAGACATGGTAGTGCAACCCGAAATGTATCCCCTGTCGGCGTCGTCTGTTGTGATCGTTGATTCGCGCTTTCATGTTGATCGACTGCCCGACATATAGCCAAAATCGACGGACTGGATTCTCCTTGATCCAAAGAACATGCAAGTATATTCCGGGACTCACCATGGTGGAAGCATCTCGTCCAAGTCCCTGAATACTAACCATAGTATTAGCTCACTGAAACAGCCAGGTAAAGCCTTTCCCACTCACTTTGTAAAGTTAACAAGACCACCCTCACACATCATTCTCAATTTTGGATCAATAGTCCCCCCCAAAGCATCTCTGATTCGTGTGATCCCCATGCTTTGGAATAGAGGACGGAAGTGCTCGACTTCTTGTGTTTTGGCAAGGATGTTGTCCAGGACTTCCAAGCAGTCAACTCGGCCCAAGTTTGGGAGGCAATCTTGCTCAGCTTGCAGCTTTTCAAAGACCTTTTCCTTTGTCGCATTTCTTATGATGCGTTCCTGGATGGTAGTATCAGCTCCCCGTGCCGGGTATCCATCAAATTCATTGTCAGCATTATAGTATTCTTCACTATCCTCTGGCAATTCTTCATTACCGAGTTCAAAGATATGACGCAATATTTGCAGAGGCACCTTCCGTTCTTCAAACGCCTTATCGTATGCCAAAAGCTCTGATTCGTGCTCCAAAAACCATGTTAGGATTCCTTCGAAACGATTAACTGCTTTGGTGTACTCCTTTCCCTCATAATGCTTGTTGCAAGTGGTATAAAACGAAACCATTTTATCAAGAAGATAGTCTCCGGCCTGTGTTGTATCATCCTGGTTCAGGAGTTGCTGAATATTATCCTTAGCAAGGAGAGCCCCTATGTCCGTCCGGTAGAGGAATTGAAACATCCAGACTATCTCGCCAATATGCTGGTCGTACACGGCAGGGTTTAATTTCTTGAACTCGGACATTAGCTGACTGGGCCACGACATGGTTAATGTGGTTTCAAAGAAGGAGCAGGTTAGGGGAAGAAGATGTAAGTTGGAGAGATAATCTTCAAGAGCTGGTGTTTTCTGTAGTTGAACCGGGAAAGAGGAGAGACCACAAAATATGGAGGGGCCTCCTGAATGCTATACAGCAAACAGAGTTCACAGTAACACATCAGGTCTTTTTGCCTGAAATGCTAAGACTCTGAAATATTAACTATTTGCCCCAAAGCTACTTACCTTTAGTAAAAGTTTCGCATTTTGTGATTTTATTTATATTCCATATTTTCTACTCTCTACTTTGTAACCCCTGGGGTTCCTGCAGTAGTTTATTCAATGGTGCTCATCTCCACATCAGCTAATGGTGTTCCTGTCGTCTAATTAGCTACCGGAGACAGAATCTTTATATTGGCATATTTCCAGCTGACCTCCAATACGTTCACAGAGGACAAGGTCGGCCATTTCAGTGATCTATCGAAGCAGTGTAAGTAAACGTGCTATACCACCACCTGCCCGGCTAGTATACCCACCAAGACCGGCTAATGCCGTCTAGAATAGAGCCTTAGAGTGAGAACTGCATTGCTGTCGATAAGAGAATTTGAATATAACTGCTAAATATAACAAGGAGATGATGCACCTGTGTCCCGCAACCTTCCCAATACATCACACCATAAGCTGTCGCATCCCGGAGAAAATTCCGGCCAAGCATTCAGAATGTATATGGACAGAAAAGTATTTCCACCAATCACAGGCCGGCTGGCCCAATGGCAAGGCGTTTGACTACGAATCAAAAGATTGCAGGTTCGATCCCTGCGTCGGTCAGTGCTCAGAATCTTTTTGCTTTTGCCTGCCCCATTTTGACCCGCTATTATCCGACTCCGGCGGTAATGGTGGCGGTTACTGCATATTTTAAGCCACAATTCTGAGTGCAGGCTGATAGTGGCAATATATCACACAAAGTTTCCATCAACGGCCGGCTGGCCCAATGGCAAGGCGTTTGACTACGAATCAAAAGATTGCAGGTTCGATCCCTGCGTCGGTCAGTATAGTTTTTGTTTTTACATATCCTATTATATTCGTCCTGCCCTTTAACTAGGTTATATATCCACCGGCTCCTCCAGGCAATGGTGGCTAAGCTCATAGCAAGCCAACCACCACGCGGGGGTTACAGTCCACAGGCGATGCCCCTTGCATTCGCTTGGTACGGACTTACTTCCAAAAGCAGCTGCTTGCCAGCTATAGTTATATTGACAATATATTGAGTGTATCGCCCTGGGGGTTCTGGCCCTGGGCCATGACGGCGGGGGCATCTATAAATTCCAGTTATAATAGTAATTTCTTCATGAATACATTATAGTCAGGTTACAAGGTATTTGCATCAAATTGTGGCGATGTAACAGACGGAGACACGGATGCATAGGTTTGACACCCTCTGCCAGCTGCACAAAGTTCCCAGTCAGTTGCGTGCATATTTTAAGCCATTTCGGTCCTTGGTCTAGGCTGATAGTGGCAATATACCTCGAAAAATACTCAGTAATGGCCGGCTGGCCCAATGGCAAGGCGTTTGACTACGAATCAAAAGATTGCAGGTTCGATCCCTGCGTCGGTCAGTGTACTTTTTTGTTTTTTTGGATGTCCTCGTACCGTAGTAAGTATATATTTTTGGGATCGAGAAGTTCATGTTTATGATGGCAATGTTGTACAATATGTACAAAATGTGCACTGGGTTGAGCGAGGATTTTGTCTTCGGCAAGCCTGAAGCGAGCAAAATATGCAAATGGTAGCGTATAAAAAAAATACAAAAAAAGATAAACCAAAAAAGTACTGACCGACGCAGGGATCGAACCTGCAATCTTTTGATTCGTAGTCAAACGCCTTGCCATTGGGCCAGCCGGCCTTTGGTATTGCAGGATGGACGACGTACGCGTGATGGTGCTGACCATCCAGTAGCATTCCGAAAGAGGCGAAGCTAACCCGAAGCAGCATTTATATGGATAATGAATCATGGATTCATGACCTGATAGTTAAATGCAGAGCTAGATAGCCCATATCGAGATCTATAGTATTTTCCTGTATATACTCAACATGCCGGTTTGTCTCCCCTATGCCGGCTCGTACATCCTTGCTAAGCGCAGTAGAAAGTCACCGTACACTTCAAGGACGTCTCGGCCTTCCAGGGCGCCATCGACTCCGCCACAAAGTGAGTATCTTGTCTGATTCGCTTCATAGTGCTGTTGCTGATCTATTCATCTTCGTAGGATTTTAGAGGGACCAAAGGGACCACCACCTATTGCAATTGCATCCACACCCCCAGTCTACATATCGTATGGTTTCTCCATCCTGATTCGTGCTAGTCTTGTACTCACATTCTATGCTAGGGGCCGTGACCTTACGGAAGACGAAGTAGATGACTTGAAGAGCCTGCCGGGGGTGGATGCTGTTCCTCATCAGGATTAGCTGTTTTTGATATAAAGAGCGAGTCGGTTCTTTACTGTACTAGCTCAGGATATCCACCTAATACAAAGTATCCAGTCTACAGGAGAATGGGTTTGGAGGTAGCAGAACATTGTACCCGGCTTAAACAATCCAATATCGAGTTGGTAGATTACCAGAGTGAGGATATCAGAGCAGGTTTCTCCTTTCCTACTATTGAAGATATCCCCACTTAGCAAATACTACGAGGCTATACATCATCCTTAATCTCTTCAACCGTCCACTCAGCCCTCTCATCCCTGCGAGCCTCCCACTCCTTGTGGACAATAACCCCAAGAATCCCACACCCAAGAATAAAGACAATGACAAACACAAGTATGACACCCGGCTGGTTTTGTGCCCAGTCGCTTCGCTTCACGTATTCGTGGGCTTCAGATAGCGTCGGCTGCGTGCGCGTGATGACTGCCATTTGAGGCTGGATAGAAGGGTTTACTTGCTGACGGGAATCAGCACTAGATAGTAGGTAGCGGAAGAAGTAGCATATACTCACTGCGTCACTATTTACGACCAAGGCTGCAGTTCGCGCCTGGTGGCAACGAGGTGCATAGCAAGGCAAGCTGTGATACCATACAATAGGATGGTCAAATATTGAGAACGGAGTAGTTAATGCAAGATGGTTGCGGTATTTCATTCGACGTTCCTGAGCCTGAGGTCATCATGACCTAGGGCTGACGAGATGGCTGCACCGGGGCGTCCGGTCCACCCGGCTCCACGGAGACGCTGTCCCTTGTCCCCCGCACCCAGAACAAAGGTACAGATGGATTGTGGGCTGGATGACGTTGGATGCAGATGCAGATGCAGATGCGTTGATGGTCGCTGTCAGATCACTATTACCGCTTCGGACCCATAAGGCGATATAGCCATGCGATGAGCTTTCTTGGCTACACAACTCCTAGATATCTATCTTAATTGTTTGATAAAACTCGTCTTCAATATGCCTCATATAACAACCCAAGACGGCCCAAGCCAGGGCCACGCAGCACAACATCCACTATCCCCAACAACCACCGAAGACCCCAGCACCGCCGACGAATTCACGCACCTAGTCAAGTTCGTTTCCGCGTACCGAGAATCCAGCCACACCCGCCCCGACGACGAGGGCGAAGTGCGCGTTTCCCGGGTATGGTACGCGCCCTGGCGCAAGAGGAGATTCAGATGGAAGCGCACCGGCGGCGCGCGCAAATATCCCGACGACTGGCTCTTGACTGATATCCGGCGGGGACTGGGTGATGCGGATGTTGTAAATCGGCGGAATGTGGCGGGGTTTAATGAGTTGGCTGCGGCGAAGGAGAATCCATTTGCGAAGGTGATTTCGTATTTCCAGGGGCCGATTCTTTATGGTGACTTTCTACCTACCTTGTTTAGCGATTTCTGGGCTTGATAGGTGTGCTGACACTAGTTAGTTATGGAACTTGCTGTCCTGCTTGCTGCCGGGTTGGAGGACTGGATTGATTTTGGTGTCATCATTGGGATTCTATGTCTGAATGCCGCGGTTGGCTGGTATCAGGAGAAGCAGGCAGCAGATGTAGTTGCAAGCCTGAAAGCTGATATCGCGATGCGGGCTACGCTTGTGCGCGATGGACAGGAAGTTGATTCTCTTGCGCGAGAATTGGTTCCTGGGGATGTGGTAAGCCTGCTACTTTAGACTCGCTTAATATGGAGGTTTCGGGCTGAATGGTATGTATAGATTGTGGTCGATGAAGGACAGACTGTGCCTGCAGATGCAAAGGTCATTTGTGCGTACAATGACCGTGAGAATGGATGGAAGAGGTATAATGAGCTTCTAAGGGACGGGGAGCTGGACGGCTCAAGCAGTCAATCCCAAAACGATGACCATGAAGACGCTACAGAAAGCAGACGCGGCCATTCAATTGTATCCTGCGACCATTCAGCAATCACTGGGGAATCGCTCGCCGTGGACCGCTTCGTCGGTGACACCGTGTTCTACACTACCGGATGTAAACGAGGCAAAGCCTACGCGGTGGTGCAGGCAACTGGACCGAGAACGTTCGTCGGGAGAACCGCCGCGATGGTCCAGAACGCCAAAGACACGGGCCATTTCAAAATGGTGATGGATAGTATCGGGACGTCGCTTCTGGTGCTGGTGATGGCTTGGATTCTGGCTGTGTGGATTGGCGGGTTCTATCGGAATATCCCCATTGCGTCGCCTGGGGAGCAGACACTGTTGTTCTACACGCTGGAACTGATGATTATTGGCGTCCCCGTTGGTCTGCCTGTTGTCACGACGACGACGCTGGCCGTTGGGGCTGCGTATCTTGCGAAGAAGAAGGCGATTGTGCAGAAGCTTACTGCGATTGAGTCTCTTTCGGTATGCCATTCATATCAATATAGGGCTAGGACTAACTGCAATAGGGAGTCGACATCCTATGCTCCGACAAAACAGGGACATTAACAGCCAACCGCCTCAGCATCCGCGAGCCATTCGTGGCCGAGAACGTCGACGTGAACTGGATGTTTGCAGTGGCAGCCCTAGCGTCATCACACAACGTGAACTCACTCGACCCGATAGACAAAGTCACCGTGCTCTCACTGAAGCAGTATCCCAAGGCCAAAGAGATCCTGCAGCAAGGCTGGAAGGTCGAGGAATTCCACCCCTTCGACCCTGTATCCAAGCGAATTGTCGCGGTTGCAACGTGCAACGGCGTCAGATATACCTGCACAAAGGGCGCACCCAAGGCCGTTCTGCAGCTTACCAACTCCTCCGAGGCAAAGATGTACAAGGAGAAAGCAACGCAGTTTGCGAGTCGCGGATTCCGATCCCTGGGTGTGGCGGTGCGCAGGGAAGACGAGGACTGGGTGCTGCTTGGGATGATGCCGATGTTTGACCCGCCTAGGGAGGACACCGCGCAGACGATTGCCGAGGCGCAGAAACTGGGCATCCAGGTGAAGATGCTGACTGGCGACGCAATAGCCATTGCAAAGGAGACCTGCAAACTGTTGGCGCTGGGAACTAAAGTCTTCAACTCTGAACGGCTCATCGGCGGAGGCCTCGGTGCCATGGCAGAGGACCTCGTAGAACGAGCAGACGGCTTTGCAGAGGTTTTCCCTGAGCATAAATACCAGGTTGTCCAGATGCTACAGGAGCGCGGGCATCTCATAGCAATGACAGGGGACGGGGTGAACGACGCGCCCTCGTTGAAGAAAGCAGACTGTGGGATCGCAGTTGAAGGCGCCTCTGAAGCAGCCCAGTCCGCTGCTGATATCGTCTTCTTAGAGCCTGGCCTCTCAACAATCATCGATTCTATCAAAGTCGCGCGGCAGATCTTCCACCGCATGAAGGCCTATATCCAGTATCGAATAGCACTCTGCCTGCACCTAGAGATCTATTTAACAACCACCATGATAATCCTCAACGAGAGCATCCGCAGCGATCTCGTCGTGTTTCTAGCCCTATTCGCGGACCTCGCAACCGTCGCCGTGGCATACGACAACGCATCCTACGAGCTCCGCCCTGTAGAGTGGCAGCTCCCCAAGATCTGGATCATCTCCGTGATTCTCGGAATCCTGCTCGCCGCCGCAACATGGGTGATCCGGGGCACCATGTTCCTCCCCAATGGCGGCATAATCCAGAACTGGGGCTCGATCCAGGAGATCATATTCCTCGAAGTCGCACTTACCGAGAACTGGCTGATATTCGTCACCCGGGGCGGGGACTCGTGGCCTTCTGTTCAGCTTGTTGGCGCGATATTGGGCGTTGATGTCCTGGCTTCGATCTTCTGTCTGTTTGGCTGGTTCTCGAATAGGGATATGGTCACCAACCCGTATGATCAGCTGCTGGATACCCCGAAGGAGACAAATAACGGGTGGACGGATATTGTGACTGTTGTGCGCATCTGGGGTTTCTCACTGGGCGTGACTATTGTGATTGCGTTGTTGTACTTTGCTCTGAATAAGATCCGGTGGTTGGATGACCTGGGCCGGAAGAAGCGCAGCAGAGGCGAGATCCAGGTCGAAAATATCCTGAGCCACCTCGCTCAGGTTACGGTCCAGTATGTGCAGGAGTCTGAGGCGGGAAGTGGACGGTTCTTCCTGGCATCGACCAAAGAGGAGGAAGAGGCCGAGTAGATGTTGAGTTGTGATAGAAGTCTTATTTATGGTCTTTTGAACGTCTATGTTTGCGACTCGATTTGTGAAGTTTGTTATGGATTTACGGTAGATATCACAAGGATATTATAATGGAAAATTGTATACCATCATTCCATTAGAAGCAAATCTGTTTGCAGTCGGGTGTGCGAGAAGATTATCCATACCAGCGAATCGACTATAAATTAATTCCTCTCACAGCCCTATTTCTGCCTTGATTCGGTTGTTTACTCGGAAAGTTCAGTGGTACGGTCCGCGTGGGCCGGCTGTTGCGGGTGCATTATACCAAGCAAACCAATTGAATATAAGGGAAGAACAGGAGGCCTGGGTGATCCTTAACTATGATGTCAAGTAATCAAGCGTTGCCTTGACTATCCGACTCGGAAGGTCTCAAGCTCTGGATCCGTGCGGCCCGGTTTACCCTGTGTCAATCATTATGCACGGACTCTTAATATGATATCGTTGTGCAGGATAACTGTGGTCAGCCGTGGGTAAGTATCTTATTGCCCCGTTGGGCAGATGCTAAGCCGCATAACCACCTTGACAATTTACTCTGATATATACTAGAAAGAATATTCAACTGGGTATACAAATATGCAGGCTAGGACATAAACACCAAACACCAGAGACAACATAAAAACACCATAACTACCACTCTCAATTCACCTGTTGCCTCTGCTCAGCATGGCTGCTATCGGTAGTTGTTGTCGTTTCCTGGGTATGCCCACCCAACCTCTTCTTACACCAATGCTTAAGCGAACAGAACGCCCCATGAACATGTTCACCCCCTTGACTCCCTGTCCGAGTTGTAGCTGACGAAGAAGAGGTCCGTCTACTCTCAACGACAGCCGGGCTCGTCTTCCGCAGACGGCGCAGGTAGTAGAACGCTTCGCGGCATATAGGGCACTTGGGTGCGAAATTGCACACCCAATCGTCGACGCAAGACTGGTGGAAAAGATGTGTACAGGGGAGTTCGCGCAGGACGGATGTTGATAGTATTGGTTCGAGGCAGATTGGGCAGTTTTGTAGGTCTTGGTCTGTTGGAGTTGGTTAGCACCCGTACTATCTTGTATAAAAACTGTTGTTGTCGTGGGGGCGAACTTACGAGGTAGGAGATCTGGAAGACCTTGGAATGTCCGTAACTCTGATAAGTTCAACTCGTATTTGGAGGCTCGCGGTGGATGCATGGTGATAGACGTGTATCAAGACGAGAGTGCTTGAGGTCTTAAGACAAGCGGCAACAACCACATTTTATTAAACCGCGACTCCACGCCAGAACGGCACGAGGACTCGCCAGCCTGGAAGAATCCCAGGGGCTAGAACTAGATCAACTGATGTATGTTCCACGTCTGTCCACGTCGATCTGCGTCATCGGAACCGGATTCTGTACCACTACTAGATTGGGCTGTGCCGGTCCATCTTCGGCCCACGCTCGGTCCACGCGGGTCTGTCGGCCACACCGGGTGCCACGGAATCCACGCCGTTATTTGTTGATTTAAGTATTTAGTCCCCACTGGTGCGAAGGCAAGCCAAGGTGAGATGCTAAGCTAAAGCCATGGCTGGCTACTATATACACGTGCCCCAGCCCGAGGAACGGGGCGGCCTGACGCTGAACGAGCTGTTTGCGTCGGGGATGCCCTGCTATGTTGGCTTGCGAGACTTGACAAGCAGTAAGTAGAATGCCAATATTAATTAATAAGAAAGAAAATCCCATTTCTGAAGATCTTTCAGATCCCGGGACTCTGCCTGATAACTGCGTCCTCTGTTGGGAGAAGCTGGGGCCCGAAGCTTCATATCGTCGACTTCCGTGCAGCCATGTCTTTCACCTCTTTTGTATTGATTTGTGGCTGTGTGAAGAGGATGCAAGCTGTCCGCTTTGTCGAAAGACATTCTACTACTTGAGGAGGCCGCGCGGGGTGTACATTGGCAGTCGGCGCACTAGCTATACACCTGAATTGCCAGTTACGTTCTATTTGAAAGCGGCAAAGGCCTGGTTTTCTCTTCACTTTTTGGGGAAATCCACGAGACATGGTCATATTCAATAAATGGCTAATAATGGTAATAAACGTGGTGTCATTCCCGCCTTCAGTGTACAGTTTTCTCAATGATTAGGTGTAACAAGCCCTAGATGCGCAGAACCACTATAGACTAACGCCGAATAAGCTAGAAAACAAGTATCCTGCCTAGTATACGGCGGATGCGCACATCCAGTAGTCAACATGACAAGCAACGAAGTCGCCATAGACAGCCCTCCATTAACGAAAGTCGACGGACGAAAATGCGTATTCACCAGATACCCCTGATACTGGGAATTCAGCACAAAAACAAGAACGTGATACAAGTCCCCGCAAGCGCAGACAAGAAATGGCCAAAAACAAAGTTTCTGGGCTGTGCAACGGGCGATTCAATCACGCCGAAGAGGAGGACGGCTGATGCACCAAAGGAGGTTACAATTGTCGGCGTGTTATACACGTCCCGGAATGCTGTGCTCGTGGACATGATGGCTTCGATTAGGAGTATCCCGCCGAATGCGCCAATCCAGGCGAAGAACCAGATTTCGTACTTCAGTGGGATCTTGGTGAGCCAGATAAATGGGGGAAGAGGAGAGAGGCGTATGGTGGACTTGCGCCTGGAGGACGGTATCCTGTGAAGCGCGGGATGCTGTCTGGGAGTCTGCGGCGGTAGTCCTCTTTGAACTTGAATCGGTCTAGCTGTTTGAGGAGCCCTCGCTCTCCGCTGGGAAGATGAAAACGATGGTTCTTTTTCCATGTTTGGTATTATGTCGTTGAGTCTGCGCCTGATCTAGGTCCTTCAGCTTGTCTCGGGTGGGATTTATAACGTCTGCTTTTGGAATGTTGATATCATAGTGATCGGGATTACTACACTGGAACGCGCGATCCGTAGTGGGAATATTCATGGAGTTAATCTCCGCTTGTTCTTGTTATATCTCAAAGCCCGGCTCCGTTCAGCTAAAGATAGAACGGACAGTCATGGCGGAAGTATATACGGTTCGCGCGGTCCGACTGGACTGGTACCGGACACTTAGCTATTATGAGATAGAAGTAGACTGCGACTAACGCCAATGGAAACATGATTCTGGAAGCACAAAATATCCATAATGATGGGAGTTTTCAACCAGGATAACCCTTCCGGGACTTTTCCCATTCAGCGCGGCAGCGCTCTATCAGATCAAACGCGAATCTACACTCGTTAGACACTCGAATAGCAAAAAGACTTGAAACGGGTGAAAGAAAGATAGCATACTTCCTGTCCTCTACCTCCCCCCCAAGAGCAATATCATTCTCCGGTTTCCCATCCGGAACCTTATACACACGATACCAGGTCTTCAGCGAATCAAGATATCCTGGGAACGAAGCCTCCACATCATTGGCATCAGATAGCCTTGACGCCAGCGGATCATTCACATCGATCGCTACAACCTTCCAGTCGGTCTCTCCTTCATCGAGCACCGCAAAGGCACCGAGCGGCTTTACTCGTTTGACTTCCCCGCAATAGGACTCTCTGTCCCCAATCTCACAGACATCTAGCGGGTCGTCGTCTCCTGGAATTCCGGTTTCGGTGTCTTTTATGTCGGGGCTTTCCCAGGTCTGCTGGTTGTTAGGTGGCCGGTCATACATGGTTAGTTCTATGTTATAATTTCTATACCTGTGGTAATGCGCCGTAGTTACAAGGGTAGCCTTTGAACGGGACCACATCGGCAATCATTCTTGGCTTTCCTTTAGAAACGTCCTGCTTGATGGGGTTGTTCTGTTCGTCTTTGGAGACCTGTCTATGTTAGCTATCTCTGGCAGGATAACCAGATAACCAGGTAGCGCCTGGTTATGGTATATGGCTAAATTTACCTCCATTTTCAGGTCTGTCGCCCGCGGGATTTCAACGACTATATTCACTGTTTCCTTTTTGCTGTCTGCAAACAAAGGGATATCGTGCCAGGGCGATATAGTCTCCCCATTCTTTTCGAAGAACAAGCGATCGCCCCTCTTTCGCAGCTTGTAGGGCGTGTTGGTCGATGTAATTGCCATTTTCTTCACGTGTTGCTTATTTTCTGGTAAAGTGTAGTATAATGAAACGGAGCATCTTGGAGATTGCCCGTCACCATTGTCACTACGCCAGGTGCTGCATCATGCATGCGATATCTGGTTCGGCGGCGGATCGCACGGATCAGACGGCGTGGCCTGACAAGGACCCAGAACTAAAGACAGCAACACATAAAAGAGCGGGTCGCCAAGTAATCCAAGGATAATCTCAAGCAAACAAGAAAAGCAGCTACTTATATACTCAACGACATGACGGTCTGGAACAAAGTCAAGTCTATATTCCGGGTTCCTCCCAATCACCGCCAAAAGAACAGCCCGCCGGGCTTCGAACCTCAACCCCAGACGTATAAAGAGAATAATATAAAACAGCAAATTCGCAATACCGACAGCGATGATGGCGAGGATCTATGCCGCAACCTGAGCGAAGTAGCCGCGCCGGAACCCGTTCAAAGACTCTCGCCGCAGGAGCAGGCGCGGCGACCATCTCTGGAGCAACGACTGTCGGATATATCGAGATCAGGCCATGAGGAGGACGATGAGGTCTATGATCATTTGAGTGAGCTTGCGGCGCCGGAGCCGGTTGAGAGGTTGTCGGATAGCGCGTTGGCGAGGAGGCCGTCGCTTGAGCAGAGTTTTTCGTGGTCACGTTAGGGTTGAAAGGAGTTATTTTATTTAATCGGTGTTTTAATATTATATTTTGATACCATTGCACTTTTAATTTTTGGTGAAGTAGTTGAGTTGTTGCGGGCATAGTTAGGGTTATGATAGCATAACGAACCCGATGTTCTACAGACCTAATCATTCTCCAACTATCCACGCCCCTGCGTACTCACGCAGTTCACCAAAAACTTTCAGCCGGTCTTCAATATCCATCAGCCGGCTATATTTGACCAACTGCTCCCCTCGACAGGGACTCCCGGGTTTCAAATCCCCAGTAGACAATCAGCTGCAGAATAATACTGGCTCAGCTACCAAGTAGTGTATGAACTCATCCGCCCCGATGACACATTAAGCTATCTACGGAGAAGAACCCAACACCGGAACTAAGACCAGCCTCACTTAAGAAATAAGCTTACAGCCCGGAATTAAGGTCGTCGGGGCGAAGGCTGATGACAGGCCAAACCAGAGCGGGTGGACATTGGCCCGTCGGCGGCCGGATCTACCCGCCCTGCATACTATAAGACTCCGCAACAATAAAACCACCCAGTATCGTATATACAACAGCTTCAATATTAATTTACACTCACCATGGACATCAGCGGAATCATCGCGCTGCTACGCACAAAACTCACCCTCCCATCTCCCTCTGAAATCAAAGACAAGACAGTCCTGATTACAGGCGGGAACACGGGTCTCGGCCGGGAAGCCGCTCGACATGCCCTAGCTCTCGGCGCTGCAACAGTCATCCTGGGCGTGCGAACACTCTCCAAAGGCGAATATGCAAAAGCCGATATCGAATCCAGCACAGGGAAGACCGGTCGTGTTCTGGTGTGGCCGGTCGATCTTGAGTCGTTTGCGAGCGTCAAGGCCTTTGCGGACAAGGCCAAGGAGCATGTCGCTGGGGGAGGTAGGCTGGATATCGCGATTATGAATGCAGGCCTTGCATCGATGGAGTGGGTGGTTACGGAGGATGGATGGGAGAGGCAGATCCAGGTGAATGTGTTGTCGACGGCGCTGCTTTGTTTGGAGTTGCTTCCGTTGTTGCTGAAGACGGGCGATCGGCCGCATCTGACCATTGTAGCGAGTGATATACATCGGACTGTGAAGTTTCAAGAGCGCTCTGCGGATAATATTCTTTTAGCGCTGAATGACCACAGCCAGTGGGAGAAGTCGCAGAAGACAGGGGGTGCTTCCGAGCGGTACGCGGCATCGAAGCTGCTGGATATCTTCATCACGATGGGACTGGCTCGATTGGTGCCCAGTGACGAGAGTGGGAATCCGCTGGTTATTGTGAACTGCCTGACTCCCGGGTTCTGCAAGTCAGATCTTCTGACGAGGGAGAAGGCGCCGTTGCTGTTGAGGGTAGTGCAGAGCGCTGTTGCGAGGACGGTGGAGGAGGGGAGTAAGACGTTTTTGCATGCGGTGACGCAGGGGAGCGAGACTCAAGGGCAGTGGCTGGAACATCAGGCTGTTACAGAGTAAGTTTTCGCTTTGTTTCTTTGTATGTTGAAGGTGCTAATGAGGTGATAGCCCTGGGAAGAATGTCACGGCTCCGGCTCAGCGGGCAGTCGGGGAAAAGGTCTGGGGGGAGATCGTTGCGGTGTTGAAGGAGGTTGATTCGGGGATTCAAACGGAGTATTGAGTGCATGATATTATAATATTCTTTTTTCATTTGATAATGTTTATACAGCGGATCCAAGTCTGACCAAATGACCAAGTATATAGTTCAGCTAGTTTCACCACCGAATAATTTGCCGTTTGTCAGTGAGAAAAGCCGACCGACGACCCAAAGTTAGCTCTGACTCGCCGTGCGGAGACCCCAGCCCTGTCCACTCAGCAGTCGGCGACATCCCCGCCGGCAGCGATTGCACCTTGCTTTTTCTCCTTCCGCACTTTTCTCCCGTGCTTCTACACGATCCCGCTATCTGGCATAGCTGGACTTTGTCTTGCCTCTTTTCCACGCTCATTCCTTCTCTCGTTATCCTCCTGCCAATGCCGCCTTAAAATGGCGTCCTCCCACCAGGGGAACGGGTCCGCTCAGCCCAGTGCGCAGCTTGTTCTCGACGATCCACCCCCAGATTCCTCTACAAAGCGCCGATGGAGGCGCAACCGTATAGCCTGCGATTCCTGTCACGCCCGTCGCGTGCGATGCGACCGCCAGTTCCCCTGCGCGCGCTGTCTCCGCAGTGAGACCAACTGCGAATTCACCCGCGAGCGCCGGAAGCGAGGCCGCATCGCCCGCTCCAAGCTGGCTGAGATGGGCAAGAACAATAACAAACCCGCTGGCGAGGGGTCTGAGAAGACTACACCGTCCAAGCCTGCAAATGGGCGGCCAAATCCATCGGGCGCCGCCGTGACGGACGTTGATGGGCCTTCTGTTCAGCATGCCTCGCCGTCCTCGACTTTCCGCCACCGGTCGCCGCCAACGAACGCTCCCACCATCTCCGCACCCAGTGTCGACGAGCGCCGGTCGCAGGCCGACCCGCAGCATTCTGCTAAAAGAACTGAGCCTGGAGGGGACATGACTGAGGAATGGCTCGCGGGAACACATGTATCGCCGGGCTCGTATGAGTTCTTGAACGGGGCGGGATTTGGTGAGGGACCGTTCCCTCGCATGTTCGATGTGTGGAATGGGGTCGATCTGGCTGCCTACAGTGCTGCGACGTCGCAAGGGTCAAAGGCGACAAATGGAACAGCGCCATCAGCAGCTACAGGACCCCTCAAGTATCCGGTTCTCCAGCCATTGATGCCGTTTGTCGAGGCGGCATTGCCTCGGAAGCTGGTTTTTGATCTGCTCGACTTGTATTTTACCAGCGCCTTCTCGACGCACATGCACCCCGTTTGCCATCATATTCATTGTTACGTCCTGCGCAAAGCTTCTTTCCTGAGCAAGGATGCCCCGCGGCATAGCAGTCCTGCTTTACTCTCGAGTATGCTTTGGGTAGCTGCCTTGGATGACAGGGCCTTTTCACTGCCTATATCCCCGCCCCAGCGGAAGAGAATATGCCAATTTCTTTGCGCTCTTACACTCCGGTTATTACGACCCCTAATTCATGTTTCATTTAAGGATCAAGGAGGTGCCGCCGCAGCAGTTGCGGCTGCAGCTGCGGCCGCCACGAATGATCCAGCGTTTGCCGGTGTTGGGCAGGAACTCCCGCCGACTACAGTCCATCACCCGTTCGAAGGAGGAGGTGATGATCGAGGACTTGTCGGACCTGCGGGGTCCCTCGACGATGTAATTACTTATATTCACGTGGCCTCTATCATCTCATCTAGCGAGCAAAAGGCCGCTAGCATGCGATGGTGGCATGCTGCATTTACCCTAGCTAGAGAGCTCAAGCTGAACCAAGAGATTGAGGTTATGCCAAATGGCGAAGGGCAAGCCGAGGGATCGAGTCCGCCCTTTGGATACACTCTACCTGGCTGGGATGGCGCTGACCCAGGCCCCGTGTTTGACTATTCAAACCCAACCCGGTCGAGTTTGAACTGTGTCTGCGACCGCCAGGAAACCAATACCATCACCGAAGAGCATCGCGAGGAGCGGCGCCGCACGTGGTGGCTTCTCTACATTATGGACCGCCACCTCGCACTCTGCTACAACCGGCCTCTGGCTCTGCTAGATGCCGAAAGCGAAGATCTCCTGCTGCCACTTGACGAGGGATCATGGCAGTCAGGCGTCATCCACAGCAACAGCCCAAAGCCTGATGGGCCCCAGTGTCTGCTTTCCGCGGACAAGAACAAGCGCCGACTGTTCCCCAACTTCATCTGCCACGACCATTCCGTCTTTGGCTTCTTCCTCCCCCTCATGACCATCACCGGGGAACTCATCGACCTGAACCAGGCGAGGAACCATCCGATGCTTGGCATGCGACTTAATGGCAAGGACGCGTGGAATGTCCATGTAAGCGAAGTTCTTCGTCAGCTCGAGATCTACAAGGCTAGTCTCACAACCTTCGCCGCTACGACGACCGATCCAGAGGCGCCCCTTTCGTCCACTTACACGCACGCAACCCCCGATCAACTGCCAGCTGAGCCATCCCTCACCCAGGCCTACGCATGGCACACGCAAACTATAATCTCATATGCTTCGTATCTTGTGCATGTGCTCCACATTCTGTTGGTGGGCAAATGGGACCCCGTCTCCCTGATCGAGGACAAGGACTTTTGGACCTCGTCCCCCGCGTTTGCATCGACCATCTCGCACGCGCTGGACGCGGCGGACTCGGTGGACCAAATCCTCCGATTCGATCCCGACATTAGTTTCATGCCCTACTTCTTCGGGATCCAGTTGCTGCAAGGGAGCTTCCTTCTCCTGTTGATCGTTGAGCGGCTGCAGAAGGAGGCCGGGGAGGGCATCCTCAATGCATGCGAGGTGATGATCCGAGCCACAGAGTCGTGCGTGGTGACCTTGAACACAGAGTATCAGAGAAATTTCCGACAGGTCATGCGCAGTGCCGTTGCCCAGGCGCGGGGGAGGCCAGTCAACCACAGCGAGATCCGCCACCGGCGAAAGGCGGTGCTAGCGCTGTATCGATGGACGAGGAAAGGCACTGGGTTGGCTCTCTGATTTTAGGTTTCGAGCCCACCTTTGCCCACCGGCAGTCGGACCACCCTGCCCTCGTTTGCGGGGGTGCACAAATCTTAATTCGAGCCCTTGGAGGGCTATCGTCAGGTACCCTCCGGACTCCGGAGCATATCTCTGGCGATGGCTGATCCTTTAATCGTCGATCCTAGCCGGAGTTGAAACGGCCTCAAGGGATTCCGTGCAATGCTTAATTAATTGCATGAATTGTGAATAAATCTGTTTGCAATGTACTATGTAAAACCACTGCTCTCTACCTGTACGAGTCGCACAAATTCTGTCCGGAGTAATTGTTTGTCACTGTTTCTCGAAGCACGGTCGAGTCCTGAGTCTGGGGAGCCATTTCATGTTCCCATGATGCGTCCCCACAATTTCCCACAGTCTCAAGCAGGACCTGCTGCAGGATGAATCCAGATTCCAGAATCCAGCCGGACGTTTTCCCCCAGTCGGCAAGGGATCCTTTCCCCAGACAGCGCGCAGTCCGAGCCGAGTGGCTTGACCAGCGAGTCGGCTAATTCCTTTTTTACCGAGCAACTATCTACCGAGATTTACCCAGCCTTTTCCTAACCTTTCATTGCTCCTCCACGTGAGAAATCTGGGGGAACGGACTCGGTTAATTCGAAACAACGCCTGCTGGCAGGATCGAATGCCTGAATCTGCGACGCCGTATTTTTGCCTCCCGGGGCGACGATCGAACGGTCGCGTCTGCAGGCCTCCTTCAATTTCTCGAACGTGCAGGGGAAAATGGAATGAACGGACCTTGTGTGGGGAGACTGCAAGCACCGGCTGTGGTCATCGAATCATCGCCTGTGCTCAATTTACCGAAGCACTCCCCTTCCCCTTGTGCTTGTACGGGGTAGTCAAGTATGGAGTAGCTCGATTTATTGTTATTTATGGGCATGGCTCCTCCTTTTAAGGTGCTCGCTCTCGGTCGGTCCACTTCTTGCCCTCATGGAGTCTGAGTCAAGCTGCAGCTTTAAATCCAACCGACACCTCTGTCTTTGCTCTAGCAGCTATCTTCATGAGCTAAGGTGCTGTGTTTGAACCTGTCGCTGTCGACTAGATCGCAGCGATTGCACTGCTGGAATCTGCGGTGCTCCTTGAACAGGAAAGCAAGAATATATTAATCACAATGACTGAGACAAGCATGCCTTGCGATGTTCCCTGGGGCTTTGACCCTATGAATCCAGACCCGGGGTTCGGTGTTGCTGGGGACGAGGGGATGTGGTATAGGAACCCCTCCGGCATCAACAGCTTCGACCTGCCCCCGTGGCAGCCAGTGGATGCCAACCAGGTAGCTTACGAGTTTGCCTCCCCTGCGGCGGGCAAGACGCCTTTCCAGCAGTTGTCCCCTATCCAGACAGGCGGCTTTCCTACCGGCCGGTCGGATAAGGTCTTACCAAGGTATGAGCGGAGTCCGCACGAGGTGAACGGCAGCCCTGACTCGAGCCTTTGTCTGGATAGCAGATTCGACAATCTACCATCAGATCACGGCACGCCGTACTCACTTGACGACCTCCTGCGCACCGCCTCGCAACTGGCGACTGAACGTGCACTCTACATGAACATCCCTTCAAGCGCCAACCCTCACTCCCCAGCAGCAGCAGGAGCAGGAGCCTACACTCATTCGTCGCCCGTCGCAGAGGCAGCCATCAGTTCTCCCAGCGCAAGTCCAAGCCACCATTCCAATGCCAGCGACACAGACGAGCACGATGTCCCGACTTTCGAGTTTCCACAGGTCTACCAACTCCCAGACAGCAACGCTGGCACCACCTCCGCACCATCGGCCTACTTTGCACCGATGGAGGGCCTCCGCCAGCCTGCACCTTATGATCATGTGGCTGCTGCCACTGCCACTGCAGCCACGGCGCAGAGCAAAGCCCCCTCTCCACCCTCTACTTCTGCAAAGCAGGAAACAAGTCTCACCCCGCTGGAAATGCCCGACGGCTCGACCCGGTTTACCGCAAACTGGCTTCCCGTTGACCCCCAGGGCGGCTTTACCATCCGGCCTCCCGCACACCACCAGCACCAGCACCACCACAACTACCCGATGGACATGGACCCCCATTTCATGACGATGGACTACCATGACCACCCGCACACTAGCTACAATTACCGCAATGCGTTCATCTCGCTCGACAATCTGGACGGGGGTTCTGGATGAAGCCGGGGTGTGGCCTGAGCTCCTCCCCCCACTCACTACCGGAACAAAGAGGGGTCGGTCGGTCGCGTCGGCTGCAGCGCGGACGGGCCACCACTCCGCAGCCCTGACTCGTCTCTTCTTCTCAAGTCGAGAACAAAAGGATCCGGCTAATCCACTTTAATCTAAATTACTGCTTGCTAGACTGCGAGCCCTGCGAGCAAAGGACGCTATTTGCAACCCCGACCATGCCGAGAACGGAGGCTAATCAGGCCATTGCACTTGCACTCGCTTTTACAAGCATTGCTTGTCGAGTTATGTCAACTTGGTGACTTATTCTTGCCTCCAGTGTATTGCAGTTCTTGATCCAAGGACACTGGTAAAATAACCTAATACTTCGATGGTTGCCCGAACAACTTCGTTTCTGTTTCTCTCTAGTCGGAGAACAGTTCCAGGGAGACTGGATTTGCCGAGGTTTCCCCGACACCCCTGCTGATTGATTCGCAATGAGAACACGACTTGAGTAAACTCCTGGGGTGCTGTATATTTTATTTAATGAGTTATGGAGATATGTATGGATGAAAATGTACTACTATATTATGTTATATTCGATTTATTAATGGAAGGTTTATGGACTGAAATATATTTATTTCCTTGAGTGACCACGCTCAGCACCAGCACGGCGTAGTTTTGTAGAATTGGGTCGAATATAAATATATATGATCTGATAATAAAATATACATCGTACTGCCATGTGCTCAAAAAAGCATTGAGGCGTTGATAAACTTCAAAATACGCTCAGGTACCCCGCACGGCTGCAATGAAATGCAATCATCTCAATCACCATACCTTGGTAACCCATATTAGCAACATATCCCATTCTATACAGCTATATCATGATCTCATCTCCCTTAAGTCCGGCATATCGGCATTCCCCTCTTCTTGCGTACGCTCAGCGGGTTTTCAACAGGCTTTCAACAGGCTTACTTTGCCGCCTAAGGAACCGAGACGACTGCGATTGCAAGCCACCAACGTAAATGAACCCATAAAAGACCATCTAGACAAGGCCTTTATCGGAAAACATAACGAGTTCAGAACTGGTTGATGCTTTTCTCGGATAAGTTTCCCTTCAGGCGCGTGATATTGAGAGTGTACTCTGTACCTGCGTGGGAGACGATAAGGTAATCAGCAGGTGGCGTGTGTCCTGGATAGGAACCTCGGGGAACCCAGGGCAAAGGAGAATATGATTGCTTGAATCAGGCAAGGAACTGAGTCTGCGAAATGGATGATGGCTGTATACAGTGGAGTGCGAACCCCACGTGACCCGCCTGGTCTGCTTCTCCCCCATGTCTCCTCATCATCAAACTCGATGGCCCCCCACACTGAAATCATCATCGAGTGCCAATGTTGTGCCCTATCTCATCAGAGAACTTAGAGTGTGCCCCGTGGGTCCAGTCTGCGTATCTCATCCCTTCCAATCGTGTCGGTTTCCAGGCCCGTTCCAAGATCCGCCGGGGGGGGGCATTCCTCGGTTGATGTCATCGACTTACCACCTCTTCCAAACTATTACCATGACACCACGACTACGCCAAACTCTCCTTCCATCAAGCAGGATGAGAGACTCTCCGTTTCCCACGGTGTTGGCCATGACGGCTCTTCCAATGAGGAGCACACGCAGAAGAGACTCATGATGTCAGGCGTTCAGGGAATTGGACTTCTGTAACCTTACCGTTGTCTGGATATAACTATCTTCGAAATTCTCCGCATCTTATTACGCTCCCCCCTTTTTCTTTCCCAGGACTAAACACTATATCCCTCCATCCATCGCACAGCCATGTCTGGGTACATTGCGGCACCCTACAGCATGCCTGGAGTGGAGATCGATGCTATCGACGGCGGCGGCTCCGCAACATCTCTGCCTATTCTGCGGAGTGTTGTGGAAACCGTCGCTGACGAATGCCCCAAACGCCTGGGGATATCATCTCAAGAGCTTCAGCAGAAGTCACCTACCGTCGATGTCTTCTTTGACGCCATTGCTGCCGAGCGATTGAGGCGCATGCCGGCGGACGGCAGCCGCATTGATAGTACGCTTCGAAGAGCGTCTCGTTTGGCCTTTGCTGTGGCATCTCTGCGCGATGCCGTTACTAGCTTCATTGATGGCGCTGAAGAGGCGACCAAGATGGTCTGGGGAACTACGTTGCTTTTACTGGAGGTGGGTTTATATAAATATTAGGTTGTGATGGTATGCTAATTGGGAACAGATGGGTATCGACAATGTGGACATGATCGATAACATCTTCAGTCGCTATGGCCGCGTCACACTCGGCATCTCATTCCTTCTCCAGCAGGAGAGCGAGTTCCAGAGCTCGAGGGCCCTGCAGCAAGAGGTTGCTGAGATCTTCGCCCACCTTCTCCAGTTGACTGTACACATTGCAGCAGAGTACCGCCAGGCTGCACGCACTCAGAGCTGGCAGCCCATGATCGAGGCCACCAACCACACTTTCTTCATCTATTTCAACCGCTTTACTACTCACTGGCGCCGGACGCGGAAGTGGACCTGGATTGTCCTTAATTCGAAATCGGCCAAGAGCCAGTACGCCGACCTGGAGTCTGTTTACCAGTTCCTTGAATTGCAAGATCGCCCTTTGCAGATGCTCCTCGAAAGCCAGACCCACTCGCTTGCTGAAGGGTCGTTTTCGTGGTTTGAACCGCATCTCACCACATTCACCGTTGGCCCACGAAGCTTGATGCTTGTCCGTGGAAACCCCGGCGCTGGAAAGAGTGCACTGTCCCAGTGGGCAATTGAGCGATTGCAGCTGTCCCCGGAATATGATGTCTGGAATACGATTCCTATTGTCATTCGTTCCGATGTCCCGATTACGACGCTGACCCTCAGCGTCCTCAAGGGCATCCTGATCCAGATGCTTGACTGCTGCGTAACGAACCGCAAGACCCAAAGTGATATCATTACTGCCATTAGCAGTGCCCTTGACCAGGCTGAGGTCGGCGCACCTGACCCCGAGGTTGAGGGCCTCCTGTGGGCTGCCGTTCGCACGGCTACGCAGTCTAACCTGCACTTCATGATTGTTGTTGACGGCCTGGATCAAATAAAGCACGCCAAGAGCACAGTCGGTGCTTTCCTTGGGCTTTTGCAGGACGTCGTTGTCGACACACCATCTAAGCTAGTTGTCTTCACGCGCCCGATGACCACGGACCAGATTCCTATCAAGGAGACCACTACCACTCACCAGATCGCGATGGATGCGTCTGTTACTGCACATGATCTGAGCGCTTGCGTCCGCGACCTGGTGACTTATGACTCCGCTTTCTCTGGGTTGGGCTCCTCCCAGCGTGAATCATTGGTCTCCTCCATTGCATCTCGCTCTCAGGGCTGCTTTATTTGGGCCCAACTGGCTGTTGAGGCATTGCGTACCCAGCCCACGTATAATGATATGAACTCAGCAGTCAACCAGATCCCGGGCAACCTAGGTGGCCTTATTGATTTCCACCTGCGCAACACCAACCTCCAGCGGCCTGGCACTGGTAGCCTCCTTTCTTGGCTTACCGTATCGGAACGCCCGCTTCGCCCTCAAGAGGTTGAGCAACTCCTTGCCGTCGACTCCCAGACTTTTAGGGCTACCGCTCGCTCTGGAAAGCTGGACCGCGAAGTCTTCGAACCGCTCCGACGACTGGTTACACTGCAAGATGGGTTCGTTGCTTACCGTCACCCCCTGATCCGCGAGCATATTCAGGCAAGGTCGCAAATGAAACAGGAAGTTTCTTTTAGCCTACCAGATGCCCACCATGACCTCCTGGTTCGCTCCCTGGGATGGGTCCGCCGGAACCTGACAGACGAGGTCCATATTTCTTGGGATAAGATGCCTGTCCTTGCACGAGACCGCTATCTTGATGCCCATATCCTGTTGGAGTATGCCGCTCGCTACTGGCTATCCCACATGCTCTCGTCGACCATGGCTTCGGGGGATAAACTCTCCTACACAACAGGTTTCAAACAGGCCATGCCTGACTCAATTCTGTTTGCCCAGCTCGAGCTCACCAACAAGGAGTCTGAATTCAGCCGATCTAGTATCGTCGAGCTGTACCGCCTCGCCGTAGCAGTGCGCCGTCACGTCCTCGGCCCTGACTCTCCTGCTGTCTTGCAGGGTCTCATCTTGAGTGCTCGCGCTGCAGACCGTTCTCATGCACCCTGGGCTAACGACCACCTCTACGAGGCGTGGACCCGCAGCCGCACCCGCCTGGGCCCGACTGATAAGATCACTCGCGACCTTGAGCAGCTCCTCGTTGCCACCCCTGAAGGTGCCGGCCGAGCGCAAGGTGCAGCTGGCCTCAAGACAGACGCGCTCCGCGGTATGACACTGGACGGCTGGGATTCGTCCGACATTAGCTTTGCGCAGCGCCTTCAGTACCTCGACCGACTTGTCGGGACTTACCGCGAGGAAAACAAATCCGATGAAGCTTATGCTGTTTCCAAGCAGTTCTACGGGCAGACCGTCAAGTCGTACGGGCCTTATTCGTCGGAAACTTTGGCCGCTGCTGAATACCTCAGCAACAACTTCAACATCGCTCCTCCGGATGACATGGCCTTGGAACTTGCTCGCACCAAGTACGAGACCATGGTCCGCTCTATGGATGTTTCGGATCCCCGCCGCGTGGCCTACTCCCTTGCCCTCGCTAAGATGTACGAGGAATACTCCAAGCCTAACAAGGCCGAGGAGGTTCTGTCCAGACTGTGGCTGAGTCTGTCCACTCCGGATAGAGAGAACAGGACTCCATGGGATCAAAAGACCAAGGTTGTTTTCTACTACACCAAGTTCCTCGAGCGCCAGCGTCGCCCTGACGAGGCTGCTGTTCTCCTCCGCCAACTGTCCGCCGAGCTGGAGGCAGATGGTGGCGTCAGATCTGCAGAGATGGCCGAACGCGCGCAGCAGTTGCGCGGGGAGGCTCGCGAGATGCAAATCTACGACATGGATCGTGCTCTCGGAATCCAACTGTGGAAGTACTACAAGACCAACAACAAGCAGTACCATTCCGATGCCGTCGGCCTAGCTCAGACTCTTACTCGGGCAGCTATCCCAGGCGAGGGACATGCCGGTGATGCTATGGGTAACCTCTCCCTGGAAGAAAGCAAGATGCTTCCCGAGTGGCTTGATAGCATAGCCTACGCAACAACCGGCGAAAAGCGCCTGCGTCTTCCCTTGCTTCAGCTGTGCCACCAGCTTTCGCGTCAGCACATGCGTGATGAGCAATGGCGCCAGGGCAGCGACTGTGCCTGTGCAGTCCTCAAGCATGCCTGGCCTACCTTTGAAGACCCTACTTCCAAGGCGAAGTTCACGGAGGAGGAAGCTCCTATGATGGCGAATCTGGCCCAGGACCACGCTTACTGCCTTTTCCGCCGCTTGGATGTCCCCACCGCGAGCATCGTCTACGGCAATGCCTTCAAGGCTGCCATCACCGCGGACCAGGTCGCAGTGCCCTCAGTCACCGCTGTTGTCAAGACCGTGGTGGACTTTTACGAAAGCACTTACCAGTTTGACAAGGCTCTTGTGTTGCTTCGCCAGGTCAGCGAGTTCTTTGGCTCCCGTCTTGGTGAGAACGACAAGCACACGCTTGACAGCCGGTACTACGAGGGTGACCTTGCTCTCCGCTTGGAGCGCCGCTCCGAAGCCGAAAACAGCTACCGCCACATCTACCGCGCTTGTATCCGAGATGGCAAGATCTCGTCCAACGGAGTGCGTGCCGCTGTAGCTCTCCTAGGTCTCTACGAGCAGGACCAGCAGTGGGACTCAGCTCTTGAGGTGTACCGCCACTTGTGGCCTACGCTCGTGCGCTTTGACGAGAAGGATGGCTATGACCGCGCTCTCCTTGAGGGTCTCCTACCTAAGACCTACACTGGTTACATGGCGCTCCTGACGCACTCCTCTGTCAGGGCTGGATATGCCGAGCGCCAGCAGCTTGCATCGGAACACCAGCAGCTCTGCCGTAAATTGTACGGGCCGACTCACCCTCGAACCCGTGACGCCACTCTTTTGTTGGCCGGGCTTTCATCCGAGAGCGACCGTCACACGGGCGAGGCCCTTCACTTGTACCAGCAGGTGCTGAACACACATGATTGGGTTCCGCAGTCTGACGTCTCGCGCTCGCTGCCAGAGATGAAGGATCCTCTTACCATTGATATCAAGCACCGCATGGCACAGTTGTACCTGCGACAGAACCTGGCTACCCCCGAGGCGCGCAGACTCTACCAGGAGGAACTGGCACTTTCCAAGCAACACCAGGGCTTGTCAGCTCCCACGACACTGCTGTGGCTGCGCGAAATTGCTCGGATGCACGCCCACAGCGGCTCTGCTACCTCGCGTCAGCAAGGCGCCCAGATCCTCGGCGACCACGTTGACGAGGTCGTGCGTGTGACTGCGAACCAGGGAACCTTGGTTGACCGTGGTCACAAGCTGGCTGAGATCTACCTGGAAGCCGGATACATTGATGAAGGCTATGCGCTGATCAGTGAATTCCACCAGAAGGTCATCCAGGAGACACCAGCTGCCCACCGCCAGGCATTGAATGAGCACCGCCCCGCTGTCTTTGTTGCTGCGTTCGAGGAAGTCTTTGGCAAACGCCAGTCTTCGCGGGAGATCCTTGACGAGCTGTCTCGCGAGGGACAGATCTACAGCAACTTCCAGCAGAGCCTGCTTAGCCACGACCTCATGCCGACATTGGCAAATGGCGAAAAGCTCAGCCGGCTCCAAGCCCAGCAGAGGCACACCACGGCCGCTAAGAACACCGACGACCAGCTGTACCAGTACTTCTGCAACACTCTGTCTGTGGCACGACCGGCGCGCTCCAAGGACATTGTTCATGTCTTCTATAGCTTGTGCCGACGCCAGAGCGTCAATGACGACTACACTATCAGCATCGTCACTGAGACCACCGGGCTTGTTCGCGACCTCTGCAACTCGTCCCGTTTTGATGATGCAGCCATTGTCACGGGCGTGTTCCACTCGTGGGCCCATTTGACTGACAGCCTGCGAACGCCGGAGACTATCTTCACTTCTATTAAGCTCTGTCTGTATTTGAGCGGATACCAGACTACGAAGTGCTCGGATGAGGCCACAGCCAAGAGAATGGCCGTTGAGTCCGAGCTCCTCCTCCAGAGCGTCATGAAGAACGCCAAAGAAATCCCATTGGAATTCTCCGAGCTGCCATTTGCGGAGCTCAACGACCTCATCACCGTTCTTGGTGAGCACGAGATGTTTGAAGACCTCGAGGTATGTCAATCCCGTTCCGTATAGTATACATATAAGCTAACTGTATAGGCCATACTTACCGAACTTTGGACCTCCCGCATGATCCAAAGGACCTGGTCTCTGTCCGCCGTTGTCTGGATCGGCCGACGCCTCGTCGAGACCCGTTTCTGCCGCGGCCGTGTCAACGCAGCCACCCAGCTAGGCAAGGACATCTGCTACAACCTCCGACAAGTCTGGGGCAACTGTGATCCTGTCACCCTTGAGATCAACAAGTTGCTTTCCGGCCTGTACACCGCGTCCGGGAACTACCTCGCCGCCGCCGCACTGCACGAGACTGCCCTCGCCGAGCTTCTCAACAGCGAGGAACACTCCCAGGGCGGCGCCGTCGACGCAGTAACGCAGCACCTCGAGCTGCTCCAGCACGCGCAGATGCGCCTGGCAAAGGAGGGCCAGAGCGCAGCCATCGACGCGGCGACCGCGCAGGAGCGCGTGCACCAAGTCGCGACCAAGTTCGGACTTCCTGTTGAGCGGCTGGAGGTTGCGACGGCCAGCGACGACGCGGGCATGTGGCAGAAGCCCCGCCGGTTCAGCCTGGATATGGGCGATGCGGAGAAGCATGAGAACCACCTGCGCCAGTCGAGCGGGTCTGCGCTGCTGACCGGAAATGCGGGCGCAAAGCGGGTTTCCATCACTGCCCTGTAATAATAATAATACCTTTGCTTGATCATGTACTGTACTTTGATCCGTCTGTTATATATAGTCTCGTTCTGTTAGTTTAGTTTTTAATTAATTAATTGACATTAATATATATTCTACCTGTGCTGCTTTTACTCGGTGTCACTGGCCACGACACCAAATTCCGTGCAGCCCGCCTGCAGTCCGCCTATAGAAGATCGTCGACCGCAAACGTGGCGCGTGGATAAATCCCCCCAACTCTTCAGCCTAACAGGAACTAACCGGCCTAGCAGCCCATTAGCTGCGGAGCAATGCACGAACAGAGACAAGGCCGGTCGGGACATCACCTACTCATGCAGACTATAAATATGCATGCCGGTCTGCCCTGACGATCGCCTGTATTTCCGAGATAGCCATCCTCTTTTTTCTTTTTCATTCTCATTTACGGTACAGACACAATGAGAACCCTCTCGCTTGTGTCTCTGCTGAGTCCAGCACTCGCTGCGACTTCCGGCTCCTTCAACGTCCTCTCCTTCAACGTCGCTGGCCTGCCCGAAATCATCAATGGCAACGATGTCCCAGGCGACAAGACGGAGAACACCAAGCTGATCGGTGAGCGGTTCGCTGAGTACGGCTACGACGTTATCCATGTCCAGGAGGTACGCCCCCTAACATAGTTACAAATAAAGTCAACCAAAAGCAAGTATGTTAACAAGTGCAATTAGGACTTCAACTACCACGCCGCTCTCTATGAAACAGACACGCACGCCTACCGCACTGCAACCTCAGGCGGCGTCCCCTTTGGCTCGGGGCTGAACACCCTCTCCAACTACGACTGGATCGACTTTGAGCGTATCAAATGGGAGACTTGCTCTGAAGCGAGCGGGGCAGATTGTCTCACGCCCAAGGGGTTCACGGTTATGAGGGTGCGTTTTGAAGAGGGTGTTTATGCGGATTTTTATAATCTGCATTCTGACGCTGGGTATGTCTTTTAACCATGGATGGATAATTCGATAAAGAGGGTGATGCTAATGTTGGGGCCAGCTCCGAAGACGAAGACGTCGAAGCCCGCAGCGCAAATCTGCAACAGGTGGCGGACTACATCGCCAACAACTCCCTGGGCAACGCGGTTCTCGTATTCGGGGACACGAACGCGCGGTATACCTCGTCTGGCGAGAATATCCGGGTCTTTGAGGAGCAGGAGAATATGGCGAATCCGTGGGTCGAGTTGATTCTGGATGGCGTGCAGCCTGAGGAGGGTATCGATGCGATTACGTGTGAGAACCCGTCGACAGTGAAGACTTGTGAGACTGTTGATAAGATTTTGTATTCCCCCCTTTTGCTTTCTCTTTGTGTTGGATGTCGGTTCTAACTACCGGTAGCTATCGTGGAAGTCCAGCCCTAACTCTTGAGGCGACATCGTGGGCCTACGAGGATGAGAAATTCCTCAGCAACAACGGATCTATCCTCTCAGACCATAACCCGATCGCTAGTGACTTTAGCTGGACGAAGTCAGACTCATTCCGGCTGAGTGATCTATATGGTGGTCCTCATGGGTAAGTCCTCCAAAACAAAATGATACTGAGCAACTAGCTGAACGAAAGAAGCACCTGGTTCAACGACCTCCCCAACCTCCCCACCTCGAGCGGTCTCAAAACAAGCACCATCTCACTCTCCGGCGAAAACAGGGTCGACAGTATCTCGCTCACCCTGTCAAACGGGGACACGATCAAGCACGGGGGCTCAGGCGGGACAGCACAGGAACTCACCCTTGCTGACGATGAGAACTGGACCAAGACCCGGCTTTGCCAGGGGAAGTATAACAACCACACCCGGATTTTCTATATTGCTGTGACTACGGATCAGGGGAACTCAGTCAGCGTGGGCAAGGAGACGGAGGAGTGTGTCGAGTATGAGGCGGAGGATGGCTGGGGGGTTGTTGGGGCTTGGGGGAGGAGTGGCGATGAGATTGATCGGCTGGGATTTGTATATGCACCGGTTGTGTAGGTATCTAAAGACATGTAGACGTATTGAGTTGATCCACTGTGTCTGACGGCACTTGATAAATGCGACTGGGACACGCCCCACTGATGTTGAAATAAGCATGCCTCTTAAGCTTTATAACTTTTATCCTCAAGGGACAGCTAGTCCACATCGGCGTATAAATTCCAATTCGTACCTGCCAGGTACAATCAATCTCCACACGGATCGCACCTTCCAATTCATCTCATGAACCTAATAGAGTTGCTCCTTCCCTTTTTGGTAGCCCTGTAAAGGGAAAGAGGTACCTAGTCATCAGTCGCACCTGCCGTAATTCATCCATTTAGTAACCCGGATATACGGGTTTACGGTATATGGGATGCATCATCCCAATCCCGATGATAGTGCCGCTGTCTGGCGAGTATTTGCCACTGCCGTAATTCCGCGCTGCATGTTCCTGGATGTTGATTTTTCGGTTAGGATTGATGATGGTTGTTTTACTGCACGGAATTAGGAAGTAAAGAAGGGTTGGATCAGGGTATCTTTCTGAATTAATTCAGTCTAAGTAAAATGCGCTTTATATACAATCTCAAGTACTCAAAAAAATGTCTAAAGATGGTACTGTCGTGCATCGTTCACACTCACTCCTAATCTCTCCCACCACCCCTCAACGCCCATGTCGTCTTGACCACTAAACATAATTAGCATAGAAGTTAAGAAGAGGACAGAAACATACTCGGTCCGCTTTATAATTGTTGGCTCCATTTGACCCTCCGCCTCGTTTGGATTGCGGAAGACGACGTTATCTTTCTATATTGAATTGTTAGCAACCTTGATCGAGGTATTATAGACGGGAAAAACATACCAGTCCCAAGGTAAGGTGAATACCGGCGGGCTGTCTCGGAAACTCCTCAACAGGCTCCTGGCCTTCAATCATCGCCTGGATATTCTTCACCACGGTAGCTGCCTGTGCATTGCCTGGTCTGGCGGCCTTGCGCAGCCCTGTGTCTGCAATATCCCCAACAGCGAAGAGATGCGGATATTTCTGGTCGAGGAACTGCATTGTCGGGCGGATGCGGATGAAGCCGTTGTCTGGGTTAACGAGGGATCCCGACCCTCCTGATGTAGGGAGGTCGGCGATGAGACCGTTATTTGGTGTTTGGCCGGTGGCTAGGATGACGAAGTCGTACTTCGAGGGGAGAGTCGTACCGTCTGTAAGCTGGACGGGGAACGGGGTTGTTGATGGGAATCCAGTTTCGGGGACTTTGATTCGGGAGCCGGTGATGAATTTAATCCCCAGCTCGTCGAAGCGCTCCTTGATCAGCTCGTGCAGCTTGGAGTGGTACTGCGGCATGAGATACGGCCTTGATTGTACGACGGTGATTTCTTTCCCTGGGTAGTATTCCTTTAGATCGGTTGCCATCTGGACGCCTACTGCGCCACCGCCGGCAATCAGGATCGAGTTTGAGCGTTTGATGTCCGCTTGGTGCTTTTGGAGATACGCGACTGAGGACACTTTGTCGTTGTCTCTCATGCCTGCTGGCTCGGACAGGCGCGTCCCTGTTGCGAGGACAAGGTACTCGAATGGGATTTTGACGGATCCGTGCCATTCGCGATCCAAGTTGACGTGGTGGGCTTGCACGGAGAGGACGCGGCCTTGGATGACAGTGTGGTTTGTCGGGGTGGAAATCGAGGAGAATAACCCGGTGTATGGAATGAAGGCTTTGTGTTCGTGGCCTGGAAGAATGGCGAAGCGAGGCTGTCATTACATTAGCTAGTTTTCCAAACAGATAAAGGTGGTTCGTACAAATGCGAAGAGGTGGTGGAAGTGGCTATGGGGCTCGATTAGGAGGACGCGGTGTGTCTTGGGGACAACCCTTGCCAGCTCCTGGGCGGTTGACTTTCCGACGTACGACCCCCCGACAACGATGATGTTTTTCAATGCACTAGCCATGATTGTAACTGAGATAATTACCTCGTCAGCCCTGGGGGTGTTTCTACGGTGTATATATGGCCAGGCGGAGTAATCATTATCCCCCCGGTTCCGCGGTGGGTCTCTCGGTCTCTTATCTGATCCGGCTTATCTCCGCACCGATCTCGGAGCTAGCCCACAAATCCGAGCAATACGCAGGTCTCAAGAGCTATATTTGGCTGAACTGGACGGATAAACTTGAAATAACCCTGCACTGAAACACCGAAACACAATTCCTAAAAACGAAACCAAAAAATAAAATGGAAAACCACACGTCTGCTTACTCTGAGTCACCCGCCAGCACCTTGTCCAGCTGGTAAAAAGCGATCGGTTGACAGTCATATCATACAGCAATGAAAGTATTCTAGACGTGGCATATGATCGCAGCCTAGTATTGTCACGCCATTTGGACTAAGGAGGCCCGGCCCCTGGACTGATTTTGGCCTACAGCAGGTCCGGTCGACACAGTGAGGGATGCCAAAAGGTACCAGAGCGGTACAAGTCTGCGACCAGGTACCACAAATTCAGGTTCCTTCTCTCAAACAGTAAGACTGGCGAAATCTAAATGGTTAAACTCTAAGACGGGTCAGGCCACTCGCAGGAGCCGAGACATGCCAGCCGATTAGGTTAATGGTCCACCTTCCCGAGAGAGGATTTGTAACAGGGGATTTGTCCACAACTGACTGTATATGTGACTGACCTGAACTCGAGGCGGCTACCGACCGGATACGACATTGACTGATAGTATATTTCGTAAAGTATAAAGCAGATAAAATTGACGCGCGTACCTTCATTTGATAGGAGGGACACCACTGCCAGTTTTAATACAAGTTGCAGTGCCATCACCCAACCATGTCGAATAATTCTGAAGCCAGCCGAAGATATTCGTTTCAAAGTGCGAGAACTCTAGTCTGCATGAGGGTACTATGAAGTCGAGCAAGCCTCAGTAACAAGGTGTATTAGTCGTGCCTATACTAAAACCTGTATCTTGTTACCTTTTCGCGCGTTTTGTTTCATAAGAAGTGTGATCTCTTTGTTGCACAGATGTAACCTTGGCCAAATTGACTGCTTGAACGCCTTGCGTCTATGACAAAGAGAAAACGGGTGTGCAGTACGCAAGACTTGATAGTGTGAGTGGAGAAAGTACCCCGGTCCAAGGAAGAAGACCACAGAAGGTTCAAAGCAGCAGAACTATGCAGATAATGAAGCTCATATGATAGAAATAGGGTAACTTTTCCCTCGGAAATAATAGGAAAACTAGGTTTAACGAGCGAAGCAGACATCTGGAGAAGAAAACAAGGAAAAAACTTAATTTTAATATCCAAGTAAAAGTTAAATCCTCTCGAACAGTCTGAGTGGTTGATAGATTGAAACGTCCCCTGTCCAGGCGGAAAACGTACCCTTCCCATCAAGGTTCGCATCAAACAAGGATCGGGACCAGTCCCAGCCTAAGTCTATATCCAAACGCCCGAGTCTCGACCCATGGATTGCGGTGCCGACTTGACAGACGAGTTCCTGGCTGTGGGAGTAGAATCAGGGTTCTAGATTGGCTGGTGATGGCTTTGTCTTCACAGTGATTTATTTTCACTTTTATGATTGGTCAGAGCGACTTCTTTCACAACAGACGAAAGAAACTGCCTGAAATTGCAGCCTCAGGCAGCGCCAAGAAGCCTTGCTGCCTCAGCGGAAGCGCCGGAGGTCACGGGGTTAAAACTGCTGCCTGATGAGTCAGCTCCCCTTTCCGGTGCAACAATGGGTTAAGTAATCAAGGGAGACTTGGAACACACTAGGCCGGACTGTGACTGGTCGGGCCTTGGCTGGACTCCATCTGTGCAGAATCATTGAAGAATGCCCCCCTCCTGTTGGACAGAACCGCAAGCCCAGCGCTGCGCCTGCCTTGGCGCTTGCTGGGCAAGGGGCGTTTGTGTTTTTCGCAGGGCCTGATTTGCGGGCTATCTTTAGCTGCTTAATAGGGGTCTGCGTGCTGGCACTTGGCCGGATCAGGTGCCATTTCTCTTAAACCTCACCCCAAACGAGCCTGCTCAGCTTCTTGCATTTCGCTGCTCAGCGCGCTCTCGCCTGACTATTCTTTCTGCTGCGTGCTCGGTGCCCACTAGTAAACTAGTAAACGAGTAAACATGCGCTGGGGCTCTGTGCTGTCCCTCAGTGGGGCCGCCCTGGTGTTGCTGCTCCAGGGCCAGCTCGCCCTATCAAACATCGAGATCACGCCTACTTCCATTGGTATGTGGCTGTGTGTTATGCTTTGTTGTGTTGGACTCGCTGACCATGCTTAGACTCGCTCACGGAGGCTGGCAAGACCATCACCGAGCCAATGTGGGAGTTCTACCTGCAGAACCAGACTACCGATGTTCCCGGCAAGCTGACCGGCACATGGTATGTCGCCGGTGCCATGTTCATGACTATGATCCAATTCTGGCAGGTGTCTGGCTACGATAAACACAATTCTGTCGTCTCGCACGACATGATGTTCCAGGCCGGTGAAAACTTTGACTACTTTGACTCCAACTACAGTCAATGGCTGGTGAGATTGCTGCAGGAAAACATATAGATAGGACAATCAACTAACTCGCCCAGGGTAACGATGACCAAATGTTCTGGGGTCTCGCAGCCATCACCGCCTCCGAGACTGGTTTCCCAGAGGTCAAGGACAAGCCCACGTGGACCTCGCTGGCCCGCGCCGTCTTCACCATGCAAGACGGCCGCTGGGACACAGAGAAGTGCGACGGTGGCATCACCTGGCAAATCCACCCCTGGCAGGCCGGTTACACACTGCGCAACTCCATCTCCAACGGCGGGCTCTTCCAGCTCGCTGCCCGGCTGGGCCGATTCACCCGCAACGAGACTTATATCAAAGCGGCCGAGAAGTACTGGGACTGGTCCGAGTCGTCGCCGCTCATCCAGCCAAAGAAGAACTGGTTCGTTGCCGATTCCACCTCGGGCGACAACGACTGCAAGGACAGCGGCGACATGCAGTGGTCTTACAACTACGGCACCTACCTTGCCGGTGCTGCTTACATGTACAACTACGTACGCGGGCCCCTTCATTATCCTTGATTACGTTCGTAATAAACTAACATGTAAACAGACCGAAGACGCCAAATGGCGCAAGCGCGCAGAAGGCCTGCTCGGCCGACTAACCACCGACTTCTTCCCGAAGCAATACGACCACCAAGTCTTCTCGGAATACGCGTGCGAGCCCAAACAAACCTGCGACCGCAACATGCTCAACTTCAAAGGCTGGTCAGCGCAGTGGATGGCCATGGCGGCGAATCTCGTGCCCGAGCTGCGGACGGAGGTCGAGGCCAAACTGCAGAGTTCGGCGGTGGCAATCGGCACGTCGTGCGTAGGCGAGTCCGATGGTATGAGCGACCTCTGCGGGTCGCGCTGGTGGGGCGCCAAGTGGGATGGGATTAAGGGGCTGGAGGTGCAGCAGGCGGCGCTGGGTGGGATTACGGCGAATCTGATGCTGCTGAGCAGTGCGGAGACGAAGACGATTGAGACGAATCCCGACGCGGAGGAGAAGTACCTGGATACGTCGGATGATGACATCGAGGAGCTGAAGCCGATTTCGACGGGGGATCGGGTTGGGTCGTGGATTCTGACTGTGCTTTGGGGGTCGGGGATTGTGGCTGCCGGGTGGTGGTTGATTAAGCAGGCGTAGTCATGTTAGTGAATAATAGGCGTCTATTTACATTCTATATATTTGATAAATGAATGACATAACTTTACCAACTTCACTGAATATCTTAACACTGCCCTCACGAGTGCCGTTTGGGAATAAGCATAACGATAAGCATAAGCCACCCGGATCCCCACAGCCGAGCCAGCCAAAAAACAAATTAAACAAAAATAAAATCGGATAAAGAGTTGACTTTCCGACTTCCAATAGAAAAGTTAAAGAGTTGACTGTTGACGCGCGGCCGAAACTATGTATCCGTTCTGCATGAACTCGAATTAAAGTAAGACGATCTCAGATCAACTACGTCAATCAGGTCGATCGGCGAGATAGATCGATCTAGCCAGGAGGAGCTTTGTCCGCGAAATTAACAGACTAAACTGTACTGTCCTTGCTGTACTTTGTCTTGCTGTCATCGAGCTTACGCGTCACAATTTGACTCATACGTCGTCATCGATCGAGGACAGGAGAGCTACGCTGTGGTATCAGGCAGAAATGATAATGACATGGAAGAGTCTTGGTCAACAAAGTGGTGTAAGCGCCAACTGGAATCGAAGAACGCTCAAATAATGTTAATGTTAACGAACGCTGCATTTCATACCATTAGATAGCATGGCCTTCCATAACAACCTGGGCCCTAGAGAATTACCAAGCAACACCAGCCTCAACGAGTCCAACAAAGGTCCAACAAAAGTCCAACAAAAGTCCAACAAAGAGTAACAATATGAAAATACAATGGAGCAACAGGCCCAAGAGTTAATCCAATTTAGGGGCATAGGAAAGAAAAGAATGAGTGAGATCAGAAAAGGTGTGAGAGGAACTGCATAAGACCGGGCATAATGTATCGGGGTATCAGACCTCCATTTTAACATCCTTGCCAGTATCCTGTACATTCGTATTTTCGTCGGCGTGTACACCGTCAAGCTCATCAAGTGTCTGCTGCGAGCCTGCAACATGGGAAGCCTCGGGCATCGCCAACTTCATCTTCAACATATGGACCTCGTCTACCAATTGGTGTAAACGCTCAATTGCGCCCACGATTACCTCCGCCTTGGAGGGTGAAGACTGCGCGCGACGCGGCTTCGTCTCTGCCAGAGGTAATGTATCTTCCTCCTTTTCGAGCTTTGTCGGTGCCATTTCCGCGTGCGCTTTACCGGCCGAGCCTGGACAGCAGCCTCCCGCGACCGGGAATGAACACTGCGACTCCTTGATAGCGGCCTCAAGCGCGTCGTATCTGGCGTTGAGTTTTTTCCGGTACCGTTTCTCGACAACGTTATGACTGGCGCGTCGCCAGACACGGCGCTGCTCTTCTTCCGTCAAGGGTCTGCCTAATTCTGCGGCCGAGTCTAGCTCTGGTGATGACGATGAGGTCTGGCCCCCATATTGGGCTGGTGCGTACCGGTTGCGGTTGTTGCGATGGTTGCGAGCGACCAGGCCATGGCCAGGTCTGGGGGCCACCGGGTAAGGAGCTGGTGGTGCATGTTGAAAGGCGAACTGGATCGGTGGCGCTTGCATGGGCCCGCACGGAGGTGCCATGCCTGAGATGTTGCCGTCGGCCATGGCCATGTCGAACGAATTGGACCTGCTGTAGTCGCTGCTATCGAAGCCCTCTGATGAAAACTCCATGGAAGCCTGTTGGGGGTTGTTTGGGGAGTTGAGCAACGGCGCCCCTGTTAGATCCTGTGCAACCCCGAAGCAGTCTATCTGTTGACCCATCATGCCTGGCGTCGCGCTGTTTGAGATGTCGCCGTGCGGCGGAGCTCCATCTGGCAGGGTATTGCGCGGCAGAGCCCAATTTGAAAGGGCTCCATTTGGCATGAAGTTGGGTTGCATTCTGGTAGTTGAAATGGCGCCCTGAGGCATCGTAGGCCGTGGTAAGTTGACCGAGTCCAAGATGGGGAGCTCGGTGGCCATTGTATTAGGGTTCAGTCCACAGGAACCGCCCGACAAGGAATGCTCAGGCTGGGGCTGGAAGCTCTCAATAGTCTTCTGTATGTCGAAGTCGTCGTCCAGCTCGAGGAACGGAGAAACACGACCAGCAGGCATATGCGGAAGCTGGGCATCCATATCATGTCCCAGGGCATCGGGACCCATTTTGATAAAGGGATGGCCTTCCGCCACCACTATGTATTAGTAGGATGTTTTGTAAGGCGAAAAGAAATATATGCCTCAAGGGAGTTTATGGTGGCTTTATGCAAGTGGGGATGGCGAATTTATAGAGATATTCTTTTGGTTTAAGCTCAGGGTATGTGTAATATGCTTGAACGTCTTTATATGTGCGAACTATGGCCGCGGACATGGACTGAACAGCAATTCGAACCTTCCTATGACAAAATGAACCTTCAAAGGTTGGCAAAGGGGGCCTCAACAGGTTTGGGAGGACCTAGATCCAAACGGCCAAGGTTTAAATCTGTTGGCAGGGAATCTAGTCCCGATAACAGGCCCAATGTCTTGCATAAGAAAGTTTTCTGCTACCCAAATGTAAGTCATAGACAAGATATTTCGCCCACAGGCTGTAGCTTTGGAATAGGGGGAACTGGAAACTTTGGACACCTTGCAATCATTGGGTACCATTGGCCGCATTACATAGGGGATGACATGCATCAACAGCTGTCAAACTGGTTCTACCGTTTAGAATCCTGTGGAAGAGTGCGTTAGCGGTGGATCACGGTGCCATGGTTCAGGCCTCCCAACGGTGGTATATGCAGGAAGGCAGGAAGCTCTGCCGGCAGAAACCAGTTGCTTTATTAAAAGTATATCTAGTCCTTGGAATTCCTCTGCAACTTCAACCTAACATGACTTCCCAAACTGGACTCTTACGCAATGCTGCTCCCTCCGATCAATGTTGAGCGTGAAAAATATACTGGATGTGCAGTCCAGGGAAACACGCAGAACAAACAGAATACAGAGAACACACAGAATGAAGTGGAACCGAAGCTACCTCTGAGAGAGAGTCACTCAATCCCACACTCTCTGCCACCGTCATTCTCAAGGACTGTCAGCGAACCGTCGACCCCCGCCATCGACAACCTTCCACGAGCTGCCATGAAACAGCGCTCGAAGTCAGTCAGATTCTCTATAAGTGACGGAATGACCCAGTACTTCAATCCGACTGAAATGACGCGCTCTGTGCACAAAAGTACGTTCGATATTTGATATCTGGTGGCGTATTTGGCTCGCGTCGCTAACAGGTCTAGTGGTAGCGGCTGACGGCGCTTGTTCAGAGCCTGGAGAAGACGGAGCACGTGTGGACCAGGCCATAGTATCTGACAGTAAATAGTATCACAATGGGATAGTATCTCAATGCATAGTCTAGTCTGTACTGAAAATGTGTGTGACGTCACCATTCACGTGCTCTCCTCCTCTTCTCCCCTCATCGCTTTCTGTCTCGCTCCCTCTACCAAATCCCACGGAAATGCTCAGAAGGACCATGTCTTCGTCTGCCGGAAGAACATACACCCAGATCCTAGACTTCTGGTTCAGCCCAAAGTCCTCCCCCGACTACCTGCAGCAAAAGTCCTTCTGGTACGGTGGCCCCGCCGACGACGCATACGTACGCAAGAACCTCGGGCCCTCCTACAACGAAGCCAAGAATGGCCGACTGGATGGCTGGATGGATCTCGCCGCCGGCGAGGGCGCTCTAGCCCTCATCCTCCTTCTAGACCAGGTCCCCCGCAACATCTTTCGCGGGTCGCCGGATGCCTACGCGACGGATGCAAAGGCAGTGGCTGTTGCCCGCCATGCTGTGGACAAGGGCTGGGACCGGGATATGCCGGTTATTCAGAGGCGATACTTGTATTCGCCGTTTAATCACTCGGAGAACCTGCAGGACCAAGAGATGTCGGTGAAGTTGTTCACGGACCTAGGCGATCCGTACCATTTGCGCTGGGCGCGGGATTTCCACGACCAGATTAAGCGCGATGGAAGGTTCAAACATCGTGACGGTGTATTGGGGAGGTAGCCTCCTCGAAAAATGCATTATTGCACCCACTGCTTCGCAACCGCAACTCAACCAAAGTCCATGACAGCTGTTCTCTATTCCAGCCACTCACGGTAGCTCGGTTACAATGTCCATTCAATCCTTGTCAGGACCAGTTTACCTCAAGCTGTCATGGACGGGAGGTCCACCAGCAATCCATGTAATGGTTCCCCAGTGACACAAGCGGCTCTACCGGCTCCAACGGCTCAGCTCCAGCTCGGCTCTAGCTCGGCTCTAGCTCGGCTCTAGCTCTCGCGGCCAGCGGCTCCGCTGCTTCATGAATGGTCACTGACCCCCCTCGTGATTTTATTCTCCCCAGGACCATCGCGGACCCACTGTTTGATTCCCAAGGAATGCAGTGACAGCGGGCAATTGAGTTTGCGCCGAGGCTACCATGGGATACGCAGTCGGCTAGAGAAGCCGCAGGCGTTAGCCTTTGGGTGCGCGGAGATGCAGATGAGACGGTTAAAGGCGGATGTTGGCAGTGGAATTAATATTGTACAGAGTTATGATGTACTAATCCACTCTACCCTTCAAGCTGTATTGCTCCCATATACTGCAGCCATGTGAAAACTTGAATATTAGTCCACCATGACTATGTATTGGCTCTGCACGAAAGGCCATGATATCTGCCTGATTTATCCGAACTCTGTCTTGAATAAGCATTGCTATGAACAAGTACTTCTTGCGAGAAATATTTAATATCGATATTAATGAAGAACCATTCTAAGTCGTTTCTTTTCAAACATTCAACAATTCATAGCATGCGGCCATAGCACGTATCTTGCGCTGTGGTGAAGTCGTGTATACTACTGAGCTTGAAACCCGAGTCTATCGACCATAGAAATGCCAACTAGCATTATCTGCCCTATCCTATACACTGCTCATATGCAGACAATAGACTCCACTATGTTGAGATTGCAAACCTGGCGAAAACCAGCATATAAACAAAACAAAACAAAACAAAACAAAACAAAAACAAAAGAAATAGCTCTCTCAAACGGCGCTCTACGGGCTACATCCCTCACTTCATCTCCAAAATTACGAAAATCAAGCTTCCAGAACTGCCACCTGAGGGTATATCCCAATCCCATATACAAGTCTCCAGGCCTCCGGCTCCGCAGATCATTCTCAGCCAGTGACTTGGTTGTCTCGGGTTGCGAGAAATCACTCAGAATAAGGAATAAATTGTCATCGCCGTATGAAGTTGTTATAGGGTAAGTATCTGGACGTTTGCTCCTCTTGGTTGTTTTAGACATATCCCGAAATATTTAGGAGATGGACATATACTCAGGCAGGCCCTTGTTAAGGCTTAAAGTGCAAGAGCTAGACGTTTATATGTATAGCGACATTTCTTTGAAATATACTTGACCCATCTATCAGTCTATTATTCATTATACGTAGGAAGCCACCTGGCATGAAATAGAAAGTCTTGCAAGTCCTGCATTGATACGCAACGACAAACCACCATACAAAATGACTCCACCTCTATTTGTGAGAAAAAAAAAAAATCCCTACTCAACAATCCACCCCCACTAATCAATTAATTATTGGAAACTTAGAAAGTCTCACGGAACTCAAAAGGCTCAAAGTCACGGACAATGTTCTTGTACTCGCGGCGGAAGACGGAGTTGGGCTTGTAAGCGCGACGGAACACAACGGACTGAGCGGACGACGTGCTGGGCGTAGGCGAGGCCGAAGCAGACGACGAAGGAGTGGCAGAGGAAGAAGGCGTCGCAGAAGAAGAAGGAGTGGCAGACGACGAAGGAGTAGGCGAGACCGAGCTGGACGAGAGACGAGAGTCAAGCTGGACAGTCTCGGAGTTCTCGAGGTGGCGGTCGCAGGTCTCATCGGGGCCAGCGGGCTTGAGGGCATCGCCGCCGAGCTTCTTGATGTACTCGTACTGGTTGGAGATGGCGTCGGAGTTGGGCTGGGCGCCGGGGAAGCCGCCGTCGACGTTGGAGTCGTAGACGGCGACGACGATGTTCTGGGCGACGTTCTCGGCCTGGCTGGAGCGGGCGTAGTTGTCGGGGACGTGGGTGTCGCTGTCGTAGGCGGCGAGGAAGCCCTCGCTTGCTGTTTCTTATTAGTATATTTAGCCCTGGTATATGGTTGTATACGTACAGCTCAGGTTCTCGCCAAAAGCAGCAAAGCCGTCAACGCCGTGCCCGGTCTCGTGGAGCATCACATCGACGTTCTCACCGGTGGTACCGATGAAAGCGACATTGCCGTTGATGGCAAAGGCCGAGTTGGAGCCAGGGAAGAGCAGGACCTGGCGGACCCAGTCGCGCATGCGCAGGGGCACGCGCGAGAAGGTCTCGGCGGCCTTTTCGATGTCGACCTCGACGTCCTTGTGGCGGCAGAAGAGCCAGGGGTCACCGCAGTCGGAGTATTTGACCTCGTAGACCTCCATGTCGGCGGCGGACTTGTCCTCACCCTCGGCGAGGTCCTTGCAGTCCTTGGGGAGGGAGCCGGCGGGCCATTGCGAGATGGTAGACGTGCGGATGGGCAGGGCGTTGGTGTTGCCCTCCTTCAGGTAGTCGAGGTCGTCGCTTAGGGCTGGCTTGTCGAGTTCCTGCGCCTGCACCAGGGCGAGTGCCGACAGGGCGGAGACGAGCTTGAGAGCGGCCTTCATTTTGATTGATTGAAATAGTAAAAGAATGGAGTATACAAATTATAGAATAACGAGTGTTGATCGCCGCCAACCCGCGAGGTACCCAAGCTTCTTTATAGCAGTCCGAGGAAATGAACGGCGCCTGCAGGAGGGCCCGATCCTTCGTGTCGCTGCACGATCGGCCAAGCATCAGCGAGCGGCCCCCAAACTTGGCGTCAGGAACTAACTGCGAGACGGCGAATGAGGCCCTGTTGGCCCTGTGCTGGGCCCTGCAGCGGGTCGCCTACACGCGATCGGCACGATGACTGCACGGGTGCAACGCTCTGCCCCATTCCAGTGGCTGAGTCAAGGAAAGGATTCTTCAGTTGAGTCTCAGTCCAGTCTGTTGTCTGAATTGTCTGAATTGTCTGAGTTGTGATCCGGCATTAGCTATACTGCTTATAGAGAATACGGATGTCTATGCATCTACGAAGTATCAAGAACGTCATTCCCGAGAACACTTTGACCGATCGAGCATTCCTCACCAGTTCCAACTTGCAAACCTGCAAGGGCACTGACGTCCCCACCTGCAAGGCTCAAGTTGCCCCTGCAGATCCCACGGTCATCACCGAGCCGGACGGACTGGCGTTACATAAATCGCTAACAATGGCCCTCGAATTAATGCAGGAACAGGAATATATGCTGACAGGCGTGTCACACCATCTCGTCTTCCCCAAACTATGTAACATAAAACCAGGACATCTCCAGTCCATCTTACGCAGCTTGAGGCGCAGCAAACACCCAGTCCTCAGGAAACGTCGAGACCTGCACGCCCTCACCAAAGATATTCTCGTATTTCTCGATGCGCGTCTCTGGCTTCTCGGCCTGTCGATAGTACCCATGCACCAGCTTCTTCAGTTTCGGGTCATTCCACATCTTGTCCATCCACTTCACCACCGCCGGGCTCGCGTCGTCGAGGGGCAGGTTATACGTGCGAAAGCGCTGCCACACCGTTAACTAAGGAAAACAGACGAGGATAATGAACGGAATTGAAAGACATACCCATAAAACAGGCCAATAAAATGCATCAGCGATACTAAACCCGCCAAACAGGAACCCTTCATCGTCAACCGCACTGGAAGACGCTGCGGCCCTCGCATTATCCCAGATCGTCAATACCCGCTTAATCTCCTTCTTCGCCCCCACCGATCCAGACGCGGCGATCGGCCCCTCGTACCGCGCGATAAAGTTCGTGTGAAACGTGTTTCGCAGGACGGGGAAGCCAGAGTGCATCTCGGCGGTCGCGGAGCGGGCGAGAGCGCGCAGGGCCGGATCGCGGGGCCATAGCGCGAGATGGGGGTTCTGGTCTGCGAGGAATTCGAGGATGGCGAGGGAGTCTGTTATTGTTATGGACAGTGGGATGGACTGGAGGACTGGGACGAGGCCGCTGGGGGAGTGAGTTTTGATCTGTAGGTATTATTAGTACGTCCAGGGTGAGAGGTGTAGTGAGTACCTCGTCGAAAGTGAGCATTTGAGATGTATACGGGATCTCAAAGTACTCGAGGACAGTCTCGACGCGCGCAGTCCAGCCTGGGTGGTGAGTTTGTGGTCGTATTCTGTCGTATTGGGAGACATACTGGAGTAGCGAGTGTAGGACCCGATTAGATGGTAGTCGGGAGACATGACTGATAATCGATACGAACAGGTACGAATTGAAGAGAATGAGGATTCTTGAAGATACGAAAGAAGATCCGAGATGAAGTCTTGAGGATACGAGATCTGCAGTTAAATAAGCCTATGACTCAACCCACGCCCTTTGCTGCAATCCCCGCCCTCGTATAACGTTATCGTATCTATTCTTATCGCACATGAACAACATCCAAGACATAATACATTCTGTTTATAGATTCTCCCCAATCTAATTGCCCACATTCTTGCCCTGCGCCGCGAATGTATTGCCCGTGCCTGTGATCGCCTCGCCCGTGAAGCCCATATCCCTGGTGCTCTGCGGCATGTCGGTGGCGTTGTCTGCCGCAAAGGCCGTCGAGGGCTGCCCGGTGCCTTGGTAGGAGAATTCGGAATCTTCGGAGCGTTGCTCAGGGCGTGGGACGGACGGGATTGTGTTCATTTTGCCGGCGTCGTTGGGAATCGTTGTCCCTGTGGGTGCCATGTCGGACAGGTTGCCGCCGCGGTGGGGGGAGGTCATTTTGATAGTTGTTGTAGTATTTGAATTGTTTAGTAGATTATAGGAGTTGAGAAGTGTAGACTGTTATGGGTTGAGTGCTGGCTCTGTTTATATAGCTGGGGTGATGTCATGCTGGCTCATCCATTGACAGAAGTATGATATCAACGACAGAGGCATGTAACAGGATACGTACGACATATTGACTATCTGCCGGACGCAAGATAATTGGAGATAACTCGGTTGGATGGCTTTGTCTAGAACAACCTGACGCCATCTCCTTTCGCAGTTAGCCCTAATTCGCCACAGCCCTATACAAGTACACCACAACTCCTGGAGTTAAGACATTTGTGTTGCCTAACAATAAATCAGGTCATGGCTAAACCAGTTATATTCTGCGTCATTAGGCACCACCAAAGATCCCTGCAGTAAGCACTAGTTAGCGTAGCGGACATATAACTTAAGCAGCCAACCCCGCGATCAGCACAGCTGCACACAACTGAAATCAACTGATTTATCTATCTCATGATGCGTATCGCAACAGCCGTAGCAGCGGTTATTTCGCTATGTCTCGCTGAGCTGCAACACCCTCTAGGACACCAGCATCCAGAAACTCCAGCCGACAGCCCCTTCAACGAAGCCTTCAACCAGCGAGTTGAATGGGCACTGGAACACTTCCACATCCCCGGCCTCTCCATCTCCATTATCAACAATGGCACGACCTTTGCAAAAGGCTACGGTCTATCTAACATCGCCACATCCACCCCCGTCACCCCCAACACGCTCTTCTTCGCAGGGAGCACCACAAAAGCACACACAGCCGCTGCCCTCTCGCTGCTCGTCGACGACGACAACTACCCTCACATCCAATGGGATACACCAATCCACACCCTCCTCCCTGAATTCGCACTCAGTGACCCGCTTTATACCTCGCAGATAACCCTCACCGACATGCTCAGCCACCGCTCTGGTCTCCCGCGGCACGATATGCTGATGCTGCTGAATACCACCACCAAAGACATCGTAGCGAGGCTGCAGCATCTCCCGCTGACAGCGCCAATTCGTACAAAATTCCAGTACTGCAACCTCATGTATATCACGGCTGCGCATCTAATCGAGACCGTAACAGGCTCAACGCTCGAAGAGTTCCTCCGGATGAATATCTGGAACCCACTCGGAATGAATGATACGGGGTTTAACCTGCAAGCAGCACTAGATAGGAATCTCGACGTCGCTCAGGGATACTACTACGACCCTGACACTGACACTGACTCTGATAGCGAAAACGGGAAACTCCACCCAACAAACCGCACCTACAACCCCGCCGTCACAGGCGCAGGAAACATCCTCACCTCCGCATCGTCTTACGCGAAATGGATGCACGCCCTACTTACTCGCTCCCCGCCCATCTCTCCAGCTGGATACACCGCGCTTTTCAGCGCCCATACCATCGGCAGCCCAGTCACAACTAACCCATTCAGCTCGCCAGACCTATACGGGCTGGGCTGGGTAATCCAGAACTACCGCGGCGAGGCGATCGTGCAGCATGGCGGCGCGCAGGACGGGTACGGGGCCTTGGTGGTGATGCTTCCACAGAGGGGGTTCGGGGTGGCGATGCTAGGAAATTATATGGAGGGGATGAATGGGGCGGCGCAGGTTTTGGGGTTCCAGCTTGTTGATGATTTGCTTGGGGTTGAAGAACAGGGGAGGTTTGATTGGGTTGGGACGTATGTATCCTTCCTCCTATCTAACCAAGGACTTGTAAGATGTGTTTAGGGAGCTAACTGGGTGGTAACGGAACAGAATCGATAACCAAACTCGCCAATTCCAACTGACGAACGAGACATTCGAAAGACTGTACCCTGATCTGCCGGATACTTCAGAACTCATTCCAGCCCCCCTAGATAGTGTTTCCTTCACTGGTCGATATACCCACCCAGCCTATCCAACCTTGAACATCTCAACCTGCCCGGAACGTGCACCACTCAGAAAACCTGCGAAATGGACAGGAGTGCGACTGTGCGGGTCATTCGAGGATATTGTCCCCCTCCCAGATGAGCTGACGTTTGATTTCTTCCATCTCACAGGGGGATATTGGGCGCTTGTGCTTGGGTTGGAGGGGATGCATCAGGCTACAAGAGCGGAGTTTAGGGTCTCGGTTGGTGGTGTTGTTGATAGGATTGGGATGGAGTTCGATGGGGAGATGATGCTGAAGGGGGAGAAGATCTGGTTTGACAGGTTTAATGGCTAACAGTATAGACTGGTAGGACAGGTTATGGATGTCCTGTAATTGGTCCTTGATCAGAACTTGGGGTCTGGATTAGTTTATATAACTAGGGAGGCCGGAGGGCTGACCAGTAGAACTAGCCAAATCTTCGCCCAGGCGAGTACCTGAGCCTAGGTCGCATCTTCAAACGACTGCTCCTCCAGCAAGCCAACCTGGTCGTCCTTGGCGCTGTCACCTGTGGAGAAATAGCTCTCCAGCCCAAAAAGCTCATTCATCTCTTCCAGCGATTTGTCTTTTGTCTCGACTATATTCTGGTCAGCAACGAACGCATGAATGAGGATCGACGTACCAAGAGTAAACCGAACAAAGGCAAATGCTGCCACACATATCAACGCATATACAACGTACAGACCCCAGCCAATGGCATCACCCAACACAGGCGATATCTGCGCAACAACGTAGCAAGAAGCCCAGTTTGCTGAAGTCGCCAGTGCGTTCCCTTTGGCGCGCATCGATAGCGGGAAAATCTCGGATGGGTATGTCCATGCTGCAACGCCCCAGCTAACGTTGAAGAAGATGTAAAACAGGTACGGAAACAGGATTATGATGTAGTTTCCACCGGATCCAGGATGGTGCTCTGCTTGTCGCTGCAGTCCAGCGATTCCGAGCATGGACAGCATCATGCCGACGGTGCCGATCTGGAGCCAGGTCTTGCGGCCGAATCGGTCGAAGTAGAAGATGGGGATCCAGGAGCTCAGGAAGAGGGCTATTCCTACGCCGCCTGTTGCGAGGTTTGCGGCTTGGGGGTCTGTGATGCCTCCTTTTTGGAACAAAGACGGCTGTCAATGGTTAGTTTCATTCGAGTAGAGACAGATCGCACTTACAGCGTAGTACAAGATCGAATTTGTGCCAGTGATTTGTTGGAAGCTCTGAATCCCACATCCCAGGACTGTCAGTTTCAGAATTGGGCTCTTCAGCATCCCAGACCAGGACACTTTAACATGGCGCTCTAATCTGATCGTCTCCTGTATCTGCTTGAGCTCTGCTTCGGCGGTCTCTTCTCCATGCAGGCGAAGAAGCACCTCGTGCGCGCACTCATTCCTCCCCTGCGCAACCAGCCAGCGGGGACTAGGCAAGACCCAGCTGCAGCAGCCTAGACACAGGACCAAGGCTGGGAGGATTTGGACGGCGAGGGCAATGCGCCACCAGTTCGGCGTCGAGAGGAGACTGAGCCAGTAGTCGAGCCAGAAGGCGATGAGCTCACCAGTGCAGAGAATCATCTGCTCGATGCCGATGAGACGGCCCCGGAGCGTAGAGGGGGCAATTTCGGATTGGTACAGGGGAACACCAGCTGCACAACCGCCGACTCCGAGTCCCAGGATGATGCGTCCAATGATCTACCTATTAGTCCATGAATAGTTGAGAATATCGTAAACACGTACAATCTGCGGGATTGTATATGACCCAGTTTGAATCACAGCACCGATAATACAGACAATGCTAGCCAGCGCAAGTAGTCTCTCGCGGCCATATAAATCGGCCAGAGCACCAGTGGACATGGCACCAGCGAAGCAGCCAATGTCATACATGGACACCACAGCACCAGTGACCCCTACAAATTAGCACCAACCCAGTACTCGGAAATTGAACATACAAGAATTAGAAGGTTGCATCAAGTCCTTCCATCGCTGATCGGCCACGATCATCCCCATAACCCCCTGGTCATAGCCAAACAGCAGTGCGCCCAAGGACACGAAAGCGGCTAGTTTGTAGACGAACCATGGGTCGGTCCCGCGGGGAATCGGTCGGGGGGAAATAGGACTCGTCTGCTTGAGAGACCACATACCTGCCGATCACGCGATGAACATAAGATCCAGCAGCTGGATGGGATATAGATGATCAATGGATGTGTTGTTGTCTTGGTGTCTTTTTCTCCGCACGACACGGGGTCAGGTGACTCAGATCGCCGCTGCGGTCACGGGACCGGCGTTGTATGAAAAAGCCGGATGGCAGTTCGGATGCTGGAGTGAATTAGCAGTAGTTGCTTTGGATGAATTGTTGGGATGGCTAATTATTGGGATAACTAATTATTCTCCAATAATGGGCCAGGTATAGGCCTGTGGAGTGACGAATGACGACTGGGGTTCCTCGGCTTTGCGCACTGCCGAGAGGCGATGCGGGGAAGCACTCCCACTGTCTTCACTGCTGGACTTTCTCTTCCTCTGTCCATGGACATCATGTCGCAGACGTCTGTTCCTGAGATTGGTATCTGGCAGCTGCTCTATAACCACGGGGCGAGGCCGTTTCCAGAAAATCATGGTATGTCTGATACTATACTCCGGGATTGCGTATACTAACTATATATCTGTGTAGTGATCTTCCAAGATGGCGCCTCGAAAAAATCATACACATATAAATACCTCCGGACGGCTTCGCGGAACTTCGGCAGCTCCTTACAAAGTCTATGGAAATTTAAAAAGGGCGATGTGCTGGCATTAATGTCCCCCAATTGCATCGAAACTCCAGTAGTGACGTGGGGATGCCATTATACCGGGACAGTAGTTGCACCAGTTAATCCCGGCTTGTCTACACGGGAGCTTCATCAACAGCTCTCTCGCAGCCAGGCAAAAGGTATAGCTGTGCATTCGACTTGCCTGGAGACTGCATTAGAGGCAGCAAAGCTAGCTGGTCTCCCCGAGAGCCGGATACTGGTCTTGGGAACAGAGAATGAAAGTGGTACTGGAACTACAACAGCTCAGTTTATAGACAATGCTCCCTCAAGTCCTGTCGAGCCGGCACACATCCACCCCGACGATGTCGCCTTCCTCGTCTACTCGTCCGGAACAAGCGGGCCTCCGAAGGGCGTCATGGTATCTCACCGGAACGTTGTCGCAGATGTCGTTCTACAAGCAGCGATCGAGGGGCCACATGTTAACTGGAAGAACGATCGAACGCTAGCTGTGCTCCCGACATATCATATATACGGTGAGTCTATGCCGAAATCCCCGTCCTGCTTCGAGTATTAACTGTGTAGGCTTGATATGCCTCGTATACCTCCCGGTCATGCTCGGAACAACGACGATTTTCATGGATAAGTTCGAGCTACAGACATTCTGTAACCTGATTCGTGAGCACTCAATATCGCATGTCTACGCTGCACCGCCAATCGTGCTCCACCTGGCAAAGAATCGCTCTATCAATGGCTCAGACCTAGCATCTCTACGGATGATCACATCCGGTGGTGCACCGCTCGGGGAAGCCCTGATCCAGGAAACATATAGCCGCTGGAAGGTCCCACTGCGACAAGCGTACGGATTATCCGAGACAACATCAGTCTCCCACATCCAGGTAAATCCATCGATAATTTTGTTGAAACATGCTAACTTCCCCAGCGCTGGGACAGCTGGAACAAAGGCATCGGATCAAACGGTCCAGCAGTACCAGGTGTACAGGCCAAAATCGTAACGGATGGAGACCGAACCGCTGCTGTGAAAGAAGAAGGCGAGCTGTGGATTCGCGGGCCTACAGTTTTCAACGGCTACATGAACGACCCATCCTCCACGCAAGCCTGTTTCACTGCGGACCGGTGGTTCAAGACAGGAGATATCGGATACGAGGATGAGATGGGCAACTTATTCATCACAGACCGTGCAAAAGACATGATCAAATTCAAGGGGTTCCAGATAGCTCCTACAGAGCTGGAGGATATTCTAATTGAACATCCTGCTGTGAGTGATGTTGCCGTCATCGGTGTTTGGAATGAGGAGATGCATTCCGAAGTGCCGCTGGCGTATTTAGTAGCCAAGGGGGATACAAACGGGAACGAGAACGTGGCTAGATCGGTTATGGAGTATTTGAAGGGGAAAGTGGTGCATTATAAGCATCTTCGAGGAGGCGTCGTCTGGATCTCGCAGATTCCGAAGAGTCCCTCGGGGAAGATATTGAAACGGGTCTTGAAGGATCGAGTTGCCGGTGTGGACAAAGGGAAGCAGATCCTCGCTCCTGAATATGCTCGCTATCGGTCTAAGCTGTAAAGCCTAACCTCATATGGATAAAGCAAAAAATGCTGGATGATAGAATTAATAGACCGTTCAACCTTCATACGCTCTGCAGGGTAATTTGAACTTTGCTTTGAAGTTATCCACTTCCCCGCGCCACTTATGGTGCAAAGCATGGGCTGGTGATCGACCTCACCAGAGGACATTGGGTAGGTCTGCATACGCAGATCATCGTCTCTTCCCAACTGTCGTGTGAGCAGTCACCATGACGGCCTTGGTTTACCGCACATCAATATCTCATTATCACTCTGAATATGGGGACCCTGTCGGTTAAAAAATAGGCGAATATTCAAATTACTCTTGGATGTGAGGTAGACAAAGGTGTGCCTAAACACAGGGCAAGTGTAGTATGAAGCTTCGGTTAAAGTTGGACGGAGGTCTCGTCTGGCTACAGGTATATCCAGAGAAACAGCAAAAGTAAGGGACATTTTATCACAGACATTTTGACTTGTCGAATTCTATCGTTAATTCTAGGAAAAGAAGACCAGTCTTCCCTGCGTCATATTAAAATTCGCTTCCAGCTGAAAGCATTTGGACTAGAAAGGGACGGCCCAGGCCGCCAAGGTCTTATCTGATCCGGCCGTATTATCTGATCTGTAATATTACCGTATGTCAGGTGTCGATCCGAGACCGGACACTATCAATCTGATAATCTTACCCCACCCTTTCTTGGAATGAGGAACGGCTGCAGGCCTGCAATTGAAGGAAAACTCTTCATTACCTTGGCATTTAGTCAATTTATCTAACATTTGCCTGTAGAAGGTCTCGGCATTCGCTTACGCCTCAATAATGGGGTTTGAACTCGCTTCGTGTCTCCCTGCTCCGGTGAGGATGTCACGCCCTGTCTGACTCGTGTAGTCTGGCTGGTCGCACTATTTCGAAGAAGCAGTGATGTTTCAGGTGTCTTGTACCACGGCTGGTATGTTGGAACTAGAATTTCCTCAACCAATAGAGTCGGATTCTTCGGCATGATGCGATGGCGTCAATCTGCCGACGCCGGACGGGGCTCTGGACTAGACCAGAGAACATGACGAGACCCTAGAATGAGTGGATTCAATTAGTGGGGGTTTACGAACATGCCAGTGTACCCCAATCATATATTTCTCCTAGCCTCCCACTCCCGGCAGGGGAGTTGCTTCCAGCTGGTCCCTTTGTCTTCTGACACCAAGAAAAGAGATGTTTCCAGCCCTCCGGAATCCGGCCCGCCTGCGGCCGTTGATTCGCCATATTCAGAAGGATCAATTGCAACCTCACCGACTCCAAGATCGTTACCTGACTCGATGTTTTGTGCGAATCCCACCCAACAAGACACCTGGTCTTCGAAGCCTGCAACAGCGTCGATATGCTCACGATCACAGGGGAGCCAGACACCAAGATGTGGCAGCCCAGGCGGAGCAGCCAGGAAACGTGGAGGGCGCTCAAACTAATGCAGTTTACGAGGCAGCGTACCGGTTAGTAATTTCCTGTACGACGCCATCGTATTAGAGTGGGGCCTGATAGATTGATAACATCCGTTTTGAGCCGACTCAGTCCACTCGTGACTCGCCGGGCTCCCCTCTTTTACTCGCGTTCCCCCTTCGTTTCTCCCTGTCTCGGTTCTCTCTCTGCTGCAGAATTGAGCATATTGTGCTGTGTTGACTTGTGTTGTGATAATGCCTAGCTTCGAACATTCCCCGGCTCCTTTCAGAGTCCTTATCCTCGGCGGCTCGTATGCCGGCCTTGCAGCTGCTCTTAACCTAGTCGACCTCTGCCACGGTCGTCGACATCGGTTCTCCATTACAGATGGTGATAATGGTACCGGAAAGGTGATCCCGGTGCAGGTGACAATCGTTGATCCCCGTGATGGCTGGTGTATGTCAACCCTGCCTAGTTGACTAAAACATGTTTACTCACTAAGGACAGTCCATCTGATCGGACAGCCTCTCGCTCTGGCCTCCACGGAATCTGCAGAGGCATTCTGGTGCAAATACTCCGAGACACCGGCCCTCCAGACCCCGAACATCCGCACTTTACAGGGCACAATCGACTCGCTAGACTGCACATCAAAGCGAGCCACCATCGCGACATCTAAAGGCCCCATTCAGGAGTCCTACGACTACCTCATCACCTGCACCGGCCTGAGACGCGAGTTCCCTAGTGCCCCACGCTCGGTTACACGCGAGGACTACCTCGCCGAGTCAGCACAGAACCTCGCCAACGTCCGCGATGCACCAAAGGGCGTTGCCATTATTGGCGGTGGTACGCAAGCCCCTCGTTCCAACTAGTTATTTTCCCTGCAATAAGACTGATAAAGATATAGGCGCCGTCGGAATCGAAATCGCCGCCGAGTGCAAGATGCTGCACCCGCACACGGACGTAACCCTAATCCACTCGCGCGCCTCCCTCCTCTCCTCCGAGCCCCTGCCCGCTGAATTCTCCGCAAAGGCCCTCGAAATTATCCGTGCTAGCGGCATAAACACCGTCATGGGCGCCCGCGTTAATGAAACCACCAAGACAGACGACGGATACACACTCACCCTCTCCACAGGCGAAACTCTAACCGCCAGCCACGTCATCAACGCCGTCTCCCGCTTCACGCCTACCGCACCCAACTACCTCCCAGAAGGAATTTGTGATGAGGAGGGGTATATCAGGATTAAGCCGACGCTAGAATTCCCATCTGATGCTTCCCTTCCGGCAGAGATTGCAGCGGACCATTATGCCGCTGGTGATGTTGCACGGTGGTCTGGGATTAAGCGTGGCGGGGCCGCGATGCACCAGGGACACTATGCGGCAAGGAATATCCACCAGAAAATGATGGCCAAGGTTTATGGGACGACGGCGGAGTTTGTGGCGCTCGAGGAGGTGCAGTCGGGTATGGGGATTGCGCTGGGTGAGACGGCTGTGTCGTATTTCCCGTCTATGGGGCTGGGTGAGGGTGAGGAGACGAGGAAGATGTTTTTTGAGGATGACTTAGGGTTTATGAGTATGTTTTCCATCTTTGTCCGTTTGATGGAGCTTTGCTAACTGTCGTAGTCTGTTACAGGTGGATGCAGCTGGGCAAGCCGATGCCACCCCCTGTTGAAGCGCCTGCGAGTGAAGAGACCACCAAGCCGGTCGCAGTGTCTAACCCGACTCCGGTCGAGGCTGCTGCTTGAATTGCGTGTAGTGTTTTATTTTCCACGGAGTAATTCTTTGATTTCAGGTCCAGTTTTCGGGATTTTGTTAAAAAGGAGCTTAGGCTGGCTTAGATTTTGCTGATTGTTCGTTAAATTATCAATCTGATATCCCCTGCATATCCGAGTATGGCATTTTTAATAACGATAAGTGAATTCCTGCCAAATCCACAGCCATTCGCCCCTAAACTATTCAGAGCACTGCTCCGGCAGCATTATCAGAACAACGTCCTGACCACAGAGTCCGGTGATCGCTCCGAGACAAGAGTCTCATCTTGTTCTCCAGTGGTTTCGCAATTCTACAGTGTAATTGGCGTATTACCAATATGATCAGATCAGATGGGCCGACCTGATGCAGATCAATTATTTTCCCATCGCAGCAGTATATATATCTTCTCTTGATCTTCTGTTGACTGCAAGTTCTTGTCCCTGTTATTACGTTCTTCGACTGCTTTACTAGGCCACTGCTGTGTAAAGCAAAAAGTGATCCAGTCATTCATGGACTTCGCTCCAGATGAGTGATATTCTCTGAATCCCCTGTTCCGCCTTCAGCGTTGCAAGGGCCATTCAGTGATACACAACTTAGGTCAAGCCTTTTCAAACCTCTTTTAGCTCTCCATCGATTGCTCGACAAGACGATTTCCGGGCACCCCCTGAGAATCCAGAACCATTTCTGAACGAAGAACTCAGATACTTCCCAGCTCTCTGGAAGCCATGGGTCGCCCCATACTATCATACCGACATCCCCATTGGCAGGATCCATAATATCACTACACAGGTCACAGTCGTTGAGAAGATCGGCAACACGGACTAGGTTGTCCCGGATCTGTGGGAAAGGGAAACAATCTAGCCAGGGATGATGAGAGACATGAACCTGAAGAGCGGTTGGAGAGAGAGCTGGAGGGAGATGCCAGGGCCCACGCATATCTGGGAGGACCGGGTTGAAGGGCGACGGGATGTCATCTTCTATTTCCTCTAGGGCAAATCCAAGGAGGGTAAAATTTTGTATGAAGGCACGAAGAACGTTGAACTTGGACAGCGTCAGGAGTTGATCCAAGCATGGATTGCCGGTGTAGTATCTATCGTAGGCGACTTGATCAAAGTCTGCCATCATGACAGCGGCTTCTGAAAGGGTTACTGGCGGGTTGTACTTGAATGTGCCTCTGGGTGTTCTCGGGAGTATGACTGCCAGTTTTGGGTTCTTCTTTGCCTCCTGAATCGCTGCTTTCTGCAGGTCGCGGGCGACCTTCATTCTTGCCCCTAAGATGGATGTTAGGGGACCTGCAAAGGATACGTCATTCTACGTACGTTGAGCTCGTTGATTCAGCTTATTTTGCAGTCTCCGCCGTACAGCGGGGTCAGTCACTGCCCTCCAGTCCTCATCGGGGCAGCGAATCACACCTTCAAGCTGTGACATGGTGGGTGATAGCCGTGAGAGAGAGATGGAAGAAAGAAGTCAACTGCCTTTCGCCATCCACATCCGCATCCACTAGGTCTACTTGGGACTAGTCAATGCATGTGGCGACTTTGCTGACGGATATCCAGCCAATTGGAATACAGTGGGGCATCACCCAATATATGGCTCTATACTGGTACAGAGCACTACGGTACGTCCAGTTGCAGTGACTTATAAAGGATCCTCATGGAATCTTTCCGTTCAAACGTTTTACCTTCTCTACTCATCAGGCCTGATCCCCTCCGCCCATAATGCCTCCATTTTCCAGCGAGGACATCCCGGACCTCCGACACCAAGTAATCATCGTCACAGGAGGCAACGCAGGTGTTGGATATGAGACCGTTCGGCAGCTGAGCCAGCACAATCCGGAGCGCATTTATCTCGCCGCTCGATCGAAAGAGAGGGCCACAGAAGCCATCAAACGCTTGCAGGAGGCGCACCCCGAGGGAGCCGATATCCAATTCCTACAGCTCGATCTTGCATCATTCGACAGCGTCAAAGCAGCTGCTGCAACATTTCTTAGTCGGGAGACCCGCTTGGACATTCTTGTCAACAATGCCGGGATCATGATGACGCCCGAGGGACTCACGAAGGAGGGCTACGAGATACAATTTGGAACAAATGTCATGGGCCCCGTGTTATTCACCCAACTTCTAATGCCCGTCTTGCGAAGGACAGTCAAAATAAATCCTCAGACTCGCATGGTGATGCTTAGTTCTGCTGCCCACGCCCGCGCCCCCAGCGATGTCTACAAGTTCGACGAGCTTCGCTCAACAGCATCCCACCGACATACTACGCAGCGGTATACCATGTCAAAACTTGCGGATCTCCACTATGCCCAAGCATTGGCCGAGCGAGAACGGGAGGTCAAAATTATTCCCGTCCACCCTGGCATGGTGGCAACTAATCTTCACCACGCGGCAACTGGCATCTTTCTTAAGCCCTTCCTTTACGCCGCCGTTGGCCTATTTGCAACACCCGTCGAAAGGGGGGCGCTCTCTCAAATATTCGCTGCTGTGAGTCCTGATGTCAAAAGCGGACAGTACTATGGGCCTGTCGGAAAGGTGGAATCAGGTTCAAAGCTTGCCCAAGATCACGGCCTGCGGGAGACGTTGTTTAACTGGGTCCAGGGGCAGCTCGAGGGGCATGTCGAGACACTATATTAGACGCCACCTGGTGTTCGCCTTTCTTAATATTCGATTTTCCCGCCCAGTACACTTTTACATTAAAATAGCACTTAATGAAACGGAATCCCACTAGCCTACCATTTCACGCTTGTACGACCTGAGACTAGTAGGTGCCTGGCAACTGTAACAGTTTTAAGGCCAGTGGCCGTGGAACCTGCTTTTGTGTAGAGTAATATTCATGCATCCGCCATTCGAACTGTGATATGGAACCGGCCTGTTGACGCTTCACAGGCATATTCAGCACATCGCAGCCCTTCGGCCATTTGCTAGAGTCTTCTCTCCTCAGAAACCCCATCTGCTCCATCCCAACTCGCCTGCACTGCCACCCACAAACCCCATATGGGCCCTAACAATCCTCATATCTGAACTGACTGACATGGCTGATTAACCAACAACCCATTCATATTTCTGTGCATCACTCCAAGTGCCGGCCAAAAGGTAACCGTCATCAGGCAGTTCCACAACATGCAGGTTCCTATCAAATGTAGCAGAACTCATATTTCCCGTGCTAATGTATCGGCCATAATGGACCCCATCTTCATTTGTCTGTATTGCCACCAATGCACATTGAGTATATACTTGACCAGGAAGGGCGGCCCTTAGGATAATTCCATACGCCTCGCCTTGGCTCAGGTTAACTGGAACGGTCCCTTTCAAGTGCAGAAATGACATTTCCGCCTCGTCTGGCTCTGCCGCTAGACTGTCTGGGTCTGGGTCATCAAAGTCAGGATCAGGAAAGGGTTTGGAATCATCAAGCCACTTCTTCCAGTCCATCTGGCTTTGGTCAGGCTGCGATCGTTTTGATTTTGCCAGGCCCAGATCAAACAGGTCCGATGAAAGCGCTATTAGCGAAGGATACTGTGTGATGCAGAGGCCGCGGGGCGTGATATTCCCAGAATCACCAGCAAGAACATTGAATTCGCCTGTAAATCGACATACTTTCATTGCCCATCCCAGTCCATATTCTTGGAATCGTGCGCCTTCGAGAAAAAGCACAGCCTGGGGAAACTCATCCAGCATGCTGTATATCTGCCGCATTCGGTCATCGGCCTCCTTGATCTTTAGGATCTTGCCGACATCGAGATTCAGCAGACCTGCTAGGACGGTCGGACGATCACGGTCTTTACTGCTGGCTCGTGTGGCCACGTTGAACCAGTTCCAGGCAATTATCTTACCCTGGTCCATTGCACCTCGGTGGATGACATTGCGATAGAATGTCGAGGCATAGTCAGTGGGTTCGTCAAAGTACGAATACCAAGCCACTGCGGCCATGGTAGCGATTCCCTCTTGGAAGATGGGGATTTCTCCTTGGTCGACCTGTTTCAAGAGCATGTAGGGGATTGTGCCGATGTTTATTGCCTTGTCAGATAAAAGCACGAAGAGCTTTTCCTGCGCGGCCAGTCCTTCTTGGAGCGTCCATAACCGGCGAATCCAGTTTGAGCAGTATAGAACTCTCAGACAGACTTCCATTTTACTGCACAATTTCGAGTCGAGCAGCATCATCTCCGAGTCGATAATCATGTTCCGAGAAGCTGTGATCAGGCGATGTTAGATAGATACAAATAAACTGTCACAACAGGTGGCACTGACCACCGGTATAAACATCGCGAATGCGTTGAATTGCCAGACCACGAACATCATTTCGGTGTGGGATGCACAATGTATCAATCCACAGCAACACAGAATTGTCGCGTCGAACCGCCTTGGCTGCGAAGTGGCCAAATCGAGCAGCCCCAGAATGTAGCGGTCCATATACTTTGTCCTCATAGCCAGGAATATATTCCTTGTCAGACAGCAGGCGCTGGGCCCGTCTGTAGAGAAACTCCAACTGGCAGTGTGGGAGAGAATTGCCCTGAGGGTTGCCTAGTCCATCGGCCCATACATGAGAGATGGCTACGTATGGCCTGTTCGTGCGCTTCTTGACGACCTCGAGCTTATACTGCTGGTTCCCAAGTTCATCCTCACCAGACAAGGTGATCATCACAAGAGGGATTCCTCCGTCAAGGAGAATTTTATGTAGCGGTTCAACATCTGCGTGGATATGCGAGCAGTTGCAATCTTCTTGCACATGGCGAGTAACATAGTTGCTTTCATCTATATTGTCCGCCACGCATTGCGCCTTATCACAAGAATCATGCGTTCTGTTGTTCCAGCTGGGCTTGGTACGACGCAATTGCAGCAGGTAAACTTGGGTATCTAGGTAGATGCCAGCTTTGCAACACTTCATCGCATCCAGGGGACACCATCCCTTGAACAATGGCAGTTTCTCCAAGTCTTCGCTGGTGAGGGACCACGCTCCCAACAATCGAGGGTTGGGCTGAGGGCCATCTCGCTTGACCGCAACATTCCAGAGGGCAAGGCTGGCCAGACGAATGGCCAACCACATCCCGTCCCCTATGAAACGGAAGTAGCCAGGAAGAGCTTCGAGGACTTTGTTGACAATCTCGACAGTTCGTGCTCCGCGGTTGTTGTTCTTCCAGTCGTCAGCATCTTCAATATATTTGTGCAGATATCTTGTCGTGATGTACTGCCGTGGGCCGTCACTCTCCTCGCAGACGATAATAAACTCGGACTGATTCAGCTGGTCACCGAAGACATAGTGTAGCATGCCAAAGTAGAGCCAGCACCCCATCTTGGACGTGTATTCAAACAAGTACTCGAACTCTTCGGGTAGTTTCACGTACGGAATATATCGTGAAAGGAAGTCCTCTGATCCAGGCTCATCGAGCCAGCCACAGCGAGAGGGAAACGTATCCCAGTCGCTTCCGTCGTATAGCTCGCCGACATACTCAATCCGAAGGGCCCTCGGAGGGGCGCCAGGAAAGAATAAATGATCTGCCATGGGGTTTCTATCTCTTCTCGAGCGTTGCAAGATGTTTTTCTGACAATCAGATTTGCCCCGCTTCAGCTGAGGAAATGCCCGTGCGCCACGTAGTGAGAAGTTGTAGAGCTGAACTGGCACGTGATCGGATTGGCCCTATAGACTGCCCAGCGTTGGTTGGAATTCTAGAATTTAGTAGCGAAGGAAGATAGATTATACAAAACTAGATAAAGACCTCTATTTCGTCCACAGGTTCACCTGCCCCGTCTCAAGCAACAACTTCAACACTGTCTGGTGACCATACTCTATAGCCCAGGACATTGGTGTCCTACCAGTGTTGTCCTCTGAGTTGACAGATACCATGGGAGCCTCAAGCAACAGCTTTACTACAGCCCCGTGCCCACTCTGTGCGGTATAGGATAATGGTGTTCGACCCAAGCGGTCTTTTAAGTTCACATCCACTTGCCCAGTCTCTAGCAAAAGCTGTACCACGGCCGTATGACCCTCTGCTGCAGCCCAGGTTAATGGGGTCCGACCCATGCTGTCCTTTGTGTTCACATCCACCTGCCCAGTCTCAAGGAATAGCTTCACAATGGGTTGATACCCAAGCCGTGTGGCATAGGCAAATGGCGTCAAGTTTTTGGAGTCCTTCTTGTTCACATTCACCTCCCCTGTCTCAAGCAATAACTTCACCACGGCCTCACACCCCTGCTCTGCGGCCCAGGACAATGGTGTCCGACCCCAGGTATCCCCCCAGATAGGATCCACATCCACCTGCCCTGTCTCCAGTAATAGCTTCACCACTGCCTCATGCCCATTTAGTGCCGCCCAGAATAATGGTGTCCAGTCATTGTTATCCCTCATATCAAATTTACTTCCTTCCTGGATAGACATTCGAGCTGTACCCTCATTCCCATGTTTGGCAGCCCATAGCAATGCCGAGTTTTTGGAATTTTGAGAATTACGTTGATAGAGGTATGGATTCAGAAGAGTGTGGAGGTGGCGGTTGGATTGAGACAGTGAGTTGATGTCTCTTTCGGCCTCCAGGAATGTTGCGACGAATATGAGCAGTTCTGCGGGAAAATTAAGGAGAGGCATTCTGAATGAAAGATTCAGGACTCATGGAGGTGAGGGGAAATCGAGGCTTGAAAAATATTCAGGGGATGTTATCATGTCAAGGAATGCCAAGCGAATCTCGTATTAAAACCAAAAGGAGTAGGGATTACAAGGATCATTCTCCACAACACCAATCTTCCGCTGGGCATTACCGCAGGGATCGGACTCAGCACTCTGGATGGGGTGACCGTGCCGGAGTTCCTGTCGTACTCTGTCAGAACAGTGTCAACTTTCTTAATTATGTAGTCTGTGGGAGGCATAAACGAAGCATTCGATTTCAGAAAGGTATGATAAGCTGACAGTGATTGTTAGTCCTCGACTACGGATACATGACAGGTCCGTATACCTCAATTTAACGACAGCGTCTATACGGTAGTATTCAAACTGCAATATTCGCTTTTTTCAGCTAGTGTTCCACTAAATGCAGGTCATAACCCTGGTTAGTTACAGGTGACTAAGGACGCCCGAACAGCTAAACTATAAGTTCCCTTAAGCCAGACTACTGACGATTCCCTCTATTTATTTCCGCGATGCCCTTCAACGACGGGCCAGAGTTTCCATTCTTCTGCCACATCTGTGGCGCACCCCCCACATGGCGCCGTTTACTCGCCCACAGCACACTCGAAGACCTTGACCCGGAAGAAGACGATTTTGACCATAGAGATTATAGATACGAGGATTTCATGCCCGGACTGCGGGGATTTGGATATAATACAAGGTTGCTTCCTCCGAAAAATATCAGGTGGCTTGACGCTGTACGGCTCGTCACGAACAAGAGCGTGGACACAGTTAAAGGCACAGAGACAGAAGCATCAGTGCCATTATTAACTCCACTGGTAGGGAGACCAGGCAATATGACCATACTGTGCTCTCACATTCTAACTCAGGTGCTACTTAGGCAGCATATGTCAATACTGACATTGGCACGTTCCACTACCCCGAGAACAGCAATGTTTTACGATGCAACGTTGACGGGTACTTGATACACGATACATGCTTCAAGATGTTGGCGCATGTCCACCAAAGCCTGCAGGCCAACTGCGTGACGCAGGATCTTGATCTGGGCCGGTTATGGAATTGGTTGGAGCTCGGTCTGGAGGATCGCAACAATAACCTTGTCGACTGGGGCTTCGGGGATGCATTCCATGGGGGTGGTACAAATTGGCCGGGTGAGAGGTTTGATCCTGGATATCAGGAATGGATACCAGTCAAAGGGTCTATGGTAGGTTCTTCATTGGATATAGGTTTACTGTCTAACTCGACTGTATCTTAGTGGACAGTAATGGATCCCGAGGGTCCATTCAATTGCCAACCTCTACTTGACCGTGCATATGCCAGTACTGAGCCAGGCTATTCATTCACCTTCAGCATCAGGTCCGCTAGCCCACACGCGCACTCAGTCAACATACTCTCAATACTCCCGCGCGAACACCAACTGAGTATCTTGGAGCTTCTCCCAACTTCATCCGTGCTCAACCTCTTCCTTGCAAGTCCCGACTTTAGGTATCTTGCAGAGCACCTCCCGCCCAGCTACTGGAAGTCCCGTCTCTTCTTTGACATGCCGTGGTGTGCGGATGTCATTTTGTCCCAGATACAAAATGCTGATGGAAACAGGACAGAGAAAGGCAGAGTCCAGTTTAGCCAGCTTTTACGCTTTCTAAGAGAATTTTATATATCCCCCGGGCAGGAACCTGATGGTGAGAACCTTGAGTTCAAGGGGCTGAGGAACCGGCGCCGGATTTGGATGAATTGTGAGCGGATCGTGAGGGAGATGGAGGGATGAAGTCTGCCTTAGCTGCATTTAGTGAAATGCTAGAAAAAAAAAAGAGAATATTACACACTCGGTACTACCAATAATAATAGTGGGTTTAGTGCTTGAAGTGTGCAATGCGATGTTGTTTAGTTTCTCTGAGCCTGAGGCATCCAGGTACTGATAGTCAACACCGCGAAACACACCGCGGAATAGGACCAAGGGGTGGTGAAAAGACGCTGGTGCACGAGAGCTCATGGGCTGGCAACCGGAAACAAAGATCTGCTGTTTATTATGCTTCGATTCTGGCGGCAGCTGGGAGTTCCTTCTCGACGCATCCAGCAACTCCGCATCCCCTTTCCCTCTCAGCGGAAACTGTCTAACCTGGGAAGCTTGTCTGATAGCTCAACCCAAGGACCGGTTCCAGGCCAGTAGAATTTCCCCAGACCTATAATTTTCCATGTCGCTTACTCCATTTGTAGGCGGTCCTTATATGCACACCAGCGGAAGATGGCTTAATCGGGACGAGCTCGAACGAAACTCTCGCCACATTGTGTTTGACTTCGCGGCGCTTTGCGATAGGGCTATCGGTTTATGTCCAGGAGCAGCCAAGATCGTCAAATATGAAAAGAGAGAAGGTGGATTTAACAGGGTCTTTCTTTTCACAATGGACACGGGTTCTCGTGTTGTGGCAAGGTTACCGACCAGTATTGCTGGGCCTAGGTTAACAACCAACTCTGAAGTCGCAACGATGGCATACTGTAAGGCTGGTCTACATACCTAGTTGACGCAGTTGACATGATCTGATTGATGTTTATAGTACAATCCAAGTTGTCGCTTCCCATACCGAAATTCCTCGACTGGAATTATAATCCGTCAAATCCGATCACGGCTTCTGTGTTGGTCCACATTGCAGTCCAGTTTATTGGAACCAGAATCCGGGCGAACTTGAACTCTACGGCGGCCCGAGTCCCAATTGCGGTCCTTGTCAGTTTTCCATCTTCTTTTTAACAGCAGTTCTAACGCAACGCCGAAATTAGGGAAAGACCTCTCAAGCTATTGCCTAGGCTTGCTAGAGACCTGCTTCTCTCGTTTACCGAAAGAAGATATTGTCAGCCGCGAGTTTCTCCCTCATCAACTTTCAATTCAAGATCACATCCGTCTTTTGAAAATAAGCCATGAGGTGATGCAGAAGTTGATTCAAGATGAGCGTATTCAGGATGCTGCTACTTCTGCTCTGCTTCATCCTGACTTTCACAAAAGGAATATCTACGTCTCAGCCGAAGACCCAACCGTTATTACTGGCCTGCTTGATTGGCAATCAACAAGCATTGAGCCTGCGTTTATTTATGCCAATGAGACTCCGGATTTTGCTGCACTCCTCGAGGGGCCAGAGAAGAACATATCTGAGAGCAGACAAGACGAACACAAGGCTCCTCCTGGCCACAAGGAACAAGAACTGAAAGATGCGTCGATCTGTTACCAGACATATGATGTGTGCATGAAGGGCCTCGCTGCTAAATTGCGCCCTGCAAGGCTACTCGATCCGACTTTGTTTCGACTCTTCCAATACTGGTATACGACATGGAGAGACAGTGCCACAGCTATCCGGCAAGAGTTAATCGAGCTTTCAGTTCGCTGGACAGAACTGGAACTGCAGGGCTCGTGCCCATTGTCTCCAACTGAACAAGAATTGAAGGGCACGCTCTCGATTATGAAGATTTTGAGACTGTCCAAAGACTGAAATTATGGCTGAGAAACTCCCTTCATACGAACTCTGATGGCTGGGTTCCGAATGATGTGTGGGGCGCTGCGAAAGATGCGCATCGCGCGGCGTATGACCAATGGATGCAGACAGCCAGAGAATCTGAATCTCGTGGTGAGAGTTTGACGGTAGCAAAAGCTGATAAGCTGTGGCTATTTGATGCTAGATAAGATTTCTTTTATCCCAACGCTTAGGGCTAGACCTCTGAAGGTAGTTCATTCTACTCTCGCTTTCTAGAGAAAGAACGACTCCAAGGATGCTAAATCTTCGATTGAACCACCAAGTAAAACACAGTCTGCGGGGGCTTGTATTATCACACAAAGCAAATCTGGTTCTATTCCTTATCACATCAGTTTGGCAACGCGGCTCTCATCAGTCTGAACAGTTTCAGGGTGTCTTTTGGCTCCGGGTCGGGAGAATCAGCCCTAGAATCATAAGGTATGAGGAATAAGGTCTGTAGAGTTAAATAAATTCGATACAGGCTGTTCCTCAAGAGCATCTTTCCGCGAAGACGCTTAATCCCCGCATGGCGTAGGGCCTGTATTTGAGAGCCCTATATTTATAGCATGGTGAACCTGTCCGTACTGCCCCTGTTTATCGGATGTCAGTGGACCGGTATTCGGTCAAGCTGCTCTTTAAGTGGGACATGGGCAGATAGTGTTGGGTGAGATAGCCAGTCGAGACACGTAAAGTGGGTATTTAAATCTTGCCCTGTCTACTACCTTAATCTCACATAGTTAGCGTCTATTATAATCCCATATTTAGTTACAGCCAGTGCATACAACCACAGGGTGTAGAAAACAGGGCTCAGCCATACTTAGACCACGCGCCGGCTGGTTAACTTAGTGCATCCCAGTTGTAGTATGTTTTTGATTTTCTTGTTTTTTATTGCAGCAGTCGTTTATGCCATAGGTGTGACCAGCTTGACCTGCGATAGATGCTTTAAACACATCGTTAGTTTAGTGCAATACTTAGAGCCCGAAATATCGCCTTTTAAGTTGCCAATCACCATCCGGAGTAAATAGCCGGCCACAGCAAGGTCCAGCTATGAATTGGAGTAATGCTACTGCTGCGATCTCTCCGGCTTAAGATATATAGCGAGGGCTAGAGGTGGAATACCAACTCACTGGAATGCGCCCAAGCGAGCGCCGCGCCTGGCTGAGGACTATTCGACATCTCAGCATTTTGCGCTCTTGCCCGATAACAGTGGTAGACTGGCTGAGCGACGAGAGATCTACATTACAAGGCAGACTCGCCCTTTAACACGATCGTGCAGCGGCAGAACCTCACAGTGCATCCAGCTCATCGCTTCACAGAAGCAAAATGAATCAGGTGGATACAAGGGCTGTGCGTCGAGAACAGCCACTAAACAAGACAAGGAACTCTTGCGCAATTTGAGCCAGTCATTGGGTACTCTGTACAAGGGCCGGTAGCCTTGTCTTGTTGATACGCTAGGTCAATGTTACGATTGGTTGCATAATACTGGGCTTCTGTGAATGGTTTGCGCTGCGCCCCTGGTGGAAGGGTGCAATCTTTCTGTATGGTGATCTTATCGCTGTTTCAAGACTCGTGCATATCACAACGAGCCGGCGGCGGAGAGTGCATAACATCGCCCCGCCAGATGTTGGCAGCCTTTGGCCTCAATTTAATGCTGGCCTAGAAGCGTAGAGGCAGGCCAACTTCCATGACACCCCATTCTGGTCTGGTTCCAATCCAGATAATTGGTTGTCGCTGTAGAGAAACGAGGCGCAGCAGCCGCCGCCACGTCACTGCCAGCTTACAGGATCGGATAAAGCCATGCCTTCACCTAGGGAACTATGCCGAACAGGGAGAGATGCGTCTTCCTTCAATATAGGCTTATCCAGTGTGTACTACCCGCCGCAGGACGATTTCTGTGGCAAAACCTTCGTCATGGGCGCGGGGTGTATACCCCGTACGCAGGCACGTCCTGACTCTCCTATACTTCATTTACTCTAGAACCCACCGATTTTAAGTAGGTTTTGGATCTCCATATTTCCCATGTATCTTCTTATGGGTTACTTTCCGGTCCTCTAAAAAGCGACGCGTGCGTGGTAGTACAGAATGTGTTGCTGGCATTTGTCTGCAGACTGCAGCTTGGCTTCCTACTCTGCAGGATGCGTAGGGCGATATTGACCGTGCTGGGAGAATGTCTAAGGGTTTCCACTCGTAGAAGAAAAAGGATACTTAGGTAGCACAACCTTATGGCGAGGACCTTGGAATGCATTGCTGCCCACAGCCTCACGCATACCTTCTTCACTGCCACAAAAAATCTTCTTCACTGGGAAAAGTACTAGACGATCCAGGTGGTCTCATCTATCTGCCCCTTGCTCTTCCTCAAGGCTGCGACTAGTAGCGATAACAGTATATATACTTTAGTGCGCTGCATTTCGAACAATTAAATGTGAATGGTATCAGGTAACAAAGACCCCTCGACACTCCAACCGATTACATACCATCACGGACCTGATAAGCCCAGATAGCCATGGCACTGGGTTCTACAATGGTCGCAACATATATAAATGTCGAGGCATCGGAGCGCCTATTCAAGTCTCTACCACAGGACACTATCCGTTTAGTGCACCTCCAGCCGGGCTCAGATGCTGATGATATTGTATGCCGTCTTGAACAGCCCAAGCTGCTCAGCGAGTCTCTGTCATATAACGCGCTCTCGTACATGTGGGGAACCTTTGACACGGAGGAATATATTTATCTCAGGCACACAATATCTGAAAGGTTCCGCGTCACACCGAGATTAGCGCTGGCTCTGCGCATGCTAAGGGACAGTAAGACCGAAGTGACCTTTTGGATCGATGCGTTATGCATTAACCAAACCAACAAGGCCGAACAGGCCGAGCAGATTCCGCTCATGGGTAGGATCTACAGGGGAGCGCAACGGGTAGTCGCCTTCCTCGGCGCGCATAAGGACGGAAGCCAGGAGCTGTTCGACTTTCTAAAGGACATGGAAGCCCCGGAGAGGTTTGAATGGGATTTTGATGTTTTATGCGGACTGCAACCTGCTGAGCGCACGCTCCTCGGCCGCCAGTACTGGCAGCGTGCTTGGATTGTGCAAGAGCTGGTGTTGGCCTCTGAAATATATCTCCAATGTGGCAAGGACAGGATCTCCTTCAAAACATTAAAATGGTTCCATGACAAATTTGTGAATGAGCCTATAAGACTGGAGATCTCCAAGGAGGATACCAGAGATAATATTCGTGACATCAGCTATCTAAACACATGGCACAGGCGGTTCGACCAGCTTGCATCCACGAAGTCAGACCTATCTATAGACAGTTTCCTCGACGGCTTTCTGGAAAGCCAGTGCGGGAATCCGCGAGACCACATCTATGCATTCTACAACCTGCTCCCTCGCAAGCTTCAGCAACAAATCAGTATTAACTACAACACCCCGGCTGATGAAGTCATTCGCCAGGCGATGAAGGCAATCATTAAAGTGACCCAGTGCCTAGATATAATTACTCTACGATCGAGACAGGTTCAGTCGGCAGGACAGTGGCAGGATGCTCTCCCTTCGTGGTGTCCATTCCTAGGCGTGCCGTATATGACCCCTACCAAGTCTGCCGACGATGAAGAGGACCTGCGCAGCCGTGGGAGCTCAAGTGACGGGATACCCACTGTTTCATTCCTAGAAAATGGGACATTGCTCCGCCTCGAAGGCTTCGTCCTCGGCAGAATCTGCGAGAGACTTTCCCGCCATCCTCCAGCGACTTGTCCGTTCGAGAACCTTAAGCCTGATAATGAGGACAGACTCTACCAGGAGGGACGCTACGCTTACGAGTGCATTGAATTTATCAGACGACCAGACCGCCGCGGCAAGGTCGATTTGGACGAAACAGTTCTCGGTACGGCCCTTGACAGCACCAGTAGCAATGGTTTGCTTGCTTGTCTGGAAACGACAAAGGGAACCCAACCGAATCAGTTCACAACACCCCAGATTGCCCAGATGAATAGCTTTTCGCGGTCCTTCCACGGAATGCAGCTATGCACGTTCAGCTGTGATAATGTAATAAGTGCTGGAGGAGTAAACCCTGCTCTAAATTGGCTTGAAGAAAAGGAAGGGGAGGAGGTAATCCCGGTTGATTTCGCCATTGTTCCACAGGCGGCGCGCAAACACGATAGGTTATGCGCCATCCAAGGCTGTCACCAGCTCGTGGTCCTTCGCCGGGTTTACCGCCCACGGCGTCGATTTTACCGCTCACGGTGTCGATTTTACAGCCCACGGCATCAGTTTTACAGCCCACGGTGTCGGATTTACAGTGTTGTTGGCGGAGCAAAACTCTATGACAGGACGGGCCATGATATCATTTCCTGGGTTGGTGTTGACAGGCTCAGGACATTTACCCTAGTATAAACCTTAAGTATTGGCTAGTGATTCATAAACCCCTCCCAAAAGCAGCGGCATCTGTATTAGGAAGTTGGCCAGCGAGCGGCGAACAACATCTCCTAGATATACCTATTTACAGGCTTCGCGGATCATGATATTCTGCAAGCAGGCGATGTCAAGCATAATACCCAAGATAACATGAGATGTTTTCCTAGAGCCCAGGACGCTTTTACTAAGATAGAATTCGATAACAGACACAGGTTGGTAGATGTTAGCTAATAGTGCTTTGTTGAATATATAGTACTTTATCCCTATTAGGGTGAACGCACCACTGAACTGTAGACTATCAGCCATAGGCTCAGGTGCTATTTAGTGATCTAGGGCTGTGACTAACCGGCAGGCGACTGAGTTTACCTGCCAGCATCTGCGCATATCACCGATTGCCTGGAGGCACATTACCTGCACGGCATCAGATCAGTATTAAAAGAGACGATATAAAATGAGAATTTACTGCAGCCTTCAGTACTAGTAGTAACGACATTTCCGGGCGGACCTTTAAATCCAAACAGGCTAGGGCTGTAAGAACATTCTCACAGGTTGTTTGTTCCATAACGGCGTCTTTGATGGTATGCTCCAAGGCTATGAGATAGCAACAGGCAGCCCAGTTGACGATCAGAAGATATTGGATGCAGAGCTGGCCGCGCACGGAGCAGTCTTTTAGGACACACGCCATGTGTTGTAATTCCTGGCCAGTTACACTGGAGCTGCCCTCAACCTGATAGGTTACGGATGCGTTTGTCGGAGCTCCCAGACTTAAGCTGGTCCATTAAAGAGAGATATCTACGTCTGGTTTTTAGCTTCAACGCCTCGATATGGATACCACATTCAAATACAGTAGCATGGAGTGCACATACCATCGCAGCTTCTATATTCTCTAGCTTGTATAGGTGTAGGTGCGGTACCACTTTTGCCCATCTATTATGTATATTCCACTCTTTAGTTACCCAAAGTACATACGACCACAGGGTGTGGAAAACAGGGCTTCCCGTCCGCTCAGCCGTACTTAAGCCACACGCCGGCTGGTTAGTAGTATGGTGGGTGACCACATGCGAATCCCAGCTGTTGTATGTTTTTTTTTTTTTTTTTTTGGCTTTTTGTTTTTGGATCTTTGATTTGTATTCTGTGTAAGACACCTCAATATATGCAACTGATGTAGTGGGTTAGCTTGGTAGACCACATATGCTATGCTTGAGAGCGAGGTCCATCATGCAAAGACATTGCGCTGCCACCTTAGTATAGGACTTATTTACACGGAGACTACTCACAGCCTTGAGAAAGAAATATTCAAGACTTGAATAGAGAAAGCCATATCAGGGCACCTGGGTCTACTGGCACCCTGGCAATGGTTTAAAGCATATTAATTACGCGTAGCTAATCAATGATGCCTTGTAGTGAAACGGATGTCAAACCTACCATGAAGGGCCCAGGCGACTGCTTCGTTCAAGAAAGTCAATTGTTGACTCGTCCGCAGGTGGCGGCAGTCGCCACGACGATGGGAAGACAAAAACAGATTCCAGTGATTACTTAGAGAGAGCCTTTGCAGTGGCAGGTAAATGGTGATAATATACCCTCCTTTCCAACAGTTAAGGGACTGAACTGCGTGTCACATGGGTCTGACCATTAACCATCCCTCCCCCCGCCGACTGGTGTCCAACGGTTGCTTCATACTACAACTGGAGGGTCATCAATGTGCGGTCCATCTTTCCCTGGCGCAAAGCAGGTCTCATTCTGACGGTGTGTTACAGAGGGCCGGAAACTGCCACATTCTCGAATTGTATACCTAATTTTCGTGTCTCAATGAGGAACCTGCGGAGCGGGCAGACACCATTGAGAAGTTAAGAAAATATATCAATTCTGTTGACCAGGATAAGCTGGTCCACCTGGAAGTACTACCGCTTCATCTCACACATAGGACTTCCCCGGTGTTCTTCTGTCTGCGATATGATGACAAGAACTACACATACCTGCAGTGTGCCATTGCAGGGCCGGCAAGAGGGCCATTCATGGTAATCGGCCTTGAGGTGATCGACGACAACAAGACGGGTGGATATTTTACAGTGGAAGACCCCAAAACGGGGCCTGCTAACAGCGGAAGTTAAAGCGTCCACGATCTAGCAGACCTTTTTATGTATCTAAATTATACGCCCCCAGATCTCTTATGGCAAGCCATACTATATCAAAGATCCGTCACACGACCGCCAACTTGAACCGCCCTATAAAGATCTGTGCGGGGCATTAGAAACCAGACAACCACAACCCACAGTGGCTCTTCCGACGACAGGACGACACAAACAACCGCGGAGACATTGGACTGATGCATAAAGTGGTCATTCATAAATGCAGTGAGGGGGCCAAGACAGTCGGTATGCTGCATGCATCCTATTCTCTTCTGTGATACCGTAAAAGTCGGAATGGGACCAAGTGCGAAGTAAATAGTGCATCCTACGTAGCAAAGGTCATCCGGTGCTGGATGGTTGCTCTGTCCTCCCAATATCAATACAGTAACTGGTTTGCATAACAGAGCGAAGGAACGCAACTGGGTGTCTGGCTGGGCTGAAGCGACCAAGACCTAATATTTCCCCTGCTGTACAACATGAAGACTAGGAAATATGCATAAATGGATTGTGGCCTGCTCAGCTTACCATGGGCCATTGGATAGAAGGGTAGGCTCATTTGCCAACGCAGCGCACCCATCCTTCCCGTACGTACTCTGTTTTTATCCATTCTATGCGGCATGGCCCTTCTCAATATCCTTTCCATCCTTGGCTATACCACCAAATGTCCATGTCCATCTCGCACTAGCAGCCTCAAAGCCACGCTGAATGGAATTCTTAGCCGAGTGAATATCCGGGGGATTCTCTCTTATCAAACTCTTCTTGTCTTCAAAGTCATTCCACCACGTATCGTCATGGCCGCGCTGATGTGGGAGCAAATGCCAGTCCCAAAGGCTCCTCTGCTCTTCATCGCTGAGATCCAACCAGGCATAGAGATCCATGCGCGCCGTCGATCGTTTGCCGCGTGGAACCACGTCACCATTCCGTTTCCTTCTGTGGATTTTCCCCTTTTCATCCTTTGAGAATTCAACGTCCATAGGCCACTCGAAGACCGTCGCCTTTAGATGGGCCCCTGCCCAATGGATATATGGCTGTCGGACCTTCTTGTCCCAAAGCCCGCGCCACCACGCATAAATCCGCGAATCGTCACATCCGAATCCGTAACATGTCAGGACCGTCGGAATAACAGTCAAGGCGATGATATACAGCTGCGTCGCGAGATGCGCCATGCCCAGCGTAACCACATGGACCGTAAACGCCACCCACCCTAACCATTGTGCTAGTCGGTACAGCCCCGGCGAGAGGATGGACGTCTCGGTCACGAAGACCCCGCGCAGCAGGTGTTCGGGAATGAACATGGTGACGGCTTTCGAGTCCGGCATGGTAACTAGTATCTTGGCGACCTCTGGCCGCCATTGCTTAGAGTCAAGTCGTGGTCTGGGAGCTGTGATGGGACGACCACTGGGGCTGCCATTTGCCGGGGGCTTTTGATGTTTCTGTCCATGCTTCTTCTGCCAATCCTGAACTGCGCCGGTGAATGTGCTAGGGAGGGGCCTTGCCGCGGCGACAACCCTGTCGATGGCATCGCGGCTTGCTTGGATCATATAGGAGCGGGCGCCGATAAGAAAGATAATCGAAAGAGCATTAGCGAAGCCATACCAATCGCCGGAGAGCATTGTGATGGCAATCAAGAGCCCGTTGAAGAAAGCGGAGATCGCTGCTGGAACTATAAAGTACTTCCACCTCCTGTGTGCAGCTTTCACCTTGGCAATCTCCCAGTAGACAATGCTGCGTGATACCTCGAATTCCTGGACCTGCATCCATCGCGTAAACCAGGCCGCCAGGTTACCCGTCACAATACCACTCGAGATGTTATAGAGCGTGAATGCGGGCTGCTTTCCCCGGAATCGACTGCCCGCGAAGACGAACCCAGCCAGAAGGGGCATATACTCGAGCCAGTAGCTAGGCGCTAAGCGGCCAACGGCCATGTCGACTTCATTTGCGCCCAGAAGGGTGAGGAGGCCGAGGGCGTCGATTTCGAAGGGGGCCCATGTCGAGAGCACCTTCAAGGGGTACATTATTCTGTTTAACGGATGGACCGGTACGAATATTGCAGAGGTGGGCCGAGAGAATCACAATGATAGGAAATGAGGGGCAAAAGAGGGGAAGCAAGCATCTACAAGGTACACGTGTAGCAGAGGCGAGGCTGGCTCTGCGGCTCTGCAGGTGGGCAAAGGTCTGCTCAGCTGGCAAGGCGGATTCCAGCCCGCTCGAGCTCGCCACTTTGGCTGTGAATCTAGGTCGTTACAGACTTGGAAAGGTTCAAGAACAGTACCTAATACCATGTCACAGCGTCGTAATTCATTGTTATCGCGGCCCTTCACGTATATTCCACTGGAGAAAGGAGGGCGTCAGGTCAGGCTCTTACGCTTTGAAGTAGGAGAGGCAGCCAAACAAGATGAAATCCACCTCTCCATTTCAACACACGACCTGAGCAATCTGCCAAGCTATTTCGCCTTGTCGTACGTATGGGGGACCGATGTACCACGACATGAGCTCTACATCTGCGGGAAAGTCCTCATGGCTCGAGATAGCTTGTGGCTGGCGCTCTCGCAGCTCAGAACCCATCAACCAGACCATGAAGTCCATCACTTCTGGATCGACGCTATTTGTATCAATCAGGATGATCTTGCGGAACGAGCCCACCAGGTAAATCTGATGGGAGAGATCTACTCCAACGCCCGTTTTGTGGTCTCTTGGCTGGGCCCAGGGACGACTGCGCTTCGCGGCGCAATCGAAGCTGTCGGCAAGTACGAGACTGCCCGCGAGAGATCTGGCAAGAGTGACGTCCTGGCACTGAACCGCCGCCATATCGCCCCGCTTCTCAAGGTTTCGTACTTTGAGCGAATGTGGATTGTACAGGAATTCGTTCTTGCAAGGAAAGTCTTCATGGTCTGTGGCGGCGGAGACTGTTTCTGGTGGGACAATGGAATGGCCGGTATTGTCAAAGAAATGCTCACAACCTGGAATGATGGAGTTGATGGGTTTGATGTCGTTGTTTGGCTTGCCAGTGAGAGGCTGCACCGACAGGAAAAAAGGTCCACCACGGAGCTCGACCGGCTCCTGGTGTACTTCCGGAGGCAGAAGTGCGCGGACCTTCGTGATCGAGTGTATGCACTGATAGGGCTTTTGGATCGTACGGGCCCGAGGTCATGGATTGCGGATTACACTATATCGAGGGAACACCTGTGGTGCCGAGTGATTGATGGCAGAATGAGCGATGACAAGGCTACCCGTGTCTTGTTCTCGTACACGGCGTCGAGATTGTGGGAGGCGTTGGAACTACCGCTTGAGGATGGCTCCTTGGAGCTGTCCAGGTTCGTGCTTTGGGTGATTCATTTCGATGAGATCTGGAACGCACGAGACCAAATGCCTGTTAAAATGAAGCAAAGCCACGAAGAGAATCTAAAAAGCGGGCTTGATGCCCTTGCGATGTTCAATAACATTATCCCGCATTTCGATCGTTTTCCACTCCTGCTCGAAGCTGCAGCCTGGCAGAAGTTTACGGAGAGGTTACGCGAGATCATGGCATTTGAGGTCGAGCATAATGCACAGAGAACGCCGGGAGAAACCAGTTCGTGTCATGGTCTATCGGGTCTACAGCAGCAGAATGGACATGTACGGGCACAGAACAGGAGACTAGATTGAGAACGGGAGAGGGACAGGACTAGTCCGCACGAGATAGACACCAACCAGATAGTTGCAGAGTCCCTAATCCTGAAACCACATAATATAATAAAAGTATTGAACAAGAGTGACGCACAAGATGGCATCTAGGGCATAAAATTGGGATCACGATATTGCCCGTCAACGTCACGGCGAGGCTGGGACGTGCCGGATACAGGATGAGTCCAGCACCCCAGTGGACCTATGCATCAGTCCAACGTATAGTGCCGACCATAACTCACCGAGCGGCTTTCAAGAGACATGGTGGGGTTGGGCAGCGACAGGGATGGACGGTCCCCGTACAGGTTGCTCACTGTGACATAAGGACGCGGTCTGCCCTGATTCGTCCCCAGTACCAGGCTGCGTCTTGTCCAGCGCAAGATAATAGCTCACGGCTGCAGCAAACAGTCAGCGGCCAGCCAACAGGCCACATGAATCCGGAAGAGGATGGCCCATCGCCGACCGGGATCTCAAATGGATTGAAAGGAGGCTCTGCTGGTGGGAAGGCAGAAGGAAGCCGCGGGATATAAGGCCTTGGGCTGTGTCTGCCTTACAGCACTGCCTCTTGAGACTTGCCAATTACGCTTCTTCCTGCCAAACAGAACACCCCAAAGAATGCCAATTTTACGCCACACCGCGGTTGCGTTTAGGACTGCGGTCTGCCCTCATACAAACCCGGCAGAAGGTTGTAGCCGAAGACCGTACAGTATTGCTCTGGTAGGGCTCGGCTACCGGGGGTATAGAAGCCATTTCCTCAGCCTCATCGGCCAACCATCAATCTCCATTGCCGCTGTCTGCGACATCAATAGCAGTTCCCTCGCATCCTTCTCAGCCAAACACCAGCACATCCCTGCTTACCGGTCTCTACCGAAGCTTCTGTCCCGCCACACACCAGATTTTGCGATTGTCTCGGTCCCTCATGGTGCTCACATGCAGTGCATCACTACGCTTGCCGAAAGGGGAATCGCGGCTTTGAAAGAGAAGCCAGTGGCGGAATCAATAGAGGATTATCAGCATATGATGCTGCTTCCCGTGAAGATAGGGGTTACCTTCCAGAAGCGGTTTGAGCCACGGTTCTTGCGCTTCCGCAGACTCTTGCCTCTTGTTGGAGACGTTGCTGCCATTGAGGCCAGTCTCGCCCTGAATATCACGAATTTGGAAGAGACGTGGCGCGCCACGTCAGGAGTTGGAGTCACGGTTCGTATACTTTCCTGCTTTATTCCCTTGCCGTTTTGGGGTGCTTTTTAGGTTCTCGATTGACTCTATGTCCGTCGTAGGAAGACCTTGGCTGCCATATGCTTGACTTGATAGTGTGGCTTTTTGGCCTACCTACTTCGCTCATGGCAATTAACGTTGATTCTGTTCGGCCATTCCAGATGTACAGGGGAGACGATGTCTCGGATATTATGATGGATTGGAGACCAAAAAAGAACTGCATAGGGCATGTTCGACTGTCTCGCGTTGCGCACCGGGCCTCTCAGTCTATCTCCGTAACAGGAACCAGGGGCACTCTGATTTTGGAAGAAGACAGGATAAAACACTATGATTCCCGGGGGCACCAAAAATTGGCTGTCGAGCACCAGCATGTAGACCGACCGGTCATACAGTCAATGGTCCATCAATTTGGTGACTGGGTTGCCGGAAACAGACTGGATTTCCCAACCGCTGTGGGGAACGTGCGAGACACGGTTCTCCTTGGTGAATCGATAAAGAGGTCTCTTGTTACTCGCCAAGTTCAACATCCCCATCTACATCTATCTTCAAAGTCTCCTCTTTTACCTGGTGACAAACAGGTATCATGGAAACCAGCAGGGCATTTTCAGTCCGTAGCAAGATTCTCTACCTCAACCCGTAACCGCCAAAGGAACACGGTCTTTTCACTCAACACTGGCGCGTCAATCCCAGCTCTTGGATTGGGAACCCGCAGAGCGGAGTACCCCGGCCAGGTGTATGACGCGGTTTTGGTCGCATTACAAACAGGATATCGCCATATCGACACTGCACAGTCTTCTGGTAATGAAGAGGAGATCGGTAGGGCGATTAGGGACCTTGGGATTCCGCGGGAGAAGGTCTGGATTACTACGAAGCTGGACAATAGCTGGCATACTCGTGTTAGGCAGGCATTAGAACAGTCGCTGTCGGCATTGAATACGGACTATGTTGATCTGTACTTGATGGTTTGTTTGAGTTTTGCCGCGGTGCCTATGGAGAGGTGATGTTGACTTTGAAAGCAGCATTGGCCTGTTCCTATTGACCCTAACGATACTACGAGGGTGCTTGGTGGTTGGAGTTTCGTCGATACCTGGTGCGTGTCTCGAACCCACCAGTGGAAGTGGGCTATTATATGATACTAGTGGACTAGCTAGGCACTGACAATATCACCGCGCAGGAGGCAAATGCAACGGCTGCCCAGAAGCGAGGCGCGGAACATTGGCGTATCAAACTTCGGCATCACCCATCTCACCAGATTATTAGCGTTCGCAGGCATCGATCAATCATGTACCGCCGTGGTCCCCGCGGTCAACCAGATCGAAGTACGTAGAAGGAAAGCCTCACCACACCCGTCATAGAGCCAGATGAAAATCTAACAACGCACGATGGGTCCTTTACAGCTCCATCCATATTGGACCTCCCAGCACCTTCTCAAGTACTGCTCCGACCGCGGAATCCACTGCTCAGCCTACTCTCCTCTGGGGTCGGCGAATTCTCCTCTTCTACGCGATCCCACTGTCTGCGACATGGCGCGTCAAAGGGGGAGAACGCCACAACAAATACTGTTAGTGCTGACACGCTCCATACTCACATAGTGGCACCATACTAAATCCTTTCTTTTCTTTCCTCTCTGAAGGCTCCAATGGGGCATCCAGCGTGGCACGAGTGTGATCCCCAAAAGTACCAGGGCATCTCGGATCAAGGAGAACTTTCACATTCAGGAATGCAGCCTTGGGCCGGAGGAGATGAAGAGACTTGGCAGTTGTTCGGCTCGCTTCAAGTCTTGTAAAGATGAGTGGCTGCCGGATAGGGTGTTCTTAGGTGGTAGTGATTGAGCGAGAGAATATACCTAGATAATTACTGCCTTGCATACGTTCAACCACTACCTGCACTGGTACCGTTGGCATTCCCGGACCATATCTGCCACCTTCAATTTATAGTTCTAGGAATAGGTGTTCCATACCAAACGTGAGCGGCGAGTACACCACGATCTGTAAGTCGCGGATATTCTTAGCACTGTACCTGTGAATGATTTTGGTGCTACCTAGCTGTAAACCTATTCATGATATGTCAAATGATAAATATTGTTTCTTCACTACATTTGGAAATCCACTCGTTGCATATTATCCGACCACGCCCAACTCTCCGATACCCGCCAAGCCTGTTCTCCAACTTTTCAAGCCCTATGAAGTCGATTTCGCAATTTGATTCTGTTTTATTTCCTAGCCACTGCTGGATGGCGGCACAGAATATGCTTTTATTGGTAATGGGTGTTCTGAAACTGTCGGGTATCAGAAAGCCCAGGCAAACCCCTCCGTCGTCTTCTAACAATTCAGTATGTGCAGGTACGAACAGATTTCGCTGCACGGGTATCTCATTCCATTTGTCATCATAAGATTTAGGAATCGAACAACGAAAAACTGCAGAGCCCAGAAGGCGTCTCATGATTTCGTTGTTGTTGATAGGATTGCCCTGAAACCCTTCCACTTTGATATCGACAATCGACATCGACGACCGAGTTAGCTTTCCCAGCGGACCAGTGAACGAAACTTGGCCAGAAAGACAAGTGTTCCCGCAAAAGCCTCCAGGATTATCCATTGGACATGAGTTTGTAGTCGTGTATTGTAGGTTCCGAATTAGAGGGCCTTGCTCTGGTAGACGTGGCTGGGCCAATAAGAAAGACACAGAGCCTACCAGTGACGCCCAGGACCAAGACGGCGCATGAAACCCCAAATGTGTCTTATCAGTAGGCTTATATACAAACCAGAGGAGATTTCTACCAGTTTGGTCGTTCAAAATACCTGCATATATATCAACAGAGTAATATTGCTCGAATCTGCGCGTGATCCCACTGATCGCCATCAGCCTGTCTCGATCGAGAGTCAAGCTGCATCCGACGTAGTCGGAAAGAATATTTGTCCAGCAATCTGAGATGCCCCCAATCTCCTGGGTTGTAGATTGAAATAGACACCGTCTGTGTGGAACTGCTGGATCTGAATTTTCCTCTTCCTTAGTGGTTGTGAAACAACTCCAGTACAGCTTGTCCTTCGTAAAGTAAATGATCCTAGAAGGAAGTAGCCGTTCTTGCAGAACCCATCCGCGGCTATACCATGCGGTACGACGCACGCGACAAGAAAGAGAGTCAATGCGTGGGCGCAGACAGATAGAGCCTTGCGTCCATCCTTTGAAGCGACAATGTGTTGCGGGCCATCTATACTTCCAAACGAACGTTTGATCTTCTCGCTTAAAGACTTTTGTAGAGAGTACATGCAGGGGACTTTTGTCAATCGGAATGCACAGTTCGACAGCTAACGGGTCCTTGCGAGGGAGGAAAAGGCCATGATCCTGCCCCTGACTGTCCACACTATCCGTGGCAGCTATGACAAAGATGCACTGCTCGAAGACATCGCCCATTTTCTGCGACTCCCGCTTCCAGTCGTCCGGATCATCTTGCACGATGCATAGCGAGTCAATCCAAAGATATCGTACGTTTAGTTGACGAGTAACTTCAATGGCTTGACGAAATGTGTTCGGCAGTGATTCCATAGGAAGGCATCTTTGGAAAGTTTTAACTGTTGAAGATAATGTCTGGATCGTGGATTCTTTGTCCCCCCACCGGTGACTGAGGGCAACGTATGTTCCAGTCCTTCCGTCAGTCTGAACGAGGCGCGGCCGAAACTTGCTGCCTTCGAAACGAGTAACATCAATCACTCTTGTCGGCAGCCTGGAGCCACTTGATATTTCATTGTGACTGGTGCCAGCCGTTTTTCTAGGGTCTCTCACCCGGCATGCGTCATGACTCTCCAGGCAAGTCTCTAACCAGCCTCGTAGCATGTCAAAACTCGATTTCGAAATCGTACCACTAATTCGGTCCAGCGGAACTAAGCCAGTTTCCCTATACCAGGAGCCTATCTCGAAAGTCGCTCACATTAATGAGTTGTTTGGACAGCGTTGTTGATTCGAACACCCACCTTTATCTGCGGTAACTTGGATCGTTTCACCACCATCAAAATTTCCCTTTCTGAGCTCGTGCATGATGTCGCCAGCCTCGAATTGATACTCACATCTCTCCCAAGTGACATAATCAGGTCTAACAATCTGGTTACAAATGGGGAAATGTCCAAGTCCCGAGACATGGCGGCGGTATACAGCGGGTAGCTGCAAGAGTCCGTCTATCATGGTATCATAACTTTTCTCAATTGCGGACGACGTACTGCGAGTTTGAAGCCGCCCCATCGAACAGATGATCAACCTACATAGGGGGCATTGTCGCCCAGACAAGACAATCTGACTATATGCCAGTGGATGTTTGAACCCCGATAGCAGTGCGCTGAACGTCAGAGTCTGGCATGCAAGGCATAGTGTCTTTTCATCATCTAACGTGAAAGCCATCCGAGCCTGAGATTTGCTAATCGCCTTCTATGACTCTCTGTCTTGGGGATGTGGTAGCTGGGAGAGGGTCGGATAGCCAGGGTGCTGCAGAAGGCAGCCAATCTGGAATCAGATAAAGTGCATGCGCCCGAGAGCCATACTGCAATTGTTTCGTGACGCGATTATCCAACTCAGAAATTTATCGAACCGCGGGGACTTTGATATTCAAGACAGGTCCGTGTCTTTAACTCGAAGATGGATAGTCAGGTGGACCGACATTTCGCGGGCGGGAGCAGTAGAGCCTTATGGCGTGCACAGCGCGCCACTTTTCAGATGTAAGTAGAAATGCTGATCGCCGAAAAGGGTAAGCAAGCCTTGTTCGAGGTCAGCCAATAATCGTCGCCGTTGGTGACGACCATGTCCAACTCATGCGGAAGGTTGATCCGGTGATTGGTAGAGCGTTCTCGCTTGTCTGGGCAGCTTTTCCTGATATCAACCTCTGCATAGACCTATCTGCGGCTGGATGAGAGAGGCAGTCTTACTGCATGTCGATCACAGTGTCGCACTCACCCCGCGGGTAGAGCACCAGGGTTACAAAGACAATATATTCATATCAACTAGCTAACTAGCTATTGGTAATTCACATCTCCAGGAGCACCTCCGACTGAAAAAGTTTTGTGGTCCCTAGAGGGAATACATGAATTTCAATGCGGAGTTGCTAGAATATCAAATTGAGACCTTCTAATTGTTCTATCTCACTAACCCCGGGGCCTAAAAACAGCCTACGCCCTGGACAACTAGCTCCAGAATTAGCCATGGAACACATCTAACTAAATAATAACTAATTTAAATCACGGGCCACCTAGTCACCGTAGGTCATCAACCACTCGTGATTTACGTCGGTTAACTGTTAGTTAACAAGGTTATCATATAATTACTAAGCGAGGTCAAATCACGAGGCTGATAAGATGGCTACGTTCGTAGGATCTGACGAATGTCTGTTGGCAATTTGCTTCGTAGGAAGCGACATTTGTTATTCGTCCCTGATCAGGCCCCAGACTATATCATCCTTTGTGAGAAAAAATAGGATTATAAATCTGTTGTTTGTTCGACGATGCTTTGTGACAAATGTTCCTTGATTCAATTCGACTTCTGCGGTACAGCTGGAAGACCGAAAGACTTTAGTTATTATATCCTGCACAAAGATCACGACTCGTTCCTCAATTCTGTCGCTTCGGGATGTCATCTTTGCAATCTTATTAAGGGGCAATTGAATACTAAGCATGAGGATCAGACCGGGGACGACCAGCTACTCAAGAGCATGATTGACTCCACAAACACCAATCGCAATGCTATTTGCGCCTATTTCAAGGCCTATATGATTATCATGGCCGAGCTATCACCGAGTAATCAAAGCATCCAGCGCCTATCTATCACCAGTCAGACTGGACAAGGCGATCTGAAGGCCATTGACCCCCTGTTAGGTTCGACACACCCCGTGCTTCAGTAGTGTTGCATATAGCCTTACTGATTTTGCAGAGCCGTACTCTCAAGTCTGCCAGCTAGGCTATCGTAGTATTGGCTCGGGCTCTCAAGGGTTACCACTGGATGGTGCTCGTTTAGAGCATGCGCACTCTGCTCAAAGATGTCGGGATTCGGGATCCGAATCAGTCTCTGGAGAAATCCGGGCACCAGATGGGACTGCGCTCTCACCCGTGCCACTAAATATCGGTCTAGCTTGTCTATGGATCGACCACTGTCTGCAGAACCATGAATACTGTAAATTCGGTTATCAACAATATAAAGTGATGGGGGACCGAGTGCCTCCGACACTTCTCATAAATGTCTCTACCCCTGATCGGCCTTTTCTGGAGTCAACAACGGCGACAACAATCAGAACCTACCTCGCGCTCAGTTACTGCTGGGGAATAGACGGAAATTTAAAGACATTGAATGAGAATTACCAGACTCACGAGAAACTGATACCAGTTGAGAGTCTTCCGAGAACTGTCAGGGATGCGATCGATGTGACGCGCTGGCTTGGCTGCCAGTACCTATGGGTCGACGCACTGTGTATCATACAAGACAATACCGACATGCGCGATAAAGAGCTTGGTAGGATGGGAGATATATATAGGCAGGCATTTCTCACTATCTACGCCGAGAGAGGCCGAACCTGCACCGATGGGCTCTTCGAGAACCGAGACCCCCTTCTTTATCGACCTTGTCAGTTGACCTGGCTAGAGAAGACAGCGGGGGGAGCAGCCACAACCACAAATACCACATTGACAGTCAGCTTACCGAGTGTCAACCACCTGCAAAACCGCGGCTGGATCCTCCAAGAGGAGGTACTTTCCTCTCGGAGGTTAATCTTCGGAAATCAGATGGCCTGGGCATGCACAGTCGCCACAGCATTAGAGACACGCCCTGTTCCAAAAGATGAACGGGACCCCGTGACAAGCTCACTCGGAAGCAGTCTTAGTAGGCTGCGTATGCGACTGTTTGCGCCACAGCTTACAGGCAGTGCGCTGGGCGATATTGCTTCTTCGTGGACGCAGCGAAGAGACAATTTCGATGCCTGGTATTGCATCGTTGAAGACTATAGCGGGAGGAACCTAACTTTCGACACTGACAAGCTTCCAGCACTCGGAGGCCTGGCGGCATCCTTTGCTCGGGTACAAGCAACAACTTACCTTGCAGGACTCTGGAAAGAGGATATTCAAATAGGGCTTGGTTGGTATGTGGCTACAGAACAAGCTACCCACAATCTAGAGAATACCGAGGCGTCCGGACCTACCTGGTCGTGGGCATCTGCTGGGAAGATGCGAGTGCGATTTAGATATTTAGAGCCTGACTCGGCCCACCTTGTGTCCAAGGGCAGCCATGTAGTGAACGCAAGCTGTGCTCCACAGTCTCTACATCAACCTTATGGACGGATACAGAACGGATATATTGAACTGCGAGGTTCTCTTAAGAGGCTGTCTCTAAAATACAGTCCAGAATCCTCCCTGAGTGATCTTCAGAAAGAGATAATGCATCGAGAGTCTGAATTCAAAGTCGACAGCTTGATCGCCGCTGCCACCAATATACGAGCTCGGTTCCCAGGCCTTATATTAGACCCTGGAACAGGAAAAGTCGTTGGCATGGCGGCCCTCGACCGGCCGCCCCAGGAGGCACCAAGTCCATTTCATCAAACACAAACACCGCAACACGCTACCGAAGAAAAGTCGGAGCGGCAAATCTGGTGTCTACTTCTCAGTGTTTTTGAGCGATCCTATATGGATGGGACCCTTCTCTATCTCACATGCTTGATTTTGGAGTTTGTTGATGATGCCAAGTTTGTTTTTCGTCGATGTGGCCTGGGTGTTCTGGATGACAATGCCTGGTCCCCAACGGAGCTCCCTGACATATACCGCGATGACTCTGTACAACCCCAGTCAGTCAGAAATGTTACAATTGTTTGATGTTTTAAACAAGAGGATTTGGTGGCTCAAGCCGCTCAAATCAGCTGAAATAGGCCCTGACTATATAATGAAAACTTGGTATGCATCATAACCCAGATTACTAGGGATATCCCATTTTGTATGTCCAAGAATGCTCAATTTTTGAGTGTGGCGCCTCGGCTCTTCAGGTGGACGTTTTGGAGCTAAAGATCTAAAAGTAGATGGTCTGAAGCGAGCTCCACCCTCAATCTGACCAGTCATTGCCTGAAAGCTTGGAACATGTTTCAATGCTAGACAGCTGTCATCATTTAAGCTGCCAGACAACGTGCACTCTCTCTCAGTCACCATCTTCGAAGAAAATCTTTCCACGCAACCACATGCCATTGCAAGATTTGAACCGAATGGTGCACCCATTTAACAAGTCCATCTCGTGGTTACTCAATCCCCAGCCATCCAATTCAGAATTCTCCTTGATACGCACTGGGGTTACGGTTTTGGGCACTACAGACGTGTCGCGCTGGATGCCCCACATGATCCTTTTTGTGTTAGTACAAGAATTGTGAAATGGATGACCAGAGATATCCCGTACAAGATCTGCTGGGGTGATTTCCCTTTACTTTGGGATAGTTCAAGAACCACTGGGTTATCGAATAGAGGAGAACCGGTGGATCCCAGACAAGAATACGCTGTGCAGTGTATACCATGGTTCTTGCAATACTTGAGAATCCTCCAAGATGGCCAATAGGGATGTAGCTATAGCATGTTAGAAGGCCTGGGTCAAGTTAAAATGGTCTAGCAGGTACCTCGATTTGATTGACTGCAGGGACCACCTTGCATGACGGATGATGCAAAAGTCGCTGGAGATTAGCGATACCAAAGTTTGAAACCCCAATGTTGTGTACTTTGTGCGATGGAACCTTTTGCATTTCCTCCCTGTAAAAGTTAGAGATATAGCCCCAGTTATTGTTCATAGAATTCTGTACCATGTGTTGATGAAGTTCCAATTGTTAAGCTCTATAGCAAATCCTTTGGAGCTTGTGGATACAGGCCAATGCTTGTGAAGTCAGCTATTTGTTGCTCGTAGATTATAAATCTATGAATCTCATACCATGAGATAAAGATCAAGGTAATCCATGCCTAACTCACTGAGAATACTTCAACGTTCCCAAGGCAAATATTCTGCAGGGAAGAGCCATAAAGGCATATTCAATTTGGCCAATCGGGTCTCCGTAGCTCTTGAAAATATTCTGTTTTTCTCAACTTCTTGATGAAACACAGCGGTACGGTTCAATCCATCCTCATCCGACTCGCCTTCATCGAGATGATTGAGCCAGTTTGATCGGCTAAGCAAAGAAATACTGTCTCCGCAGAGTTTTGCTAACTTTGGGAACTTAACAATATCTGGACACTAAACTCGTTCTTGACAAACGTATTACAGTCCAAACTCTGAACAAGCCAGGCCATTGGGGGTGTTGGGTGGGATTATCATGTGGTCAGTGAGGTACAGCAGTGTTTCGTGGCCCTCCGCCCCATTTCAGTCTACCACCCCAAAGTTTTTTTTATTATCAGCAAAATACATTGTAACCACTCTAAATTTATATTCCAGGAAAATGAATACTAACATCATCCTGACGGGTGAGGTACCTCTGTGGTAGCTAGAGTACCGCCCTCTTACAGTACTTTCACTCCCTGGTGTCCATACCATTTGACATCGAATGGTCATTATCTCTCGCACATATAATATTCACAAAATGGTTACCACATACCCACCATCGTCACACTTTCTCTCAAATTCGAGCCAGCTTTCATTCTTCTTGCCTTCAAAATTAGTCCAAGTCTGCATTCCCATTGCCCCAGAAAAGGCGTGCAGAATGCCACCCCGTTTGAACTGTCCTCCAACCTCCCCAGTAGGTTCAAGTAAAAGGCATGACAGATTCCATAATGGCAATTGATGATTATCGATGAACAATGGTAAACAATGAAATTTATATGTAGAGGGAGTGCAGTCGAGGCGAATATGAATGCGTACATTATCATCCCACCAAATATCATCAAAGAAAACATACCAGCCACCGTCAGGTTTGGGCTTGATTCGGATTGTTGTGAGTAGTCCGGAAAGTCTCAGAAAGCCACCCGTAACGAAACCATAGGGATCTCCTGTAGAGGACTCCACTTCACAAGAAATTATACCAACCAACGGTTCTATGTCCTGCAGTTGTTTACCCAGAAAAAGTGACACGGAGACTTGGCCATCCATACCAGCCCAGGACCATGAGGGTGCACGGTACGGGCTGGGTCTGGACCGTTTTTCGCCTCTACCTGATGGGCCAAACCAGAACAAGTCAGTGACAAGCGTTTTCCTCCATAGCCCAGCACAGAACTTATCGTCAAGATAACGTCCCATAATTCTCGAAATTCCGGAGAGAGCTATGAGTTTGTCTGTTCCATACGTCAATTGTGTTGCTGTGTAAACTTCCACGATTGCCTTCCATAACTTCCTGATTGCATCGATGTCCTGGTGTGCCCTATTTCTTACCATCGGCTCAGGATTTCTCTCAGAGCTAAAAAGCAAATCCCATAAGACATCCCTTGTCAACCACTGCTCGCGAATTTTCGGCGGTAGGCCTCTTGGATATGTTTCGCATGCTTGCAATTCATAGCATTCCCAGAACAACTGCGTTCCTGTTAAAAACAGAACCCTTGGTGCCAATAAAAGTTCCTGAACAACCCATGCTCTTTTCGTCAACGGCAGATCCTTCAATGTGGTATCTTTGAAGTCATTGTGGTAGAGAATATACTTTTGGCTTTTGCAATCATCCCAAGCGGATTCGATGATATATGGCTGAACCAATGATAGATCCCTGTCTGGGAAGCAACTCGCGTTATGGCCTGCTGCTATACTCGCTGCTATATTGATTATTGCCCCTGAGTACACATGGCTCATGAGTGGCGCCTCTCGTTGCCAGTCATCTTTAGAGTCTTGGAATATACACAATGAATCTATCCAGAGAAAGCCAAGGCCCAGTGACTGAGCTGTGAATACAGCGTCCTGGAACACCTGGTCTAATTCTGAAATGAAAATTCCTTCGCGTAAACTTTGAAGTGATGCTGACGTTAATATCGAGAGCTTAGAGGGTTTCGAGGTCCCCCAGCAGTGGCTAAGGGTAGCATATTGGACTGCAGTGTCTTCATTTTGGGCATGAACCAATAATTGAACTTTGTCGGAGCTCGGGTGCCCTATCTGTAGTAGGCGCGTGGGGGTGTAGCCAGCTTTGGAAGATGACCCGCAATTGGCATGTGTATCTAGGCATCGGGTCAACCATTTCAGTGCACCTGACATGCTAGGAGCCCAGCTACTGGAGCTGTATGTCACTTCAGTGTCAATATGGTTACTGGCATCTGAGGCAGTTTATATTAGTTACTAATAGCAACAGCATGAACCGGATGATAACTTACCCTTCATGTTTTGCAAACAGAACGTAATAGACCTCCCCCACGTGTCGGTTCCCTTCTTGTTCACAGTAAAGTCGAGTTCAAATATAAATTCTCCCGCCACGGCTTGGCGGCGAATATAGTATCGTGAAACCGGGGCAGGGTGTGGCTTTTCAAGATCTCCAGGCTGCTTAGACTGCCGTGGATGATCAACGACCGCATTCCACAACACCCTGCATATGTGACAATTGTGAGAAGCCGCATTTTCAAGATCACGGGAATGCAGGTGGTGTGGATGGGTCCTCTGGTCAAATGGGCCGACAAACATTTGGCAACAGGTTTTGCACAGCATTCCGGAGTTTGTTGTAAAAAGGCCCCGACGCTGTTCTTGGTGTCAAATAGACGACTATAGAAAATTAATCAAAACGATCAATATTGACAAAATGATATTGTGATATCTGAGCTGAGATATGTGATGATATTTATCTCAAGGCCATTGGTTTTGATCCGTGTTCCAAGATTTTTAGGCGCCTGGCTCATCTAAGCCACGATGGACGGTGCAATAGAATCTCAGCTCCACCTGCATATTCCCCGACTGGGTTTTTACTGACTAATTGTCGTAGAAACATCGTCTGAAACAGCACAAGATACTATTGGTGAGGTAGGAGGGTTTATTGCTGGCATTTTGTAATTGTTAGTTTTAGAACTCCGTCCGCGCTGCAGATGATTACAGGTTCAGTAAAGGGTACGGCCTCCTTTGAAGGAAGGGAGACCATGCGTGACAGTTATAAGACAACCAAGATTTCCGGAATAGCAGTCGAGGGATTGAGAATATACATCGCCTCAAGTATCTGTCGCTAGAAACGTGTGTGGGCTCCGTGGTGATGTCTTCTTGCTCAGCAGTCGGTATTTGGAATGATTCACCACCACATGGCCAATATCCATCCAAGGCGGTAGGTCCCTAAGCCAGCAGAGAACGGTCCATAGTTAATTAGGAGGCTAAGCAAGTCGGCAAGGCGGATGGATATTCAAGCCGTATCATAGAATTCAAGGCAAGAATAAATAAGTTATATTCATTTCTCCACCATCCGTATCAAGAGTCAGGTTGCGTTGTGTATAGTTCTTAACTGCCTTAACATAGACATCCCATATTGTCAAGCCTCTTGTATACCGGATAAGTGGGGACCCGGAAGGCGGGCGATGCGATATATTGGAGATGGATCTGAGCACGGCCCTCGTCCCCCATCTTGATTCGGACCCACAGCCACCATGGTCGTTGTTTGATCGCCTGTCTGGAAAAACTTATTTGGGAAAATGCGTTGCGTAGGATCGTTCCATATCTGCATCTCGACACCACGGGGATAGGAATTGAAGCCTTCATTGACTGGCGAGGGCCTGTACTGAAGACCATTGGCAGGAACCGTGTCCTCGAAGAATGTCGCAAATGGAAAAATAAACACCATCTCGGAATCAGTGAAATACACAGATCGAGAAGACAGATGTCGCTCTTGATAGGTCCATGCGCGGGTATTCCAGATGGAATTTTCAATATCATCCAGCCTCCTCCGCGGGTCATGGAATGCAGTAGACACGCACATTCCCGGAACAGTCTGCGTGATCTGCGTTCTAGATCGAGGAGACGTGCTGACTTCCGGTAGACCATAATAGGGGCTCACATTGGTCGAGGCGACGATGGTCAGAGCTGCACCACTATAGATTTTGTCCATCATAGTAACATTCTTGGCCACGTCTTCTGTACTATCCTGCAGAATGCATAAGGCGTCAACCCATAAGTAACAAGAACCAATAGCCCGAGCCACCTTGATGGTGTCCTTGATGGTGTGCGAGAGAGTGAGTGACGGATCAAGGAGTCCATCTCTAGCCTCCAGAATGACCTTGGTTGACGAAATGTATTGAGTCGGCGACACTCCACCCCAAACGTCTCAAAACATGTGCCAAGGAATAGAGTCCTATCCGAGTAGGGCCTGGCTTTTGATTGCCAGGTAAGCCTCGCTGAGTCAAGAGGACATTGAAGTTTATGTGGCGACACATTTCACAGAGGTAACTTGGTTCGTTCTCAAGTACCACTGGATCTGCAATCCACCATTCTTCGTCTCGACCTTCATCTTCTGAGAGAAGGCCCCATCGTTGGATGAATTGATGATGTTTGTATTTAGACCACGCCTTGTGCTCATCTAATGTCACCTGTTGACTCGGTGGATAATCCGGGGCAGGGGAGTCCCCAAATACGAACGAGAGAGAGATACGATCCATCTCTTGATCCAAGAAAGATCCCTTATCATAATTATCCGGGGCCTGTGAGCTTGCTTGGAGAGACTCCCAATCCATTTTGCCGCCTTTCGAGGTAAGCTCTTTGAGATCCCGAACCATTTCCCGGGCTGCTGAATCCTGCGTGTTGTTGACTTCCCCTTGGTCCTTGATAATTGCCTGTGCAATCTGGTTTGGAATACGATAGTATATGAAGGTCCCAAGAGGCCATGGTTTCAGCCAGATCGAGGTGAACCAATACCTAATGTTATATCTGAGCTCAGCTGAGGGTCAGTGCAGTGGTCGCGCGATGATAAAGCAGCACTCACCCACCCAACTATTTGCTATACTTAAGCCACACGCCGGCTGGTTAGTAGTATGGCGGGTGGCCACATGCGAATCCCAGCTGTTGTATAGGGCCGCTTATGTATCGACACTAAGCCCCTATACCTTGCGAAAGGCAAGGTTTGGTCTTGAAGTGATTTGTTCCTGGCATAGTGACTTTATACCTGATCAACTTACGTATAACCCTTCACAAAGGAGGCCTGTCCAGGGTGGTTTCTTATAAACCTAGAGATTAAAATAATTCTATCTTACCTTCTTATAAGTTAAATATAAAGCTCCTGCCTGGTATAAAAAATAGAACTAACCATGGCCAGATTTTATATCTCCCCTAATCCTAGGAAGATTCTAATAAGAAACCGGCAATTAACGTGGATGTTCCTGTTGGTAAGGCTGTTGATATGGAGATGAAGGGTATCAAAGAACAAAGGTAAATCACTTTTTTGCACATCGAAGCATACAAATTACCTATTTCGCCTTGATATAGCGGCCTGCCTGCTTCTTCACATATGCCTGGTGCACCCCGAATCCATTCTTGGGCACATCGCCCATCAGCTTCCATCCTTCATTATACTTGACCTCGCCCTTCGTGCTTAGCCTTTCTAGAGCATCCACCAACTCATCTTGGTCCCCAAGCGGCAGCCGTGTGACAATTGTTGCCGAGCGTGTATCCGACCGCAGCGCCTCGGGCGACCACATATCTTCATCGTCAACTTTGGGCTCATTCAGCAGTTTGAGAATGGCAAATCGGTTATCGAGCGCCAGCCGCATCAGTATCGACAAGCTTAGTGTCTTAAATATCGACTCCTCGCCTACAGTCGTGGGCTTGTCCTTGGCCTTTGCGTCGGCGGTCTTTTTCGCATCGGCCAGGACCTTTTCATCGAAGACGACGTAGTCCTTTTCATCCTTCTTCTTCTTCAGCGAGACCTTGTCCTTGATCATCGGTTTCCCGTCTTCCACGATGTTCTGAATCTCCTCTACAAACCCCTCGAGTAGCTGATACGAGGGGATCTGCTCGCGGAGCTCTTCCATAAACGCCTCGTGGTCATCAAAGATGCCCGAGATAGCCAGGTTCCAGCCGATAGTCGCGAACGGACCGACGATGGGGACATAGCCGATAGCAAACGCGACCGCGTTCTTGAAGTACTCTAGGAACCATGGTGAGCCCATATCTGCCTTCTTCCACCCGACCTGGACACCGTGGTTCTCGTTGACAACCACCGCCCAGTCCGCCATGCAGGTGCTGTCATACTCCCGCTGGAGCACTGCATTCGGGATCTCTGCCGTGTCCATGAGGGCTAGGCCCCCGCATGTGTACGCGTCGACCTTGCGGATGTCCTCGGGGATAATTAGTGCCGTGATGAGGCGGGCCGGATTGATTCCCAGGGTGGTCGTCTTATCGATGTCGAGGCCGCGCTCGGAGTGGGATTTGAGCTGCACGGTTGTGCTTGTCAGTTTGGTGCTGCCCGCGGAGCTGGGCTTCTGGTACACCATTGTCGGGGCCGCTTTTTTGGTGAAGTTGACGTGCACGTAGGTGCATATGTCTGGGTAGCTCTCGCTCGAGCTGTAGGCGGTCGGTATGTAGATTGCGCGGACACGGGTTAAACGCTGATGGAGCGTACATATGAGATCTTGTTACATCCTCTATTCATGAAACGCAGAAGCTGGGGGGGGAATCGACACGTACGTCCATCCAGATCCACTCCTCTTCCCTCGTCGGCATCGGGACAAACATGAACCACACCTACCAGAGGACAATGAGAGCAAGCACTTGAAGCACCCGTTGATATACACACCTCAGCCTTATCCCCGTACTCATGCCTCTTGAACCGATACCCGCTGGTACACAGCTCACACTGCACGCGCCGGGAAGGGTACTTCCAGTTCCCATACGTAAACGGGCATCAGCTCCAGTTGCCGTAGGACGTCCGCCACCCGCCGCCACCGTACACGATTTCATAGTTGGAGCGCTTGTGTGGGTGGCCCTTGGGTTCATTGGCCTGCTTGGACCCGTGGTGCGCCTCAACGTTCCAGGTCATTTCGACGATCATAGTACTGTAGAAGTGCGCCGGGTCGTCAGCGTTGAACCGCCCGTCCTTTTCGGATTTTAACGCGCTGCGTTTAAAGTAGGCTTTGCCTTCGGGGAAGGGGATCGCCATTCTGTGACGCAGTGCTTATTGTAGAGGGCGGGCTTGGTTGGGGTTGTGTATGGGTCAAGGAATGGTTTACTGCGTCGGGTCGTGCACAGATCCCCGCGGGGTTTAAGTAGACTCACCGGCAAGCCCGGTGACATCTTCGATCTTCAAGGATGTAGTAATGGTTCCGGCTGGTTGTCACTCATGCATAGCACGAACCATGGCTCCAGCGGAGCCTAAGCACGCACCGAGCCGCCCGCGCCCTTCCGAGCGGACACGATGGAGACCAAACCGGAGAACCTCATAGGGCTGACACTAATTGTATATGGATTCCGAGTCCTTCTATATTCAGGGCCCTGACAGGGAGAATACAAGTGAAAGTGAGGTTCCGTGACGATCAGGAGATTTCTTAGCGAACTTTTCGGTGCTGGTACGACGCTTTTCGTGCCTTTCCTAGACGGCCAGACGTAACAAATGAACGGCTACACCTCCTACCAGTAATTTGGTCATGGTGCAATTGACTGGACTTGCTATTGATGACGTCGGTAGAACAACGTCATACCAGCCCCACCGCTTGACAATGGTATTTCCGGACTTGTATATGCTCCTGCGATGTTGGCAGGCTACTGCCCTAATGCGGTCTTCTGGCCTCTACCCAGTCCATTCAGGCGAGAGCGTCAATGACTGTGAAGATGATACTGGGCTAAATCGAGCAACCTTGGATGAGATACCGTTGCATCGCACAGTAGCGACGTTGCTATCGTCGTTGACGTTATCGCTTGCCATGTCATCTTGACATGCCCTGTGTAACAAAGCCTCTCCGCTGCCTGAGGGCGGATTGAAGGCAACACCGCCACCTGTCCACGCTCCTTAATCTGGCCTTTGATGTTAATGCTAATATATTCCATAAAAGGTTTGAAGGTTTGAATATCTGGCGGTGTGACAGTGCCTGGGTGGTTATACTTTAGATCAGTATGGTGCGGGTAGGTTTAAAGAAACGAGGCTCACTAATGAAAGATCCAAAGAATATCTTTGTATTCCTGCTTTGTTTCAGGGAGCGCAGGTTGCTGGATAGACAAACTATCATGCTTAGCAAGGATGACCTTTTCGTGAACTTGCCTCCCCGCATTATGGCGACGGAATCGTCAAGAACGAAGTCAAAGTAGTGATTTGGGTAAGAGGGAGGAGGATGGAAAGGAGGATGTTAAGAATTTTTTCCCCTGCAAAGTCATACTTTCTACTGTTGTATGTTTTGTTATTATTTTGGTTTTTTTTTTTTTTTTTTTTTTTTTTTTTTTTTTTTTTTTTTTTTTTGCCGTTGTCTGCTGTACAATAATAAACATCAATATTGCAGCTGATTTAGTGGATGGTGGCTACGTTACCGTACCAATACCTGGATCAGACTATATATACTGTGCCCTCCCAACTGGTAGGCTCATCATCCTTTACATTTCTTCGCCTCACCATGTGCATAAGCCCAGCCGACGAGCAGGACTATGAACAGCGGCCAATAGATGTCTCCATGATTGGTCTGTATTCCGGTGTCACCGCTGGCTTTCTCGCGTTCGGGTGGTTGAGGGAGGCAGCTAAGCTTATCCAGTATGTTATCTCTCGCAGTACTTCGCCTCTGGAAGAAGCCTTCCGCGATCCTCTACAGCCAATGTGCAGGGATACACCATGGATGCTTATGGAGTTTCTAACAACTAGGTCGAACGACCTGGAGTCCGTTATAAAGTGAAAGGCAGCTTCGTCTTGAGATTTCATTAACAACTCTACCCAGGGAGGAAACGATAGACCCAGCTTGGCTCTTATTAACTGTAAAACTGGGAGGCATTGGAGTATTGCCGCTGGCTCCTTGGTGACTATACCAAGCAGCTTCCTCGACAATACTCACAACAGTCATAATAGGTGGAGTCCACAGCTGGTAGTCGAGAAGGAATCTGGAGCTTCTAATCTGCATCAGTCTGGAACGCCTTCATGGCTGGGAAAGCGCAGGCTTAGGGTGCGTGGCGGTAACAGAGATTTTATTAGTACCGTGCTCACAATAAAAGTATCCTATTCAGCCGGGTGTGAATCACGGAAGTTGATAATACAAACCTGTCCATCACGATATCCAAGTGCGAGAGCATTATTCTCCGTAGCAAAGCATAGCTTACCAAACCATGTGAGGACGGGGCCGGTTGCGGCACTCCAGTTGTTGTGTCGAAGCAGCACGAGGTGTGGTCAGGGAGGCCTATGACTAGGAGCCTGTCGTCATACCAAAATACAGTCCTGATGGCGTCGCGAGGGTAACTTTGAATGACCTGGATTATTTCCCCGGTCTTGGTATCGCACACTTGGATTTTACCCTTCTCCGTATACGAAGCTACTCTGGGTTATATTTCCAGTATTGAAATCCCAAAGCTGGATAGTAAAATCAAAAGAGCCAGAGGCAAGAATCTGACCATCCGAAGAAAACGCCAGCGTACGAACTAGATCTGAATGCCCTCGAAGGGTCCGAGTTCCGCTTCCAGTCTTGGTAGCCCAGATTCGCACCGTGCCATCGATGGAGCCGGTGGAAGCCAAGGGATTCATAAGGATATTAGAGAAAAGGTGAATAGTGGACACGGTCAGCTCAGGGAGGTAGAACCCATAACATGCGTCAGCAATCCATATCGCGGAAAGTTACTCTGCCAGGACGTTTGCGTACGTGAGGTAGTGGCCGTGGAGATGTAACTTCATTACGACGAATTTATGCAAGACAGATCGACTAGATGAAATACTAATAGCTAGACTGGATCCCGCTGCATGTGTGTCCTGATTCAGGGCCCATTCTGTGATGCTATTTATATATCCACCCTATTGTCTACGCTGTAGACACTATCAACACCTCCCCCGCTATACGTCTCGGTCCAATATACCGCCTAGATTGGGAATATGTCATAGAGGAATAGCTTATGCTTCCTCCACACAAATGAGATTCCCTCCAAGATCCATAACATCCCCGACTGTAGCATTCGGAATCAGGCCGACCATCCAGAGGTTATGGTGGAGTGTCGTTTCATTTGCGGGGTCACCGTCATAGTTCAGGATTGCGGCTGATGGGAAGGTCCAGTTTGCCATTGCTAACTGCTCGGGTGTTGGAACGTTTCGGCCGCTCATTTGGAAGAGACGGGCAGGAAGATCCTGCTGCTGCCACTGCCACCAAAGATGATCGAGATAGGTCTGCAGAGAGTGGTCTTTTAGCACGTAAAGACAGGACTGTGAGTTTACCGCTTCCTTACATGATGGAGATAAAATATAGGATCTCCTGGAGAGCCAACTGCATCGTACATCACCCCATTCACACCTAAATGAGCGGCCCCATGCGGCGAGGTTGACCAACAAGGCCAGGCGTCCGAGTAGGTGGCCTTTGAAAAGCACGCATCCAGATTGCTTTTATTTCCATCCTGAAATGCTGTTTGGTTAAAGTTCCGGCTAAGGCAATAGTTGGCATCATTTGAGAACTGGGTAAGGTGCAATGTGAGGTTCACAAAGGGCCCATCGGCAACGCAGAGGTCATTCCCTGCGCCATTTCCACCAAACCCAGTATTGGGATCGAAGACGATGGACTCGTTCAAGGCTCCCATATCAAGAATTTCGTCCCAGTAACTGGTGGAATACAGTGTGAGATTGTGGGTAAGGTAAACGATCACTGGGAGCTTACGGCTGGGGGCCGGTGTAATTGCACTCTGTGCGCTGGAGGTAGTCATGTGCATGCATGAAGAGGCGATGCCAGGGGAGGAACGAGCCCTGTTTATGGTATGAACGTTCAGTGGCTACACCAAAAGAGGGATTAATGGTCCAGGGAAGTCTTAACTGTAAAATGGACAACGTTTGACTGCAGAATATGGACGTATTGAAGTTCATCCCAAATGTTTTGTGCACCCCGGACGTCAAGCTTCGGGGGTGACTTCATCAGGCAGAGGTCGGCATCAATATAAGCTTTCTTCTGGCTATAGGTAAGTGTTTGCCTGTACGACACTTAGCCGCTGCCCATAGCCTTCTGTGAGAATCGCGTACCAGGCTTTGCGTTGGACTCTTTCGGTACATATACCATGGGGCATAGCATGCTTCGGAGGGAGTGCACTAACTAGAGAAAGCACCAGATAGAGAAAGAATAATACCGACTTTAGAAGAGCCATTATGGTGCACAGCAAATAACGAATGTGCAGAAGAGAGGAAAAAGGAGAAAAGAACGTGATAAATGAACGAGTGCAGTTCTGAATTCTGGTTACCGTGCAGGAAAAAAAGGCCGCTTGGGTACTGTAATGATATCTTTATATCACAATTCACACTTCTTAACTAGACGATCCACATAGCTCGCCAAGATCAGACGCACTACATTGGATACGCGTTTTGTGGATAGGTATGCGTGGCTTGTCCGCGATCCAATATTCTAGACAGCGGCCCATTTCAAATCTAAAGTGCTTGAATTTTGGGCTCGTCTTTACGATATGCATCTCGATATAGACGTACTATCACTGATATACGTTCACACGGGGAGGTAGTATCATAGTCTGAGATGTCGTATCCTAGCATCAAAACCTCCTAGTACGATTACCGTAGGTGTGTCGGCACACTCGATTTCTGTGATTTACAGGAGATGATCTACCAACAGGAACGTGAGTATAATTGGCTCAAGGATACTCTATTACGGGTACCTTCGCTCCGCTCTATCGGTGGCAAACCGTAGGCATCAGAGATCAGAGCCGTGGACAGGTGAAACGGCAGCTTGCACGTAGTAAGGAGCAGATGCTGGTCCACAAACTGCGCTTGAACTGGGTATGGTCTTGGCAGACCGCCACTGGTATTTATTAAACTTTTCATAGCGGTCCAGGGGAAGTGATGGGGCGTTCAGCGGTGTGGAATGAGGCTTCCATTATCTTTGTCGGTAGCATGCTTCCGAAGTATTGGTGGGCGGATATTTCCATCCGAGGGCGGGACTAGATGATGATCATCTCCATCCAAGACGTTACGGAGTAGTTTACACTTACGTTTTCTTATTGTTTAGTACTACGCCCATGTAAGTCTGCAGCCTGGAAATATTCGCGTGTAGGGGATGTCTACCGGAGATGATGAAATGTTTCCTCCGAGGACCACTTCCACCAACCTATATTCCCGCTGACGCGTGTACTGTGCTGGGGTGTTCAGGATAAACCTAGGTGTAAACATCTTGTCCCCCTTCATCAGTACAATTGGCCCCCAGCTCCATAGTTTGCTGACAGGTGTACACAATATGCTTTTGACTCATTATCTGATTGCCGCAATGGCGGGCGGCCGTGTTGCACTTGCAGCTTGGACATGTCCCCCCTTTCAAGTGAGGAATACAGGTATGCCGGCAGGACAATTCAAGAACATTTCTGGGAGTAAGTCAGATATCCTAATTGTCATACGGCGTTTACTCACCAGCTGCAGTTGAGACGTACCACTCCTACCCACCAGGGAGTAACACATCAACCAAAGCAATATTATTCATCTCGAACCTATCTGGTATTTCACTTTTGGAGAATAGGATGTAGGTTTACAGCTCCCCTCCCCAGGGTTAGAGATGCTGATCCAACCAAGTCTCGCCGACTCCATTGCAGCCAATGGCTACCTCGCTGTGATGCCAGACCTATTCGAAGGCGAAGCTATTGATGAAGATGCTGGACAGGATTTAACTGATTGGCACGCACGGCACCCTGAAGAGAAAATTGATCGCATCATCAACATAACAATCAGATACTTGCGGGAGGAAGTTGGTGCCCAACGGATCGGTGGTGTCGGTTACTGTTTTGGCGGAAAATACGTTCCGCGCTTTCTTTCCGGTGGTCGAGGCATTGATGTTGGGTTTATCGCACACCCGAGCTTCCTAACCGAGACAGAGATCGAGGGCATCACCAATCCCATCAGCATTGCTGCTGGGAGTAAGAGTCCCAGTTTTTCACAATAGAGACAGGATGCTAACGAATTGACAGCACTTGATGAGGCCTTCAATATGTCATCTAAAGTCCGTGCGGAGAATATACTGGGCTCGAACAACGTGACTTTCCAGTCCAACCTGTACTTTGCTGCGCCGCACGGGTTCGCAATCAGTGTCAATCAGAGTAATCCACAGCAGGCGTATGTGAAGGAAGCATCTTTTGTTCAGGCAGTTACTTGGTTTAACACTTGGCTCTGACGAAGATTGCGACAAGTATGGATTCCCCGTGCGCTATGAAAGGGACCCAGGTCCTTGGGCCTGGATAGTAATCACTCAAATTAGTGAACAATGAATTGAGACATAGTTATCAGGGGCTGAAATCCATGTTTTATTTAAGCTATAGAGGCCAGCAGCAGATAATATAGACTGCTACCCCCGCAACGACAGCACCGAGGTCAGATATTACAGTCTTGTTCATGTCATCTACGTCAGAAATTCTGTTCCCTAAGTGATGGGGCCAGGGTGAGACTCAGAAGATACTTACGCTTGGGGGCCGGTAATTGCAATCTGAGTACTTGATGTAGCCATGAGTGCGCATGTATCAACGACGTTTGAGGGGGATAGAAACAAAAGAGAGATCGACAGCGGAAAGACACAATATTTTGACTAAGATCATAGAGTAGGCGAGGGCAGAAGTCCCTAGTGATGTGGAAGATACCCGCATCTAGGCAGCCTTCATGCTTCCTTAACATGGAGCCAATATCTGAACCAGGATACGACAGAGCCTATCCCCCGCACCATCGCCTCCCGTTCGACCCTATTATCACTATACCCTCTGGTAGCAAATCCATGCTCAACGCCCGGAAAGTACTGGTAGTCGTACGGAACACCCTTGGAGGGTATTACACGGTTGCAGGTTTCCTTTAACTCCGGACTGAACATAGGGTCGATTTCCGGAGCTAGAATCTGGACGGGCACGCCAATGTTCCCAATCTCATCTGGGTCCAGCATCGAGGGATGGGCAGTAGATATGCAATCCACTAGAGGAGGGTTATAGGATGTTGCCCCCAGCCGGAACACAGCCCATCCACCGAAGCAAAAGCCGACAGCGGCCACTCTCTCGTACTTGCCACGGAGGGCATGCGCGCAAGCGACAATCTCGGATTCCCGAGTCGCTTTACTGTTGCGAGCAAGGAAACCCGACATGTCCATTTGGCGCAAGCGGGTGAAATCGCGCACCACCTCTGCTTCTATAACCTCGCCACCGAAGCTGTATCGGAAAGAACGAGATGAATAATTAGTATGCCGTTCTGCCTTTTTCAAGTGGAAGACCTACAAGTCAGGTACGTAGACCGTCGCATCGATTTCACGTGAATATTGGTCGGCGAGAATCCGGACGTTGCTAAAGGTCCACCCAAACAGGTCGTGAATGAGAAGTACGGCTACCTTGTCGCTGGAGCCGGTAACATAGGAGTCAAGATTGGCGAGCTTTGTTTCTTTTCCAACGGGGGTTCCGTTCCATTCAAATCCCCTCACACAACAGTCCGACATTGTGCCTCTCGTTCCTGTTTTGCAGTTTAAAGTCACAGAGTTAGAGCACCGTACGTAGTCTTTATAGCATTCGCACTCTAGCCATTAGACGGTTTGACTTTGAGAACCAATTTGCGTATCTTTGCATAATTATGTCCGGATTATCGGTTCGCTACAAACATCATCGGCACCATAGCGCCGATGCTGGACAAAGGCTCGCCAACTGCTGTGTACTAAGACTAGTCATACAATCACGAAATGCGGTTCACAAATGAAATTTACCCTATACAGCGTGGCCGTAAATATGTTCGAATCATGTCTTATGAGTAAGATGAATAGGATACCCACAGGATTACCTACTTTCAGGGGTCGGATACTTGGGAGGATTCAGATCGGCCAAGCTCCTCTCTATGTTGAATGTGGGTTGTAGCATGCTAGGGCCTCTTTGCCACGCCATTCAGCCCCCGTACAAGTGCTGTTTCTGGTAGGCTGATGAGACCTTGGTCTCGAGTGGAGTTAAACATCGGTAGCATACTTCCGACGCCAGATTTGGGACTCGATTCCCCTTTGCCCCGGACTCGTTCGTTCGCAGCTACATGTCAACCTACATAAGCCTGAATTATTAAGAATTAGTGGGTTGCCCATTTCTTCAACCTGTTCTCTCTCTGAAACCCCAGAGAAAAGCAGCATGTCAACAGAAGACAAGGCTATGACGGCTCATGTGGAACAGCCTTCCCCAGAGGAGCAGAAGATCGAAGAACAGAAGCACCTTGCAAATCATGCCGTCGACCTTTATGATTCCGAGGGGATCCGACTGATTCCATCCCCATCTAATGACCCAAACGGTGAGAAGCAATGACAACTCCAGCGACTGCAACGATCCTCACATATACGGCACAGATCCCTTGAGAGTCCCGCCATGGCGCAAGAATATGGTTATCCTAGCGCTCTGTTTTTGTAGGCCCCCAAATCCTGTCACATTCGCACTGTGTGACCTACAGCTGATACGGCGGCCTAGATACCGCGGGCTGTTTGGCTGCCACCACCAGTCTTTCACCGATAATTCCTACATTGATTCAGTATTACGGCGCATTTGGCGGTGCATCCCACCCGTCTGCGCAAAATGTGATGAATCTGGGAACTTATCCAACTCTCTTTGGAGGGATTGGAGCTATTATTACCATCCTGGCGGCTCGATGGATAGGAACACGGCCCGTTCTTATCCTCAGCTCAGTGTTACTATTCTTTGCTACCCTTTGGTCGGCTGTCTCTCAAGGCAAAGACCGTGGACTGTATTCAAATATTGCCGCTCGCTGCTTCGTTGGTCTTGGCACAGGTGCCTACGAGTCCGTGGTCCCTTTGATACTCCAGGATATCAATTTCATCCACCAGCGGAACAGAGCATTGGGATTTGTTTTGGGATCAGGAGGTATGGCTGGCGCAGTTTTCGGTGCTTTGTCAACATACATCGTTGCGGGACTTGGGTGGAGGTCACTCTTCTGGATCATTAACATTATAACCGGGATCGGTGTGATCATGATTATCCTGTTTGTGCCTGAAACCACCTGGCCTCGGAGAATATCGGACTTGAGTAGGTACACCATTGCAGTTCTCCTGGTTCCTTGAATCCTGGAGTAGTTTTCCCTTTCTAACAGACCCGGTTAGCTGGGACGTCTGAGCGAAATGCAGACGGATTTGTGCCATCGGTGCGTCCCCCACAGCCTCCAACACCATATCTACACAGTCTCCGCCTATTCTCCGGGCGTGGTAGTGGTTTATCAGCCTGGTGTACGGCGAAAGATCTGGTCCGATCTGCCACATTTCCCAATGTTATCTGGGTATGTGCCTCCAACTTATTACATCCGGTGTTATTCCTTTGCTTGATCTAACTCCTCCCTGCCGAGTTTTACAGATTGTCTTATTGAATGCATGCATGAGTGGTACGACAGTTGCTTCGACACTGGTGATTAGCACTATACTCCAGGGCCCGTACCATTGGGCGGCCCGAAACGTTGGCCTTTCCATGCTTTCTATCGCAATGGGGGCTCTTCTGACGATACCAGTCACTGGGGTTGTGGGAGACGCCGTCATCAAATTTGTTGCCAAAAAGAAGAGAGTTCACCTGGTAAGCCAGCTATCTTGTACCCTAAGATGTCCAGAAAGTAATCGCTCCTCTCTTCTCAGCCCGAGCATCAGCTGATTAACCTAATCCTCCCGGTTGTGGTCGGTTTGATTGGGACCATCGGCTACGGCGTTGTAGCTGCGAGACCAGATAAATACCATTGGATGGTGCTGCTGGCGATGATGACATTTCAATTCTTTGCCTCCAGCTCAATCAACATCCTTTCCACTACCTACGCCATCGAGTGCTACCCTGATCTAGCTGGTGTGATGGTAATTGTCTGCGGAGCTTACCGAAATATTGTCGGGTTTGGTTTGACTTATGGAGCCCAGGGCTTCATTAACGCTGCTGGTGCACTAGGATGTTTTGGTACATATGCTGGGATCTTGGGTGTCCTTGGTCTCTCAGGAATTCTCTTCTATTTCATGGGACCGGCGGTGCGGCTTCATGTCAACTCTTGGAAATTCCGACGGTCTGCATTTGTTGACGACGACATGGGAATATGAGTTTCCCGTTGTCGCGCTCTCCTACTCTCCTGGAGTACCTACGCACTTATTCCAAATGTCCCGGTCATGGCAGAACAAGAAATCTTTATTGCCTAAGACGAAGTCCAGTAGCCCCCTACACCCAACATATGAATGCTATTTGCCTTCCCATCATATGCCCGAACTACGAGCCAAAGGCTTGCAAGTAATTAAACTGGTATGGGATATTACCAGAAGCGAAAGCACATCTGGTCTGCGTTCCACAAGGCTGTGTTTGCCATTGTCCAATAAATAGTCAACACTAAGGGAAGAAGTAGCTTGCGGAGTACGCCAGGCCAGTCCACCTCCGCAAACTGGAGATTAACCACAGTACAGGTCGGACGGATGATGGCGAGGATAAAAGAGCCTAATGACGCAAGCCTTTCTCGGCGTGCTGGCCTTTCTGGAAGTTCTGCTTAAGGCCAGCTGTATTTCCATTGCAGAAGCTGGCGAATACTTGTTTTCATGGCATGAAAACGAAAGTCGACCATCCTCTTACTGAGTTTCAATATGAGCTGGATAGTGAAGAATTAACTTTTACTAAAGGGGATGAATGGGACGGCACTCCTTGGTCGTTTGACCAACACGTATATCAGGTTCAGCAAATTAGAATCAAGCTCGAGCAGCCGAGTCGTAACATCCCCCTCCAATCAAAACGATATACAAGCAAAAGCAACAGGCCACGTCAATTGATCAAAGTCGCACCCGCCATATCTCTCCCATCCACCCAATTGCCGTGTAGACCAGGCCGGAGGCGGATTGGCAAGTAAACAATGGCTTGCGGCTTTGAGAAGTTCTCTGTATCGACGATATGCAACTCGGAACCCATAGTGGCGTAATTGTTGGCTAGAGCAATGAGATACCCGTCACCCTCTGGCGCGAATTCAGATCGAGGCACGAAAACTGGTTCCTGCATGAAATGGGTGGGGCCAGGAAAATACTTCTGCAGACTCTTAGTCCGAAGATTGAGATGGCCCAGGGAATTGTACGGAGGAAACCCTCCTCCGACCACTGGGATGATGGCTGGCCAGTCTGTTGGTGCCTTCATGTCCATGAGATCAAAGAAGCAGTGATCATGTTTTGTCATTGACCAGCGATCATCGATCCGAGGAAACTCGCCATTCTCTTGTAAAAGTAACTCGGCCCGTGGCAATGTCAACTCCTCTGCCCTCGGATCGATGTGGAACCGGTAGAGAAATGCAGCGATCTCATGGGGACTGGGCGAGTTGCCCTGGGCATCTGGCCACCAGAAGAATACATTCTTGTCACTGACAGAAATGTCCAACAGGATCTCGCCGTCTTCTTCGTAGGCATTGTAAACATGCCCGGGAAAAGCATTTGGAGATCGAAACCACTACAATATCCGATGAGTTCTGGGCGCATTGGCCTCATGAGGGGAGATCGACTCACTCTGACATCCGAACCTTGGGCACCGCGACGGGGTAGTACTCCAAAGTAGACAGGCATCTCCGGATTCCACTGCCAGTGTTCTCCTCCTGCTTTCATTCTCTCCAGCTCACAGGTCAGCGGGATGAGCGGGAAGACGACCTGAGGCATACCATTAGCGGGGAGAAATGAGCATGAAGTATCACGTACCCAATTCTCGGTTACAGCAAAATCATGAATCATTGCAACCACGGGAGCGACAAGCCAAACAGTTTCGGTAAACTCACCACCCGGGCTCACAGAATAGTAGCAAATGTCAGGTGTGCCGTCTCCCTTTGCTTCATAGCCAAAGCCAACGAGCTCGCCTGACTTAGGGTCGACCTTCGGGTGCGCTGTGAAAGTGACGCTGGGGAGCTGGCCGTCGAAATCGTAGAGGCCCATAGTTTCGAGGGTTTCTGGATCCATCGCATATGGAGGAGAATCTTCCTTGCAAGCCAGCAGCTTTCCATTAAAGTATAGGACATTCGTGTTGGCAGTACTGCGGATCTTGAACTCCACGGCATCGGTGTACTTGTTTCTATATTTACCTAACGGCGTGTGTTAGCTGCTCATATATGCGCCATGATCTTGCCAAAACACACCCATGAGAGCTTTATTCACGCGACCTTCGCGCACCTTCTTCTCAGTTTGCACGTATCTCTGCTTGAAGTTGACTCGGCCGTCTTTGATCTGGAAAGCGCTGACATTGCCGTCCCCATTGAACCACTATTTTTGGTCAGAGAAAAGCTTCGTGGATTGCGATACGGAACGGATGTTCTCACTGGGTCGTTCTCGATGAATGGGACGTGTGGAGGGTCAGGCATCACACGGAAGAAGGTCCCATCAATACACTCTGGGATAACGCCCTGGACTTCGAGGTTCGATACTTTACCTTCAAAGCGACACGGCTTCATGAAGCCATGGAATTGTTCCCGATGTGGGAACATCTGGCTTGTCCCAGTCTGACGGGCCATCAAGAGACAGAAAACACGACGGGTTCAATACCGTATGCTTGAGATGGCAAGACCGCCGTTAATAATGACACGACTGCCTGGCAGTTTGCTCTACATATCTATTGTATGAAGGTCGTATTTTTACCTATTCCTCCCGAACTCCGAGGGTCGGCAGCATGAAAGCGATGGGAGTTTATCGTCCCACTTCGGCCTCATGCCGCCGGCTGGGAATCATGACCCAATTATTAAGGAGTACGGGCTAGAGCAAGATGGCATGCCTTGCAACATCGTCGAGGATGTCCTGCACCGGTCATTCGCAGCTCCGAAACTAGATCTTTCCCTGCACCAGGAGATTATCTTAGAAGCCTTTAGAATTATTTATTCTTTAATAAGAAGGATATTTTGTACACAACCTTTCGTTATATGTATCAAATTCTGATGTAAAAATGTAAAGAGGCTGTTGTTTCATTATATTTAAAACGTTAGAGTCTAACTGGCGAAAACTACTTAACCCGTTATATATATATTCGCGTTGTACCGTGTTTTGGGCCTAATAATAAATTATGATAAAGCAGGCCGTTCTTAGATGTTTTCGCTTAAAAAATTTATAAATACGAAAGTTAATACTTCTTATATTATATATAGCTCTAATTAAGTATAAAAACTCGTGGTTAGGATTGAACGAATTTAAATGTATGAGTGGCAGAAACTATGAAGAAACGCCCGCCCCGATTTTCGCACGGAGCAGAGTAGGGAACAACCCATAGCATTCCATACAAGAGGTCTTTGTCAGCCTTCCCTCGTCAGGCAACCGAGTCGTTGAATGTCAAAATCATTAGGGAGATACGTCTCTACTTAAGCTTTCGTCACTAGATATGCCCTTCCGTCCTAGTGAACGCATATCCTCGGAGCCATTAACCGCTACTCGTCGCGCGTCGAGGTTATCTTTGCATATGACTCTCCAATCTTCTTCAGGTACCCGAAATCGCGCGCATTGACCTTCTCCAGAAATTCCTCTCGCATCGCAACCGCCTCCGGATCCTTGCCTGTAAGGAGACGTGTGTGGAAAATCGCTGAAGGATTGGTGACGTTCTGGAAGACGTCTCGTCGAGTCTCGCCATAGGATTCCAACAGCGATGGGGGCTCATTGTCTACGATGATCTTCTTCAAATTTCGACCCAGGAGGGCGGCGTCCAATAGACCCGTGGTCAGTCCCAGGCCGCCGACAGGACTCGTTAACTGTTTTCAAAGCAGATGGGTTAGCCCGATTTATAGTCACTTGGGGGAGAGAAGGATTACGGGCCAGAAAAATGGAATCAAGATCAAACCTACATGGGCAGAGTCGCCAGCTAGGGCAACGCGGCCGCAGACAAATTTGTCCGCGCAGAGTTGGCGAAGTCGGTACAGGGAGATCATGTCGATCCTGGCTTCATCAGTTGATCCGGGCAAAAGCTTCGCCAGTTTGACTTGGGCCCGGGCCAGTTCTCGCTCCTTATCAAACGGTTCCTGTGGATCCAATTCAGACGTTGGAATCCCATAAGCTACTCGCCACAAGTTGCCTTTGCCGAGTTTCGCGACGATCCCCCAGATATCATCACCGACAACGGCATTACCGCAGGCCCAACCTAGGGAGGATAGGTCATATTCAAGGTTGAGCGCAACCATCTGAAAGTCCTCCCAGGTAAAGCCCTCCAACTGGACGCCGATGAGCTTGCGGACGGTGCTCTTTCCGCCATCAGCCCCAACAAGGTATTGTGAGGTGTGCTGCCGACCACCAGTATACGTCGTGACAACGGTGCTATTGTCTTCGGACTGCTCCAGTGCATGCAGCTCGTGACCGAAGCTAACCTGGACCTTCGGGAACTGGGCCAGACGACTGAGGATAATCTCTCCAACAATATGTTGACCTAGTTGGACCGGCCACATCGAAGGATCGGGCTTAGTAGGGAGTTCCGCGAGATAGCCTCCGTCTTTGGGACGCCGCCACTTGAGCCCTTGGTCATTCAGCAGGCCGGCTTCTTTAATTTCCTCGAGGATCCCAGCCTTGCGGAATTCCGCCTGAGTTACATCGAAGTATCTAGTGGTCTTCCGTTTCAGTACAGTTGTCACCTGGGCCCCGACCCCAGCCAAATCCAAAAAGACAATGGAGAGCAGACACAAAGGTGGCTTGACTTACCCCATTGCACGAGGCGACTGTACAATTGCATCCTCCCGTTCAAACACGGTTACATCAACTCCGGCCTGGGCCAGCAGTAACGTAGTAAAGAGCCCGACCGGGCCTGCGCCCACGACGCAAACGGTGCTGGAGGTTTTGTTCTTCCAAAGCAGTCAGCTTTAGTCCCTCTCTATAGGTACGATGGTAATGCGCAAGAATACTCACCGAGGCCATGGTACTGGTATCCGTGTGGGATAGGCTTGTAATAGGGGGAATATAGAGCCTGACGAAATGGGAGAGACTTCTGATGGCCCGAGTATTGTGTGAGTTATATAGGCTAAGGCGTATTATTCAGGAATGAATGGGCCACAGCAAGTCCCATGCCCCTCTCTCTCACCTCCCCCGGTAGAGACATTCACGATGCATCGGAACCATGGTCCCGATACAGAAAGCCCATTTCCATGTACAAAAACATTGTCGAGACGACAGCTTCCCTCTGATTCACCCCAGGATATCCGATTGATATTATTGCTCAACGGAACCTAAGTCTCAGTCATTCCTCATTTTCTCAAGGGTTTCATTGACGACCAATACAATGGACCTAGCGCCAACGTTCTCCGTCGTTTATAAGGAATTGGACGGCAGTCAGATCCTGACCGATATATATGTCCCCTCTATTAAGTCAGGTCAAGAGGATGTAACCAAAGTCCCAGTGATATACATCGTTCATGGTCCGTTACGATCTCTCCTTTCTCTGCTTGTAGCTGCATCCTCCTTCCTGACATTTAGGCTAAGCAAGCAAGACTACAAACAGGGGGTGGATGGCTGATGGGACACCCAGTGATGAATCCCAAAGCACAAATCGAAGATAGCTTGGAGAGGGGATGGGTTGTGCTGGCACCAGACCACCGCCTGTGCCCCCAAGTCAACATCCTGGAAGGTCCTATGGGCGACATCCGCTCTCTTCATGCCTGGGTCCATGACGGACATCTAGACCAGGAGCTGCAGGCGCGTTCGTTCCCTCTGGCCATCGACAAGCGCAAGATCATCGCCACTGGAAGTGCATCGGGCGGTCATGCCTGTCTCGGTCTAGCCTTTGACACAGGCGTGACTCCCCCGCCGGCAGCCATCATGGATCTGTATGCGCCCAAGAACTTCGCCCATCCGTGGTGGACCGGGGTCCGCGATAAGCTGGATGTAAACGCACCCAGTTTGACGCCTGAGATGGAACGAATGGTCTTCTCCGAATATCCTATCCCCTCGCGTGTGGACCTTCCTGCAAAGCCCGACAGTACCGGAAAAATCGTCCTCCAGGAGGCAGACTTATCCCAGCCAACTTACAAGGCTGCCAGGGTCTCCTACGCAACCAACGTTATTCTCGAACACAGGCTCTTAGATGTGTGCTATCCATATCCCACTGACCGGACCGTCTCAGCCGAAGAGCATTACCGGCCCATTGACCCGATTCTCAATGTACATCCGCGGTGGCCGCCGACCTGCTTCGTCCACGGGATTGATGATAACCTCCTCCCGCACACCTTCACGACTGAGCCTTTGATGAAGGCACTGCAGCTGAAAGGGGTTCAATGCAAATTCATAGGCATTGAAGGGGGGAAACATATGTTTGTGGTGTCCATGAACCGGCAGTCGAGGGAATGGGCAGACCTCGCAAAGGCGATGGATTGGGTGGCCGACGTGATCAACAGTGACCAGTGATCCATCAATTAAAACTAGCTGACTGGGAAATTGACCAGGGTAGGATGGAAGTTACTTTCTCACAATACCTCGTAACTAGTAAAAAGATAACTTTTACTTTCGATTTCCTTCTACCGAAATTGCCGTGCTACTCACTACTCAAGTACCAAAATAATCCCCACGGCACCGTGGCCAAATCCTCGTAAAAGAGAATCAAGACCAGATATGCCTTCAAATACTTAATTTTGGGAGCGGGGGCACTTTCTTTGTTTCGATCCTCCAGACCCATTTTAGGGTTAGTGGAAGGCGTCGGAAGCAGACTTCCGATGTACTATGGACCTTAAGCCAACAAACTTTTCCCATGACTGCAGCAGACGAGTCTGGCGCTTGGCGAACGCCGATTGTGGAGCTGCCACGCACGTCTGTAGGGCGGGTCTTTCTCGCTGTATCTTATCAATTCACTCACGGATTGCGGTCCTTCCCTCAGCAGATCTCGCTCAATAATGTCGAAACGAGCAGGCTCTCAAGCGCCTAAGAATAGCCGGCGGGCAGGGCGCGAGGCCAATCCAAAGCGCACCAATGCTAGCTGCGACGCTTGTAAGAGCCGGAAGACAAAGGTAACCCCCCAGGTGTACTTCGCGCGTGGATGGATTTTTAACCCCTTCTATCTAATAGTGCATCAATCCAGGTTGGTAGCCTGGTTCAGCTTTGCTAATGGTCACCTTTCGTCTGACTATGCCGTCCAAGTTCCGGGTCCCTGTAGGTATTGTGCCGGCATCTCTGTCCCTTGTACCATCAGCATCCGGCGCAAACAGCGGCCTTTCTATCTAGTCTCCGAAGAGGAGTACCGGTACGGGATCGAAATTTTGCAGAGATTATTTCCCAACGTAGATCTGAATATCGACACTCTCCGGGGGTTAGCACAGAATATGGACACCGTTCAACCCGCCGGAGCTGTCATCACCCAGTGTGCAGAGCTAGCAGCTGCCCACCCCCAACATGAATACACGAATGTCCCTTCAACAGTTTCTCGCTCGGATGGAGCTCCTGTGGAGGCTGACCCTCCACCGTCTTTGACTGCAGCTGCAGAGACGGCGTCATCGCTGTCAGCTCCCTTAGACGACTCTGAAAATAGCAATGACAGCCTTCTTGCACAACTATTCGTCCTGCAGAAAGCGTGCGTCGTGAAGGATTCGTTAGGAGCAACAAGTAAGACCACTCTTCTCCATTAGTTGAGGGACGGGATTGGGCCTGACCAACATGCAGGATACATCGGTCCAGGATCGGACATTCCCTTTATCTCGGCCGTCCGATCGTATGCTAAAGGAGAAGGCTTACCATCACCTCTCGGAAATTTTCAACACGCGATAAACTTGCCGCCTCCGTCACCAGAAAGCAGAAGCTCGATATCGGATTTCCCTCGCCCTACGTATCTCCCTCCGTTAGCCAGCTGGCGTCAGCATATCGATCGGTACTTCAGAGTGGTCAACTCCACTTACTGGCTGATATCTGTGGAGAGCTTTTGCTCCCGTCTTGATAGCACATACGCCACTCAAAGCTATCAGGACATTTCCCCTTCCTGGCTGTGCTTTTTGTACGCCATTCTAGCTATCACGAACCAGAATCCAGAGTCTAGTACGATCCACGATGGCGAGGATTATTCAAACGTGCCAGCTTCGGCTTTGCCGACTTCAGGCGATCCGTACACGTCGAACAACTATATCTCCATGTCCAAGTCATTGGTTAAAGAGGTTATGGACGAGGCCACCTTGGACAGTATTCGAGCATTGAGCGCCATGGTAAGCCCATATAGATAAATAAAACCGATATGCGTATCACCGAGCAACATGTTGAGCGCCTGGCTCCAACCCTCTGCTATTCTCCCAATGACTAACGTTTCTTTAACTACCCAGAGCATTTTCTTGCATAATCAAGGTTTCGCCGTCTCCTCATACCTAAATGTGGGCACCGCTGTCCGCATCGCGTATACTCTTGGCCTTCATGAACCACAGTCTTACGCCGAGATGACCACCATCCATAAGGAGACAGCGTTGCGAGTCGCTTGGACATTGTACGAGCTGGATGCTTGTATGTCTAGACCGTCAGGACGTCCGTGCAATATCGATCCATGGAGCTGGCACCCTGTCATGCCTTCCGATATGGTGCGCCAACAGATATACCCTTTCATTTCACTATCCGCTTGAAATGAAGTGGTCCATCAAACTAACCTTTTCAGATGGTGAGCACCGGAACCTACGATCCTTGGGGCCTCTTCAACTACTCAGTAGCCTTCAATCTCAAAGATCAAGAAATCTATGCAAAACTCTCGAGATTGCCCAACTCCGATGACCAACGTACGGTGCTGAAGGAAATAAACAGCAGTGTTACGGCGCTACAAACATGGTACGACAGTTTACCTCCTCACCTTCAGACGAATGCAACCATGGCCCCGCCTCACAAACGGCCCGTCTATAATTTGCACTTACGGTATTGGAATAAGATAATTTCTATCACTCGGCTGGCGGTCCTCGCGGATATGCAAAGCACGGCGTCATCTGGAGCGGACCAGCACCGCAGTCTCAGCCGGATAAGCCAGCTATGCGTGGATGCTTCTGAACACTCGCAGGAGATCCTTCAGCTCATGCACTCCTCGAATGACCTGTCGAGTCTAACGGTGGTAGACACGAAATATATCCTCGATGTGGCCTTAGTGTACCTCCTACTCCTGACTCAGCGGCAAAGTCCAGAGTTTCAACAGCGCCTCGACCAGTGCATCCGCTATCTCAAATCCATGGATAATCTTGGGTTCTGTAGATATGCTGGGAACGACCTGCTGAAGATTATTGAGACGGTCCGGATTCGTCTTAATAGCGGCGGTGACCGGCGAGACGAGGTGGATGTGCAGATGGATTCGGGTGAGGCAGACGTGTAAGTAACAATCTCCCTTTGTGCAGCAGCCGGTTTGTGGCCCTCCCTGGTCTCTGCGTATTGACCGTTGGTACAACAGACCTCACAATCTCACGGGATTTGGCATGGAGCACTTTTGGACCCAGGAGGCTTGGACGGCAGTCACCCTTGGCTGGAATTCTATAGCACTAAGCTCAATTTCTGGGGAAGAGAACCCTCTATGAGCCTTTTAAGCGAATTCAAGGACTTACAAACGTAGCAATTTCAAGTTACCTACCAACGTCGTAAATGCACGGTAATTTTCGGGCTTCGAGGGTCCCTGCACGACGAGAGAGGGCGTAGTGAGATGATGGTGGTACCCGGCCAATATGGAGCCTTAAATACTTTTGTCTATGTCGGCTGTACTATGGAGCGAGTGGAGTGGTGCCTACCTGACTTCTAGCAGGCCTACGAACTCCGTGCAGTTGCAAATTGTACTTTTACGCGGTATCTAAAATCCCGTGAGAGTACCATCAACGCCCATAAGCTGGTGGAGTCGAGATATAGACATTCTTGGTTTCGTTATACCTACCTCTCCTAACGCCAATGGACAATGACGTTTGAGCTGGGTTGATTGTATGATTGATTGTATGAAGGAGGAGTTTTTCATTTACCAAGTATAGGGTTACCAACCTGTGAATCTTCCCTTCCCCTTGGAAGAGGAGGATGACAGACATGAAGAACAGCAAAGAGGGCTCCCAGCCAGAAAGGCCGAGGTAGCCATACATGACTAGCCCAGGTTGCAATAACAGCAGAGCAGTTCCACCCTTCAATCTTAGTGAATGAGGTTATTTAATTATAGGAGTTAAGATGCCATCTGCATTTTCAATTTCCTAGCTTAGCAAGTATCTCCGGTAAGTCGCACTTCCGACTGGATATGACCAATCCGTGTATAATCCGCAGTCTTTCCCAAAGACAGAAGAAGGCCTGATAATTCTTTTCCGCGGTCAAATCACCCGATTTCTATATGATAATTTGTCGGTCCATTATTCAAATAACACAGATGCCGTCATTAATATTCAGCCGGAAAGCATCTATACAAAGCTCATGGGCCTCGAGGATTCAGAGGTGCCATCTGGATGAGGAGGCTATTACCTAGAGTGCAGTATCTTTTTCTACCATATACTGCTGGGGCTGGGATTCTCCACCTATACGGCTGGGGTCTGGAACCAAGCATGGGTTGATGGTGTGCCTCGAGGCGAATATAGGGGATAGTATAAATGAATAAAATTCTTCTACACCCAGGCCACAATTAACACTCAAAGCAGGATATATATTGTGGCTATTGTCCAACTTCCATCCGGCCAGAAATACCATGTTGATATTATATTTAGGGGCGACAGACTAATGCAACCGTTGCAACTGCTTTCAGGCCAGCCGGTTTATAATCTCAGAGGTGAAGCTTCCATACAGGAATATTTTAAACAGATATATCTAGAGCTTGCTGCAATGAGTCTGTAAGGGAAACGAATTCCTTCTATACCTTTACAGAGATACAATACTTCTAAGATAACTTTGAAGTTATTAATTAGTATACAAGCTAGGAGACTCGTGACAGAGGGAACATTTGGGTAGTTAAATTTATTTGTGGTGGGGAAACAGAGAGACTTTCTTTACTTGATGGTAAGGATATTTTTACAGATTATGTAGACGCGGTTCCTATAGTTAGAAAACTCATGTACATCAATAGGGTGGTAAAACTAAATATAGGAGGAGAACACGGGTCGTTGATTCATTGCAGACTGAGGAGGAGAAGCTTTGTAGTCTGAGGGGATACTTTGGAATGACGGGTGATTCCATACTTAACTTAACTAAATAATGAACGCAGGTCATCAGCATCTACTTGCTATATCATTTTATTGTCAATATTGACAAGCACATACGACCACAGGGTGTGGAAAACAGGGCTTCCCGTCCGCTCAGCCGTACTTAAGCCACACGCCGGCTGGTTAGTAGTATGGTGGGTGACCACATGCGAATCCCAGCTGTTGTATGTTTCTTTTATTTTATTTATTCTATCTACCCATTTATGGTTTGTGGTGTAATCGGGGTTGATTGCTGGGAGCTGGGAGGGGCCATCAGTCCAACCGCCTGCACTATAAGAATAGAAGTACAGGGTAAAGAAATTGGACGAGGCAATCACCGGTCAAGCATGCTCAGAGCGAATCAGCCATAATCAGAGCGGCGCTCCTGGCACAGTGGCCGTCGAAAAAGATGAGCTTGGAGCCCATGCCTCTGGATTGCGAAGTACTCCATGCCAGCATACAAGGGTTGGGTTTGACAGAGATATTGCTTCCTTGCACAGCCATGAGTGGGAGCTCGTACTTATCGAGTCCGTGCTCGCACATAGCGGCTGTGGCAGTTTTTGCCCCCCGCCATCCAGATCCCTGTTTGCTAATTTCTCGATGTCCTCGTCGATTGTTTGACTGGATGTTGGATCAGAGGCACCCATAACATATATTACACGTAATTTCTGTGCTCGTCACGCGAAGCTCTTGCTGAAACGCCAGCCCAATCCAGAACAAACAGGAGAAACAAATGTTTCCGGGGTAGTACCAACCTCCGTGTGTATTGTGTGAACCGCAAGGCTGTGCCCTCCTTTCTGTCAGCCTCGTGTCCCTTTGCAGATCCCTATTCGAAAGCCAACAAGGCTGAGTTCACCGCACGGCTGTATATTTACCGGGCCACCGCCATTTTCGAGGTGCATATCCCAGACAAAGACTGCAGGACTCGCGATGGCCCCGGGAAGCAGCACAACAAGTGGTCTCGATGGCTCGCAATCGAGCACTGCAAATGCAAGCCCCCAGCCCGAGCAGCCGCTCCCACTCAAAGAACCAAACAGCCTCCATGGGCAGAAACCAGGTCGGGTCCTGAGCTACCGCAAGCGCGCCGTGTATCTCCTTCTCTTCTACCTGCCGCTGCTCGTACTTCCCTGGATTCTAACGTGTATTATGATGTTCCGCCCCATAATGAAACCTTCCTATATCAACCAGGTCGGAAAGTACTCGGTGAGAGATATCTGGAACATGGAGCGCTGGCTCATCGCTACCAAGATAATTGACGGCGTCGCCTCGGTGCTGGCTGTCCCTATTGTCTCTGCATTGCTAGCACAAGGCGCTGTTGTCTATACCCAGCGGCGGAAGGAAAAAGGCCAAAAAGAACTTAACCTTGAGGAGACGTTTTGCTTTGGCGAATAAAGGGTGGTCTGATATTCCCATTATCTGCAGCGTGCTTGACGAGCACAGCCCCCGGAAGACCTCGCCGTATCTGTGGTATGGGGTTGGTCTTATTCTTCTCGGTAAGTGAGGGTGCGATCTGTGGTGATGTCGTGGGCTAATAGAATACAGCTGCTATCCAGCCACCCCTCAAGCAGCTGCTGGTCCAAGACGAGGCGAAGACAGTGGTGACATGCAATGACCAGCCTGGCATTGTCAGCAACAATGACTCGACCTGTGATACGTTGGGCTTTGATAATAAGGTCATTGCTCTGGACTCGGAGCCCTCGTCGCTCGCAGCGTGTCCACGCAGCACAGTCGTTCAGCGTACACTCAACAAGTTAATCGACGTCCGGAAGGGTGATGTCCAGCCCCATCTTTGGAGAGAGGTCAAGGAAGATGAAAACCGCCCTGTCGATGACCAGATCATGAGCACCTTCCAGTTCTTCTATCCAGACTGGTCGAGCTCTGGCGATCCACCCCCAGGGACCTTCTTCGCATCCCCTGTGGTTAATGGAACGACCACGGGAGTCCTGCGCCAACATGCAGCGCGTATGGACACTGATGTGACATGTATAATAGACAATCACTTCCCAGCGACGTGTCCAGGCGACAAGCCGTTTGTAAGCGATTTCACAAGCCCTTTTCTGAATGTGTCTGTCTGTACAGAGGGCAGCTATGACTCGGTCCCTTGGATGAACACTCGAGATGCGCAGAATCTTACCGAGCGCCTCTGGCTGCATATCCACATCGATCCAGACTCCATGTCTCAAACCATGGCCTGGGAGGACGTGCACCTCTTTGGCAACTACACAATACGATGCGATTCCACCTCACTACGAGGCTGGTTCGAGCTAGGAAACTATCAAAACAAGTTCGCCCACCAACCCATGCTCGACACTTGGCCGGACGATGAGGCAATGCAAACTCAATTCAACGACATCTCTGGACATGATGGCCCTAGAGACAAATATTGGCCTGTAAAAGAGTAGGGCTCTCTCCCCTTTCCGCTCCCTGACTCCTGGCAACTACTAACAGCTATATCAGAGGGTCAACCGGCGAGACGGACGCCTTTGACTTCGAGCATACACTCAGCCCTTTCGACACAGCAGACCGTCCCACCCCAGGACCCCTAATGACCGCTTCCCTGGCCCTGTTCGGCAACAACACCCTCCTCCATTCAGTCCGCAACGCAGCCAACGAGACTGAAGGTCTCCAAGCCATGCAAAATATCTGCGCACACGGCCGAATCCCCTTTTACGTCTTCTGGCCATCCCACGTTCTCAGAGATAGCATTCTAGGGCCCCGCTGTGACAGGATTCTAACCGAAGGTGCACTGGGAAACGATTTCGACCCAATCGACCTCTCCGAATTCGTCGTCGGATTCATGCGGATGTTTGAACCGCCACTCGCGGCAGGACAGCTCCTCGAAATCGCGACCTTCTTTGCCAACGAGGCTCTCCTGTCTGTCTCCGCCGAGGTCCCCCAATTGTATACCCGAAGCATATATACCGCGCCCGGGTATGTGCTTCTCAAGCCACAGCACTCGATTCCCGCGCTGGTGGTTATCTCGCTAGTGATTGCTTTGCAAGTGCTGGGTCTGCTGCTGTTGCTTAGGTTTATTTACTCTGCGCCGTCGTGGACGGGTTCCCTTGATGCTTTGGCGCTTGCGAGGATTGGGGCGCAGTTGCAGGGGCAGGGGAAGGATTTGGATTCTTTGGGTATGAGTGGGATGGTTGGGATTGGGGAGCGGGAGAAAGTTTTAAGTAGTGGGGAGAATGGCATGACAAGAAGGAACGTGAAGGTCTTGGGGCTGGGGGAGCCTGGGGTGATTTCGAAAGGGTCTCTGGAGGACACTTTTGGCTGTCCTTGATAGACAATAAGGTATATCAGGACTGGCCAGATACCGCGGGTTCATTCGTAATATGGGAGCGGTTGTATAAATGCATGCTACTACTGTTATATCAAAGGTGAATATGTGCTGGAGCGAATCCTATTCTATAGAGTATATAAAAAGTTCAGTTCCCGATATCCTTCCAGTGTAATGGCTGCTTCAATCCCCGAACCACTGCTTCTAACTTCCGTTCCTATTCTTCTAGTAGAGTCTTCAAAACATCAGCAGGTGTCCGTTTGGGAGCAGCAAGCTCTAGGGCCTCCTTGCTGGTTGTAGAAGTCGAGCACTTCCCATCCCACGCTGTGTCCGCGGCCTGTTTGATCGAGTAGATGACGTTCTTCGACTGCTTTGTACCCGAATATTGGTGCTCATACAGCATGTCTATGAAGGAGAAGTCTTTATAACTAACGTCTTTCACAGGCGCACCAATGTATTTCTCAATCATGTCGACAACCTGCCTTCCATTTATATCTTCAGGTCCATTGAGAACGTATTTAGCCTGGTTATGCACGGAAGTATTATCCTTCGACAGGAGATGCGCTGCAATAACACCAACTTCGTCAGGATCGATTATCCCGACAGGTGCATCCTCGGACAGCAACAAGCGAAGCGTGTTCTGCTTTCCATTGCGATACCCCTTGATAAACTCCGCAGCAGGGGCCAAGACCAGTGGCGTAAAGATGTTCGGCTGAAGAGACGTCCAGTGCAAGTTCTTAAACTCCGGCGAGCCAAGGAGAGCCTCGATGGCCCAGTGCTGGCGTGGGTAGTAGGCAGGGCAGTCGGGGCGCACGTTCGCAGCCGTGGTCGAGATTCTCACGACATATTTGACCCCGGCGTGGAGGGCATTGACGTGGAAGGTCGACTCTTCAGCGAATTGGTTGGGTTCATTGTGGGAGGCTATAAAAGCCCTAGTAACGTGGTGCTCGCGGAGCCAGTCGACGGTGATCTCAACCCAGTTCTGCTCAATCACTTCGACTCCGGGAAGCTTGGCGAGAGATTGAGCCACGGGACTCTTGGAGGAGCGAGTCAGAGCGATGATACGATGCCCGGCTAAAGTGCTGGATTGAAGCAGCTTTGGCAGCGTCTCGGTGACTGCTCGGCCGGTATTACCGGTGGCGCCGACGATGAGGATGGAAGGAGTCATCTTCGAAAATAAGATGTGTGTTTCACCCTGACCTATGCGAATCTATCGCTGTTGTAAATACTTATACCAGGAGCTTGTGGGTTATTTATCAGTAGCCCAGACATTAATAATGGGTAGAGCCAGTAATGATTTCAATAGTATCTCGGCCTCCCGCCACCCGCCGGCACCCACTCAACCAACTATGACGTCTACTCACAATTATACCATTTTTAATCTTGCTATCTATGCTGCGATGGGAGGACCGTATTACGGTACTGATTCCTGACTTCAAATGCCTGCGAGGCAACGTAAAGCCCATGCCCCGACTTTCTACTGCTCAGGGTGGGACGCCGATGGATCGCCGACGGGTTGCCGGTGGGTTGCCGGTGGGTCACCGATGGGTCACCGATGGGTCACCGATGGGTCACCGATGGGACGCCGATTAACCGGCGGGGGAACGAACTCCTTTGCAGCCTCTTCATTCACGGCATTTCCTAGGCAGATACCATGGACTTGACAGGTCTAGCACCAGCTGAGGTCGAGTACCTTCATCCCACACACTACGCGTTCCGGTGTCAATTCCCCGGCTGCAATGCGAGATACCGACGCAAGGCGCACCTGAGCCGCCACGAACGATCAACACACCTCAAGCAGAGGCATTTCTTTTGTTCTAGCTGTGGACATGAGTTTCAACGGAGGTATTACTTTTACCCCTTTTAATCAGAGCAAGCCTAACCCTAAGCTAATCTAGTGATACCCTTCGCCGTCATATCCAACGGCAGCATAAAATAATAGAGCCGCTCAATCGCGCGCGTCAAGCCTGTGCGGGCTGCCATGCAGGGAAGATTCGCTGCGAAGGGGGCATACCATGTGGGGAGTGTGTTCGTCGCCGAATTCGATGTTCGTTCCAAGAGCATGCTTGTCTTTCAGAAGGCAGGTCATCAATGCGATCGCCATCTTTAAACACTGGAGAATCACAGTCGTATTATCTGGAGAAGAGGAAGCGGTGGATCACTCGCTATTTTGAGATTTTTCATCCCCGCTGGCCTTTTGTTCATAGAGGATCTTTCGATGTGCGCCAGGAGAATCCGTTACTCTTACAAGCAATGATGGCTATAGGTATGTGGACGTCAGGGGAACCACCTGCTCAATCGGCGGCGGAGGAGCTTTATGATAAACTTGACTGTGCTTTACGGGATCAAAGGGTAGGCAGATCACCAATCCCATGATAAATCTGATTTACTAACGTGGATTTATAGCAAAATTGGGACGCTTCAGAGGCAGCGGAAGCCTGTAGCTCGTGCAGCTGGCCAATTGCCACATACCAGGCCATCCTACTGCATGTCATTCTCTCTATACTCATGAAGGCTGAAGGTGCTGTTAACCTCGACCTCGGCATATCTATTTCCACTACCGATTTGGCATTACTCAAATCACTTGTTGGAAGCTGCCGAAAACTAGGCATGTTCTTTTATCCGAACATGCTCGCCAGGTATAAGGAAGCCGACCTGCCCTCGTTTGTCTGGGTGAGTATCGAAGAACTCAAACGGTTCAGCATGGCACTCTACAGACTTTGTACAAAGGTAAACTCTCTTGCCACAGATAATAGCCTGCTGCATGCAAGAGAGCTCCAATTCCCACCGCCAAGTAATGATCCCTTGTGGCACGCTGCTGGAAGAGATGAGTGGGAGGATAATTTAAAGGACGAAACAATTTCCTTGAAAGATAACTTACAAGCCAAGTGGGTGTCAAACTTTGCAGATGTATTAGGCTTTGTTGGCTCATGAACTATTATATATTAATACTGGAAATGAAGATTTTCTTTATAAGGAGTGCATTAAAAAGGAGACTGTTTCACATCTGCCATGATTGTTCAAGGAATTGCCGATATTGCAGGAGAAAATGCAGCTGCTTGTGTAAGATGGAATAGTTAATGGGCGTTTATGCTTGATCAAACTTGAAGTGACCATAGAATCAGTCTACTACCTATCTGGTTCCCGACGCCCAGCCGCATGCCCCACTTTCATGTGTGTCGAGAATTAGATATCAGTATCCCAAGACGAGGTTGTACGTATCCAATGCAGGTCTGCGGGGTAAAAACGCCCGGGCTTCCTTGAGGCTGCGCAAGCTGTCGGCATCATTATTGGTAGGAAGTGTTTCAACCCGGGTGAATGCCAGGCAGAATCTCTGCAGGTGCTAGCCCAATACAGATTCTATGAGGCTCCAATCTGCCTTGCTGTCAATGCACGTTACGGGTTTGCCCAAAGCCTTGTGCGGCTGAGCGTGACAACGCAAGGCTCATTCAGATAGCAACATTATCTAGTTATATTAGTCTGCCTCCTGCGGCAAATATTCATGGATAGACTGCCGGATATTCGCACTTGTCTCTTTCATCCACTGCCTTCACAGAAAAATAGCAGAAATATCCAGCAAAATGGGCGAGCAACCTCCAGGTATGCCAGTTTGGGATCCCCGTCTTAGTACTTCCTATTCACCAGTCTATCAGGTCCTCAAGATGGCGAGGCCGCGCCCGGATCCATCTGTGAAACGTACGAGCTGTATCAAACAGCTCCAGACAGGCGAGGTCGCCCATCATGGACCCACGAACTGCCGAACGATCTGGTTACGCCCGCAGAAAACTCTCTTTCGAGCAAATACGCATTGCTCGTACGCAAGGTCAAGTGCTACGACGGGAAACGAAGCCTCAAAATGCATTCAATTGTGATCCAGAGTGAATTGCTCAAGAAATTCCTCGCCCGCGTCATGGACAACTATCGCGGACTCACCTTGACGCTCGATCGCGTTGAGATCGAAGCCCCATTCAAGCCCTTTGTTCACCGTTGGAAGCAATTCTGCGAAGCCACGGAGAGCGAAAAGGACGCGACGACCTTGCAACATGCTAGGCTGCTACATGGAGTCTTGAACGAAGAGCTGAAGGACACAATCTCTCGGAGGAACGACCTCGTTCAGAACGGCGTGATGACGATTGACCTTGTCTGGGCCCTGTTTGAGCCTGGGTCGCCTATACTGAGTGTTGTGGATGGCCACCAGCGTGCCTTTGAGTTCCAGTCTGGCAGCTTCGACAGAAATGGAAACTATGTGATCAGCTCACAATACATCGACTGGGATGGTGCGAAGTTTGGGTACTCGACAGCAAGCCTTCAAATCAAATCCTATGAAGGAACGTTACCAATTGCGAATCTATCGGTCTGCCCTCTAGTCTTTCACAGCAACGCAGCACGCCTCAGACGCGATCTCGCTAGTCGTGGTCAGCTCTGGGAGGGATATCGCGGTTATCACTACAAGCAGTATGAGGGACCTGCGAAAGGCTTCGATCGGTTTTCTGGGCGTGAGACGAAGCTCAACATTCGAGGCCGCATCGTTATCGACACGGAAGCCTATAACACCTTCGAACCAGAGGGTGGAATATCACTCTCGGGCACGATAGATGGCGCTCTTTCCGAGGACCAGCAGCTCATCGCAACTCCAATCCTTAGGGGCTACGCCCTTCAAGAGAAAGCCTGGGTCGGCGTCTTTGTTGACCGCGTGCAGGATATCACCTGGGATACAATGGCCTTCGATTCTTTGGTTCTCCCCCATGCGCAACAGGGATTCAAGAGGCTCATCCTTGGAATGGCGCAGGTTCAGTCTCGCAAGCGTGGTACCTTTGACGATGTTATCCAAGGCAAAGGACGGGGGGTCATCATGCTGCTAAGAGGCCCTCCTGGGGTCGGCAAAACCCTCACAGCGGAGAGCGTTGCGGAAGTTATGAAAGTGCCTCTCTACATCCTCAGCGCAGGCGACCTTGGTACAGACCCCAAGGCAGTCGAGGCCAAGCTGAGAGATATCATGAGCATGATCCCTCGATGGGGGGCCACCGTCCTCCTGGACGAGGCTGATGTCTTCATGGAAGCCCGCGACACAGTTGACTTGAAGAGAAACGAACTGGTCTCCATCTTCCTAAGACTACTAGAGTATTACGAGGTTGGACTCCCTAACATTGACCCCAAAACCATGGACTGACTGTTTAACGCCAGGGAATTCTGTTTCTTACAACCAACCGCGCCGAGCAAATCGATCCTGCTTTTGAATCACGCATCCACTTGTCCATTCGCTATCCAGAGCTCACTCCAGAATCAAGACGCCAGATCTGGAGCCAGCTCATAGCGGCGAGAGACATCCAGCCATTCTCAGATGCAGAGCTTGACTACGTCTCGAATCTGGAACTCAACGGCAGACAGATCAAGAATGTGCTAAAAACTGCACATCTTATGGCACAGGCAGAGGCATGTCAATTGAAATATGAACACGTGCGGATTGTCCTGGATTTGAGAGATCGCGTGGGTTCTTGATTCCCACCCGTATCCAGGGCCAGTTTGGTTCAGAATGTAGGGAGGATCTAGTTATATAGAAAATACACTGACTAGCTACCTTTACTCCTGAAAGCGCTCTATAGGCACGTATTATTAGAATTAGGGATAGAGCTACTTGTAATGGTATTTCTATAGAAGATATATGAAGCAACATACGGCACAAATATACAACAGTTCAGATAGTTACATAGATATCGCAGGGGTGGTTAAACGCCAGGCTGAATGAGGATCTTGACATGCTTAGCTTTATGGACCATCAGCTCGTGAAATCCCCCCTTAACGATATCCGAAAGTGGCACGATGGACGTAATCATCTCTTCTGCTGGAAGTCTTCCTGATCCCTGGAGGGCCAGAATCTCTTCAAAGTCCCTTTTCAAGTAGCAAATCCCGCCAGTGAGGCGTTTTTCTTGCAGAGATAGATCATTAAGATTCACACTCAGCGGCTTCTCATGAATTGCAACATTGAAAATGGTTCCTCCTGGCCTAACTGACGCTATAGCAGTGTTAAGAGTAGTCTGGAGACCAGATGCATCAAAGGCAATATCCACTCCCTCGCCTGTAAAGTCAGAAACTTCCTTTAGTACAGGGTTAGACCCCTTGTCACCCTGCAGAGGGTTTATGACAACATCCGCTCCAAGACGCCTGGCATGTTCAATCCGCAGCTCAGACACCTCGCTCACAAGAATCTTCTTCGCCCCCTTCGACCGTAACAGCATCAGCAAAGCCAACCCAATCGGCCCTGCCCCAAGGATCAAGATATTGTCATCAGGACTAAACCCCGATCGCTCAATCATATGGCAAGCCACGGCCAAAGGTTCCGCGAGCGCAGCAGCCCTCAGCGAGACGCTATCAGGAACGGCAACAATATTAGTGGCATTGACGCAAATCTCGCCGGAGAACCCACCCCCCTGCGCATTGATTCCGTAGTATGTAGACCGTTTGCAGGTGTTGAAGCTCCCGCGCAGGCAAGATGTGCATGCCTCTGCTTGGATCTGCGAGTCTGCTAGTAAAGGGTTGACTACCACTTTCTTCCCGGTGGAGATGCCTTCTACATCGGCTCCGACTTCAATAATAATCCCCGACATTTCATGCCCGAGGATCACTGGGAGTGTTGCGCCGGAGTGGGGATTTGTTTCTTCTTGTTGAGGGGCGAGAATAGGCCCTGCGTCGTACTCGTGGATATCTGAGCCGCAGATTCCGCAGTACGCCACGCGTACTCGGACTTGGTTTGGTAGGCATTCCCTGCTCTTCAATAAGTTATTGTTTCATATTAAGGGGATGGGTATGTGTTACGGAATGGGAACCGTGTCGAGTCGGATATCCTTTCGTCCGTGTAAACGGAGTGCTAGCATGGTATCTGCAGTCATTGCGTCTCCAATAAAGTCATTCACTGCCTATTAAGAAGTATATAAAACGATGAAGAGCGGGGAAGATATATCATATGGCTACCAGGTGCCCCAGCTCGGGGATCTGGAATCGTTCGTAATCCCGAGTCTTGATAAAGCCGCGCCTATATCATATAACCTATATTACACCATTACACAGTGACTGGTACTAGTATATAGGAACCAGAGATCAATATGCGCTATCTACTGTAAAGTTTCTTTACAAAACCTGCTAAATATTGAAGCATTTAGAAATAGACGGCAGGAGAACATAATTAGTCGTATGCTATATTGTATATATCTTACCAGAGGGTTAACAAAATGTAGTCTTCGTGAAATTTGAACACATGCAATATGCTTTATCCACAGGACGAAATAAGTTAATAAACAAATAAGAAAATAGAGAAGCGAGTATATCTTTGTAAACCACCCAGCTGAGACTCAATGCTCCGGCGCAGTAGCTAGCCATGTCTATAAATCTCAGAAATCCCCAATCCTTCAACAAAGCTATGCAGTATCCACCGTTTCCACATGCTCGGTGGTCTCCATATTCACAATCTCCTTTGCCCTCCGCGCGGCATTGTGGTAAGTCATACCCTTGCCACCGTAGTACTTAATCTCGAAGAGCTTATCCACTTCTTCCAGCGACAGGCCCGAGGACTCAACGTAGAACAGCCAGCAGATGGGACAGAAGACGAAATTCGTAATGGCGAACACGAGATAGAATTTCCATCCAATGTTGTCAATGGCTATCTAACGTTAGTTACTACCAAAACGAGGGTTGAAGGAGTGTACCTGTAGGAGTAACGGAGACAATCACATAAACACCAAGCCAGTTTGTGACCATGGCGATAGCGCTTCCTAGATTCCGTGTGCGATGTGAATTGATCTCAGATGGATACATGAACGGAATGACAAGAAAAGACAGCCCCTGGCTTCGTCAGTACTGTATAGATATTTCAGGGCGAGTACGTACGAAAAAGAAGTAGTAGAGGAAGATAAAAGCAACCGCAACACCATTCATCGGTCTCGTATCAATTGCCAGACCAATTGCCGCCATGACGAAACAGAGAGACTGGCCTGCAGAGCCAAAGATCAGAAGTCGTCTGCGTCCAACCTTGTCAATCACCAACGATGCCATGCCCGCCCAGAACATCCACTGCATAGAGTCCACAGCAGACAGGATCAGAGACATGCGATCGCTGAACCCGAAGGACCGCTTGAGGACAACTGGGAGATAGTATGCAACGACGTTAATGCCCCCGAACTGCTGCATGAAATTGGCGCCTGCCCCGAGTGCGATTCGACGGAAGTTCTGCTGCGGACCGTTGGTGAAGACCTGTCGCCATCCGGAGCCCTTCGCCTCATTCTCGTGGGTTATTATCTGCTGGATTGTTCGCAGTTCTTGTAGGATTCCCGAGTCCATCGTGGGCTTGACTGCAAGGCGGCATAGCACATCTAGAGCGTCATCGTCACGTCCACGTAGACAGAGCCAGCGCGGAGACTCCACCATAAACGGCACAATGACAAGAGTCAGGATTGCGAGGATTGATTGAAAGGCCAGCGGAAACCGCCAGGCAACAGGCTGGTCAGGGATATACGTAAACCCAAAGTTAAGCCAGTTGGCAACCACAAAGCCAAAGACCAGCATGGTCAGTTGAATGGACATCAGGATCCCCCGACGCTTTGGCTCGCAGGTCTCGCTCTGCCATATCGGCACGGTGGTTGTGTTCATTCCAATCCCGAGGCCGGACACAATCCGGCCAACGATGATATGGGGCAGCGTAAACGCAGTTGCTTGCAGAACACCACCAATTGTAAGTAACGTACAGGCGAGGCTGATTGACTTGCGTCTGCCTAAGCGATCACCGAGGAACATGGATATGCAGGCCCCAATAACGCATCCGAGAACGTATGACGAGACTATCTGACCTTCAATGGTGGCGTCGGGGTGGTTGAACTGTTTCTGAAATGCAGGGTTTGACAATATACCACCAAACACCCCTTGGTCGTATCCAAACAGCATGAATGCAAGCCCGCAGGCAACGGTGATGCCCACAGAGAGGACGCGGCCTTGAAGTCGGAGGCCGGAGGAATTCATAGCGAGGTCGCCGTCGTGGTTGTGTATTCAACAGTTGTATTGTCTCAATTCAGCAATGCTAGGATATTTGGAGTTCAATGATACATCAAGTCTGTTTTTGCTTTATAAATGCGTATTTGGTCAGGTCTGATCTACAACCATCCAAAGAACATATAACCTAAGCCATATTCACAGACCCTTCTCCCCAAAAACTGGTGACGATAAAGGAAGGTGAATAAAGGACCCCTTGATCTGCAATACTATGTAGCGAACTCAAGGACACTCTACCTCCGCATTGGATGTGGAACGCGGTTACTTGGGTGGCCAAGCTACGTCGATCCCTGAAGATATTCCCACGGCTATATTGTCCACGAGCTCCTAGCGATTTGCGGGGAAATAAAGTCTCTACAATTACTATGAGCTCAAAAATTGGATGCAAGCACCCTTAGCTCTAGTTCATTTAGCTTGCAGTCATTGCGTCGACGTGACGGCTACATCTGCAAAGATAAATTAAGCAGAACCGAGTGCTGGTTGAGTACCGAGATAAATTAGTCTAACCCCGTTTACATGAATCATGGTCTTGCCTCTAACTGCGATTGTGACTGGTGCGGCGCGGGGAATGTATGCCCCCCTTTATCTGACGATAGTGGATTAAAATATGCTAACATTACTCCTAGAGGTCGATCAATAGGGCATCGCCTCGTCCAGGATGGCTACCGCGTTGCTATAAATGACATTCCAAGCTCGACGGCGGAGATAGAAGAGCTCGTAAAGGAGCTCAACAGTATCTATGTTAAGAGTAAGAGTCCCGTTGAGAAATCCGGCGCACCACCGATTCGAGCAATAGCCATACCCGGAGATGTGACCTCGCAGAGCGACGTGGCCGCAATGATATCGAAAACCGTGTCCACGTTAGGACCACTGCACCTCATTGTTGCCAACGCGGGGAAAGCCCCGGTCAAGTCTCTGCTGGATTCTACGGCAGAGGATATAACGGACGTGTTCGCTTGCAACTTCAATGGAGTTTTCAACTGCTACACCGAGGCAGCCCGCCAGATGATTGCGCAAGGCGACCCGGAGAAGATATTTGGACGGCAGAAGTACAAGATTGTCGGCGCTTCTTCAATCGCCGGGTTCAGAGCCTTTGCGGCGCTGGGGCTGTATTCTGCTAGCAAATTCGCAGTTCGTGGGCTTACCCAGGCCATGGCTATGGAACTCGCTTCACATCATATAACTGTCAATGCATACGCACCGGGAATAGTGGGGACGTCGATGTGGGACGAGGTAGATAGGATGCTAGGGCATATTGAGGGGAGGGCGCCTGGCGAGACTCTGCAACATTACAGCAAGAGTATTGCGCTTGGAAGGACGAGTGTTCCCGAAGATGTTGCTGGACTAGTTGGTGGCTTTCTTGCGAGCAAAGATTCAGACTACGTGACGGGGCAGACTATGCTGGTGGATGGAGGCATCGTTCTTACCTGAGGCGAGTAGCATCCTAAAGGGTTATCTGACGTATATGCCTATTATCTGCAATATAATCTCTTTATTTAGTTATATGTTGGTGTTTGTTATAAATGCACTACCATTGTAACCATTCTACGACCTCCTGCACTACTTATTAGCCTCGAAGATAATTTTCTGTGATCTCATATGGTTGAAATCGTCGTAACTGAAGGGATCATTAGCGACTAGCTGCTGTACCGAAGATATATGCCCACCTTTGAAGAGCCTGCGATAGTGGCCGAACATCTGCAACCATGAAGCTGCAAAGAATTAAAATAGTATAGTTAAGTAGCAAAGGTAAATACTCACTCGAAAACATCCTGCTTCTTCGCGAACAGCACCATAGCTTCTTTGAACATGCCTACATCTGTTAGGTCGAACTCGAAGGCCAATGAATACCAGGGATGCTCACTTCGAGCAGGACATCTGCCCATCTGGAGGGAGAGATTCTTTGAATACGCCTCAAAGCCCGTCCACGGAACTGGCTCGTTATGTACGCCCACGCTAGAGATGCGGCCAAATGGCCGAAGTAGATCAAAGCCCAGCCGTAGGGCGTCGGCGTGTCCGACAACCTCTATAACGACATCCGCACCACGCCCATCTGTCAAGTCTTTGACTCGCTTTTCGAGCCCTTCTTTGTCGGTGTCAGCATTCCAAACTTCGGCACCGAGCTCCTTTGCTCGTTCAAGGCGTGAAGGAACCTTATCTACTGCAATCAGGTGTTTGGGGTGATATTCCAGAGCACTGATCAGAGCAAATAGGCCGACAGGTCCACAGCCTAGAATAACGACGGTGCTATTCTTAATTGAAGATTCCGCTGACCCTTTGAACGCGTTGAGGGCAGCGAAATACCCTGTTGGAAATATATCGGCCATGAAGACAAGTTTCTTCTCGTCTACCCCTTTGGGGGCTTTGATTAAGCTGGCGTCTGCCATAGGGACCCGCACATATTCAGCCTGTCCACCGTCAAGGACGGGCGAGCCAAACAGTTTGGAGTTGACGCAGCGTGAGCTTAGGTCCAGCGAGCAGTAGAAGCAAGTCCCACAGTTCACAGTAAAAGGCACCACGACAAGATCCCCTTTCTTGAAATTCTGAACCCCAGACCCTAATTCAACCACCTCGCCTGTGAACTCATGGCCCATAATAAAGTTTGGCTGTGCGGGCTGGTGTCCTCGATACACATGCAGTTCGCTAGTATGCTGTCAGAACCATAAAGGCAAGTAAACACAGGGTAAAAACTTACCTTCCGCACAGGGCCGTGTAGCGCACCTTGAGAACTACCTCCGTCTCATTTTGGACCACTGGGACAGGCCGTTCTTCGACGGCGACGTGTAAGGGTCCCTTGAAAACAACAGCTTGCATTTCGTTTCAGCAAAGAAATATATTTGAGTGTGTCTAATAGTCAGAGTTTTCCACTTAGGATTGTACTACAAGCTTTAATATTTTAGAATCATTCATTCCCTACAAGTATCCGTGAATACTACCGGAACTAGCTGAGTATTCCTCGGTAGTGCTCCACACTATTGTATATACAATCTCATTCGGTAATATGCGGCTGCATGAGGTATCTCCTGTCGGATGTTACCCACCTTGCGGTTCTTAAATCAATACAGGCCGCGGCTGTTTGGCCCCTGGTAGTTAAAAGAGAAGAGAAGCGTTATGATAACCAAACAACCAAATCCCGTCCATCATGTCTAGCGAACTGGGCTTCTCACTCCCCAATGGCACCCGCATCGTTCACGGCAGCGGTGCTGCCGCCAGAGACGCTTTCCCGCCGGACTCGAACATCCCCGGCAGACTCCAAACATTCAGCGCAGGCCATGTCAACGACCCATCTACGCCCTGCTTCTGTGGGCCACAAGGGTTATTACCCTTCGACACCAAGACCCGCATGCCGCGGCATGTGCATATGGCTCCAGACCCTGTCGGCGAGGGCCTTCGATACGTCGTTGAAAAGATAATGGTCATGGAGGGCGTGGCCGTAGCAGAGCTCGGAGGTGAACTCTACATAATCCCCCCTCACACGATGGTGCTTATTGGGGCTGGTGTCCCACATACCTGGACTGCTTGCCCGCCGGGTCTTGACTTTGAGGCACTGGGGTTTGCCACTGACGGGGAAGGGGGCGCTGTTTCAACGGGGAGATTTGTTGCGGTGTTCGAGTATGAAGTACCGACTTCGTTCTTTCCAACGGCGCAGACGGGGACTCTTACCACTGAAGAGGAATATGTTCGGTGTGATGATTTGCATTCTATTGGGATTCCGGCTATGACGGTGGAAGAACTAAAGGAGCGGGCGTGGTTTGTGTGGGGGACGGAAGTTCGGAAGCTCCCTTAGATAGGTAGATGAGTGTCATTTTGTCAAATGGATGTTCTCTGAGCCTCTCATCTATCCCTTGTAAAACACGGTGTCTAACCGTTCAGAACGGGTTCGGCTATATGGCTTCGGCCATGACTTCGGTAATATGGGTTCGGTCCATGGATGAGCCCGTGTAAATAACTCCAGTTAATTTACTACTGAGATGGAGCTTTCTCTAAAATGCATCGGAGACTTGTGGTATATTTGTAGATAAAGAGCTGCACGGTCATAACATATATTTCCAATCCAGCTTGCAATCCCGACTCGACTCATTCTATACGCACACTACTTCTAAATTCCAACCAGCATAATGGGTAGAATCACACATATTGTCCAGCTCCAGTTCAAGAGCGATGTCAGCCAGTCTACCATACAAGAGGTATGTCGATTCTCAGAATTAGCATCACCGCAGTAAATAACCAACATCCACTAGGCAATCAACACTATGCTCTCATTGAAGGAGAAGTGCATCCTCCCCAAGACAGGAAAGCCGTATATTGTTTCCAGCACAGGAGGGAAGGAGTGTTCTGTAGAGGGAATGCAGGTATGAGAAGGGTCCTCAGAGTACTGGCACTCACCAATTCACTCAAATAGAATGGCATTACCCACGTCTTCGTCGTTGAGTTTGGATCCGTGACAGACCGCGACTATTACGCAAAGGAGGATCCGGCGCATCTTGCTTTTGGTGCCAGTCTTGGTCCGATAGTGGCGCAGGTTCAGGTGGTGGACATTGAAAATGGGGTCTTTTAGGCCTCGGATGGTTTATTTTCTGTAGATCTGGTGTCGTCTTTTTCCTAGTGATATATCCCGGATCTGATGTTGAATACAAATGATGAAATTCATTAACCTTAACTAGCAATCAAGGACAGAAGACTCAAAGGTAATACAGAGGTTGTTGTATTTATATAGTCAAGTACAACATGATATAAAACAAGTTGATATCGTATTCTCTGGAACAGTAAATTACAACGTTCCAGTCAATTCCTCGTTCTAGTAGCCAATCATAGTGCGGAACATGAGTCATCTGCTGCTGAATAACTCACTAATACCGTACCAACTTTGCTCCTCAGTGATGCGGGACAGATGCCGATTCTGAAGATGGCAGCCTGAATTATCTACGTTCAATACTCATTGTCGCAGGAATACCCCACGAGCATGGCCGGGAAGCAGCGGCTGCGAGCCTCCAAGGCCTGCCAGCGATGCAGCCGGCGCAAGGTCAAATGCGACGCCGCCGAGCTGGGTTGTCCTTGCAGCCGATGCCGCATGGACAACGTCGCCGAGTGTACACTGACTTCCTCCCGTCGGGGGACCTATGATCGGGCAGGGTTTCGACGGCAGATGGCCAACTCTGCATCGTCAGCCCGGTCGTCAACTCCCCAGCTTGACAGCAGGCCAGAGATACCTTTGAACGTAGATCAACCAGGTCAACCATCTGCCGTGTTGACTCGCCCGCCCGACAGTGTACCCTCGACCTCGACAGACGCATCAGACCACCCATCACTGTCGGCGATGTTCGAAAGCTTCCTCGACCGCGAGGGCCACGAAGACCTCTGCAAGGCGAAACTAGTTTTGTTCGGCGAACCCTCTCCCTTGACGTTTGCGCTGCAGCTGCGGCGGGACATGAATTCGGGCCTCCACGACACCAACCAGCGTGTCTTGAACAGTGACTCACTGACCGTCGTTCAAGAAGACGTGCATCCAAAGCATCTACGCTCGCACGATATTGAGTGTCTCAAGGCGAAGGGGGCGTTCATTTACCCAGAATCAGATTCTCTGGCGGAGATGATCGACGTCTTTTTGGAGCGTTTCTACCCTCTATACTCAGTGGTAAATCCAGCAGACCTACGCAAGGCGCAGCAGGAACGGAAACTGCCCTGGATCCTGCTCCATTCCATCTGTTTTATTGCCATGACCTTCTGCGAGCCAGCTACAATCTACAAGGCTGGGTTTCGGTCCCGCGCTGAGGCGCGTCAGACCTACTACGATCGGGCCAAGGCACTTTTCGATTTGAATTATGAAAACAGCAAGATCCTTCTAGTCAAGGTGGCGATCCTGCTGAGTTTCAAGGGCCCTCAGATGGACTGCTACTGGAACCCGTGTTCGTGGATTGAGGTAGGGGTAACCATGGCTGTGGCCTTAGGACTGCACCGCAAATCTGTTGCAGTCAATGGGACCTTGAATGATCAAGGCCTGCTCAGGCGGTTATGGTGGGCGCTGGTTGCTCGCGATGCCCATTGTTCCGCCCTGCTAGGCCGGCCATTCCGTATTAATATAGCCCAGTGCGATGTTGAGATGTTGACGCAGGACGACTTCCCGGATGAAAATATATCAGGCTACTCCCACGAGTCGGTCGAGTACCAGATCCAAGCCACCAAGCTATCCCTTATCCTGCGAGACATCATGTTCCTGCGCTTCGGACCGACCAGTGTAAGCTTTACCACAGATCTAATCCACGAGCAACTGGCCGCCTGGAAAACAAACCTCCCAGTCACTATGCAATGCCAGCTCGGTCACTCCTCCATATCAGCCGTGCAGCTCGACATCTTGCTTAATTACCACACAATGCTCCTCCACATGGAGCAGCCCCACCAGTCAAGACCCAATCCATCCACCCTCTCAACCGGCTACGATTCCACCGGCATCGCCGAGTCCTCAGCCCTAGCCGTCTCATCAAGCGCAATAAAGCTCATGACCCGGACCTCCATCTGCAATATCCCTCACGAGGTCTTCCCCGGCTTCTTCATGGCAGGCATCATCCTCTACCAGCAGACCCAACAAGCGCAGAACGCCCATCTGGCGAGAATGACCCAGGCCAGCTTCGACAACTGCCAGATGCTGTTAAACCAGGCTCAGAATACCTGGGACCCGGGGGTTTGGGCAATGAAGGCTTTTGAATTCCTTCTGTTTGCTGCGGATGCTGTCGAATCTCGCATCCCTGGAGATAGTACGTCTCTAGACGTTAATCACGACGCTTCCCAGCCCCAGGCTCCGGGATATCCGAATGTGGCCCCGGATTTTGATTGGAATGTGCCTGGGGATTTGGCGGATTATATGCTTCTGCCGAACTTTTTTGCGCTGCCATTTGATAGCTAGACACGCAATGGAGTCAAACATAACAACCAAACCAAACAAATGCAAAATCTGTCTAACCAGTAATAGCGCTTTCATGATATCAAGCGGAGGTTGCAAACATCTTCGGTCCAGTAGAAATCGGCCCGTGGTTTCGGGTATATGCATATAAAGATACACATCTCCCATATTGAAAGTGAACTACAGTCTTACAATCAAGTCCTTGAATGCATTTAGCTCATATTGCCATGAATCGAATTGCAGTCTACGGCCATCGGGGCTGGGCCAGCTCAGCTATCGTCGCAGCCCTCATCTCCTCCGGAGCCCCGATTAAAGTCCTATACCGTCCCGGGTCCGACATCTCATCTCTCCCCGACTCGGTTGCCAAGGTTCCCGTCGACTTGGACGATCAAGACGCCGTTATTGCTGCTTTGCGGGATGTAGATGTTGTTATGTACGTTAACCACCTTCATCACTCGTATCACGGCTAACCGGCCAGATCCCTGGTCGGACACGAAGGCGTCACCCGCCAGCTCGGCCTGGTGAACGCCATCCCCAAGACGAACGTGCGTCTTTTCGTCCCGTCTGATCTCGCCGCGCGGTATGACAAGCAGGGCCTGCGTATCCCAGTCAACCAGGCCAAGGACGAGGTTGAGATCGCAGCCCGCGCTGCTGGGATTCCAGTTACAGTGGTCCTGACCGGGAATTTCGCGGAGTTTGCCCTGGCTACACCGTAAGTCCCTTTATTGTAATTAATGGAAGGGGAGTTAACGAATTCAGGGCTATGGGGGTAGACCGTCGCCATAATAGGATTATCTTTACCGGCGAGTCAGAACACAAGGCTCTTAATCTTTGGTGCGTTTAATACAGAGATCCTCATGCCCAGCTGTTTAAATCTAGTTTATATCTAACGTCAACAGCACTCGGTCTTACGTTGCCGCCGCGTACGCCTCCATTTTCGCCTCAACCCCCATCGACCAACTCAGGGACCGAACCATAGCGCTGTGCGAGCTCCGGGCAACAGGAATGGAAATAGCCCACGCTTTAACAGCGCAGCATGGCTCTCGAACACTGTGGAAGCACGAATCAGCCCAGTCTATCAATGAAGTAGTCGAGACGTCGATTACGACTGGCAATAAACTCGCGCTGGCGTTCTACTGCCGCAATATCTGGGGAAACGGGCAACAGACTGTGATGATGGGATATGACTTTTGGGATGTGCAGGGTTATCGGAAGGCGTCGTTGCATGAGCTTATTGTAGAGGGGGGGCTGGAGGGATATCGCGAGCTGCCAACGGAGATTCTGGAGTTTTTTGAATCGCATTTCCAGCAGTGCGCTTAGTAACGGCAATAGTTAATTAACTCCTAAATCCTCCTGGAACGAAATTCTTTTTTTCGGATGTGGTGGCGTGGGGTTCTTATTCCCGCGGCTATATGCCCACAGTATACCAATTCGCCTGAGTATTAACTGCGTAAGAGTGCAAGGTAGAGACCAAACTAATATTCTATTCGTATTGAATTAAAGTATCACTTCGTCTGCTTCCAGCGTAGAACTGCCTTTATTGCCCGCCCATGTTTCAGGTCTTGAAATGCCTCCTGGTGCTGCTCAACCGGATAGAATGTAATGAGCTTCTGCATAGGAAACTTGCCTTGTCTGGTTTGCTCGATCAGGTACGGAATCATCTAACTTGTCAGTAGCAGATTTATATAATCTATACATGAGTACATACCTGCTCAGCAACGCTTGACCCCTGGTGACAACCTACATACTCCCGCCCCATCGTTATATGAGAGAAGACATCCACGCCTGCTCTCTTGCCTGGCCCAGGTGCACCAACACTAGCAGCGCGTCCACGGGGTGCCAATGAATCCAACATCGTCTCTATCACCTGCGTAGCCCCCGAGCAGTCAACCGCGAACTGCACGCCTTTGGACGGAGCACAGATTTCCTGGATCTGCTGCACAATGTTCCCTGAGCCCCCTACCAGTGTATTGGTAGCCCCCAACTCCCGCGCCATCTCTAGCCGCGACTTCTCAAGATCCACCGCGATGACAATTCTTGCCCCCCGGAGATTCGCCGCCATAACAGCGCTTAGCCCGACTGCCCCCACACCAAATACAGCCACCGAGGCACCTTCTCGCACGTTAAGGGTATTGAGCACAGCTCCTGCTCCGGTTTGCACCCCACAGCCCAAGGCAGCAAATATATCAAGCGGTGTATCTGCTGCAACACGAGCCACCGAGGCGCGGCTAACAAGGGCAACGCGAGAGAAAGAGCTCTGGCCGAAGAAATTGGAAAACACCTCTGTTTCACTATTATTAGGGAGGGAGATGGTTCTGCTTCCATCTTTTCGCTTGCCGCCGAAGTTTTGCGCGACGAGGTTTTCGCAGTACGCTGGGTGGCCGGATACGCATTGGTCGCAGGTTTTGCAGAAGTTGTAGCTGAGAATCACCTTGTCATTGATGGTGATGTCTTTTACGCCCTTTCCTGCCTGCAGGACTACCCCGGCGCCTGTTGATATCAGCAGGTGGACTCTGTCGTATAGCGGTTATTGAAGATTTAGGTTTCGTACCTTCATGTCCCAAAACACAGGGAAACCCAGCCGGGAGCTTTCCCTCCATGCAAGCGATATCAGTGTGACAGATCCCCGTCGCGTGGATTTCTACCAGGAGCTCATCGTCCCGAATGCTATCCAGCGTCACAGGGCCAAATCGGGGGTCTTCCCCAGCGGCATATACAACCAGGGCTTCTGTAGGGTATGTCATTTTGTGATGTATTCGTAGTCGAGAGGGGCAAGGGTTCCAGGGTCTTGCTCCTGTCTGTTGTCGCCTTCTTATGAATAATAAATGTCGCTCTTTTTTTTAACATGGCCCCCGCCTTTCCCCGCCTTCCGATGATATGCAAGGACAAATACTGACAAAGTACAGGGAGGTTGGGTCTTGTGGGCCATCTGCTTTGCGTATCCAGTCAGGCTGCTCCACATTGGGGAATCGGGAATCGGGAACCGGGAATCGGCAATATGGGTGCATGTAATCCTATATTAAGACTATCGGATGTGGGAACGGATGTGATGCAGATATCGGATCGGAAGACTATTTTCATATGAAGATAATCCTTTGTGGAATAGAAGTATATATAACCTTGATGTAAGGAATGTAGGCGTAGCTTAAATACAACTGCCACCTTATATACTGTTCATAATAACCATGTCACTGCGTATGCAAATGCGAAATGCTGCGGTTGATTCAATCTCAATCATGCACATTAGAATTAGGGTATGCCTAGGAGTGTACAAGCGTGGCAGTTAAACAGGCCAGCACTACCCAGTATAATTAGGGCTAGAACAATTAGACAAACAGTCTATCCGTAGCTACATTAACTCCATACCCACCATATTCCACAGTTCTCTTCGGAGACTGGAATCGCAGGAGGTTGTTCTACCGTGGGAGTTATTAAGCCATATAGCCGAGCAACTGGGACAGACTCTGAGATGTATAAAGTGTAGCATCCGACACAGACGAAGCAATACTAAGCTGTTCGAGATTAAGCAAAGGTTACCGCCATGCCGTCTGTTTTCTTAGTAGGCCCCGGCCTGATCGGAGGAGAAGTGCTCGACCTTCTCGTCAAGAATAAAGAATATGAAATCACAACCCTCGTGCGCAGAGAATCCGCCCGTCCAGCCTTCCACGAACTGGGCGTAAAGACCGTCCTGGGCTCTCTGAGTGACACAGATACAATTACATCGCAAACAGCCGCTAGCGACATCGTCATCCACGCAGCCACCGCCGACGACCTCCCCTCTGTGCAGGCCATTCTAGCCGGAGTCCGCTCACGCACCCAGCACGGACAGGAAACAGTCTACATCCACACCAGCGGCGCAAGCCTCCTCGGCGATAATTCCGAGGGATCCCACAAGAACGAATTCGTCTTCGACGACGAGACGCCCAACTCCATCGACGCACTACCGGACTCGGCAGCACACCGCGAAATCGACCTGGCTATTGTGAATGCACGCAAAGAGCTGGCGTCGCATGCAAAGTTCGCTATCATGATTCCGCCGGTGATCTACGGCGTCAGCTCGCGCGAGAAGAGACTCTCCATCCAGCTTCCGACCATGGTGCGGTATTCCATCAAACATGGCTATGCTGGTATGGTCGGGCAGGGTCGTTCTGTGTGGAACCAGGTGCATGTCAAGGATCTTGCCCGCGGCTACATAACCCTGCTAAACTGGATGGAGCAGGCTTCGTGTAGTGAGGTCAGTGAGAACCCGTACTTCTTCTGCGAGAACGGTGAAGAGCTCTCGTGGGGGCAGTGTGCCGAGAGGATTGGGCGTATATTGCACAAGGCTGGCAAGGTAGCGGATCCGACTCCGAAGACTATCCCGGCTGGGAACTATGGTGATCTTTTCGGCGAGTTTTCGGGCCTTGTCGTTGGGTCTAATGCGCGGAATTGTGCGAATCGACTGCGCAAGATGGGTTGGGAGCCTCAGGAGAAGAATACCTTTGCCTCCCTGGAAGAGGACGAGATTCCTCTCATCTTGCAGGAGACGGCGGAGTTCAAGGGGTATGCTGCACCGGTTGCGTCGGGGGCGTTTGAGGGGAAGAAGTAGGGTATTAAATCTGCGGGTTTAGGGTTATCATAGCTACCTCCCTTAACATGGCTTGGTGTGGCATCGAGAGCTGAGAACTAGCTTCGACTAATGCAATTTAATATTGGTGGTTTCGGGCTATTACCTAGACATATCAAAGCCTCAGTCTATTACCGGCATGCCCGGGAGTCCATAAAGCCACGGCAGCTTACACGAATGGATCAGGATCAGTCCTGAATAAATTAACTACGGTTTCCATGCGGGGTCCCCAGATATAAGGATGCCCAGGCTTCCCCAAATCTGGTCTCTATCCAACCTACCACAATGGACGACAAATCAATCGACGAAACACTGCACATCGACCATGTTCCCGATGCAGAAGCTATTGCAACTCGCCATCAGCAGCTCCTCCGCAAAATTGACTGGCGCCTACTTCCATTGTGCTCGTTCATCTACTTGCTAAACTACCTCGATCGATCCAACATCGGCAATGCTAGACTGCTGAATTCTGAAACCGGCGATTCGCTCGAGCAACAAACCGGAATGACTGATACCTGGTATTCACTAGCCCTTACACTTTTTGCCGTGGCATACTCGCTGTTCGACGTGCCCTCCAACTGGATCATGAAACGCTATGCTCGCCCGTCATATTGGCTGGGGGCGCTGATGCTGTGCTGGGGCGCGGTAACCATCGGATTTGCAAAGGTGGACAACTTACCCACAGTCATAGTGCTGCGCGTGTTGATCGGAGTATTCGAAGCGGGTTTCTTCCCTGGTATGGTCTACCTCATCACCTTCTGGTACCGCCAGGAAGAGCGCTCCATCCGCATTGCCTTTATTCTAGCAACCGCGACGCTTGCCGGGGCCTTTGGAGGCTGCATCGCCTACGGGGTTGCCTTTATCAACGGAAAAGGCGGACTAGAGGGATTCCGTTGGCTTTTTATCATTGAAGGAGCAGTAACGGTCCTCGTTGCTCCTTTTGTGGTTTTTGCGCTGCCGAACTACCCATCGTCGTCGAAGTGGTTGACAATTGAGGAACAGCGCTTTGCGGTTGAGCGGCTTGAGCAGGATGGTGGCATTCCTACTCGAGATCGGGCGTCGAGAGAAGAGATTCTTGAAACTGTGTGCAGTCGCCGGATGCTCTTGCATTACTTGGCTTATGTATGTCCTCCAGGCATCTGGTTATAATACCTTCAGGTAACTAACAATCCAGTTCGCGAACAATACCGTGATGAGCTCCCTATCCTACTTCAGTCCAACTATCGTCAAGGGGTTAGGATATACCTCCATCCAAGCACAGTTAATGACCGTCCCCCCGTGGGCAGTCGGATACGTGATCTCCCTCCTCCTAGCCTGGTCCGCGGACCGTTTCAACGCGCGCGGCCTGCATGTCTGTCTAGCAGGTGTGCTAACAGGTACCGGATTCCTCGCCAGCCGCCTGCTACCAGCAGAGGCTTACCTCGCTCGGTATGGATGCCTCATTGTTGCCTCATGTGGTGCCTTCCCCAGTGCTGCGCCCCTGACGGCGTGGGTTACCTGTAACGCGCCCTCTACGAGGACATTGGGGCTTGCGGCTGCACTGAATAACTCCATGGTTGGGTTGGCTTCGATTCTGGCGTTGTGGGTTTGGAGTTCGGCAGAGGAGGATCGCGGGTTTCCTACTGGGAATACGGTGTGTGCGGTTGCTGGCTATTGTACTGCTGGGCTTGCGCTGGTGTTGCATTTTTTCTATGTACGGGAGAATAAGAGGGCTGGACGGGATCAGAGGGCTTGGGCTCTTTGATTATTCAACTATTAGGACTGTGAAGGCCGGGGTAGGGCAAAACTGCAATTAACGTGTGTGGTCTAAGTCGTAGCCTAGCCAGATAGAATCCATAACTCTCATGCAGTATCTTACATCCGTAACCCGCGCGGCTATATGGGTGCGCATCCAATTGAGGTGGCCACGCAAATGCGTATAACTACAGGTATAAATAACTCCTCCGTACCAGCACCGCATCCTGACCCGGCAGCCTCAGAACAAATATGCGGGACATAAAACTCGACCCTTCTCTTCTCGCCCACCTGGCCGGCAAAACCGCCATCTTGACTGGTGGCGCCGGAGGAATTGGGGCCACGACTGCAAAACTACTCCTAGACCATGGCGCGAACGTGGTAATAGCAGACCTGGAGAATACACGGCCCATGGTCGAGACAATGTTCAAAGACCTCCCTGATTCTACCCATGGACGACTCCATTTCGTCGCGACGAATATCGTAAAGTGGGACCAAATGACAGCACTCTTCCAGTCCGCCAGAGCCAGATTCGGGCCTATACACCTGGTAATCGCCAACGCAGGAGTCATGGAAACCGAGCCGGTCCTGGACATGGACGATCTCGACGAACACGGAAACCTGAAACAGTCCGAGGCATTTTCCAGCGTCATCGATATAAACGTCAAAGGCACAATGAACTGCCTCCGCCAGGCACTATTCAGCATGAAGACCAACGAACCATGCTACCATGATGGATCGCGCGGCGCATTGGTCCTTGTAAGCTCGATTTCGGGCTACTTTGGTGGTACGGGTGTTTCTGGGTATATTACCTCCAAGCATGCGGTTACAGGGATGCTGCGTGGATCTCAGCTTGCTGCGAGGAAGTATGGTATTCGAATGAATGCTGTTGCGCCTTTCGTTACTCCTACAGCCATGGCGGGTGGATTTTCAGAGGCGTGGCGAGATAAAGGTCTGCCGATTAATACGACCGATGGCGTTGCTAGGGCTATCTTGACGCTGGCAGTTAACTCGGAGGAAAATGGGTCTTGTTATATGGTATGCATCGGTTCATTTATTTATTTTTTCTGACACTAAGTAATACAGATTTCGGGTTCCATTCTTCGAGAGGCGGAGCATACTCAGAAGCCCTTACTGGCGGAATGGCTGGGAGAGGATCTAGCAAAGGTATTCGGGGATGCGAATGACTTTTTTAAGTGTCAGGGGGGGTATAAATTGCCAAAGCGAGTCGAGGGTAGTTTATAGAGTAGAAACAATCAAGTGAATTGATATCTTCAGTATCTAATACGTATATTGGAATCCCACCAAGCCACACCTACGGTGCCTCTGTTGCGCTACTCCAAGAGAGAAACCCTAGGGCCTTCACTGTCAAGGAAGCGTGTTGAAATCACCACTACGTCTGGGAATCTACTCGCGTGCGCAGGTTTAGGAATAAGTTTCAACATGGCATAATGGATTGGGATGCTGGTAATGGATTAATACATCATGTGGCACGTAAACGCTTTCAATTATTCTTCAGGGCTCGGTATCTTGCTAATGATTGCTCGCTCAAGGTCTGCTCTCGGCAGTAGAATTCTGTGAAGTATGGAGTGTTGGGAGGGATGATGAACCAGTTTTGTTTTGTAGCAGTGAATATATGAACACTAGGGTCCAGCCCCCGTGTCTCGCTCATATTATAATGACCGTTCACACCCTTGACCAAGACACGATCGACGGTGCTAGCGCGGACATGAAGAGTATGTGGATTTGCCTCATGATACTGACTGAATATAGCCACGGCACAGTCGCTGCATTTATAAACTGTTTGGCCGGAGCTGCTTGCAGAAGGGATTTTCTGGGCGTGGGCTTGCCCTCGAAGAATAGCAAGCTGATCCGTCTCAATCTGCGCGTTGACGACACAAGCAGATCCCGACTCTCGTTGGCACCCTGTTTCTTTGCTGTTAGCCACTGGTAGCGTGTAATCCAAGAGTATAGTAGTATGAAGAAGACCAGTTAGGAAAAGCTTACAAGTGCAGTGACAACACTGGACTATCAATGGCATGGTCTTCATTCTGTATCTCAACTGCCCGCAATTGCAGCCCCCTTCATACTCTCTTGAAATTTCCGTCTGAGACATATCAAAGCACATTTTGTTCGTTCAAAGTACCCTGCAGGTCGTGTAGCTAGTGGTAGAAGACTTTAGGCGCTCAGAGAGTCGCTGCTTGAGAAAAGGAGAAAGGATTGAACAGTTATTTCATTCTGATAATGGATGAGATGAGTCATTGGTGGTTTTGCGCATCAATACGAGGACAGGCTGGGACAGGCTAACGCCATGTTGAATAGTGCCCTTGATCCTGCGAGTTGAAAGCCAAAGCACCTCGTATTCCCAAACGGCCATCTCAATCCGCACTTATCACGAGACGGTTGGCAATCCGAATCATAGAGTATACCAGGTAACTATCCCTAAACTAACTTAAACAGGGAATTCACAGGTCCTCGCCATACATTGAACATTTCCTAGCTGATAGTTAATATCGTGTGTATAACCAAGTAATCAGCCAGATGAACGAGTCAGAATAGAAATCCATGAAGTCAAATCAAACCGTCGGCAGGCTCCACTGGGGTAACTAGGTTAGGCCATCATTGCCAGGCTACATGCAATCTACCGCGGGTGTATCCCATACTTCCCCAGAGTCCCCACGGCTATATGAGAACCCCGCATGTTCTGGGCAGGTCAATTGTATTGAGCTTCTGATAGTAAAAGGCTCCCTGTATACAGATCCACATAAAGACAAGACAACACAGCACGTTTTGCTCCTTCACCAGCTACGGTCTTGAATTCCATGCAGACATGCCTTCAAAGACAGAGACTCAACCCGACTTCGACGCCATTGTCGTTGGCGCTGGTTTCGGGGGTATCTACATGTGCAAGACGCTCGTCGCGCAAGGACTGTCCACCAAAGTCATTGAAGCTGCGCCTGATGTGGGTGGGACATGGTTCTGGAACCGCTACCCTGGTGCATTGTCAGAGTAAGTAGACCCCAAACCGTTCGCTACAACAAGGATGTTGATTGTAATTAGCACACGCTCCTTTCTCTACCGATACTCGTGGGACCGTGAAGACCTCCGTCAGTATCCCTGGAAAAGGGAATATCTGAAACAGCCAGAGATTCTCGCCTACTTGAAGCATGTTGTTGAGAGACATGATCTGCGACAGTATATGCAATTCAATACCGAAATGCAAGGCGCGTCTTACGATAACGAGCGTAACTTGTGGACTGTTTCACTGTCGTCAGACCAACAGCTAACCACTCGATATCTTATCACGGCCGTTGGACTTTTGTCCAAAATCAACTATCCGGATATTGCAGGACTTAGCTCGTTCAAGGGCGAAATGTACCACACTGGTAACTGGCCCGCGTCTTATGACTTCAAGGGTAAACGCGTCGGGGTTATTGGGAACGGATCTACGGGTGTTCAGCTTGTTACTGCATTGGCCGATCAAGATGTGAACCAGCTTCTCTCGTTTCAACGGCATCCACAGTACGTCGTTCCAGCAGGCGACGCGGAAGTCTCTCCCGAGACTCGACAAGATCTCGATAGACGCTGGGAGAAAGTATGGAGAGAGGTAAAAAACAGCACCTTTGGGTTCGGCTTTGAGGAAAGTTCCAAGCCAACCTTCAGCGTCAGCGAGGAAGAGCGCGAAAGGATTTTCGACGAGGCCTGGGCTAAGGGGGGAGGGTTCTATTTCATGTTCGGCACATTCTGCGACATCTCGTCCAACGAGGAAGCGAACAGGGCAGCGGGCGAGTTTATCCGCCGGAAGATCCGCCAGAAGGTGAAGGATCCTGTCAAGGCAGAGAAGCTCATGCCGTACGATTGGTATGCCAGACGGCCGTTGTGTGACACGGGCTACTATGAGAAGTTCAATCGTGCGAATGTGGACGTCGTCGACATCAAGACCAATCCGATCACTAGGATAACCGAGAAAGGCATACAGACTACCGAGGGAGAATACGAGCTGGATGTTCTTATTTTTGCAACCGGCTTCGATGCGGTGGATGGTAACTACAAGCGGATGCGTATCCAAGGTGCCTCAGAGACCCTTCAGGCGCGGTGGCAGGAGGAACCGAGCTCGTTTTTGGGGGTCTCGATCCCTGGATTTCCGAATCTGTTCTCCATTCTGGGTCCTAACAGTCCATTCACCAATCTGCCGCCCTTGATTGAGGTCCAGGTGGAGTTCATTGCAAACATGATCTCTCACGCGGGGAAGGCAGCGGCCCCACGTATAGAGGCGGATTCAGGCGCATTACAGGACTGGATACACAAGTGCGACGAGCTGAGTGCCGGCAGCTTGTTTCGGAAAACAGACTCGTGGATTTTCGGGGCGAACGTGGCTGGTAAGAAACGTTCAGTGCTGTTTTACTTTGGGGGACTGGCGATGTACAGGCAAGTCCTACGCAACATTGTAGAAGATGGATACAAGGGCTTTAGTTTTGAAATGTGAATGTCTTCTCTTTCTTCTTCGGGTCTTTTTACGAATACCTTGATAAATAAGCAGTGGGCTGTATTGGTGGCACTATGTGTAGTCCCATGTAGCCACGGCTATATAGAATTCGCCACAGGCTTACGATGATGATATCAGCTTGATGATCGTCTTTGCCCACATACCGTACTGCAACTGAGTGGGCGATTCCCCAGATGCCCCAGATTGCCAATTACGGTGGATCACACCCCGCACAGCACTTAATTGCTGAAATCTCCTTTCCCTTCGCCTCATTGCATTCCAGACACCATAATGTCACCAAGTACCAACCGAAAGTCACGACTCAGGGCAGCAAAGGCATGCAGGCGTTGCAGCCAGCGCAAAATCAAGTGCGATGCCGTACAGAATGGACTGCCCTGTAGTCGATGTCGAATGGATAAAACAGATGATTGCACCCTGGCCCTGTCACGACGAGGCACCTACGATAGAAATGCAGCCCGCGACCTACGACTCAAACGACAATTGCAATTGCCATCTGATGGACCTGACCCATTATGTCCAGGCGCACAGGGTAATGCAGCTGCAAGAAGAAAGTCTACCGCCAGTCAAGCTCCTGTTGAAGTCCCTGCAGAGACAGCCTCGCCTTTAGAAACAAGTTCTGAGCAGTCGGTAGCCAGCTCGACTGGTTCGACATCGCGCTCCAAATCAGCCATGTTTGAGGAGTTTCTCAGTTGGAGAGACAAGAAGAGTGAAGGAAGACTAGGGCTGATTCTTCTTGGAGAACCGTCACCGTTGACGTTTGCACTGGAAGAATTCCCCCAGGACCACCCCCAGCTGCATGATGCATCGGGGCATATATGCAATAGTGCCAACCTGGAAGTTATCCAGAAAGACGTCCACCCATCGCATTTAGATCAAGCAGATATCGCGTATCTAAAGGCCAAGGGCGTTTTCACGCCCCCGTCAGAAAGGACACTGGATGATCTGGTCGCCGTTTATCTCACGCGCTTCCATCCCCTGTATTCCATAGTGAACAAGGTTGAGCTTGAGAAGGTACACAAAGAGCACAAGCTCCCATGGACTCTTCTCCATGCTGTTTGCTTCATCGGGGCAACATTTTGTGAGCCCTACAAACTGCATTCCGCAGGGTTTCAGTCTCGATCCGATGCCCGCCGCCACTTCTATCAGAAAGCAAAGCTGCTATTCGATACCAGCTATGAGACCAACAAGATCATCCTTCTTCAGGTGGCTATTATGCTGAGCTTCCGCGGCCCTCAAATGCAAAGCTATTGGAATCCCTGTTCCTGGATTGGCTTCGGCGTCACATTTGCTATCTCGCTAGGTCTCCATCGTTCGACAGCCTCGTCCAACGCCCCCGGGGGCGATACAGGGTTACTAAGAAGGCTGTGGTGGACGCTGGTAGTACGGGATACCTACTGCGCCGTTCTCCTTGGACGCCCCTTTCGCATCGACCTTCCTCATTCTGACGCAGAAATGCTCACGCCAAATGACTTTGTCTACGAGAGCCATGACGAAGCCTTCTATCAAATCCAAATGGCCCGTCTAGCTCCAATCATGCGGAATATCACCCATTGCCGCTCGGCAGCGCAGCTCTATCCACAGACCGTCCACGCAGAACTGGAGACCTGGCGAGCGGACCTGGATCTCTCTTTCCAGCGGTGGCCGGGTGGATCTCCATCTGTACTGTGGTCCACTGCGTTAGAAATAATCTACAACTACTATCTCCTTCTCCTTTATATTGATAAGCCTAATTTATCTCGCCCGCAAACGCTTCACCAACCGGCCCAAGAACTCGTCGAATCAGCTGCCAGAGATATTGCCTCCAAGGCGATCACTCTTGTAACCAAGGCCCGCCTATCCTACCTCCCTCATGAAGCCTTTCCAGGCTTCTTCGTCGCCGGCATTGTCCATTACCGGCAGACCCAGAATAGCTCCCCAGTGGTGACTCAAATGGCACGCGCAAGCTTGGACAACTGCCGCGTTATTCTGAACGAAGTCAAGGAATTCTGGGAGCCCGGTGAATGGGCAATGGAGATTTTCGACTTTCTCAATATGAGACACCAGAATACCTCGCCTAATGGTGCCTCGCCTCGGCAATTGGAAGTAAATGCAACTACACTTCAAAACGACATTCCCGCGGACTTGGAAGGGGATACACAGGAATATAGTAGCCTGATGAATAATTATCTCTTCGGTTCGAACTGGGAGACTGTTATGCAGGGAGGACCTGCAGATGACTCCTTATTAATGCCAGGCTTTCTTCCTTCGGTTGTTGATGAATGGTCCTACCTTCAGCCTTAAGTATACAGATATGCATTTATGATAGCTATCTTATTATCTTTCTATATCACATATTCCCTCGAACTCCACAAAGTCCACTTGAGACGAATTCGTTTTGCTCCTCCTCTGTAAGCAGGCTACGTATGGCTGACGGCATGGATGTATAACTGTGACCCTGCTTTGCACTGCGGAGAGCTCCCTCAAAGAAACTCTGTACGGTAACTGCAGAGGGGTAGACTTGGCCAAATGTGCCCAAAACCTGCATGCTTTGATAAAATCGTTCAAAATCCTCGATTCCAACAACACAGCCTTTGCTGTCCCTAAATTTAAGAACTTGCCTTGCGAGGACTGGCACAAGCAATGCAACCGTTGTAGTTGGGAGATATTGGACAAGCCCAAGTTGATTCAGGTCCTGCAAGATCGACGATGTCTCGCATATAATATTTTCATACTGCACTCCCGGTGGCCTTTGGCTTTCTCGATGGAGTGTTCCTACAGCTGCGAGGAATATCAGTCGAATCCACGCACGTTGTATGTGGAGGAGCTTCGTTGCATGGTCCAGATTGTTTGAGTCTGCCTGTAGGGACGCGTATTGAAGCTCTACAGGAAGCTCGTCGCACCAGGCTTGTAAACTCTGAACCGCTTCCCATCCTCGATCAGTGCACGACTCTTGACACCAATTCTTCTCCTGGTGGTCACGTAGAAGGAGTACTCTGTTAATGAGCATCGACAACTTTGCTTTCTTAATGAATCCCACCGCCAATTGAAGCTGAAGCTGGATATTTTGCAGCAAGTTACAGCCGCCTAGTGCCATGATTATCTTAGTTGAATGGTAGCCGATACTGAAATCTTCCACACAGACTAGGGGAAGCTGCTCATGATTATCCTTCACATAGCACAATGGCCGTCGTAGATTCAGCGCAAGTAACATATCCCGAGTGTACAGACACCACCAAAGGCGTTTCCATATTTTCTGAAGTTGCGGGGCCATGGCTGACGTTGAAGGGTCGCAGTCGAGGCCGATTGACACCCCGAGCGACCAGCACACGTTGAGCCAGTGTTGAGAGTCCTTGGGGATATCCGGGGTTTCATGCCAATAGGTCATGAGCAGGAGGGCCTGAATAAGAACCACCCGATCTCTTTCAATGTCAAAGTCGTAAAACGCCTACATTGCAAGATTAGAACACACAATGTCTATCGTGTCTGTCTGTTTCCAGGGAGCGCCCCAACATACTCGGACTCTCCTATAGTACGCTTCGCGTAGTTCCTTTCGGGTCTCATATCCAGCGTTGTGGATATGCTTCAGCTCAACAAACGCTGTTGCCGAAAACATAACAGCGTGGAACAGGAGCAAGCTAACGGGCTGCGCCCCGTCATTGGAAACGATAGGAAGGAGAAATGATTCCAAATCTAAAACGGGAAGAAACGGATAGACGTTCTCAACAAAGACTTTGAGTAGTTCACGCCGAAAGATCGTGTCTGGCACGCGGAAAGCTCCCTTGATCTCCAGATATTCCATATCTTCTTCTGGGACATTTTCCGGCAATCTCTGGATGAATTGCGGTAACACAGGCACAAAAGCAAGAGATGAATGGCCCAACCCGAGAAAGTCATGCAGCTCTGTGACGAGATTATCAAGAGGTTTTGTGAGATGAACCTGAGAGTCCTCGGCCATGCCTCGTAGGTATTCACTTTCAGTCTCGGGCTGAATTCCCACCGCTGAGTTTGATAAGTCATGATTAGCTCTAAATCTCACAGTGATTAGGTCTCCTACCATAGGTACTCCCAGAGGGGCTATTAGGACTACCACAGGTCTCGAGTCAGCTATATCCGATCAAATACCCCCCTAACTGCCGTGGAATAACACATACCTAATGGGAACTTTACCACGCGCACAGCATGATGTTCTCATGGACCGGCATCTCGTACATGGAAATCCGCCAAAAGAGGCATCACACCATAAATTATTTGCCTCGCAGAAGGCGCATATACGGTAACATGAGGCTGCCATTATTTTACAGCAAGGAAAGGCGACCTGCTAAACAGGGAAATGAAGTCAACGAAAGGTATATAACCATAAATCAGAACACCGAAGCAATATAATCGATAGAAATAATGAGGGCCTCGTGTTTTGTACGTAACATGGGGCTGTTACATGTGCCCAGTAAGTAGCCGCGGGTATATTCATAATCTCATCACCTTCAGTATTCAACGAACAAACGTAAGGCGGCATTGCATCACACAAATAATTTGCCCTGGAAAATTAATAAACACCATAATTTGTTTAATTCATCTGCCCAATCAATTTCTATGCGACACGCTAGCTACTCCAACCTAAAGCAGTTTCAGCCCTAATCTCACACCCGGGCCGCAGGCATAAATGGGGAGGTATCTATGAAAGGAATATACTGGCGAGGGCATGTAGTGTTGGGCGAGGGAATTATTCCTTCAAAATACCCCTGGATATGTGCAAAGTAACAGTCTGACGCCCCCTGGTTGATAACCGTATGCTGATTCAGGAGTACTGTAAGCGTGGACTCCGTAGGAATGGGAATTGACACTTACACCAACAGCTTCTTGCAATAAAAGCACCGATCCGGAAAGCTGAGAGGTTATCTTGCGCGCCCTATAAGAAATGTAATTAGTGAAACGTCCAATGTAGATAATTTTCAAACGTACGATAGTAATGGCGTGATAGGGTCGATGGTGTTACTCGTAAGGAGAATCGGGAAGGAGGTATGCTTGTGTGCACTTATGTCGTCTGCATTACTGATTAACTTTGTTTTAGAAGACGAAAGAGAGGGAGACTACCTTTAATTACCATGCTATCAGGTAACTGCGGGTTGAATGACCGGCATAAGATACCCTCCAGTAAGCTGGGGTAGATATCACCGATATACTTGCTTTTGGAGACCAAGTACTCTGCCCATGACTTAAACTCGTCCAGGGTAGTTAGTTTGTTCCGTCGATACGAATCAGTGCACGTAATGGCGAGACGGGCATCGCTTATAGAGTTCGACTGGTCATACATGTTCGCAAGGGCAGACACATTCCCACGCTCGGCATGGTGCAGGATATCGGCCATTCCTGGAAACATTGCCTGCGGGTTGTATAGCGTGTTGATAAAAAGAGTCTTCAGGTCTGAATAAGTGACCATTGTCGGCAGGCCTGAACCAAGGCCGCTTAATGCGACTGGATGGTTCTGAAGCTGGTGGACGATGTCATCCATTCTTGCTGTGATATTATCCGGCGTAGGGCCCCAGAATGAGCACTTGTCAGGTCCAGCAAAGTGGCAGAAGGTCGAGAATGTTTCCATAGCCTCGTCCATTTGATCAACATTGTCCGTCCAGTAGTTGGTGTAGTATTGCTCTGCGTTCAAAACACCATCAAGGACCATTCTCCCGACGCGGTCAGGGAACAGGGATGCGAATGTGCTGCCGGTGACAGTGCCGTAACTAATACCATAGCACCACAACCTTGCGGTTTCTGGTGACTGACCAGCCAGCTCAGCTTCAGCCTCGGTGAATGTCAGCAGGTCATTGGCAACCGCTGGGGTAGTGACATAGTATGAATCGGGTGAGTTGGTCTCGACGGCATTATTACACCATTCGCCATATATGGAGCTTGAATAGTACTGTTCCTCCAGCGACGTTGAGATATTAGTTGCGCCTGTTCTGTGCAGTCGATAGAAAGTCGACCTTGCTTCTGCATCGTTGAAGCAGTTGATATGCAAGCCACTGTTGTTCACACCGCGGGGGTCAAATGAGACGAAGTTGTACTGCTCTCCGAACATCCCCCCAATTAAATTCTGGTATGAGAGGAGTAGATCGACGCCAGAGCCACCGGGGCCGCCTAGAACATTAGTTGGACAAAGCTGCATGAATGATGGAATGGAGCGTACCAGGGAGGATCACAATGCTGGGAGAGTTGACGGTGGCATTTTCTCCAGCCAGCTTTATAAAGGCAATCGACGTCGTTCCAAGGTCCCTGTTTGCATAATCCAGAGGAACCTGTAGTCTAGAGCAGTTAAGGGTGTCGAAGCATGGTGTCCAGGACAGGTTGGCTGATGGTTCAATCTAGATGGTCAGCTTGAGCCTTTCACCGTAAGTCATTTACCGTAAGTTCACTCACATCGTCGAATCCAGAGACAGACACACTGTGGGCGTTCACTACCAGGCTTAGGAAAAGGAGGCCTATCGCGAGTCGCATTGTATCTTGAGTTTTGTGTTCAGTGCTTGAGCTGAAACCGCGATATTGGACTATTTAGAGGATATTCAACAGGCAGCTGAATTTACATACCAAATGCCTGTTCTGTGTCCACTTGTACGAACAAGCCAGTCAATATTCGATCACAATTATACCGGTGATGCTCTGTATACCTGCAGGCTGCAATGTCGATCAGACCCGCATGTACGAACTGGCCAATAACATTTACACAGCCCCCACTGGTTAATTTAAGCTATTTTTATTCCCCGCATCAGTTCCTTTCCTGCTGATGCTTCATGATCTCTGCCAGCTCCGATGGATGGGAAGAAGGACACTCACGCCTGGAGAAGAAAGCCTCGCAAGTTCTCTCCAAAGTCAAGGCTGGGCTGTAAAACTTGCAAGTATGCTTCTTTACGTTTTGCTACAGAGTGATTGACTGTGTTCAAGATCCAGCTGACATCCCAGGATACGACGGATTAAATGCGATCTATCTCACCCTTCATGCTTGAAATGCCGTTCGACTGGTCGTGCCTGCGATGGCTATACTGAAGCAGATTGCGACACTGCGAAATGTCATTTGCAGAACCTCGGATCCTTCTTGATCTTACCTATGACTGAGCCAACCCAAGCAGAGGCAATCACCTTTTTCAGGGACATTTCGATCAAGCATCTGAATCAGTACCGCCCTTGCGAAGAGTGGAGGAATACCCTTATGCTCTTCTCTCAAACCGTGCCATCAGTGCGACATGCTGCTATTGCACTGGCCTTGATGCACCGAAGATACCTAGATTATTCTGACAGTCGAGTATATCAACCGCCTGCTTTGAAAGACCGACTACCAGATAAGACGCCTTTGCTATACTATAACCGCGCCATCCAACTCCTGTTGAACACTGAAAGTGGCGATGCCAAAACCACGGCTGTCACGATGTTGGTCTGTTATCTCTTTACCTGCTTTGATCATCTAGCAGGAGACGACGTACAAGCAATGAAACACCTGCGCGGAGGTGTTGCTCTCATCGAAAACTGTACCTACGATTCTCAGTCCGGAGTTAGTACGATTATCAGCCAGGTCACAGAACAGATTCGCCGTCTCGACATGCAGGCCGTCATGTTCCTGGTCGACTGGACTCCAGCCAACATCGAAGAGACCTTCCTCTCCCTTGCCCTCCGTGATAGTACCTTTCGCTCACTCAACGAAGCAGCCGACTACCTCCAGATCCTCATCGCCCAGGTAATGAGGCTGCGCAACACAGAGCAGCAAATGTGCCCAACGGGTACGATGCCGGCTTTACCTTCTTCACTCAAGGACCTCGTTCTGGCGCAATTAGAGACATGGGAGGGTCTTTTTGAATCTCTCCTGCGCGGCTCAGGGTCAGACTTTGAAATTAAAGGCCCTCTTGTATCACTCCTCCGCTTACAACATACAATAGCATGCATTCTCCTCCGATACGGCCCCGGGCGAGAAATGGACTACGACAAGTTTCTGCCCCAGTTCCAGAAATGCATTATATTAGCGGACGAAGTTGCGGCGGCGCATGAGCAGTATTCGTCGTCAATGTCAACATTTACCCCGGAAATCGGATTCATCCCCGTTCTATACATAATAGGCGCTAAATGCCGACATCCTACCGTCCGTCGTGAGGCTTTGCGCATTCTCCGGAGACAGTTCATTCGCGAGGCGGCTTGGGATAGTCTCTCTACTGCTAGGGTGGTTGAGCGGGTCATTGAAATTGAAGAGGGGCAAATGGGAGAGTACATGGAACAGATTCCTGTATGGCGCAGAATCGAGGCATTGTCTTTTGTGCATATCCCCGGGGACCTTCAACGGTCTGCGGCGAGGTTGGATATTGAATATACGTTCTGCGGACTGGATGGGATACACACTGAGTCGGTTATTATAGAATGACAGCAGGCCGTTTGATCTAGTATAAACAACTAGTGCAATGGCTCCTTATGATACGAGACATACTTCCTCCCCCTCCTTAACAGCAACGGCCCCCCAAGCCCCAGCATCCCAACGCTCTCACTCTCAGGCATCTGGTCCCCCATCCACCCAGGCTGCGCCCTCAGCTCCTTCACCAGATCCAACCTATACGCCATAAACAGCGGCACATGCCGCGAGATCGCACCCCCAATCCTCATCATGGCAAACGAATCAAGCACCCTCGTCCACCTCGGCGACCAAGCCGCATACACCCCCAGCACCAAAACACCCAAGACATTAAACCCCAGGAGCACCGAACACACGATAACACCCGCGCGCGAAATAGCAGGGACCTGTGTATCAGCCCCTATATCGAAACTAACCCTCCGGTCCGCAGAAGACGAAATCCAACCAGCCGGATTCTCAAGCCACTTCTTCGTCGCGATGAACGCCGCCGCGTTAAATGCGTTCTCGAGCCGCTCGGGCTTCGCGAGGAAGTTCTCCAGCCAGTCTGCAATTTGATTACGCACGTCTGGCCGGTCTCCGTCGGAGACTAGGATGCAGTCGTTTATGTTGGAGGGTGTGTTGGAGACGAGGTGGCCAAGGGGGACGAGCTCCCTGCAGGCGTAGAAGTTGCTGGGCCGGTCTTCGGCACTGTTGTTGTATGTTACGAGGGGGCTGTAGATTTCTGGGTGTTTGGCGCGTGTTTCGATGTAGGAGCCTTCGCCGAAGAGAGCCAGGGCTGTTGTTAGTAGAGGGCCTTTGTTTTTGACGACTTGGATGTCACCGGGGATCGGTGTTATATCGGTCTGCCGCTTGTATCTACAATTTGATGTTAGCAAACGCAACTGTTGTATTGAGAGTGGCAGGTTAGTTAGGATAGTTACCTTGATTCCATAATATACGCCCCCTGGTCCTCACAATAGTCATCGCAAAGCGCATCCGGGTCTTTATCCAGCAAGAACCCTGCAACGCCGCCGTTCATATAGTTCGGCAGCTCGAAGTAGCCACTTGTCGTGGCAAGCGTGATTCTGTAGATCGCGCGACTCGGATCCGTAGAACTGTATTCATCCAGCCTGACGTCAAGAAACAGCTCTTCGACAAAGTCATGGCGATCACGCGTAGCCTTCCACGGCGACTGCATGACATTCGCCGGCATACAGGCCTTCAACCCCCATGTCTGTATCGTATTGGAGTACTGTGTTGTATTGGTATACTCCACGAAGAAGGCGCCTGGCAATGTATCACAATTTTCAGGGAACTCGGCTTCGGAGATAGACTGAACCTGCGCTGTCGAGTTAATCCGCGGTAGGAATTGGCGGAGGAGGCCCGTGTGGAAGTTGGCTGGGAGCTGGGCGAGGAATGGGTCGGGGTATTCGGAGATGTTCTCGAAGGTCGCCCCCTTGCGCGAGCAGATGTCTAGTCGATAGGAATATTCGTACGTTGAAGGGTCGCAGGAGACGTTTGCGCCGGGCCAGAGCTGGGAATGCAGCTCGTCGGTGGTTGTGGTTGTTAGGGCTGCGCGGGTCATGATTGTGGCGAGATTGTTGTCCTCGCTGGATGACGCTGTGGTGGTTTGGATGTAGGTAAGGAGGTCCCAGAGAGACGACACTCGCTGGTGTTCGGTTGGGATTTTGACGGCCTGCGTGGTCAGGAATATGGACTGGATCGGCGAGATAATCAGCCCTAGCAGGCTGACCAGCAGTGCGAATAGGAGGAACGCGCTGCCGTAGTGACGCCACTGCATAAGATAGATCCGTCTGTATGTCGCCAGATCCATCCAGCCCCTGTCTGCCAGGGTCATGAGCTGCGGCATTGTGAGGTTTTGCTGGCGCTGCATGAAGATGACTGCAGCCCTGGCGCAGATGGCGGAGATCAGGGGTAGAGTGAGCACACTCGCGATGACCTGGATGATCCGGGCAGCGCGGTACCAGCGTTCATTTTTCCTATACGGCGATTTGGCGTCATCGTATGTGTACAAGTAGTCTCTATAATACCCAGTGATGGGGCGGTCCGCGCGAGTGCAAATAATCACCCATGGAGCAAGCACGAGAGCCGCATAAAACAGCGCTAGAATAAGAGCCTGGATGGAGCGGCGGTGCAATCCCATCTGGGTTTGTTCTTTTGGGGGCTCATAGTGAGGTGGGAGGTCCTCGTTGATACTCGGCGGTCTGTCGTGGTCTCTGTCTCTATCTGTCGAATGCGAGTCTTGCGACGCCCTTGGTATTGGGTCGAGAGGGATGGGACTGGACATGATGGGCCATTTATCCAGATAATCAGATCTGGCATGGGATGGGGCTCTTTTAAGCCTCTTGAATCTTCCACCTGGCCAAGACTGGACCTGAAAGGGGCCAACTCGGGCAATTATCAACACGATCTCTGCGTGCGCCGTTCATTGGGTACTAGTCCGGGCACTGGGCGGCAGCAGGTGCGCGAGCGAGGCTGAGCCAACATGTTGACTTATTCGATTCGTGGTGTTTTGCCCTAAAGGCTCCAAGGCCTTGGCTGCAGGCACCTCCGTGGAGGGTGGCTCAACTTGCATTAATGATTTATTGATCAGACTGAGTAATAAGGCTTCACCTGTTTCCTACTTTTACCTAACTAGAACGCAGTCTAACTAATTAAAAGCCCCAGACTTCGCTTGAGAAAACGGACAGGTAGCCACACCCTTTGCCTTGATAGCCTCAATATCCACCTCCATCTCTTCAATTCCTTTTCCTTTCTGCGGTTCAGGACCAATAGTCATCAGATCGTATCCCTGAGATATATATCGGTCTCCCTGTGCACCAGGCACCCTCCCCCCGAAAGCTTTGACCAGCAACGCGGCAGGTCCCCATTTAGACGCAAAGCTGGCCTTCATATACCATGGCTGTAGGCCCTTTCTCTCGAAATTATATAATTTCGTCTCAGGGTTTGCTTTATCATGTACTGGTTTGACAGCAAGAAACGACGGGCGTGGCAGTGCCAGGTATCGAAGTAACAGTTTCCGCGCTTCCTGGATAAAACCCAGCACGAAGCAGAATATCGGACCGGGTTTCTCAATACTGAAAGAGTAAGCCGAGAAAAGCGTGAAATATCTTGGTAAAACTCACCACAAACTCGTCCGCATCACATCATCCAAAGCATATCCCAACACCTTCCGCACAGTCGTCCTCAAAACCCCCGGAAGCGACGAGAGCGCCGAATCAACATAAACCCTGACATACTGGTCATTTGTCGCCACCGGCTTCGCAACTTCCTCTTCGTAGCGGACTGTCCAGTCTACCAGTTCTTTGCCAAAATGCACTCCATCGGTCCAGCCTTCTGATGCTGAAGGGAGCGGGTCGAATGGGATGCCCATGTCTTCGCCTAGGTGGCGATGGAACACGCCCAGTGCGCACTTTTCAACGTCTGTGAACTCACGCCATTCCTCTCGAGAAACGACATTGAGGATCTCTGCCAGGCCATCCCCTAGGGTGTGCAGGAGGTCGGGGTCGGTGATTTTACCGGCACGGCGATAGCGTGAGTGTCTGGGAGGTAAGTAAGACTGAACATATCCTTTTAGCTCTTGGGGTTACTTGTCTTACAGATAATTCATTCTCGCCACAGCCGCTGCGTATCGGTCAGAATCGCGCGGCTTGGACTGGGCCTCGCGCAGTAGGATCTCGGTGTCGACTGCGCGTCTCCCGGCATTGCGCTTGTTGTTCTGGCCCGTAACGGCGAATAACTTCGACATGCTTGGGATTCCTCCAGCCTAGACAATATATTAGATTAGACTCACAGTCACTGGCTCGGTGACTGGGTATGCCGCGGTCATACCTTTAACAAAGCCATCCGCCGACCCTTGGAAAATGCATATGGGAATTCGAGGGTCTGGAGCTGCTCGATAATTTCGTACGATTCCTTGACTGTCATGGACGATAGCTGTCTTTTTCCGGAACTGAAGGGCGCCTGGATCTGCTTCATGCGACGGTGTCGGAGAAGCCAGACCAGTGCTGTATAGCCGGCGATTGCGGTGATGACTACCCAGTGGTTCTCCCATTCATGGGACGGAGTAATGAAGGTGCTGATCATATTGAAGTGTCGTTATACCAAAGGTTGTTGCAACTTCAAAGGAAATCCACACTATTTAAGCCAGAGAATGGGAATGTCCTGATTTACTGGATTGTTGGGATGGCTTTAAATATGCTGGGATGATATTGTAATCCACTGCGGGCCGAGGGGATTAGAATATGTGCTGTTTTTCTGGAATTAATAAACCTCGGATCCACTGGTATAAGCTTTAAGCTTTTATACAGATCGTCTGGTCTCTTTATTTATATAACTGGCTGATGCAAGGCTGCTCTGTGTCACTGACAGGGGAAACCCTAACGGCCTGAACTATCCAGATGGCAGGGAGCGACAGTTAGATCAACAAAACATAACGTGTATGCTGTCGCCATAAATAAGCCGTCTATTCCATGTTAGATTCATTCATTTTATTTTATTTTATTTTATTTTATTCTAATTTATTCTAACTTAAATTGTTTTTCTTTTGTTCAAGTCCCAGTGAGATTGGTTATGACGTACCCTGCGTCCAGGAGATCAGAACAGCATACGTATACATACCTTGGATGGAGGCAGATCTATACCGTCGGGAAAGCTCCAGCTGGTTAAATATCCAGTGCCCTCATGTTCAGATTCATGTTGTCATAATTATCATCATAGCGTTATGCTCTTCATATGTTATCATAAAAGTGGATATAGGCCGAGCTACCGAGGAACTAGAGCGGGGCCAATATATCGTCATCTCCTTTTTATCTTTCTTCTAACAATCCCATCATTCCTTTTTATTCATTGTTCCATTGCTCTTCATGGCTTCGCAACCCCCCACGGTCCTGTTCCACTATCCAGGCTCGCCATTCGCAGCCAGAGTCCTGTACTATCTGGCCCTGCGCGGCATCCCCTATGATGAATGCGTACGACACCTCACTATAATTACAATATTCAACAGCTAATATCACCAGATCCAACCAAACATCCTCCCCCGTCCAGACCTCGCCCGTCTCGGCATCCGCTACCGCCGCATCCCCCTACTCGCAATCGGCCGCGATGTCTACCTCGACACCCCCCTAATCCTCAACCGCCTCGAACGCTTCACCCCGTCATCCACAACTAAACCCCCCTTCAAATCCACCGCAACACCCTCCCAACACACCCTCACCCACCTCCTCGCCTCCTACACGCTCGACACCCCACTCTTCAAAAACGTCGTCTGCGTCCTCCTCCCGTCAACCCCTCTAATCCACGACGAAGCCTTCCTAAAAGACCGCGCCGAGATGCTCGGCGGCCCACCGGGCTTTAATTTCGCAGAACACTTCGTCCTTCCCGCGCGCAATGACGCAATTGTCGAAGTGAAGAAGACACTCGAGTTCTTGGAATTCACCCTCCTGGCTGATGGGCGGCAGTGGGTGGCGGAAACGCAGGACCCGAGTTTGGCCGATATTGAGCTGGTTTGGCCGCTGCATTGGCTGTTTAGTATTCCCGGGGCTGTTCCTGAGGAGCATATTACTGCGGAGAAGTTTCCAAAGGTGTATAGCTGGGTTGAGAGGTTTGAGAGGGCTGTGGGGGAGGCGCAGAAGGGGTTGCGTAGGCCCCAGACCGTTTCGGGGGAGAAGGTTGCTGCGTGGCTTGGGAAGGCTGGTGTTGAGGATCAAGATGAGGCGCGTGTAGAGGAGAATGATCCCATTGTTAAGGCCCAGGGGCTCCATCAGGGACAGGAGGTGTTGTTGTGGCCGGCTGATACTGGGGCGAACCATAAAACAAAAGGGAAGCTTGTTGGGTTCACCAGTAAAGAGATTACGCTGGATACGACTGAGGGTGAGGTTTCCGTGAGAGTGCATGCTCCTAGGCATGGGTTTAAAGTCGCTGCTGTTCCTGCGAAGGCACATCTAAGTTAAGTTGGTTAGCTAGGGTAGTAATGATTGTCTTATCAATTCAACAACTGAACGGAATCAGCTTCTAGATCTGTTGAAGTCATGAACTTAGTCCACCTTGTCTCTCTGCCTCTGTTCAACCCGCCGAGTATACCAAAAGCAAACACCATACAGCCCATCCAGCACCACAAACGCCCCTGAGAACCACCGCATCAGGATATTATCCGACCACCCCCATACCTGCGGCCAGTACGTCGACCGCAGAAACAAACTCGCCACCGCGAATATCGACCCGATGAAGCGTGAGAGCCTGCACAATCCAAGTTAGCTATTGCATTACCCATGATAGAATATAGGAACATACCACATCCCATACGACATCCCACGCGTATGACCCCTCTGAACCAGAATCCCCAGCGCCGTCCCACTCATCACAACCAGGCACATCATCCCGCTCCAATAAAACGCCTTGATCGGGCTAAGCAGCACCGAGAGCGCCCAGTGTCCAGAGAAGAACCCCAAGATCCCAAAAAGCACAAAAAAGTGCAGATCTCTGTGCAAAAGCGGTGCATTGGAGCTACTCGACGAAGCTCTCGCGAACTTAGCCGTGGTGTATATAACAAAGATGTCAACAAATAGCCACGAGCGTAGTATAGCTTTCGCGACGGGCAGCGGCGGCGGGTGCAGGATTGCAAAGACAAGTTCCCATGCTAGATTGTTGGTTAGGGCTACCAGGGATACGCCTGGGGTGCGGTCGCGATACGCGGTGCGGATTGTCGTGACGTAGTTTATGAGCCAGCCGGTGCCGGAGAGGGAGAATAGGGTTAGCAGCAGCGGCTGGACTTGTTTGAATGAGGGAGGGGAGGACTCGAAGTCCCAGCCTTCTTCCATGATGGATAGGGGTGATTTTTGGTGGTTGCTTCGAGGTTTGGAATCTGGGAAGATGCTTTCTATCTCATTCAGATTGAGGGGAAGTGTGGAGGATGGCTATGGATCGAGACCCCTGCAGCTGCGTTGCAGAGCCCTCAGCCTCGCATAATAATTCGGAATATCCTCCGTGTCTGTTAAGTGGGTGTTTATTAGCGTCTGCGCAGAGTATTACCGGTTCAGACACGCTGCTGGTGCGGGATTGTTCTGGCCAGCCCTAATTCATAACATGCATCTCCAACAGGATCCTGAAGTCACCCATCTTCTGTTACAATATAGAGCTAATGTTTTCATATTGTCACTGGTATTGTGAATTTACATCCAGTCGCCTTGTTTCCCGATGTTTTGTATCAATATCATGACAGTCTCGTTGCTCCGAGAATTATCTGCAGAATATAAACGAAGGCCATCTTAATACAAGATAACTTCATTCTATCTATACTTCTACAACTTAATCTCGGCCGTCTATCATGTCCAGCACGATGCACCCGTTCGATGCCTTCAATGCCCCCCAGCCATACCAACAGCATCATCCACCCCGGTGGAGCATACACAACCCTCACTTCTCACAGACAAACGGACACTCCATCCAACGGACTCCTTCCATGATAAAACCACATTCCTCCGAGGGCACATTCCCAGCCACGAATGGAGCAGATACCCACCAACGCAAGAACATGGAAGAAGAGGTATGTCTTCTGTCAATTCAAGAAAAGCAGTCAGCTAAGCCCGGATAGATCATCTGCGCTCCCCTCCACTACATCACAGGCCTACCAGGTAAAGACATCCGCGGAAAGCTCATCTCAGCGTTTAACGAGTGGTTCCGAATCCCCGACGAGCAGCTAGAGATCATAAAGCGGGTGGTCGGGCTACTACACGTAGCCTCATTACTGTATCCCCCCTGCTCATATCCGTCTTTTCAACCCTTGGAAATCATTCCGGCAATCTAACATTACCTGCAGAATCGACGACATCGAAGACTCCTCCAAACTCCGCCGTGGCTTCCCCGTCGCACACAGCATCTTCGGCATCCCCCAGACAATAAATTCCGCCAACTACGCCTACTTCCAAGCGCAGAGCGAGGTGCTGAAACTGCGGAACTGCAGCGCCGCTTTTACTATCTTCACCGAGGAGCTCCTCCGGCTGCATAGAGGGCAGGGAATGGATCTCTACTGGAGAGATTCCCTCACCTGTCCTACCGAGGAGGAGTACCTTGACATGGTGGCGAATAAGACGGGTGGTTTATTCAGGCTTGCCATTAAGCTTATACAGCTGGAGAGCGATGTTGAGGAGTATGCTTATTTCTTTAATTGGGGAGAGCGCGGGAGAGCTTGCTAACGTGGAACAGCGACTGTGTCCCGCTAGTCGATCTGCTAGGAATAATCTTCCAGATCCGGGACGACTACCAGAATCTCCAGAACGAGCAGTATGCGAAGAACAAGGGTTTTGCGGAGGATATCACCGAGGGCAAGTTCTCGTATCCGATTGTTCATAGTATCAGGAGCAGCGCGGCAAGTGGCAGCAGCGGCAGCTCTGAACTTATGAACATCCTGCGTCAGAAAACGGACGATGAGGCTGTTAAAAGATATACGATTTGCATTCTGGAGAAGACGGGTAGTTTTGAGTATACGAGGCGAAAGTTGATGGAGTTGATGGCTGCGGCGAGGGCTGTGCTTGCTGGGTTTGGATCAGCTGAGGCAGCTGGATTGGAGGGTATATTGGACTTTCTGGAGCTCAAGGAGTAGTTTGCTATTCATTTATTTATTCAAATTTACTATGCTTGTTTTTCAATTCAATTACTAGAGATGGACGTATTTACATACCAAGCTAGGCATTATTGTCTAATATATAAAATATATTAGGGTTTCACTACATATTCAACCATCTATAAACAGACCAATGAGCGCTCTATAATTACCAACGCCAATAATACAAGTCTAGGCACCCATGCAGTCAGCTACAGAAGCGTAACTTCCGGTCCGCTGCAGAAGAATGCAAGGATCAGGCGGAAGAGTTGAAGAGATACGGAGATGCGGCCCGAGCTTATTATTACTATGCTCTCTCTCCAACTAAATATGCAGTACTAGCTAATACGGCGCTCGCAAAACGCTTCAGGAACTTATCCCTGAAAAACAGAAGATGTTTAGGCGCCCAATCCCCAACATAACAGGGATTCGTGGGTTTACTCCGTGCATTATGCAGATCAGGGACCAGAGTATAAACACGTACTTTATACTGCTATTCTACCCTATCTACGATTCTATACATATCCGTAGGAATCTGGGCCCTGTATGAGCCGTCCAGAACGCAGAGTATAACCCAAACTGAAGCGGAGACTGAGTTTCTTTGACCGTGTCAATAATAGAATGGAGTGCATCCCGGTGGAGACCTTCATTGATGAAGATTCTTTAGGCTAAATCTCGTGCTTGGATTTTGATTGAGGTAGTTCGATAAAGCACATATTCAGCTTACACGAAGCAGAACTAGTAGATACTGCGCTTGCATAGTCTGCATTGAAGGCCTTTCCGTCGTACTATACTGTGGTAGTCCCATGCAAGTACAAGTCTAGATATGTAAGCTTGGAGCACAGCAAGTACGTAGTAAATCATGGTGGATATCCTAATTATACATGAATAGTAATTGACCTAGAACCCCGCATGACAAGAGTATTGGAGAACTATGCCCTCAAAGGAATGCGCAGTGCTTTAACGGCGGATACTCCTATGCAGTAGGTTCTCAGCCAAATATTCTTAAATACCGGTAATCCAAACTGATAAGTGTCCCATGCCTATCACTATTGAAATTTTCCTATACTCACATCAAGCCGACAATGACATACAAGCAGAGGAACACGAACAAACTAGCCATTGACCTCATCACCCTATCGAGGTTCAATCGGTACAACCCACTACTCGCCACCTTTTCCGGAGGTAGATACCCGTTTCTTTCTATTATTCTATTTGATTCAACTAACCTTTTGATCTGTACAGTCTGGGCCACCATCCTAGCCGGATCCCACAAGATCACCCACTCCCCGGACTCAGTCACATCCGAATATGTCCTCAGTCAAGCCCTCCTCTGCTTCATATGCAGCTTCGTCTTCTGCGGTGCCGGAATGGTCTGGAATGACTGGATAGACCTGCACATCGACAGACAGGTATCTCGAACAAAGAACCGTCCGCTTGCGAGAGGAGCCGTCACAACATCAGAAGCACTGGTCTGGATGGCATTTCAATTTATATCAAGCTGGGTGCTAGTTTCATGGATGCTAGAGGGAGAAAATGTGTAAGTCCGCGCAAGCCTTGACAACCCTTTCTGATTATTAACAAAAATTACTATTCAGACAAGTCGCAATGCTCCCCGTAACCCTCAGCACAATCCTGTACCCCTTCGCCAAACGGCCCATCTTCCGCCGCTTGCATATCTACCCGCAGTACCTCCTCGGATTCACGCTCGCCTACCCCTCCCTAATCGGCACGCTCGCAATAAAGCCGGAAGGCAACTCACAGTCCCTCTCGGACTCTATAAGCCAAAGTCTTCCTATGTTTGTGACCGTCTTCACCTGGACACTCTACCTAAACACCGCATACAGCTACCAAGACGTCGTCGACGACAAGAAGATGAACGTAAACTCGGCCTATGTCCTGGCTGGCTCTTATATCCATTACTTGCTTATGGTTCTTGCGGTGCTTGTTCTTGGGGCGGTGGGGTGGCAGTTATATGGCCAGGGGTCGCATTGGCTTTGGGGTGGTTGGATGGGGGTTTGGACGTGGTCGTTCTTGGGGCAGTTAGTTAGGTTTGATAAGAGCAGACCGGAGAGTGGGGGGCCGTTACACAAAGAGAATTTTGCGCTGGGAGTTTGGACGGTTTTTGTTTGTGTAGTTGAGTTGCTTATTGGGGAAAATGGCTGTTAGGATTTATCAAGTAGATTGACAGCTGTGTTAGGGCTAGGTTTAAACTTTGGAGAGATGCTGGTAGGTTGACATTATGTTGAATCCGTTTGATCAAACTCGAGAATAATTCAGAAAGCTATCTAAAACTCCAGTCCTATATCGTCGCTCCTCCTTTTAACTCTCAACATCGCCCTCTTATCCCTCCAAATCATCATCCCGTCCGTCTTGGCCCCTGCAAGCTCCCTATCCACGAGTTCAAAATCATACTTGAGCAGAATATGGCACAGCGCAATCTTCGTCTCTGCACCTGCGAAGAACCGTCCAGGGCATGCATGTTTCCCATACCCAAAGCCCATATGGTTGGCGCTGACACTGACAAACGAGAGGCCACCGGATGAAACACCAGTAGCTGCATCCTGGTCACGGAGCTTCACGAAGCGGTATCCGTCAAAGCTTGCAGCCTCGGGATAGATATCTGAATTCCACATGTTGTCAGTTGTTAGACGGGCTTGCGTGCCTTTGAGGACGCGGGTGCCGTCGTTCAGGATAACGGCTTCGCGGGCTATACGCGAGAGGGTGACTACCACAGGTATTAGCATATTGTCTTTACCTATCAAACCATAAAGCAAACTCACAGCTCGCAAGCGGCTCCAGTCTCTGCGTCTCCTTCAAGACGCTATCAAGCAGAATCATCTTTGCTAATGCCGCTTCAGTCCATCCATACTCTTTCACAACAGCCACGATCTCTTCGCGGAGGGGTTTGACGAGCTCGTCGTGCTCACATATTGCAGATAGCACCTTGGTCATCATGTCGCTGGTTGTATGCACAGCTGCATATGCTAGTCGGAGCTGCGTGAGCGTGGGATCGTATTTAACCCCAGTCCTACCGGCAACACCGTCAATCCAAGATAGGGCATCTAGTGATTCCTCTTTCTGTTCACCCTGGTGCATCTTCCTGTGAGTATTCAAAATATTCTCAACAAGTGGTCTAGCACCCCTAACACAAGCCCGTAACGCTCTGCAAGACGGGAGAAACCAGTGTACAATGGGAATAAGGCGGCCGTATTGATGCAGTTCCTTGATCGCGGCCGCTCGGTTTGCGGTGTAGCCCAGAGCAAACTGGATCCAGTCATGGTTGCGACAGAGCTCTTTGCCGACGAATATACGAGCTGTTAGCTGGGCGATGAGGAATTGCATGGACTCGTTCAGCGGGATGGCGTGCCATTCTGGTTTCATACACTTAGTAGCAATTCCCCGCCATTCATGCAGATTAAGGAAGGTACCTGTATCTTCGGACCAATTCTCCTGCAAGAAAATGCCTGTCTCTGTCGAGAGCGGCTCAATCAGCAAGCCAATCTTGCGCGAGAATGCTGATGCAGTGTCCCAGACAATGTCGTTATGGAATGTCCCTGTGAAGAGGGCTTCTAGGCCGGGGACTGTGGTTAGGAAGTCCTGAGTTGTATATTGTTAGTGAATTTTAATTGAGATTAGATTTGCGTAGCCTACTTTCTCCAGTCCATCTCGAAAGCTGAGAAGGTCGTTGTTCCGGATCTCATGGGCATAGCGATTTGGTAGGATCATGGAGTTTCCGAACGTGAGGATTGGAGATTTGGACTATTTCAAATATTATAAGCTTGTATAGTATGAGGAGTGAACATGGTGAGATACCTCTTTTCGGTCCAAAGTAGTTGGATCAAAAGGATAAACCGGCGGAGCAGCCTGAGTCTGTCCCTTCTCTCGCCGCAGATACCAGAGCACCCCAGACAATGAGATTGACAGGATGCCAATAGTCAGGGGAAATGGACTGGTAAGAGAGCTAGAGCTGGTGAAGATGTCAAACATCGTCATTGTTGATTTGGTGATGAGTAGCGCGCCTGATCTGTTAAGCTGGACACAGCCCTAATATAGTCTTCCAGTAGCAACTTGGTACATATATCCAGGCCCAAGGTCGAGAAGGTTTCCTGCATGTACTTCCCTAGGCCATGCTATAGCGAGCCCTCCATTATTACCAAATTTCCAACCTGATCTTTATTTCATTAGTTGCCCTCCGCGGGGTAAACAGACCCTTGTTAGTGCCTTGTTCTGTCCCTGCAATCTACCCAACTAAGTCTGGCCAGGTGGAAACTCCAACTTAGTGCTTATACTGGGCAATCCAAGTAATTTAAATTACATGGCCGTACTACAATATCTACTTCCCTGTATCCGACGCGCCGGTTAGCGACTGGCGTAGACAAATATACAGCTATCACTTAATATGCCAAGTACTGCACCGTAATAATAATCATCATCATGCCGTTAGGGAAGGCGGGCTTTGTATCTAAGGAATATAAAGGGAAAAATGAGGATTAATGCAGGGGTGAGGAAGGGGCGATGGACTCAGTGCTCTATTGCATTTCTATCAAATCTCCAGAGCTTCACCACACAATTACCAGCATATTCTACTCATCATTCATTATTATTCCGTTTTCTAAACACAACTTATTTTGAACTATCTTCTAGCAGAATCAAATCAACCCGATGTATAGGGTCCGCAGCATGGAATCCACAGCCACCTCCTCGCCCTCCTCCTCGCTCATTGTCCACCCCAACAACTTCAGAGTAATCATTGTCGGCGGCTCCATTGCAGGCCTGACCCTCGCGCACTGCCTCTCCAAGATAGGCGTTGACTACGTCATTCTAGAAAAGAGACAGCAGATCGCTCCGCAAGAGGGCGCGTCAATCGGAATCCTACCTCACGGTGGACGAATCTTAGACCAATTGGGACTGTTTAATGCGATTCAGAGGAATGTTGAGCCGTTGACTACGGCTCATATTTCGTATCCTGATGGCTTCACCCATACGAATCAGTCGCCAACTGTAATCCATGAGCGGTATGTCGCTGTCCGTCTGCTGTGTGGATATCTGGCGGTCAGCTAATACTACGAGAAAGATTTGGACTGCCGCTGGCGTTTTTGGAGAGGCGGAAGCTGCTTCAGATCTTGTACTGGTCTCTGCCTGATACTTCCCGCGTGCATGTTGGGAAGACGGTCGTTGCTGTTGACCATATCTGGGGAGACAGTGGTATGGCTGTACGGACTCGAGATGGAGCCACCTTCTATGGTGATATTGTCGTCGGAGCAGATGGCGTGCACAGCCGAGTGCGCCGTGAGATGTGGCGACTTGCTGAAATAGACCTTCCAGGTTCTATAACTGAGCAAGAGAAAGATGGTCTGTCTGTCATGCCTCTATCATGGAGTGTAAAGGTGGCTAACATGTATAGGCATGACGGTTGACTACATCTGTATCTTTGGCATATCAGCTTCAGTTCCTGTTCTTCGCCCTGGAGAGCAAGTGGCAAGCTTGCACGATGGACGGTCATTCCTCATATTCCCAGGCAAAGATGGTCGGGTGTTTTGGTTCCTTCTCAATAAGCTCGACAGGCGATACACGTATACATCTGCTCCGCGATGGACCGCTGTTGATATTGACACAATAGCAGAAAGCTTCATTTCAGACCACATCTGGAATGGAGTTAACTTTGGCGGTCTCTGGGAGCGAAGAGAAGTCACTGGTATCACAAACCTTGAAGAAAACGTCTTCTCCACATGGCACTCAGGCCGGATTGTCTGCATTGGCGATAGCATGCACAAGGTATATAACTCTCTCTCTAAGCATTAACAACCAGCTAACAGTATCGGCAGATGGCACCCAATACAGGGCAGGGAGCAAACTGCGCGATTGAAGACGCTGCAGCACTTGCCAACGCAATCCACAGTGCCATCGAACACGTCGACCGCCCTTCCATGGCTGAAGTCCAATCCTTTCTCCGCTCGTTTAATGAATCCCGGCTCCCCAGGGTGCAGGAAATCTACAAGTCCGCCTCGGTGGTAGTGCGTCTGCATGCGCGCGAGAACCTGGCTTTGAGACTTGTTGGTCGGTATTACTTGCCGTATTCCGGTGACTTGCCAGCAAACACAGCATCGAAGCTGATTGCTGACGGAGTCCAATTGTCGTTTTTGGCCCCATCGTTGTATTCAGGGCCTGGGTGGGAGAAGTATAGCATGAAAAGAGGCGTCGCCAAGAGCACAGTACTCTGGACTAGCTTGGGGATCCTTGGCCTTGTTGTATTTCTGTTCCTGTTATTCCGGGTACGGACCAGATTCTCCTCGTTCTGAGGTGATATTGTACGCTGCAGGGTATTTTTGCTTTAGCCTGTGTTCAGGGTCTGATTCTATACAGGTGTATCTAGCGATCTAGATTTAGTGTAGAATACCAAGTTGGAGGCCTTGGTATATTTTAGCTTATTATTTTAGACACGGCCGGCCTTCCGTCGTCCCAAATGAGGCGTATTGTGCGCTGTGAATAATAATACTCGTTCCTTAAGACGGGGATGATATTCCTTAAGGATCTTGGAAGAACCTCCTCCAAGAGGACCAAAACACAGTAATATGAGTACCTCAACAGTAATACTAAATCCTATTGGAGTAATAATTCATTACACAGTAGCAATTGGGCAAGCAAGATCAATCTCCTCCGTCCTCCTCCTCACGCCAATGCCACACCACACATTCGCATACTGCGCCGCCCCATGTTCAATAATATCCGGTTTCTGATCATCCAGTAGCTTCAAATCATACTTGAGCACCACATGCGCAAGGAGCACTTTAGCCGTAGTCGCCGCAAAGAATCTCCCCGGGCACGCATGCATCCCGTGTCCAAAACCAAGGTGGTTGTTACTGGTCGATACAAGCTGCGTCCAGTTTTCTTGGCCTGGCTTTTGCCGCAGCTTCAGGAATCTGTACCCGTCGAATTCAGCGGCGTTGGCGTGCACGGCATCAGTCCACATGTTGTGGCAGGATACTAGGGTTCGGGTGTTTGGGGGGACTTGCAGGCCGTCGGTGAACGTTACAGGGGAGGTTGTGGTGCGGACCATTGTACCTGAAGCAGGATCTATCATTAACAAATTGGAATAATGAAGAGAAAATGATTAGGAACATACCAATAGAAATCGGCTTCAAACGCTGCGTCTCTTTCAACACACTATCCATCAATTTCAGCTGATATATCGCCGTCTTTACCCAGCCTTGCTGGCCAATCACCGAGATGACCTCTTTGCGGAGATCCTCTACTAACTCCGGCCGACTGCATAGATTGAAAATAGCCTGGCTGACGAGGTCAGATGTGGTGTGGATAGACGCAAGCGAGACTTTCATCTGCAGGAGCGCAGGGTCGTATAGCGCGCCGTTGGCTGTTTGTTCGGCCCATTCGATCATGTCGCCTGGTGTTTCCTCGTCTTCGGTCTCGTCCTCTTTTTTCTCCTTCTCTGAAATATTCTCTGGGGATTTTTGGGCTTGTTGTGCGCGTCTAGCCCGTCTCTCTTTCAGCACAGGGGCAATGATACCCCTCGCCTCCTCAGCCTCAGCACGAAGCTTCCTACACAGAGGCAAGAACTTGGCCGCAAGAGGCCGGAGAGGGTGAGGCCATACTTTCAGCGACTCGGCTGCTTCGAAGAATGTCACCGTATGGTTCACCGTAATGCGCAGCCAGTCTGGGTTGCGGCAGAGTGGGAACCCTTGGAAGACTCGAGATGATTGCTGGGAGATTGTGCGGAGGATGCTTTGGTGCAGAGGGAGGGCGTGCCACTCTATAATACATTTATCAAAAACTGGAGTTGGAGCTAGGAATGGTTTGGATATTCAGATACCTGTATTGTCGGTCCACTGCTTCTGCAGGCCGTCGGCAGCTTCTTGGGATATGGGCTCGACGAACTTGCCTAGTTTACTTTGATATCAGCATCTCTATCACGGCAAGAAACATCCAAGGTGAGAAATTCAGCTTACCAATCGCCCTCGTCAGCTTATTCCTCACAGTCTCAACAAAGACCCGCTCCAGGACATGATCGTCCTCAAACATCTCAAAGCCCGCTATCGTCCCGTGGAACATATCTTCGTTATACTTGCCTATATCGAACCGCTTGTCATTGCGCACTTCAGCCGCGTACTTGGAGTTGAGGATCAATTCGACGTCTGTATCCGTCATTATATAGAAGGCATCCGGATGCTGCGCGAATGCAGACTTGAAGAGATCTCGCGCCCCGGCCTGGAAGCGCTTTCTTGCGCCTGTCCAGAGCAGCTCGGATCTTCCTCTGTCATTGAATATCCGCTCTCCTTTGACGCGCAGGTAGGGAGAGAGAATGGTGTAGGCTGTCCATGTTATGCTTAGTACTAGGCTCAAGCCGATGAGAAGCACAATTTGATGAAAGATGCTGACGCCTTGAAGTTGAAGCTGGATCTGGGTTTGCAGCATCTTTCTTCGTAGAGTAGCCTAATTCGAGTCCTTCTGTACTGGTATTTGTATATCTGAACGGCTTCAAGGGATCGTTGTGCCCAAGGTCAGAGCCGTCTTACTTGTAGGCTAGAGTATGATGATTTGTACGTATGGCTTGTAAGATAAAAGTACCATATACAGTAGGAACCAGATGCATGCTATATTACAGCGCTGGTGGGGACATGCTAAGAAGGGCTATGCACGCAGTGCAGGGCATCCTGCAAGGCGATATTACCCGGATAACGGATAGTATATCCGCTATATCCTCCGTTTCAAATGCAGTTATTATTATTCCTTGATTCTGTACTAAATCCATTTTGCTGATAGTAAGCACTACATTAGTGTATGCACTATCGGGAGCCCGTGGGCTAGACATGTTTATCGGGGTAGATACAGATATTATGGATTAAGAGCTGTAAAGATAGTTTAAGAGCATAACTACATACATTATTCTGTAATGATTCCCTATTTTTTACTTGATAATTCTTTCTAGCACCGCCAGTCCATCATGCCCTCCTCAATCCCTTCTCTCATTGTCTGCGGCTCCCAAACAATTCCTCCCTCACGGGATACTCTCGATAATCTTGCCTCTTACCTGACGAAAAGCCCAAATCCAGAATTACAGGCCGTACGGGAGGTAGTATTAGCTCTTCCGGAGCTGTTGGCTATACTGAAAGCTACCCAGCCCCAGTTTCAGGAACTATCAGATGAGCCTATTATCAGTTTGAGGGATTGGTTTCTGCATCATGATACCGACAGTGAGGATGGGAATGATAGTTGCAGTCTGTCATATCTCAAGATACATGAGACGCTGCCTAATATCCTCCTCGCTCCGTTGACGGTCATAATACACATTGCACAGTATTCCCAGTATCTTGACGGTCTCGGCTTAGATGATAGTCATGATGCCCATGCCCACATACGGCAGTCTACTACTTCTCAGAATACAACAGACATAGGACCAAAATTTCAAGGCCTCTGCATCGGCTCGCTAAGTTCTGCGGCGCTTGATGCCTCGCCAACGCGGACGGTACTCGCGCGGAATGCTACAGCTGCTCTGAAGCTTGCACTGTGTATTGGGGCTTATGTTGATTCTCAAAGACTGGCTGGTTCTGGTTCCAACTTCTGTTCTGAAATGGTATGCTTTATTGCTCGGTGGGGAGAGGACTGTAGTAGAAAAATGGTGGAGGGGATGTTGAGTCGGTATTCTGAGGTATGTTCTATGCGTGCTTATATGCAAGCTTTGATATGTTTATGCTAAGCAAGGTTATCCTTAGGCCTACATATCAGTTGAACTGAGCTATAACAGCATTACCATCACGGTACCAAGCGGCGACATGCCCTCTCTCCAAGAAGACTTGAGAAGAGAAGGCGTGCGAGTGGCAAGTGTCCCAGTTAATGGGCGGTATCACAACAAGAATAATAATTTGTCTCTACAAAGTCTACTACAATTATGCTCCTCTGATCCTTCTGGTCCATTCTGGGTTCCATGGGGGCAGGATAGACTAGAAAGCTGCCTGCGGTCAATACTTACGGAGCCGGCGAGGTGGTTCTCGGATATGTCGAAAACAATCAATTCATTTACACCGTCAGCACAGATTCCTATAACGACTTTGGAGCTAGGACTTGTGGGTTGCATTCCCCCACCACTGGCTGCGCTGCCGCATCACCATATCATCCGTGGATCACTGTCCCCGTCCACTCAACCTTACACCTACCCAGATACCTCAATTGCCATTATCGGGGCAGCATGCAAATACCCTGGCGCGAACAGTCTAGATCAGCTGTGGAAGATCATTGCGACAGGGCAGACAATGTACGGCGAAGCTCCTCCTGGCCGATTCGGAAAAGAGACTGTGACTGGCAACTTCCTCTCCGACGCTGATCAGTTCGATTATGGCCTTTTTGGAATATCTCCGCGCGAGGCCACGTACATGGATCCCCAGCAACGCATTGCTCTGCAGGTCGCTTACCAGGCTGTTGAATCGAGTGGGTATTTCGGCAGCTCTAATTCAGACGGCGACGTTGGGTGCTATATTGGCGTTGGAAACTCCGACTATGAATATAATGTACACTCCAACACGCCGACAGCATACTCATTTACAGGGACGTCACGGGCCTTTATCAGTGGTCGAGTCAGCCACTACTTCAAATGGACAGGCCCTTCTATCACGATCGACACTGCCTGTTCCTCATCCGCGGCAGCAATCCATCAAGCCTGCAGCGGTATCATTTTGGGGGACTGCTCTGTTGCACTAGCTGGAGGGGTGAATATCATGTCGAGCTTCCCTGCAGACCAGAATATTGCAGCCGCGGGGATGACGAACTCAACTGGACCATGTCGGCCATTTGATGCAGATGCGGCTGGTTACTCTCGCAGCGAGGGATGCGGGTTCATCGTGCTGAAGCGTCTCGCCGACGCTCTTTCTCAAGGCGATCATGTTCTTGGTGTTGTTGTGGCAACGGCGACGAATCAGTCAGACGGGAGTAGTCCTATTACTGTTCCTGTCTTGCGGTCCCAAAGTGATCTATACAGACGCATTTTATCCCGGGCCTCTATGAACGCATCAGATGTCTCGTATATCGAGGCTCATGGCACTGGGACGCAGCGAGGAGACCCAATTGAATATCAAAGTGCTAGGGAGGTCTTCGGTGGCAGTGGGAGATACCAGGCAAATAGTCATAAATGCTATATTGGCTCCGTTAAGGCCAATATCGGGCATACGGAGGCTGCGTCAGGGGTAGCCGGGGTTTTGAAGGTCTTGTTGATGCTCAAGCATGGCCAGATCCCACCACAGGCAAGCTTTAATAGTCTGAATCCCGCGATTCCACCTTCAGAGTCTCGTCAGATATCAATCGCCACACAGCCGGATCAGTGGAAAAGAAACTTCCGAGCAGCGTGTGTCAATAACTATGGGGCAGCTGGCAATAATACTGCCATTCTTATCTGCCAATATCAACCAAAAACGCTGCCCTCCTCTACAGATACGACGCAAACCCTAACTCGCTACCCCTTTCTTATAACCGCGCAGTCCCAGGCTAGTCTGAAAAGATACTGTCTTGCTCTTGCTCAATATATTGAGACAAATTCAAAGTCTCTCTCGCTGGCTGCGATTTCCTCCATTGTTGCGCAGCAGCAGAATCGCAACTTACGCCACCGTATAGCTTTCTGCGCAAGGTCACTGCCAGAACTACGGGATCTCTTAACATTTCACGGCCAAGCTGCCGAGAATACTTCGGTACTTCTATCGCCATCTCCCAGAAAACAAGTAAAGCCCATTGTCCTGGTCTTCGGCGGCCAGACCGGCTCGAATCTCCGCTTCAGCAAAGCAGTGTACGACTCGTCTTACTATCTCCGTCAGAACATGGACAAGTGTGATTCGCTTATCCGAAGGATGGGGTTGCCCAGCTTGTTCCCTGATATATACAGTCAAGAGCCCGTTGAAGACATAGTAAAGCTCCATAGTTGTCTGTTTTCGGTGCAGTATGCCTGCGCTAAAGCCTGGCTAGACGCAGGGCTTTCAGTCCACAGGGTTATCGGTCATAGTTTTGGACAGCTAACCGCGATGTGTATTTCTGGCGTTTTCACTCTCGAAGACGCATTAAGACTTGTTGTCGGACGGGCGAATCTAATCAGGGACTGCTGGGGAGACGAGAAGGGCTCTATGCTCTCCGTCCAGGTTGACAGAGCCGGTGCAGAAGCCCTGGCGTGGTCAGAATCAAACCTAGGAGACGACTCTATAGAGGTTGCTTGTTACAACGGACCAAACAGCCATGTTCTCGTGGGCAGCGAGCTGGCCATCTCCAACGTAGAGAGAAGAGCATCAACCGCATCACTGGCCACCAAAAGACTCAAAACCACCCACGGCTTTCACTCTAAACTTTTTGACACCCTCATGGAGCAGTATTCCGACCTAGCCTATACTGTTTCTTACCATGTCCCCGTTATCCCCATTGAGACCTGCTCTGAAACTGCCTCCTGGAAGATATTCACTCCACAGCTGGTGACCGAGCATTCACGCAGGCCAGTCTATTTCTGCGATGCGGTACTCAGGGTAGAGCGAGATCTTGGGCCATGTATCTGGCTAGAAGCAGGCTCTGGCTCTGGGGCAGTTATGCTAGCGAAGCAATCGCTAACCAGCAAGTCGAACTATATTTGCGGACTGCAGCTGGGGTCACCAAAAAGCACAAATCCATTGGATTCGGTTGTCGATACGACATTGGAGCTATGGAACCAGGGATCATCTATCCAATGCTGGGCGTATAATCCCAGAAACCTGGTTCATCCTAGTAATTTCCCAGGTCTTCCAAGGTACCAGTTTGATACAAGTCCACATTGGCTCCCCTGTGCCACTACGGATCATAACAAAGGCAAAGGCCTATCACAAGAAATCGACGGGTTAATCTCGCTGGAACGTCTCTCACACCCGGAACCCCATGTCTTCATGTTCGAACTTGATCAGAAAGACGGGACCCTTGCACATATCCTCAGAGGGCGCGAGGTTCTGGGCGGAACTCTCTGGCCGCTTGCGCTGTACATTAAATTGGTTTCTCAAGCGGCCACTCTCCTAACATCTAGCATTCCCTCAGCATCCCGTCTTATACGGTTCGCCGGGTTGGAAATCAAAACACCTCTTGGCTCTAAGTTATTAAATGGTCTTTGCTTGCGCTTGAAGCAGGTCGAAGCATGGAGCTGGGCGTTTTCTCTCGAGAGTGATTGCGCGCAGCATGCCACAGGAACTGTCATCGTGGACGAGCGTACCAGTAGGACCCCATACCATCTTTCCAGTCTCCCAGATTTTGCTACCACCACCGCCGTCTTCTCAGCGCCTGGAGGCGTGGCTTATAAGCTTCTCGAAAAGGTAGCAGAATACGACACTGCATACCGCGGCCTCGAGTCGATTAGCATGAACGAAGATACAGCCATTGCCCGAGTCCACCTTCCGTCAGCAGCGGGAAATTCAAGATTTGTCGGCAACACCCTTACTCTCGACCAGTTTCTTGTAGTTGCTGAGATCCACGCCCTGAGTATGGAAGACTCTAAACGTTCCGAGGTCTTTGCCTGCTCTGGCTTTGGCGAAGCAACTATTTCAGCAAATTTCAAGGGAGCAACAGAAAGAGACCGCAGTCAAACCTGGCAAGTCTATACCAGACAGTCGGATAAGCGGGGTCGAGAATTCTTTTACGATACCTTTGTGTATGAGGCCGGTGAAGGCGAGGAATCTGGGTCTCTAGCTTTAGCCCTAACCGGTGCGAGGTTCATCAGGACTTCAACGAGCGCGCTTCAACAGGTTGTTGAACCAGCCAATACTGTATCAAAATCTCCTGGGGCTGAGGAAATTGCTCCCAGTCCGGACTTTTTGCAATTTCAAGAGGGATCCGCTAATGTCTGGTCACTCACTGTGAGTTTACTGCACGAGCTTACGGGATATGCTCTAGAGGAAATCTCGCCTCAGATGATCCTGGCAGATATGGGAATGGACTCTCTAGCTATTATGGAGATCGAAGCCAGGATCAGGGAAGTATTTAAGGTGGATATCCGCATCAGCCCCGTCGATATGGGGAGCACTATCGAGACAATCTGCGAGAGAATTACAGCACAGACAAGCCCGAGCCATGGACTGGTTAATGTTGTTGGCAATTGGACCTCGAACACGACTTCATCTTCATCTCAGTGTACCCCTTCTTCCTCTTTCGAATCTGACAGCGATACTCAGGCTACGGAACTGGGTCTAGGCGCTCCAACCATGGAAAAGGTAGCTAGGATAGTGGCCACCCATGTGGGCAGTGGGGAGGCCGTACTGTCCAGCTCGCGACTTCACAGTCTTGGCCTTGACTCTCTGGCTGTCTTGGAGTTGCAGTCGGATCTTCATGTTAGTTTTGGGGTAAGAGTTCATTTGATGCAGCTTGATTACAGCCTGACAATCAGTGATTTGCATGCGTTGGTGCTGCGTCGTGGCTTGCGTGAGAATATATATAACGGGGCTGTCTAGAATTTATACCTAGTTATTTCGGTAAAGGCATCTCCTATTCTTAAACTTTTTGATTTTAGAGCAATGACTCCTCAAATATATTTATGTATTCCACCATAGAGCCACGCCCTCATGCCCATGGCCATCAGGCATTTAATTAACTACAATCATCACATCCAATCCTCTTTTCCAAAGAACCAGGAAAAAAAAAAAAAAAAAAAAAAAAAGGACAGCTCAATCACCTCAACACACCTCCAACGCCAGCCCACCCAAGAACAAACCCACTAAGCGCCTCCCCAAACACGCCACCGCCAAACCACACATCCCTCCAAGCACCCTTCCTCAACCCAGTCCCCGCATCCTTAACAACGCCATCCTTCCTCACAACAAGTCCGTCAATTTCTCCTCCAGACCCGGGGTAGAACCCGCCTGCGCCTTTCCCATTCGACCGGTACAGCAAGACAAGATGGAATAGTCCCGAGACGATGATCGTGCCGATGAAGTAGAAGATGAAGCCGGTGGCGGATTGGAGGGCGAGGATTCCGGCTGTCAGGCCGAGGAGGAAGGATGTTAGGGAGTGGAGTTGGTTTAGGACCTGGTTGTCTTTGTTAGCTTTGACAGGTTTCTGTTGGAGTGGGACGTTGGGGGAGTGTGGGTTGACTGACTCGGTTGTTGTGTTGGACGGATTCGGGGACGAGGGGGTTGATGAGAAGGGAAATTTCTTGGTTCGTTGGCGGCATTTTGATATTGTATGTTTCCTTCCGGAGGGATTGGGGTGTGGAATCGGGGCTTGAATGGATTGGTTGCACGGATTATGGCGGCGCTCGGAGGTGAAGTTATTCGGTGATTCTGCCGTGGAACTCCGCCTTCGAGGAGAGCCTCCAATTCTGGTGAACAACAGTAGAGAAATCAAGGGAAGAAATTAAGTGAAGAAATCTTGTACAGTCATATTGGTTACTATAGTACTCAACCATTACATGCGCGTCGTCGTAATTATTTGGGCAACACCCTGCTTGAGACACAACCGGGTCTCTCAAGCTCATGTCCTCCCGCTCATCACATCACATCCATCGAACAGTACATACAATATAATCAGCTCTCAGGCTTCCACTGGCTGGCCAGCAGGTGTCCGGCCCGGACGCAGCTGGGCACTTCTCGTCCAAGATCGTTTCTAGGAAATAATCGAATCCTGGCACTTATGCCCCAAGCCGATCTAACGAAATTAATGCAGCAGAGAGAATCGAACTAAATGAATAGAGCGGAATGTCCAACGCAAAAAAAAAAAAAAAAAAAAAAANATATCATGCTGCAGCATTTTCAAGTTTTCCTTCAGCTTTGGCTTCTCTGACCTGCTCGAAGACCTGCAAATCCAGTTAGTTCATAAGAAACTACAAACTCATATATAAAAAAAAATCTCACCTTCAGCATCTTGTTTCTAGCACCAAGCGCATTCACACCGCGCTCTTCTAGCTGCTTGTCGCTCAATTCAACCAATTCACCCCACTGCAAATCCTTCAGGTTGTCTGTGTACTTATGTAACCGCAGGGATCGCAGCCAGCTGGGAATGTCCTTGAGAAGGTTGGGGTCCGTAGGGTCCTCTGGAGGCTTCGAGCTACCCCGACGACCGCGTGGGGAACGACCGCGGGCGACCTCAGAGTGGTCAGAGAGATAACCCTCATGGCCACCGAGCCCAAACTGTCCCATGCCAATCGCACCCAGTCCATTACCCATAAGAGGGTTGTTGGGGTCGTAAGCAGTCAAGAACCCGTTGTTCTGCGGGGAGGTGAATCCCATAGGCCCTAAGTTGCCGCCCTGCATAGCAATTCCGGGCGATGTTGGGCGGGACCGGCGGCCTGCCATCGCTGCCTGTTGCTGTGCTTGAAGGGCGGCGAACTGCTGGGGGTTCAAAAACTGGCCAGAAACGAGGTTGTTCCCGCCAGGTGGTAGACCGGGGCTTTGCAGACCACCTTGTGGAATAGAGTGCTGCGCATTGGCGCTCTGGGTGTTCTTTCCTTGGCCATCATTGGACCTAGCGCGACGGTACTTGCGAGCATCGTCCAGTGCAATACGGTTGTTTACAGTCGAGAGCGCGGCCAGCTTCATCGCCGTGGCATTGGCCACCATATCAGCCTGAGATCCTTGCTGATGAGGAGCCCCAAGCTGCTGCCCAAAAGTTGCAGTCATCGGAGTGTTGGTCATGGAAGCCCAGCTGGCATTTCCAACGTTGTATGGCGACAGCAACGGAGCCTCAATTTCGGGGGCGGGAATGGTTGCGGTTTGCGTCGTGGGTAGGGGCGAACGCAGGCCAGACTGGCTGAACTGTCCCATGGGCTGTTGTCCAGATGATGACTTGGGCCGAGCGATTGGTGGCTGGGGCTCCGACGCGCCGCGTTGAGCCCACGGTGACACCGGTGGCTGGCCAAGGTTGTCCGCATTGCTATCGGGAGCGGAGATAGTGGGCGCAACGAATGATGTCCGCTCATTGAAAACTGCACTGTTCCTGTTAGAGGGGGGTGCATTGCCCGTTTGTTGAGTGAATTCGGCCTTCTTTTTCGCAATAGCAGCGGCTGCGTCGGGGAACATGGCGTTGATTGTGGACGAGTCAAGACCAGAGTTACGCTTGGCGCCAGGCGAAGGTGGAGGGCGGCCCAGGGAGTTTCGAGAGCCCTCAACGTTGAGCTTAGACATGGCATCGTTCAAACGGTTGGACATGGCATCTATGTGTGGGTTCAAATTAGATATCAACCAAAAATATATAATACCTGCTGCGAAGAAAACATACCCTTTTCTCCAAAGTTTGCGGGGGACAGCAAACCCGACATGGGGTGACTCTTGGCCATCTGCTGCAGAACTTGGATGAAGAAACGAATCTGCACCTGTGTGGTCTGCTGCAGTAGAGCATACAATGCAGCAGTTCGCTCGGCCTCGCTCAACACACGGAACCACTGTTCGATGGCGCTGAGCTCGTCCTTGAAATCCTGGTCTAGCGTTGCGGCAGCCATCTCCTCTAAGGTGGTTTCATATTGATCAATATCAGCCAACCACTGTTGTGCTGCTCGGTCAAGAGGATCTTCTGTGTTGCTCGGCGTCTGAGCCTGCTGGTTAAAGTATACCTCGGACGCAGGGCGGATGCTGCGGGAGGAGAGGGGGGACGGAAAGCCCGACATGTCGGCGGATGCCCGAAGCTGATGAGTAGCCAGATTTCGAGACGACGAAGGCGGTCGAAGAGAAGATTTCGAGGCTTCTGGAGTGCTGTTGCGGTTACCGATTATATGACTAGCCATGAGGGAGGCGTGGGAGATGACGGTTCAGGTCAACTCGACGGGGCGATAATGGTTTGGTGGGGCTTTTGTGTACGAGGGTCCGGTGAATAATAGATACAGAAAAGATAGTTATTACTGCAAAGCACCTGCAGCACCTGCTGAGTTTGCGTGTATTTGTCGAAGCCTTGATCGGAACGACTCTGGAGCCGGATTAGAGCGCGAGTACTAATATTAAGAATGAAGACGAAACGATCTCGCTAAAGGAAATCGCTAGCGTTGCTTTTGTCGGGAACTCGAAGTGCTAGAAACCTAAACGTAGTGTATTAGGCGATGTCGATTGAGGCACAGGCCAGTCCAGTGGCTGCACTACCTGACTCGGATTCTGAAAGAGAAATCGAATCGAAAGGGCATCAAAGGAGTTGTCAGACTGAAGAGAGCGGAGGAACAAAGAGAGTGCTTCGACGGAAATCGTAAAAAGACGTCTGCGACGAGGGTCCACGGCGGTTACTCGTAAAAGCGTGAAATGTTTTTCTCTGTCCTTCCAGACCTGCTTTCTTGTTCTCGAGTCGCTTTTGCCGTAACGAAAGGATGCTGAGAAGCACTGCAACAGTGTGTCAAACACAGATTGACAGCGAAGCCTCGAGCATCAACCAAAAAGGGGGAGACCAGACGAAGAAGAGAGGGGGTGGGGGGCGAAAGGAGAGTAAGAAAAAGAGGAGAGAAGACGATGAGGTGGGAAACAGAGGGGGTGCTGAAGAGAAGGAGAAGCGAAGAAGAGTCTCGCCAGTCGAGCAGAATCAAGATTGACTCCTCGAGCCGAGACTAAAAGACTAAATTTAACAAACCGAACAAATTTCCCGAACAGTGTGGATAAAAGGCTTATGCCGGTCGTTAGTCAGACTATGCACGCGCTTGTCCGCATTGGGCACCGGGGTCACTGGACCTCAAGAACTTCTTGATCTCCCTCACAACGTCGCAAGGTTCCTTCTTCATTCCGCTTCCATCACTCTTCTCGCGCAAATCAGGGACCTCTTCTACTTTTTCTTCCAGGACCATGCACTAGTCGGATACCCAGTGCCCAGTCGCCCGATCCTGGTGCGCAATATCGTCGTCCAATGATGATCGCTGGAGTATGATAACAAACCAAAATGGATTACTTCGATGAGGATGACCCCAACCACAATGCTGGTTCAGGGGAGATCGCCTATCCCGACATCGATGAAACAATCCAATACCCGTGGCAGGGGAGTCAACCGCTTGCCCCAACGGACACCTCGGTCATAGATCCTCGGTTATACAGAGGTCTTTTCTCAGGGAACGACTCCCAGGCGCCTGCGCAAATTGATGAGGAGCAATCAGCAGTCGATGACAGTTTTTTAGGGCTGGATAACACCAAATCAGACTCTTCTTTTGAAGAGTCCTCCGAAGATGAATCGTTAGTACTGCGCGTCAAAGTTATCTCGTTAAATTACAGCTAACCATTGCAGGGAAGAGGAGTCATCGAGTGCTCACAGCCAAGGCTCAGATGATGAAGAAGGGTCTTCACGTCGGCGTCGACGGCGCGGAGGTCGGTTCTCTGGTCGGTATGGTGCTCGTGGTGGTAAAGGGGTCAGGAGAGGTCCCCGTAAGCCAGTAGAGCCCAGCCCGGAGTTTAAAATGCTGCACTCTGAGGCAACATCTGCTTTCATTGATGGAGATTACGATCGTGCTATCGACTCAGTTAGACGCGCAATTCAGATCAATCCTGAGATGTTTGCTGCCCATTCCTTGCTATCGGAAATTTTCTTGGCCCAGGGTCACAAGGATAAGGCAGTGACAGCACTGTTTAGTGGTGCTCACACCCGACCAAGGGATACGTCTGTATGGTTGAAGGTGGCAAAGATGATAATGGAGCAGGTAGGCGATGATCGAGAGGCTGCGCTGAACGACGTCCTCTACTGCTATAGTCGTGTGCTTGATATCGACCCACAGAACCACAATACCCGCTTCCAGAGGGCCGCGCTCTATCGGGGCCTGAGTTACAATGGGAGAGCTGTAACTGAGTATGAGAGAATTCTTAGGGATATTCCACACAACGTAAGGGCGCTTCGGCTCCTTACCGACACTCTCACCGAGCAAAATCAATATCAGAAAGCGCTGGAACATTGGTCAGAGAGTCTGCAACATTATATGACACAGGATCCTGAGAAAACCCCGGAATTCACCTGGTCTGATGCCAATATATATGTCGAGCTCTATACCTACCTGGGTCGACAACTTGAAGGGCTCAAGGCTGCGAAATCGGTCTCTCGTTGGCTCTTGGGCCGCAAAGACGACACAATGTGGGACGATTTCGATGAGGATGATCGCGAGTGGGATGATAATGACTCCCCTCGAAGAATCAAAGCAGATGGATATATTCCAAAACGCTGGCCGCTAGAGTCATACGGCCCAGGTTTGCCGTTAGAATTCCGTACCAAGATGGGCCTTTTTCGTTTGAAGCTAGGCGATCGGCACGTTAATGAAGCTCTTGTAAGGCTTAAAATATCCATCTTCTGCCTTTTCTAACTTCTATGCAGCATCACTTCCAGTGGTTAAAGCCAGAAGATACTTCAGAAGGCGCCTTGATTTACGATTATGGTGACCTTTTTCGTGAAGCTGCCGATGGGCTTAAGGAGGCCGAGATGTTCGATGAGGCCCTTCGGTTCTATAGACCTGTCCAGCATACTGAGCACGCGGATGTCAGCTTCTTCATGGCCATGGGAGATTGCTACAGGGCCCTAGGTGAATTAGAAGACGCAGAGAATTGTTACCTGACCGTTTCAGATCATGATAAAAGCAATATCGAATCTCGAGCCCAACTTGCCAAGCTTTACGAGAGTATCGGCATGTCTGAGCAGGCTCTCAAATATGTCAACGATGCTCTTCTCTTGGGAAGGCAGGAGACTAGGAGTCATCGCCGACGGAAGGACACCCGCCTAGAAGAACTTGCAAGGGAGTTCAGGTCGGCGGATCTAGCAGGTGAACCTGGAAGGCTAGATCAAGGTGGCTCTATTGCTGCTAGTCGTACAGACGTCCTTGGCGAGGGTGAGATGGTGAGGACAGAAAATATACAGTTTCTCTACAAGAAATTACTCCAGCTGGAGCCCAGGGCTCAAGCTGGGAATGCCGAAGCCACCGAAGATTGGTTAGATATTGCAGACGCTCTACTACGTGAATTTCGTTCCAATAGGGCTTTTTACCCTGTTCAACGCAGTGTGGCTTTTCTTGGTTACATTAGCAAGACGGGTAAAAACCCCCTAATGGATGAAATGCAAGAAATGGCCAGCCGTCTTCAAGAGACATTAGGTGCGATTGTCTCCAAATTATATGCTTTATAAAACTCAGCTAATGATCACATAGGCGTCACTGAAGAGCCTTTGCAGTCTACAATCCCCACGGATTACCATGGCATCACTTTCGACGCATGGCTAGACTTATTCTTGCAATATGCTCTTGTGGTAGCAGGTCAGAACGAGGCTGAAGAGGCCTATGACACTCTAGGCGCCGCTGCGGACGCGAGCATCTGGTACCATTCAAAGGACAGCACCCGATTGATCCATGTCTGTTGGTTCAGTGAGTAGTAGCCCTTGCCATCTCCTAGCTAGGAAGTAACTGACTAACATATAACAGCTTGTGCACTCCGAGCGCAGGACGAAGAGACTCTCGCAAATGAAGCACGCTGGTTCATCAAAGAGTATCAGTTTGTGACAGATACATACCGCCTGTTTGCCATGCTTAGTTGTCTCAGCGGAGACCCTCGTAGGTCTATTTTCCATTCCTCGCCATTGATGAAGTTTATGCTCCGCCAAATCAAAGCCATCGACTTCACGCTCCCGGACAATATCACCGGGACGCGTCCAAACAAAGGCGTTCGAGAATCAATATACAAAGAGCGAGCAGCGCTGTCAACTAAAGACGACACGGGTGAAGCGATTCCAGCTGAGGAGATGGATGTAGCACTCTTGGTGCTTTACGGCCACATCCTTTACTCAGGAAACAGCTTCTACCCAGCGCTGAACTATTTCTTCCGTGCATACGCCCTCGACGATCAGAACCCGGCCGTCCTTCTCTCCATCGGCCTCTGTTACATCAACCACTCAATGAAGCGGCAATCCGAAAACCGGCACTATCAAATCATGCAAGGCCTCTCCTTCATGCATGAATACAAACGCATCCGCGAACGCCAGGGTACTCTACTTGTCGAAAAGCAAGAGATGGAATTCAATTTCGCCCGCGTCTGGCATACACTGGGCCTCGCACATCTCGCAGAAGAAGGCTACAAACGCGTCCTCGACCTCGGCAAGGAAATCCAAGCTCAGTCTCGAGGCCAAGTACCTCCTCCGACCACGAACGACAAGAACAACGACAAAGACACCCCTATGCTCGATGTTGACGTCGATCCGGCTATCATCGGAGTGGCGGAGACAACTCCTTCATCCTTCGTGGAGGACTTCTCGCGCGAAGCTGCAGTCGCCCTGCAAAACCTATACGCACTCAATGGCGACTTCCAATCAGCACGAGCCATCACGTCGACTTGGCTCGTGATCTGAGGACTACGTAACTACTAAACTTAGTTACCTTTCAACGCTCGATGAAACGAAATCGCAGCCAGTGCTGATACTTTGTTCTCTCCACATCCTTTTCCCTCCAATAGGAATGTCAAATGCGCCCATTCGCCAGCCCGGGTAGAACGAAATTCTAAGTTGCCTACACCGTATATCTACACCGTACAACCACAGGTCCTCCCTCAGGCTATTATTCAACAAAGCCCGATCGATACGATACACATGCCCGCTCTAAACACTTGCGCTATGGAGTAATGAAACTGCAGCGCGACTCGCAGGAGGAATCGCCACCCCCACCCTCCAGTCTATCAATCAATCAATCAATCAATCTACACCACAGGGACAAAGCAACAAAGCAAACCACACAAGTCGCAATCAACCGACTAACAAACCCGTCGGAGTACCCGCGGCACATAAAGCACGTGGTTTATCACGAAAACCCACGAGTAGATGGGGTGAGGTGAGGTTGAAGCATCAGCGTCGGCGTGGCGCCTGCCTCTTAGCGTTATGCACCATGACGTGGGAGGTGTCGGGGATCAAACAAAGGCGGGCGCAGGACCGAAGAGTCGCGTACACTAAGCCAGTATACCGTATTCAGTGCCCTCAAGGCTGGGTAGTTAGTTCTATTCCAGGATGCCTCCATCTTGATTTAAGAGAGGGGGAAGAAAGAAATGAGAAATGATAATAATAATAATAATGTATTGGTTCAAACTCAGTAATTTTAGTTTCGGAATATCTATCACATCCAGGGTACGTAATTCGCCTTGGTCTTCAAACCGAGTAGAATTCAAGGCTACCGAGGCGTAGACAGGAATATATTCTTTCGATAAGCCAAGATCATGCTCCTAGTCATACATACATCCATGATGTAACCCCCTTTATCGATCCATCCATCCATCGTCCGCATAAGCCGGTCAGCCAGTGGCTAGTTCTGATATCGATATATCCCCAAAGTTTCTCTACGAAATACGGCGGAGGTAAGTGTGTCCAGACATCATAGGAGGCAACCCAAGTAGTTCACTCCCCATCCCTGTATAGATCGGGGTCATCGAAGAATACAGCAGACTGTCTTCTCATCTCCTCAAAGTTAAAGAGATTCGAGACACTTCCGCGTCGTCCCCCAGCTCCAGCTTCCCTATTTCGCGGCCTTAGGGGAACCATGTCATTATCGTCTACGGAGCTGGTTTCAGCAGAAACAACAGCATCAGACGCGTCTGAGAATCTGAACTCAGGGTTTCTGGATCTGTAGTCGGCGGCTCGGTCGGGGAGGTCGTGGTTCAGATGGTCTTCTCTTGGGTTGGAGGGGCCCTCATGGTCATCGTGGTCAAGTGGGAATGGACGTTTTGGGGATATAGCGGGGGCGCCGGAGGGGGAGAGGCGGTGAAGGCCATCTAGGATAGCGAGTTCGATTTTGAGACGGTTCTTGATGAATGGGATTTTGGGGAAAGTGCTCTGTTGGCCTGTGCGGAGCATGCGTGCGAGGCGCTCAGGGCTGGGATCAGAGAGTATGTGGTAGAAATCAGAGGGTACTGTTTTTGGCCAGATAGTCACAGTGCCACTGAACTTCTGGAGCCAAATTTCACTCCAGTCTTGGCCCATTGGTCGAGGGAGGAGTTCTAAGTGTCGGAGGACTTTAAGCCATTTGTTCAAGTCTAGCTTGATGTATTGCTCTATTGCCGAACCTAGGAAGCCGCCGCGCCACCCTCGCCCTTTTCGATGGGTGACTGGTCGGCCGACAGTTCCCCGGGAGCTAAAGAAGAAGAGGTTGATATGTGGGTTCACCTATAGAATAAGGGTCAGAACGGGTATGGGGTTTGTAGATTAGCGCGGTGAAGCTCACTTGAGAAACTATGGTGAAATTAACATTGAAGTGGAGATTCAGCGCTTTGATGGGAATGTCCGTTCGCAAACTGCCATCTTTCCATTTGTGGCCAAAGGAATATGGCGCAAGGGTGCCGTCGCGTTTCTTCGTCATCAAGACCACCGGGTTCAAAATCCCAGGAACCGCTGCAGACGCAAGCACCGCACTCCAGATGACGCAATTGGGCGACGTCAAGTAGTTGGCCAAGATCGTCGGCGAATGGGGATCAGATGGTACGCATGACACATTTAATATACGCCCAGTGCGCTCGTAGGCCTCTCGAAATGTTGTGGAACCCCTGCAGAACCAGCTACATTGACGGGCCCAATCCATCGTATCAAAACGAGCGCCAGTCCGCCACCACCTTCGCATCCACGTGGTAAAATTCTCTGAGCAAGCTCTTATTTGATGTGCAAGGGCAGGCACCAGCAGCTGCTTCAACTCTTCATCCGTCCTGGTACCGACTAGAGCAGCAACGAGCGCTCCTCCTGACGTTCCAGTGATAATGCTCGGAAGAACCTCATTGTCGAGCAGTGCTCGTACGACACCAAAATGATAGTAAGCGAACGTCGCCCCTCCAGACAAACACAGCGCAGTCCGACCAAAATTGGTGTCCAGATGCTTGAAATGATGATATTTGTCTTCATTCTTGGCGCCTCGGGTTTCCGAAACAACCTTGATGCACGCATGTACCTCATCAACGTATTCCTGAACAAGATCCTTAGTCCCAGAATAAGCCTCACTATAAAGTCGGGGGTTCTCAACCCCAGCGAAATTGGCCTTAACGCAAGCTTCCAGCAGGTTGCACAGTTCGTCCACAACAACCGCAGAGTCAGGATCGTCTTTCTGAGACTCTTCTTCGACCTGCGCTCTGACCGCTCGAAGCTGTCGGCTGAGGTTCCGTATCGTTATGTGGTCATAGTACGCATATTCATCAAGTTTCTTCCACCTCTGATTTCCCAGATACTCGTCCAGCGCCTGTGCCGCCTGGAACCAATCGTCGTAATTCTCATGCTTGTAAAGTTCCCTCCTCAAGCTCTCCCTCTTCCCTCTCCACGTCACCCACTGCTCGTATAGGAAAATATAGATCCGAGTAAGCGCATACCCGACGCTCAGGAACGTGATCCAACCCAAAACGATTAGAAGAAACGGCCATTTCAACACTGTATACAGCACGCCTTCTCGCGTTTCATCCTTCGTCCGCCGTGGTGCGGCCGCATTTTTGCTCTTTCGCCCCTTCCGGACTCGCTGGTATACGGGCCGCCAGTCATTCAGGGCAATAAGGGGATCTGCGTCCTGGTCGGATAGGGCCTTCTCGAACTGGCGCAGGTCATCGGGATTGAGGAATTCAGTGTCGTAGTCCGGGATCGAGCTAGGACTGTAGATGTCGCTAGCTGCAGACTTCTCCATTATCGGCTTGTGTCTGGAGCATTCATGGTGTTGTTGCGATAGGCTTGATAACAAGGTCTGGGAAGAAAAAGACAAGTGATGAACTTATGACATCGACGTCACGGGTCTGGAATCCGGACCTGCCACTGCTGACGGGGCCCACATGGCCGTATTTGGCTTAGAGTCGTACCTTGTCGGGACAATAATGTTGCGGCCTCCGACGTCAAAATCACGTGGTGCAACAAGCAACGTGATGCGCGGCTTGGGTGGCAGTGGCACTTACCAGGATTGTCGAAGCCGAAGGATTCCATCAAGGAGGGGTTCTCAGTTCTTGATTTGGGGGGCGATCTTCCCCTTCTTTCTGATAACAAACGATCAAGACGGCGGCGGGTCCTGGTCTCCACCGCAGTCGAACCGCCCAAATGATCAACAAGTTTGTTCCGCGCGGTGCGACTCTGCTGCCAATCAACGCCGCTATCAAGCCCATCGTCTTCGTCGTCATTGCTCATTGTGCCGCGAGTCAGTTTCCCCCAAACAGCGGGCGATGGAGGGGTCCCTTATCACTGGAAGCTATGCCAAGGCTGCCAGTGGTAGTTGTAGTACGTTGGAAAGAAGCGAAACGAGGTCGGTAGCTTTCCCCTTCCACACCAGCCTGCGCGTCGAATTCGACGTGCCGTGCAAGTGGACTGGTTGGAAAACAAACCCCGAGGCGATCACTCCCAATCCCAATTTAGCCATACGGTTTGAGGGGGACTTGCATTGGGCGACCAGTGACAACGAGGGGTCTTGTCTTGTGGTGTGGCGTTTTTGTTTCAATCGGAGCCGACGGGCATGGATTGACTTGGATTGGCATGCAGGCCACTGCTTTTGGCAATCACCCCTCTCTGGATTCAGCGAAAATTGTAGAGTCAGATGTATCCGATGATGCTAACAATATTATGAAGAATGGAGTGGCGGTACGGTAGTTAGTAATAATTAGCCATGTTGAACGTTAATCAGTCCCAAGATTCAGAAGGGATGATGAAACAGTGCGGCTACCGCGCAAGATTAAAAAGGGGAGGGACCGACGTCCGTGGTGTCCATACTAGGAACTCTATCTACATTCTTCAATCGCGGGGTTGACGTTTCAATCACGGTTGTCTGGGGAATGTTGTTGTTTTGTTATAGTGTATATGCAGTGGTTGATTGAAGCTAGGAGCGAAGGAGTACAGAGCGAAGAGAAGAAAAGCAAATACCTTCTAAGCATCGCATTCCTTTTTTTTTTTTCTACAGGCCAGCGAAATTGCATCATAATAGCAAGCGTTGCCAGTCGCCAGTCGTCAGTCGCCGAGAGCGATTGGCGGTCCTTCAGATGCTCAGAGGAGCAGAGTAACAGAGGCGGGTTGCAGTCCTCGGTTCACAGCATTCAGGGCCACCTCCACAATCTCTAGCTGCAAATCATTTGTCCCTTTGGCTTCGCTAGTCTGTTTTCTGCTCTTCGTCCAATCACCACCGCGTTGGAACTGTTGGTCTCACGATGGAAAAGACGGTCAAGTCAATCAAAGGCAAAACGAGCGACTTATCAAACGATTGAAGCCGGTGGCACGACGTCTTTACAGGGATACCCCGCAACCCTGACATTTGAAGGAAGTGACAATCTGAAGAGCTCGTCCATCCCTGATGCTCAGCTTAGCCTCTCGTATTTTCAGATGCTCGGGTCACACAGGGAATAAGGTCCGCCACCAACAACGTGAACGGCTGAAGCTTGGGATTGCGACTCGGTCTGAAAGAAACGGTGCACAGACGCTGACGCGAACGCCATCAAGGGTTTTTCAACCGACGGTTATAATATCCTCGATCGGAGGTTTCTCGAGGCCACCCACCACTCTAATGTCCAGGCCCCTCCGTCTGTGAACCATCAGTTTACGCTTGCACTAAAGCCATAATATGCTACTCAAAATAGCAACATCGCCCGTCTTTAAGCAGGACGAAGATGGAAATGGGACCATTGCGGATCCATCAGGTGCATAAGTATCACTGTCGCTTCTCTGTTAGTTCTACAGAAATAGTGAAGGGCCGTCAAGCGAAAATTGGCGGGGCTTGTCATCTCCAGTCATGATGCCGATCTATCAGGAAGACTCGCCATTTAGATTGAACACTGATCGCAGATTTTCGAGGATTGAATGCATCTTGGGCTATCCCAAAATAGGATGTGCTAAAAGTCTTGGTTTGGTATCAGGTGCAGGGATCGGATAGTTATCAGTCGCGAGTGGATGGGCCACCCTTCAATGCGGTCGACAGCGATGGCCATAGTGATGACTTGGTTGGAGGACCAAGGCCAACCAGTCAGGCCATTCGACTCGGACAACCCAATGATCAGAGCTCGTTTGAAAGTAGAAGCGGTAAAAAGGCTGAAAGGAATTGACCTTCGATGGCTACATATCAAACTCCCCACAAACTGATGAGGACGGATCCTTCTTCCTTGCGCTTGCACGGACCAAGTCTATCGCTTCTCCATGCCAGTCGTACATATCAGGTAGAAGGTCGGTGAGGGCGGGGTCACAGACGGGAACGTGTTCGTAGAATTTTCTTTTCCTTCGCAAGTCGCAACACCTCCGAGGGGATTTTACGTACTCATGTTGGTGAATTATCGGAGAATATCAGACGCTGGAGGCGGGCACTCGGCCATTATCCCTTGACGGCAGAGAAGTAAGGAGTATATTAGTTTGAGACCTCCATGGACAGTTGGCCGACTCCGTACTTCATGAAGGCTTTCGACAGGTCTTGCATGCCTTTTGAAAGTTTGAAACTAAATCCCTGTTTTTCTTACCTTTCTTTGAAATTCTTTCCGTCTCTGCTCGGTGTCGGTGAGGTTGTCTGTCACGTTCATCAAAGAACGGCATGCTCGCCAACGAGGCTTGTCAGAGCCATAGTTCCGCCGAAGTATGAACCAATCCGGCGGTTCTACAAAAACAGCGCTGATCATCAGGACAATAAAGTATGTGGAAATGAAGAAGGGTGGGTTTGGAGTTTGGACCATGGAACCGCCATCGAATCAATGGGGATATCAGGGAGATCGGTTTTAGGAGGAGGGGGAGGAAAGCTAAAAAAGAATGTGGTGTGACGGCGCGAGAGCGGAAGCGGTGTGACTTGCTAATATAGTATCGCGTCGCCGGTTCCGGAGACTTTAGTTGCAATCAACATGATTGATGGCCTTGACGCTTGTCATGAATCAAACCTCCTCAGTGATGCAGGTGCTCGGCGGACTCATCTTGGTTTCTCAAGGAGCCCCGCGATGGTCATCCGCTACCTGCGATCGTCTCTCTTTATCAAAACTGAAGAGGGCCAATGTTCCCCACTTGAGCCTCCCGATATTGCCTTTCTCGGTAGTGATGCTCTCAGAGGGATGGGAACTGGAAAACATTGGCGTCACCCGGAATGCAGGCGCTCGAGTCAACGGTGCGTTTTGTCTTTGAGGTGAACCGTGGGAGTATCAGAAGCAGAGCCGTTACAGGTAGAAGAACCAAATAAACGCTCTCAGCTCTTGGCACCGATCGCGCTGCAACGTCTTTCTCCCGACCGAAAGCGACGCGCCGGGCTTATGTATGGTCATTCTGAGGCGCATCGCTTGCGACAGCTTGTTGGTGCATCGAAAGACGGAACCTGGGTGGTTATTTCCCTTTGATGCAGCAAGTCCTTCTCCTGGAGCCGCTCAAGGAAAAGCGCGATGCAGGTGTTGGAAACAAAGCTGTGATTCGCCCGATGCACATGCAGACGGAGGCGCTCGGGGTCACCCAGCGGACGACACTAGGCCCGCTGCTGGGCGAGCGATTCCCACCTAGTGCTAGGCGGACGCAATCTGCAGTCTATCAGCTGCACGTTGGACAATAATACCCCACCACCCAATCAGGCCGGCTCTCCCCATGACCGGGCCGACTGACGCCTCTATCGGTGGCTGTGACCAAAAAGTTTGGCGCCGCTGAGGATCCAGCAATGAGGACACATTTCGCATCTGTAATTGTAATAATAACCCCCTCAGTCTTGAAGATGAGGCCAATGACTCGACGCATGCTCCGTAGCAAGCAAGCAGCGCTCGGGATGGCCGCCTCAAGCGTCCCGAAGTCAACGCTCCACCGCGGTCCAGGTGGCAGGCGAAGAGTGAGTTCCAAATGTCAACACCTGCCCTGAAACTTCCAAATATTTGAAGCAGCGTACCAAGGTTTAGAAAGGGATGTTCGAATTTTGCTTGCGTGCTCACCAAGACATGCAGCAGCACGTCGACGTACGGAGTAAAGTGTACTCTCTGTAGGTCGTGTAGGCGGGACGATCAAGCAACCCCGCTAGCCGGACACGGACTGCTTTGATACGGGCGGCACGGCACAGGAATGACTCTTTGTTGACAAGCTCAAATTCTTACCAATTCTCCGGTCCTTCGCCATGGTTGCCACCTGGTTACTGCCTTGGAGAAGTGCCAATTGTTTCATTGCACGACCGAGAAAAGAATGAGAACCAGAAGAGCGCAGCCGTCGCAATGGGGCAACTCCTCGCAGCAGACAGAAGCATTTGATGTATGTCGGGCTCCACCGTACCGTACGATACGACTGAGTGGAATGGCGATAACGACCTTGTAGGCCCGTGGGACTCGGAATTTATGGGCCTCATCTTGTCAAGATCTGACCTGAATCCTGATAATAAATACTTCTTGAGCTGATCTGCCCTCGGCCCCTTGACTTGTGCATCTCAAGTCAACCCAAGTCAAACTCTGCTTCCTCGAGAAAAATAAAAAAACATCAACAGGTAAGTCTGTCAGAACGGTCTCGTATCCCTCTGTTCTCCACTGTAACTCTACTCTCTTTTCTTTTTCCTCCCCAGCGCCTCGTTTAATCGTCTCGTCTCCTCGTTTCTCCGTACCTCATTCCCAAGAGCAGCTAGGCGTCTTAGTCTGTCATCGGCCGCTTATCCTGGGCGTTGATAGTACAGTGACAGTCCTGATAGCGCCCCTCCTCCTCTCAGCTGATTGCTCGCTGCTCCGGTGCTCATCCTTATCCACCCCTCCCTCCCAAGCATCCTCATCATTCCGCTGCGCTACCAGGCGCCACTCTCTCGACTTGCATATTACTAGCTGCCCCGGTCCTTTTTTTCCTCTCCCTTCCCTTCTCTGGCCTTCTCCTTTTCACTTCGCGGCTTCAACACGCCTCGTTCATTTCGGGTTGGTCCAGGCGACACCCTTCTTCCACCTTCAATAGAGAGGACCTGCTTCGTTTCTTTCTTCCTTTCTTTCTTTCCTTCCTTCTTTCCGTTCTCTGCGACCTTACAGGTATGGTACCAAATGCCATTGGATTGTTGTTGTCGCAGTGTCTTTGGAACTCGCCCGGCCTTTGTTTATTTGTCACACACTCCCCTGAGCCTCGAGAGCCTCAAATAACCCCATTCTGCTCGTATCCAACCTCTGCCTCCCATTATTATTACTTTCCTTGCACCTGTCTTCTTTGTTTTTATCATATGAACAATAATACTGATCGACCTGCCTATTCAGATTAGTTCGCGTCCTTTTTAAACCCAACGTTGCTTGTCAACAAGATGTCGCCCTGGTTTTACCGTACGAGTGCTTGAGCGTTGTCCTCCAGAGTTCACCTGACTCGACCCGTGTCTTGTGAGGCTATATACAAGTTTTTCTTTACCGTAATGGAGAAGCTGGACACTACCGATGGACAGCTTTTCATCAAGGTCAGCATTTCCGGGACCAATTCGTCCAGCTCCGAGTCTGTGGCAGAATACCGCGCTGCCTTTTGTTCGGCCTGCTAACTAAGACACTTTAATAGAACCTCGCCAGCTTTGTGCGAACCCATGAGAAGGCGCTTGCGAACGCTCTCCAGCTAAAGCGCCAACCCACTAAAAATGGGCAAACTACACAGTCGGGCTCGTCTTCGGGTTCGACCTCATCCACCCTCGCCTCGGCCTTGTCCTTCGGGGCCCTAAAATTCACTTCGCAGAGTGTCAAGCCTGCGAAGCTTACCCTCACCCCTCATCACCTCTTCTACCTTCTCTCCCGCTTCGAGGACATTTCCATTGCCGTGGGTCCAATGAATGTTAGACTGGAGAACATACATACCGACGTATCGCAGTCCTACGTGTCGTTCCTGAACAAGCCTCAAAGGTCAAAGGGTGACAGAGACTCGATTCACTCTGTGTCTAGTGTTCGTAGTGTCATGTCTGGTATGAGTTCGCTCTGGTCTTCATTCGGATTGGGATCCAAAGACTCTTCCTCCAAATCCGAAAGGGCCAAGGCGGCCTTAGAAGTGGATATCAAATACCTATACTCAGCCTTCACAAAGATCCCCTGTCTACGTTTAGCCCCTGACCGCCGTGCCCGCCTGATCCGTGGTTACGAAGAATTTCCCTTTGACACCGCCGTTCCTCTTCACTCCTTCAAAAACTTGAGCGCGCTAGAAATCATTGATATAGACTACCGTTCGTTCTACGGCTGGGACCGACTCTCGGAACAACTGCGAACCTTGACCTTGAAGAGGGCAAACATTGAAGATCCTGCGGAGTTGTTGACAGGCATCGTGTTAGATGACATTGACAAACGCCGCCGCCGGTCCTCAAAACATCAGAGCTCACCTGTGCTAGGATGGAGTGGAAACACCAACGCCCAGCCGGTCAGTAGGCATGAACTCAGTAGCTCCCTCTCAGCCCCTGGATCTCCAGTAGCGGACACCGCACTTGGCTCCAGTACTAGCCCGCAGGCAGCATCTATGATAAGGCTAGCGTCCGAGGGAGCTAAACAACGTCCACGATCTGGAAGTCTCTCCCCTTCGCGCCCAGGCGGCTCGAAGCAATCTACATACCGTCATAGCAGAACCCATTCCTCGCGAATACGGCGCACTGGATCAGGAAGCTCTAATTCAAGTGAAAACTCGGGTTATCGTACTGGAAGTTCCTCAAACCTGCTAGTCAACGTCCTCCCATCATCCAAATGGCGGTTCCTTCGCCATTTGGGACTCGCTGACAACTCTCTCACTTCTGTCTCTGCGGCCGGCTTAACTCCGGTTGCCAACACTCTACACTCCCTGGATCTGTCAACGAACCTCTTCACTGACGTTCCCGACAGTCTAGCCTCATTAATAGCCTTGAGGGCTTTGAACCTTTCCAACTGCATGATAGATTCTCTTCATTCGCTGTCTCGCAACCCGCTTCCCGCCATCACTGCTCTTAACCTGAGAGCAAATCGTCTCCGCTCACTCGCGGGAATTGAAAGACTGCTGTCTCTGGAACGGTTAGATCTCCGAGATAACAAACTCTCTGACCCCACGGAGATTGCGCGGCTGACAAGTCTCCCTGAAATACGGGAGATCTGGGTCTCCGGAAATCCTTTCGTGAAGACACATTCCAACTACCGTGTTGTCATCTTCAACTTGTTCCGCCGTACTCCTGGTTACTCAGAAGACATTATCATTGATGGATCCGGTCCTGGGTATAGCGAACGAAAACAGCTTGTCGAGAGAGCTGCGGAACCGGATGTTATTCCGGTCATTCGATCTACAGCCGCAGATAACTCGACGCTTGTCAGCAAGTCTTCCATTCTCCCTGCGGTGGGAGGTTCAATTACTCAGTCTGGGCAAGATGTGGACGTCGCGCGGATAGAGCATCTGGCCAACGATAATGTGGTCGGATCTACCCGGAAGAAAAAGAGCCACCGGAGACGAATTGTTGATCCGTCGGGGGCAGTCTCCGTTGATGGTGATAGAGAAACAGGTGCGGTGGTACCTTCCGTTCTTCCTACTCAAGATCTCCAGTTACCTGTTGATCCGTCCCTTTCGTCGCCTTCCGACAATCAATGGAAATCTGATGGTGGTCCTCAGGCCGGATCCCTTAACCTCCCAAGCACGGGAGCGGCCAACAGAAACCAAGATATCTCTGATACCCCGGGAAACGACATACTCGCTCTGCAACACACGCTGCAGGGTTTCGAGTGGGGTATGGATGCGGATTTCCAGAAACACCAATTCGCTGCCCTCCAGCAGGAGCTCGGCAGTACCTTTCTCGCGGCTCTGCAAAACCACGCCTGGAACCAGCCGCAAATGAACGTCGCTGTTCCACGCACAGGTACAAACATAAGCGAATCGACTCGACTGTCTCCCGAGTCCCTGACAAGAGCTAACAGCCAACCTCTCGTGAGCGCTTGTCATCCTATTACATAAAGCGATACCATTCGCCGTTTTAGTGTTTGGTTTCGCCTCTACCTTCTTCTGATTGATGGATCGGACCATGAACCGCCAATCAGCGGAGAAATCTTTAGACAAAAGTTCTCTTTCTGCTTTGACTCGTTCTCAAGCTATGCGGCGGTTTCGTTTCTGCAATGATCGACTATATCGAAACATGGACCGCAATGGCTTGTTGAACCGCATTGTTCATGGCGTTTATGTGATCTCTCGAGATCGTGGGCTGGATGTCTGAACCATTTAATGTTCTTTTCCTTACACCATACCCCCCTTCCCCAACCTATCGATTTGACTTCTTCAGAGCGGCCTCTCTTCACTTTACTATATACGGCACCCTCCACTCCACTGACTGTGAGAGCCGTTGTGTGAGGCCTCATTTTAGAGTGCTTGTATTTTATTGGCAAAGGACTATCGGAGTCTACGGCGTTCTTGGGACGATTTGTGTTTTTTTGTTTTTCTTGAGACTCCTGCCTGTTCGCTGAACTTTCGGGATCGGTATACCTCGACTTGCCTGGTTTGTTTTGTTTCCTTCCATCCCCATCTAATGATTACGTGACGAGGATCTGATGCATGCCGAGATGCCATTGATTTGAGCTATTGTTGCAGGATTGTATAACTTTTTGTTGTTCTGGGCGGATTTTTTGTCTTTCACGCTTTCGGTTCCCGGCAAAGTCTCGTGACGAATTTCGGAATTAATGGGCATGGGATGTTATGATGAGCCGGCTTCAGCGTCTATCCGGGCGAGCTGTTGAGTTTGCAACTAGTTGAATGCAATGCGCGAAGTCCGCTGCGGCATCTACAAACTGGAGAGTAAGGAGTAGCTGTAGTCGAAGCTGGCGGATACCCAGGTGAGTGCGCTCCTTGCAGTTGGCCCAGCATCGTGAATACTAGTATGAATTCCAATTGTGATAGTATCCAGTGTTTTTCATGGCCCTTGATAAGAGAACGTAGAAGCGGAGTAGAGTCGGAAACCCAACCATGGTTGGCCACAGTTGTTGTTGAGCAGATATTGATTGTAATTTTGACGAGTCGATACGCGTACATTATTTATAGAACCGGGATGGTGGCTGACCGCCTTTCGCCTCAGCCAATGGCCACGCCGACAGCCCCCGACGGGTAATCGAGCGGTAATGCAATACGACTGCGCGGTTTGTTGTTTTCCTGGCGGCGGCAGGTTTTTCGAGATTTCCTCAGCTGAAATCATTTCGTCCACCGCGCAGCAAGATCCAAGTCTCCTCCAACCAGACTGGCCAACTCTACTCGTATCTTGCTTCGGTCGCTTTTCTGGTGAGCTTGAATCTTCTCCTCCTCCATCCTCCCATCCCTGACATCTTCTGCTGCTCAGAACTGCCTGCCCGTGCAACTGCTCGTTATTTCTGGGTCGGCAAACACCGATCCCTTGATTGCCCATCCTCCATCCCCTTCCACTTGCTGTACTTGTTTCCTCCACTCGCGCCACCAGCGTCTTGCCGATAGAAGATTGCCTCAGGAGCCTTCCCTCTTCAAGCATCGCTGCACGAATCTCAGTCTTCTGGACATCTCTGCTTGACTTCACCTCACGTCGCTTTCCCCTATTCCCGGCAACACAAATCTTTCCCTTGCTTCGTACCGCTTTTTGCTCCCTTCCCCCACGACCGACCGAGTCCTTTCAACCTCTTCAACCTAGCCGTTCCGGAGCCGCATCAACTTGTTCCTCTCCACGCGCTTTTCATCAACTGGGCTCTCGACTTATCGCATCTCACACAGTCCTCGACCTCTCCAACCCTCCCCTCCTCCCTTCTCCAAGGCCAAAGGGCCTCCTGCCGCCCTCTCGACCTCGACTACACCAGATCCTGTTTGGTAAGCAAATTTCGTTGCCCCCCCCCTCCTTCTCCTATCGCTACCTTCCCTCAAAAACTTCGATCTTTTTTTTGGGCGCATCGAGCACGCGTCTACTTGGCCTACCTTTATATCCTTACCCCTCCGCCATTGTTGGATTGTTAAAAGCCGTTTCTAACATTTCGTCCTCGCTCTGACAGTCCATAGGCGCCGCGTCATCCATCGTACACTGAACCGACTACTCAAGCCACCTTTCTTACCTCCCTTCTTTTCTCGTCGCCGGACGCCTGTTTAATTACCTTTCTCTGTTCTTTTTTCTTTTCTTTTTTTCTCATCGCTTTTGGTCGCTTTCCTCCCTCGCTACTTAACACGCCATGGCCGATCAGGACGTGGATCTGGATTCTATCATTGACAGACTGCTGGAGGTGAGGGGCAGCCGACCTGGAAAGCAAGTCCAACTTTTGGAATCGGAAATCCGCTATCTTTGCACAAAGGCGCGGGAAATTTTCATCTCCCAGCCTATCCTGCTTGAGTTGGAGGCACCTATCAAGGTAAATGCTCTTTACACCCACCCGGGTTCTACGCTTGACCTGAGGGCTAACAGAGTAACTCCAATAGATTTGCGGTGATATCCACGGTCAATACTACGATCTTTTGCGTCTTTTTGAATACGGCGGCTTCCCACCAGAGGCCAACTACCTCTTCCTCGGAGACTACGTTGACCGTGGAAAGCAATCACTTGAGACAATATGTCTTCTCCTTGCCTACAAGATCAAATACCCCGAAAACTTCTTCATCCTACGTGGAAACCACGAGTGCGCGTCCATCAACCGTATCTACGGTTTCTACGACGAGTGCAAGCGGAGGTATAATATTAAACTATGGAAGACTTTCACAGACTGCTTTAACTGCCTACCTATCGCCGCTATCATTGATGAGAAGATATTCACCATGCACGGTGGTCTGAGCCCTGACCTTAACTCCATGGAACAGATTCGCCGTGTCATGCGTCCCACTGATGTAAGTTTCAGATTCTGTTTACCCATACCCCGTCCCTTGGGCCTCCCACCGGTCAGATAAAGAGAATCCCGTGTCAGTCGGGTCTTCACCTTTGATACGTCTAGTCAATACTCTGCCGGGCTCCACAAAGCTCAAGGCTTTGATTTGCTGACTGCTATAGATTCCCGACTGCGGTCTCCTCTGTGACCTCCTGTGGTCCGATCCTGACAAAGATATAACCGGCTGGAGCGAGAATGATCGAGGTGTTTCCTTTACGTTCGGGCCAGATGTCGTATCGCGATTCCTACAGAAGCATGATATGGATCTGATATGCCGTGCACACCAAGTCGTTGAAGATGGTTACGAATTCTTTTCAAAGAGACAATTAGTCACACTATTCAGTGCTCCAAACTACTGTGGAGAGTTCGATAATGCTGGTGCAATGATGAGTGTAGACGAGAGTTTATTGTGCTCTTTCCAGGTACGTTCTTTTTAACAATTCCAAAAAAAAAAAAAAAAAAAACTGCACTGGTGGACTCGATGGCTAATTCCTTCTTCAGATTTTGAAACCAGCAGAGAAGAAACAAAAGTACGTTTACGGGGCAATGAGCTCAGGCCGACCCATCACTCCTCCGCGAAAACAAAAGAAGAAGTAAGCATACGAGCTTTTCCATGTGCAGCAGGTTCGGGCGGAGATAGAAACGTCATATATCCACGTTATGTCGGTACACGAGAGACTCAGCATCCCATGGCATCGATGTCCTTTGCGCTAGACGATCGGAAGTAACGAATTTTTCCAACCTCCCGAGATAACTTATACGACATGCAGAGAATCGTCACAATTTCCTCCCCGCATCCCCTCCAGCGACTTCGACTTGATTATCCGCGCGCCGATCCTATTCTATTTCTATACGGAAGGTACTTGTGCTCCCAATAGGGATTGGTGGTTTATCTCCATTTCCTAACTCTCGAATTTTTTTTCTTTTAACCTTACTCGCCTTCTGTTTATTTTCAACATCTTTCTCGTTATTCTCCTCGATCCCATTTACCTCTCGTTTGTCTGAAATTCGTTTGGCAGAAGGGAGGGAAAGCGACGGCTGCATCTGGTGTTCTTCTCATCCGTGTTATTTCTGCTACTCTTTGTGTCGTCTATGTTTTTCGCCTTTTTTTTATCTTCCCGCTTTCTAAAATCCTCCTGTGAGTGTAATGCCAAACAGATAAGCAAGCAAACGACACACTGTCTCGTGTCTTTGGAATGTGTACCAAGATTTTATACCACGCTCAATCCTCTATTTCCCCCCACCAATACGCAATACGCACCAACTCAACCAACCCCTCCACCTCCTAACTTATCAGTCCGTCCACTTCGGGTAATTTCTCGCACGACACCACAAGAGACGAAGAAAATCATTTACATACTACTGCTGTTACCTCTTTCCATCCGTCTGATATTCCATTCGAGATTCCTTCGACTCGTCTCTACCTGGATTCTAGACCAAATATAAAGTTAGACTACTAGGTGAGGTGAATTCTCGATTCATATTACCCGGCTCAGCGCAGCACACTACACTAGATAGGCCATTCTAGACCGAAGCCCATTGCTTTAGCGTATAGTATAATAACCTTGTTTCAATTACGAATTGGTTTTCTAGATCCGATCCGATAATTCAATTGAGTATCTAGCCTTGGCGGGTAGATGCAACAGCTGAAGCAGCCTAGATTTGCTGTATGAGTGGATAAATTAGTCAGTAGTAAGTAGATGACAAGTAATGGGATATAACTCCATAATTAGGTCTACATTGTTTACAATATATACAACTCGCTAATGATCACAAGACCCTAGCTTGACTAGACTAGGCCATCGGACCACGTGCTCGTACGTCAGAATCACGTCAGGCAGTCAAGGATCAACGATTCCAGAAGACTAGTTAGATTAGATAGGGAGACCGAGTCTCGTATTTTAGTTTTGGCGTGAGCATAAGGCTATAAGTAGATGAGCAGAAGCAGGAGAAGCAGCTGGCTGGCTAAATTGAATTCATTGGAATGTATTGATTGATGTCCACGATAGAAACCGGAACCGGAACGGAATAGAAAGGACAAGACATGTATGGATTGTTGTAACTAGTCCATTCATTTCGCGGGGCGATTCATGAGATATAAGATTGACGGGGGTATCCCGAGGGTGGGAAGTAGTTGGAAGGGGTTTGTTTGGCAGTTGGGTATGAGTGTCCATGGTGACGGGATATATGTGGGTCTCCGACGGCCATGCGTGGTATGACGGGGAGGGAGAAGACGACTTTACGGGATTATGGATAGGCAGATGGTTTAGACATATTGAGACAACCACCTGATACCCTCGCCGTATCCTAGATAGAGGGTGAATGTTAGCGCCTTTCGCTACGGTCATGGACAAACGTGGAGATAAGAAACATGTGTCCGGACTCACCTTGTCTCATAACAACACTGCACATGAACACTTCGATGGGCCGGATCCCCTCAAGGGGCACCTTGCCCTTACCCGTTGTCTGGTACAAACCAAGCTGGTGTCGAAGCTCGTCCTCGCTCACAGCATCGGGGTGGTCAATCTTGTTTCCGAGGACCAGGAAGGGGACCTTGGACAGCTCCTCGATGGCGAGGAGGGAATCGAGCTCGACCTTGGACTCGGGGAATCGCTCGTGGTCCTTGGCGTCGACGAGGAAGACAATTCCGCTAACTTCGGGGAAGTAGTCCCTCCAGAGGCGGCGGGCTATATAATTATACGAATTAGAAAAGCGTTATTAATATCCCGCCGATCGAATCGGGGCGGGGGTGGTATGACTGTGGGGACAGGACTCACCCTGCTGGTGACCACCAAGGTCAAAAGTGGTGAATCGGTTGTTTCCGATCACAAGTTCCTCGGATGCTGCACAGGTTCAAGTTAGTATCCACGTAGCCACAATATCTTCCCAGCTCTGATTCAAGTTAAAATAACGTACTCGGGTGGGCGGTGGGAGAAAGGATCGCAACGCGGTCGTTCTAATAGATAGTTCCATCTCCGTCAGCTTCCGGCTCTCTTCCATGATTCTCTCAATGTAGAATTTAATTCCTCCACTGGCAGTATTTCATATTGATTCTTGGGTACTCAACATACCTTCAGCATGTGCAAGAGGGTCGTTTTCCCGGCATTGTCGAGACCCAGGAACAGGAGCTTGGCATGTTTGTTAAGCAGACCAAGGGACGCCAGGACGTCGTAAACTATTTCAAAAAAGACATCAGACGATCAGTCATCCAGTATAAACCAGCGCAGTGCAGAGAGCGGGGAGCGGGAAGTCAAAATAAAGACAAATGGGGAGCGTTCGCAGTTGAGGAAAGGGCTGAGGTCAGGCCAGGTTTCGACATGAAGGAGGGGACCCAGATAAAAGGTGACAAAAAAACAAGCAGCTGCTTACACCAGTTGATGATCCACATGCTGGAAACAGATCAAATGTTCGTCCGAGAGACCTGCGGTATGCAAAATTGGATGGGAGATTGCGGTTTATAGTCGTCCGTGCTTGGGCTAGCAAGCGAAAAGAAGAAGATTGCGGTGGCCGGCCAAGTGACGTTGAAGTGACTGGTCGCTTGCTTTGGCGCTTAACCGAGCGCTTAACCCGACCCAGCCGCGGCTGCTCAATCACTTCTTTCGGCATTCACAAGCTCAAGAGTCTACTCTACTGGCTAGGTATTTCTTGATTTGTCACTCAAAAATCGGTTCAATGTAGATTGTTAATTTGATTTATTTCTTTTTCTCTTGAATCAGCCTTCCAGCTATGCACCCAGGTTCTACAGTCTCAAAGCCAACGCAAGGGGTATACTACTCCGTATGAACCGCCTCAATGCAAAAAAGAAGAAAAAAACCATCAAGCTCCCGAAGACAGAAATTCATACACTAAAGGCGGTAGAGGTAAAAATGAAAAGAACGGGCATAATATGTATAGAGAAAAGAAAGAAAAAAAGCGATCGTCCTGTAAATGCAGAGACAGTGACCTTCCCAAAGCCAAAAAGGGTAAAGAAAAGGTAAAGAAAGACGTGGGACACGTTAACAGATGCAGGGTAGCAGGACACTCGTGGGAAGAGACATCCAAGTATATACAAGAAGTAGTGAATGATTCTCTCTCCCAACCCGAAGAGGGTGGTGTCTAAACAGACAGGACAAGCTGTGTTCTTTCGCCGACGCCAAAGGCTCTCGTCCGCTCAGCAACTTCGAGGCCAAGCTCCTTCATGCGTTCAGCGCCTTTTCCGGGGACGGGCCGCCGTTGAATCTGCTCCTTGGCAGCTTTGCGGCAGTGCTGACGCCAGAACTTTTCTTTTCTCTTCTGGCGCTTCTTTTCAAGACCCTCGACAATATCGACAGGTCCTCGGGTGTAAGTATCACGAGTGCGCGAAGAATCACGCTCATGCGACTCTTGGATAGGGAGAATGCCAGACCACCGGTGGGAGCCCTCCGTGGCAAAGAACGGGTTGGGTGTGCGAGGCAAAGACTTTGTCCGAGTCAGCGTGGGGCGCTGGACCAACTCGCTGATGTTTAGACCATGCTTCAAAGTGGGTGCTCCGATCTGCGAGCTCTCAAGTCTTGCAGATGATCTGATCTTTATGGGAGGAGGCGGCGAGCGGAGACGCTTGGGAGACGCTTTACCGTGTCGACGAGGCGGCGGTGAAACCATCCGTTTCGGCGAAGGGTGGGGGGAAGGTTTCTGAGATTGTTCGCCTCCAGATCGTCCGCGAGGTCCGTCATCAGGGACAGAGGCGTTTACCTCATCTTCCTCAGCATCGTCATCTTCGATGTCGGAAGTAGGAAAGCTCGGGTCGATGTCCTGGGGAATAACAACTTGTTTGGAAAGACGACGCTGCTCGAGGCAAGATTTGTAGGCGGCTTCCAACGGTCGGTCCTCATCCAGTGTTCCACATACAAAATCTGTGCTGTCAGGCAAATCGGGAGTTCCAGGACGCATTCTGGGGATCTTGATTGGCCGACCAGCACTCTTTCCAGCGAGGGCCGGAGGCCAGTTTGGACGTGGGTGGTCTTCAGTCACCGAGTCAAAAGACATTGCTGAGTCCCTTCGGCTGAAGGCAAAGCGTGGAGGTTCGAGAGGACTGGTGGCAGCGGTCGTACTACCGGGCGCCCAAAATTCGTACTCGGACGCCCCGTCGCTGTCGTCGGAATCCGCGAAGCCGGCTTCGTTGTCCGACTCGTTTCCATCATCCTCGTCGGATGAGAAGTCATGCAAGGTGGAAGAGTCGTCCGGAAGATCGGCGTCATCGTCGTCTTCGTCCAAGGCCTCTTCTTCCGCCTCCTCAGCAAGCTTCCTGATGGCATTCTCCTTCCTCATGCAGTCGCTCAAAGTGATTTTCTCTTTGTAGTCGGCGGCTCTGTTAACCCACTCCGCGTCCTCTTCGAAGGAACTTCCAAACTCGTGGAATCGTGTCGCCTCCGAGTCTTCGAATTTTCCCAACCCTTTCATTGGGACTCCTCGCTGGTCAGAGGGCACCTTGAGCTCCCGGGGTACGGGTTTCTGCATATGGGGAATGGCGATTGTCGGAGGATGTTTCTGTTCTGGGGACGCCTTGCGTGCGAAGGGAGCAGGAGATCCACGAGGGCGATTCCGTAGAGAACTTCCCTGAATGGGAGATCGTTCTCGCTTGGACCCTGGATCTCTCGCAGGGCACGCAAACGTGAGTGTTGTCTTCCGTTTTGGCTCGGTTGGGGTCGGCTCATTGTCTTTGGCGAGAGGCTCCCTGCGTGGCGTTTGCACCTGTGGCTTCAGTTGCACCTGTGGCTTCGGCTCTTCCGTTTTTCGCCCACACGCAAAGCTAATGCATCTCTTACGCCCAAGATTTGCTTCAATGGCAGACTCACCAGTACCACCAGCACCAGCTTCTTTGCCGCTGTTGTGGGTCACCAGGGGAGGTCTAGTGGGCATCTGAGAGGGTAGTGGCGGACTCGAAGTGTGAGATAATGACGGGCTTGTTAAGCCACCATCACTTGTCAACTCAGCAGTTGAGATGCCGCTGATGTTGCCGTACGAATATTGACGGTAGAATGTGTGTTCATGGGAGGAGGTAGGTTGGTCGGTAGGGCTGCCAACAGGGCTGCTCTTGAGAGCACGCGTCAGGAGGGATTCCTTTCGATCAGTCATGCTGGCTGGGGATTTGACGTAAACGACGCCATCGTCCATGGTCGGGGATGTATCAAGGAATCGGTGATCTGGGGGTTCGTCCATATCCTCAGTCACGTCGTTCGCCTCGTCCGTGTGCTTGGACTGGTGTGATGAAAGAAACATTTTGAAGAGGTGATGCACCGATGAGAAGGGTCGTTCGCCGCGGAGGAAGTGTACCATCGTTTCCGAGGTTGAGGGGCGATCATCGAGAGGTAGCGAAAGCAAAGTCAAGTTGAGATCGGTGTGTCGGGTTATGGATGGTAGGCAATAATCACTCGGCGGCGAGTAGGCAGGGCGGCAATGGAAGAACGACAGTACAGTAGCTCTCGAGATCGATCAACAGTGATCGAGCGGAAGGTAGACAGAAAGTTAGGCCCGAAAGAGGACGAGAGGGATCATAATATAAAACACATAGTGGAGGGAGGTATAGGTGAAATATGAGAAAAGGCAGGTCGCAGATAGGCAGGGTGGCTGCAGCCAAGACCAAAAGGAATTCACGCCTTCTTCAAAGGATGGCAGCTCCAGGAGCGCCAGAAGAAGACGCGCCTTGTGAGACTGAAAAGCAGAGTGGTGAGTTGGCAGGGTGAAGAAGATCGGGTTCGATGGAGAGAGGAAGAAGGAATGCAGACAGGCAGATCGGAAAAAAGTAATAAGGGACGGCGACGAGGGACAGAGGGGGTCGTGGTGGTGTGGGTTATGCAAAGCTAAAAATTAAAAATTAAAAAAACTAAATTAAAAAAAATAATTCTTCATTCTGGAATTCCATTATTATTTCTGATTTTCAATGGTATGGTAAGTTGGTCAGGACGCCGTAATCAGCGCCGCCGTATTATCACAGATGAATGACACACCCGACCGCCACCAAGACCTCCGATCCCTGCGAGTAATCTTGGTATTGATTGGTACTGAATATTACCACAGGGCGCTTGGTCCAATCAGCCCCGCCAACCAGCAGGCCAAGCCCCACTGGCTTGAGCCAAACCCAAACGATGCATGCATTTGCTGCTCTCAATCGGTTCCTGACCCTGCGCGTCTGTCAAGTCTGTCTCGAGTTTTGGCGAGGGTCTGGATGAAACAGGGATCAAGGGCAGAAGCTGGAAGAAAGAAATATCGCGGAATCGCTCATAATGGGGTGCTTTGGGAATGAAGTTCTTTCAGGATCATCTGCCGAGAACAAGGCTGCCAGTGGTTCTCTGACCAAGTCACCACGGCCACTCCCGAAAATCTCTTTTACTATGAGGGATTATTTCAGTCACCAAGACAGACACACCTCCTCGGCGGGCGCTCTTGGGTGAAGAAAGTGTGGAATAATCTGTCACGGTTCCCAACAAGGAAACACTTTGTCGAATTTGAAACTGATTCGGTCGCGAGCATTCTTCTCGGCTGTTGAAGGGGTCTTCTCGAAGTCTGTCTCCGTCCGGACCGTCCCTGTCAAACAGCAAACGGGTTTCTCGAACTTCGATGCTGAGGAATGTTACACAGATCTGGGTGCCAATTAAAAAAACGAAGCATCTCCGCGCATGGACTGTGCTTCTCCAAGTTTGCCCCCCACGACAAGACAACAGAAGGCATCGAAAAGGCGGCACGAGCTGGTGCCGTTGTTGCCATCCGTGCGCTGTCTCCAGTCCATACGAGGCTAACCCGCTAGATGATTTTCAACCGCTCAAGTCACCTGCACGTAATTACATTACAGCCTACCCGGCATCCAGATCCGACGAGAACTGGACGGCCTCGAGGCTGACTCTCTTCACGCCTTTCTCCGACTTCTCCGCATAAGGCTCATTGAATGTGACTCTTGCCATGAGTATTTTCAATCCCCGATGGCGATCGAGAAACATGGACATTCATACAGTTAAAGGGCAAAGTCAAAGGGCGAACTGTGCCTGGGACGGCGGTGGGGAATGTACCTACAGAAGAATCAGGTATAGCTGGGGCTCTCCATCCACCCAGTGTCCATTCCAAACCAGCGAGTCTCCAAACGATGGAGACCATCGTGTGGTTCGCAAAACACGGCGCTCTGCGCGCTTCACCTCAGGCCCCTCACTCGAAATTGCTATTAACTGATAGCAAACCCCTCTATCGCTGAGTTACTCTCGCTCAATATTAATAAGAGCGCTTTGTATTGGTTGCCGTCCACTTCCGCCTGCTGAGCTTGCCCCTTCCAGCAGGAGCCCAGCTCTTGGGACTAAGCCGGATATGGTAGCTTTGACGTAAATTTGAGGTACGCTGGCTGTTGCCACTGTTCTATACATGAGCCCCTTGTAGGAGTCGTACTTGGTAGTGTTCAGCATTCACTGTTCGCGATAGCATGGACTGCTAAAGTGCAGGGCTCGCTATGGCCACGGCTCACCGCTGCTACCATGTCTCAGCTCGTGACGCCGTCGAGTCCATCCAGCCCTGCTGAAACAATTGCACGGAAAAATGACGGTGCCAATACGACCCGACACGGCACACGATGGAACCAGGCTTGCAGTCTGAGAGCCATGGATTCAGAAGCAACCACCGATGCGACGATTGACAGACGCTCAACGTGGTTCAACTCCTTATTTCGCTTCGTCTCCTCGATCGCACTCTGGTTACATCAATGTCCACCTACCTCATCGATGCACGATCTCGCAGTCAAGACTCCAACTCTCAGCACGCCGACAGCGGCGAAGCTTCGTGGCAGCAGCGCCCAACGAAGATCACACTGGAGCTCTTCTGACCGGCAAGCCTGAAGCAGCAGGAATTACCCCCACACCAGATGCAAGATTCGGAGTAAAGCCAAACAGATGCAGCCTTGACTCTTGAAGCCTTCAGCCTTGAATCTTGATTCAGAACCCCCGATGATCGGTCAAGGCATCGCTCCAAAAAAAGAAAGAAAGAGAGAAAGAAAGCGGGGTGCCATCAAGCAGCAGCAAGCTCACCGACATCGACAGCTTTCGCGCGCCTGTGATCTCTGAATCCCTGGCCAAGCTTCTTGAGGTTCAGGGATTCCTCCACCATGATCCCAGTAGAAGCGATCTCATTCGGCCTGGCAGATTTGTTTTTCTCGCCTTCCCAGCAATCAAGATTCAGTTAATAATATCAAGCAATCCTGCCAGCCGGAATTAGAATCAGTTACGAGCCGGCACCCAGCTTTACTTCGAATGATGCGAGAGTGAAACGTGCGGACAATATATTGCTGGGCATTAATACTCCGATATCAAGGGCATGTCAACGTCCGCTCTATATCTGTGACTATGGGAAAACATTCCTGGATGTCATCAATGTTTCACACAAAGTCGTTCTCCGCACTCTCATTATTCCTTCGAGTAAGCTTGTCCAGGATAATACGACTATGCTATGCATGAGGCGGTTCCGAAAAAAGAGGCGCCAGCCATGTGGTTCCGAGGAGCACGTACTCTTGCCCAAGTCAAAATTTCTCCGTCATCGTCTCGGGCTCTCGTAGGATGACAGGATCGATTTGTCACCGCAAGATTGCCTAACGCGAAGCGGGCAACGAATACCATCAAGACGAGCACTCCAAGGCTCCGAGAGCACCCCTTCCTCCCGTCTTTTGATGGGGCCGATGCATAAAACCAACACTTTAATGTTTGGGTGGAGGCTATGAATTGTCGCTCTTGGAGGGGCTGGTTAGCTAAATTTGGAGACGACCAGGGCATCAACAGCCAACGTGCTGGTACGTAGACTGGGCTCCAGTTCGGCACGAAGTCGCAGTGTCCTCATCCACAGCTCTCGTCGAATTGATCACCCACCGTTAGCAACAAGCATGCAAGAACCACCATGAAAATCAATGCAGATGATCCAAGTCTATCTCAAGTGACTTGAGGTGATGATGGGACTTTGTACTCTGATTGGTGGCGGGGACTTGTTGTGATGGACGAGGTTTGTATGAGGCATTTTGGGGGCAGATCCCCACAGTGCACGGGACAGCGCTCGCTCTCTTGGATTTGCGTTGGTCTCTTGTTCGGCTGCAGGATCCTCCCAAAGCGGTAAGCCAGCGACAAGTGACACTTCTATCTCTGGAACATAGAAACTTCGGTACCTTCGAGCTGCGTCTTTGACCCATGCGCTTGGGTTGGCTCAGAAACAAAGCGAAGAGACACGGAAACAGACAGCGAAAGAAGGCTACCTCTACCCCTCATTGTCGCATCACCCCATTGAAATCGTCGAAAATCCGTCCAAACTGCCGCGCAGGCGGACTCGACCTCATCCTCGGTTGCAGTACAATTTAGCCTCTTCGATTTTGGGCTGAGGCACGAATACGCGCGGTTGCCGCCTCAGAATATGCGCCTCTATTTTACCTGTTTCACTGGAGAACGATCAAACAAACACCCTTGTTCATGCCCCGATTACCGGGGACAGCGACACTAAGAGCTACCGGCGGTATTGAGAATACCATACCTGATACTGTCTGTCACAAAACGCGGAGAAATATTGCTGGGAGAGCTTTCTGCTGTGTAACACAGCCGAACTGCCCAGCCCGCCCTGATCCTTGCGTTCGCCATTCTTGTCTGGTTTATGCTTATGGAGTAAGAGAAGCGGAATTTCCACCCGGTCTATACAATCGTAATCATCCACCAACAAGGGTATGCTCCTCACAGAACCTTCGCTGAAATCCACCAAGTATGCGTGCATTGGAGTTTGTGAGAATACAGGAGTATGCGCAGGCAGTTCCAGACCGTGGCAGTGACACCATCGTGATTGTTGGAATGCTGGAGAGCAAGTTGCGCGCATACAGTTGATCTCATGATCTACAGAGCACAACTCAGGAGGCCGATCGGTGATACAGCCAAGATCTCCGCCAAGATATGTGCCAAGGGCATTCAGTATGCGCCTCTGTATCCAAGGCAGGCTAGGCGTCTAATTGGAGTGTTCCTCTTGAAGTGGCATCCCTTTTAAACTCTGTCACCTCACCTACCCCTTGCTCCCGCCAGTTCCAGGCAAGCACAGTGTTTCATACCACAACAGTGCTTGGCAATGCCCTGGTGAAGAAAGGAGTATCTCGGCAGTTAATTGAGTATGTGACCTTGCCTGTGCAACGGCGCATCCGTGATTCTATGCCAAGAAGATAGGAATCCGTGACTGGTGGCTGTCGGCAGGGGGATTGCGACTGTAACTGCGCCTCGATGACGATGACGACCGATTACTGCCTCCGGCAATGGCGATGGTGACGCTGATGTTGATGCTGATGTCAACCTGAAGTGGCCAAGATACTCCGGGCTCACGACAGGATGTCCGCTGGCCTCTTTCTGATCGGACGGAGAAGTGGTTTCAATGCGGACTTTCCACCCTCCTTGCCTGTTCAATGTTACCCAAGCTCACAGTCCACAAAATACACGCCAAGCGCGGTGCCAAGAGCTACTTGAAATCACTCAGCGCAATGTTCGCGCGGCGTTTCATGGAATTTGAGCGAAAATGAGCCTTGAGGATGTCGAGAAGCAAAATTTGCCAAGCTGGCAGCCCAATATTATCAGTTTTCTCGGAATCCTTATGAAGAAATGATGCGTTCTTGTCGCAGCTGTTGGCGGCAGATCGCCGTCGATCATCTACCCTTAATGGTGCATAAACACTATCGAAACAGTCTTGGCGATACAATGTTCGCTGACTGCGTCTTGGACTCTCGGCGACTGTTCATCCTGTTCATTTTGTTCAGCGGCAGGGGAGCCTGAATTCCGATCCTCGCCTGCCAAGTCTTGAGTAAAGATTTCACGATGGGCTATGGCGGGTCCGCCAATCTCCAGAAATAAGGCCGTTCTATCGATTTGGTGCGGGTCAGTAATCCTCATAGCTTCGGTTCTTTCGGCCCCAGATCCACGGGAGACTGAGTAGTTGATGGCACATCTCGAAATCCAGGGTCCCGAATGCCGTCCGTACCTACTCGCCTGGTCGGGGTACCTGCCCGTGGGACAAACTTTCAAAACCAGACTTGGTGCTATGGCCATCGCTTTACCCAGGCAACTCCGAAGAATCTTCCCTTGCTCAGGTCAAACAGGATCGACGTGGCTGGTTCGCAATCCCCTCTTGGCGCTCTCCGCCCTTCTCGTCCAAGCCACCCACCGGTCATACGCTGTCAGACGGCCGAATTCTTGGTGTTGTAACAGCGATCAAGTCCCAGGCTCCAGGATAGTAGCTAATAAGATTCAATAACCCAAAAAAGATATAGATGGTGCGCTCGGCGCGAGATGGAACTATGCCAAGCTTCTACAATTGCCACTTTCGATGTTGACTGATGATCCTTGCAGGACCCCTGACCAGTCCCCCTGGTTTTTCTTATCTGGGCTATTTTTGTTCAATAACACGTTGACGAATTCTCAGCAGAGCCTGAGATAAGTCATGATGATTGACGAGCCAGAGGTCTTGGCGTGGTATGCCGTGACGACGACCTAGACTTCGATAATAATGTGAACTTGCCGTGAATGAACGGTGACTGCGAGGGTATGGTGTACGCACAGTAAGGAGCGGGGCACAAGACAGCATCACCTGCTCGTCCAATCGATATATAGCAGATTAAACTATACGGTAGGTCCCGGTCAGTCGATGGATCGTTACATCAGCTAGCAGACACTGTATCCCCACAAGAGCCCAGGATAAGGGGTCAGGAAGCTGTCCTACACCCATCGATATTCAATTTCCATATGCTTAATTCGACTTCTTGGGGAGAAACCCTGTTGTTTCCTCTGTTGTCAAGATCAACCAATTAGGTCTTGTGACCAAACGGTTGGATACTCTGTACTCAGTCTCGTTTCGAATGCCCTAAACCTGGAATATCATCTTCAATAATCAAAATATACGTCTATTGATATCCAATGTAAGCAATTAATAAAGCCTTGCTACTTAATTCATTACTTTCAGTAGCTTGTTAACCAGTAAGCACAGAGCGCCTGGTACACCAGTTGAAACTCCATTTGTCGCAATAATGACACGGCCTAGCAAACAAGATTGAAGGTCTGGCCTACAATTGGTATCTACCTGCGACAATGGCAGCGAGCGTGACGAAATCGAGGCCATCTATCAGACCGAAGCACGAGTCAATCAAGCGGATGAAACAATACAACGGCGCTTCTAGAATTCCCTAGGAATATATGTGTTGAAACAACAATGAGCATCCAATCCCATATATTACATACAACCCTAACTAACGCCTTCTCCATCACATCACAGCCCATCGGAACTACCCTCCAATACTACGTATTAAATCACTTTGTGCCGAGTCCGCCATGTCAAACAGTATAGGGGGGCTGAAACGTTCCTGAGATCTCGCATGTTCAACGGCTATAACCCGAGAGCCCTATATGTCATATGCCATACACCAGCATCCGACCGGCAGGGCAAGTATTAAGTTCATACCCTTGTTTACACTACAAATTACAACCAGATTTACGTACCACCGTACCGTCTACGCCCGATCGATCAGCCGGGCATGTGCACAAGAGAATCTTGGGGTAACGGGACGAGGTGCAGCACGCCAAAACAAGAGCCTGCCTGCTTGTCTGCCAATATTCGAATTTACCCGAGAAATAGCACGAAAATGCACACCAGCCGCGGGTATCTACCCAACGAGGGACGGGATTGAGTCATGCCAACCCTACTTTGACGGAGTATGAATACATGCAGGCGGGACGGTTTACGTACTCCAACAGTACCAGGCCCTTGGCCAGCTTGGCCGGGCATTTTCCGACCAGGATTTGGAGAAACAATATGATATAAGGTAACAGTATGCTAATGGTAATCGGATACTTACCGTAAATGCGCGCTTTTCGAAAGCGCATTACTTACTTGCTCTTACTTACTCTGTATTGCGACAACTGTGGCCACCGAAACTGATAGTGGACTGAGTATGACAACAACTATGACTGGAGACCGAGGATGATCACCGAATTTCCAGCCTTACACAAAAAGAAACAATCAATCAGATCGCCTAGAAGTACCACCAATTTCCGCGCCCGGAATCCCACTATTACGGTGTACTTGGGCCGCCTGGCTGGGCATGACACATGGTATCATCGCCTCCATCACTCGCTCACCGTCTCAATCCGATGATGTCATCTGTACCGAACCAACCAGCTGCCACCAACAGTCACGCAGCCCGACAACAAGGACCCGTCAACTGCCGATGTGACTCGACTTCGTTCCGGGTACTCACTTCGTCTATTCGACTGGCTCCTTCGTTTTGTCGTTCGCATCCCGTCGAGTGAAGGCACCAGTTTTTTACCCGCGCTATTCTTCGCAACTCCGCCCACTCAGGTGTATTCGATTCGGGCACTAACGGTGGCAATGCAAATGATGCCTATTGCTTATGTATGCTATCTAAATATACACTCCAATCAACACCAATAATACATTAAATTTACTCCCGCGACTTGAGCAGCTTGCTGTATGCAAGAAAAGGCAGTTGCGTCAGAAACGCTGTAGACTATTTATTCCCTATACTCCGCCTAGGAAGGCTTGATCGCTTGCCCGAGATCGACTCCCTGATATGCGGGTACCTAGCGCCCGATAGGCGTGTAGATTGTAGATACATCCTAGTATTCCTCCGGATATCGACGGTGGATAGCGCTGGGTCAACCTGGAGACGTGCAGATTATGACGGGGGAGTGCATGCATGATCTGAAACGTGTCTGGGGATGAGTCGGGGGCTAAAATATCTCAAACTCGGGGCTGGGGTGACTTGACTACGTATACCCTTGTCGGGGTCGTCGATTCTGTGCTCCTATTGAAAACTGCAGATGGGCCCTAATGCTCAATGACGGCAGTGTGGAGGAGCGCTGCTGTCACCGGGCCCAACTCATCTGGATCTACAAGCTAGGAGGACAAGAGGGATCAAAATAGTACCGCACCACTTGTTCGGTCTGTTTCATGTATGCAGGGTACTCTATAGTAACAAAAGGAAAAAGTATTGAGTGAGAGCACCAAGTCAAGCAAAAGAAATAAACACCACGAATGCAAAATGAATGTCAATACCCAACCAGTGCACCCGTCAGACACATAGACAACAAAAGATTATTGGGTGACCTAATTCCCGCAACGCAGGGGAATCTTGGTAGATTTCCTGCCATGTACCCTCGTTTTCGTCACCATCTTTGTCATGGCAGTTGTTGATGTAGTCGCTCTTCTTTTCCGTCTGGTCTTGTTGAGTCGCCACCAATGCACGATGACATTCTTTGCCCAGATGATCCGATCCCGGGTCTGGACGACTGCTGCGCATTGCCGCGCAACGTCCTTTGCCATTATCCGTTTCTGGGTCTCTCGGTGGTTAAGGACGCGTTGCCATGCGTTTTGGAGCACCAGCGTTGCGCGGACACGCTTAGCAACTGGAAGGAGTCTGGAGCAAAGGAAGGCGAGGGCTCCGGTTGTGGAATCGGAGTTGAGGATGCTAGGTCCGGAATTTGGAGAGACAATGTTGACTACAACTGTTAGCTATGGTTCGTTCTAGTGCAGGGGTCGGACTCACTGAATTGTGTACTGCACCCTAGCATTCGTAGACGATCTTCTAGGCTAGTCTTGCTTTCTGTTGACGCCGAGTCCTGGCTGGAGGCCAGGATGTACCTTTCATATTCATCCAAGATACACTCATAGACCGTGCCATCCACTAGGTTTGCAGTGAGGTTTTCGGGACTTAGCCCTCTCAGCTGGGTCACAAGGTAGGCCCATTGCTTGAGGAGCACTGGGGGGTCCTCGCTCTCAAAGTGTTTGTCTGTCGCCTCTGGGTTTCCAGGTTCTTTTGGCAGTATAGCTCTCTTTCGCAACTGGCTGATTTCTTCCCTCAAATCACCCATATCAACCAAACCGGATAAACCCCAATTGCTAACAAGGCCCCATAACAGTGCAATCGTCTTTTCACGATGTCCGTCGACGATGTCTGCAGCGCGGATGTTGCTGACAAGCTGTCTACCCTCATGCGTGGATGCCAACCCATCCAGGGCGGTTTTCACGTTGAACACCTTCACTGCGCGACCCAGACAAGGGAACTTAAGTTGTCGGGAAAGTGGCCGCTGGCAGTCATCCAAGGACGTTGAGGGATAAAGAAGCAGCTCCACAACCCTGGTCAGTCTCACACCATCTCTCAGGTCAACAGCAAGATTAGATATCTCGTACTCATACTCTTTGAGTGGGTGCTGCTCGTAGGTCAATTGGCAGTCAATTTGTGCAACAGCTTTGCCAACATCTCCACATGATGGTAGTAAAAATCGAGTTAATGCCTGGAGCACCGCAAGAGAAGACTTATATGGTGATGAGGATAGGAACAGGCAACGAGAAAATGAGGTCTCCGAGCATTCCCTGGCCTTGTCCAAAAGAATGACGAGCAGAATGCTGCGGTGAACAGTTCGGCGATACACAGCAGCCAAAGTTTCGCGGTCGTTCGTTCTAAACTCGCTGCTATTTCGATCCATATCCTGATTCTGCACAAGGAACGCATCCAAGAATTTTTCAAGTCGTCTCGTCAAAGTTCTCTCTTTCTGTGACGAAGCTCCATCCGTAGATGTATTAAAATTGCTCGAGCTTATTTTGTTAGCTGGTATTACCCTCCCAGTGACTGTCTCCAGTGCAGCCCTGAGAGCATTCGGCTCGTAAGTCTGAAGCCAAATATCGATAAACCTTCGCTTCATTCCCAAGTCCTGCCGAAGTCGACTATTTTTGAGGACAATATTTTGGGGTATTGATAAGGCACCATACATAAGTGACGCCTGGAGTCTTTTGTAAAGAGTGGTAAAATAAGCTCCCTGGTAAAACAGGAGGAACTCTTGTCGGAGTATGGCAGGCTCATCCACATCATGGCTGCCTGCGTCGCCAAAAAGCCCATTTATCAACTGGGTCAATATCACTTCCTGATGTGAAAGCCAATTGTCATCGTACATTGCAGGGTTCGTAATAGCTCCCGAAGCCAGTGGATACTGGTGGTTGAGACGCTTCAAACTAGTTCGATCGGTTGGGTTCATTGCCGGTCTTGATGACTTCAGGGAGTTTGACAAACTAGATCCTCTTTTAACCGGGTTCTTGGTCCCAATACCCAGAGACCGCGTCTTTTCAGTGATATCTGAAACTGATTTCTTGAGGGAGGCATCGCTAACAACCTTCTTCACGCCCTTATTGACCGTTCTCGCTGCAAGAGGCGTGGTAAAGCCATTTGCACCAGGGAGCATGCCCGGCCGATCTCTTACCGGCTTCGGTTGACCCAGTTTGTCGCCTGTGCCGTTACCCTGTGTAGTCGGCGAGAGCTTCTTTCCGTTGACCTCAATCAGAGCCATTCCGGGGGGTATGTTCTCCTTGCCGCCATTTCGCCCGGGTATATCAGACATAGTCGCCGACTCTTGAGCGATCTTCGAGCTTGGTTGCAGGGCAGCACGACAGGGAGACGACGTGACGAGCCGTTTCGCTTGTTTTTTCCTCGCGATCTGAGATTCGAGGCTGCCGACCTGGGTATTTTCGGAAATAGTATCTTCGAGCTTGTTAGACTTCAGTGGGCTAAACAGACCCATGAACACGCTAGCCACAGTTGTATCTTCCGGGGGTATGTAGACAGTGTTTCGCCGTACGTCCCTCTTTAACGCATCTTTGACAATGACCTTGTCTGCGTTTCCACTGATCCGCTTAAGGAGGTCATTATTTCTCTGGGCGTTCGGCTCCGTACTTCGCTTTTTAGGCTCAATCTCATCCCTCTGCTGTGAGTGTTTGAGTGGGCTAGGAGCGAAGCTGACTCTAGGACGGAACCTTTGTGCTGGCTGTGCAAGTAGGGATGATTTGCGAGTCGTGGTACTGATGGCCGGTTTGGGGTCCCTCTTCGGTCTAACCGCTGTTCGTGCAGGTTTCTCATCCTGGTCGCTATGTATGGTGAAAGACGTATTGTTCTTCGCTCGTCGTTTCGGTTTGGCTCCGGTGAGAACTGGAGGTCGGATTTCAGTTGTGAACTCGAGGTTCCTCGTGTCATCATAATCTCCGACGCCATCGTCCCATAGGCCATCGAATGGGTCACCTCCGTTGCCGCTTTCGTGGCTGGCTCTAGAGCCTCTCGACCGTCGCGGACAAGGTGTTCCAACTTCTTGCAATAAGCTGGACATTTTTGGATCAATCTGGCATGTGTGTTTGGACTTTGTAGGTTTGGAGCAGCCAGATGCTGAAATGATGCCGAATGGACGGCAGAGAGGAAGGGGGAGGATTTGGCTTAGTACACCAATATGTAACGTATGTTCGAGGACGCGTATCTATGCAAATTACAGTAAAGGAATTTAAAACTGAGGCAAACACTGGAAAATATATTTTATCCACTGCTACCCAAATCCAAGTTCAGCTGTCTGCCTGCCACGAGGCAAGACGCGGTGTTGACGGTTTGGCTGCAGGGCTGGTTGCACGGGGCAACCAGTACAGCGCGAGGCATGAAGGCCCGCTTCACTGATTCCAAGAATTCCGCGCTACGACACAGGCAAGTTGACAGCTGGGTTGGATCAGGGCGCCATCCTATTATATGATAATGTTGATACATTTGCCAAAGCTTAAAACTTCAAACCCTAGGAATAATGGGGAGGGCCAAAAAAAAAAAAGATATAACTCCCCCGAGCCGGAATCGAGCCGGCGACCTTTCGGTTACAAAGAAGTACTGATGTACCACGTGATATTACAGCCGAACGCCATATCCAACTAGACCATCGGGGGTTGTTATGACTACCGGGCGATTATTTGTTGTGATAAGGCAAATATGTCAAGATGTCAAACACCTCACCAGTGTTTTTACCCTTCACTGGCGGGCTGAATCGTCAGGCTATCAATCGTCATATCCATGCCCTTCCGAGAAGGAGGGGTATGATCTTCTCGTCCTTACGGATTAGTGCACGCGAGCAAAATTACTCTGTCCAAGAAGGGCAATTAAAACTACAGATCTTGGTAGAATCGACATTCCAGCTGAGCGAAGAGGGGGCATGGCTACAAACTATATATATTCCTACAGAACTCTCTTCCAGGGTCCATGGAGGCTATAGCAGCACTTCTGTTCAGACAACACAGGGACCAACTTGGCCCTGAGCTCGAAGTGTTCGAGCTGCCCTGCCTTGTGTGCCATGCTGAAACAAACCTTATACTGTATCTGGATCCGAGGGACTCTGATACATGCACCTGAAGTTTAAGTAGGGACCTCGGCCCACCACGGAGGGGAAGACATCACAAGAGTGTCTGACGAAATAAACACCAACCCCGACGATTCTCATCATAAATCTTGCGTTTTCCGTGGTTCCGCCCGAGATGCTCGGGGTATTTAGAGATTAATAGTGGGGCGAGTCGCCCAGTCGTTGAGCCGTTACTTTTACCAGCAGTAGCTCCGGCCAGGCCGTTTTTAAGGCCTGTGATCCCACCACTGGCACCCTCTCCCTTTCCCCAGACACGCCGCCAGCCGGCCAACTGATCTCCAACGTGGCCCTCTGCATTGAGTTCTGTCCTGCATATTCACCAGCCAGTGTAATAATTTGCACCCTGCAGCCTCCGAACCTGCTTGAAATAACATCCCTATTTTTGCTCGCATAGTCACCGAGCCTCCTCGCTTGATTTCCTTAATTTCGGCATCTGCTCCTTTTTGGTAGACAGTAGCGTCTCGTTCAGGAGTTCAGAGAGATGGCCCTGAAGTAGCACGTTGCTTTCAATAATATTCTACAAGATATAACTGCCCATCACGTCACCCGTCGCCTCTTCCACGTACTGCATACCGCCTGCTCGTTTAACGCGAGTCCGCTCCGAAGCCACCAGGACGCCTCCCCCGTTGACGAAACACACGGAATGAGCACAAGTCATGGAAGCTCTGGTCTACGAGAATTCGCCCTTGGCTGAATACCTACGAGGTTAGTTTGTCGATTGCTAATCGCTTTCGGACCGAATGGGACTGACGTTTGGGTGCTTCAGGAGAAGGTGAACACGACCCAAACTGGACCGTCAGAGAGCCCGAGAATAGAGACGACTTATCCGATTCGACCACTGCCGACTTCGCGCCCCGAGGAGCGTCAAGATTCCAGACGCGTATACGAAACAAACTCCCCAAACCCCTGAACCTCAAGGCCTCACGACAAACGGCTGCCTTGGGACGGCTATACGATGTCTGCGCTGTATGTTTACATCCCAACAATATACCGTGAAGAATATAGGTGCTAATGGTGACTCTTAGTCGGTCTTGAACTCGCGTCTTGGCCGGAATGACAACGAGAGGTTCCTGGAACAATTTGGTTACGTGATTGTCGCCTCACAGTTATTGAACGAACATAGTGCCCCCTCCTACACTTCCGCCAATGACGTTCTGTCCAATACGGCTCCAACAGACCTCCCTACAATATCTACAACGTTTGGCCTACAAGGCGCGTTCGTGACGGCCTCGACCTCATTCTCGATTGCTTGGTTATTACACTGGAGTCGACCTCGGACGGGAACGAGCATCAATCCTCGAAAAGTCGGCGTTTTGTTAGTGCTAGTCCCAGTGCTGGGGGTGCTGTTTTATGCCTTTGCAAGACGTCAATGGCTCAAATACCTGCGACATCAAGCTGTCGATGCAGCTGCCCATCTAATTGGCAATGCCCAGGGATTTGATTCCGCGGCGTCGGCATCTGTAGTGTTTATACAAGAGGTTGAACTGGTGTCGAGAGGCTACCGCATGCATGTATTCCCAATAGACATAACATCAAGTGAAAGCGATGTGCTAACCTGCTAATAGAAGTACACCACTGCCACCGATAAGTAGACTTGAAGACCAGACTCAGGTCCGGCGGTGCCTGAGACTTCGTCGCACCGTATCCGAATGCTTCTATTCCATGCTAGACCACTATATCCGGGCGCAGCATACACTAGAACCGTTATCAGACAGCTCCAACCTTGCGAAATATTACGACATTTATGACATTTCACCGGAAGAACTGGCGGAGATTGAAACCGCGTTTGGTGATCGAGAAACAGAAGACCAGTTTTCTTTACGAGGCCTTCGAACACTTTTTGGGCGGCTATATCTTGTCAGAAAGAGCATTCTTTGCTGTCTTTTGGCGCTCGGGGCAGACGGAGGCGGCTCCGATATTACGAGATGGAGCACCGCGGTTGAACAGATGCGAAATCTAACGACAATAACTGGCAACAGCATGCAAAGGATGACTCGTATTCTCAACGAAGAAGATAGTACGGCCGATGCTATACCGCCATCGCCACTCCCAACGGCTTCTCCAGGCAAAGAACGCCTTCGTTCTCAGTTTCGGAAACTGAACTCGCTTTCGCAAGGGATTCGTGCCCTTCACGCAAAGATGCACATCTTCAAGGAAGCATCTACCGGCGATTTAGATCGTACTGACACTAGTGAGCTAGAAGCGACACTCTTGACTCAGTATGAATCCATCGGAACCGATATCAAGAGCTTACTACAAGAATGGGAAGCCGGCAAGGCTAGTCTCACGAGTTTGGACAAGGAGACCAACTCCTCTCGCTCACGGCCGCCCAGTGGGCTTTTCCCCCTATCACCTACACCTAGCCTGGGAGGCACTACGGCGGTAGAAGGTAGTCCATCAGAGGCGCTGAAAGCGTTGAATGGCGAGAGCCGGCCAGTCTCAGGTATAAACTACAACATTGACGACGCCGAAGAGATCTTTGAGGCTGTCGCTCTTCCAGCACGAAAGAACAAACGGCAGTCCCTGACGCGAGAAGAGCGCATTGCACGGGTGAAAGAAGACCGAGCAAAACAGGCCGCTGCGAGAGACCGGACAGATGCCAATACTCACATGCTGAAAGAGCTCGAAATGGTGATCAAGCAGCGCCCCCGAACCGTACAATCGAAACGGGTCACAAGCCTCTGAACAACGGCCGGTTCTCTCTGTACGAAGCCGGTTTATTTATCCCTTTGCTTCTGCATATACCTTGACTTAGAACTCTTCCGTCGCTCGTCCCCAACCCCTGATTGATACCCAGACCGTATAGATTTGGCTGGAGCCTGGCGTTAAGGGTCTTTCTTATCTATTTTTTTTTTCTCATTTGTCTGGCACATTTTATTATTCGGGTTGGATACTTTGGATTTCGGTTGTAAAATACTTTATCCACTGTATCATATTATTATTCGGCTCTTGGGCGTTTTGTTGTGGGAAAACGGGATGACAGGTTTCCATTGTGTCACTATCACTACCGCCTCAGTATATACTATCAATAAACAATTGTTGAATACCGAATGCTTTTCCCATGGCTACCCCCTCCCAGCCTTGGTTCTGAGGCTGGAGCTTGGACACGGTGCTGCCGAACTAAGCCCAATTTGGTCTAATTAACACGACGCGTGAGCCATACACGACCCACCAGAACGCGAACATCTCTCTGGCCTTGACATTTCTCCCCTCCAGCTCTTTCACCACTCAATTCTCTCCCATATCACTCGTGAGTTCCCAGCAGCAGTCTACCTCTTCGATGAAACGGATCTGACAATTCCTTCCTCTATCCAGAATCAATCGATCTCCGCTTCCCCCATCTCCTCTCAATCACACAACCCCGCCTTCACCGCATCCTCACTCAACACAGTCCTCAAGAGTAAGTAGCTGGGAGCGGATTATTAGATTGGGACTTGTTTAACCAGGAGAACAGTGTTGGAAGCCCGCCTAGAACAAGCCAGTCTGCTCAAGCGCGTATGTATCAGCCCAATCAAGGATCGTGTATCCTGATCAGTTGCTCACAAAGCTCCCCACCATCTAGGTCGTTGACGCCATTAAAGATCTCGTACAGTACTGCAACTTCGATTGCAATGACTCCGGAATCGCCCTCCAGGCTATGGACAACTCCCACGTTGCCCTTGTGTCCATGCTTCTGAAGGCCGAAGGGTTCTCCCCTTACCGCTGTGACCGCAACATCCCTATCGGTATCGACCTGGTCTCCTTGACCAAGGTCCTTCGCGCTGCTCAAAATGAAGATATCTTGACCCTGAAGGCGGACGACTCTCCAGATGTCGTTAACTTGATGTTTGAGAGTGCCGAGACGGACAGACTCAGCGAATACGACATCAAGCTGATGGACATTGACCAAGAGCACTTGGCTATCCCCGAAACAGAGTACGCTGCTACAGTGGAGATGCCCTCAGCGGAATTCCAACGGATCTGCAGGGATCTCAATGCTCTTTCTGAATCTGGTGCGTGCCTTATCTTCGATTTATAGCGTAACTCCAAATTTGTTGGACTGTAACTGACTGGCACTACTCAGTTGTGATCGAAGCAACGAAGGAAGGCGTCAAGTTCTCCTGCTCGGGTGACATCGGCAGCGGTTCGGTTACCATCCGCCAGCACACAAGCGTTGATAAGCCTGACCAGAACGTCTCGATCGTTCTAAGCGAACCTGTTGCCCTCACATTCTCCCTTAAGTACTTGGTCAACTTCTGCAAGGCCACAAACCTCTCCAGCACAGTGAGCCTCTCGCTCTCCCAGGAGGTTCCTCTTCTCGTCGAGTATGGCCTCGGAAGTGGTCACCTGAGGTTCTACCTCGCCCCCAAGGTAAGTTTTCCCCAAGTTCATCCCAAAGACTTATGAAAGCGAAGAATGTGTACTAATGGAACTTCAACAGATCGGTGACGAGGAGTGAGCACGGGCCCAGTGATATGAATTGAACCATTATGATCACGAAAGGGATGCATCAAGGTGGAAATGATTACATACCTCTCCCTGTTTACTTTTTTTTCTTTCCTTTTTTCTCTACTGTCTCAAAATACTCCTGGATGTTTGACGTTATCCTGCTGAGGATGGAGGTCTTCTACCATAATATCCATTCTAGATATCAAGCGATTGATGGTGTTACGCGTTACTTGCCAATCGAGTTTTAGTCATGTCTGATTCGTAAACTATCTGATTCGTAAACTAGCCCGACATCTTAATTATTTTGCATGATGCGAGCATCGATCCACATATCTTAGGGCATCAGATCCCCAGTCGCCTTCCTTACACCCGAAAGCAGATCCGACAACCTCCCTCCAGGCTCACCCAACAACCCTAAGGGACTGACGCCCCAGACCCAACAAATTAGTAAGGTCTCAAAAACCACTCCTTCCAGTACCCAGTAGACGATCTCGTCTAACAGGCAGGGAAAAAACAAACTAACCTTGAAAAAAGGAAGAGAAGCGCCATCCCCCCAGAATAATCGGAATCGAATGATACCACATATACCAGCTAGTAGCGGTAGCTGGCGCAGTATGCTGCGTATTGCACTAAAGTGTCGTACCCCGGGAAGGGACACACACAATCTTCGCAACGACTCTCCCAAGGGGAAACCAGCAAGAAAAATAAATTTCCACAGCCCCGATGTTTCTGATGCCAATTGCAGATGTGCTCACACCAGACCCTTGCGGGTTGTACCAGCCCCTCTTCCTCAACCAAGAAGGCGAGGAAAAAAGAGGCGGGTTGGTGGGTTGAAGATTCCTCCGAATTTCTCATTTGCAGGGGGTTGAACCGGATGATGCGGAGTGTCATGCCGGTGACAGGACGGCAGGCATCCTGTCGTGTGTAGCAAAGAAACGCAGCATTGGGGGGATGGCGCTTGGGGGAAGAAAAGAAAAAGGTATTTTTTGCGATTTTTTTTTTGTTTTTGAGTCACCGTGATGGTGGGTTCACCGCCTACTGAGATGGGAAGAGGAGTTGAGTTTATCACGTGATGTATGGAATTAGTAGGCATTTGTTGTTTCAATTAAATTTGTTTTGCGCGAAAGTTCCTGAAAGTAGCGGCTGGGTCGCAATGATGATATCAGACCCGAAAGCATACTCAACGTCGTCTCCTCAAGGAGAAATGCAGGGTTCGGCTTCCGTGAGGCGGAGCAATTGTGCAATCAGATTGCTCGCATGGGACCTCTTCACTCGACAGGTCCAAAGTAGCCCAATAATGTGGCCAGTTATTTCAAGCAGAGGATGTCTGAGGTCCTTTTGAAACTCTGCAGTCTGCGTGGTTTGCGAGTTTGTATGTATTTGACGACAGATGCTGCCACGATTGCTTAAGTTTTATAGATCCCGGAAGCAACTATATATCTCGGGAAGGATTTACGCACGCGACCAGAGTTAAATGGATACTCACCGTTCAACTACAACCAAACCAAACCCCATCGTGAGTGTCCACAGGGCACAGGGTGCTACTGTTAGTCTGTCGACTCTTTCCGATCGCAGGGTTCGACATCAGACTATGTTCCCAGTTCCCACCCGCAGAAGCCACTACCCCCAGCCCTGCACGGCACAAAGTGGCTTGCGCGTTTCAACACCGCCACACTCCACGGCAACCGAGATGAGGTTTGATTACGCGTGGTCTGGACTCGGCCACTGTCCTTCTTTGCGTTTGTGATTTCATTCTGCTGTCGAGGCTCGAGCTATTGGACGACAATGAGGTGGAACTCTTGGCTGTTTCGCTGACGCAAGATTGGTCGATTTTTTGTGTTGACCCCCATACCTGAGATTCGATTGCACCACAGAGTAGGATCATTGTGGACAATTGTGGACGGGCTGGACGGCCTTCCCAATTGTTTTGACTTTTGCATAATATTGTGGTCTGTGGACAAATAACTGCTGATTTTGTCCTCGCATTCCACCACTATGACCCCCAATTATCGAACTTCTGCAGGGACTTGTGCCTCGCGGGCTGCAGGAGAGCACCTATAAATAGCGGGTGTGTTGCTAATGCGACGATCATGGTTCAAGATCAACAAGATAGTAGCAATACTAATCGACGACAAAAATAATGAAATCCACGTTGTTCTCGGGTGAAGATCGTGATTTGGTTCGGCTTTAGGGCTGGAATGAGGACGACTGCAACAGGGCTGGGAGAGAATCCGCGGCCATAGCTCAGGAAACGATGTTAATGAGAAACAAGTGCCCTTGGCTGCTGGATAAGCTGCGAGCCGTGTCGTCAGGGACGGGATAAGACCAGGCACAAGAATATTTTTAGAAGAATGACGGGACAATTAATTTAATGAAGAGCTGGACGGAGAGGGAGAAAGAGAAAAGGCCGCCGTTAGCTGTCAACAGTCTGGACTCGGGACCACGTAAAGCAGTCCAGTGCCTGGAGTCCCACCGGCTCCTCTGCTCCTTAAACCACGGTTCACAGCCAGGCAACTTGGGCTGGCCTGGAAATTACCGGAGTCTCCCGCTGTTTCGTGCCCCCAGCTTTGGAACGTTGGGTTTGATTGTCTTCATTTTTTGTCCGCCTTTCCTCATTCCTTCTGCTCTTCGGTCCTAGCCTTCATTTCCGCCGCGAGTCCGTCGATCTCCTTCATTCTTCTGGCCTCAAGATCCATTCGTTTTCTGTCGCTCGCTTCGTCCCCAGCTTTCCTGGTTTTCCATCACCAGTCCACCACCCTCGCCCTGCATCGCCTTAACGATCCATGTGAGCCTCCCCGCCCGACAAACCACGGCGTGTCACAGGCGGCTTGGCAATCTTGAGCACTCCCTGCAGCCTGAGGAAACCAAAGCCATCTTCTTCTCGAACCTCTTCTGCGATCGCTCTCCCTTTCTTCAACTCGCCCCATCTCCGGTCTGTCGGTCGATTCTAGGGGGCTTTATTGCGGCTTATACGATCGCTGGGGATCCGCCCCCCTCGGTGCTTGTCGGTCCGTTCGCGATCTGACTTGTCTTGACCTCAAAAAGGCCTTGGAAAAAACGAAGCCACGTCGAGGAGGCGGCCGTGGGACAGCAGGGCCCGATCTTCGAAACGAACTCACCACACTCCATCGTCCACGACGACTCGCTCCTGGCCTGCTTACCACCTCCGCGGTGGTAACCCGCCATACTGTACCGTCACTCCCTGAACGAATTCCCAGGCGACACCAGCTCCGTAACGGAGCAATTCGTCAAGATTTATTCCAACACATCGAGAGCCTCGCTCTTTGGCGGGTCGTTCGATCCGACTTTCAGGCGAGACCACGGAGGTTTTCGCGCGAGAGAAGGATACATAAATGTGACTCCACCACCGCCAAAAAGGAAAATGTATAAACCAAATACCATGTGGACATGGTCCTTCGCCATTGTCGCCTTAGTACAAACAATTATCACACTTGCTCTAGAATGGTATGTTATGTCCTGAAAGAAATCTCCGCACTTGATCCTTGAGGCTGACGCGAGAGGTTCGATGCTATAGTTATGTCTTCGCAAATTTCCAAATCCAACTCGAACCCAAGGCCGAAATGGTGACCTCATCAAAAACGATACCCACTTTCCTGGCCTTATACAGTTTCGGATTCATATATGAATTGCTCCTTGTGTATGATGCGCTTCGACTCAAGAACACCATTCAAATCATCGGTCTGTGTTTCTGTAATGTCGGACTATTGGTTTACGGTGCCGTACAGGTACAGCAAATCAAAGAAGCCGTGGGAGTTTTGACAGACAACGACGTTATCAACCCGGATATCTGGGAACAAACTCAACCATTTCTAATCATCATTCCAATTGTTGTGGCTATGGGTTCATTATTGATGACAATTGTCGCCTGGAAACTCTATGATGAATTTGCGTGGTCGATCTACAAACATATTAGTGCTGATTTACGTATGAAGCGTCGTTATTTGACATACCAGGTGTGTGGGATTGAACTCATTCATTCGGCATTTGACCTGAATACTGATACCTCGCTAGATTTACATCGCTCTCCTCAAGTTCGATTTTTTCTTCTTCCTCGGTTTTACCGTCCAATTCCTTGTCATCGTTACGATAAGAAAGGATAGCGAGTTTGCCCTCACCATAGCTGCTGTGCCAGTAACAATTCTGATCCTTCTCGCTGCGGCGTTCCTCGTGCGACGTGAGAGTTCATTAGGAATGATCGCAATTATTGTAAGCGCCCCCTATGCGCGGTCGATGTTGAAGCCATTAAAGCGACTTACTGACAACGATAGCTTCTTTATTTTGCGGCCATGGCGTACTTCCTTTTCAAGTTGGTTCGTATGTACCAGCCAGAAACCGAAAATGACTATACACCGGCCCGGCGGTCTCTGACATTCTTCGCTGTTATCACTCTAATCCTGATTGTGATGACCATCATAAATGCTTGTATATGCATGCACAACTTCAACAAGGGATTGAAACCTCACATCAACAAGAAAAAGAAGGATAAGGAGGCAGAGAAAAATTCTACCGAGTTGACGGCCGTTGATGGCCAAGTGATGCCCGGCCGAATGATGATTGATTAGTGAACGAGGGTTCGTTCCCCTTCGACTGGCTGTTGTTTATTGGGTCGATATATATATATATATGCCACCCAATTGGCCATGTATCGACAGGAATATTGAACTACGGCGGGCGTCTTTCGAATATTTACAACATGATACCTTTTCCTACATTACTCGGGGTTTGTTATGACTGCTTACCATCTATACAGTCTTGGTTGTTTATTTTATTCCTTGATTCTTTCATATGTCAGTTCAAAGTACCCATAGCGTTTGCTTGATGAATATCTCTATGCTGCGGCTATCTAGCTACATTCATGTCACATTATCACGACTATATTCGATATTTCCTGTAGGTATTTTTCTAATAGCTCATTCACATATGAATGTCACCCTATTCACCTGATATTTAACTTATTAGTATTTGGTTCACTTTAATTATGTAGCACATCAGCTTGCTCATTAGTCGAGAAACCGTCGATTTGTCCGCCTGGCAGAAGGTGAAATATTATTACCCAGTGGGTGCAGAGTAAAGAGATTTCATTGGCCAAGTGAACCGGGGGATCAAAAGATGACAATACGTGACGATACCTGGCCAGTGAAAGTGATCGTGTCCTTTCGACAACTCCAGACCTCACCTCACCAGTTCTTAACTTCGACTTTCCTCCTCCCCCCTTCCTCTCCTTGTCTTCTCAGTCAAAAATTTCTTCTGCTTCTCAACTTTATTTCTGTAATTTATATCGACCTTCGCTTCCGCTCTGCCCGCTCATTTCGTTTCGTCTCACAATGGTGGGTGACCCTTTTTGTCGATCCTCGATCCTCGAAGCAGCTGCTTCATATTCCGGAGCGAATCCATCTGCGATTCTCCCCTATGCAGCCTCAATTGAGTCAATATCGCTAATATGGCCTCTCCTCTCTAGGCATCTCCTCGCGCTGCTTCCCCTCTGACCTCCGGTGCTGAGTCTGGCCCGGATTCCAAGTCCGCTGGCGCCGCCGCTTCCGCCTCCTCGGTCAACCGCCCTTCTTCTCCCACTCCTCCTGGCGGTCCTCGGGCTGCTTTGCGTCGCCGCGCGGCCGCCGACCACAAGGAGTCTCTCCGAAATGTCCGTCCTAGCTCGACCCGCTCCGCCGGCGCTGGTGGCTCCTCTAGCACCATGCTCAAGCTGTACACGGATGAGAGCCCTGGTCTGAGGGTTGACCCCGTTGTCGTGCTGGTTCTCAGCTTAGGCTTCATCTTTTCCGTTGTTGGTCTCCATGGTATGTGTTTCCCTCTATGGGATCCGATCTTGATTCGATCGAAGACTGACTTGTGTGTGCCCCTTCAGTAATTGCCAAGATCACTCGCAAGTTCTCCTCGTAAATTGCGCAGCTATGACCGACCTATCGCCTCTTTCGCCATCTCATCTCGTGATCGACCGAGTTTGATGTGTGCAGAATGGATACTGGACGTTCGTCTTGGCAGTATGATCGGTTCAGGATTGTTGAATTGTCGTTACTTGCTCGATGAATATACCGGTCGTTCCGCAACCCATCGACTTTCGAGGAGCGCGAATAGAACTCAAACGTTTCTGAACCTTCGAAAACCATATACCCCGTTACTCTACACTGTTTCGTTCCATGCGCCGGCGAGCCTGGGACGCACAGTTCCTCGAAACCCACCTTGCCCGAATTTTTCCTTGCTGGAGCTCTTTTAGAGCCAATACCCGTCTGCAGTATGGGTTTTGCGTTAAATATTATTATTTTTTGTTTGCATTCGGTGCTCGGTATCGCATAAAGTCAATGCAGAGTCAGTCAAGTTAGTTACAATTGGGAACAATGCATCTGTATATTACACTAGTCTCGCCAACTAAGGATCTCGGTACGACGTAGTCTCACCTCACGGATTAAGGAGATCTCTCGTTCGCTATCGGAGTACGGTTCGATGTATATCCGTGGTGTATCTCGCTTGACCCCAGACTGAAACGTACCTATGATCACCCACGCTATGGCGCTAGGTAGCCCTGCAGTAGCTAGAACATGGAGAGCCTGGATAAGAACCCCCTGTTTCCAAGGAGCCGGCTAGCGAGGGATCCGCCATATGCGCATGTATTGTCCTGTGAGTTCCCCAGACCCGGGGAACATTGGCGATGGCCGGACTAACCGCGATAGGCGTACCAGAAGAGAAGCCCCAGTAATCGTGCGGCTTTGAAATCGAATAGCGTTGCGCTGTTCGAATACGTATTATTATATATGATTCTATCGAATGGGAGCTGAGCATAGGTAGGTATACTCCGGATGCGGAGCTCGAGTCACAGCTAGCTGGGGGTAAGCCATGGGGAACATGCAAAACAACCCGAGCATGCAGTTATCGATTATTAGTGGGTGATTAGAGTAAAAAGCCGTTATCTCGACCGTTTACGTCTTCTGCTCATAGTGACAGCTTCCACGGCCGACGGAACGGTCTGTCGGGTCTGCTTATCAACCTGCTCTCCCGCCCAATAGAACCGCTCGAGATTTGCTGATAAGAATGCAATTCGCCAATGACAACAAACCACCAGCACTCCGTCTCGTTTACCACGATAACGATATGGACCTAGGTCAACCTGAGCTTAATGCTATTCTCCCGCAGGAATCTGGCGGAGTCGACCGTGAAAACGATGGGAGCCCTACTGCCAAGCTTCGATAGACATGGGTGTCCTTATCAATGCTTGCTGTTCGGGCTTATACCCCAGGTCCATATATCGTTTTTATTTATCATCACATCGACAATCATTTCTTGACTATCGCCGCGGTCTGCGAAGAGGCTTAATTGGGTTTTCTGCGGGATCGGAGGTTTATGGCCTTATATCAGCCACTCGCTCTGCATTGATGTCCTCGTTTGCTGTCACAAGAAAAATTACTGCAGAATACTTACTTATTTGGGACTGCAGTCCTTTTAAGTTCTCAGCTGCGTTAGCAACCTCACGCCTCGCTTGCCTTCTTTGATATATCCAAACATGGTTGCTGTTACTGCAGGCCCTGATGTACAGGGCGTCGAGACTGTCACATTTACTGCTCCCCTTTCCCAAGGGTTTGGTTATGGTATTATCATTGGGCTAGGGTTCGCCTTTGCTCTGGTGATGATCTTCATCACCTGGGCTCTCAAGAGGTATAACTACAGTCCCAACGGGATATTTGAATAGCGTTGACAATAAATAGGTACCAGCATGAAGTTATAACATCTGAGATGTTCTCCACCGCCGGTCGAAGCGTAAAGTCGGGATTGGTGGCCTCAGCGGTTGTGAGTAGTTGGACTTGGGCTGCTACCCTTCTGCAATCGTCCGCCGTGGCCTACCAGTATGGTACTTCGGGGCCTTTCTTCTATGCATCCGGTTAGTTCTTCACAACGGCATAGCAACAAACCAAAGGCTCAATACTGATAAGTTTGAATAGGCGCCACGGTCCAGATCATCTTGTTTGCAACGCTCGCTATCGAGCTCAAGAGACGCGCACCCAACGCACATACCTTCCTGGAAGCAATCCGTGCTCGGTACGGTACCGTGGTGCATATTGTGTTTATCATCTTCTGCTTGATGACCAATATCCTCGTTACTGCCATGTTGCTTACCGGTGGTGCTGCGGTTCTGAACTCCATGACTGGAGTTCCAGTGGTTGCTGCTTGCTTCCTGCTACCAATTGGTGTGGTGCTTTATACACTCTTTGGAGGTATCAAGGCTACTTTCATTACTGATTACATGCACACGGTTGTCATCATCGTCATCATTTTTATATTCTCATTCTCCGCGTACGCTACTAGTGCTAAACTCGGCTCTCCTGGAAAGGTGTACGATTTGCTGGTCCAGGCTGCGCAGCGTAACCCTGTCGAGGGAAATGCTGAAGGAAGTTACTTGACCATGAGGTCCAAGAACGGTGGTATTTTCTGGGTTATCAACCTCGTTGGAAACTTTGGCACCGTCTTCCTAGACAATGGATACTACAACAAAGCCATTGCCGCGCATCCAGTCCACGCTTTCCCTGGGTATGTCATCGGCGGCCTCTGCTGGTTCGCAATCCCCTGGCTCTGCGCAACGACAATGGGTTTATCTGCCCTCGCCCTTGAGGGTACCCGCCGCATCGCCTCAGTAGACGTAACCGCAGGCCTCGTGCTCCCCTTTGCCTCTGTCGAACTCTTAGGCTACAGCGGTGCGGTCTGTACAACCCTCATGATCTTTATGGCCGTCACCTCCGCCTTCTCCGCGCAGCTCATCGCCGTCTCCTCAATCCTCACCTACGACATCTACCAAGCCTACATCCACCCCTCTGCAAAGGGCAAGCGTCTCGTCTGGATCTCCCATCTCTCTTGCATCGTCTTCGCAATCGTCATGGCCGGGTTTGCCACAGGCCTCCACTACGCCGGCATCGGCATGGGCTACCTCTACCTTCTCATGGGCGTCATAATATCCTCTGCCGTTTTCCCAGGCGCCATGACCCTCGTCTGGAAAGGCCAGAACTGGATCGCTGCCGCCGCATCACCGGTCCTCGGCCTCGCAATGTCCCTAATCGCATGGCTTGTCACAACAAAAACCCAGTACGGCGTCTTCACTGTGGAATCCACCGGCGCAAACTACCCCATGCTCGCGGGAAATGTCGCCGCCCTTCTCAGCCCCGTCGTGTTCTCCCCTGTTCTTACATATATATTCGGACCCCAGAACTACGACTACGAGTCCATGCGCGCAATCCGCAAAGTCGACGACTCGGACGTCGCGGCCGCCGCACACGTCGACCTCGAACTCATCCCCGGCGAGAATCAATCACCGAGACGAGAAGAAGAAGACGAAGAGGAATTGAAGAAACTCAACAAAGCGGCTTTTATGTCTCGTGGGTTAACGATCGGCATGGTTATCTGCTTCCTTCTCCTCTGGCCGATCCCTATGTATGGCTCCGGTTATGTCTTCAGCAGGCAGTTTTTCACCGGGTGGATTGTTGTAGGTATTATTTGGCTGTTTGGGACCGCGTTTGGAGTTATCCTTTTCCCGTTGTGGGAGGGGAGGGAGAGTATTGTACGCACTGCCAGGCTTATGGCCCTTGATGCGATGGGGAGGAAGAAGGCTGCGTTGGAGGGAAGGAGTGGAAGTGGGGGTGAGGTTGAGGAGAGTATACCCTCCGGAGTTGCTACACCGACTGAGAAAGTTGCTGCTAAACGGGATGCTGTTTGATTTTGGGATGTATTGATTTTGAAGCGCCTGTATTATTGATTATATATGTTGGTCAGTGCGGTTGGCTTGGTTGTCAGTTCCTGTTGCGTGTGTTTGATTACCTATACCCCTCTCGGTTTTGTCGATGCGACTTAACGATGCCATACAGTAAATGGCTTGATTACACTCAAACAGATGATGACCGTCCTTTAAATGTTACGGTTGAGCAATTCGGTAGTAATGTCATTAATGATCCATCGTCAAGGTACAATACATTAAAATGAAAACAGAAGAGAACCCCCAGCCCCAAAACTCAACAAGCCATGCTTTAACCGAAGTATCAAGCAACAAAAAACAGCATTATAGGAATAATTATCGAGAACGTGAACATCAACTACAATCACTTATACCCGTACTGCTGCGGAGGCGGCGATGTAGCGCCAGACGCCACAGGCGGTCCTTGCATTTGCTGCCCGGCCTCTCCTTGCGGTGGCGCTTGCTGCGGTTGTTGATACCCCCCGAAGTACGCATTTGGCGGCGGTTGTGGGCCATAGCCTGCATTTGGCGGAGCCCTGGTTTCTGGGGTTATATCAGGGCGGTCGCTTTTTTTCCGTTTTTGTTAGTGGACTCCATGGGCTAAGAGCGGACGTCAGGTGGGAGACCTACCGTAAGTCTTGGGTGAATCGGCACGTATAACAGGTGACTTCCTTGTATTTGTGGATTGCCATTGGGATTAGAGGCTGCAATGTGAGGGTATGTTAGTATCTTCCACTTGCCCTATTGGAGAAGGATGATAATCCAGAGGTGGGTGTCATACAATAAAGCACACTGTGAAGAACGGCCTATGCTCACTATGTTAGCTTCAAAGTTATTTAACCTAGAGCAGGAGACAAACCATCGGGTGATACACCGTCCATTGTAATGTTGGCCTGTCATAGTATAGAGTAATTAGTCATCGTGGCTGGATCCAGGAACCGCCGACCGGGGCTGGGGTCCAATGCGCTCGCCGAATGGCAACCATAGATTTCCAAACAGGGATAACTCAAGACGTACAGTTATAGCAAAAAGCTCTAACATTCTCGTAGCCCTCCAGCATGGAAGTAAACTCTAAGAACTAGTTAGTACGTCTGCTCAACTGTTGTGGTGGATATCGGGCCATCCGATGTTCGCATGGAACCGGTGGAGGGCTATGACGAAGGATCCAGCTAGGAGTAGTAAGGTAGAACGAACCATGTGTTCCGAAGGTGATACAGATGGCCATGCTGGATGGATCTGAGTTCTGACTGGGATATTTGGACGACAGGAAGGGTGATTTCTTGGGATTGTACTTGATATTTGGTTTATAAAGTTTTGGGGGTCCAGGAATGGGCAGAAGATTGGTTTGTCACAGGTGTGGTGAAAGGGTGAAGGCAGCACTTATTTAACTGGGAACGGAAGTGTTGACGTGTGGCGCTGTGGCTTAGGCACCTCTTGGCGGGTTTGATTATGAGGATTGCATGGCACTGGCAGCACGTGCCATTCCGCTTTCTTGGGATTTTCTTATGAAACTTGGCCTTGTTATTCACTTGCAGAGTTGAATACTTTATTGGAATAATCGGCAAAGTGAGGAGTTGGTTATGCATGTGTTTACGTGGCAGGCATACGGCAGGATCTGGCGTGTTCTCGACTATAATTCCAGAGAGATTTATTTTGCCAATAATAACACCGAACAGTAAACTTAGTAACAGAAAAAGCACGCGGAGGTAACTATAAAGTGCTCTGGTTTCAATACACCCTCTCGCTGTGGTTGGGGAATCGTGACAAAGTGGTATGGGAGCCTTGGAATAGCATACGCCATGGTATGCTGTGAGCTCCGACGGGCGATTTTCGGTTCGAACCGTAGTATATGGGTCTGATGCCCGTTGTAATCTATTGTGTCTTGAAGAGTAGGATGGCGCAGTGACCGAGATAGAAGTAGATAAAATGCTTCGTTTCTGGAAGGGGAAAGGGTCAGCATATGCTTTATGTCCGGCATCATTTGCGCGGTGACAATTACCGTGCGTGACAAAGCTGCCAAAGTTCCTTCCGACCACACAGTGCCATGTAGCACCTTTGCGAGAATCAAACTGTTTCCTTGTAAGACCCACTAGTCATCGTAGGAATATCGGGGATCGCGGACTTCTCTCTTGATGTATTGAGCAATATCCTAGCCGCAATTAGCATCGAATTGACCACGCAGCGGAAAATATGGCATACCTTCTCAATGTGGTACTTTTCCATAGCCTCGATAGCTAAACAATTAGCCTGATTCTCCTGGTTCGACCAAGTAGTCCATACCGACTTCGACAGCCTCCTGCTGCATATCTTCCGACTATCACATCGTGAGCGTCAATTTATTCACTTGGAATAGATGGGCCTTACCATGTCGACGGATTTAATTTGAGCTTGCATTGATGTTAGTTGGTCTATGGGGAAGCTTGTGGAATTCCGACACTTACGCTCGAGCTTGTCCTTCTTTTCGGAGGCCATTTTGAGGAGTAAGCGCAATCGGCGATACAATCAAATTAAAAGAAAGAAATGGTAACGACTAAAGTCCGCAATGATTAAGATCTTTAATCTAAGGCGTGGTTTAGACGGGTCGTATGTTTGGTTGCGCGCTCTGGAAACTCCGCGAGTGCTCAGTGCACAGACCACCACCCACCTTTCTCACCGCCCTCGGTCCTATGAAAGCAGAAAAAAAAAGCCGCCAAAAAGTTTTCTGGTTGCAACTTTTCATTCCACTGAGTGGCTTTGAAAAGGCCACAAAACTCGATCATGGAGAGCACAAGAGTGTTTGTCTCGGGCCTCCCGCCGACTTTATCCAATGAGCAACTCAAGAAACACTTTGCAACTCGCTTCCAGGTTACGGATGCTCATGTCCTGCCGAAACGCAAAATCGGCTTCGTGGGCTTCAAAAGCCCCGAAGTCGCCCAACAGGCTGTTTCCTATTTCAATAAGACATTTATGAAGATGTCTAAGATCTCAGTAGACATTGCTAAACCAGTATGTCTCCCTTTTTGTCTATTTGTTTTTGCATTGTGTTTTCCCCGTCGAGCTCGCTGACCGTTGAAGGTGGTCTGTAGCTGACCAAGATGATTCTAGATTGATTCAGAGCCTACCAATGATTCCAGAAAAGCCGACAAGAACAGTAGAACACCTCTTCCTAGTGATGCCTCCGGAAGTACTCTCAAGCGTAAACGCGATGGGGGAAATGCCCCTCAGGATCCCAAGACGCAAGAGTATCTCTCCTTGATACAACAGCCATCCAAAACTAGAACATGGGCGAATGATGATCAAATACCTGCCCCGCTTGAAACAGACTCACATTCAAAAGAGCAGCCTGCGGAAGTTGATGGTGACACTCAGGAGGAATTGACCTACGCCCAGAGGAAGAAGGCGAAAATGGGTCGGGATCCGAGGGAGAACTCGCATACTTCAGAGAATGCTGGCTATTCACCGACAGCTGATGAGGACGTTCAGCCTGTACCCGAAAAGGATCAAGAGGAGCAAGAGTCCCAGCAAGAGGACCAACCCCCGGCGCCTGTGTCTGACTCTGATTGGCTTCGGTCAAAGACAAGTCGTCTCCTGGGCCTCCTCGACGAAGATGAGCAGGCTGCTTTTGAGCAACCCGCTGCACCCGTGAACGATACGCCGGCTGGTGGCTCGGATGTTGACATGCCCAATGCTCCAAGTCCCGAGAGGCCAGCCGTGAATGACTCGGAAAAAGCGCCTACAGCTGCAGAGGTCGACATAAACATCGAAAACATCCGCATTTCAGCACGACTCTTCATCAGGAACTTGTCCTACGAGACAAGAGAGTCTGATCTCGAGCCGTTGTTTTCGCCATTTGGAAAGACAGAAGAGGTAAGATTGATGTCCCTTTTTCTTTTTTTTCTTTCTTTTTTTCTGTTTCATATTTCCCTCCAGATACACTTCATGGTGTAATCGCTGCTTGAATGATGATATACTCCTGATAGGGACATCCGATGCAAACGCAAGTGATGTGAAATCAGAAGAGAGAATTTTAGTAGATGCCTCTCGTTATCTGATAAAGCAGCTTCCTTAACTGTGATGATTTGTTAGCCTCCATTGAAACAATTGCTGATGTTTCATTTCCTCCAGATTCATGTTGCTTTCGATACTCGATCCACCATCAGCAAGGGATTTGCCTATGTTCAGTATGCTGATCCGGACTCAGCTGTTGAAGCGTACAAAAACCTCGACGGAAAACACTTCCAGGGTCGATTATTACATATACTGCCGGCGTCACAGAAGAAGACATACAAGCTGGACGAGCATGAGCTCTCCAAGCTGCCGTTGAAGAAACAGAAGCAGATTAAGCGAAAACAAGATGCATCCTCTTCAACTTTTAGCTGGAATTCGCTATATATGAATGTGAGAGCGTACAACCCCGTTTTGTAGCAGGTGAACGTTTGCTAACCTATATAGGCGGATGCTGTCATGTCTTCGGTGGCGGAGCGGATAGGTGTTTCCAAAGCTGACCTGTTGGATCCTACCTCTGCGGATGCTGCGGTCAAGCAGGCCCATGCTGAGACTCACGTAATCCAGGAGACGAAAGCTTACTTCAAAGCAAATGGCGTAAATCTGGACGCCTTTAAAGAGCGAGAGCGTGGAAATACGGCAATTCTCGTAAAGAACTTTTCGTATGGCACAAAGAGTGAAGACTTGCGCAAACTGTTTGAACCCTTCGGGAAACTCACCAGGCTATTGATGCCCCCGAGTGGTACCATAGCCGTTGTGGAATTTGCGCGACCTGATGAAGCGCAGAAGGCCTTCAAAGGTCTCGCATATCGCAAACTTGGAGACTCGATTATTTTCCTAGAAAAAGCACCAAAGAATCTCTTTGATGCAAATGTTTCACCGCAAGCGCCGCTGCCTGAAGCTAAAACCGTTTCTCAAGGTTTTTCAACTGCGGATACTTTTGCAGCAGACGAAGGTGATGAAGAAAACTTGGCCACTGCGACGCTATTCGTCAAGAACCTCAACTTTTCTACAACTAATCAGTCCTTAGTAGAAGCCTTTCGGCCACTGGATGGCTTCGTTTCTGCTAGGATAAAGCTCAAACCTGATCCTAAGAACCCCGGCCAAACACTGAGCATGGGTTTCGGTTTTGCCGATTTCAAAACCAATGCCCAGGCCCAGGCTGCTCTTGCTGTGATGAATGGCTATACCCTTGACCGACATGCATTGGTAGTTAGAGCATCCCACAAAGGTATGGATGCAGCAGAGGAAAGAAGACGCGAGGACACAGCAAAGAAAATTGCTGCACGACGAACCAAGATCATCATCAAGAACTTGCCGTTCCAGGCCACGAAAAAGGATATCAGATCGCTTTTTGGCGCGTATGGCCAGCTCCGTTCTGTGCGGGTCCCGCAGAAATTCGACCGGTCTGCTCGTGGTTTCGGTTTTGCTGACTTCGTAAGCGCTCGCGAAGCGGAAAATGCCATGGACGCGCTGAAGAACACGCATCTTCTTGGCAGAAGATTAGTATTGGAATTCGCGAACGAGGAGGCGGTCGATCCGGAGCAGGAGATCGAGAGGATCGAAAAGAAGGTAGGGGAGCAGCTGGACAGGGTCAAGCTCCAAAAGCTCACGGGAGCCGGGCGCAAGAAATTCACTGTAGGGGCCCAGGACGAGGAAAGCTAAAGTCCCTTCTCCCTGTGGGTAGGTACAAAAAGCAGGTTGACCTGCGCGATATCATCCCTTGCATCCCGGAGAGAAGCAGCGGACACGTTCCTGTCAAGTACCTACATACATACGCGTCCTGCAAAGTGCCGCCAACTCCGTGCTTCCGAAACTCAGATACCCTGTATCCCACTTCTATCTTGGTGGGATCTTTTTCAATATCAATATCTCCTTAACTCCTCTACAACTAGGTGCTCGCACCCTGGATATCCCAAATTCTCCGAGGGCTCTGAGCTGTGCGCTCTGGCATTCCGGACGTGCTTTTTGTAATACCCTCTACATTCCTCATACATGGCAATGCACGAATGTTGATTGATCTGCTGCATTCCGCGGTGCGGTCTTTGCCACTCATACCTCTATCGTTAGCTCATTTACACCGATTCTGTAGTAGGTATCGACGTCTATCTTCGGAATTGTAAAATCCCCGAACAGACGTTGACTGGATGGTGCTCCCCTGGATGCCCCTTGCATTAGTTTCCCTCAGGCTTCGCCGCGTCTGATTTGCTGCATCACACGAGTCACTGTCTGCCTTTCTTCGTGACCTTGGCCGAACGCGTGAACCTCAGCAGGAGTTTCCCCCGCCTTGAGGACAGTTCAGGTAGCCCTCGAGGGGGTATGGACCCCCAAACAAGCAGCGTGTTCCAACAATGCTATTACTGGGGATACATTCGTCGTCCCCCTCGAGGGGATTCCTGACCTTGAGTATAAACACCATGCTGCTCGCTTTCCACATTCTCTTTCCCAGGCTCTGACATTCTCCTCAAGCATCTACGTTCTTCATTGCTGTTTTGTCAGCTTTGTGCGTTCTTTGCCAGACGGTAAACATTTGGGCAGTTCTCAGTATCTTGTCTTTGGAATTTGTTCTCATTCTTGAGAGCAAATCTTTTGGGTCTGCTCCATGGCTACCGACTGGCAACCCGAGTGCATGGTATCCCAAAACCAAGCAGCTCTGGAGAGCGTAGGGGCCCATTCAGACCGAGCTCTTCAGAATACGTCTGGGAACGTACAGGCTTACTCTGATAGCCTCGCTCACAGTGATCCTGCTGGACGTGATGACCACCTCCAGCAGTTCACCCTCAAGTACCCTCACCCTCCTGTCCCCAGTCACCCACTGCCGACTGCTCCTACCAGCCTCTATCATCCCCAGTATCTAAGCCAGCGATACCAGGCTAAGAAACTACGACGTCTTCAATCGAATGGGTCTTCATTTGCCGGTTCTCGCCGAGCTAGGAGCTACCTCAAATCGCAGAAATACCTGGAATATAGGGCTCGTCCGCGTCGAGACACTGGTAAAGATGGAGAACCAGTATGGTCGGACGAACTGGAGGACGCTTTTCAGCAAGGTAAGCAAGCACTGTTTGTTATTCAGTTTAACCAAACGCTAACTATACCCATAGCACTTGAGGCAAACCCACCTATGGGTAGACGCAAGTGGTCCGAACGTGGAAAGTCCTACGGCCGGAACGAATTGATTGCGGAATACATTTACAAGTTGACAGGAAAACGCAGGACCAGGAAGCAGGTATCTAGTCACTTGCAGGTTCTTGATTCATTCCTCAAGGGAGACCCTGACTGTAAGATGCAAAACGCGGTCTTGGGTTTATTCTTAATCTGACAAGTTGCACAGGGGAAAGACTTGTGCGGGAACAACAAGCAGATCGCGCAGCTACCCAAGCTCAACCAGCTGGACCGAGATGGAGAGCATCCATTGATAGCCTGCCCTCGAGCCACTACAGCAGTCATGTAACCTCTTCTTACCCTGAGCCCATGAGGTATCAGCCTCCATACACTTCGGACTTGCAGCTACCTCAGTATCCTACATCAAATCATCAAGATACGAACCCCAATGCAGTCCATGGCCTGAGCTTTGACATGTGGGTCAGCGCTCCAAACAAGCCCGATCGGATTGATGATGCCTTCCATATCTATACCCGTCTTCAGGGTGACCAACGCCAAGCGCCCATGCCCCTGGAGGAATTGAAGAACTGGCGGTTGTCATTTCCTCTCTTGAACACATCAATTTCTGACGTGACCGATGCACTGAACTGTGAAATTATTCTTCTTGAAACCAACCTTGAGCTGATGGATGACTTCCCTCCCATGGGCTCAAGATTGGGAATCCAACTGGAACTTGACATCGCAAACCCTACCACTGGAACCGCACCTATGACCAACCAAATGGAGAACTGGACTTGTAGGACTCACATATACGAAGACGGTAGACGAACAATGGAGGCATATCATAATATCGCTAAGCCTCATGGCACCAAGGTCAAGCCGCCCTTTGAGTCATCATGGTGGGCGAAAACATTCACCTCGTTGACCCAGGAAAAGCGTGAAGTTGAGAATACCGGACACCACCACACTGCTGATGAGCGCACTCGGCGCTACTTCCATACTCTGACTGCAGTCCAAGAGATCCGGGCTACTGTCCCTCCTCACCTGCGACGTCTGCAGAACTCTTATTCAAGTTCCACTGGCGAAGAAAGTAAGAGAATGGCCATCATTCTCTGGAAGTTCCGCCAAACACGACCAAACGAGGTCGGCACTACGACATGGCGGAGGCTCCTCACTTCTCCTGACCGTGCCTTGACTAATAGCCCAAGACCAACGACCGCTATTGATCTTCCTCCGCTATCCCTAGATTCGATTTTGCTTAGGCCCACCCAGAGTGTTTATCAGACGCCCCAGGCACCTCAAGCACCTCAAGCACCTCAGGCCACCCAGGCGCACGATTTACTGCACCATACCGGCTCATCGCACCAGCACTGGCCTCTGTACCAACCCTCCCACGACCACATTACTGGCCTGTACAACACTGCTGGAGCCTTTGATTTCCTCAACAGTACTACAAAGGCTGAAGATGGGCTATCAGATAAGGCCGCGTCTACCTCAGTGCTTGATCCTTTTCCCAACCTGCAACAGCAGCAGCAAGCCACCAGTCAAGCCACCAGTGTCAACGGTTCCAGTGGCGGTCCGGTGATGCTACAAGTCCCTGACCTGCCCCTCCCCCCAAACCTTGGGACCTACGGGCTTGGCTACGAAAGCCACTATGTGCCATCGCAGCACCAGGGAGGGAGCTTGCACGACCACAATAGCAGCAATGGACTGAGCAGTTTTTTCGTACCAAGCAGCCAGTCACTGGACGACATTAGTCACAACCATGCACCATGGTCAAACCCTAGTACCACTATTCCTGGGGACACCAATGGCGGAAATTACCACCATCTCCCGTACTCTTCATCTGATCATTCGGTTGCGGTATCTCGGGAGCCGCACCAACACCACAACAGTTTCGAGGGGTTATTGCCCCCAGATGATCTCGTTGGTATTGTTGGAGGGATGTCTGGCGATCCTGGTATGAATGGGGCTGGCCCTGAGCATACTACTTCAGCGTATACTGAACATACTGCTGTCGAGGCCGCATAGGGGCTGGTAGGAAAGATTTAGGGCTGCATCTGCGGCGACCGCGATCCTGCGTAATATTAATGATAATCATGGCTGCACAAAAAAGTGTATAATTCTTTTATATCTTTTCTATTTCTTTATTTTTACCTTGTCTTTTTCCTTTCCCTTCTCTTACCTTCCTTTCCTTCTTATTTTCCTTTTGCTTCTTCTTGTTTTTTTCTCTTCCGCTCTTATGATTCCCTGCCCCGCTTTCTTTTTCTCTTGTACTCTAATGGTGGAGCACGATGTATGGTCTTAAATGCTTTGGGCGTTTTATTATGCAATTCTTTCCCGTTTTCGGTCTGAGATAGCCGCGCCTTCGTTCTAATGGAGTGAAATAACCCGAGCTCTTTCTTTTCCAATTTCCAGGATCTGATTTCTCCGATTTCAGAGGCGGGAAATCCGTAGAGATTCTGGGCCCTGAACCAAATATCGATTTATCCGGCGTCGATTTTAGCCGGCGCGATTCTTCCTCACTCTTCCCTCCCCACAAGGCTTCAATACAGCCGGTTCATTTTAGCCTCCTTTGCATTCTACGGCCCAGGTGGCCTGGCCGCCTGCTTGCACTTTATCCTTTGGGTGCGGAGGAGGGGCTCATGGGGGGTAAATTTGTCGTTCGCATTCTCTTCTCCCGAGCTTTTCTTTTTTGCTTCTTCCTCTTGCTTTCTCTGCTAGAATACCACTCTTGTTTACCCCTTCTTTCTTAAGACCAACATACGAAAATATTCAAGATGTCAACTCCCACAATCAAACTTAACAGCGGATATGATATGCCCATTGTGGGCTTCGGTCTCTGGAAGGTGAACAATGACACCTGCGCAGACCAGGTCTACGAGGCCATCAAAGCCGGATACCGTCTATTCGACGGTGCCTGTGGTACGCAAGAAAAAAATGCCCTGCAAACAGTTAAAAAGAAAGCCATTACTAACCCTATTTTCACCAGACTACGGCAACGAAGTTGAAGCCGGGCAGGGCGTTGCACGCGCCATAAAAGAAGGTCTCGTAAAGCGCGAGGAGCTGTTCATTGTCTCTAAGCTCTGGAACAGCTTCCACGACGGTGACCGTGTCGAACCCATCTGCCGCAAGCAGCTTGCTGACTGGGGCGTTGACTACTTCGACCTTTACATCGTGCACTTCCCCATTTCGCTGAAATACGTCGACCCCTCGGTCCGGTACCCTCCCGGCTGGGAGTCCGAGAACGGCAAGGTCGAGCTCGGAAATGCCACTATCCAGGAAACCTGGACGGCGATGGAGTCGCTTGTCGGTAAGAACCTTGCCCGTAGTATCGGGATTAGCAACTTCAGCGCGCAGCTCCTCCTTGATCTGTTGCGCTATGCGCGCGTGCGCCCTGCAACGCTGCAGATTGAGCACCATCCTTACCTGACCCAGACGCGGTTGGTGGACTTTGCGAAGAGGGAGGGGATTGCGGTCACGGCATACTCGTCTTTCGGGCCGCTGAGTTTCCTGGAGTTGGAGGTGAAGCATGCGGAGAAGACGCCGCCACTATTTGAGCATGATGTTATCAAGGGCCTTGCAGAGAAGTATAGTAAGACTCCGGCACAGATTCTGCTGCGCTGGTCGACACAGCGTGGTGTTGCTGTTATTCCGAAGAGCAACAACCCTACTCGCCTGGCACAGAACCTTGATGTTGTTGGCTTTGACCTTGAGGCTGCGGAGCTAGAGGCTATTAGCTCTTTGGATAAGGGTTTGCGCTTCAATGACCCTCATAGCGTGAGTACTCAATATAAACCCCTCCGTTTGGTAGATCCATGCTAACAAGGACTCATAGTACGATTTGCCAGTTACTATCTTCTAATTGGATATTGCTCATACTTACTGCTAGTTTATAACAACATCAATCATGCTTCCAGAATAACCATAATGACTACTGAGCGTAGATAAACTCAAGTAGAATCCTTCAAATTCGATATACTAAAGACTAGATCAAAAACAAGTCCGTGCAACGAATCTTAGCCAGCGTAGTTCTCGACCGCTGCCATGCCAAGACCCCAACTTCCGCGATCCCATTCAACTCCGCAAAACTTCCGCGATCAACATCTTCTCTCTTTATTTCCTCTCTCCCTATCAATCCACACCGCTGCGGCGGAAAGTAAAAAAAGAGGATGTCGTTCTTTTCGAACCTCGCACAAATTCAAGCCCGCTCAATATACATAAAAACCCAGCCATGCTCCCGCAATCTGGAAGAATCGAAACTCATCCTCGCCGCGCTCCAGAAATTCGGCGAAGTCGTTAGCTTCCGCAACAACAGAGTATGTTTCGCCCCCGAGTGCTCCTCCGCAGCATGCTATGATTAATAAATAGATTTTATATCTGACTGGTGGATTTCTAGTTGAACCCGTCAAGAGAAGGCGATTTCGGCATATCAGGCGCTCCAAACGTGAACACAATAAACGTAACCTTCGACTCCCCGCAAGCCGCGCAGGCCGCAATAAGTTCATCCCCTCTCCTCATTGACCTCCGCGGTATCGAAAAATCGAACTCTACAAACCATGCGAATACCGGTGACAGTGCCAACGCCGCCGCCGAAACCGACGCCGACGAAACACCCCTACAAGACCTTAAACCTCGACCAGGAACCTCGCTTCGACACCCGCGAACAATGATACGGTGCTCCATCACAGAATCCAAGGTGGACCATGTGTCAGCAGCGAAGAGGAACCCTTTCTTTGGGACATTTAACCCGTATGTGCGGAGTCCTGTCTATAAAGGTCTTGTGGACATTCTGGATAAAAATTTGAAGGGGCTGGCGGATTGTTCAACAGCGAGAAAGACAGGTCAGCCTCCGAATTTATCAAAGGCTTCGTATGATGCAGCGAGTGCGATGGGAGGCGGATCGTTGTTCGGGCTATGGAAACAGAGAGATGTTTGGCAGAGAAAAGGGGAGGCGGAGGTGGCAATACCGGAGTTGGTTAAGAAGATAGAGGAGTTACAGATGGACATTGAGGTTCAGGGGCCACAAGAGGACAAAATCGAGGAGATAGCGGAATTGGAGAGGCAGATTGAGCAGACGGAGAAATGGGATAAGAAACAAAAGCAAGCTGAGACCCGCCAAGAATTAATCGAGAGGAGGCTTAGGGGGGTTAGGAAAATGGAGAAGAAGAAGGCGAACGAGGAAAGGACGAGGAAATGGCGAGAAGAGAAGGGACAGGAAGAGATAATAGGACAGACGACTGGGTGAAAATGGTCGGAACGGTATGTGCTATACGATTCTCAACGACCATAAAAACCCCAGGGTTGCGTTCTGGGCGAATTGCCGATCCAGGAAGCAAAGAAGCAAAGGAACGCTTCGCGCCAGGTGTGATAATGGTGCTCCAACCCTACTACTCATATGCCTACGTTATTCCGCTACCTACTGGCCCGAGAGGCACTGCTCGCTCCAGGAATGGGACTCGCAATCTACCAGGGCAACTTAGTCTGGGTTTAGATGAAGGTGAAACACATTGGTATTATAATCCATCACAATGTTACAGAAGTGTTCGCCTTCGAGGCAACACCCATCATATTCGAGGCATCAGACATTATTCTTGACAGCAATCATCAAGCAATTCGTACAAACGCTGTAATGCTGTTAGTGAACTGACCTGTCCCCGCTGCATGACAGAACTTACTGGCGTCAATTTGCATGATCTGCGGTATGGCTAACCGCACCTTATTCCGGTATACCACCGGTCCGTTGGTCTGTAGGGGATTCCCTTCAAAGTATACTGTCTTCAGGTTCTCTTTATCTTTCAACTCCCGTTCTACCTCGTTGAAGTTGGAGAGTTGGTTGTTAGATGCCCATAGCTCCTCCAGGTCCTTCAGGTGGGAGAGATGTTCAAGCTTCGAGACCTGATTATTCGTAAAGTCCAGAACGCTAAGCTTGGTATTTGATTCTAACCCAGCGAGGTCTGTAATAGCGTTGTGAGACACGTATAGTTCTTCCAGGTTCTTGAGAGACGAAAGGCCATTGAGGCTTGTGAGTCTATTCGATTGAATGGAGAGGATGCGAAGGTTCGAGAGCGCATCAAGATTCTTCATCTCTGTAATCTTATTCTTCCCCAGCCATAGCTCCTCTAGGGCACTTAGAGTTTCGAGATTCTCAATTTCCTTGGGATCAATGTTAGATCATTTCACCGGACCTCATGAACTCCGACCAAGTAACTTACCCGAATCCTATTAGCTCCCAATTCTAAGTTCTTTATTTCCGTTAAGCCCTCAAGCCCTTCAATCTTCGAGATTCTATTCTGTACGAAAAAGAGCTCCTTCAGCTTGACCAGGTGCGAGATGTTTTTGATATGCTTCAGCTTATTAAAGCTCAGATCTAAGCTTGTCAGGTTCCCAAAGTCATCGAGCCCCTTAAGATGCGATATAAGATTGTCATAAAGGTCCAGTTCGCCTAGCGTGTGGCCGAGACTCGAGGGTAATTCGATCCGCGATATTTGGTTCTGACGCAAACATAATCGCTATTCCAACGCGGTTAATTAGCATATAACGTCCCCAAAAAGCGAGGTAAAGTGTGTACGCTATAATCTCACCTGTAGCTTCGAAAACCGCTCCAACCGCAAAGCTGGAACGGAGCTTATGCGACAATGTACGAGGTCGATATCCTAGTAGGTGCCTTGTGAGCATTTCAAGACTTCCAGGTCGCAACTCCCTAATCTCAATGAATATATACCTCGACATCTTTATCCTCATCTTCTAACAGATCTGGGGGGGGAGGCATGAGTCAGTACTGGGATTTGCTTGCAACTAATCCTTCGTCATGGAAAGCGACGTGCTGTGATTGTGAACTCACCCTCATCGGCATTGATCTCCTCCACGGGCGGTGCGTCCTCGTCCGAGTAATCTGGATCCTCTAAGGCCTCGGGGTTCGTTATCGTTGCTTTGGGTTCAACGCGTAGCTTCCCATCCCAGCCTTTGCTGTCTTTCATGGTCGTGTGGTTCCGCGGATGAGGGGTCGGTGGGGTGATGTGAATGAATGCGAGGTGAGGTAGCGGAATTTAGAGGCGTTTTGGCTGGCCGACTGGTGAGGTTTCAAGGTAAGACGAATATATACTCGAAAGAAGAGCAAGGCAAACACTTTTTCTTTAAACAAGCTTTGGGGTAACGCGGAGGCGATGGGGAAAGGAAAGTCCTCGAAAGGCGGAAAGACCAGGCGCGTGGAGCCACCGCCGTCATGCTTGGCTCTGGAGTGTGGTTTGTATTCACTATGACTACTTTTGCAGAAAGGATGAAATAAATTGCAAGCTGCGCTGATTTTCTACTCACCTTTTTTTTTTTTTTTTTTTACATCGACAAGACACTTAAAGCTGTATTGCAAATGATGAACGCTCCTATGTACAGCGCGCGCCACCATGGTACATATACATTGCAAGCCACCAATAATCGAGAAATCTGGGTTTATGAGAGACTATAAAAGGTACCAGAAACTGTGACATGGGTATGGAGACATGGATGCAGATGCTACTCGCTCGTGAAGTCTCCAAAATCAAGATCAAGGAGAAATGAAAATCATGGCCAACAAGATGACATAGGGTCTGTTGCGGGTGTGGAGAGATCTCAAAGATTCAAAGGCTAGTAAAGGAACTCGGTGAGATGTCAAGTCGAGCCCTCTCGGGGCATTGGTTAAACAAAAGGGGTAAAAGACTGTTATAAGGAGAAAGAAGCCAAACATAAGGGAATGTAAATTGAACAGCGTATACATGAGATCAGCAAAAAAAAAAAAAAAAAAAAAAAAAAAAAAAAATACTTAGCTGATAGCCAAGACGGACGCCTGCGAAAATGCAACGCAAAAGGGGGTAAACTTCTTTGGGGATCGATAAAATAAAACAGAAATGAGGAAAGGTATCGGCTCGCTAGGAGCGTGTACATGAACAGGGCTGTTAAGAAAAGAGATAGAAAATGCACGCCATCATATATAGCCAGGCGACTCTTCTAGCCGCCTTGAGAGTTTTGAAAGTGGTTGCGCTGAAGCTCCCAATGCGTGTAGGCAGGGTGAGATTGTAGGAAGAAATTATCAGCTCCGTGCGGTTTGTCAGGATAGAGGGATGGTATGAAATCAAACGAAGGGAAATCCAGATGTTTTTTGAGTCCGTACGCGCAGTATTTTTACAGATGTCATAGCGTAATGTCGAGAACCAGACTAACGTCTCTCACCTGCGAGCCGGCGAGGTCTTCGAGGACGGGGATAAGATCGAGGAGCTCGTTATCGTGAGCGTCAGAGAACCAGCTACTGATGGGTATCGCATGTTGAGGGTGAAATATATAGGATGTCGGAGAGTTATCGATGATGATTGTCTCTTGGAGGTCACGGCCAACTTGGGAGAGGTCCTATAATACAAAATCAAAATCTGGTCTCACAGATATGGAATAAGTGAACCGTCTGTGCTTACCTTGACGTAGTTACCCTGATGGTTGTAACAGCTCTCACGGAATAGTCTGTGGTGCACGACACCATGAATGTCCAGCTGGTCCAATAGAGGATCACCATACTGAGCAAACTTAGCAACTATACAGCTGAGTACGGTGGCGATAACTTACCTTTGAGACTGAAGCCGTAAATACGACCACTTCATACAGCTCTCCGACTCGCTTCATGAATTGATCAACGCCAGGCCGTTTGATCACGTAAATGTTATGGTACTGCCCTTCGATCTCCACGGGTATGGTGAAGTCGGCGCGTTCAAGGACCTGCGAGTTATCTTGTCAGCTCAGGGCCTTAAAGGGCAGTGCGGCGGGTAGTATGACCTTGAAGCTACTGTGCACCAATGTCTCATCGAGGTCCAAAACTAGGCATTTTCGACCCTGTAAATGGGGCAGGGCTGGAGGTAATAGCCACTGCTGGGCTTTCTCTTGGACGGACGTTTCCGGTTGCTTTCCTAGCGGTGGAGGAGGAGGTAACCTCATTGCCTCTTCCTCGCGTGGAACTTGCTTTGTGTCTTCCTCAGTCGTCGCGGCTGGGGCAGATATCGCAGACTCCTCCGTCTTGCGGCCTTCTGGCGCATTTTCCTCCGCCTTGATAGTACCAGATTTTTCGGACACTGTGGGCTCTGTCTGGACAGCGCCGGATTGGATAGATGGCTGTGCGTCCGAAGGCGAGGTTCCATTATACAATTTCGATGGAGAAGTATCTTGAGTAGATTCGGGTATAGTCGTCGCTGATTTTGTTCCGTCAAACTGTGAACTTTGCTCCCCAACGCTCACTATCCGCTCTTCATCCAGCTGTGGGTTTGGTTTATCAGAGGCCACACCCATATTGGGTTTTTCATCTTTGAAAAAGCTCGGTGCCTTTGACTCGGCTGTACTTGAATCGGCCGCATTGACATCTGCCTTTTCTGGTGTTGGCTGGGTTTGTAGAACTGATGGTCGTCTGGTAGTCTTCTTCGGGGGAATAGACCCGTCCTCGGGGTCGACATCGGAAGACGAGCAGCAGCTCAGGAACGCAAAAAGTTTGCGTGAGGTTTTGGGCGGTTTTTCTGATTTTGCTGGATCGTGCACATCGGGACTGACAGTCTTGTTATTCTCCTCCGAGCTGGGTTCTTCAGGGTTCTGTTCTCGAGACCTCATGCTGCTCCCCCTACTTCTATCTCTTCGACCCCTTAAAAGACTTCTCCGCGAGCCACGAAGTGTGTTCTCGGACCCGTCATGCGGTCCATCTTGGGTTCTATCTGAAGTCGATGGCCTGTCTGCTTTCAAAGACGTTCGCGATGGTAGGGCCAAGAGTCGATGTTTCTTCGGAGCATCGGCAGGGGGGGCGGATGGCGCCACTTCAGAAGGTTGAGGGGCGGCGGATGGCGATTGAGTTTGTTCAGAAATGTTGGGTTGAGTCGAGGGAGCCGAGTTGTCTGTAGTCGCAGATCGGCCTTCAGGCGGCGATTCATTACCTAAACGGGGAAAACAAGATGTTAGAATCGACGCGACAGAGGATAATCAATGGTTAGACGATAAACCGAGATATAACAAACGTACCTGACGCGAGGGAGCCCGTCGCGATAGGCATTGGTGCCTCTGCGCTCTTTGAAGTCGACGGGGGCGGACTTCGTTCTGGGCTTCCGCCGAACATTGGGGGCAACGGGGGGAAAGATACCGACGAGAGGATAGGATTCGGGAGGAAACAAGGACTTGGGGCGCGGAAGCAAGACGTCGGAAAGCACGCACAAGATGACCACCAGGGTTCCGCCGAGAGAATGGCGGTTCAGCAGGTGCGAAAAGGGACGCCTCCTGGATTCAGCGGTCCTGAATGATGGGGAGAACGGATGGGAGGAGGCAAGCAGGCCGTCCGTGGGTGAGTTGGGTTACCTAAGGCTGAGCAGAGCAGGCTAGCAGCAGCTCTTCTTGGCCCGGACCACCACCGCCCTCAATAATGCGCAGCACTTCCCGGAGTTGAACTGCTCGAGTTGCCGCAAAGCACCCTCCAAATTCCTCGTTGTTGTACGACAAGCGACGGTAAAACATGTATATGGCTAGGCAGGTTTGCTTCGAAAGGATACTCACAGGAGGATGTCCAAGGGTTAAGCACAGATGGATTGGAGATCTGCGAGTCCGTCACGTGGCGCTCTCCAGGTGTACCTCTTCGACCGCGCAACATGAGTGGTGCGTTTGCGGAGGAACAAATACGCTCTGAAATATGGTGGGAGAATTATTACAATACCACCAAGTAATCCTATAATAAGAATAGTAATAATGTGATGGATGGAGAGGTGTGGTGCGCTAGGGTCATCCACTTAGTTGAAGAAGGGTAATCGCATGAGCAACCCCCGGCCAAGTGGCATTATTATTCGTGCCGAGTGCAGGCTTACAAGTTACAACAGGGGAGGCAAGCAAGGCCGAGAATGACCGGCACAAGAGGACAGGATGCCAGGTCGATCGGCACCATATTTTCCTAGGCGAGTCGGGGATGAGGGGATGGGAGTGGTGGGAGTTTGGAGGAGGCTGACAGCTCGTGGCGGATGGGAAAGGGGTAAACGACGGACGAGGGCTTCAGCAGCGGGAAAAGGGAAATAATCACCACCATCCTGAACTTGGAAGCTCCGGTCTGGACCAGCAATGCAGGGCTGAGCAATAGAAACGCGGAATGTGTCGCACTGTCGTGTCGTGGTTGGGGGGAAAGCTGGGGTCGGCCAAATCACATCGTCGAGATAGCCGCCGGCGAACAGGGAGGTGTGATTTCTCAAAGTAGATCCATTTCTGAGAAAAGCGATCTTATTCAAAGTTTCTCATTGGTTGTGAGGCAAGATAGCCTGAATTGCTTTCTTTTCCTTCCCTGAGTTGCACCTCAGCCATCCTGCATGGGCAGTTGACCCTTCAAGGTTGTCCCCGGCTACACCGTAGTGGCCAGCATCCAACTCTTGCATAAAAAACTCATAAGGATGTGCGTTGCACATGTGTACGTACGGTGTCGCCGTGCAGCCCAATTGATGGGGAGTTCTTCCCTTTGCCAAAGCTGACGCGGGGATAAATTGACAGTTTCGGTCTACTAATGATGGTTAATTCAACGAAATAAAGCTCTGGGAAATAACACACTTGTATTCACTTAAATATTGTTCATCTCCAAGCAGCTCTTCAATCTGGGGAACCAGCACGTGAGAGGTGGGCGCCTCGCCACTCTCCACACCCGGGCCCGAGGTCGTTCACATGCAAGGAACTCACACTCCATGACGCTCGTCATCTTCAGTAATGTGACTTGCTGGCTTGACATCTGCCAACTTCTTAATCACCGTCTCAGCTCTGGATTACTTATCCGTTGTTTTCGGGTGCCCCTAGCACGGACTTTCATCGCTTGATAGCGTCCTTACAGATGCTCACGGCCCCATGGCCATCAACGGCTTGCCTTAGAATTGTCGATTCAAGGGGCAGGAAATAAGAAGGGTTTCCATGCCCGGGGGAGGACACAATGGCCGCCCAGTCAACGCTTCGGCAAAGCCAGGATCCTCTTGTGACGCTATACAGCCACTACGCCAATCTGTTCCGGGACAAGTTTAAGCGTTCATCGAAGACCACTAGGATTGTCGCGACGATTGCGCTTCTCCTTTCGATTATTGGGAGTGGATATGGGGGCTACAACTTGTTCCGAGAGAGAGCGAAGGAACGTGCTCGTGGCAAACGATTACTACGCCGGAACTCTGGGATTAGGGGAAAGGATGGATCTCGCACCATATACGTGCCTTACAAGGACTCTATGACCTCCAAGGTCAAAATATACCCGACGAAACCCACGACTTTCGACGCACATCGAAGACTCTTCTTAAACCCGCCGGCTTCTGCTCGCATGGATGACGAAGATCCGCTCGGTCGAATACCACCGCCAACAACCAAGCCCGGATTGAATCTCGCATTCCTTCACCAATTCTTGAGCCTCGGGAGTATCATGGTACCGCGTTGGGGTAGCAAAGAAACCGGACTTCTCATGAGCCATGGAGTTTTTCTGCTACTACGCACGTACTTGTCGTTGTTGATCGCACGGCTTGATGGTGAGATTGTTAGGGACCTCGTCGCTGGGAAAGGAAGGGCCTTCACTTGGGGTATCCTCAAATGGTGCGGCATCGGCACCCTTGCATCATACACCAATGCTATGATCAAGTTTCTTCAGTCAAAGGTGTCCATCGCGTTCCGGACTCGACTCACAAGATATATTCACGATCTATACCTAACGGCCGATAACAACTACTATAAGGTGATGAACCTTGACGGTAGTATCGGTCAAGACCCTGATCAATTCATTACTCAAGATCTTACTCAGTTTTGCTCGGCTGCCGCCGCACTCTACTCTTCCATGGGAAAACCTTTGGTGGACCTCTTTGTCTTCAACTACCAATTATACCGCTCCCTGGGGCCGTTAGCTCTTAGTGGGATCCTCACGGGATACTTCAGCACCGCCGTCGTCCTTCGAAAGCTCTCCCCACCCTTCGGAAAGCTGAAAGCTGTAGAGGGCAAAAAGGAAGGCGATTTTAGGGGCTTACATTCCAGATTGCTCGCTAACGCCGAGGAAATCTCTTTCTACGGTGGAGCTGATACCGAGCGTGTGTTCCTCACCAGAAGCTTTAAGGAACTCCAACGATGGATGGAGGGAATATACAGCCTAAAGATTCGCTACAATATGCTTGAGGACGTGATTCTGAAGTATTCCTGGTCCGCGTTTGGATACTTGGTCACATCCCTACCGGTTTTTCTTCCTGCGTGGGGTGGTTTAGGCGGCGCGATGGAATTGGCGGACTCACCCGAGGCGTCTGGCCGAGAACGAGGTCGCATGAAGGAATTCATTACGAATAAAAGACTGATGCTATCTTTGGCTGACGCTGGTGGTCGAATGATGTACAGCATCAAAGATATTTCCGAACTGGCTGGCTACACTTCACGAGTGTATAGCCTTATTTCCACCCTACATAGGGTGCATGCAAATGCTTATTATCCGCCGCCTGGTGCTCATTCAGAGCTGTTCTCGCTTGAAGATATCCAAGGAACAATCCACAATGGGTTTGATGGTGTACGCCTTGAGCAAGTCCCTGTTGTTGCGCCATCTCTTTATCCTCGAGGTGGGGATGAGCTTGTAGAATCACTGTCATTTGTTGTGCATTCTGGAGACCATCTCCTCATCTCTGGCCCTAACGGGGTGGGTAAATCTGCGATTGCTCGTATTGTTGCTGGACTATGGCCTGTTTACCGTGGTCTTGTTAGCCGTCCGCGTGGGTTCGGGCTAGACGGAATCATGTTTCTCCCTCAACGACCGTATCTGAGCGTCGGGACTCTGCGAGACCAGGTGATATATCCTCACACGGAGATTGACATGCGAGACGCAGGTGTATCGGACTCCGCCCTCCAGAAAATCCTGGAGGATGCCCACCTTGGCTATCTTCCTTCTCGTGAAGGTGGATGGAACTCTCGCAAAGAGTGGAAGGATGTTTTGAGCGGAGGCGAGAAACAAAGGATGGCAATGGCGCGTATATTCTACCACGAGCCTCGTTATGCGTTCCTTGACGAAGGAACTTCGGCTGTTTCCTCTGATGTCGAAGGTCTGCTGTACGAACAAGCTAAGGAGCGCGGAATCACTGTTATCACTATTTCAACACGAGCCTCGCTCAAGAAGTATCATACTTACAACCTTACCATCGGCGTTGGTTCGGACGGCGAGCAATGGGAGTTTGAAAGGATCGGAACTGCCAAGGAGAAGCTGGGTGTCGAAAAGGAACTCCAGGAGATTCGCAAACGTCTCGACAAGGTGGACGAATGGAAGAAACGCCGGGAGGAAATTGATGACGAGCTTCAGAAGGTCTGGGTTGATAATGGAGAGCTTGCGCCCCCTCCATACGAAGAGAATCCCATGACAACGGAGAGTGAGGAGGTCGAAGTAGCTGGCAAATAGAGCATGTGGTTTTATTTGTCTCTTGTATTGTCTAGCGTTTTAGAATATTCATAACATGTCTCTATTTATTTTCTTAATACTATTCACATCTAGTATACTTATTCTATGCCCCCATGCGCTGACGAGATCACGTGCCGTGGATTTTGGCCTGACAAGCTTCACTTTCTTGATTAAATCTCCCTACAACAGGACCTAAAAAATACACCACGTCTTATTTTATTTTTCTATTCTATTTATTCTCTTCCTTGCTATAAGAATGACAAAAGGGTTCCAAGAATAGGGAAACTATGTATTCCCATCCTTTAGATCACCCAACACAGGCCCCTCTCGAACCCGCAGTTAATATCTCAGAGCCTCCAAAACAGGATTCCACCCAGCAAGAGTCAGAAGACGAGGACTCTAATTTCGTAGTTATTCCAATTGATCGATCGTTCAGCGATGGCGATCCAGCGCAATGGCCTACCGAAGAGAGGTTCGGGAGACCTGACGATACTTCATATCGACAGAAGCTGGCGGATTTGTGGTTAAGGAAGATTGGTGCCCATGAAGCAGGTGAGCCGGTTTTGTGATTTTTTTTTGACCTTTGGATTTTTATCAGGCATTTTGCTATTTTGTTAGCTCTTATTTACCGCGCTTACCGCGCTGTTATGGTGAATCCCCGTCCTTCTAGGATTATTTGTTTATTGCCCGTTTTCCGAGCTTCTACAAGTCAAGTAAACAGTTGTTACAATACTCCCTGTTTTGCAGTCTGCTTTTTTTTTTTTTTTTCCCTCAAATCTTGCCTTATGTGTTTCTTGGAGACACTGACAGCCATTCGTCCCAGGCGTAACATACATAATCGATGAGTTACCAGATGGCTATGTGATTTTCGATAGGCCGCGGGGGACAAATCCTAGCATTGTAAGTAATCTGAGACTCTGGAATCAGCCGCGGCCATTGATTAATCCGTCATATTCGAATTGTAGCGCGATAGGTTCCTTTGGGGACATCCAATTGGCCAATACTTCTCTTCTACGATAACTTTCTTTCCCCATTTCTACTATTTAATGACAGGAGGCACAAATAAGTGCCCCTGTGAGCTTTGCGCCAAATTAGAGAAAAGGCAAAAAGGTTTGGATGCAAAAACCAATGAGACTTATTTGACTTTTACTGAAAATATTGTCTAGGCATTGTCACAGGAGCTCGGCGCGGCAGGCCCCCTGGGACTGGGAGGCCACCAGGGAGGCCACCAGGAACCCCGGGGACTCCAAGCCAAACGCCATCTGGAAAACCACCAGGAAGACCACCTGGGAGACCTCGTGGTAGACCGTCTCTCAGAGGACTAGAACAGCCTCTAGGAAGATCAGGACGAGCTCTAGGAAGGCCAGCGACTACCATTGTTGACAGCGAGGGCACTCCGGATGTTTATAAATCTGCCGTCGTACGATTGAAACTCGCTGGAAGTGTTGATAAAGACATTTCAGAGCCAGTGAGTATGGACTGGAGAGCTGAGAGACCCGTGCTTGAGGAGTATCTGGAAACACTGGACGTACGCCCTTCATATCTTCCTCGCCTCGGGGAGATCGTGCTCTGGACTCCTGAATTCCAGGGAGAACTTCTCTGGAACGAAAAAACGCGAAGCCTACAGATTTACTCCCCAACTGACGGCCAATGGGGTGAGAAACCACAATGGCGTGCCGGAGTTGTTGGCCAGATACCGACAGAAGAAACGGCTCTCACCGATCTTGTAGAAGGGACTCAGAAGAAATGGGGATTGAACTACTCCGGATTTCGTGTTGAAACACTTCCTGACCCCAACGGCTCCGACAAGAGCTACTCACTACATTATAGCTACGTTTCCCTGAAATGTGTTAAGCCTTTCAACGCCTTTGAGCTTTTCCTGCAGGGCACACCTCGCGAAAAGCTTCACCCTTCTATTGAAAACGCCATGACTGTCATGTCGTCATTCAGCCTTGTTGATAAGTATCGCTTCCGGGGTGAATGGCCAAATGCGTCGATATATTCCCGTGGTATCTTTCTCGGAGCCGAATTTATTGTTCTTGGAGATGCGGTTCGTCTGAAGCCAAAGGGTTACAGGGTAGAAGAAAGCATACAGAACTCACATGTGGTAGATGTTATGGTGGTCAAGGAAATCCGTCTTGAGCTCATTCAGTGCGATGAAGATCCCAGATCTAAGCAACTCGCAGAGAAGTACCAGGTCCGCATATCAGGAAGACTCTACACACCTGATATTGAACGAGCACAAACATCGAACAATGGACAACCGGCCCGAGCTCTCACATCGCACGAGGTAATGGACGTTTTCAACAGCGCCGGAATGGGCGGGTATGGCAAGTGGTACGAGCTTCATTACGGGTCACTTGTGGATGTCTCTCAGGACATGGTCCTCGGCCGCTGCTACGAACCAGATGCCATGAAGCTATTATTTGACTCCATGTCACTAAGTTACGACTTGCAAGGAGTCATCCGTACAAGACAATATTCGCGGCAGGTAGACGAACGTATTCCAGAAGGAAAGAAGTGGTTTTGGGGCGACTTCAGGACGCAGACACTTGCCATTGACTCCCTAAACGGCGAAGATGTCGGCCATTATAGCGAAACACGCGACGTGAAGATGTGGAGGGCGAACCTCAAAATTGTTGACGGTACCGCAACACAAGCTGATCTGCGGGCCGCAAAACAACCAGGCGAACTCGGGCGGCCGTCTACACAACCGCGTATCTCAAGTCTTGCGGAGGTGGGCAAGACAAGTAAGCTCGTTAGTGTTGGGCTTGGGGCTGTGGACACCAGCAACCCGGTTAGTTCTGCGGATGAGGATACTACGGGAGAAGTAGCGCGCAGCGAAGCAGTGAACGGGAACGGGAACGAGAGCGAAGATAGTGAGTCTGAAGAGGATTTCACAACACGCATGGAAGAACTCCGCGGTGGCACCGAGGAATCAGAAGGCGGCGACTATGTTCCTGGGACTACGCCGAGCTCTAAACGGCCTAGACATGGTTCCCAGAGTTGATTTTGAAGCCAATAACTAATCTCATCATTATCGGCGTCCATGAATGCTGATATGACTGGACATATACCGGATCTTAGCGGGCGCAGATGTATTATTAGATTTCTCTAATCGAAGCTGGCAGCTTGGGCCGTAGGCTCATTGGTTTCGAATTCTTGACATATGCCACACATACACGAATCTTGACATCATTATTGTCGATGGGCCTGTATCTATCCCAATACAAGTAGATCCCAACATCGACCTAAGCCAAGAGAACGAAGCCTCCACAATCATCGCCAGTCTAATACGTCCTCTCAACCACCTCCTTCGCGAAATCCGCAAATGTCTTCCCGGCCTCGACTTCCTCCCCCAGGTTCGGCTGTGTGAACACAGCCAGCGTATTCCTCGCAATCTGCCCCTTCCCCTTCGGAACCTTCGCCCCCTTCACAAAATGCGGCACGGCTCGGAAATTGCCCTTCGTAATGAGTTGCAGCGCCTCCCCCGTCTGGAACGCCAGGCAGTCCTTGGGAATATTCACCTTGACAACCTCACCCGTCCGGGACTGGATATACAACCCGGCTTTCGGATCTGGCGATGCTGAGAGTTCAGGCAGATTCTCGGACGGCGATGAGGACGCGGGCGAATGCGCATCTTCATCAATGAACATCGCAGACGTGAGACCAGTTAAACACCCGTGGTCAAGGTGCGTCGCGCACCAGTCATCATCGCCATCTTCCTCATCGGCGCCTGCGTTGGCGCCTTCCGTATCAGGTGTAGGAAAATAATGCAATAACCTCGCCTTTGTCGTCAAACTCCCCCTAACAACCTTCTCCAGATACCCGCCGGTATAACCCTCAATATTTGCTTCGGCATAGCGATCGCAAGCCCTAGCAACAAGTACCGCGGTATCAATAATAAGCGTGCACAGCTCCTCTAATCCGCTGCGGAACGTTGGCAGCTTCCCAGCATCTGGCCAGACGTTCGGTGCCGTATATTCGGAGAAGTCGGGGTATCCGGCCGCCGGCGCGTTCTGGAGAGAGGGGTCTTGGTAAAAGGCGCAGTTGACGTAGTAGGAGCCCTTGAGGGTGTCGAAGTGGCCTGAGCGCAAAGTTTCTTTGCCGCAGGACCAGCCGACTAGGTATTTTGCTTCAGCGGACGTGAGGGATTCTGGATTGTGGGAGAAGTTAAAAGGTTAGTTAGAGCGTTGAAGTTTGCGCGCGGGGGGGCATTTACCGAGTTCGTCGCTTGAAAGCGCAGCGAGATAAGAGGCATTGGAGAGGACTTGCGAGCGGAGGTGTTGGAATTTAGGAGCGAGGTCTTTGACGACGATTATTCCGAGCGAAGAAGGGCCGAAGGCTTCGGTGAGTGCGTCGAAGGAGACGGTGCCTGCGAGGCTTTAAAATTAGTACCTAGTTCAACCCGCAGTAGTAGTGAAAAAGAGGGTATTAACTGACCGTCGATCAACTCTTGTAGACTGACAGTCACGGCCTGAGCCTGTTTTATATTATTTGAGGCCATTTTGTGTCTGGGATTGGTCTTTTTTTTAAAAAAAAAAAACTTGACAACAAGGCGAAAGATCAATAAATATATAAAATTCAATGGCCCCTCTCTCCCCGCTTGCCACGGCCGGCTCCGACACGCTGATGCTACTCTATTTCTCGGCTTCATGGCATGACTGCTATGTAGTTGGAGAACATTAATCTATCGTTATCTCCTGGATTTTTATAGCCTGGCACCATATATCGTTGTCAAGATTTGGTGGATTTGCAGAGCTTCAAAATGATTGCAATGGTATCTTAAGAGTTGAATATGGTACACAATAATACAAGAACACGGCCAAGTTTATCATACAAAACAGCAGCCTCAGCGGCGAGTCACACTTCGCAGATTGCCAAAGGACAGAACATCTGTAATCCTCTTCGCACCAGTAAATAGCATGCAAAGACGATCAATACCGCATCCCCAACCACCGGTGGGTGGAAGACCCCATTCCAGCGCTTTAAGGTACTCCTCATCGATCTCCCCCGGTTCATTAGCATTTTTGCTGTACTGTAGCTGATCTTCAAACTTGCGTCTTTGCTCGAACGGCGAGTTCTCTTCTTCGTAGGTGTTCACCACCTCTCGCCCTTCAATAAAGAGTTCTCCGCGTGCAGCTACACGCTGTTTTGTCGTTGGGTGGGTGAATGTCTTCGATAACGGAGACAGGCATTCGGGAGGGTTGATGATGAATGTTGGGTTTATGCATTGTGGTTCGACGTAGATGCTGCAGAGCTCATCAAGGAGACGGGGTAGAGTAGGGTTCTCCGGGAGCGAGAGAGAGAGGTCTTCGAAGATTTGGGTGACTTGTTGTGCCGCACCGGCGGCCATGAGATCAGGAAGTTTGCGACCGATTCCTTCCTCAATTCCGGTTATAAAGTCGATTCGGCGGAAAGGTGCGGTGAAGTCTACCTTCGTTGGCGTGAGAGTGCCGCTTGTATTAAACTCCTGGACGTGTTTCGCCATCCCGGATAGTAACTCTTCTGTCGTGGACATCAGGTCCTCAAGATTAGAATATGCGTGGTAAAACTCGCACGTTGTGAATTCGGCATTGTGCGTTTTATCGAGTCCTGCGAGAAACCAGTTAGTTTACGTTTAATACTCCCTATGAAGGACAGGAAAGCTCACCCTCATTACGGAAGGAAGGGCCAATCTCGAATATTCGGTCAAACCCGCCTATCACTAGACGCTTCAGCCACAGCTCCGGCGCAATTCGGAGTGACAGCTGACGCTCTGGGAATTCCGTCGCAGAGGTATAGAAAGGACGAGCACTCGCACCGCCGGCGATCGAATTCAGGATCGGGGTGCTGACTTCCATAAAAGACCGATCCACGAAGAACTGACGAAGGTATTGGATGATCGCCGATCTGGCTTTGATGATGTCCACAGTAGATTTGTCGGCGAGCAACTGAACATGGCGCGCGTACGGAGAGTTCTCATGCTCCCGCGCATCGACCGGAACATCATGTAGACATGGGGAGAGAAGTTTAGGTAGCTCAGTTGCTAGAACAGTGAGCTCTCCTCTCCCTGTGCGGTGTGGTCTGCCGGTGATAGCTGTTGTATACTTGTTTAGTCTATGGAGCGTACTGGTCTGAGATTGGGAACATACCGAAAGCATCACCGCGGCGAAGTAGACGGTAGAACCTCTTGAATGCGCTTGAGTCAACTCCATCGAGTTGACGTAGATTGCACATTATTTGAATTTTATGGCCATCTTGGACGATATCGAAGAATATCAATTTGTTCCCGGCTAGTCTATATGTACGGATTCTACCTAATATCGGTCTAAGTACAAAGAACCATAACGAAGCCATCTCAGGCCAGGACGTACCATTTACAGTGACTGCATCAACTTCTACTGTTTCATTATTGGCTAACTGATTGTATCGAGAGCGAAACTCCGAGCAGGTGACGGAAGTGCTGCTGGTTCCAAAACGAGGATACGGGTCCGGACAAGACTCCTTCACTTCCTGAAGCCGATGTTGGAACGCATGCTCCGGCGATGCCGTACTGCTCCATCTCCCCGGTGTCAAAGACCTGCGTGTTACCTGAGAATGCCTAGTCCTCGCAGTAGCCTGTGATATTAATGAACCTGTGCTAAACATCCGATTAGCATTGCTTTTGGGAAGAAATGTGACCAAAAAACAATATTCAAACGGATATATATCAGAGATTCAAGAATCTATAGCTCCGTTTGCATTCATAGCCCGGAAAAGCCAGGCGTCGGATTGCAGCGGTTCTGTAAGGGTCTTGATTCATCATGCGATTGCAGTGGATGGACCAGGGGAGAAAGTACAATGCAGGATGGTCTTACCTTGAAGACAAATACCTTCCCTTCAGCGGTGACGCCCACCAGGGGCGAATCGACTGCATTGGAAGGAAGGTCTATATTATTGTATTCATCGCAAAAGCAAAAAACAAAGTGAAGATTGTTTCGAGGTTGTGGAGCGAGAAAAGGATCTGAGCAGCATTTAAGAAAACCCGAAGGCGGTGAGCCGAAGCTTCCGACTCAACTTCCGCAGAGTCGGAGCTGCATAATTTCACTGCAACAAACCTTTTGAATCAAATCATATTCAATCTCTCCATTGACTGTGAGTATTCTCGAGATTTATCGGCCTCATATTACAGCTTTGCGAATAAAAAATTATTAACCGCCGACCGTCTCAACAGTTTTCGCATAATCCCAATCCAATCCACCCATCGTCATCATGTCTTTCCTATTTGGCGGCGCCCCCAAGATGAGCTCGGAGCAGAAGCTTGCTGCCGCAGAGACCGAAGTTGAGATGATCTCAGACATGTTCAACCGGTTCGTCGAATACACCCTTTGTTAACTTGTTCAAATACCCTCGCGAAATATATGTCGCGCAGTCTTTATATACTTGTCTAACTCGAGCTCTTTCTAGCTTAACGGAATCCTGCTCCAAGAAGTGCATTCCCAACGACTACCGCGAGGCTGACCTCAACAAGGGCGAGTCCGTCTGCCTTGACCGCTGCGTTGGCAAGTTCTTCGAGGTCAACATCAAGGTCAGCGAGAAGATGCAGGGCGAGGCTGCTGGAAGACAGGGTGGTGGTATGGGAATGGGCATGTAAAGGGTGTACTTTTATACCTGATACCTTGTACTTTACTTTGGTTGTGTAATGAAATACTTGTTTGGTTCTCTTCTCATTGTCAGCACCCGAGTGCGCCGTGGTTTTGCTGTAGTTTCCTGAGCCTGATTATGGAATTGTATTGACAGAGTTGGTCGCCGTCCATGCAAAGTTCAGAGTTCAGATCTATTTGGAGACTATGTACATCATAATTAATACACTATATACAAAGGTTGATAATCGTGGTCAAGCGTTGTAGGCAGATGGAGCGTCCTCAGGCCACTACCACCCACCTAGTCTGAATAACCAGGCCAGCCACGAGTAGTTCTGCTTCTCTTCTTCTCCGCGAACCAGAGATTTGACTCTCTGTTCAATATCGTCAACATGTCGTTCAAATTCCCCAAGTCCGGTCTCAACGTCTTCAACCTTGGACTCGAGAGCGTGTAGTTCGTAGTCAAGTTTTGCGCCTAGCATTTCAACTCGTCTCATGGGTTCTGTTAGCTGAGCGTGCTCTCCAGCTAGTAAGTCGCTGGATTTCTCTCGGACCTGTTGATATAACTCAAATCGTTCAAGATAGTCTGAGCTGAGTTGCTCATGTGTTTCATAGAGTCTTTGGTTTAGTTTGTCAACCGAAGACACTTGATTCTCGACCCATGGGACTGTTTTCATCTCAAGATCCCGGATTCGGTACGCCGAAATCCGTGCATCAGAGGCCAGCACATCCTCGTGGATTATGGCTTCCTCTAGAGATGCGTCGGGCTTTTCGAAAATCCTATTATCGTCTAGTCCCTTCCGGGCTAGGACGACCTCCTCAACGGTGCTGAAGGATAAATGTCGTGGCCAATATTCGTTCCTGTGGTCAAGGTCGCTGTCATAATTTAATTCGTCACAGCTATGTGGTCTTCGCAGGGCCATGGCACAAGATGCGGCTGTTGGCACATTCTCTTGATCGCCCGAAAGGCCCGATGCTTCAGTAGATTGCGATTTGAAGCGGTCTAAGTCCTGTAAGTCGTCGTCGGTTCGGGCTGCAGAGCCTTTACGGGACGTGTCCGTGTCCTCGTTGGTTGCAACATGGTCTACCGTGATTGCCGGCGGCACTGTTTCAGAGGCTTGCCCGGTAGGTTCCAGCGGCTGCTTTTGTTCCGCGTCATTTGAAATTCGCGGTTCGAGCAAAGGCCCGCCCTCGTACGAGGGCTGAGCACCTGTTTCGATTGTCGTCAACGGTCCGGCCTCCACATCACTATCCGCTAAGGCGAGTTGGACAGCATCGCCACCAACTTCCGGGCCATCCTTGGTCTTCTGTAGAAGTGATCGACGACCAGGTAGCCCGACCGCGTCTTTGAATTTGCCAAATCCTATTCGCGCATCTAAAACCTTCCCGCTGACGCCTCTCTTGACCATTGAGCCGAGGTTTTGGTCCTTCTCTTCGGGAAAACCAGCCGTGTCCGACTGCTTCCATGAACGGTCTGATTTCTGGTAAGAGGGGTTCACACCCAAGTCTTCGTGCGAATGGCGCTTGCGACTGGTCCAGACATAGCCGCCTTGTTCGTCGGTGGTGAACATCATATCTGCAGCTGGTGGGCCGTTAGACTCAATGGCACTTTTGCGCGGTTTCCCTCGCCATAACCATTTTGCCCGTTCACCGGTTATTAGCTGGGTGAAGTTGTCAATATCGATATTTTCGATATCAGCAATTCCACCTTTCTCTTTCCCACGAACCATGTCCATGACCATTTCACCACCATGACCACTGAGCTCGGCCATTGTTGATTTGACAGCATCGGTCCAGCCCTCTGCGTTTGCTGCCTTGGCAGTGACTCGGTGTAGTCTATCCAAGGTACGCCGGTCCAGACGCCGGGTACGTTTCAATTTTTGAGATTTTTGAAAGCTTCCAATCGCGCGCTTGAGGCCGGTTATATCAAATGGATCCTTACCGACGGGAACACCCCATGCATGAAGTCGGTTGCGAGCTCCCATGAGCGTTCCTAGCAAGGCTGCCACTGTAGTTGGTCCAAGTTTCCCATCGCTTGGTTCAATGTTGTACAAGTCCATCCCGAAATCAGTCCACCAATCCCCTACAGCAGTTTCTGTGATATCGCAAAGTAGCCCGTCCACGTATTCTGGTGCTAAGTTGAGGAACATCATCAAAGCGATCTGGCATTGTTTAACAAGCTCCATCACAGCGCTGTAGAGGGGAACTCTTTCGCTCGTTCGGTAGAGTTGATGAAACTTTGCCACGGTGGCGGTTGCTGGGGGTTGGAGCTTCAACCCGGCTCGCCCAGCGCAGCCTAGCCGCTTCAGGTTTTCATTTACAATGAAGTCTTCCCGGTGTTTAATGACATCGCCATGAGGTACAGGTATGACCGTTAGGCCCGACGGAAACGAGTTCAGATCGGTCACCATGACTATACCCAAAGGCGTTTCCTTCTCTCGTAGCTGGCATCGCTTCACAGCGTTGAAGTACAGTTTCAACCTTGGAGACCACGCCGACTGGTCTGTAGGAACACCTAACACGCCAACGACTACTTTATGCGAAGTATCCCCTGTGTATGTTGTAATGATGAAAGTGGGGTGTATCCTCGAGCATGCCCACTGCTCAACAATGTATATCTCATAACCCTCCAGAGTTAAACGTCGGTGCAGCACGATAGTCGACGGATCCTCTTCCAGGTACCGCAGCGCAACAGGATCCGTGAAGGCGATCTTTTGGTGGCCAGGGCGGAAGGATGGTCGTTCAGGCCCCTGAGGCTTGGAGGGTGGGCTCTCGACAACATTAGCGAAGGTTCTTGTGGTTTCGCGATTTGTGGTGGGAGAGGCGGCTGGTGCGCCAGGAGGAGCCGTCGATGACATGGTGGGTGACCGTACGATTTGTGGTATACGGGCGCTTAGGACAAATAATAGGCATCGTAAGTTTGCGAAGGCGTAGAGAAATTAACAGACGCTGGTTAAAGAATCGCAGAGATAGCTTCAGAATAACACCAAACCTCCCAAACCACCAGAAACAGCCCACGAAAGAGAAAAGAGCCGTGACATATCCAAGACCGAGAAACTTCTCAGTCTTAAGTGTAAGCGACAAGTGTCAAGGCTTGGGCAACACTCATACCATTCAGGTTCTAGAGCTGGAAGAAGAGCAATGGGGGAATTTACATGGCGGCGACGTCACCTGCACCTGGACCGGGAGGGACTCCCGAAGCGGTGTGCCAGCCACACCGCGCACATGAATCCATGAATCCAACGGCTCCTCCCGGGCCTCATCGCTTTCAAGTCTCAGACTTCTGCGTACTACGTATAACTGTCAACTCGGTCTCCTTGCTACAGAGTCGTTCCTTTGAACCCCAACTGGTCTCCTTGCCCGATACCCGAGACATAACGCCACTCCCATCTGTCAGAACGGCTAATCATCCTGTAGTGATGGAAAATGGTTGCCTAGTAGCATTTAGCCACAACTCAATCTGAGTTAAAAGAACCAACGAAACTCATACCGGCCCTCGACCAATCATATCAAAGACTTATCAACACGCTCCATCATAGCCGGTGCTCGCATTGAACGACACCAGGAACAACCCTTTACAAGCTGTACCAGATTATTCCCGGCAGGATCGTACTCTGGGAAACCCATTTCGGCGAGGCCGTGGACTGGGTCTCGCGCAAAGCTCACAAGAATGGATTGAAGATATGCCGCTGCCTCGTCCTGTGCTGGGGTATTTTCAATGCCGTACCTGTCTGCCGTGTTGAACAAGGTGGGCAGAATCGCAGAATGCCATGTTCCAAGCCAGGTAAAGGGGTTTAAATTAGGGAACACTCCAAAATATCGATAGCGCCATACTGGCAAGCCAGCTTGTGCGCGAACACTGATGAGAAGAAAAGAAGAGTGAGGAAATGCAAATAAGAAGAGGAGTAGAGTATTGGATACAAGACTTACGCAGTGGCATTAGCGGCAGGACAGTTGAAGACTCCGTTTGTTACTGCGCTGATCGCTTGCTCAGATGGCTTGTTTGTTTCGCTGACAGCCGGACCAAGATCGTTTGCCGCAAGCGAGGCACCTTCACGGTCAGAATTACCAATGAGTACTGGCTGTGAAGACATTTAGCGACATGATCAATTTTACGTGCGCCGCTGATATTTTTGAACGTACCACCTTGGCAACGCGGCCAGCAGCCAGTCGTGCAGCGAAATCAGAGAAGAGATTTTGGTCATCAACAGTTGGTTGGAAGCTTAGAGCCTTTCCGCCGTTTTGTGTCTCATTATATTGGTTGACGACATCCTCGATGTCTTCCCATGGCTTGCTCTGCATACAAGCGAGCTCTTCATCCTTAGATAATGGGCAGCCGAGTTTCTGAGCAACAAATGTGAAGTTGCTTGGTGCCATTTCAGGCGCGCCGAAGCTTTGAGTAACGCCCGAGATGGGCATTACGGCAGACACGATGGGGTCTTCGGCATAGGCGTAAGTATACGAGTCCACGGATCCGCCGCCCGCAGATTCGCCGAAAAGAAGCATTCGCTTAGGGTCACCACCAAAGGCCTGGATGTTGTCCCGAGTCCATTCGATCGCCAGACGCTGGTCCATAAAGCCAGGATTAAGTTGTCGCCCGTTCAACCCTGCGGCGGAAGGGAAGCCAAAAACGTTCAAGCGGTAGCTGCGTTACTCTCGTAAGCTTCCATGTCGGGAAAAGTCAGAAAGAACGGGCTCATACTTGAGTGAAACGGATATTACATCCTGGTTATCTTGGACAAGGCGACCACCGTCATAGTAAGGGAAGGAGTTGCCGCCGGCATTATAACCCCCACCGTGGATGAAAATGAGAACCGGTTTCAACTCTTCGTTTCGGCCTTTGCTGCGTGGTGCCCAAATATTAACATGGAGACAGTCTTCAGCCGTGGGAACATCGTCAGGTTTTGCAAACCCCTTGAAATATAGGCTGTAGATATTGTCCTCCTTGTATGTGATTTGTGGACAAGCGGGACCCCATTCAGCAGCGTCTATGGTTTTGGTTGCCCGCGCTTTTTTCAAGGGAGGGCGAAAACGAAGCTCCCCTGTCGGCGGTTCAGCATATGGGATGCCACGGAATATGCGGACGTTGTCTGTCTCCTCTGAGACTACTCCTTTGACGGTACCGACTGTAGTCTCAACTAGGAGATCTGAGTTATTATATCTACGAGGAGAAGCGATGACCCCGACGGCAATAACTACCGCAGCAACAAAAATGGAGAGTCTCATGGCTTAAGTTCAGGTTGTAAAGAGGGACTGACTCGAAGGAAAACTTGCTTCCTGAATACCGACCATGCTGAACTCCTCCGCGCGTTTATATACTTAGTATTGCAACGCCCTGGCGTTGTATCAGTCAAAAACCCGATACCGCGAGGCTAAAATAGCCCTGGCTGTGGATATTCTCAACATTGCAAGCTCCCAGGTTTGATTCACAAGCAAATGCCATGATTGGGGATATGCCCGATGATGGCATACTTCCAGGCCCAAAAAGGAATCTATTAGCCCCGTCACCGCGCCAAATATTAATATACGACGATTTCCTGGGCATTATTTGCCCTCACCGAAGTTTTTCCGTGCCTAATTCATCTTCTCCCAGCGATCGTCTCATGCCGGATTGCGGGGTGTGGAGATACCCCAAACTCGGCTTCTTCTGAAGGAGTTAAGTCGGGGTGTGCTCTGCATTAATCCGTCGTATTGAACATGGGTCAGATATTGTCCAGGTGTTATGCAGCGGTTAGAATTGCTTGTTACGAACATCCGCGCTGCGGACATGCCGGTGAACCGTCCACAATAGTAGCAGCCCCATTGTCCAAGCCTTCAAAGATAAACTGGGACTAACGGTATGTTATTTATGTTATCCCCGCTTACCCAATGTCCGGAATCTACAGTAAGGATAGATCAGGATTGTGGGGGTTGAACTGGAGAACCATCCTAGGCTCATAGAGCTGGCCTCCATATAAGTAGATACACCATAAGAAAGAAATACATGCCACCCTAGCAGTGATTGATTATCCCTTGACCTTGCGCAGTCACAGCTCTAGATCGCGCTCGATAGGGAAGTTTATAGCACCTACAAGTGCCGACAAGCTTAATGCCATATTCCTGACTTTGTCTAACCTTCGTCGCTTTGGGGACACTCAAAAAGGAAGCTTATGGCACACCATCTCAAACTGTCTAGACTCGACGCCACCGTGCTAAACCAAGAGCTAATTCGCAGAGTCTGGGATACAGAGAACATGAATGCTGCCTCAAGCAGGTACTAAGTCCGTCGATCGCGCCGCTTCAGTTTTTGGATCCCGGAAAGCTCTCCGATGATGTTGTCCATGATGTACGAAGCCAGTGCTGACGAGGAGGTTCTATCGAAGAGGCGAGGGACCTTATTGAGAGAAAAGAGAACTCGCAAGGGTTACTTACGGTAAAGATCAGAAGTCCTGTGGACTTTTGAGGGTAGAGCAAAACGGTTACTGAGTAGAGTACACCCGTGATCCAGCATCGTATTTATTGGGCGCAAAAGGGGTCATAACTGAAACGGAGGCTAGGTATGTCGTCACCAACACGGTGTACTGCTGATGCGTTTCCCAAGAGCGTTAAGGTACGCCAACTTCAGGAATCACTGAGTGAAAGTACAAATATTACATCTTCCATAATTATACTTACTGTGTACATTTCTATGCCGAGTATCGAACTTCTCTTCTCTACATGCCTCCAAACATGGGAGGCGAAGCAGTGAAAAGAAGACCAAGAACGCGAAGGGAAACCCATCACAAACTGGCTTCAATAAATTGAAGTCAGGGCAACTTTTTTTTCAAAAATTCCCAACCGACCCGAAGGCCAATTGGAGCGGTCAAGTAGGTAGTTTTCAACTAGCAAAAACGCGATCTCGGATTTCTCCTCACTGATACGCGTAAAACCCTTGCACTAGGATGAAGAAAAAAAGAAGAAAAAGTTCCAAAATCTCGGGGGCGACGTGGAGCTTATATGTATGCGCCAAGACTTCCCGTCCGCGCTAGTGGTAAGCGAGAGCCTTTCCTTCTGCAACTTCGACCGATGATTGGTCTGTTCTGGGAAGATTCACTCGAAAGACAGTCTGGAGTTGTGACTGTTGCTTGACTGGGTTCATAGGTCCAGATTCAATATCAGTGTAACAATTTGGTGCTCATTTATCGGGGAATGTATGACAAGTAAAGCTAGTTCACTTGAACTACTCGCACGATGACCATACTACTGCTATCGTATGGTTAGGCAATAATCTCAACTTTGCGGAGAGTTGCCAAGACAGGAGCTTTGCTATCTTTGACACAAAGAAAATACCGGAATTTGCTCAGCTGCCTGTTCAATCTCCTATATATAGCTTACCATGGTGGTTTAGTATCAAATCGAGCTTTTTTAAGCGACCTCACCCTTCCCTTGTCGCCCTTTGCCCGTGCTTTTGGCGAGGGGTAATGACTCAGCACGTGACGGCCCATGTCGTAATTGGGGATGGATCATGCGGGAACTGGAAGAGTACCCGACTAACCTCTCTCCTCGCCATCGTTGCGCTGCGCCCATGATCGACTCGATTGAACCACGGGAGTTCGCTGTTTAAAGACTATTTACAAAAGCGCCCGGGTCTGTTGCGTCAAGAGCTCTACAACTCATCAATACCACATGGCTTTTACTCTTCGAACCTAGAACGAGCGGTAACCGTGGGACTTAGCTCCGCTTGGAAGTTCCCCCGCGGACTCCCGTCACCATGGATCTCGTTCAGAAGGAACATGAGCGCCTCTCAAAGAGGCTTAAATCGTCTCAAAGTATTCAGAATGTACAGGACGCAATAGACTTGCTCCAGTCCACCCGGGACAAGATCGCTTCCGGTTCGTCCGCCTAATGTGACTATGCTGCTGGATCTTGCCAGCTAGTTTTCTCAGCTGTATAGTTTGGCTAATTTGAACGCAACATTAGATCCGGACCAGGCGTCGGTATCGCTGGCGAAACTTCAAAACCCGATCAAGTCGACGTTTGATTCCATCAATGATAATCTGAAGGAAACTCACAGCGGTCTGAATAAGTTTTCGAAGGCCTTGGATAAGGTACGATTCCCATGGATACCCCTATTATACATGTAGTAAACTAATAGCTCCCAGCTTTTTAAAGACAGACCGTTACCAAGCTCCGAGCACGATGTCCTCGAGTCGCACGAAGAGCTCATCAATAGAGCTATTGCCATGCATTTACTGCGGGAGGGACAGTTTTCCGTGGCGTCTTCGTTCCTCAAAGAGGTGGCAGAGAAAAAGGCGACCGAACGACAACAGGAGGTCGATCCTGATATCATGGACGAAGCGGCTGCACTCCTCGATATCGATGGTGTTTCGTCAAGTAGGGTTCGCGCCGAATTCCACAACATGTGGCGAATCCTCCACGAAATGAAGGAGAACAATAATCTGTTGCCAGCGATAGAATGGTCCAGGAAGGAGGAAAACAAAGAAATGCTCGAAGCAAGAGGTAGTAACCTCGAATTCGAGCTATGCAGACTGCAGTTCGTTTGGCTGTTTCATGGTGGACATGAGCAACGCGGGCCTACGCCTGAAGGGCGACAAGCAGCTTTGAAATACGCCCGGCGCGAGTTTCAAGTGTTCCTGCCCAGGTATTTGCGAGAAATTGAGCAACTTATGGGAGGAATGGCTTTCAGCCCTAATTTACCAGGCTCGCCCTACAAGAATATCTTTAATACCTCAACTGCGTGGTCTGATGTTTCACACTCATTTACGCGAGAGTTCTGCGCACTCCTAGGGTTATCCCCTGATTCCCCGCTTTACATTGCTTCAACTGCAGGTGCAATAGCTCTGCCTACATTGTTGAAGCTGCAGAGTATTATGAAAGCGAAACGGACGGAATGGACTACGGAGCATGAACTACCCGTAAGTTTGACACATGCCCCTGGTGGCTGGGGAGTGCTAACTAATGTGATAACCAGGTCGAAATTCCCCTACCTCCATCCTACCTCTTCCATTCGATATTTGTATGTCCTGTTTCGAAAGAGCAGAGTACTGACGAGAACCCACCAATGATGATGCCCTGCGGGCATGTGATTGCAGCAGAGTCGCTCAAGCGGCTTTGCAAGGGCACAAGATTCAAGTGTCCCTACTGCCCTAGCGAGAGCAGCCCCAAGGACGCAAAGATAGTGTTCCTCTAAAGGGAGAAGCCTAGTCTGGTTGGCATATATAAGAGCAGGATTCTCTACCTCCATCAGACTGTTTCTGTTAATTTGAGCGGCGCGGTTAGCCTGGGTTCACCTTCTCAGAATAAAGGGCGTTTGTAAATTGGCGCATTTCGGGATTTATATGGTTAGGCGCGTGTAACCTCACTATTTTTACATACCAATATTTATATCCATTTCCACTTCTTTACTTGGGTTAGATGCCTCTATGCCCTGAGAAGGGTGCATGTGCAAAGTGCTGTCACAGACTCGCTGACAACCTGGGACCGGGTCCGAGACTCCTCATGGGCGAACCACCCTCCTTCTCGATACATCAATTGACAAAGAAATGTTTTCACCTGTCAGCCTGGGGGGGTGAAGTGACTGATCACAAGTGCCCCGTTGACAAAGAACCAAGGTGTCAGAGATCCATGCCCAGACCCCACCTTCATCCATTCTGGGCAAATTGATTGGGTGTTAGATCACGTGATAGCGCGCCGATTCGTGTTTCAGGAAACCACTTTACGCGTGAAATACCCATTACGCGTCTTTCGACGACTCACCACCAGGCATGACTATCACGAAGATGCAGGATTGACTTCTCTGACGGTCATCGAGAGGTATTCTGGGCCAATTCTCTAAATCCGTATCCCTGCTGCATATCAGAATGAACCAATCCCCACGACTAACCACAGTCCCTAACCTTGAGGTGCCTGACAAGCAGCCCGCCGTACGCTGCGATACCTCTCCACGGTCAGGGTAACAGCGTAAATCGTTTTACCAAGCTCCGTCGCCTCCTTAATTTAAGATCCCCCTGAATTTCCTCTTTCCCTGGAACGCTTTCTCTCCTTTTTGCTCCCTTTCGTCCTCACAGACCTGCAAAAACACTCTCAACATGTTGACGTCCAGGCGACACCATCAATCCCACTCAGACAGCTTTTCTTCCAAATACGGAACTTCAAAAGCTATTTCTCGCTCCAAGCGGTACACTCGGGACACTTCAGTGGTGTCGAGACGCCCCGAAAGGCGCAAAGTACCAGATAGTCCGCCAGATGGGAGGTAAGAAGCTTCAATTGCGTTAGATTATGAACCAATTCATTGTATTCCACTATTTACTCTTCACTCCTTGGACTGACAGACTTTTTTTTTATGACAAAGCTCTCTATCCTCTTCTGTAATCACCATTTGCGTCGGCCAAGACCGACGGCTTTTCGCCGCCCACAAGGAAATCCTCTGCGCTTCACCCTTTTTCGCAACAGCATGCTCCCGTGCCCAGACACTTGACCCCTTCAACGGTCGGCGAATTGCCTTGCCCGAAGAGCAACCGGAGGTATTCTCTTGCATCCTGGAGTACCTCTACAGAGGCGATTACTATCCCCGATTGGTTCAAAATGAGCGGCGCGACACATGGGAACTGGAGAATCCTAGGCTCATGGACGGGCAAACCGACGGAGCTACGCTTTCCCATCCAGCTGCTGAGGGTGAAATCCTGAAAGACACAGCTGTCTAGTACGTTCCGATTCACACCACTTCAATATTTTACCCTATTATCAAACACTGAAGGCTGGAAACTAACATCAATCTGTCTAATAGCTGTGCCGCAAACAAGTACGGCCTGGAACATCTCAAGCGCCTTTCCCTCGTGAAGCAGGGCTTACATACAGGTATTCAGTGCAGCACTATCCTTGCAAGTGCTCGCTATGCCTATGCGAATACGCCGGACCACGAATCTAAGCTCCGAGCTCACTACCTCGCTCTTATCATCCGCAGTAGGTCCACCTTTAAGAGGAGTGGTACGATGCAAATGGAGATGGAAAAGGGAGGCAAATTATTTTTCGATCTTTTTGTGGCCATGAGTAACCATATGGTTCGTTCTTTCATCATGGACTCGTTCTATTATAAATGCTAACTGATTTCTTGTGGTGGAGGATGACCTCACGGCGCCGACTACTAAGCCTTCCTTTGCCGCATGATTGTTTCCGACCATGTCGTTTTGATATCACTGATTTAACTGGTGTGATACGACACCAAGATTAAGACTGTAGGATTTGATTAATGTTTACTTGAATGCTTTATTGCTTAGCGCTCTGTTTCTTTGCTCTTCTATTTACCTGCTCGGCGTTTTAGCTAATAATTACGGGTCCCGTGTCTCCATTAACTATGCTCTACTCTGCTGTACTATATCCTGTTGACCCGATTCAAAATTTGCTTAGCTAGGTTCTGGTAGTCTAGTTCAATGAATAGTATGATTTGTTTTATTTGGGTTCTGTTTCTGCCCGTGCTAATAAATATTCTCCGAGTGAGCAACTGGAGCCACACGGGTCGTCGTGAACATGCAAATCCATCTTGATGAATGCCCCGCCGTTGCCAACTATAGCACTATTGACCATAGCCTTTGTTATTTACAGATACACATATTCCCTTGGATTTCCAGTCGAGCCTTCGTATCTTAATCTTCAAGAGAGCTGCGGCATCAAAGGCCAACTAGCATTAGGTAATTTTGTGACAGGAATAAAAGAGGCCAAAGAATGTGACTGCCTATGAGTCAGCATGCTTCCATGATAAATACGCTACTAGATGAAGAGCTTCTTGAGGTCAATCACGTACAAAGTCTGAGGGGGTGATCATTTCCGGCATCGAAATCAGTCATAGTTTGAGCCAAATTCATAAGCTGTCTTATTCTATAGGTAATGCAATAATCGCTGGTAAAAAGATTTAACAGTAATAGCAAATGTGCATGACGCTAAACGCCTGTCCCGGGAAAGGCAGTGCCCCCTTTACTTAGGACAATCATGCCACGCTCGCGGGCGATATAACCCTTCATGAGGCCCTGGGAAATAACGAGTTAACGCGTGTCACTGTTATCAAGGTCTCTGGGGAGCTCACCTTGTAGATGAGATTTGACAGCAAGCATTCGACTTCGTCAATATCGACTCGGGTTCTTGCATCTGCGTGGGTACCGATGCGCAAGGCTGCTGCAAATTCGGAAACAGGTATCCTTGTCCGACGGATTGGCGGCTGGCCCTCTTTAGATTCTTCGAAACCGCCAGCTATGAAAACTTTCCTGAACAGGTTACGCAACGCTATATCACGCCCTCTTTCGAGCGGAAGGTAGATACGCTTCCTGACGAATTCTTCTTCGCCGGCAATCATTGCAGCGTCGAATCCATGAAGATCGCCTTTTCGGATACAATCGCATAGTGGACGAAATAATCTTTCAAGACGTGGAAAGTCGTGAAGTAGCTTTTTGCTTGGTAGGGTATGTGTGTTGACGAGATGGCAGGGAACGAGGTATGTTAATATTAACCTTCACCATAGTTAGCATGGCAACACTGAGTGAAAGAATGGTACGACTAACTCTCTGTTCTTGATTGCACTATTATGGCAATAGCTCCACGCATATGCAAGATGCTCCTCTGCCTATGTTCGGTAAGCCTATGAATTGCCATATGCAGGCGTAGTCTCTTACTTCGGCATAGTTCTCGTCCAGGAAAAATATGACTCCCACAAAATAGTTGAATGTAACAATATGCGATCTGGGGTAAAGGTATTTATCCGGTAGGTCCTGCGACTGAGCATCGAGTGCACGCAAAAGGTTCTTGGAAAGCCCGACAGCGTTGATCTGGAGGTCTGTAAGTTGCTTTCCTCGGTAACTCCCCACATTTTTACATACCTGGAAATATGTTTTGAACAGAAGGTTTGTCATATAATAAACACCCCATTTTCGTGATTCCTCCTTGGGTGCTCTAATGCCAGTTGTAAGCAATCAACAGCGCAGCAAAGCATGGTTCGCATCTCACCTATCATTGAGACACAATGTGAACATGCGGTTTAAGACCCGCGCCGCTTCCTCGGTTTTGGCATTCTTCCCGAAATCGGTTAACATATCATCCTCGGAATATGCGACAGATCCCTGAGACGAAGTCTCGGCGTCGGCCTTAGATGCGAAAGTCCGTAGGTATTTCCCAACAACATAGAGGCAAGGTATGGTCCAAATTTCCAGCCCAGGATTGGAGTATGCCCTAATCAACAAATTCGCCACGTCTTTCCAACAGTCGAAAACCCGGACCCAGCTAGCACGCGAAGGAGATTCATCAAATTGGACGATCTCTCCGACAGCCTTCCAGTAAGCAGAAATAATATCCACCCAGGCGTTGAGCTCCTGTTTTGGTATCCTCACACCACTGATATGAGAGAGATAGTATCGTAGAGTCGCGGATATCTGAGCAGCATTGGATATGTGGTAGAACGACTTCAATCGGCTGGGCTGTTCCGGCGTATCGACTGGAGTGAAGGCGGCTGCTAGGCGAGGGCCAGACCCAAGCCTATGTCCTGCTTCGAGCTCTTTGAGAATAGAATCCATGAGGATGAATCGTGCAGTTCGTAGCCTAGTAAATTATCAGTTATTCAAAGAGTCTGCATGCTTCGCGACCTTGCGTTCTCCAAGTTCGTCCCCTCGTCGGAGCTATCGCGACGTGAACCCACCCGCATCCAGATCTCTAAGGCAAGTGGGGAACAATTGGCAGCAAAAGCGGCATCGCCCAGTCCCACCAGCCACAGTGGCTGTAAGCCACCAAAACAGGAATAGCGTTGGCGCCAAGCCCCTAGGTCGCTTAGACGAAGGGCGACAACCCTAAACTCCCCCAATTTCACAAATCTTCCATTTTCGCGACTAGACAACCCGGCACACCTATATCGACAACTAATCGACACAGCGTCAATAAAAGTGAGCCACCACCTAATGAACTCTTATTATTTACTGAGGAAAACATAACTAACCGTCAATTTTTCTAGATGGGTGAGTTAAATAATTTTTCTGGTGCCCCATATCCCAGTGAATCGGCAATTTCCCACGATCGTTGAGCGACTCCTTTTCGGCCCATCTATAATGTATCAATGCCCCGAAACGTTTGGATGGAGAAATTTGCTATTGGCGAGGAAGGTTGTCGGGAAGAAAATATGGGATTGTTGGAAAGAGATTGGGGATTTTCGACAAGCAATCCGGCCGCAGGTGTTGCAACTTTACCGTATCTTTTATCGACCGCCTGGGATTTTCTCTTCATTGTGTGGAACTTGTCGCCCGACACAGCCGATTCACTGGGACATTATGGGATATCATGCAAACGATAGGAGGAGAAAACTGACGGTTCATCATAGGGCGTCTCACCGAGTACCAGGTCATCGGGCGTCATCTGCCCACCGAGGCCAACCCCACGCCCAAGCTGTACCGCATGCGCATCTTTGCGCCCAACACCGTCGTCGCTAAGTCGCGGTTCTGGTACTTCCTGACCCAGCTCCGTAAGGTCAAGAAGGCCAACGGTGAGATCGTCAGCCTCAATGTGGTACGTTTCTATAGAAAGAGGGTAGTGAAGAGAGCATTTTGGGTTAACAACTATTTCAGATCAACGAGAAGCGCCCCCTCAAGGTCAAGAACTTCGGTATCTGGCTTCGTTATGACTCTCGCTCCGGCACTCACAACATGTACAAGGAGTTCCGTGAGATGAGCCGAACCGAGGCTGTCGAGTCTCTCTACCAGGACATGGCTGCCCGTCACCGTGCCCGCTTCGGTTCCATCCACGTATGTTGAATCACTAGGTTCCGACTCTCAAACTCTTCTAACGATAAATTCCGTACAGATCCTTAAGGTTGTTGAGATCGACAACGCCGAGTCTATCCGCCGCCCCTACATCAAGCAGCTCCTCCAGAAGAACCTCAAGTTCCCTCTTCCCCACCGCTCCGCCAGCGGCAACAAGAAGATCTTCGCCTACTCTCGTCCTTCTACTTTCGCTTAGATGTGAGGTTTTGGGTTTATGGGAAAGGAGTGTGCGGATGAATGACTATGTAATGGCCTTAGCATGCATGAAGGACACAGGTCACGCGGAAACACCGGTGTATCTACAGCCCAATTGATGGGAAAGATGGTTTTATGTCTCTAGTCCTCTGCAAGCGACCTTTTCAAGTTATATTCCAAAAAATAACGGGGTTTTCTTTTTGTTGTCACGAAACATCTTTTTCAATAGCTCCCGGTATTTACGCAGTGCTCAGGTTAGTATGCCACCGGGCCAAGGTACATTTTGAAGACTCAAGTCCCAAGAATTGATATCCTTGGATTCTAAACTTGCGCATTGATCATTTTTGCAATCCGAGTTCTCGTGGCAAGAGTCGAGTTGGCTGCTGTCGACTGTTCCTTTTGGATGTCAACAACTGTTCACGGCTCATCTCGCCATACTATAACGTCTACGAGCTCTCAACACTAGTAGTAAGGCCAACCGCGTAGTGGCCTTTTTAAGATGTACGTACTTGCGGATATACGGAGGACCTTCAAGGTTACGTTATTCTTCTGCGCCTGATGAAAGCCAATGAAGTAACAGAATGAGGTGATTGATTGATAATCCCTTGGCCAGGGACGCTGGCAGTATTACGTCACCTACGGGCGTCGGCGAATTCGGATCCCGCATTAACTGGACTCCATCCGACAGTCAACATTTATCTCCAACCACCTTTCTTATAACTTCCCACGTCAGACCACCCCAATTGAGTTTCTAGTATTGTGTATTATCCTGCGACAATGTTTTCTCGTTACGCTTTCCGTTGCGCTCAGCCCTTGAGACAGGTAAGGCTTTCGCTACGGCGAACCTATGATTTTCTCTTGAATATTTTACCGGTTCGTTAGCTGACCAGCTATGTCAGAGTGCCCGCCAATACTCTACCGAAGCGCCTAAGGGCAAGTCTCTTGCTCCTGTCTATCTGACTGTTGGTTTGGCCGGTCTTGGTGTCGGGCTGTACCGCTATCAGTCTAGCGCTGCCACCGCAGAGACTCCCAAGGAGCGATCCAAGGTTTTCACTGGCGGCGACCAAGGATGGGTTGGCCTCAAGCTGTCCGACACTGAAATCCTAAGCCACAACACCAAGAGACTGCGCTTTGAATTCGAAGACAAGGAAGCTGTCTCTGGTCTTCATGTCGCCTGTGAGTTCTCCGGGCGCGTCTATTGTAACTATTAGCTAACACTTTTCATTTAGCTGCTCTCTTGACCAAGTTCACCCCTGCCGGTGCTGAGAAGCCAGTTATTCGCCCTTACACACCCACTAGCGATGAAGGTCTGTTGTCTTCAAACCGACAAATTTTTTCTCCCGACATATTCTCTAACCCTTCTCACAGACCAGCCCGGTTACCTGGAGCTTGTTGTCAAGCAATACCCCAACGGCCCGATGTCTGAACACATCCACAGCATGAACGTCGACCAGCGCCTGGAATTCAAGGGACCTCTTCCCAAGTACCCTTGGGAAGCTAACAAGCACAACCACATCTGCTTGGTCGCTGGTGGAACAGGAATTACTCCCATGTACCAGCTGGCTCGTGAGATTTTCAAGAACCCCGATGACAAGACCAAGGTCACCCTGGTCTTTGGAAACGTCAAGGAAGAGGACATTCTTCTTAAGAAGGAGTTCCAGGACTTAGAGAACACCTACCCCCAACGATTCCGCGCCTTTTATGTCCTTGACAACCCCCCTCAGGGCTGGACCGGCGGCAAGGGTTACATCAGCAAGGAACTTCTGAAGACCGTCCTTCCCGAGCCCAAGGAGGACAACATCAAGATCTTCGTTTGCGGCCCCCCTGGAATGTACAAGGCCATTAGCGGTCCTAAGGTCAGCCCGAAGGACCAGGGCGAACTCTCGGGTATCCTGCAGGAGCTGGGATACAGCAAGGACCAGGTCTACAAGTTCTAAGAAGGCTCTCTCTGACATTATTTGTCTGTTACGCTGTCTAATTTGGCGACATGTTTCAAGCGAGTGCTATCTGTGATTCTGATTCCTGGCAAAGGCACTTACGCCATGCTTGTATATCCGGCTAGAATTATTAGCGGGCAGCCTACAGTGTACGCTACCATACATGATAGATATAGGAAGTCTAGACAACTGTATTTCTACAACCACCTAAACTGTCGAAGTATTACCATTCTATTTCTGTGCCGCATAGAGCACAGAAGCACTGCGCCCCCGCTTTGTGAGAGCTGCATTAGGCTACAGCTCCATAAGCTAGAGGCCGCGCATGACCCAGCGACAACCCGGCGCTACACCTTGCACTCAAGCGCCCTCCCACCCACCATTACCAAGTTTCTTCTTGACTTGGGAGCAGTTGATCGCACACCATTATTAGTGTCGCGCCCGTATTTCGTTTCACCTCGCATGGGTTTAGAATGTATAAGCCAATCGTAGACTGGCTCTGCTCAAGACTTGCTACTGCGGGCGAATTCAGTGGCAGAAGCCGCACGCTGACATGCGAAAGCGCCTACACATTTCATGGCCTTGCCTAGAAAATTATCCCATAATCCGAGTCGCGAGCGGACGAGACATAATCTCGAGCAATTTCAAAGGGGCATCTTCGGAATTGTGTCCAGCGCAGTCCCCCCAAGTTTCGGTGTCTGGGAGATACTAGTCGGCTTCGGTCGGCGGGTGAAGAAACCCCCGCAGTGCGGCCAGCCACTGCAGCGGCAGGAGTGCTAGCAATGCTGGCAGCTGCAGGCTTACAGCCGAGAAACTCTTCTGTGAATGTACTTATGCGCTCTAGTTTATGCTGGTCTTTGTTTTGGAGGCGAAAAGAAAATTATGGTGCACTGACGAGTCTCGTAGTACTGCTTATATTCCCACCTATGTATGGAAATTTGGGAGACTGTCCAGGTGCTGAAAATGATCCATGGATTGTTTGCTTGGAATCGTGGGCGTTAGAGGTCATAATGATGGCGTACACTGGCCAGCGGCAGCGCAAACCGGCGCCCAAGCTGGCGCCCGGGTGGCCGGGTAGGCAGCACGCACGCGCGCACGTAGGCTGTGGAACAGGAAAGCCCCGGCTGAACGACGGATAATAGGTGCCAGGGGCAGTACCAAGTGGTTGCTGGCTCTGTTGCTGGCAGCGGTGGCCTCCTTGGGCACAAAAGCACAGTGCTCCGGGTTGTGCTCCGCCAGGTATTTAGTGGACTCGCGGCCCCCTTCCTTGCCCAACCGGCAAGCGAAAAATCTTCTCTCTTTCCAATCCCCCCGAAACCGCCGACTCCCGCCCCGAGTTTTGTTTTGGGCTTGCTCCGTCTCCCTACCGCTCCCGCCAACTTGCACTCCCATTCTTTCTTTCCTTTGGCAAATTACCATTCAATTACCAGCACAGCGGTCGTTCAACATGCCTAAGAACGAGTCCAAGACTGTTACCGTCAACGTTGAGGAGTTCACGAGGACTCGCGATAGTGTAAGTTTGTCTCTCTTCGTTTTCAAGCTCAACAGAGCTCCCGCGCGCGTGTTTGTAAACAACAAACCCACCGGCGCCCATCCGTGTCGCCATCGCAATTATTCCCCCCCTCAAGCTCCATGCTCTATTTCCCTCTTGGTCGCCGGCTATTTACTCCTCGATCCTCGAAGAGGGACAAGTCAAACTACGGAGGACTAGCTCACATCCATTTTCGCGTTTTCGTCTTGTACTTTCGCGCGACTGCATCACCTCGCTTTCCCCACCTGGGCGCATTTGTTCCCCTCACTCTTGTCGCGCGTTTGCACTCTACAATTAATCGCTTTAACTTTTGCGATTCGCATGGCCTTGCGCTTCTGTCAGTAACAGCTTCTAACGCCCTCATAGGTTCTTGCCAGCATCGCACAATTACAGTCCGCTGCCTTTGAACTGTCGCGCGCATATATCAACCATAGCAACGCGGTTCTTGGTGAAGAAAACTCCAATGTTGATTTCACAACGATCACCAACGCCCTCACCGCGAGCCTCAAGGAGGCTGGCTTAGTCGGCGCGCCTATCTCCGGTGCCGGCGGCGAGCCAGGCACTGGCGAAAAGAGGAAGCGCAAGCGCACTGACCCCAATGCGCCCAAGCGAACTCTGACTCCGTTCTTCCTGTACATGCACCACAACCGGCGTCACATCGCAGAAGAGCTAGGAGCCAATGCGAAGCCCAAGGAGGTCTCGAATGAAGGGACTAGGCGTTGGGCTGAGATGCCAGAGTCCCAGAAAGAGGTATGTAGTTTTGCGTCTTTCTTGAATTCGGCGGTAGGAGACTGCGACTTACACGCATGTCTAGGTTTGGAAAAAGCTCTATGCAGACAACCTGGCGACATACAGGGAGAAGGTGGCAGCTTACAAGGCTGGTCTCCCTTACGATCACGATGACAACGATAAGGCTGCCGACCAGCTGCACCTAGATGTCGCTGCCGCCGAAGGCTCTGGTGAAGAAGACGAAGAAGACGAGGATGAGGAGGAAGAGGAAGAGTCTTCCCCTGAACCAGCCAAGGAACCCACACCTCCCCCTCCCACCAAGCGTCGCCGCAGTGAGGGCAAGCCGGCCAAGGAGGCCTCTTCTCCTGCTACTGAAAAGAAGCCGCGAAACAAGTCACCGGAAAAGAAGAAGCGTGCTCCTGCCAAGAAAGACAAGGAGACGCCGCGCAAGACTGCTCCTGCCGAGACGGGGAAACAGTCCAAGAAGAAGCGAAAGAGCGAGGTCGGCAATGACGAGTAAGCTGGGTGCCGCACTGCGGAGAGTTGAATAGTCCTAGGAGCCACTTGTGGATATGTCGATATTATGGAGTTGGATTTGCTGCATTCTTGTCTTCGCTGCTTTGCTTTGGTGTCTGATGTTTCTTTCCTGTGAGTAGTTTCTGGCACCTTTGCCGTGGTACATTTGCAATGAGAACCGATACAGGAGTTGAAACCCCAATTGGAGCCCCTGTAGGAACATGCCAGCCGAGCATTCCATCCCCGGCATGGCCCGAGCTATATAACCCCGGGCCAGAATAAGTGTTTGTCAACAGGATGAAAGTGTTAAATTAAAGTAAAGCTTCATAGGCCGGAACGGGTCCTTATCAGAGCGCCCGTGACCTTATCTCCCAACAACCCCACCACAGAAGACGAATTTCGCCGGGCTTCCACTGCCACGAGAGCGTCGTTTTAAATTCTTCACCGAATTCCGAGGAGCTTCAGCGCCCGCGTCTCTTTTTCTTTTTCTGGATGTGCAGGCAGGGCTTTCCAGGAGAAAAGTGCCCTACCTAACCTACCCAACCCCTTCTAAACCTCCTATCAATATTTATTGTGGACTGGAACACTACTGCCTTTGATTGGCCGAGTTGTCTCCAGTGCGCGTCTGGGCATTTTTGTGATTCGCAGTCCCACAGTCACAGAAACGAGATAATTCCCCATATCTACAGTTCGACAACCAAGGTAGCCTGGACTATCCAGGGCACAATTCCAAGATGCACCTTATCCCAAAGGAGGTATGTCGTTGCGGAGGCTGGAGAGTGGTTGATGTTGATTTTGATTTTTGCTTGGCGGCGGGACCTGTTTTCGCTGACAGTGTGGCTCCGCATCCATAGCTCGATAAGCTCGCGATCTCGCAGTTGGGTTTCTTGGCTCAACGGCGTCTGGCACGTGGTGTGCGACTCAATCATGCTGAGGCTGCGGTATGTTGTACTCGGATATTATTCTAACGAGGCGAAGGAGACTCGACCCCCGGAGGATTTATATTGTTGGGAACTTGCTAACATCTGACTAGGCCTTGATCTCGTCCAATCTTCACGAGGTATATGGGCCTTGGCAATCGCATCTGTTGACACAAATTCGTACTAATCGACCTGAATATTTAGTTAATCCGTGATGGACCCTACTCAGTGGCTGATCTCATGTCCATCGGTAAGACCATGCTCGGCCGCCGGCATGTCCTACCATCAGTCCCTTCAACATTAGTCGAACTACAGGTCGAAGGCACCTTCAGGACAGGGACTTATCTAGTCACCGTCCACCACCCCATTAGTTCCGATGATGGAGACCTTGAAAGAGCCCTCTACGGAAGTTTCCTCCCAATACCACCGGGAGACACGTTCCCAGATCCCAATCCGGACGACTACCTACCCGAGAAGGTACCTGGGGCAGTGATCCCTGTGAAAGACGCTCGAATCACGCTGAATGAGGGACGAAAACGAATCAAGCTCAAGGTGATGAGCAAAGGAGATCGACCGATCCAGGTCGGCTCACATTATCATTTCATCGAGGTTAACCCGCAGTTACATTTTGATCGCATTCGCGCGTATGGATTTCGGCTTGATATTCCTGCAGGTACGTCTGTTCGGTTTGAGCCTGGTGACACGAAGACCGTCACCCTTGTGGAGATTGGAGGCCATAAAGTCATTAAAGGAGGCAACTTCCTCGCGTCAGGGGCTATTGATCTTGGTCGCGCGGATGAGATCATTCAGCGCTTGCAAACCGCTGGGTTTGCGCATGTCCCTGAGCCCGGTGCGGATAGTGCTCTAGTTGCGCCCTTCACATTAGAAAGAGAGGCATATGCTCGTTTGTTTGGCCCTACAACTGGGGATATGATTCGACTGGGCACTACCAATCTTTGGGTTAAGGTTGAGAAGGATTATACCTATTATGGAGATGAATGCTCGTTTGGCGGTGGTAAAAGTATCCGCGAAGGCATGGGTCAGGCGGCAGGAAAGTCGACAAAGGAGTGTCTGGATACAGTCATCACAAACGCTATTATTATTGACTGGTCCGGTATCTACAAAGCAGACATTGGTATTAGGGATGGCATTATTGTCGGTATTGGCAAGTCAGGAAATCCGGACGTCATGGATGGTGTCCATCCGAACATGGTGATCGGTTCGTCAACAGATGTGATTGCGGGAGAAAACAAAATCATCACAGCAGGAGGCCTCGACACACATATTCACTTCATCTGTCCTCAGCAGGCACAGGAGGCACTTGCCACCGGAATCACGACGTTCCTAGGAGGAGGAACTGGCCCATCAACCGGGACCAACGCAACAACCTGCACCCCAGGGCCAACGCATATGCGCCAGATGATCCAGGCTTGCGATCAAATCCCCATCAACGTCGGCATCACAGGGAAAGGAAATGATAGCGGTGGAGTGAGCATCGAAGAGCAAATCATCGCAGGAGCAGCCGGTCTGAAGCTTCACGAAGATTGGGGTTCTACACCAGCCGCCATTGATACCTGTCTCGATGTTTGTGACAAATATGATGTACAATGCATGATCCACACCGACACTCTAAATGAATCTGGCTTTGTGGAACAAACCATAGAGGCCTTTAAGAACCGCACAATCCACACTTACCACACAGAAGGCGCTGGTGGTGGCCACGCCCCAGACATCATTTCCGTAGTCGAGCACCCGAACGTACTCCCCAGCAGCACGAACCCTACCCGCCCATTCACGATGAACACCCTCGACGAACACCTCGACATGCTCATGGTCTGCCACCACTTATCCAAGAACATACCCGAAGACGTCGCCTTCGCCGAAAGCCGAATCCGCGCCGAGACAATTGCTGCCGAGGACGTCCTCCATGATCTAGGGGCTATTAGCATGATGTCTTCAGACTCCCAAGCCATGGGCCGCTGCGGTGAAGTCATCCTCCGGACATGGAACACAGCACACAAGAACAAGGAGCAGCGAGGCCCGCTGCCAGAGGACGAAGGCACCGACGCGGACAACTTCCGTGTTAAACGCTACATCAGCAAATATACCATCAACCCGGCTATTGCTCAGGGCATGTCCCATCTCATCGGAAGCGTTGAAGTCGGCAAGCTCGCGGACCTGGTCATCTGGTCCCCTAACTACTTCGGTACCAAGCCGACTCAAATATTGAAGAGTGGGATGATTGTTGCTTCAATGATGGTATGTTCGCTTAACGAAACCGTCCCATACTTCCCGTTTTCTTTAAAACGGATAGGACTAACCAACTACTTTCTCAGGGTGACCCCAACGGCTCAATTCCCACAATCCAACCCGTCATCATGCGCCCGCAATTCGGTGTATGTATTCCCCTTCGCCCTGGTAGTTAACGAAGAAAAAAGGAATAACTAATCCCTATCCCCTCAACCTAGGCCTACCTCCCTAGCACCTCTGTAATGTTTGTCTCTCAAGCCTCCGTCGACACAAACACAGTCCAAAAATACGGACTGAAGAAGCGCATCGAGGCAGTCAAACACTGCCGCAATATCGGCAAGAACGATATGAAGTTCAACGACACGATGCCGAAGATGAAGGTCGACCCGGAGAGTTATCGCGTCGAGGCGGATGGGGAGCTTTGCACTGCGGAGCCGGCGGAATGGTTACCGCTGACGCAAGATTATTTTGTTTATTAAGGAAGGTTTGGTATAATTGAGTTGGTTATGGTTTTGATTATACATACGTACTTGATTTTCTACGACGGTCGATGGCCTTCCCTTTCCGTTTTAGTGCTCACCCCTCGCTGCTTTTTTCTCACTGAGTAGATCTCAGCACACCCTGAGCACGCTCTAAGCAGCCTGGGGCGATTACTGAGTACCAGGTGAGCAAAAGGCTGAGTGCCCATCCAACTGCAAGGTAGCGGTGATGCCTACTGATTGATCGGGGACGGAATAGTGCACGAAACTGTGTAGCGAACCAGGAATTAGTGTTCGCTCTGCTCGTTTCGCAATGGTCAAATACTACGCAGGACCTTGAACTTACCTGTCACGTATTGACTCGGCATTCGTCGACGGGCTATGAGGACCACTGAGCCGCATACTAGTATGCCTTACCAGGGTATGAAGCATGAGGAGAATGACAAGGACCGTGTGGGGAAAGAACTAATCTTGCCTCGAGACACGTCGCAACCAAGACGGCAGGAGCAATATAGGCTGGTCGTCCGCAGTCTCTAGAGACCCAGGTTGAAAATTGAACTTCATGTTCTCAGTAAGACCTACATCATTGTCTCCTGCCTCACGATTCAAACCTTGCCTCGAATGGTCGGAATCAATTCTTCTTCAGGGATTCGCGAACGCGCGTTAACTGTAGCCAACTAAAGGATCTGGACCTGCCCCTGAGTCCAGCCGTAGCTGAGGGTCAGAGATGGCGGAAAGCCTGCCATTGGTGCCAGCGTGTATGCTCGAGTTGTGGACAATATTTAGTGCTTACCTCAGATTCTGGCACATGGACGGATAAAAAGAAGTTGTCTCCACGTCATACTGATGACGGTTGCTCTCAGCTACATATCCCATGCCAGCAGACATTGGTCAATCACAAACAAAGTCCGTATTCCTTGCGGTCCCTCTCGAGACGCCGCTCGCCTGCAACAGCAATGTCTGCCTTCAATCCACTGCCCGCATATGCTTTCGGAGCTGTTCTGCTCGGTATAGGAGCTCACAGCTTTCTCCGACCAACTAAGGAATATGAGCGCTTCGGTATCCCGCGCCATCCGTCGCCACTGATATACGTCAAAGCGATCCGGGAATCGACGTACGGTCTCGCTGCCATCGCGCTGCAGTACCAGGGCCACGACGATGCGCTTACCACTGTCGTTGCTGTCACCTCGCTTGCTGGCCTCGCGGATGGGTTTCTAATTCGGGCTCATGGCGGACCGCTCAAGTCGAAGGCGTTTGGACATTGGGCTTTTTTCGTTATCACGGCTGGGTGGGCGTGGTGGAGGGCTTCGTTTTCCTAGTGAGGAGTGAAATAGGGAGCAAGAAGTTAGTAGTGAGAAAGTCAATCAAAGGCAGTGCCGAGAGTGAAATTAGTTGGCAATCTTGTGGTCTTGCATGTAGCTCTAGACAGCGTTGCGCTCATGTGCTCCAGACGCAACCTCTCCGTCGCATTCACAGTTGCCCTCATTAAAGCGGCCTCATCTAAATAGGGAAAGTCTCATTGATTCTAGAAAATCAAGTCTGTACAGTAACCTATATATAATTTTCTATGGCGAAGTGAAGCGGTTATATACTTTGTCTATGTATATATGTTCCTATACCTATGTATTTTCTAGTGCTACTCGTAGTGTACGCAAGGAAGAAAGCCCAAATGGCGAGCATTTATTGCCACAGTATTGATCTATAGATTCATTTCATATCGGACATATCAAGAAAAGGTCGAATTCCCGTCGGCTTAATTCGTTCTTTACAGCTTGGACGTGCTCTCCTCACGGCCCTGGAGGTTAGAGTGGGGGGCTCGGACCGGTCGAGTAACGGCGTAGAAGGCGAATCCTGAGGACTTGGTTGAGAACTGGAAAGCCAATGTTAGCAATATGCTCAGGTAAGGTAAAAGGTAAAAAGAAAGAGGTTGCAATTGGCAACATACCTTAACCTTAGATCCAACGTGGAAGAAGGCAAAGTCTCCTGGGACAAGGTGGTGCGTGATTCCGGTGGCCTCATCCTATACAAGAAAAATAGTAGTGGTCAGCATATATGGCTGTCGAGGTAGAATGGTACGAGGTTGTGGAAGGGACATACCAAGACATCAATCTGCCCATTCAGCACATACTTCGTCTCCTCAAAGTTGTAGTGCGCAGGTCTCTGAGGTCCGGCCTCGATCTTGTAGAACCCGGATGTAAAATAAGCAGGCGACTCGGTCTTGGTGCGGATTGAGTGAAAGTCTGCCGTTGTTGCGTTCTCGCCCTGGGGTAGAGGGATGAACTCGTGGCCGGCGCCTTTGATGACGGTGAGGGGGACGAGGTTGGACATTTTGGTTATGGCTTTTTCTTGGGGGGTAAGGTTGTTGTTAGTTACAGGCAATTGGAAAGGAAGGAAAGTTCCAGTCAGAGAGATGAGGTTGTACATTCACTCATTAATATAGTATATGAGCAATTGTATTTCCCGCGGACAAGTCGGACGCATTCCCGATGTATAGTGACGATCTCGCCGTGTGTCTAGACCTGATGAGGGGAAGAAACCCCGGCTGCAGCTCCCGGCGAGGAGAAATTCGGAGACGGGCCCGGTATCCCCACTATTGGTGTTGAGGGCATCCTCTCAATTGGACCGGAATCGCGTGCTATAAGCTGGGCAGACTTTCAACAAGATGCTCTTATGTTAATCAGTGCCTAACGCTAAGAAAGAAAAAGCGTGGGGAGCGGAGAAGACTCCCCTCATTCATCAATGCAGACCACCGGCTGGAAAATTTAGGAATGTTCGCTGCGAAGAAGCGCAGAGCACAGGAAAGCTTCTTTTTATTCATCAATATGGACAAGGGCCAGAGCATTGAGAGGGCAATGTTTGCTACGAAAGAGGGATACTCGCGGCGACTGGGGGTAGGGCGAGGGGGGATTCATCTTATTCACTAGTATGGACAAGAACCAGAACATCGACGGTGAATACTTCGGGGCTTAGTTGGAAGTGAATATAAAGTGTTTCTAACTACTTAGCGCAAACAGCTCCACGAATTGGTCCATGCAGCTTAAACACTCGTACAAGATTATAGTTCAACTTCCTCCTCTGTGTGGTTATTGCCTGCTGAAGTAAGAGACATTGATGCCCATGCATCATAACTATCCTCTTTTGCTGCAGCATATGCTACCATCCGATTCCGAATGGACGGCATCTGCCGGACAAGGGGTCGTGGTTGGGCCACTGAGTTACAGCCTAACGTTTGGTCGCTTGTTTCAGGACCTGGATGTTCATGCTCGCGAATATAGTCCTCGTCGCTTATAACATCGTGCTCGACTTCTTGAGCTGTTTGGTTCTGGCTTTGTGAAGCGAATGCGGTTGAGGATATGGTGTGTTGGCTGGAGGGCTGTGGGAGTGTTTGATGTTCGGTTTCCGTATTGGAATAATCAGTGTCTATTACCACGTCTACGTCCACGGTCGGGTTTTCTTCATGGATAGAGGGTGCCTCTCCCCCCTGGACAGTTATTGTGGACTGGGAATTCTCCGTGCTGGGTTTGTGGACCGCCGTCGCTTTGGAAGATCCCTCAAGGACCACTTCGGGAAGTTTTGTTTCTTGTATAGATAGGCCCTGATGAGAAATTTCCCTATCTGTTGGCCATGAGGACGGAAGAGACCCGAGAAGGAAGTTGTTATGTTGGGATTTCTCATCATCATGGAGGAGGTGCCATGCTTGACGGATAGTATTCCGCCGCACCTTCGCGGTTTCCGGACTAAGAGAGGGAATTTTAAGAGAAGCATTATTTGACGTGTTAGCATATTTTTCAATGATTTCCAACGTTTGTGGAGTATGTTGCGACGGCCCACTAGACAAAGGTGGTGGAGGAGATGAAATAATAGGAGGGTTGGATGTTGACATTTCCGAGGAGGACGGATGACTGCACGGCACTGCGGCTAGAGCATCCTTTGATTCTGCAACTGCTCGAAGAGAGGTTTGCGAGGGTTGTGAAATGCCGTCGTTGTCGGTTGTAACCGTTGACTGCTGGGTTGATTGGGTCGAAGATGTGGCGTCCTGTCTTCTTCTTTTTCTAGGGGGTTCGCCATTTTCCGTGGCGGTTATTTCACGCATGTATTGGTCGTGGATGAACACGCTGTCAGAACAGAGATGGCCGAATAGCCTCTGCATAGAAATGCTTTCATCCCAATCCAGAGGATCCACGGTACAGGGGTAGACATCCCGAGGCTTCAAAGCACCCAGAAGCCCACACAGCTCGACGTAAGAAGAATGGCGCGAGTAGGGAAAGTTCTATTAGTTTTGTTAGTAACTAGTATAGTGGCGGATACGTGAGGCAATACATACAATACTTCTTGGGAGAGGCTTCCCGGTCCTATCCAGGATTTTAGTCGATAGTCTCGAATCCCAAGGAGCTGCAGTCTCTTCACCCAAGCGACCACGGCTAAGGATATCCACGAGCTCACCTAGTGGTATTTCGTGAGCGCTTTTCATTCCATAGCTGTCGAGCGATAGTGTCTTGTTTTTAGACCTGAACGCCTCGAGGAGAGCTTCCTTTGCTTTGGAAAGAGCCCGTGGATCATGTATCTTTTCGCTACAGAGCTGCTCTAGCTTGGTAAGTGAGGATTGATCCGGAAGTTCCAGTTCGTGGATCTGGTATAGATCACCTAACCCACCTCCAGCTCCCACCTCGGGAACATCGGAGTTGTCCTCTGTTCGGCTTACGATTGGTGTTATGTAGACGGTGTTTTTTGAAGACAAGACGGAGCAATGAACTCCTGGTTCGCAGCTGTGGATACGAGATCGCGCATCCTCGCTCAGGCAGCCAGGTATGGACCTATTACCGAGTTCGAACCCACAGAGAGAAGGTGCTTCAGTAGCCCCGCTCCCTTCTCTGCAGGAAGATGAAACAGATTTATACAGGCCGATTTGGTATCGATCTACGTGGATCTGGACTTGTAAGCCAGAAGAAAACAAATCGGAATTTGCACTTACCTTGGATTTTAGGGCAGCCGCGAGTGCCACCCAGACCTCTTCATAGCCAAATGTCCACGCACGAAAGTAGAATAGGGTGTTTTCTGGATACGGTTCGAGCTTGCCTAAGAGCTCGGCGATGCCATCGGCTTTTGTTGGGAAAGTACGGAATATGTGACCCGTGTGAGAAAAGGTAGTATCTAGATATACCTTGTCCAGCCGCTTGTTTCCCAAAGTATATGGGATCATAACCGGGTGTCGAACGATGCCATCGACCCACCATGGTTCCGCTATTATTCGTCAGTTACATATTTGCTTTGGGGTTCAAGGAGAGAAACCATACCACGTATATCGCCAGTGTATAGAACTGCTTTCCCATCGCCTTCAATGAGAAACATCACAGCACCAGTGCAGTGGTTAGCGTCCAGAAGGGTGACTCTGATAGAGAGCCTGGGGGTCAGATCGATCTCTGTTGGTGTGTTCAGGGGAATTGGTCTCTACGTCGAGTTAAATAAATGAGGAAACCATACGTGATATATATTACACACCAGGAGTTTCGACAAATGCTTATAATGCAACCTTCTGGATTCAAGGATGCCATTATTGAAATTCATTCGATGGGGATATTTCTCAATCCGCAGAAGCAACTGCATCAGAATGTTAGCGAGCAGATACAGATACTAGGGCGGTAAAATACCTCTCTGGTAGCTACCGAGCAATAAATGAAGGGAGCTCTGAAGGACTCAAGCCCTTGAAGGTGGTCACTATGGGCATGGCTAAGGAAGCAGGCTAGCGGAGGTGGCCGCTCTGGGTTTTTGCGAAAGTAATCAACTAATAACCATTTCAACATTAACCCACGAAATTTCACTTTAACAGAAGCAGTCGCCTAAACCCACTGGTGATGAAAGGAAATTCTGGGAATTTGGCTTGTCAGCAGCTGCAAGGAAGGTACCCGGATACTAAGTACCTTGGACGATTCCATCAAAGGTCGACATCGGTGATACTTGATGATTGGTAATTATGGAGTATTTGGGGGCCACAAGGGGTCATGTTATCGTAGAGATAAGGCGCATGGCTTCTCTTGATGAAAATGACGATACAAGGTGGATGGTAGTGAAGGGAGTTTGGGTGTTGGTGAAGAAAGCTGGCTGCACGTGACGGCCACCGCGCTCAGCACCTGAGTATATTTTTTGAAGCCTTTAACTAACAGACATCAATCCTCAATCGAAACCAAGGCATCGCGATGATATGATTGATCATTGTGGTGGGATACCGTATCACTAGGATTTAATTCTCGTGGCAAATATAGTAGTCGCAGCCACACCTGAGACGTCTAGAATAAATCGCAACCCAAAAGCCTCGCATTGATTGGAGCATTCCACACATTTACATTGACAAGTCGGACTGGGGAGCGCCTGTTGGCGAGCGCTGCGGGCGAGACCCAGGCCCTTTTCTGTTCGTGCTAGGTATCAGGGCCGACCACAGAGCCTATCATGCTCTCCCGTTGCATTCCCTCATTGAAGTACCTACATGGCCCCCGGCATAGCGCCCAGGCGAAACAACCTTGAACAGTTGGGCTTTCGTTGACCAAGTGGCCATGCAGCTTGTCTCCGCGAAACGAGTGGACGCAAGACCCGCTGGCCAACGCACTGCAATCGATGGGTTTGATGGTGCATACGATTATTAGGCGGACAAGTCGACCATCGCTGGATTCAGCTGCTGTCGCATGCGCAGGTGGCTAGCTTACCCCCAGCAACGCTCCAGCGCTCCACGCAAGTACGCTGATGAGCTGGTCACTTGTATGCGTGGTCAGCCGACTTGGAGGCAAACCACCTTATAAAACCTGTCGCTCTCGCCTCCCTCGCCTTCGTCCGCTTTGTTCCCTCGTTTTGGATTTGAAACCCGATCGACTGTCCAGACTCCACCCACGGCCCAGCGTATCATTGACCATGGACGCAGTGGTTTTGCTTTCGGATTTCTAGATAAACGGATAGCGTGGACCTGACGCCAGCGACGTGCTGGAAACCTGGCTTGAGGTGCATTACATTCACCAACTCACAGTTAATAACCCAGTGCTCAGCAGTTGAGAGTTGATCCTTGATCCGCAAGTTTTGATCTACCTTTGGCAAGGCCGAAGTCCTTAACCTATAGTTCCTCGCAATCCCCGAGGCAGCACCGACTCACTGCTCCTTGTTTTGGTTTTCGACGGACTCCAATCCACCCTCACAACGCCGAAGCTTATCCATCCATGAGATGTGATTGCTGGACTCTCGCTCATTCCACGTTCTGATTGTGCCATCAATTCGGTTTTTGATACTCATATACTCCCTCGCCTGGCTCCCGTTGTGCGGGGAGTTAAGGCGACCTTCGTGCGACAAGGACCACGCCCAGCCCTTCATTGTTTCTGAAATTCAACTATTGATCGACGGTCTCCAGAAGGTTACTATTACCTACAAACTTACAAAGGTCCCTCTTATTGCCCGCTTCCGCAACCAGGAGTGGCACGAGCCTGCGATTGCCCGATCTCGTCTCCTTTCTGATTCCTTTGTTATCCAGCTTGTTTTCAGCTTCCTTTCCCTCAATTCCAGTGCACACTGGTCAGCCTTTCCATCGGACGGGCCTAAAATTAGCAGGCGGCTGCCCTTCTCCACCTTATAATAATTGTCTTGCGGAGCGAGTGATCCATTATTGGGCCTTATCTCATAATCTCCCTTTCGCCTTGCCTGCCTGTACCCCTAAGTTGGCCGGTTGCGAATTCGACTGCTGCCTTCACCTACCAAGTCCATCATCAATACTTTCACAATGCACAAACCATCTCTGGCTCAAATAGTACATCGAGCAACTTTCCCACGTCAGCGCACCAGCGACCCGGCAACATTTGCCGCCCATATCGCGCTTAATCTGGTCCCGGAGGTCCGCATCGAGACATCCACCTTTTATGGATCGCTGGACTGCGTGGAGGCCCAATACCCTGGATTGGACTACTCCTATGGCCCGCATCGCATGAGGTTAAGCCGTTTCCCATGGCATCGCAAATTATTCAGAGTCTTTGACGAGCTTGGGCTATCAGAAAAAGAGATAGGCTCACTATGTCGTTGGGAGGGTACCAAGTCCGCGCGACAACGCTACGAAAAGGAGGAAGGTGTGAAGGTCCGTGACACCACCGCTGATGCGATCCGACCTGCATCGCCCTCGCCGCTTCCATCTGTCATAATCCATGTTGAAGATGGCCCGGAGCCAATACGCGAGACAAAGGCTAAAGCTGCGACATACGAGGAGGCAGAGATTCCGAATGGCACTATGGATGACCATGGCGTTGACTGTGACTTACAGTTACAGGATAGTGAAGATTCCAGCGACGAGGAGATGGAGAGCTGTGGGGTGGAACTGAACCATCGCCTTCTTGCTGCAACCGCCGCGAGAGAACGGGGTGCTAATGTACCATTGGATGAGGACTGGGAGCAGTGGCTTAAGGAAGCGGGAGAGCGTGGCAGTTACACGGACGTTTTAAATGCGATCCGTAGAGGCCAGCCGTTGAACTTCCTGTACGACCTTCCGGCCTCGATACCCCAGACGGGCAGAAATTCAATTCAGCATTCCGTATCGTTTTCTGAACCGTTGAACATGCCAACGTCATCTCGCTTGCTTTCTACGAGCACTGGTATTCGGCGACCCCCTCAAACACCTGCAAGGGCCGCGCGATAGGAGGTGTTTTACGAGCTTTCTTCCATCGGATTCGGCTAGTATGACTGTATATTCTCGCCTTTTCTCCCGATATCTCACCCGTTTTCTTCTTTGGTACGCATTTCTGGCGCTGAGTGGCAGTCTCTCTTTTTCATCACTTCTTATTGTTGCGTTTTACCCGCGGGCTGCTTTCTCGTCATATAGATCTCCTAATTGTTTATGCGATGTTGGCTGTGAGCTTTACCCAATACCCCGGCGCGTTCTTAGCAGTCCTTGCGCGTTTGAACCAGGTCTCGTGTGGTTACTGGGAGTTTAGAACTTGGATATTCTGTCAGCATGTTTCTAGGCGAAAAAATTGCGATAGTTTTAATATTGGAATTTAAAATTATTTTACAAGTTATGTTTTGGCTCAGTCTTTGGTTGTACCGTGGAGTTGATCGGCCTTGGGAGCTTCAAATGTTCCACTCCCTCCGAGGTTCCCCAACTTCAGCAATCAGCTTTCTCCCCGCAGCAGCCAACTACTTTCCGACGGACTCCTGCGCAGAACATGATTAACCCAGTATACTTATAAGTTGACACACTTCGCCGCGACAAAATGACCTCGGCCTCAGTGTGATCCGACTTTCAGTTCGATGACCTTAATGTCGGCCGTCGCCCTCAACCATGATCAAGGCCATTTTCTACAGCAAGTTCGACACGCAGGAAGGTCGGTTGCCCCAACTAATCACTGTATTATACGTGCATCATCGAATACTGACACAATATAAGGCCCGAAGGTCGTTCACCAGGTCCCTGATGGAGCAATTGCCCCCTCCAACACCGCCCCCTCGCAGCCTCTCTTCCTTACCTTCTCGGATATATCGTTCTTTGTGATACCTCGCCAGGAGCTATGTGGGAATCTGATTCAGGTATGCACAGATGGATACCGTATTTTGGGATATCCGATATGCATGAAGTCACCTCGATACGACAGAAATGAGTTCATTTTCAACTTTTGTGTGGTACTGGGGGAAGAGGATGATTTCAGCAGCTACAAAAGTGTTGTCCAGAAACTGGCAGACCTGATGCGTGGGCTGGAGGAGCAAAATGGGTTTCTTTCTCGAGACCATTCTAAAAGTGGCGAGGGGAAGGTATACAGTTTGTGCGAGACGCTGATGGAGGATTTGAACAACTATTGCGAGTGCATGATTCCAATCGGTATGTCCTCGCCCCCTTTTCCTTTTTGAGTTCAACGCTGATGTAGGAGCAGATGAATTGAACACGTTGAACGTCAAGCTATTCCCTGTCTATCCTACACCACCCCCTGTTCGTGCCTGGCAGGTTCCCTTATTTACAGTCCGCTACCAAGCGTTCCTCGATGAGAACTGGGACCTCACAATGCAGCGGGTATGCTGAATTCCCTGTGTATACAACTCGATTGCTGACAGCCTCCACTAGATCGTTCCACACATCAATGGGGTCAACAGTATTCGCATAATATCCCTCCTCGCTGATACGGACTTCTCCCTCACATGCCGCGCAATCCGGCATCTCCTTTACTACGGCTGCCTCTTCCTTTTGGACATCTTTTCATTTTCTGGCATCTACGCACCCACTGCACTATTTAGCACTACAATCGCTGCAGATGAGAACATGCAGCAGGAATGCGCTCGCTATGTCAACACGCTCTTCGCTTCCCCAATGACTGCACCTACCGCACCTGCTGCCATCTCACTCCATCACGATAAAGACAACGTCTGGCCATCGGCCGGGGACCCAACCCCTAGCCTCGGCAACGATAGCGTGCTGGCCAGCAAAAGCGAAAACATCAGCCTCTCCGCAACTCCCAGCCCAGCCAACACAAGCACTCTCATTTCCTCAAGCGCAGATCCCCTAGGAAAGCACCCCGCCGCAGATCGAGAGGTAGTCGACGGAGTCGGCATTGTGGAGTTATACGCCAGTCTGAAACAAGGCCAGAGCGTTAAACAATGGTACCTCCAGCACAGCCGCCAGCTCACCCACATTGACATTCGCCGCTTCATTACATTCGGTATCATCAAGGGATTCCTATACCGAGTACACAAATACGCAATAGCAACAGGCAATCCAGCTCCTCAGTTCAAATCAGGGGCCACAACACCGCGTTCCCACTACCTATCTACACACAGCGGGCCATCTTCGCGAGGCCCCGGAACAGGCGCCAATAGCCCATATGCGTCCAGTGCAGGTGATGAACCTGCGCCTATCTCGCAACACCATAATCATCATCACCACCACCATCATCGCAGCGAGGATGCGAAGGACCGAGATCGTGCGTCTTTACAGAGTGCGAGTCGCTCAGCTTTGCTCTATGACGATGACTACGAGGAGGACTTCATCGATGATAAAGAGTTATCCAAGTACTTGGATGGCATGCATTGCTTTGACCAGATCTGCACCGAGCTAGAAACCAGTGAGCGAGAGTTGACGGCGAGGTTGAAGCGCTATCATGGTGAGGTTTTGATTGTTCATCGTTGATTTCGCTGGTGCGTTTGAATCGAGAGATTTATATACGAAGTCTCTACAGTTGATACCCAAATTTGTTTCTACTTTATCATATACTGTACCATTAGTAAGTAGCATTTACGCGAGCTACTCGTATTTGTCAATCCAGCAAGGCAGGCACGATGCCTAGTAAGTGCGACGACGGGGAAGGCACAACCTTCCATATGTTAGGTACCTGCCCAATTGGGGTGAAGCTGGGGGCCAGTCGTTCTTTCCCATTTGGTTCAAAGACGGACCGGGACCCATTGCGCCTTCCTATCTTGGATAAATAACTATGGCGGCACCTTCCTACATTGCAAATGGGCGAAAGAGTCATTATACCATGAGTGATCATATTCGAGGGACGATATACACAAACAAAAACCCTCCATGGATGGTTTCCAACGCCTACCACCGATTTAGAAAGTTTCTCCATATTGCGCCAAATAGATAAAGCCAGTCCGTCAGTCAACCATGCCGAATCGATACCTCGTGAATCGCCGAGAACTCAAGTAGGGCTCGGTGGGAATATAAACATGAAGAATAAAACGAATAAGAAGAAGAATAAGAAGACTATTTGATCACTCCTGTTCTTCATCCCATCCTTCCACCTCCATCTTCTCATATTCTGACATAAGGGAGGGTGTAAAAATGCTCTCGCTTGTTCCGGGGACAGTCGTTTTGCAGTCCTTGAAGACAGGCCCGATGCAGTCGCGCCAGCGCTTGCGTCTGTCCATGAGCGTTCGAGCAACGTCTCCAATCGCAGGCCGGCTGATACCAGCAGCGCTGACGACGTGGCTTCCACCGCCAGCTCCACCGGGTCGGTGCTTCGCCTGGGAGCCCTTCTTGCTTTTTCCTAGAGTCCTGGTCCGCTTTAGATAAGCTTGTTGGACCTGGGAGTCTAGATCGTCGTGGATGGTCATGTACTCCTGGAACGCCATGCGCTCGCGGGCGACCTCGAGGACTCTTGATTTACGTGCACTATTGATGATCATCTGTTTTTTGAGCTCACTTTGTAAAAGACGGAGGCGCTGGGCGATGTCATCGTCATAGTGAGCATCGTAATCCGGGTTGTCGTCGGCTCCGAGGAAACCTACGTGCCGGAGTTCCGCTTTCAGTCGTTCGTCTAGCTGTGCGTGGTCAAGTTTTGCTGCCGGGACCTTGAAGCCACTGGGTGATGCAGCACGAAACGAGGTTGCGGACGGCTGGGGTTTATTTTCCGATTCTCCCGCTGGGTTATCGATATCCATTGAATCTCCGTTTAGACCATTCAGCGACAGATCCCCGTTGGTGTTGCCATTGGTGGCATTCTCATCGGGAGGCGCACGATGCTCATACCGTAGCAAAGAATAAAGGCGACTAACCAACGGGGCCACGGAGACTTTATCTGTCTCCGCTGTCTCATCGGTAACCTGCTCAATATTTCCTCGACCTTCATTTAGGGGTAGCTTCTCTCGGTCGCCATTTGCTTGATCGATATTCATTAGACCGTCTTCTTCACCCCACACATCCGTATAGTATTTCTTTCCTCGCTTTGGCATGATGAATGGCGTGACTCGGTCACCCTGTAGCTTATGGTTAGCATATTAGATGAATTATGGTGGATAGGAGGTCAAACCTTTTCTTTTAAGAATGCTATATCTTCCTCCATCATCGGCCGAACATAAGGCTCGATATAGAGAAGAAAGGTGTTGGCGTTAACTTGGTTAGTGGGCTTAGCATTGCTGAAATCGCGGTCCGGAGGAATCCCTGCCATCAAATGGCGTAAGTCGCTTTCTGGGAAAGCATTAACGCTGAATATCTCCTTCTTGTCATCATCCGTCATTCCTGCCACGATTTCTCGAATGTGATATATCGTGGGATCATCGAATTTGAGAGGATTGGGGCCGAAGACTTGGATTTGAGGCACGGCCGGCGCTGGTTCAGGTTGATGCGACTCAGAGCTGTCATCGGATTTGGGTGAGGCAGCATCTGCACCGTCGTTGGTCTGACGTGGTGAAGCCAATGATGGTGGGGATAGCGAAGATGTTTCGTCTGATACTGCATTCTTGGATTTTTTGGAAGCCGGGGATGCAGCTAAAGGTATACACTTAGCATGCTTTGATGATGACTTGTGATTTGTGGGAGTGACCATGAACCTACCACCTTCAACCTTCGTTTCCGCTCCGTCCTGGCGACCAATTTCATGGGCGCCATATGTCAACGGGCGCTCCTCTTTTGAGCTGCTGCCCCGTTCCTTTCGCTTCTTAAGCTTCCCCGACTTGGATGGTTTGCTCTCTTCGTCGTCTTCCTCCATTTCACGCTTCATCTTCACGCGTTCTGAACCATCAAACGATTCAGGCTCATCCACCACTTCCTTGCGCTTCTGGGATAGCTCCCTAATCCCGGCATTGCAGGCATCACCACGAGCCTCCGCCGATTGACTCAGGGACCTGAGGTGTTCCACCAGGGACTCCAAAGACCTTGAATCCGGGATAGGGCCCACCCCGCCCATACGCTCCAGAATATCCGCATATTGTACTGTTGTGGGGACGATGAGTTTGGATGCGTCGTTGTCAAGGTAGCTGGTAGGAGGGGCGGAGGTTGCGGTCGGAGCTGCGCTGAAGCCAGAGCTGGGAGTTGTATTGCGGCTACGCGACGGTCGCACATCGCGTCCCTTTCCTTTTCCTTTATTCGCAGACGGCATTTCGAAATTGTAACTCAGTTAAACATAGGTTGCTAGTATGTGCGAATCGAAATATGACGTTTTGGCGGATTGGCATTAATAGACCATATCCATGTGCTTGAACGAGGATTTGATAGATAAAGAGTAATTAATTTGCAGGCAGGAGCTGTGTCTGTACGCTCCAGCCGAATAATAGACAGAAAATCTGGGATGAAGACAACAATCTCCAATTCACAACATCTTGGATACTCTAACGCGGTCTCCTATCATGTGAGCCTCAGCACGTGACATCACCTGAGAATGGCGATAAGAGTTGATAAGAGTCGATAAGGAGATTGCCGAATTAGCGTTCAAGGCACGGTCCATGATCTGCAAACCTCCCTTGTATCCATCATGAACCAAAGGATGACGTTCTTGTTGATTCCTGGGCAAACAACTGGGAAATGAATGCTTCACAACCGGCAGAGCGTTCATGCTTCTGCTTTGTCCTTTATTATCCTACAATGGCCTTCGCTACTGTAGGCGCTGTTTTCAAGTGTTGTCAGGATGTTATGGAAGATGGGAGGCAGCAAACAAGATCGATGCATTGGCTCTTTAGCCTTGCGGCGTGTTGAGCCCTATGGTTGTAGGATTTGATTTTACCCGCACTCATGATGGCCAGACATTTAAGGCAGAGTCTTCTCGTCAGGATTTATTACCGTCGACAACATGCTTTCCGCGGTTTCCGTCGCTCAACTGTCCGCAAACGTCGACGGTGCTCCACCTTGGACGGCATCATACTTTGGGACAGGGAATTAACCTGAGTGCGATCTAGACGAGAAAAGAAATCGGGTGCGGACAAAAGTCTTTGCCTCTATTTCTCTGGCTTCTTGTTTTCGCTTCGATTGCATTCTCCCTGTGTAGCTCCCGCGCTCTCCGGCGGCGGATAGCAACAGCGATTCGGTTACCCACGCCCCGACTTATCTTTCTTCTTGAAGCATTGACTCGGCTCTCACGTTGCTCCGAAGTCGGGTTATAGCCGCATTGATTTCACGCTTGTCCGCCGCAGTTTGATTTGATGATGTGCTTTTGATACTAGAGTGCCTTGAGTCGTCGAGTGGGAAGTGTTCATCGATGTGTATGTTCCCCAATGTGTTACCGCAGATATGCCCAGAATACCGCGCCATTTCCCTCGATATCTCAGCCTTGAAACAGCTGACATACCATATATATGGTCTGTGGACGATTTCCGCTAACGCTTCGTTTTTCTGCAGCTGCTAAGTCGCTCAACACGGCTGCAACGCTTTTTGCGGGCCCCGGAAAAGCGAGCAATTCAACACCGTCTGTCAGTGTAAGTATATTTTGTTCATCACTAACCTTAGACACGAACAAAATATAAATGAAACTGATCTTATCTCCAGGGAAATGCTTCGTTCCATCTCGTCATAGAGGGAGACATGCAAACACTCTCTACTCAGAATGCTCCAAAAGACGGACCGGTACAAGGAATATTCTTCGTTCCTAGCTTAGAGCTGAGCGATCCGTGCAATAACGTAACCGCGCCGTATATTCCAGCAAATGTGACCCGCCATCAAGACGTGAGCCCACATGGCTACCAAACTATTGGGCTTGCACCCTGGATCACCTCGAATTGCAGCAAGTCATTTTTGGATGCCGCGAGCCGTTTAGACACAGAAGCGCTGGTGTTTTTTCTCCCGGTACGTGACGATGCAAAACCACCACCGCCAGACGATCCTACGTGGTTGTTAAGCGGTGGAGCTTCTTTGGAGAACGATTATCCGTATCCCGTTTATGCTATTCCTGGATCGGCAGGTGTTACTTTTTTTGAGCAACTGTCACGGTATCCAAGCAATGAAATATTTCCCCAAAACCAGCAAAATGCTTCCTCCCGGGGTGATGGGGGATATGTGCGGTTGTATACTTTCATAGAATTAGGTAAGGTCACTGCTGTTGGATATTTTTGCGCGAGTTTGTGGCTAACGTCTTGTTAGAGGAAAGCGGAAAGAAAACCCCAAGTATCTGGGGGTTTCTATTAGCAATTCTCGGGACCGTAGTAGTCCTAGGTGTTATTCTTTTCCTTCTATATCAATTCTTACAGAGGCGACGGCGTGAGATCTTGCGGCGGCGCCTTGCAGTAAGTGCGGCGGACTATCAGCAGTTCCAACTCCAGCACCTCAAGGTCCCGCAAGAGTTTATTGCGAGGCTTCCGACCTATGTCTATCCTAACTTGGACCACTATGGTGAAGATTGTTCGATGCAAACCCCGTACGACAGCAACATACCCGATAGAATTGGTAATACAAAAAATGGCGAGGACAAGCAGAAAAATAGTGAAAAGGAGCCGGGGGTGGAGGCGAGTGGGCTAATGACACAACACAAGAACCCAGCTGGCTTTGAAGGTGCCCTGGACGCTGAACAGGAATCTAAAACGCCTCAAGAAAGAGCGCGAGATATATCGCCACGAACAGCTCGATGCGAGACACCCTCACAGACAACATGCGCCATTTGTCTTGACGACTTCACCCCAGAATCATCCATCGTACGCGAATTGCCGTGTGGCCACATCTATCACCCTGAATGCATTGATATCTCTTTGACTCGAAGCAGTAGCCTTTGTCCGCTATGCAAAAAGAGCGTGTGGGCACCTGAATTCTACCCGATTCCCACCCCCGAAGCTACATACCAGCATGGTAATGTGCGGCACCCATGGCTGATGACGCAGATTTGACGATTGATGTGTTTTTTCTGATCGCCATGTTGAGATACCCTACTTGCACAGGTGACGTCTTAAACGCACTATACTTCGAGACCATGGATCTCATCACTCACCACGATTTAAGAACTGATACACTGGCATGGGGTGGGGTTGGCTTCGACTGGGAACTCGAGCGACTGCAATCAGCCGTTGCCTTTATCTCTTAATTGGTTCAAAGGGCTCTTGGCGTCTTTTCTTGATGGTTGTAGCTAACATGCCTGTCCAAGGTTGGGGGTTTAACGTCAAATCATCTTCGAGGCACCCAAGAGTCAACTCGCGGAGAGCGCCGTCAAAGCAGCTTGGCAAGTCTTGGAATTGCAGCGGAAATGCCCGATCATTCCATCCTCCGTTTCCTAATTTAAAAACAATGCCGAAATACTTGATCTTTCATACTGTAGAAAGTGAGGGGTTAAAAAGAGCTCGCTTCCACTTCGTATTGCGTAGACAAACTTCACCTACTATCTCGACCACCACAATGCATCTTCCTTGGGTAATTGCCAGTACTAGTGCTCTGGTGTCTTCAGTTGGTGCTGAAACCATCCTGGGAGTGACTATCTACTCCCGCCATGGTGATCGTAAGATGCTCTAGCTGTAGTATTGACCTTAAACCTAGCTAACTACAATAGGCTCCTCCAAGCACTATCCAGGCTATATGTTAACCAACCTGGGTCTCCAGCAAAACTTCCAGGTTGGCTCGGACTACCATGACCTTTATATCTCGTCCGACTCTCCCAAGAAGATTCTTGGAATCTCCGGGGACAAATACGTGCCGTCACAAATATCCGCTTCAGCTCCAGATGAGCCTGTTCTGCTGAACACTGCCACAGCTTTCCTCCAGGGTCTTTATCCTCCCATTGATGCCTCTATTGCTTCCCAGTCCTTGAATAATGGTACCAACTATACAAACCCACTCGGTGGATATCAATATGTCGTTCTCCACGGTGAGGAGAAGGAAAGCCCCGACACCATCTGGATCAAAGGCGACGACGAGTGCCCCGCCTTCACCGAAGCCATGGACACTTTCCCTGAGAGCGCTGTATACCAGGAGAGACTAGAGTCAACCAGATCATTCTACCAGCAATTCTGGCCGGGTATCCTCGAAAACGTTTACGACCTCTCGGAGGAAGACATGACATATGAAAACGCCTACACTATCTTCGACCTCATCAATGTCGGCACAATCCACAACAGCTCCATGAAAGACGCCGTCACCCCAGACCAACTCATCCAGCTGCGCACCCTCGCCGACAGCGCCGAGTTCAACTCCAACTACAACGCCTCGCAACCGGACCGTTCCATTGGCGCCCAGACTCTCAACGCAGCTATCCTATCTCATCTCAACGAGACAGTCACTTCCAAAGGAGATGTCAAGTTCTCCCTCCTTGCTGGGAGCTATGATACCATGCTTGCATTTTTCGGTCTGAATGAGCTAACTACTGCATCAAGTGACTTTTATGGTCTGCCGGACTATGCCTCCACGATGGTCTTTGAGCTTCTAACTAGCGATGACAATGTGGATAGATTCCCATCGGATACGGACTCGCTCATGGTCCGGTTCTTGTTCCGGAATGGCTCGGATGCTGGTGGTGAGCCTACTGCGTTCCGCCTGTTTGGGCGTGAGGAGACTACAATCTCCTGGAAACAGTTTGTGGCTGAGATGCAAGGTCGTGCTATTTCGTCGGTGGCGGAGTGGTGTGATGTTTGTCGGAGTGAGCAGGACTTTTGTGTGGCTGCTACTGCGGGTGATGGTATTTTTTCTGAGAAGGCTGGAAGCAATGGTGGTGGTTTGTCGAATGCTGTTTCAGGTGTCATCGGTGCTATAGTTACCCTTGGTGTTGTTGGGGCTATTGCTGCGGTTGCTTTTGTCGTGTTTAGGAAGAGAACTCGTGCTGCTCCTGGAGTTGTAACTCCCGGAACCGTGGAGAAGGGAAACGCCGCTGGTAGAGGTAGTATTAGCAGCTAGGTAGTTAGTTAAGTTGGGGCAATAATCTACTGTACGTACATAGCAATAACCCATCAAGCAAACTTATCATGCTTCCCGCGAACCCTAACGTCCAAAATCTCCTCATGGAAATTCCCCTCCCTCCTCGCTCTCCTCAATCTCTTCACTTCACTCTCATCCAGCCTCCGCCCAACAACCTCCTCTAGCTCCTTCCGGCTAACCTTCTCCTTCGCCTTCGTTTCCTTGCTAGCCTTTATCCTCGGCTTGAACCGCGCCTGCATCCGTACCCGCACAGTCGTCTGGAACGAAAGACTATCTTCGTCTCCGCGGATTTCAACTCCCTTGTTCGTTTCTTTAACCCCAATAAACGTATCTGTTTCTCCCGCGCCACCCATTGTCTGAATAAAGAACGCCCCCGGGATATCAGGAGATGGGTGCATAAGGAACGACTCGTGCTGCGAAATCGCCGATGCAGTAGCGCTGAAAAGACCGTACTTGTCGCATGATAGATATCTACCAGCGCGAAAGTCAAGTTAATAAGGTTTCATTAAAAGAGTAATAAAGCAAAAGGGGAACAAAGAGAAGAGAACAGACCTCCCATGTCCACCCTTCAAACTAAACCCTTCGGTCCCCGCAACCCTCGTCGCAACCCAAACCTGCCGTACATCATGCGGCTCCGCAGTCCGCACATCCCCCTCAATTAGATTTTCCAGCTCGCTCGCATACACCTTCCCGTTCATATCTGAAGCAATGCATGTCGGGGGCTCGGAGGGAAGGACGATAACGATGGGCCCTGAGATGTCTGACGTTGTGTCGGCGGAGACCCAGCTCTGGTCTTCAGCTGAGGCTTCTGCGTTTGCATTTGCGCGTGCATCAGCTTCGGCGTCTGCTTCTGGGTCGCCGGACTCTGTGGGCTTGGGCTGTTTAGATGGTGTGGAGAGGTCGCGGTCGTGGTCGCGGTCGGGGTTCTTGCGCTTTTTGGATTTGGGCTTATCGCCTTTGAAGGTTAGGGGTTTAACCATTTTGGAAAACACACTTCCCTCCCGTCTCGTAAGAGAATTTGGATTTGTAGTTAGGGCGGGGTGATTGGAACGCTTCGTGAAAAGAACATGGAGAAGTCAGTTCAGATCGCAGCGCAGTTCTGAGTGATCCTTATCGATAAGCTGTGCTCTGAAATTGGCTAGTCCCCATCGGGCAGTCATAGATATCGGTGGGACATTTATTTATTAAGGCAAGAGAACATAGTCCGGATTGTGTATTATATTTCTAGAAACTAAGTCCATTGTATGATTTTGTATCGACCAATATCGGTCACAAATGTATCCACCTTAAAACACCCAACCTTGCCTCGTTGGCTCCTCCCTAGTTGACAACGCACGGTTATTCTAGTCGAAAATGATGGCCGCCTTGATGGTGTTCTTGTTGCGCATCGCCTCTAGACAATCCTCCCATTGCTCAAGCTTGTACATCTTGTTCACTATTCCGGTCACCTTGACCTTGCCAGAGTCAAGGTAGTCAATGGCTGCAGGGAACATGTAAGCCTTAGAGAAACTGCCGATAATCTGGATCTCGTCGCCAACTAGCCTGGGGTCAGTATCGGTCCACAGACGAGATATGTGAAAAACTTACGAATCTTGCTGGGAGGCCAAGAGACATCGTCCTTCTTGGAATAGTCACCGTATACGACAAGCTTGCCACCGTGACGCACGTAGTTGATCGAATCCTCGAGGGTCTTGACGTTGCCTGTGGCCTCAACTACGACGTCGAAGCCATAAGGGTTATCGGCCTTCAGCTGGCTGGGTTGGTGGCGGGAGTCCTCACGAGAGAGTTCGATGTATTCGTCTCCCACACCAAGAGATTTAGCAAGCTCCATATTCAGTCCCTCAGGGGCACAGATAACGACGTGGCATCCACCATTAAGGCGGAGTAGCTGGGCGAGGATCTAGGTGCGTTAAGACCAGGTCTTCAGTGCATACGACAATGAACATACCAGACAGGTGGGATCAGCACCGAAGAGAAGAACGCGGGAGCCCAGTTTGGGAGAGATCTTATCAAGACCGTGGGCGGCACAAGAAGCGGGTTCAATAAGGGTGGCGTCAACATCGCTGAGGTTCTTGATCTTAAACACCTTACCAGCTGTCTAAGGTCAGCAGAATATAGAGACAAGGCGAGTCTACTCATACCAGGGTAGGAGCAATATTCAGCAAAGCCGCCACTCATGGTGACACCATGGGCGTGGAGGTTCTCGCAGAACAGCTCATCGCCACGACGACAGTAGAAGCACTCGCCGCAGAACTCAGAGTCATCTGCAACAACACGATCGCCAATCTTGAGGGTCTTGACTTTAGAGCCTATATCTGCAACAATACCGACGGTTTCGTGACCTGAGCAAGTTAGCGTCTTTATGTGTCTGCAGTCTGCACCGTGTTTGCTCGGAGGGGTAAGGTCGATGTACCTGGAACTAGAGGGAACTGTCAAAAATATCAACATTCAATTGCATCTTGAAAGTTTGTTTTATAACAGTGGTTTACCTTTGCGATGGATTCTCCCTCATGGATGTGAAGGTCAGTGTCACAGATGCCGCAAGCTGTAACCTTAATCTATATGGGCAATTGGGTCAGTGATGGACACTATCTGGAGGCATTTGGATCTTACCAAGACATCATTTGAACGGAGGGCGGGGACTGGGACCTCAACTATCTTATGTACCTTCGGCTTGTCGTACCTACCACAATAGATTAGTTTGACCCTTGGGTGAATCAAGCTGAGATGACTGACAATAGGGCCTTCATGGTCAGGGGTACTGCGATGGTCATGGTGATGGATATGACAAGATGTTGAGTGTGTATAAAAGAAGGATAATCAGAAGAGGACCTTGGACAAAAGAGTGACAGCGGAAAAGAGGAAAAGGAAGAAAGAGATTAGAGGAGACAAGGAGTAGGGGAAATGGTCTGAATACCAATAAGTGAATTGATGGAATTGGATCTCACAAGTCACCAATTCACTACACAATCTGGGCAAAGTACGGTGAGATACATGGCCAAACGGATGAACCCGGCATGATCCCAGACAGGATGCTCTGAGACAGTACCTTGGTATGAGTGGAATGGATTTGATGGCTGGTATAGGCCTTTCCCACCCCAAAATGAAAGAACAAACGCAGCATCAATACAGCCTCAATCATCTTCGTTGCCAATAAACGCAGATCGGCCCAAGCTCGTGGCCCAGACAAACGTTCGCGGCCTATGTGAAAAAAGACCGCTGTGTCATATCATCCTCCCTCTGTTTACTCCCATCCATAATCTACCTCTACCACTCCACGATGGATGCTATCCACACCGTACTCGCGCAGACAGGAAACGTCCCCGAATCTGCAGATGATAATGTCGTCTGCGTATCCCCTTTTTCATCTAGCTTCAGCTTACTCCCTCGCCTTCATGTCTACTTCTGCTTCACAGTTGCTACTGCCGTCTGGCCCTTCTACAACGCCCGCCCCCTTAAGGCTGCCTATATCTTCTCTATCTTCTACGCAGCACTTTCCGCCACACACTCTGCAGCGAACTTTGCGATACTGGTTCGAGGAGATACCAAAGATAATATCCTCGATCCCGATCTCTTCCACCACTACAGAACCATAGCACTAGGAGTCTTTTTCTGCGCAAGGCTTCTTTACTCGCCGCACGGCCGTCCCCTCACCAACGACCAATTCAATCTGATCCGCTTCCTGCTCTTTGTTCTCGGAGCAGCTGGTGTTGCAGGAAACGTTGCCATCCGCCATGTTGCTCGCAATATCACCAGCAATGAGTCGATATGCCGCGCCTCGAACGCCGTCCTCCTACCGCAGAAAATAGTCCTGGACGACCACAACAGGCATTACGAATTTCTCTCCAGCCTCACCCGCTTCATTTCCGGCACGGATATCGGCTACAATATTGCCTATTTCCTATTCAACCCTACCGTTCAGGGGTTGCTTGTCTTTTGGCAGGGCTTCTACGCTTCCTTCACCTCGCACAGTAGGGGACGTCCTAAATCTCCATTCAGTCATAGCCAAACGTCCGAGCCTCACAGCCCACCAGCAAGATCACTCCAAAACATGTTCTCCCAAGCCCTAAAACTAGCCTGGCGTGCATTCCTGCTCTACAACGACTCTGGCTTCGCCATCGTCACCATAGCCACCATGTCGTCCCTCCAAGCAGAAGCTATCTATTACAACCTCCAATTCCCGGAAAACCTAACCAACGGTATCCTATCACCCTGGTCCATCTGGGTCCCCACGCTGCTGTATCTCGCCATCGAGGCTGGTATCCGGATACATAGACTCCCCGAACGGCTTCATCAAGAACACATTGCCCGCCAGAAAAAGGAAGCTACAGAAGCGAAAATTTATCACGCTCTAGAGCCGCTGAAGGATCGTGAGGTTCACATCTATCTGCAGCGTTGTGCAGTTGGACAGCTTCCGTGTGGTACCGAAATCACGTATGAGAAAGCTGCAATTTATTGTCAAGTGTTTCCTGAGTTTATTCCGGTGTTTGAGAATCTAATTCGACTTCTAAAGGAGAATGAATAAGAGATGGAAACGCGACTAGAGAAGTCAATGTCAGTGTGGAAATGTACGGTTTATGCTATGTATCTCATGTCCTCAAAGGTTCTATTCTGGTATACTCTGTGGTTTGCTTTAAACTGCATAGTATCAGTATCACTAGCCTGCTGCTCAGGCCAGGGTATAAAACCCCACGCTAATCCGCGGCGGTCCCACTTGACTTCTGCAAGTCTATGCTTGATGATCATGGGTGACAGGTCGGTCTCTGCGACTATAGTCTATACAGCCTACAAGAGCCCTACAACTAGAGAATCCCAACATCACCTGTACTCGCGCTTACCGCTACGGTCAGTGTAAATTGGTGGAAAAGCAGATAATGATATTTTTCTATCGTGGCAACTGTGTTCCAAATTGGGGCATCAGCTAGACACATCCATCCAATCGAGCAACCATATCGGATACGCAGGTAATCAGTAAGTACTGCACGACCTTTACTCAACACTTCAATGACAGTATGATACAATACACTACTTAAGTCCAAATCCTTCGCTGTTCAATACCGCCTCCGAGAGCAGCCGCTCAAGCTTTTCCCGTGTCGCATACCGGTACAGTCCCAGCCGGTTGAAACATGTATGTGCAACTGGGAACCGTGACGAGTCATCGCCGAAACAGGCCAGTTGGATGTTTAGACTCGTTGCCCCGACGGCTGGAATGCGGTCGCTGCTTGTAATAAATGAAAGAAGTCTGCGTTGCGCATCAGGCTTCGTGCGCTCGAAGTACTCCCAGAACCATTGTACCACAGGTTCTGACTCTGGCTTCGTTGTTTGCCAGTTTAGGTATGTGGCAACCGCACGTAGCGATTTCACATCTAGCGGCTCATCTGATCCACGCACCAGTAATTCAATCTCCTCGGGGCGAAACAAGGACAATGCATTACCACCACAAACACTGAAAAACCCACGTCGGAGTGGCTCAAACTGCCGCGTCACAGCAGTATCCAAGTGGTAGTGAACGTAGAGGTCCACGAACTCTCGACGATTCGCGTTCGTCACCGGTTTCTTCTCCCCGCCAGGGCACAGCGGGATGGACCTAACCTCGCCATACCGATCGATATCGGCCACAAAGTTGTGGCAAAACGTCTCGGCAACATCTCCCTCAAACTCCAAAAGCCTCCGCAGGCCTCTGGCAAGAGCTGGCCGGTACTCCGCTAGATCATCTAAGCTGCATTTGTACGTAGGGCGGGTAGTCAGTGGTTGTGGTGCAGACGTCTGCGGCGCTGCCGCTAACAATTTTTTGAATGCGAAGGGTGGGAGTGCAATGTCAAGAATGATAGAGTTATAAATAGCAAGTCCTAAAACAACTCCCACCAAGAAGAACTGCTCCGAAGACTCAAAACAATACGGGTTGAAATAACAATACTGTGAATCTTCATCGTAGATGAAAAGTCCTAGAACGCGAATTAGCAAAATGTATTGGTTCGTGGAAGGGGGCTATAACTTACCGTGATGGGGGTCAAAGACCTCCCGTACAAGAAGCAGGAACCATTCCTTTCGGAGTCCGCCGGCATCCACACCCTCCTCACCGATGAATCCGATCCGCAGGCCTTTTTTCATTTCCTCGGGAGTAGATCCGAGAACCTCGCCAACACGCTGTAGACTGTCTTCTACCAAACAGTCACGCCGTACTTTCAGCACAAAGTATTGGCTCACGGCCTTTCTATTCAAAATGCTGTTGAAGAATGCTTCACGGGCCTTGACTTCCATCTGACGACGGGCATCATGTTCCAGAATCTGGATCTTTGCTCCGATACTGAGAAAGAACGGGTACTGACAGAAGGAGAATTTCGATGTCTTCGACTCCCAAGCCTCAAAATCGGGCACCACAAGGTTGGAATAATCTAGCCTTGTATTATAGAATGAGCTGATTGGAATCATGTGTCCGCGATGACTTGACTCATGGCCCAAGGCTCCCGTTGGCCTTCGAGCGACGTCAGCGTTATTTGCAGTGAATAGCAGCGCCATTACTCGGCCTGCTGCTCGGACTTGCCAATCGTCGCCATACGTCATGGGCTCCTCTTCCTTTTTCTTGGTTTGCTTGTTCTGGTTTATCCCATTGATTGCTGCATGTAATTCCGCCGGTGTATTCATTGCAGCACTTGAAAAGCTAGGTATTAGGTAGCTCTCGTCGTTCGCAGATTCACTTCGCCTTCGTACGTGCTGACGCGCTAGGCGATATGTCACGAACCTTCCAACGAGCTCAACGAGCTTCTCAAACTGCTTTACTTGGAAGCGTGAAAACCACGAAACGAGATAATGATGGCAGTCAACCGGTAGGTCCGATAGCAGACCTACTATACGCTTGATGATTCCGGGATGATGACTAGACCCTCCGCTGGGGTTTCTTGTGACGTGTAATCGGTTGCCCATTGGTCGGCCAGTATTGCTCTCGCCGGGCCGCGACGGTCTCCTTTCACCTTGGGGGACTGTGAGGCTCGCCAGTTCGGAAGTGGGTGGATATATCAGCGGGTTAGAGAGCAATATCAGGAGAAACCTAATATCATCGGGCTTCTTCAATGGTCTCCGCGGTCGTTTAAGAAGCCCCTCCGTAGCTTTCAGGAGTGTTCTGTGTAGATGTGCGCGGGATTCTGTCATTTCCATTTCGATTACACTTAAGTCCGCCATATCCCACGCTGCAGCTTTTGCGGCGTCCTCCTCGGTTGAAGGTGGTTTCATGGCCGACCACTTCTCGACCCAGGAAGTCCCCGCTCTCAGTATAAGGTGATACCATTGATCGACATCAATCCAATTGATTCGAGGGCTCCTTGAGTTTACTGTTTTTGAAGCCCTGGACTTGGATTGGGCATGGCTGGGGCCTGTACCCGATTCTTCATCGGCCATCCACCAAGATGAATTCTCAGCCAGGTCCCCCACCAGAAGTGTCTTAGCATCCAGTTCAACGACGGGATCCACATGTGCGTGTCTTGGGCTTTTCTGCGGGTCAGGTTCGGGACGAGTGTTCTCTGGTGCAGGTTGGGGAGCAGGATGAGCCGAGTTGAACGATGCATTCAAGATGTCACAACCCCTAAACCCCGATATTATATAGTCCTCCAGTTCTCGGAATATATAAAGATGTTTTTCCTTTCTTCCACTGTCATGCGGTCGACCATGCTCCCTTGGCGCCACCTGTCTAGGTGCATTCCGAGGGTCTGGCGCATCTTTTGGCGGGGGAGCCGGGGCAAATGGATTCCTAAACGGATAACTGGAGCTTTCAAAGGCTCTATCGCCACCATCGGCCTTCTCACGCGTGTCTGAGGATGACACGCTGCGACCCCGTGGGGGTCTCTGGTGTTGAGGCAGCGGTAAATTTCCCGATGGTCTGGGTGAGGCTTGAGGCAAGCCTTTCCTAAATGCATCCTTCGGTGGTACTGGCGGGGCTCCTAAGTATTGTTGCAAATAGGTAGAGATGCACCGATCGATAATGGCAGCGGTTCGCTCAGTTGTCAGCGGGATAGCTATAACAACTGTTAGCCCACTCTTTTGCGGTTAAAAGCACACGAGGGAAACGTGGCATACCTTTCCTTGGAATGGCCGGCTTTGCTCCATGTTTGATGGGGTCTCTCGTCTCTTGAAACGGCTCCAGGTCATTCACCGTTAAGCACTCCGTACATCGGAAAACTTTCAAGCTCCGCGGCCACCGCACTGTGTTATTGCAAGTCATACACTTCCCCGTCGTCAAATCATCCTTCGGCGGTACTCGCGGCAGACCCTTGCGGGGACTCGTAGATAATGGATTTGGATTCGGGAGATAGATATCATCATCGTCGTCATCATCGTCATCGGTATCTACGGCTACTATTGATTTATTCCGACGCTTCCCAGTAGCCCCGAAAGCCGACGCAAAGGGCTGGCTAATCGACCGCGAATGCCGTCCACGATGCGGCGGCGATGACGGCGGGGAGAAGTACAGCGCCCCGGTCACTCTTGGGTTTGTGCTTGCCTCGACATGCCGCGCGCGGTTTGGGGATCGACTTCCCACTACTGGCACGCGGATGGGGCTTGTGCTAGGTTGGACTCCGGCCAGGTTCGTGGATTGATGGACCGAAGGATTATGCGCAGCCCGCGACGGCATATGGTCGCATTGGTCGCACCGACTCTGTACCGTTCAGTTGGGTATTCGAGGGGGAGTTTCCTCTGGGACGGCGTTCATGTATGGCGTGGACGGTACTTGATCACGGATGTCGTCAAGTGCAAATATAGCAGTTGCCTCTGGTGGGGTCTTAGTTGAATAGGTCCGAAAGGGAGGAGGGTCAATCGGTTCCAGCCGATCGGTACGAGGTAAGGTAGGTAAGCAAACACCTGCAGTCGACAAGAAGACAGCACTGTCAGCTGGACTGAATACTGTACGACGTTGACTGGCAAATATGCAGGAAGAATGACCTACCGAGAACCGAAGGCGGTTGCGAGAGAAGGTGCGTTGTACGTCGGGTAAGTTGGCCCTGAAAGAACGGAAGTGAACCTTGATACAACCTATGGATAATGCCCGCCGATGAAGGTGTCACATGAGCAGTTTTTCACGACAGCAACAGTTGGAATGGTCTTGCAATGAGAATAAACGAGAGTTCTCAAAGAGGTGTTGGAGCCGATGTGAATCAGGCTGGAGAACAAAAGCGATCGCCAACAGCGGTTACGCAATACGTCTTGGACCAGTAGAAGAAACCCTGGTAATTGGCTTGAGTCCGTCGCTATCCATTATTATTAGAAGCCTGATGACAGATCAGGTAACTACGCCGTAAGCAGGATACATCAAGTTCATCGGCCGGAAGACCGGGACAGGCAGGCAGTTCCCTGATGGTGGGATGGCCGTTGGGCTGCCAGCCGGGAGTGAGTCTAGTCAGGAACCGGTGGGTTTTACTGAGAGTGACGCTGCCGGCTGCCCTGCTATTTTCGGACGGGTCCATCCTCACCCCGTTACATCGCACGTTCTCTGCCAGTAATTGACATCATTAAGGCTGGATTTCTTCAACCATAGTTTAATTTCAAGAAGGCTAGGGGCTTTCTATTATTCTTCAGCAACCAATAGCATAACCCCCACTGTTGGCTTTCCCTCGCATCCGGTCATGATAACCGCCACTCAGCATCAACAGTAAGCTACCGCTATCCCACCTCATCTACAGGCCCGTACTACGCTCTACATGCAGAATGATGCTGAAGAAACGGAAAACTGTCGTCATACTTCGTTAAAGAAATAGCCGAGACGGGGAATCATGCTTGAAAATAGAAGGATTTTTGCTAACACCCAATGCAGAGGATCTGTTGCATTAATCTCGCAGCCTGGCAGCTCAGTGTAGAAGCGAGCGCTGGCCGAAATAAACACGTCCACAAAATAGCTTTTTTCCCATAGCCCAGAACCTCCACAAAACCCATCCAACTACGTTTAACGGTATCTCCAGTAGCTCTGGGTGTTCTGGCGCTTCCAGGTGTGGCGGCGACCGGACGAGGTGTTGTTGTAGCGGTGGCCCTTGTTGATACCACGGGACTTCTTGCCGGTAGCGGTGAGACCACGGGCTTCACGGTGCTAGATTGTGGATTCCAAGTTAGTAATATGTTTTGAGACAGTCGAAAATCTTGGGTCTCCCGGGGAAGGAGAGCGACGAACCTTGTGAACAGGGTTGGCGATCCAGTTGATGCGGGCATCACGGCGGATAGCCTTGTGCTGGGGGTCAACGAGGATAACCTCGAAGTACTTGTAGGTGGAGTCCTGGTTGATCCAGTACGAGTTCAGGACACGCAAGTTGGCGCAACGGCGACCGACACGCTCCTCAGCAGTAGCAGCGAGAGCACGCTGGTACTTAAGCTGGTTGATACCCATGTTGGTGGGCTTACCTGTCGTCCAGAAAAATCTCAATTAGCCCACTTCTACCACACAAAATCCATCGAGAAAAGAGTGTCAATGCATACCGTAGGTGGCACCCTTGGGGGCGGGGCGCTTGCGGCCACCACGTCTCACACGGATACGGTAGATAACATATCCCTGCTTAGCCTTGTAGCCGAGACGACGAGCCTTGTCGGGACGAGAAGGACGGGAAGCACGGTGGATAGCGTTCAACTGACGGAGCTATATTGATGCACTCTCAGCAAAGTTCAACGAGTGTATAGCAAGACACACAAAAATTGTGCCACAACATCCACATCCGCCGGCGAAATGACAAAAAAAGTTATCGTTTCGAGCCGCCCTTAAGAACCTTCCTCTGCAACGAAAAAAGGTATCCTATTGGCAAAGGCACACACGAGCACAGTACAGCACCCGGCGGGATGTTAAACAATCGAATCTTGGGGGGGAGTTCTCACCTCCCAGCAGCGGACGCGCAGAAGGAAGCGAATCACATCGGACTGCTTCTTCTTTTGAATCTCTTCAACGTACTTGAGGGCACCCATCTGAACGAAAAGTCACAAGTTAGTTTCAAAGCACCAATTCGTCGAGTTTGTCGTTCGCAAATTGTAAATCGAGGATAGAGAGGAAGTTTTGGAGCTGAATATTCTGTCTGACATACCTTGTCGGCGTGGAGGTCGTCGGCTTGTCGTCGTCGGTTGTCACAGCTGGAAAAGTTCGAGAGAGAGATCTCTTGAGGAGGTTGTGTGTGGGACGCTAGCAAATTAGGCGAGGACGGCACCTCCAATCAGCACGAAGTGGGTGACCATTTATGCCTCAGGCACTAACAGGGCACATCCCGCCCAGGTTTCCAAATTCAACCCTAAGGTATCGAGGCATCAAATAGTCCTCTATGCCGAGGGAAGCCCGCTTCACCCGGCCTGCGCCAACCATCTACATATGGAGCATTTGGAAAACGGGAGATTCTATAAGACCTGGGACTCGATGTTCCACAATGATCCTGTATCATTAGACAATTTGGAATCTAGCTACCTAACTCAACTCTTTCTGATGCATGGCAAAACAAGCAAGAAAAGAAAGAAAAATTCGGACACGCCCAAGCATAATCAATCTTCTGTAGTTTCATCAATCGAAATAAACTCAAGACGAACATAAAAAAAAAAAAAAAAAAAAAAAAAAAAGACGGCTGTTACAAACTGAAGGGTTGTACAGTTTAAAGAAAGAAAATAAAAAAAAAAAAAAAAAAGAAATAAACAAGAAAGTTCCCTGGAAAAGAAAATCCACCGCGCCGTCTGATCGTGATGCTGAAAAGTCTATTTGGAACCAGCACTAACGACAGACCATTTCTTTCTTGACCCATTGCACATGATTTCTAGTATCTTAAGACACATTACAGCGAAAAGAGAAGAGGGTTGAACAGGAAAAGGGAATTAAGTACAACTTGAATCAAGAGGTGGGGTGGGTAGTCTTGAAAATCTTAGGATAACTCCGGACAATAAAAGCAAAAGAGAAAAGTGAGAGTTGGTATCGAATTCGGCAGGGCGAGATGTCGCCTTTCTGAGACCCAGCTTCAAGAGTTGAGCGACAGACCCTGGAAACGATTCACCCATTCGACCGGGGCAGGGTGCATACGAGAAGCCCCATTGTTAACGCCAGAGGTCCCGGTATAATCGGTATATCCTGGCTCCAGTGCACCGTACCCACCGGCCGGGTAGGAGGTGAAAGGATCAACGGAGCCCAGTCCACCCAGGCCAGCTTCGGGCTGACGAGGGGAATGGCCGAATTGCTGATAGGAGTCTCCATATCCACTGCGTAGCAGGCCCATCTGGTTGGCAACACCATCCCGTCCAGCATCTATACCGTCGCGGGAATTGCCAAATGCTCTAGCGTCACGCTGGTGGGGACGGTCACCTTGAGCATCCTGACCGTATCCGAGAGGATTGGGGCTCTGAATGCCAGCAGTTGGAGGTGTGACAAATGACGCCGGATTAATGGCGGACATCCAAATTCTAGTTTTGTAGATCTTGAAAAGGTCGGTAACAAGGGCGTTGAAATTGATGTACGAGTCGGCAAAGTAGTAAAATGTAAGCTTCTTCCAGTCCCTATTAAGTCGTTTAGGTTCATGCACTTGAGAGAAAGGGAAAGAGCAGGGTAATGTCACTTACATTTGAAATTCGGCGTCAAGAATCTCCATGTTCAGTCGGTGTTCTGCAACCTTCTGTTGGCAGACACGCTTGGCTTTCGCTTCATTTCCCTCTTTGTCGCGCAGGGTCAGGATCTCATGGTTTTGCGCAAGTCGCTTGATCAGCTTCGGTTTGATTTCACCAGCAGGTTCCTGTACTCCGTGTGCGCCGTGAGGTCCCATGCCACCAATGGCGCTCCGGCCACCCAAGCTCGACGCATTTCCCTGCGCGCCAGCTGCACTTGCGGCACCGCTTTGGCCTTGCCTAGAAAACATCATCAACCATTTGTAATGCTCTTCAGCATATTTCTGTTTCAACTCTCGTGCTTTCTGCAGTGAAATGTTGGCGTGCTGAATAGTTCCAAGGTCAGTACCGCGGTCTGCCTCTACAATGACCAGATCTCCAGGATTCACTTGAAGGCCGGTATCCTCTTGAATGTAGAAAACGTCCGCGCGGTGGCACTTGAAGGTCACAATGTAAAGTAGCTGGTTCTGATGCGGGAGGGCAGGTTGGTGGCGACCATATGGGTTGTAGCCTTGGTGGAAAGAAGTTGTGATTGGGGATTGGGAATCGACGGTGTTGCGAATAGATTGATCGCGAGCAAAATAAGATTCTGCAAAGCGACGAGCTCGTAAATATTCCGTTTCCATTTGTTCCTCCTCGGGGCGAGAAAGCATAGCAAGGCGCTGGTACTCACGATTTTGGCCTGGAGCATTCGGAATAGAACCGTCGTTGATATTGGCATAGTTCTCATCCTTCTCGCCTAATCCAACTCGAGCGGTGTTCGTTACCTGGGAGTCTCCAGAGATAGATGGGTGGCGAATCGGTATCTCGGCGAACGAGTGACGCCGACTCTGGGGAATATCTGCGAGGCTACCAAACCCAAGAGAAGTCTGCCAGTGTGCCTTCCTCAGATCGCCCAGAGCACGGTTCTCCGCAGGCGAGAACCCAGAGAATTGTTTCTCCAAATTGGCCGAATGTTCGGAGAATCTCCTTCTGGTGTTGCTATACATATCATGGTAGCCGGGAATGTTACCCACCTCATCGAGATCCTCTACAGCAAGGTCCGCTTCCTCCGGCACGCTGCTACGAATGCGATGCGAGTTACGAATACCACCGCCAACTGCATATCCGCTAGTTGCCGATGCAGTTGACATGGCGCGATCCCTGTATGGAGGAGTGTCCATTTGTCCGGCTGCCTGGCGTAGGAGAGCATTCTCTCGCGAGAGTTGCTCAATTGTACGAGCTTGGTTGGCGTTATAATTGCCGTAGCTACCGTCTGATCCACCAGGGCTCTCAGCGCCATCATCCTCATCTTCACGTACACGGCCCAGGGTAGCGGGGTCGTGACCAAGCTCTCCAAGCAAACTTGGACGCGAAGAACGATGCTGCAGTGCAGAAAACTGCGCTCCATTTCTAGGACGAGCACCAGCGTATGCATTCGCTGGCTTACTGCCAGCATTCAAACCTAGATACTCAGGATCTAGCTGACCCACAGAGTACGACTGTGAGCGGTAGGTTTTGGGTGTCGGGTGAAGCGGAATAGAGAACGGGATAGAGGAGTCACCAGAAGTCCTAGTGGTTGGACTAAGGAGCTCTTCGGCCAAATAGTTGCTCGAAGTCGACGGATTAGACATTGTGGGGGACGGAACAATCTCGGAAAGACGAGGCGGGGGTTCTTTGCGAGAATCGGTATTCCAGATTCCGGTACCCCACGGAAATGAAGTATTGCCAACGTTATTCCAAGTAATGGAGCTGTTCAATCCGGGGCTAGTGCTGGTTTGCCATGCGGATTGGTCAGTAGCAGGACTGGTAGGGTTGGAAGCTCCCGAGGACAAAGGGGCCCCAGTAATTGAGCCCTTTCGAGGCATGGCAGTAGGGATCTCGTTGAGCCAAGAGGTCCGGCGTGCAGGCTTCTGTACAGGCATGTTTGTAGAAGGTGCAGGTAGGGAATGCTCGACATCATCGTCGGAAGAAGCTAGAGCTTCGGAATCAGGGGTCGAACGACGAATGCCAGGATGAGTTCTCTCTAGCCTAGAAGAGGCATTGTTAGGCGGGGTCTGGGAAGCCGACGACGGCTTGTTGTTGGTTGGCGCAGCCATGATATTTTCCAAACTGGTTGACAATCGCAACTCGAAGATGAGATAGTCTTTTCTAAAGACCCAATTGAAAGATGTACTACATAGAAGTCAGTTTCTAAGATTTGAGAGCATTGGAGATTCGATGAAAATAGATAGCGCGCGCTTGGGATGCTTTGTTTTCAAGGCAGCATTTCGCGAGAAGAAAATATACGTTGGAGGGATGGACAAGAACATACTGAAGCCAGGAATATCTGAGGGGATTTGAGGTTGTTTAATCCCGGAACCGGCAGCGACTTTGTCCACGATATTTCCTGTCAAAACATCAGAACTGAGACATGTCTGAGACAGGACTTGACAATAAATATCACTCACCTCTTGGATAGATATGAGAATCAACCAAAAGATCTCTCGAAGCTCAGCGCTTAGAGAAGTGTCAGATGGTCAGGTCCTGTAGTGTATGGCCTGCTCACTGGAGCCAGAGTTAGTTATATCTGTATTGCTATGTTGAAGTTCACGTGAATGAAGCGCAACCAAGACAAAAACAATACGAGCCAAAGGAGACGGAGGAAACCGAAGTCATAGGAGTAACAAAAAGTTGAGTACAAGAGCTATGGTGTTGCGAATATTGTGGAGAGTTGCTCTCGAGTGGACTAGCAATGGAGATATAAAAGATAGTTATGACACCATCAAGATATCTCCCTCCGCATAAACCACACTGGGACAGTGAATGTTGCAAGGATGGTGAATGAGTGGGATGCAAGCTGCCTGGAGATCCGGGTTTAAGAATCATGAACTCCATCTTTCTATGAGTGTCAAGTGTTGAGTGCGTGACCGCGTGTGTTCGTGTGAAGGTCGCCCACAGTATCCATGTTTCGGAAATCATCTGACTTCACGGACCATACAGAACCCTCATCACTGCCTTATAGTGAAGCAATCCCACACAAGGAATCGCTAATATGGATATGCGCGAATTGAATGCAAGCAAGAGCAAATGAAACGCATCACGTCACCACGTACCTTGCGGGGAAAGAGTACGATTTGAACAAACCCGGGAGATGCTTTATGAGCGTAAATATTACTCCCAGTTTTGAAGAAGCGCAGTAAATTCGTGATCACGTCTATCAAACTCGCAACCATTAGCGACAATCATACGCCAGTGTATGAGCGGCGGATAACTCACCAGTCTAGAATGAAACGAAACTTTTATAATCTATTCAACCCAGCAACAGAAAACAGACCATGCCACAGCTAATTTTCGTCTTCGAAAGCAACCCAGCGCCAGATAAGAAGCGACCAGGCTTCCAGTCTAAAAGGAACAAAATAGGTTGTAAAAGGTGGCGCTCTGCGACAGGTCGGGGGGTTCCAAAGAAACCGAGGCGTCTACTCGGAATCGTAGTAATATAGCGCTTTTTTTCTCTTTTTTCTCTCTTTGCGTTCCCGTTTTTTTTTTTATATTATTATACCTGGCTCGCGACAGGAAAAGATACCTCTAGACGGTGCTCAACTCCGGTCGCGAAAACAAGGAAGTCCACTGAAAACGCGGGATCGTAAATGGTGGTAGCGTGACCATAAATGACGTTGGGAAGCGAACTGGCTCCAGTAACTATGGGCGGATCCGCTCAAGAGCAGCGCATCTTGAGGCGGACGAGGAAAAAGGAAAGCGACTGGGAGGTCGTGCGGTTCGGTCGAAGGGGAATCTGGTGAAGACGAATTCCCTCGTTCGTTGGTCGCGAGAAAATTAGGTGAGCGCGGGAGTGCGGAGGGGAAGTAGGACGGCGCAAGTTTCTAGGGACGGAACAGTGAGAGGCGGAGGGAGGCGAAACGCTGAGGTTGATGCGACGGCCCGCACTGACAATCTGGGGCAGAACGAGCTGCTGGGGGGAGCAGGGTCGGGGCTGGACAATCAGGGGATGGGTGGAGTTAAATGAGAGCGAGCAAGCAGCAGAATAAATAAAAGAGAGGAAAGGCGAGAGCGCAGGCGGGCAGAAGAATGGTAGAAAAGAGGAGAAAGAGGTTGTACAGTGAGTGGTAAGGAATAACGCAAGCTAAGGAGGTGAGCTAACCTTCGTGCACAGGCTCAGGCCACTGACACAAAGGAGGAGGAGCAGCAGACGAGCCACGGGTCGGGGCACCGAGCAAAAGTGGCGCGAGTGCTGGAACTACGACCGAGCAAGTTAGGCCCCAACGCTCCGTTGACTTTTCCCTGAAAGATGTTTTTCCTCTGGCTTTCCTGGTTCCGTGATTCGCCCGTTGGTTCTGGAAAGAAGGAGCGTGATCCCTCGTATTAGCAGTGCCGGTATGGTGGCCATCTACGACATCCATGGAAGCCCACTGTCTGCCCATCGTCTGCAGAGCGGCGGAAATGAATTAGATTAAACCACCTCGATGAGGGCGGGGTAAGCAGGGCATCCGTCCGCAGAGAGCAGGGAGTCTGGATGGTCTCCAGGCCATCCGAGGCATGCTAGGCCGTTGGAGTTGTCTGATGCACACGATCAGTTAACCAATCCCACCCCGGCCGATTCTTAAGAGGTGCGACTTTGCTGGGCGAACGTCCAGGCAGTGGAACGCAGTGCTACCTGCTGTCGCGAGGTGGTCCTACTACGAGTGTGACGGACATGAGAAGACCCAGACGACTCAACAGAATCATCAATGTTGCAGGGAGCGATCTCAATTGAAGGCGATGGCGATGGTGGGTCTGGCGGGGCTCTGGCAGCCAAGTTGAAGATCCTCCGCGCTGCTCACTGGCCTTCAGAAATGGCCTGGCCAGCCTCTCAGTCAAGGTCGTCTCCTGGTTTCCAAGCTCGGAGGGGCACGTCCCAAGGTTTCCCGCTGTACCTAGGCACTAGGAACGAATTCGTTTCTGTCTTCAAGAGTCGACAGCAAGTCCACGAACTTAATGCCTCAAGCTCGGACTCCCGACGCGCTTGACGTTTAGCAGCACGCCTTCCGGCACTGCGCACACGGAGACCAGGGTCGTCCGGTACCTGTCCTGTACTCCCAAGTCCACTCTAGCACTCCCAAACTACCCATGCTGTATAATAGAGTATACAGCTTGCTTCCACCTGAGATTAATGGATACCGGCCTCGTTGTGGAATAGATAGAGTAGACTACGTCATTATGGCGCCATGTTACACTCTACAGCCCGGGAAGGCAGGTGGGCGGATGGGCGTGATCGCAACCAGAAGCAAACAAAAGTCCGGCGCTCCATTCTTATTACTTCACATCAACCCTATAATTGCGGGGGAGGGATTGCACTTCCGACGAGGGCGAATTCCGAAGGAGGGGCCAAAAAAGGAGCTGCTCTGTGCCATCGCTGGCCCTAATGCAGGATCGCCGCCGCTGGAATTGCGGAGAGAGCTCCCCAAGTGTCCGCACAGCCATCGAGGTTCCAGCCCCAGCCCAATCCCGAGTGCCGCCTATCTTCTCGATGGGCGTTCTCGTTCTTGTGGCGATATTCCGCTTGGTATTATATGCATGAGATGTCTTCTGACAGGAGTGACAGCATGGACCATGGCATGGGTCGAAAGCCCATGGGAGGGGCTCATACCAACCCCTCGCTTCACACGACGGCAAATGACAGCGAGCCAAAGAAACCCACGGATCGCTTGATCGTCTTATAGGTACTCCCCGGCGTATCAATAAAACGACGCCTAATAATGGGAGATTGGCCCTGCAACACACAAAACGCCAAATCGAAAAGTATACCGCCAGCCTGTCCGTCGCTGATATCATCCTCTGAAAATGTACCCATGGCACTAGCAGGATTAAATTACTAGGTACGTTCCTATCCTATCGTCATTCTCTCGCGTGGCTTTGCAGCCCGTCGCTGCCGATCTCTCAGTCCCAGGCATGGGGTACATTGTTCACAAACAACCCTCCATTAGGCCCAAGCCCAACAGCCTATCCAGCTGCTTCCAGCTTTCCACACAGGTGAAACCACTTGTCCTTTTTCCGCTTTGGATCCTGGTGATTACAACAAGCCCCCGCACAAAGCAAACAACTGGGACCCTGCGACTAATCGCAGGCCTGCCGTCTTTGGACACCTTACCCTTTCAAGCGTTCGACAGGCTGCGGCACTGAATGCCAACCTCTAGTTTCCTTTGAGAGTGGGCGCCGTTGACGACCTGGCTGGGCAAGCAAATTGCGGGGTACGTCAGATTTCTGACTCTGCCACTGCCACATTACTCATAAAGGAGCAACCGGCACTATCGGGGAAAAAAAGTAAAGGGAAAAAAAAATCACTACCGGTGATGTTTTGCATAAATCCCATTCAGGCTTCAGTATCCTCTATAGCAATTCTCTACTTCCATTATCCTGTAGATAACACCCCTGCAGTGAGTTCAATTGTTGGGACCAACGACTGTATAATCGTCACCGGCTCACAAATATATACTCTGGAGCCGGCAGCAAAATCTCCACCACAGAAGACCTCCGTCCTCTTTCCCCCTCCACTTTTGCAACATCACTTTCTGAGCGGTGGAAAAGGACATAATCTAGTTTCACTTAACAGGAAGCAGATCATGCGAAGTTGGGGAGGTATTTTTTGCATCGGCCTTGTCTGCCCCGGCGCTAGCCGGTATTTTGGTACTTTTGTACGAATCGGTGGATATGGCATTACTCGAACAGTCGAGCTAGGCTGTGGGGATTGGAGATGGATCAAGGTGGGTGGAAATTGGGAAGGATGAGGCTGCGAGGGGAACCTGAAAGAGCACCCATATCCGATACCCGATACCTCAGAAAGGATGGGCTCAATGCAGTCCTCATACCGAGGCATCTAAGCAGCTCCATGGGTAGCAACTTTACAAAAAGATTTGGCAGATCTCCCAATCAATGAGTCGATAATCAAAAACAATCTTGTTCATTATCTTGACGGAACAAATTATTGAAATAATTTACATTGTAAAGAGACTTAAAAACCATCCACCCGCCGCTCTATCATTTTGGGAATATAAATCAAACAAGACAGATCCAGATCACCTCAAGCAACCGAGTCCAGGGAGGAGGGTGCGGTCGCCTGCTCGCCCTTTTGCTGTCGAAGCTTCTCCTCGAACTTGGCAAATTCAAGCATGGAGACCTCCTCCTCCTCATCGGTGGCTTGTTCAACACCCTGAACTTCTTCAATCTGTTCGCAAGAAAACCGTCGTTAGTTTTGTGAACTCTTAAAATGCATTGGGAGGGGTGGATGGGATGGAGAGAGCTATTGGGAACTCACATAATGCATAAGCATAGACTCAATGCCATTCCGCAGAGTAACCGTGCTCGAGTCGCAAGTCCGGCAAGCACCTCGCAGCTTCAGCATGACGATTCCGTTCTCGAATCCTCTGAATTCAATATCACCGCCATCTTCCTGGATTGCCGGCCGGATTCGCGTCTCCAAGAGCTCCTTGATCATGCTCACGACTTCATCATCCTCTTCGTTGTATCCCAACGAGTCCTCCTCGCCACCCTTCTGCGCATTCTCTCCACTCTTCGCCACAGTGCTGACAATCGCTTCCCCGGAGGTCACGGCTTGAGTGACGAGACTGAAAACTTCCGGCTTAATGTGCGCCCAATTGGCGTCGCTTGCCTTGGTCACTGTGATGAAGTCGGCTCCAAAGAATACCGATTGAACGCCATCGACATTAAATAGGTTTGCGGCCAGCGAGGAAGGATGAGGAGGAGCAAGTGTGGAGCGTGGAGAAAGGTACTCCAAAAACGAGGTCGTGAAGCCCTCGGGCAGGACTCTGTGGTTTGGGATAAATTTCAAGGCCTGTAGTAAGAAGCGAGATCGTTAAATTTTGTTCATGTAAATAAAGAAGAAAGTTTCCAAGACTTACATCGGGGTTTGGCGTCGTCTCCGTCTGAATGAAAATAGTCCGCTTGCCAATCGACGGTTGGCCGTTGACTCCAGTCTGAGCGGCCGATAGTTGATGCGGTCGCAATGTTGGCCTATGTCGGACCTCTGAAGCAGTGATGGTGGGCAATCGAGCCGAGTTGTGAATGCTCCTGATCGATCCGGAGGCGAAGGGTCTAATTGCCCGAGGAGAACCCTCGGCAAAGCTCGAAATCTGTGATCCCAACCTATTGTTGAGAGTTCGCCGGATCATGTTTGCGGATGTTGACGTAGCAGCCATGTTTCGCAACAAATGATTCACAAAAGGTACGTGTTTTAGCGCGTATAAAAAATCGCAGACGTTGTTTGATGATGGTTCATCGGACGGATTCGCCGGTTTGAATCTCTGACGCAATAAACGATACCACGTGATCGGTTGCTGACAAATGATCATCCAACCAATAATTTTGAAGCTATTATCCATATTCAGGAAAATCGCTTGCCTCCGTCCAGGTCCGACAGTTATGAACGATGGGAAACCTCGACCGTGCATCGCAGAAAGGAACGGGAGGGGCACGGGCGTCATAGGTTCGAGCGTCCAGTACGGAGAAAGGAAGCGCTTCAATTGTTGAGCAATCTCTGATCCGCGTGTCTTCTTCCCTGAGCGCTGCGATATTGAGGCCAGACCATCTCTTTCAAGAAGGGAGCAATGCCGAGACCCATGTGCGCTAGGACCGTGAGCACATCCTGGCACCATCTCAACTTTGCAGTCAGCCCCTCAACATGGAAGAATTGCAAACTCTGGCTCAAGGGTGCCAGCAAATGCTGGGGCCCCAATGTCCTCATGTCAGGCTGTATGCAATATAAGACAGAACGGCAAATTTCGTCGGCATAATGTTCGGCAAGCGCTGTGTAAGCCGTGTGGACATCATCACTTAATGTAGTCGTAATCGTCGTAGTGCCGCTTGGGGGCGGCTCACCATTCGTGGAATCGTAGTAGATAGGGACTGGGCTATTGTTATGTGGCCCGTCAATGATAGAGTAAAGTTCGCCAATGAGCGGATAGAGCAGAATAAAGGCACTCCAATACAACATGTGGGACTCCGCGCAGGTTAAAGAGGCGAATTCAAGGGGAGGCGCAAATATTTCAGTGTGGAGAGTGTTCCGAAGATCTCCTTGGGGAAAAGAACGTTGAGTGGAGAGTTTTGGCAATCCCAGCTTCTGTTGCATGGATATACAGGTTTGATGAAGATTCTCTTCCAATTTCAGACAGGCGCGTAGAAGCTGATCTCCAGTTTGAAAGTCTTTACCGGGGCTTGCTGGTTGAGCAATAACGAACCGGTCAACTTGCTCAATGGTTGCAGTGCATTTTGCCAATAGGTCGATGAACTGGTCAACTGGGTCAGGCTCTTCTTTGCCGTGGGTGTGATTGTCCAGCCATAGTTGCGTGTTGTAGAGGTATGGAGTTTGTCGCTTCCCGATAGCGTCACAGAGCTAGTGATGAGTGTCAGCAGGGTTTAACAGTGGCCACTTGGAGCGGGGCCTGGACTAACCGTCACAAATTTTAATTGACGGCGAAACAGCTTTTCTGCAACGGTTGCCTCTCCTTCAATCGAAGTTTGCATGGAGATAGCAACGCCGCCCTGAACGTGCGCTATCCAGGCCCCAAATCCCGGCGGAGAGCAATTGATCAGCTAGCATAATAAAGTGAGACACAAAACTATAGCACAATATGAGATTATCCTCACCTCGTACATCTGAAGAATAACGGTCGTATACAGCATATCCGGGCTAAGTTTAGCACCAGACGTTATCTTGCTATGGAGGCTCCTCAGGGTATTGCCGTAGAGCTTGCTGCTATATTGAAATAACCAGTCATCCTGGTTCTGTGTAGCAAGGTAAACCGCAGCGAGACATATACCTGCTTTCTCAAGGATGACACTATCCGCGGTAAGGTCTGGGATGGTTTGGAGTAGATTGTGTCCTGAAGCGTCCCTTAGATACGCCCGAGGTGGCAGATACGACTCAATAAAGTTAGTGAATAGCTGGGATCGAAGCAATGGATTGGCATTCAGAGTCCTGTCAATCTTTGTGCCCTTCACCAAGGCTAGATTCGAATTGGGCTGCCTGGGTCCGGGCTCCTCGACTACTTTCCCGTTGCGCCCGTGGACAAAGACTTTTTTTCTGTCGTAGCCAGTACATTTGTGGCCGTACTTAGTACAGCGCAGGCACTCCGGCTTTGTTTCGTCGCACTTATCATAGTGTCAATATAAAACATGAACATCTAAGGGGCACTAGTGCATATTCGTGGTACCTTAACTTTGCGGCGTCGGCAAGTGCCACAGCCTCCGGACGTGTAGGGGATGCCTCCCATGACGGTCACTCGTGGGCATCAAGAGACTGCTTATGCGGGAGCATGGTCAAAATAAGCCTAACTCTGCAACAAGCATCTGCCGAACAAAATCTCCAGTGTGGTACTGGCGGTTGTAACTATTGTCAACAAATTGGTTACTGGTGCTTATTGTACTTGTGGTAGCCGTGTAGTGCCGTACCATATTCGCCACCAAGGCATGGGGCCACGCCTGCCCACGATGGTAGTCCTACCGAGGTAGGCAGGGCATCCACAGCCACACCCGCTGAGTGGGACATCCACGCTGAAGAACTGTGGAAAATCGGTGGATACACGTGACCTATCGCGCTTTCTCCGGCCTTGTCGTTTACAAGGCTCAATTTCAATTGTAGGTATATTTACGTAGCTCCCTACTTTTGACACGGAACATAGCTCATAATTCCCGTGAGCTCGCCATTTACTAGTAGCCATGCAACAGACGGTTTGATCGCGTTAGATTCGGGGCAACATTTAGGTCAAAAAAAAAAAAAAAAAAAAAAAGACCGACAATGGCAACCGGGACTCTTTGCGAAGTTTGCGCCTCAGAGCCGTTCAAATACCGATGCCCTACATGCGAGCTTATGAGGTGAGTCTCTTTTACTTCTATGGATCCATCGTGCAGGGTTACTGTTGGACGCTTAAATGCTCACTGTGTCTGCAGCTGTTCTCTCGCTTGCACCCGAACACATAAAATCTACTGTGCACCCAAAGCGCCCAAAACCTCTCAAGCGGTCGCGTATCAAGCGGTCGCGTATCAAGCGACCGATACGCGACCGCTACCCGACGAAGCCAATGGACAAGCCGTCGATGATGGACATAATTCGAACTCCCAGAAACTGGCTTCCCAGATCAAGGACCTTTTTGAACAATGCCCGCCGCTCCGCGACCAGCTCAAAGATATCTATAAGGCTACTTTAGAGGAACAATGGGTAGAGGGCCCTGTGCATAAAGATAGACCTCGACATTTTGGAAAATCCAGGCCACCCCCACGTTCCCGTGGACCGTGGACGCGGGAAAAAGGTTTCAAGAGGGGCTTGGGGAAGGTCCGGAAGTACAGAGAGCAATGTGAGGACAGCTCGGAGACCGGCAAAGGTGCTGAAGGATTCATGCGACTGTTGGCTCTTGTGAATGATGGCCCTCCGCAGGAGCCTCAATGAAGGCTTTACTGCTACCATCATGACAGAACAAGATGACCTAAATTTTCGACGGTCTAATCTCCGCAAGCGCTTTCTTCAAACACCGGGCCCGTGATTGAGTGTCTGAAAGCTCGACACATTTTCTCTCGTTGTTCACTGAAAGGGCAAAGAAGTTAGGAGTCGAGGGAACGCTGCCGTCGGACCTCAGACCGTCACGCGGCGGATTGAACATACGCCCGCATATTGTTCAGCTCCAGATGAGACGTCGTCTCTGAACCGACGAAATATTCACTCTCAGGAGGGTCTATCTCCATGAAACCGAAGTTTCTATTCGGTAAAATCGAAGTATAATTTTTATCTTGGTTGGCGCGAAAACAATTCACCCTGGAGGTCCAAAAGACTACCTAGTATATAGTTATACCTTCTGCAACCAACGCATCAGCACCAGTCTTATGGTGGAAAGTGAATGCGGGAAAAGAGAGAGACAATAGGCAAAAAATAAAACTTGTTTATTTAAGTTTCAAAGATTCAGTTGCAGCAATAATATCTTTCGATTAATATTTGAAATTTATGGAAACCTTTTGTTGGGAAATTGTATGATGCTGCCAGAATATATTTTCCCCCGCGAATCGCACCCACATTGTAAAGATCTGGTTTCGTCATCCATAATTCCCCTCCCATAACTTCAAGTCAAAGCCTAGAGAGTGTTGGTGAAAATGTGTCCGTCGATTCCGTCGACTCTCCTTTTCTGATTTGGAACGGCCATTGATCTACTGAGAAACCGTGTCTTGTATTACGCTGGGTTGTTGGCTGCGCGATTCGTCCAGGCCTTCGCTAGTAAGATTTTGGTTTCTAGTTCTCTGGCCCGCGATTCGACAGTTATTTTTTATCCTGCCTCTTCCTTCCTGTCAAGTCCCTCATCTCCTCCACGAATAAACCACCGGAACTCCATCTTCCAAGCCGCTCAGAGTGACCAGCCAGCTTGGTGTGTGCGCATCGACCCGGTTTGCAGATCCCGAGGTGGGAGCGCAACTTCTGCTGAACCGCCAGACTTGCTGCGACGCCAGCACTACCCCAGCTGCAGGCTGATCCTCTTACCTGCCTTGTCCTTCAATCCACGCGAGATCGTCTATTAATTCTGGTCGACCTGCTTTGATTTTTCCTCCGTTATTGGCCGTGACCGGTCGTGCTCATTAGTTCTCGGTTTCCTCATTCGACCCGCTCTTGTCCTGTGCCTCTGTGACTTGCGGTCGTCACGATTTCGTGAGATCCTGTTGGTGAGCATATGATCGGTCAATTGCTCTAGTTGATTTATATAAACCATTATAACCATTATAACCATTATAACCGTGAGATTTGCCTCTCCTACACTGCTATGGTTAACAGGTCGAATGTTGCTAACTTGCGGTCTACACCTTTTTAGAGTCACTCGGCAATCTACCCGGATCAGAGGGAAGAATAAAAAGTTATCCGACAGATTTACCGACTGCATTCAAGGATACAGAATAACAACGAGTGAAAAACTGCAAAATAACTTGAACTCTGGGGGACACAACGGTGTGCTGCCATTTAACGGGAAAGTCTTTTCGAGTTTATTCAAAGCGACAATGGATGAGCTGCAGTGTTCGCCTCACCTATTTACCTAGCAGTTGGACCTTGCGCTGTCGCACTTTGTTCGCTTGATCGACCTTTTAATCGCGCCGTAGGGCCGTCCACCAACACGCGCGACCAATACTTTTCCCATGGCCTCCCAACGGAGAGAAAGGGCATCCAGCGATCGAGCCCAACCTGGTGTTGTTCCTCAACGGCCAGGACTTCAAAGTCGAACTATTTCCGCTCCGCCCGGAGGATTATACAAACTTGACCCCCCCAAAACGGCGATGGAGGGTGGGAGTAATGTTGGACGGACACTTGTGGAGGAAGATGAAGACCTAGCACACCGCGAGGGGAGCGGGGTCTCGTCGCCCCAGGTTGGGAATGAGGTATGGTTCCGATTTGTAGAATTGGTGCGCTGGAAATATGTTCCTGACCCTCAAATCATATCCAGACGACCTCCAGATCGAATTTCCCGCATGTAAGCATCGCCGTGGTTGGCGGGGACAAAGTTGGTAAAACGACTTTTATTCAGAGTGCCCTGGATATGAAACATCCTCTTTCCTCCCGATCCACAACAAAGAAGATGTCTCTAGATGGTACAGTATACGTTGTCCGTCTAGTGAAAGTACATGCCCACGAGGTTTCTCCCGGCAGTAATGGAAAATTGAGATGGCCGCGGCTAGGAAACGACTCACCAGCCACTATTCATGGTGCTCTGATCTTACATGATGCGACTCGCGCTACTGAACATTCGGAGACATCAAAAACACTAGGTTTGTTATACCTGCTTCTCCCGAGACAGTCTCGCTATGGTTGAAACTGATCCGACCCTTTTTTTGGTAGACATCTTCGCTGCAGCTTCAGTTCCTTTCGTGCTGGTTGCTACGAAGTGTGATAAGCAGAGTATCGATGGACGATTCGAAACATCGCTTGGAAGCTATGATATCCACCGAACATCTCCCGATATGCCCCAGAAACAGAAAATGTGTATCGCTGTCATTTTGCGTGACATTTTCAGCCAAAGAGATGGTAAGTGTAAAGAGCCGAACTGCGTATAGTAACTGCTGCCCCTGATATTTGGTTTTTGATGCATCCCGAAAAATTATGAAAGAGAAGAGGGTGGCGGTGAGAGAGCGAGAAAATAGTTTGGGATTTGGCTACGAGAAAATATCCTTGTATACGGCCCACACGATTTCGATGTGTGTTGTATGATGTGCTGTGCATTCAGAACTGCCACATTTGCGCTAGTTCAGACGCGGGCTGGGATTTAGCTCACGCATCCTTTCTGCCATCTCTTCTCGTTGATCCCTGGACTTGGAGTGCAACTCTCCGAAACAGCAGAAACAGGGGCTATATCGGTTCCACTGTTGTCTCTCGTTGGAACTGTTTCAGATCTGGAAGCTAATTATATCGTTTAGTTATTGCAGAGCAGAGGCCAACTTCTTCCAGCACACACGAGTGGCATCACACCCGCGCCCGCTCAGAAAACCCCACAACGTTGCTCGCTGGAGCCGCGGGCGGCCCATTTAGTAGTGCTCTCGATCCAGGAGTCGATGGGTACGGCGTCGACCGCCATCCCGCCGACTCAAAGACGACGCCAAACCTGGCTTCTAATTCACAAGGTTCACGATATGCTCGGAGCAATTCGCATCCGGTGCGACCGCATACACCACCGACCCGATTGAATTCCCATCGGCCCTCAGCCGCTGTGGATTCTTCCCCAGGTAAGAACCACAATAGACAACACCGACTCCACACAGCCTGGCGCAATAGTGGCGGATCGGACGCCTTTAACAGCTTTTTGGATATGGAAGATGAGATAGATGGAACGCGGAGTGCTCCGTCAAGCCCAGAAAGTAAGGATAAGGCTTCTAGCGAAACTTCATCAAATGAAACGGGCTTCACTTTCGATGAGTTGGTTGACCGACTTGTTGCCCAACCAATGTCCAAACAAGACTCGAAGTTTGCGTCAATTTTTTTGTGCCTTTATCGAAAATTTGCTGCTCCGGCTACGCTTTTGAATGCATTGATCAACCGATTCGAGCGCAACGAGAAAAACATCACGGACCAGTTGACGCGCATCGCTGACCAATTAAGGCTTCTTAATGTTATTGCACAATGGGTTTCGGAGTACCCCGGCGACCTTGCATATCCTATAACAAGAAAGCGGATTACGGACTTTGTCACCACCCTCGAAAAGAGCCATTTTTACATGTTTGCGTCCAAGGAGATTGGATCATTTCTCGAAGTGAACGCAGAGGATGACGATGTTGGGTGGGCATTCAAGGACGGGGAAGCAGACACATTTGACGGAAACGAGACCTTTTTCGATAACTCCACTCGAAGCTCACCGTCTATGTTCCTAGGAGGCTTTTCGTACACAGATGATGGCCCAGAAGAAGAGGAGGAAGACCCCATATACAGCATGAGTGCGCTGGACCTCAGCGAGGGAATACATGATCAACCGTCGAAATTGTCAGCTACCTTGTCAAACCCTTCAGCGGTGGACAAGCCCGGCACTATTCCAAGCCAGTCATTTACTTTCCTGAGCATGGACGCTGCACAGAGAGAAGCGGATACCGTGGAACTCATGGGGCGGATTCCATTGACGAAAATGGTCTGGCGGCAGATGATGGAGATTCCGGATGACGATTTTGCGAATGAGCTGACACGCATCGACTGGATAATGTTCAACACTTTCCGACCTCGAGATCTTGTGCGCCATGTGAGTATCTCTGGGCCGGACAAGGACAAGATCCAAAGTTTGAAGCATGTCAATCGCATGATCAAGCAATTTAACCACGTTGCATTCTTCGTGGCCAGTATAATCCTTTTACGAGATAAGCCTAAGCACAGAGCTCGGGCATTGGAAAAGTTTATGAATATCGCCCAGGTGAGTGCTGTGTTTTGATAAACGAGGAATGGGAAGCTGTCCGAGATTTACTAATTGAATTGCAGAAACTACGTCGCTTGAATAATTATAACTCTCTCGGGGCGGTGATTGCTGGGATCAATGGAACACCGGTACATCGACTTTCTCAAACTCGAGAGCTCGTCCCGCCGCAGGCTCAGAAGGCCTTTATGAGGCTGGTTATCCTCATGGGCACACAGAAGAGCCATTTTGCCTACCGCCTGGCGTGGGACAACTCCTTCTCTGAGCGGATACCGTTCCTACCACTTCACCGCCGCGACCTCGTCTCTGCCGAGGAGGGTAACAAGACCTTTATTGGTGACAACCGTAACCGTATCAACTGGCGAAAGTTTGAAGTGATGGGCGAGGTCGTACTTGGCATCCAACGCAGCCAGAAGACTCCTTATCCTCATCTACATCGATACGATGAAGTCGCCAGGCTGATTCTGGACACGAAACTTTCAGGTGATGATGAGGTATGCATACAATTTGGTTTCTGACAAGAATTTCTACCCATGAACCTATGCTAATTCGCGTACAGGAACTGTATGCCCGCAGTATGCAGGTTGAAGCATCCGCTGGCGGCGATGCGGGCCGGAAGAAATTCGGCTGGCTACGATCATAACCCGACGGTCTGATTCTGTCAATTATAACAAGATCCCATGATATGAGGGATTTTAAAAACCTCTGCCTCCTATCACGATACCATGCTTCGCGCCTGATGAAGGATTAATGAAACACTCACGATCGTCATAAGATAATGTACATACATATTGCTGAACATATGTTTCTGTCGCGCCCAACACTAGCCTCCAGTACCTAGTCTACTAGTTCCCTTGCTTTTGATACCAAAATAAATGGAAATTAACGAAGTATTTTTTAAAAAAAATTAAAAATTTGTTTATTTCCATAAATTTCCGCTCCAAAGTCCAAACACTAAATACTCACGTGATGGCAACCGTGATTGAAGATCTAACAGCACCAAGAACCCTCACGCTACACCTACCTTCCAAAGCTTCAAATTAAACCGAACCATTCAAGCGAACGCATATCGAATCAGAGCTGATACTCCTGAAAAGCCCGAAAAAGAAATTAAAACGAACAAAATCCCAAATCCGAAAAGAGGGGAACAAAAAAAAAAGAACAAAATGTCAGCCTCCGCAAAATCCACCTACCGCGCGATTCTCCGCGAACTCCCACGCCGCTCCCTCTCCTCTCCAACACCACTGCACAACCGAGTCCGAGCATCATTTCGGAAACAGGTTACAAATGAGTCATCATCTGGCGAGCAAATAAGTGAAATATCGCAGCAAAAAATCCATCAGGCGGAGCAGTTTGCGCTGTATGCGAAGGCGCAGCGGGAGTATGTGAAATTAGTGGAAAGGTACAACCCGGGTTCGTGGTTGGATGAGGACGAGAGAATTAGGCTCACGGCTAGGAGGGTTGGGTTGGATTTACCGGAGTTACATGAGGAGGGGAAGGAAAAAGAGGGTGCTTGAAGGTTGGAATTAATACGAAGGGAATGGGTGGGATAGAGTCAGTCCCTTTGAATTCATCATGATGCGAGGTGTGTCAAATATATTTATGTATTATATTTTGTTTGGGTATCGGAATCTAGCGATTTATGGTTCTTGCGTTTGCTATATGCGAAGCTGCTATGTCTTCTATATTGTAGCTCGTTATCCGGAATGAGCCATAGATGCATGGATCGCTCGACCGAGCGGTCTGCCTTCTGCGTACCGCAGGGTTTGTTGGCCACGAGGAAGCATGTCCTCATAAACTTGGAAATACTTGAGCATTTCGCGTCGGGATGGGGTTGTGCGCTTGGAGATGGGTGCTTGCTCATCCCGTCAACTGAACTTGCTCCATTTGTCTCCGTAGTGTTGTGCTGCTCTCCTCTTCCTCTGCATCGAGTTCCATTTCGATAGCTGTTCTGGGTCTGTTCTTGTTCAGGCCCTCAAGGAGTGTACATGCATGGCACATTCGCTGACTCGAGATGTATCCGCATCGCTCACACTTGCCCAGCACTTGACTCTTGACAGCAGCCTTCTTTTGTGGTTTCTTGGGATTTTTCGGCCCCTTCTTAGGAAGTGGAACTGCCGTATTTGATTGCTGGGGCCCCTTGATTTCTGTCTCCAACGCCGCAGCGGCTTCGTTTTGCTCCAGCGTCCTCTCCATCTCTGCCATCTCGCCACCGCGTGTTCTCCCATTTTGACTGCCGCAGCCGCCGACTGCGGACTCGTCCTCAGCAGCCGCTGTGGAAGACCCCTGACCCCCATCTGCTATAGGCACAAGGATAGCCATCTCCTCACCACTCCTCACGATATCAAGGATGGAGCTTGGCCGGATCTTCTCTAGATCCTTAATCAATGTACGCGCACTCCCCCGAAACGCCTCTGGCGAATAGATGCACTCCGTGCTAAAGTAATCCAGCTGCTTATGGTGCGCATAGAGAACAATTTCTTTCTCATACGCATACTTGAGCGGTTTACTGCGCTTTATATCGGAGGCCGCAGAGCCCGTCACGATGCTTGTTCCCCGTGAAAGACGAGGCAGGTCCCCTCGCAACAAGTTCATCATTACAGTCTCAGCCACATCGTCCGCATTGTGCCCCGTCACAACATGATTGATGCCCAACCGCTGCGCACCCCGATCCAGCGCCTGGCGTCGGAATACACCACAGTATGTGCAGTTCCCCTTCTTGCCTATTTGTTCCACCACCTGGTCCATAGTCCACCCGTAAAGTTCGCCATACCCGACGATAACCAGATCCATATCGTACTGGACTGCGTTGCGCTTGACGGTCTCGAGACTATCATCACGGTAACCTTTGATTCCCTCGTCGATGGAAAGAAGGCATAAATCGAGTTGGTAGTTGTATCGCTCATTAAGTGTCTTGAGCACCGAGGCCAGCACCGTACTGTCTTTTCCGCCGCTGGCGCCGATGGCGATTCGCTCGCCGGGGTAGAATAGAGAATTTGAGGTGATCGTTTCGTGTACTTCGGTTTCGAATACTTGGATGAAGCATTCGCGGCATAGCTTGTGCCTATTTTTGGGGCGGATAATGACAGCCCTAGCCTTTTGGCAGTTGACGCACTGAGAAGGAGCCATGATTACTCCGCTGTATTAAAGTGAAATGCTGATGCGGGGGNGGGGAAAATCCATTTTTCGCTTTTTGGGGGATTTGCTGATAACGGACTGATAACGATGCTTAGTCATTATTTGTTTAGTTTGCATTCACATAGGGGTCAGCCTTTGAGGCAAGGCGGGCTTTTTTGTTTTATTTTGTTTTGTTTTTTGCTGAAAGGTTGATTAAAATTATAAATAGAGGAATCTAAATACATAATACAGTCTATGCGAACAAAACCTCCTCCTTCAGCTTTTCAGCAATTCCCTTAGAACTTGCCCTTGAGCAAATTGGATATCATCTCACGTCCAGTGATGCGCGAGGTAGCCCACAAGGTCGGGAAGTCCAGGGTGCTCGAAAAGGTATCGGCATATCCGAAGAAGAGCATGGGAGGGATCCAACCGCGGGCGTACTCGAGCGCGAAGCAAGAGGACTCCATCTTATACTGCTTGACCTCACCGCGGCGTAGATGGTGAACACTACCGGCCGGGTAGACTTCTGGCTCGTAAGCACCGGGGACGTAGGCGAGCTGGGTGCCCTGGAGGATGTTGAAGTAGTCGTCTGCGGTGTGGCGTCCGGTGTGCCCTTCAGTGCCGATGGCAGTGCCTGGATCTCAGTTAGTTCCCGCGTTCACCTGCTATTTTCATGTAATTTTGGGACGGGGGAGGGTTGATCGATGGAGAGCGTAGACCGTACCGAAGATGATCAGATATTCAGTGATACCTGTAGCGCATTAACATATTTCTTAAGCATGGCCAATGTGAGATCAGGGGTATCACATACTGGCGTGGATAATGTACATGGCGCCCATTGCGCCGCCGGCGTTGTTGAAAACCCATTCCTCATCCTTGTTGAGGTGGGTGACGCCGACCTTCTCGTCTAATTCGGAGACAATGTACTGGACAATCGAGCGAGTGTCATTGCCGTGGGCAGCAATTGCGCGCTGGGACACATCGTGCAGATGCTCCTTGTCAAAGATGTAAAAGTTCTCCAAGCAGGAGTCGAGGAACCTGTACACCCCGGTAACGAGCGCCAGAGCGGCGAAGAGGAAACTGAGAGAGCGCATTTAATCGGTTAGAAGGTCCGGAAATAATTAAACAATCAAGCGTATATTGTTCAGAAAGAAATAGGGTTATAAAGGATGTGAAGGTTGTTGTGGAAGTCTGGGGGCCGCGGAGTCCATAATAATGATCTGATTTTTTTAAACTGGTTGCCGATGGGACTTGGCGGCGATCACAAGCACCATGTTCCTTGCACAACAACATTGTCAGGTTCCAGACTCCGGGTTTTCACTGTGAGGCTGGCTGGCCATTTAGTTATATAGATTCCTCAAAATGACTACTATCTCCGTTGATCTGGATACAAAGAGGGATGGGCCCCTGTTCGTTGCCATCGGCTTTGGAGGGTATTTCCCCGGATTTAACGCCTTGGCCTGGGCTGGGGTGGACTGTTGACAAAACGTTTGTCTCTGATAAATCCTCCACCAATATTTTTTGACCATCGTGACAGGTGAAACTTGATCTCGTTGTTTCCACACTATTTATCAAGACCCGGTTGGCCTCGTCTTGCTCTGATAGTGGCAGCATGTTTCATGTTGAGGCAAAGCGGCCGAGTTGGTCCACCAGCCCGCTGTTAGCATCCAATTTCGTCCATTGAAGGTTGCAATTCAAACCGACGAGGCCAACGGAACGTCATCGTCTCTGGAATAATAAGATCTGACCATGGAAGGAGATGAGCTTATTCAAAAGACACCCTCCCCCGCCGGAGCAAAAGGTGGCGCACCTTGCAGAAGCCAAGCGCTGCAGTGGTGATATGGCATCACAAGGTGGGCTTGCCGATCTTCGAGTCTTTTCCTAAAAGATTCAGGAACTGTATTAAATTGCACCACTTTCGATATGACAGCACCTATCAGATGCCCCTAGTCCGTCTTTTATGGATTCCGGTCGGGCTCCGCATGGCAATGTCTCTCTTTTCCTCGTTCCTCAGACCCAGAGTCTATGGCCTGTTTGAGGATCTGACTCCGCAGTTCATTACTCCTTTGCCTGGGATTGATGGGATCAAAGAGGTTGAAACTGGCCTGCTGAGCGAGACCGGGTCATTGTGACAAATAGCACATCAAGCCCGGAGAAACAGCCGACTTTAATTTCATGGACGTTTCGGCTAACAGCATGGAGACTGTCGGCTTCGGCGAAGATAAATAGCAACAAACACTGTAGTGTGAAGCAATTTTCTTCGGCGACATTCATATCACAGAATCTTCAGTTTTGACACCCTTGTGAATCTCAACAAAAAACATGAAGCTCCTCGCTCTGACTCTGGCCTCTCTGGCCTCGGCTGCTTCCGTTTCCTCTAGGGCTCTTCATCGCCGTGAGGACTTCTGCGGTCAATGGGATACCGCTGAACCAGGCGACTTCATTTTGTACAACAACCTCTGGGGCCAGGATAATGCTGATGAAGGAGGAAGCCAGTGCACTGGGTTGGACTCGTCTGATGGCAATACTATCTCCTGGCACACGACCTGGACCTGGACTGGCGGGGAGTATAATGTCAAGAGCTACGCGAATGCCGCGTATCAATTCACTTCAGCCCAGCTGAGTAGCCTGAGCTCAATCCCGACTACATGGGAATGGACGTAAGTGTCCACTCGCCATCACAATTGATCTAACGCGGATCTAACCATCGAGAACAGGTATGACGCAGGAAGTGACGTTGTGGCCAACGTCGCTTACGACCTGTTCACAAGCTCGAGTGCTGGAGGAGACCCCGAGTATGAGATTATGGTCTGGCTGGCTGCTCTTGGTGGCGCAGGCCCAATCTCTTCGTCTGGTTCTTCTATTGCCAGTGTGACGCTTGGTGGTGTCCAATGGGACCTGTGGAGTGGCCCCAACGGAAATATGCAGGTGTACAGCTTTGTTGCTTCATCCACAACTGAAAGCTTCTCGGCCGACCTCATTGATTTCGTCAACTACTTGGTTGAGAACCAAGACCTAGCGAACAGCCAGTACCTGACTAGCGTCCAGGCTGGCACTGAGCCGTTCGTCGGCACCGACGCTAAGTTCACTGTTTCAACCTACTCGGTTTCAGTTTCGTAAGGGACGATGTCAATTTGCACCTGTGACAAGAATAGAGAACCACCTGAGGTTAATTCGTGAAGAGTGGATGGAATTGCAAGTTCTTGAAGGTTGATATATAAGTGTCCTTTCAGTCAATGCTTTATTCGCTATCGTGTGCTCTCAACATTCTCCATGGCGCTTAAGTCTACGTACATGAGCCTAAAATAATCGAGACCAATTTAGAAATCTCGTTGCTTTTAGCGCTTTGCTGGATCAAGCGTGATTGACGCAGTTCGGCGCCTACGCAACGAAAATAGCGGCCTCTTACAATCCTTCCCAAGTTCCACAATGCAAGCGTTACGTTTTGCGCTTAACAAATTCCCGATTGTTGTTCTTTAATTAGAACGCCGTTGCGGTTGTTCTTGCTCTTTAAGCGCCTGGCTACTGCTTTGGAATCAGACGAGACGCCCAGGTGTGATCAGGCCATTATGAGCCTATAATTTGAAACGAGGGGCGGATAATCTTGGACTGTGCGCTGAGAAGAACCTGCTTATGCTACGAATTCCAGATCGACATTTGACATGGAAGCCATGAAGACTGGTGAATTTTCACAAGTAGTACCGTAGTAATTGTATAGTTCCCGGTAGGCGAGTAAAGCGGCAAGATACTCTGGCCAAAAAGGTAACAGTCACGTGCAATAGATAGGCCCAATTCTCAATGACGAACTCTAGAATCATGAATTTGACAAAGTTTGCCATAACGCGAAGAATCCAGATACCGGACACGTACCAAGTCTGGGAGGACATTGGCGTGCCCCCTCCATGAACTTGTGGAGGGAGGAGAATGTACTTTACACCATACGCGCCGCGTTTCAGCATCCCTGTCGGAGGGATCCCTTGGCAGTCCATGCGGTTTGACAGCTGGCGGTGGGAGGGTGTTCTCTGCTTCCCGCCGCGGTGGATCGAACGCATATCCAAGTTGTCTGCTTGAAGCGCTTGACTTTATCGATCATAGATGCCTAATTTTATCAACATGGAGACTGGACAAGAATAGCATCCAGCCTGCGGAGATTTGCATTCTCCAGAAGACTATGCGGTGCCTGGGCGCTTACATGCAGCTCACTCCCGCTGCCGATCGATCACTCAGGTCGAGTCGAGCTGAAGGCTCCAGCCACAGATGAATCCATCGAGTTTCAAAGATAGGCAGAGATTGGCAAGACGGTCTCCATTCCAGGCGGCGGCGATCGAGTCACGACTGGCCTTCTTGGACGCTCCTCACTTCCGAAGGGGCGTGTCGCAGGTGTTGCAGGACCAACGCGCTGGAAGGGGATGATTCGCCCTTGATTGCCTTGACCATGCATGTTTGGCATTTGATCGGGGGACTGGCTCCCCTGCACTCCTGCCAATCACCCACGGTCCTGGCCTCGCGCGCGCCAACTGCTACGATGGTCCTGTAAGTATGGAGACAGGGACTGGACCAGGCATGCAGGTCTCGCGTTTGGGTTGGGCCACTTGGTTTGGTCCTTGCAGTCCAGCCTTTCCTGCTCCTTCGCTTTGACGGTTTAGGGTCTTACTTATATCAGGAGACAGTCGCTCATGAATACTTCACGAGATTCGAGTCATCATTCCTCATTCCTGAGCTTTCCAGCCTCTGTCGCGCTCCTTTCCTTTTATTTGTGGTTTTTTTCCCTCTTGCCTCGCACTCTCTAGGCTTGGTTGTCTACTTAATCTATTATATTGAATCGATCGGTCGATTGTCTCACCCTGTCCTTGACACTTGTCTCACTGCTTGCCCCATACAATAGTATTCTTCAGTTGACAGGACAACGACCGCATATTTTATCCTGCTGGCAGGACGACCTTATCCCACATTCTTTACACGGGGAACATTCAGGAAACTCTCATCTGGTATCCGAGCACGACGTACTCCTCATATCTTTGTCGCCTCCCTCTTCATTTTGTCGGCGCCTTCCCCGACTCCTCTCTTCTAATCTCCAGTCTATCTTCACGATATCACAATATTGCCAAGATGGATTTCAACCGAGCAGCACTGCAAGAGTTCATCACCCAACCGGTCTCACGGGAGATGGTTGCTCATCTGGCCCAACAAGCTGCACAGGTCATCCGCTGTGAATCCCATGTGACAACAACCGCAACCACACAGCATGCTTATGGGCAACATACACCTCCAAGCACTCCGCCGATGGAGGATGCCGATCAGCAGTACCCCCGATTACCGTCAGTCGAGGCGTTTATCACTTCTTTGGTCACTCGTTCCCAGGTTCAGGTGCCGACCTTGATGACAACCCTAGTTTATCTCGCCCGCCTGCGTGCCCGTCTTCCCCCGGTCGCTAAGGGCATGCGCTGCACTGTTCATCGCATCTTTCTTGCCTCGCTCATTATGGCCGCTAAAAACCTGAACGACTCTAGTCCCAAAAACAAGCACTGGGCCCGCTACACCACCGTCAAGGGCTATGACGACTTTGGCTTTTCGGTTCCAGAGGTCAACCTTATGGAGCGACAGCTCTTGTTCCTCCTAGACTGGGAGACCCGAGTTAACGAGGCGGATCTTTTCATCCATTTCGAGCCTTTCCTCGCCCCGATTCGCTATCGTCTCCAGGAACGCGAAGCCAAGATGCACCAGCCCCGCGAGTGGCACCGATTCCAGGCCTCTGCTGAGCTCCTGGCATGCCGTCTCCGTCGCCAGAAGCTGGAGGCTCGCCTGGAGGCCCGTCGCCGCCTTCCTCCAAGTCCCCAGTCATCCGCATCACTCTCATCAATGTCGTCGTCCTCGAGTCTTCAAAGCGACGCTGGTGCTTTCGTGCCTGACACCGACCGATACCAGCCCTATCCTCCTCGGCGACGACCATCGAACCGCAGCCGCACATCTGTGTCTCCTCCCTCAGTTCAGGAAGTCCCTGGCCTCTCTCGGACTGAGACTGTACCCACACTCTGCTCGCGATCCTCTAGCGTCGCGCCCAGCACAAGAAGCAACACGCCAGCTAGCCTGCGCCCCTCGAGCTCATACAACAGCATGGAGGACGTCCAGGTTGTTGATAGCCCGGGCCTGAGCAATGGATACGTCCACCTTCCCTCAATGATGATCCCCACGGACGTGGCAAAAAACGACGAGCTGCAGCAGCCGAGCAAGAAGATGCGAATGAGCGGCCACAGTGGCAGCAGCGGGTTTGTGGCGCGCTTCTTGGCGTCAGCTACGGGCACCTATATGGGCCACCGGATGCGGCCTCGTGTTTAGCGCACTGTGTCGCTTCCCCAACCCAACAACCACTGACAGTCCTTTATCCATCCTGCGCTGTTTGAGACTTTGAAGTTTGAAGTTTGAGCTGGCCTCACAGACACGCTAAGAAAATTAGTCCTCCACCTAATACCCTACGATCATCGCGCCAAAAAGAAAACAGGTTTCAATACCCCTCCCGTCTTTCAGAAGATTTCCATAGTTTTGTTTCATATGTGTGATACCTGCATTGCATTTGAAGGCGGCGTTTTTTTTGTATGTTTTCCAATGTTCTTTGTGTTTACTTGGGTCTCGGCCGGTGGTGGGAAACTATACGTATGATTGGATGTATGTAGTAATATGCCATATATGAAATGAATTCTTATCTGAATGCAGAATATGAGATGGTAGCTCCCAAGCCTGTAGAATTCGTAGTCTTCGATGACTTGGTCGCGACCGGAAGGGAGACCGGGGCGAGAAATGTTAGATGGAATGTGGCGGCTGCATGACCTTTTCCTAAACGGGGCAGAAAGTCGACGAGCATCCTGCACATCAAGATAATCGCTGCTTGTCATAGTCCACCTCCTTATGGACTAGTAGAAGTTTTCCTATCTCCCATGATCTCCTCTCTCGATCGTTTACTCGATGTTCGGGAGTTCCAAAGTGTGAACGGCGCCATGGACACTTTTCGTAGCCCCGCCTTCACCACCAGAGTGACTGTCGTCATACTCCACCGCGAACAATCGCTTTCTCCGGGATGAAACACAAGAGCCCCCGTTTTGGACGTCCGACTCTCCCAACTCGGGCGCCCTGAATCAACGAGAACGGCCATCCGCTACAAAAAGAAACCGACGTACCTCGATCCTGCACGGGCAAGTGTTACTATTTGCCACTTATATCTCCGAGCTCGCTTACCTCCGGCGGGACTAGATTACTTAGGTCCGTGAGACAATCTCATTGCCTTGCCCTCGGACAGCTTTCTCAAGTCGCTGCCTCGAGCGTATAAAACTTGAACTGGACCATCACGCGGCGGCACTAGAGTCTCTCATTTCTTACCTGCTAATTAGAAAAAGAAAATAGCCTGCCGACCTCCATGCCGCTCACAGTACTATCCGGGGCACAGCTCCGCTCCCTGCTCCATTCCTTAACGCGCGATCAGATTGCTTCGATCCAACAAAATCTAGCGAATGCACTACGAGATTACTCTGTCGGAAACCAGGACTCTGGATGCGCCGCTACCTTGCAGCCGCGGAGAACGGCGGTAACCCGACAATGCGGACGCACTACGATCTTCATGCCTTCGAGCACCCGCGAGTCGATCGGGATGAAAGTTATTTCGTTACAGGACAAGGGCAGCACACCAGGATGCGAGGTTGAGACAGGCGAGGACCTCCGCGGTTTGAAAAGACTCACTCAAGGAGAGGCAGGCTCGCGGAATTCTATGGCCTCGGTCTCTTCTGAGATGAGCGAGATGTCGCTTTCGTCCCAGGAGGACGCTGCTACTGAGAGGACGTCTAGCACATCCAGTAGCGAGAGCGATCCTCTTCCAACGGCTTCTGTTGATAAGAAGCCTATAGGGAATGGGCTGTCGAAGACAATGGGTGCGTGGCCCGCGGCGGGGTCCCGTGATACCTCGCCGCAGGGGAGTGTCACGCTGTTCGACGACAATAGCCTGCCGTTTGGACTCATCAATGCAGAGGAGCTGACGCCGTTCCGTACCGCGCTGACGGCGACAATGATTTTCAACAAGCGCAAGAAGGTGAAAACGGTTGTAGTATTTGGTGCAGGCAAGCAGGCCTACTGGCATATCCGATTGGCAGTCATTTTACGCGGAGCTGATATCAAGCGCGTGTTCATTGTAAACCGGTCATTTGAGCGAGCAGCACAGCTTCTTCAGGAGATCTATTCGCCGGAGAACGCTAGCTGGCGGGGCGACGTCAAATTCTCTGCTGTTAGCAGCGAGTTTGGAGAGTATAACCGGATCCTCCATGACGCAATCAACAAAGCAGATGCAATATTCTGCTGTACACCATCTCATGAACCGTTGTTCCCCGCGGAGCTTCTCACCTCACGAGAAGGGAGGCGCAAGGGTCGACTGGTCAGTGCCATTGGATCATACAAATCCCACATGACGGAGTTACACCCAGATATTCTTCGGGAGGAGGTTGCTGTGCAGACACCGCACCGCCATTTCCATAAGCATGTCCATCGCAGCGGGATCGTCGTCGTTGACAGTCTCGATGCAGCGATGAAGGAGGCCGGCGAGATCGTCCAAGCAGAAGTCAAGCCGAACCAAGTAGTGGAGATCGGCGAGCTGTTGATGGTGCGGGATGCCACGAAGGACTCGAAATCAGCTGATGACGAAAAGCACCTGCGCGAATGGGTTGAGAAGGGCAATGTCATATTCAAGGGCGTGGGGTTGGGCCTAATGGATCTCGTCACTGGGAGCGAGTTGCTCGAGTTGGCGCGGACAAGAAAGATCGGCACCACAGTTGAGGATTTCTAAACTGGCCAGAAAACACTTTTTTTCCCCTTTTGGCCTACCATCCAGGAAATTGGTTTTTGTTGATATCTTGATGCATGTAAAATAAACTTAATTCCAAGCATGATGATTTGCGATCTGGATGAAGCAACCTTACTACGTAGCAACGTGACTCTGACCGGAAGGGAAATGGACTGGGATGACATCAAGCATCGCTCAACTTTTCCCCCTCTCCCACCCTCTCGATCCAGTGCAAATAAATACGGGACTTTATAGACGCCCAGAGCTTTAGTAGACTCCGCTGAAGTCTTTATGTCGCTGAACAACCCGCCAGGGACTAATTGAGTTCTTGTTATCCGACACGCAATGTTCGCCCACTACTGAGGGGCAAAGCGAAAATCATCCCACTACGCACCCGAAGTCGTATGCAACTCGGACCCTTGCCGACCCTTTCTTTTTTTAACCTCTTTTAATTTACGGCCTATATATATATACTTAGGACTGCCAGGCAAACTTTGGCTCTCTCCTTTCTCTCACCTTCGTGTTTTGTTTACGGATCCCCAACATGCGATCCACCCAGTTGCCTAATGGACAGTCCTTCTCCGTCACCCCGGTATTTGGGGGTTTTACTTTCAAGTCCAACAATCTGAGTCAGGGTAGTTCAAACCTTCCTCCGGGTTGGACTGTTGTCCTGGGTACGCGACGTCAACCTGACGAGATTCCTGAAGAAGAGCGGCCAGACCATGAGCGCGGCCGAGCTCTAGAGCTAGAGAAGAGAGGATCGGATATATCCCAGGTCACTCGGTTTACTGTTCCTACCTTGTCTCAGGATGAGCTCTATATTTCATATATCGTCAACCCCCCGGACGCTGATTTTAAGCCTGTCGCCTCTCCAACTCGGCAGATCGCCATGATGCTTTGGGTCACTCTATATTGGTACTTCCATGAGCCTGAACCCGAACGCCAATTGAGCACGGCAGCATCATCGAACACGCCTGCGGCTGGAAGACCCAAGGGAGATTGGCGAGTAAACATCAAGCGAGAGGGTATCTTCACCGGCCGCAATGTGTTGCAGAAGCTGGAGCGCATGGGGTTACTTGCCTGTGAAAATTCATCTGTTGGAGCCGAACCAAACAGCATGGATAACTGGTCGCACATGTTCGTCAGCCAGCACAGTTTCTGGCAGCTTGATCCGCGCCTGTATCTCTTCACATTAAGCCCACAGTCGTTTACGCGTTCTCTGGGGGGCTCGCCGTTCGGGAGAGTTGCTTCGCCGTCCCGCGAGAGCTTGTACCTAAACGACCCGAATTCTCGTCCAAGATCTGCAGGTTCGGGTCACTATACACCTAGCGAGGGACCTTTTGCTTCTCATAGCCACCTTCCGACTTTCTTTCCCGCCCCGCCTACTCAATTCACATTCACAAATGGCGTGAGGCACCCAATCAGACAGAAGCCGCCTCACCAAGGAGAAGTCTTCTATGTACGCTACATACCAAGCGTTCAGCAATACCTCTCCTTCCGAGTCCCATACTTGCCTCCCCGGGGAGATAAAACTGAAAGGCCAACTCCAGCCCGTGCATTCAGCCCGGTGAGCAGCATAGACCAGCCGGACCAGAACTCACCCTCGGACCTTGATTATCTGCATAAATGGATGAACGACCCGCGGGTCAATGCATCCTGGGGAGAGGCTGGCCCAATTGAGCATCAAGAGAAGTTCCTCCGGACGAATCTTTCTAGTAAACACAGCTTTCCAGTGATTGGGTGTTGGGATGGCCAGCCCTTCGGCTACTTCGAGATATACTGGGTCAAAGAAGATCGGTTAGGGTCGTTGATCGGGGGTGCCGACAACTACGACCGAGGAATCCATCTTCTAGTAGGAGAGCAGGATTATCGCGGACCACACCGAGTCAACGCATGGCTTTCTTCGCTGGTCCATTTCTGCTGGTTAGCGGATATGCGTACTCAAACTGTGATGTTGGAACCGCGGGTAGATAATACAAAGTATGCCACCCTATCGTCCTGTTATGTGTACACTTGCTAATAACATTCTAGGATAATCAGCTATTTGCAAGGAGCAGGGTTCTACAAAGATGGCGAGGTTAGGTTTCCTCACAAGCAGTCAGCGCTGATGAAGATCCGGCGTGATAACTGGGATGCCCCTGCTAAGTGATGCTCCGCGACGCACACAATCAAGCCCCTCGTCCCTGGTGCATGTTAAGCCAAGCATGGCTTACCAAGTTGCGGTGGACCTTGATGTCATTCGCTATTTGTCTAGCTCTCTACTCTTCAACTAGACATTTTATCAAGCGAGAATAAATACCCCCTGCTCTCGCTGTTATAACAAGCCCCAAAGAATTCATACATTTTGATTTCATAGATTATGACGAAGATTTATGCTCTCCTCCAAACAGTCTAGCCCCCTTAAAAACTCCTCTCCAGCCCTAACCAACAGGGACAACAACCAATCCGTCCTGCTGACCTTCCAGGCCATATTGAATCTAAGGACCTAGGGGAAAATATCAACACCCACAATACCACAACATGAAATTTGCAAATACAGTCATACCGTTATATGCAGCCCCATCAGTAGGTACGTCTAAACCGTAGTGCAAGACGGAGCCGGATCACCACCAGGCCAGATACAGACACCATGTTTGCCGCAATCGGCCGCAACCTGCCATGAACGGCCATTGCAGACGGCAACCTCGGTACGGCTTTCTGCGCAGTCGTAGCCTGAGCCTTTACAGGAACCACCAATTGTGACGTAGGCTGAGGAGCACGCGGCTAGGGAGAGGACGAGGGCGGAGAGGGAGAACTTCATTTTGTATTGAGTAGAGATTGTTTGCCTTGGATTGATTCAAGGGATTTGGATGTGGATGGGAGAGAAGAAGAGAGATGCAAATGGGGTGGTGAAGGACGGGGTTTATATACTTTTTTTCTTGCCAGTCATGCACGGTGCAAGATTGGTGGGCTGTGTTCCATTTGGGCTCCGTACTCTGGGTACATTCTTTGAATTCGAATAAGAGGATATTCCCGTAAAGCTGCGCCTTCCCGCTGTTTGAGTGGCCACGAAGGAGGAAGACTGGAGACCGGCGTGCAAAGTATGCAGTGCAACTCTGTAGTAAGACGGTTGAGCGCTGGATACATACACATTTGGATAGAGGTGGTGGGGATTGACTGTGCATTGTCAGACTGACTTTAATTGGGAAGAAACTGGGGGAGCTAACATCTGGGTACCCACTGCGATCTGTGGGACCATATTTGCAGGTTGACTTTGGAGTATTCTACAGTGTATGATGGAGGTTTTTTTTAGGGCTGTTGATTCTGTTATCTGGTCCTTTCATTAACTATGACGAGGTATTTACGAGTGGGTGAGCCCTTGTTGTATAATTGCTCTTTAGCCAAGCTACTTAAGAGCCAGTAACCCTCGGTAAATAACTAGAGAAACATAGCTATGAGTTTAATGTGCTGGCTTCTCATGACTATAGCATCTGGAACTATATAGTGTACGGCTTGTACCGTGGTTGACTGGGCGGGGCCCCGAAATAACTCGCATTGCCAAAAAATACCTCCGGGTAGCTTCTCAATTATAAGACATTCAAAAGTTTTGCGTCTGGAAGAATATATTTGAATATTTATTTACAGGAAGTTAGTGAGGAGCATATAAGTTGAGATACTTTGGTTAAAATCGCGAGTTTTGGTGTGAAGTATGAGTGTAGGCAGACCTTTGGCACCCGTTGTATATAGAACCTCATCCCAGTATAATTGAAATGACCAGGGGTAATTTCCACAACTCAGACTTGTCGAGGAATTATGAGGACCTTTTCCTCGGGAAACAAGGCTTCCCTGCTACAATCCCTGCTGTTCGAAGCTGGTTTTCTTCACAGATCTGGATGCCCGGCGGCAGGGTCCCTGGATGAGGGGAATGCTGTGTCGATCGCCCAAGAGATAATTGGCAGCTCTGAATGGACAAGGTCCAATCGACTGGTATTTTCTGGGGAGAAGTGCGCACGATGAGTGGCTGGATATTTCTGTGACGGTGTGCCGTGGATGCAGGCCGGCGCGTAAATGCACCAACGACAGCGCCCGGATGGCCTCACCACCTCGACTCTTGCTTCTTCACACAACCACAAGCCCAATCATCTCCCCCGCCAGCCTGTGTCGCTCATCCTATATCATTCCTTCATCACCCCCGGAGCTCATCATGCCTGTCACATCGTCCGCTTCCGTAAGGGATTTGCGGCCTCATTTTCAATCTCTCGCAATGAGCCTGACGGCTGGATCGTACATAAACCTACTCCGCATCTCTCGCTGAAGCACACATCAGAAATGCTACCACTTGCCTCTCCGTCTGAGTTGTCGCTGTCACAGGAGCAGCAATCACCATCTCGCAGTCTGATTCAACGTGACGACATTCTCCCCGAGAACCCTCCGCTGGACGAGCCCCTGCTTGCTGTGCAAATTGGTGGCATTGTTGGAGCATACGTGATCTTCGTTGCCATCGTCTTGACTCTGCTTCTCGTGGTCGGCCGTCGTCTTCGCAGAACAGTCCAGGCGTCGAACTACACTCTACAAGTGGAAATGATGAAGCCAAAGGGACCCATCGCCGCCCAGTCGGCTGCACCCTCCATGGATCCAAGCCCCGTCACCCCGACTAACAAGTCGCACGGCTTCAGATCCTGGACCAGTTTCACCAAAGGAGGAGGTCATTCTCACTCTCGTTCCAACAATAGCAGCGTGGGCACTATCGACCACGAATCTGTTGTTGCTGCCGACCGCCGCAGAGCCCAGGATCAGATGGAAATGCTCTACGCTGCGGTCATGGAGCAGGATGAGCAGCGTGCTGCTGCCTCAACCTCTCCTATAAGCCCTTCAGATGATGTAAGCTTGCAAGAGCTTTCACCGCGGTCTCCCGTGAGCTACCAGAGTGCAAACCCGTTCTCCGACTACGCCCCTCGGGTGCCTGAGCCACAGCCATATCAGCATCATTACCAGCAACAGTATCCCCCGCCGGCCCCAGCACCAGCGGCATTCCCAGCTGCACCCCCAGCGCCGGTAGCCGCAGTCCATACGGCTGCCGCTCCACCCCCTGCAAGCCCTGGAGGCCGCTCAACATCATCTCGCTTCTCGCGCGTCTCAAACCTCTCACTTTTCCACTCCAATCGTGACTCAAACGCTGCCCCCCAGTCGCCGAACGCAAGTAAACTTCGCTCGCCCCGTTTTCCCGTGCGCAAACTCGGCATCTCATCTCCGCTCGCTTCACCAGACCCCAAAACGCCAACCCTGGATCAAGTCCCTCTCTCCCCACGCTTTTACAACCCCGCTCCCCCACCAATGCCTCCGGGCGTCACCCGCACCAATACTAACAACACAACCACCTCGCGCGGCTCAAACGAACGCCGTAACCCTCCTCCTGCTCTGAACCTCCAAGCTGCATCACCCGGCGGGCCCGGAAACAGCTCTTCATCCCTCCCCTTCCGTGACGCATACCCGCAGCTCCTCAGCGCTCCACCCACAAAGACAACCATCCTTGAGCGCCCAGAGAAGCAGATAAATGGACCTCGAACGGGATTACCTACTCCATACAGCCCTTACATGCCGTTTACACCATTGACGCCGCTTACACCGAGCCGGATTGTGACGAAGAAGCAGCGCAAGCTGGCGGGTAAAGAAAATGGGCTTAGAGCAGTTAACGAGGAGGATGCAGTTAGGGATGAGAATGATATGTGGGGGTATTAAATTACTGCTTAGACAGATTCACACCCTTTTTTATTTTTACTTTGTTTTACTTTATTTTTTTTCTTGTTGGAGTTGGAGTGGGGCTTAGCTTGACTTGTTTGGTTTTATTTGATATCCACAGAACGAACACTCGATTGACCTATCTATCTATCTACGAATCTATATACTACTAAAGTTTCGCTGTCAGACCACCATATATCATACAAAACCCCTTACCTAGTATCAAAGTAAGGGTGCCCTTTTAGTCAAGTGGGAAATCGTCACGGATAATCCTCAGCCAAAGCTGTCCGTATTTATTTCACAACGCAACTTCCTTTATCTCTCAACATGACTTCTTGTTATTCCAATGACACAGCATTTTACTATTCTCATCAAATACCGTTTTACTATTGTCTTAACACAACTTGTTACTGTTGTCTTCACGGCTTCTTGCCGTACTCATCACATGATGCCACTAGTCACTTGGCATCGCCAAGAATCTCGCCGTTTGTCTTCCGCAGCTACTGGGACCTGACGATCCGTAAACAAAATCTAAATCAACACTCGGAATGGCACCAACACGCAAATCGGCGGCGGCGTCCTCGAGTCGAAACCTGAAACGGAGCGCCCCATATGCTGCTCCCCAGGAAAACCGAGCAGCCATCGAAAAGAAAAGGAAAACTGGAGCTTCTGCCGCAAAAAACACAAGCACCGAGAGAGAGCAGAAAAGGCAAAAAAGTAAGTGCCATGTTACTAGTACTTGGATGGGATCGATCAAACCACAATGCCGCCTTCATATTGCTTGCACTTGAGCTAACTATATCTTTTTTTCTGTCTGAGTAGAAACCGAAACCTCACCGGTTCAAATTATCAACGCCGCGCCGACCCAGAGACTCGACGTGTATGTTTTTGGCACAAATTGCGACGGCGAGTTAGGGCTAGGAGATGCGACCAAAAAGACTGAGATCCCACGTCCGGTCCTGAATCCCAAACTCCCGGCAGATACAGTGGGAGTAGTAACACTTGCTGTTGGCGGTGTCCACTCAGCTGCACTTACGCATGATAACAAAATCCTAACATGGGGCGTTAACGACGAGGGCGCTCTCGGGAGAGATACAAAGCAAGATGAAGATGATGTCAAATTACGCGACCAGGAAGACAGCCCTGATAGTGATGAGGAGGAAGAACTGGTCAATCTGAACTTGAAAGAGGCCACCCCATTGCCTGTGGACCCGTCTTGGTTCCCGCGCGACACCGTTTTTACACAGGTGGCAGCTACTGGCAGCGCAACATTCGCCCTTACTACCACTGGTCTGGTATTTGGCTGGGGTACTTTTAGAGTAAGCCTACTATCCTTCATATATCTTCCCAAGTGACCTTGCTAACAGACACTAGGGAAACAGTGGGGAGATCGGGTTCTCACCCAACTCCACAAAGCAACAGAGGGAGCCGGTACTAATTCCTGGTCTAAGCAATGTTACAAAACTTGCGGCTGGGTTTCAACATATGCTGGCATTGACATCAAAGGGCGCTGTTTTTGGCTGGGGCTGTGACGAACAGCATCAGCTTGGGCGACGCCGAGTACACCACAATGCGTCTCATCCGCTTGTTCCAGCAGAATGCGCCCTCCCCTCTGGCATGACAGATATCGGTGTTGGGGAGTATCATTCATTCGCGGTTCACAAGAGCGGCTCTGTATACGGTTGGGGCTCAAACAACTACGGCCAAACCGCAATATTTACAAGTGCTGGCCAAAGTGACGCGGTTGTGGTATACCCGACCAAGATCAAGTCGCTCAAGCAGGGGTCCAAAATCATATCCATACACGGTGGCAAAGACCACAGTCTTGCTATTGACGAAGGAGGAAAGTGTTTTTCATGGGGTCGAATCGAGAACAAGGCACTGGGGCTTGACTTGAGCAGCCTCCCTCCTTCCGATGTCATCTTTGACGAGCGTGATCGCCCTCGGATCTTAAAGGTCCCAACCATTATCAGCAGTATCAGTGACAAGGCAGTTGAATCGCTGGGCCTAGGAACGGATCATTCCTTTGTTATTACCAAGGATGGAGAGGCGTACAGCTGGGGCTTCAACGTCCAAAAGCAGGCTGGACAGCCGGGCGATGTTGACGAAGTTGTCCTTCCCACCCTGTTGAGCAACAAACATGTTGACGGGAAAAGATTGGTCCTTGCTTCTGCCGGAGGCCAATTTAGCATTGTTGCTGGTGTGCACCAGTGAATGGTGTCAAGGAGTGAACCTGAATAGCCATGCTTTCAAGATACCCGAAGAAGGAGCAAAATCTAGTCGCTAAAATTAAATGGTAATATTAATATTAATAGTGACAGTCAAAATATGAAACGATGCGATATTTGTATAAGAACCTTTGTAGAGGATCTCTAGCAAGATTGGCCAAGTTATTATTGGAAGGTAAATAGTAAGTACTGCACTATAGACTCTTAAGACATCTAATCATCCAATCATCCAACACGAAGCCTCCCACGTATAAATACACACAACGTGAAAGATCTACTCGAACCAGCCAAGCAACCCTAAGTCGATCCCAGTCCAACCCTAGAAAGCAACCACCCCCCAGCCTGCAAGTCCTGAAAGACCCCCGAGGGATCAAACTTCTTCGCAGCCTCCTTCAGCTTTTCAATATTCCCGCTCCCATAACTAGCCAGCGCATCCTGGTCCCTCGATGCATAGTTCACGTATTTATACGACAGGAATGTCCCCTCCCCTTTCGCGGTTTCTTCCGCAACATCCACAATCTTCTTTAGGGCTTCTCGAACGCGGGACTCGTGGTTGGGGTTTTTGTAGTCGCCTGTTGCGAGGAACCCTGGAAATATTATTAGAAGACATGGTTCTCCAGGTCAAGTCAAGTTGGGATAGGAAAAAAAAAAGGACTTGGAATGTAAGCACGTACATTGTTGCCCGACGGGATCCAGCCCGAGAGGTGAATTGGCGCTCTGCTTCATTGCTAGCGATGACATAGGCTGGAAGACGGTTGTGAGGACAACGTCTTCGAGATCGGCTAGGGCAGAGAGTTGCTCGCGGCGGGCTTCCTCGATTGCTTTGTAGACGGTTAGTGAGGGGCGGCTGGACATTGTGCGGAAGTCGTGTCTAGATAGGATGGAGGAGGGGTTCGGTTAGCCGGTCTTGTTGTATGAATGCATTTGGTTTTTGATGAGGGATGGAGGCAGAAACATACAGCATAGGTTCAGGTGAATTGACGTCCGCTAGAGCCTGGATAAGGTCATAGATAGTTCTGAGGGCTGATGGGACTAGGTCCATCACGGAGGGGATATCGTAGAATGGGGCAAATGCCGCCGGTTTCTCAACTGGGGAGCAGTAGACGTAGACGAGAAGGATGGCTTGGCTGGTTTGGTGCCAAATGAGGGTTGCTTGGTCATCTGTTTCAATTATATCATGGTACTGCACGAGGGCTTTCATGAGCTGGTCGTATGCGGTTGGTTGGTAGACTGAGGCCTGGGCCCAGATTTTGTTGGGAATGGTGGCCATCTCGATTTTGGTGACAATTCCTGTATGGCATTAGATCGCCTTCTGGTGGTGGTGAATGGGAACTCACCAAGGTTGGAACCGCCTCCCTTGAGGGCCCAGAATAGGTCTGGGTTTTCGTGCGCGTTGGCGTTGACAATGCTAGAGTCTGCGAGGACAACCTGCTGGTGGTTGGCATGGACCGAGAGCACATTGACTGAATATAGGGGCATACCTCATAGTTGGTGACGCCCATTGCACCAACACCATACCGGCTGTTCTGGAAGGAGATTCCACCTCCTAGGATTAGACCAGGGACACCGACATCAGGTACTCGACCACCGGCCACGGCGAGACCGTGAGGGTCAAGGGCCTTGTATACTTCAAGCCATGTTAAACCAAGGCCGATATCTGCGGTGGTCTTGTCCTCCGAGAGGACTGCTTGCTTGAATTTGCCGAGAGAGATGACGACGCCGCCATTGTTACTGTTGAAGCCAGGGTTATGCAGGTGGCCACCCCCGCGGATGGAGAACTTGATACGAAAGAAGTTACAAAGGGCTAGGGCTGCTGCAACTTGCTGGGCCGTGGTGGGCGCCACAATGACTCGGGGTTCAAGCCAGCAATTGGTAGACCTGTTGGAGAGTTAACCTTCACGAGCTGAAACAGATTCTCTGTCAAGGAACTCCGGCCTGAATACTTGCCATGGCACTTGACGCTGCAACTCGTAGCCCTCCGACCCCTGGACGGCTGCATTGTCTCCAAAAACAAGCGAGAAGATTCTCGTCACAAACAACGATTGAACCTTGTCTTTCTCGGAGCTGGGAAGATCTGCAAATTCCTTCAATTGCGCTGTAAGGCTGGCGCTGTTGTTCGCTTCGTTTGCCTGGTTGGCAATGGCAAGCACCGTCTCGAGAGCAGCCATCCTGATTATTCTCCTGCACATGTACAGACACTGCAAGAAAGTGAACCGCGATCAGCACATGCGAAACGAGGAGGAAGGAAACTGGAATGGTGCAGTCAGTGCTAACGCTTTGTAGTCCTGGAGTGGGGGGGCACTTACTCGCGAACCGATCGTGAAACGGCACAGTGTGCAGCATCAAGTCACCAAGGAACGGCCCTGGGACAAACAGAACCACTGTGGACTTCGTTCTGTGGGCCTTGCTTACATCCGATGGGTCGATGGAAGCCATCAGGATGATTCGGGCTCCTTCGGCCCCCTCGCTATCAAACCTTATGCTGCTCCGTCCCGCTCTGCGCAAGAGTGATCGATCGGGACGATTGGCCCAGGCCGAGGGGGAATCCACATCCTCGTTCACAATGACAATTAACTGCAAGATACGGAGAAAGCAGCCTGCCGTATCCTCGGCTGTCATCCAGGTTCTCCATCAGCAGAGACCTAACGGTCTCCGCCCGCTGTCAGGATGTCGTTTCCGCCTGTCAATTCACCCGACCCAAACTCTGCTGTTTGCTCTGTTGCTGGTCCATTGAGGCATTCCATCCACCATGGAAGCCCCGATGATGAAGCGAGATGCAGACGGCGGCAGTGGAGGCACTGCGCAGATGACCATCGTCGTGCGTGCCGTCGTCTTGGTGCTGGCCATCTTAACGACGCTCATCTGCGGCCTTCGTGTATGTTGACTGAGCCATCCCGCGGGAGATGAAGAGCACTGATGAGTTTGACAGTTGTATCTCCGAAAATTCGTTCTGCACAGCTTTGGACTGGATGACTGGATGGTGATACTCGCTCTGGTAAGTCCAGCACACCAAACCACAGCAATTGCAGGGCCGTTGACTTGTACAGATTGCCGTAAATGCTTTCTCTGCCATGGCATTCACCATAACATTCTTCGGTCTTGGAGCCGACACAGTCGATGTACCCCCAGAAGACCTTGTAGTATGGTTCAAGATTCAATTTGGCACGGAATGTTGCTACCTCATTGTCGGGGCGCTTGTGAAATTCAGCCTGACTATCTTCATCCTGCGACTCTTCCCCAACCAGTCTATCCGTATTGCTGGGTTATCAATCATGGCTTTCATCGCAGTGTTTACAATCGCAATGACATTTGCATTGGCTTTTCAATGCAGACCAGTCAACGCTGCATATGACAAGAGTATCACGGATGCCAAATGCTGGACACCGCATGTACACTACGCGGTTCTCATGACACAGGGCGTCATCATGTTCTTCCTGGATGCGTTAATCCTTTCCCTGCCCATTCGTCCTGTCTGGAAACTGCAGATGCCAGTGAAAAAGCGCCTGATGATTCTAGGATTGTTTGCTATTGGTACCTTATCCTATATTCAACACCATCCTAAGTATCCTCTCTCGCTAATAACACCGCAGGCTTCCTTGCATGTATAGCAGCCCTCGTCCGTTTCAGCACCCTCTCCTACACCCAAGACTCAACAAACTTCACCAGTACGTCTCACCAAAGTACACTGTTCCCTTCTACCTCAAAAACGCTTTAACCCACTAACAACCACTTTCTAGAATCCGCCTCAACATCCCTAATCTGGATGGTCGTCGAATTCAACCTAGGCCTCATGTCCGGCTCGCTCTCGTCGCTCCGCAAACTTTTCAAGTCTGGCCCGCTACACATAAGCTCCTCCTCGTACCCTTACAACGGCACAGGTGCCTCGTCTACGCGAGACGCCTCTCGATCGACTACAGCGATGGATTTGAAGCATTATCCTCGCGACAGCCTTGGAAAGGTATTCGGAAGGATACGGAGATCACGCGCGTGTTTGAGACGAATACTAGCCAGGAAAGGATTGCGCCGATTTATGGGCAGGGGGAACTTATGACCACGACTAATGCTTATGCGGAGGCCGAGAGGGAGAGGAAGAGGAAGAAGGAGCTGGACAATAGGAAGAGGGGAAAAGGGTATGAGGAATTTGATATGGAAATATCCTAAACTTGCATTGTTCTATTTGGGAGTTAGGGATTGCTTTCTACGTTATATACCACATGCATTGGGTTGGATTGATTTATGTGCAACTGAGGATGAATGAGATTGTTGAAGGAATGAGCTAGGTCTCGTTGATCTAATTTCCTTCGCTCCTTCGCCCCGAGGCCCTGCTTTAGCGTCGATAATCGTCCACTTCACCAAGCCAGCGTCAATTACTCCAGATGGCGGAGAGTATCATCAGTCCGCTCGGAAGCGTACCTGACCAAATGGCCAGACCTCGGACTCAGTCGCACCTTCCTGGTTTCGCTTGAGCCACCAGTACCATCTAAAAGTAGAAGGAACTCTCCATCAGTCTGGAAGTCGCGATGGAGGCTATAGTCACGTCAAGGCTTCTCATATTGATGCGGCCAAAACGTATCATCTTCTCGGATCAGTCCTGCCTGATTCCGCGCTACATCTAACATTCAGACACCGTTATCATTCAAAACTATTACGCTCCTTTTTTGCTTTTTTTATTTTGCGAGACCGAGACCACATCCTCCATGGGTCAGAAAATATCTGCCGTCCACGGTGTCAAGTCCGATGACTTCACACAGCCAGGAAACGCCGTCAACGAAATCTGGGTTGGGGATACTGAAGTCATCTCTCGTCTTCCGTTTGGCGACAATGACATTGAACAAGCCGGCTGGCCGAAAGACGGCATGCCGAAGATACCGTGGCATAACTTCATCATCCCCATGAAACGTGGTATCATCGCTCCCCCCAGATATAACCATTCATTTTACTTGAACGGCATTTACGAGGTGCCGGCGGATCAGATGGTCTGCTGCAACCGAGATGGGTGTATCTCTAATCAGGGCATCACTCGCACCGTTATTACGCAAGACCTTGTTGCTCAACATCCTTTACAATTCCTGTTCGCCCTTGCCATGACTTTTATCAGTTTGCGTCTAATGAGGTCGGTGAGAGCATTTAGGCATGCGGCTGTACCCAGATTCGACAAGAATAAGGAGTACACACATCAAGACGAGAAACATTGGGCACTTGTTTTTACGTCTGCTATAATACGTTTCGTTGTCGCCACCAGCATTTTGTATTATACAACTCTTCTTTGGAAAGGGGTTCGCCAGGCCTACCAATTCAACAGCTGGGACTGGCTATTGCTAGAATGGGTGTCGGCTTTGTCTTTGTCATATCAAGTAATAGCCGGTGCATGGGCCGTTCAGACGCTTTCGATTGACCTGACCAAAGTTATGTATAAGTCCAGGCTGAGCGAACAACATCTTCACGAAATTGTTGATGACAAGCCACAGTTCCCACAAAAAAAACTTCGCGCCTCTGTATAATCCTTGATGCACATCCTACCGCACCTTGTATTGCCTCTCGTCTATAGCATTTGCTCGCTTTGTGATTCCTTGTTATTCATATTCAGAGTTACTTCCAGCTTTAGTTATCAGGATAGTCCAAAGGGTAGTTCAAACACGAGTATGCTTGTTGATTGGCGACGTGTGTCTATATAATTATGTTATTGCGTATTTACAAGCGTATGCGTACCTGGTATCAAGTTTATAGCTCCAGTCATTTCTTGGAAAACATGTCTTGCCAAAACTGCTTAAAGCCATAGCCCTTAGACTGATCTTCTTCGTACACCCGAGCATTATGAGAAGTACCTAGTGAGTCAAGCACGCTCGTTGCTTTCCCCCCAAAAGATGCGGAAGGACGAGCCCTCTCAGTAGCACGTCGCTTGATCTCCTCCGCTAAAGTGGGAGCAACGTCCGCATAACAGGCCGCCAGCTCACGATCGAGGTTGAGATACGGCTTTTGCGCTACCGGAGGCGCTTGCAGATTGTATGAGCGTGTATTGCCATTAATAGTTTTTACCGACAGCTCGAGGAACGATCGCTCGTTCGCCATGTATTGAGGGTCGCGGAGAGGGGAGAGGTGTGGTAGTTTAGACTGTTCATCCGGCGGGGAGGTTTCGCCGGTTGGGGTTGTAGAAGCTGAGTCGGAATCGAGGAACGCTTTCTCGATATTAGCTCGGCTGGTATGTCGAGCTTCCGCGGCTGCGTATGCTTGAGCTCGTCGCATCTGCGCCTCCAAAGATCCTCCCTGGCTGGATATTATCCTCGCCGCGTGTCGTCTCCATTCAACTCTCAGTCGTTGCCGGAACCTTTCGACTTCCCGCCCGAGTTCCTGTTGCTTCTCAATCCAGGGTGGGACAATCTCTTGTTTCTGGATAATCTTATTCATGAAATATTCCGTCGTGTCTATGAAGGGGCTATTGGCGTTATGGTCTGTTTCCGTGCCGACGCCCTTCCCCCGCTTTATTCTATCGAATTGCCCACGAGCAACAGCGTCCTCGATTCGTTCATTCGCCAGAGACGCTAGGCCTTGTAACGTCGCCGGCATTGGCCGAGCACCCGGTGAGAATCGCTCTCGCATCTCCCTTCTCATAGCTTCTCGTTCCGTCTCAGTGACTCCCTCACTTCGACTCAATTCGTAGGTAGCGGTTCGTTCTTTCGCGTCGGCGATGCGCAAACCGGGGTGGCGCGGCGGTTTTGGGGTGAGCCGTGTGTCAATGGGGCCCGGTTGAGGTATCTTATAAGGCGTACGGAGCGGTTTCTTCGAGCTATCGAGCATACGCAGCGTGACGTCGTGTGTACTCTCCGATCCAGTCCAGGGTGCTGATCCGGCGATATCCCGGGTTCCTTGTCCTGCGCTTTCCTGTGAAATAGCTTGTCAGGGCACAAAATTCGCATGTCCTGTAGTTAGAATAAGGGTCAAACATACTGGCATGTTGGCTATAGAGTGCGCTGCCGCATGGTCACTCTTAAACGCCGCCGCCGCAACCCTCTCCTCAAGCTCCTTCTTGAGATCCTCCGAGAACCCCGCGTGCGACAGGTTTTTGCGTGTGGACCGCCCTCCCTCAAGTATAGCTTGCTCTGTCATCTCGGAGAGCCTGCGCGTCATAGCACCTTCTTCTTCGGGTTCATTCTGCGTCTCTCGCGGCTTATCGTCTTCGTTTGGTTTCGAGGCCGCTTCTTGCCGTCGAGGGAGTGCTGAGAAGCTCCTCTGATATTGTGTTGCTGGAGCCCGTGCGAGCGCTTTTGTGACTTTAAAAACTCCAGGCTGTTTTGTAGCCATATCTATCTTGACAACAATGAATAGAAAGGACAAAAATATCAAGAGTGTAAGTAGAATCCAGACTCGGAAACCAGCCTCAAGTAAATCACCCCATCAATCAATGAGTGTTTACGTCAGCAACCTCCGCGGACTCGGGAGAATTATTCCAACAAGTCTTGGCGGCCTCCGACGGGAACCAGCACCGCAATAATTTCTACCAGCGTCAATTCAATACAGCGCCGCAACCACCTCCGACCCCACCGTTGTTAATAACAATCCCTCGTTCTCCTGTTTAGAGCGAAGAGGCAAGCGCAGCCTACCCGTCAAAATGCCGCCGAAAAACGTCTCAACTCGCCTCAACCCGGTCCGTTTAAACTCGATCACTCACCTCCGCGTGCGCGCCCCGGTCTCAAATGAACTTAGTCCCTGTGCGGCGGTTATGTCTGCGATGCTGAGTACGTTCGCTCGTCTCCTGTTTTGGGTGTTTTGTTGTATTTATGAATGGATTGCATTGCATTGATTGGGGTTGAATCGGTGGGGGAAGGGAGCCCGCAATGAATGACCGTCAATCCATTCAAGGAATCCAATTCCAATCTACGGCGGATATATTTCACCTTATACGACGAGGCTAACCTATTATTCTCTTCAATTACAGGTTGCTGGGCGTCAGCAGGGCCAAAGGAAGGATGCGTTGCTCTGGAACAGCAGCTGAGAGAGTGTATGGATTCACATGTGCGTATTATACACCTTCCTACCCCAGAGTTCTGGCATATACCCGATCTATATGTTTTGCATTATCATGGTCCGCCATGGTTCTGCTCCGATCTTTCGAATGCCGAAAGTGAGTGATATGCTAATGGTCTGATTCTCGCATACAGAAACCCAAAACTACCAAGAGGAACGCCATCAACTACCACCTTATGCGAATGTACCCGAAGGTTGTAGGGCCGAAGAAGAAGAAGACTTAAATACTAGACCGGGCAGAGGAGTTGTGTTATAGTATTGGGATTGGGTTCTTTTTTGGAGACTCGGCCGTATGCGATATGCGACATACCGGGTGCTCCGAAGTTTTCCTGCATGAGGTAGCATTGTTGAACACCGCCCCCATTCCTGTCTCGACTGGGGAGATTGAGGGAGATATCACTTATGGAGTTTATGGCTTGCATGGGCAGAATTCTTGATCTAGCCTTTTGTATATGTATTGTCTGTATATTACTTGATTTGGAAAGCAAAACTTTATTCTCAACGTTGGGTTGCTCTGGATTAAAAAAGCATCCTGTGTAAAGCGAAATGTTGTGATCCCAGCGGCGGTGTCTGGCAGAAGTAAACCTTGCTAGGAGCTGAGGAACCGAGTGTTCGGTTTATTATAAATGTTCGAATCTGAGGATCAATTTATCTCCCCTTGGTTTGACGGTGTAAGCATCAATCGCTTCAATACCGTCGTCGTCAACAATGGAAGTCCTGAAATTGCTATAGATAACTGCGGCAACCAACTTCATTTCTGTTAAATTATTAGCACCTTTGGTCATCTTGTCGTTAAGTGGGATATATATGTTACCTTGCACAGCCAAGTTACTCCCCACGCACATTCGCCCACCGCTTCCAAAAGCCCAGAACCATCGTCTTCTTTCCTCTAGATCTGAGGCTGTGTTATAGTCCTTGAGCCATCGCTTGGGCTCCCATGTCTCGGGATCAGGAAACACTTCTGCATTGCGATGGAGAGAGTACGCTTGTGCGTTTACCCTTGTGTTTGCGGGGATATTGTCATATCCGACAAGCTTGCACGTGGGGAATGGAGTTACTCGAGGTTGGATTCCTGGGATGGAGGCGTGGAGTCGCAATGTTTCCGTGAGTATCGCATCTAGAAGAGGCAAGGAGTCTATGGATTTCGGTGATGGTAGTTCCGGTACCGCTGATGAGGGTGGGTAGGATGTTTCTGGACTTAGGGTGCGAAGTTCCTCGCAGAGGTCCTTTTGTAAGTCTGGGTGTTGAGATAGTTCCCAGAGAAGGTAGGTCAGAACGACGGCACTAGTTTCATGACCTGCCGTGAGGTGGTCGTATAGCTCACAGGCAATCTCGAGCCTCTGCTGCTGAAGATATTCTTCGTATAGCCTTTGGTTGTCTATATTGAGAGGAGTTTGTTTTGAAATAGCTTGCTTGAGATGCTTGTATACAACAGGTTCGGTATTGAGCTCTGCTGAATCAATACACGCTTCCGCTTTATCGCAAAGCCCCAAGCCCCAGGAATCGAGGATCTCATTCGCGTCATCGCACCACTTAGGGATCAAACGGATACCTATGCTTTTCAGTGGAGCCAAAAGACCCGGGACTTCTTGATGATAGAATTCAAACGGCTTTCGGCATTGGTAGAGGTACAACATTTTGCGTCTGAATTCCTGGTCCTGGAGAAAGTTAGTCCCATTAGCTAACCCAAAAAGGTACGCCGAGACAAAGTCCATGGTCAATCCCTGGTTAAGGTCATGGACATCAATATCTGTTTTGGAGGTGGCAACCCCTTGAAGGATAGGCAGGAGGCGTTCAAATATGATTGTTTTGGATATAAGTTTTAGGTGAGGGGACGATTGTAGGAAGGATTTGCTGTATATATTGGACAACATCCTTTTCCGGGTAGAATGGGCTTTGCTACCGGTCATGGTGAACATGCTGACAGTCCTATATGCATGTAATGTCGACTTAGTGCCTTTGCTTCGCTGGAAGACGTTTTATTTCCTCTGTCTTTGCTTACCCAAAAGAAGCGAAAACGCGCGGATACCAATCGTGCTTGTCGAATCCGCCCGTATATACCGACTTTATACCTCCCTCCACGCAATTGATAGAGATCTCTGATGGGCCAAGCCGCACTATAGGGCCTAGTTGTTCATGCGCTGCATGGATGGTCCGATTATTTCGGCCTTGATATCGCCTCCAGAGAATCCAGGCAGGAGATATTGGGGCCGTCCAATGTGCACTTGGAAGCTTTGATAATGGAGACAGAAAAGCAGGGTATATCACGAACTCGTAGAGGAGAAGTGTGCCTAGTACAACGAGTGCTATCCAGACGAACATTGGAACCTCCATGATGCAGAGACAACAAGGTCAATCTGGAGATATGAAATCCTTTCGCAGCGAAACGCGAGAGAATGGCAGGGGAACCAAGTCTTGCTTCTTATATGCTTTGAGCTTATCTCTTGTCTCCAAGCAATGGGCTATCGGCAATAACTAATCACCCCGCTGCCGGTAGGACCTGCCCTGCTCGTGTGCCCCCGCATGGAGAGAAAGGGACCGGGAACGGTGCCAGTAGTGATACCCAGAGAGCGGGTCGAGGGTTTGTGTGACCCCGTTGTAGTATCAGTTAGTCATAAAAAAAATCCAGGAGGCCTTGTTGCAGCAAGAAGAAATGCGATGGAGTTGGAGGCTGTCGAACAGAGATGATGGTTGGATGACATAAGAACTCACCACCACATTTCCATCCACTCTACGTTGTTTCTCCATCCTCACTAGGTATATTCACGACACTGCCGCTTAGGAGCCTAATTCATCTTGGCCCTAATATTTTCCAAGAGCTGACACCGCTGTGTGGTAGCTCTCCTCACCGAACGAAATTTGTTTATTTCTTGCCCAGAAAAGATGTTTCTTACATGAGTCACACGATGGCTCATCGCTGCGCCCTAGTCTGACATTGATTCCAGCAATGATCCTGGCAGGCCAATACGTCGTTTTCGATTGTTTCGACACCTAGAATTCTGATCAAATAGATGGGTGCAATTAGAAGGCGCACACTTGGTTCCTTATAATACTTGATCAAACTATTTACAAGGGTGTTTTGCAGAGCACACCTTTTCTGCGATCATCGTTATTGTATTGAAAATAGAACTCAAAAGTTTTATCATGCTTCTTTCCGACTTGCCTGCAGAAGTCATTTATCTTGTCGCCACTCATCTGCCAACTGCAAGCGCTTTGGCCTTTTTGGGCCGAACGTGTCGCCGACTCCACGAAATCATTTCTGGTGAAGATTGGAGGATTTTCCGAGCGTTTTTGAATAGCCGATTTTACAACATACCTACACCTCCGTTTTGGAAAGACGCGGCAAAGGCTCTAACTTCTCGCTCCCGCGCCTTGGATAGGCATGCGATAGTAGGCCGATTCGTTCGCCGTCCATCTGATGCAGAGCAGCTAGGTGGATCGCCCCAGGCAACTCGAAATGATAATCCTACCCATGAATATCGACCTGCCATCGACTCATATGAAGTTTGGAATGGGTCAAGTTGGCATGACAGACGTGAGGTGTTGGCCTGGAGCGCGGCGCATGAGTTGATACTCCAGATTCGACAGACTGGATCTCAACAATCGCGAAAATCATTTGTCTTCAATGATTTGGAACATATCAGTAGTCACGATGATATAAATAACATCCATCTCCTGCGCCCTGAGCACGGCACAAAAGGTCCGGATCAGGAGCATTTGATTCTTAGCCGAATGCGCGGTGAACTTGTGCATCTGGCGATTGCACCAGAAAGCCATACCTATGAGCTTAAACAAAAGTTTCAGACTTATGGCCTAGAGATTGAACGGACAGATATATCCAACGGCTCAGAGCCGATTCTCGCAACCCAGTTCAGCAATGGAACAATCGCATTCTACAGCACGACAACAAACGATGCAGAGATCCAAGCGTTCGGGAACCTCCAGATAGGTGAGGGAGGTTCTGGGCGTAACAGGAGTTGCAAATTCCTTTCCCCAAATCGTTTTGCGGTGGCAACAGCACGCCCAGAAGACCCAATTGCGGTCTCCATGGTCTCGCAGGAACGAATATCGACGGAGCGTTCAATATCCGCAGACGATTTGATCCCAGCGACATTAAACAGACTTGCAAGAAGGCCAATTGTTACTGCAATTGAACCCCTTTGCGGTCAGAATGGAGACTCCCCAGGCAATACTTTCCTTGCAGCTTGGGGTGATGGTGCCCTGAGGTAAGTCTTCGTGTCACTCTTATTAACGAACGATCAGTGCTTATGCTTTGCAGACTTCATGATTTACGCTCGCACAAGCCCTACGAAATGCTTTACGTAGATATAGCGGATTATAATCCCGTGTACAGCATTCATCCATTCGGCCATGACCGCTTCGTCGTCGGTGCCGGTGGCGATGCTGTCCTCAAGATATTCGATCTTCGAATGCCAACTACGTACAGCTACCGCGAAACGAGGCAACATGCAACCCCCACGGCCAATGGCTTTTCATCTTTGAGCATCGCCCAAAGTAAACCATCCCCAACCTATCCAAGCAAAGACCTCTCTATCTTTCTTTCTGTCAACCCGCCCACCTCCCGAAATGGTAATGTCCCTCGGGTTTCTAGAAACAGATACCGCGGTCCAATCTACGCTATGTCATCTCCATCCCTCTTATCGCCCACTATATACACTGGTATTGCTGGGGGGATAGTTCGACTGGATTTTGCGTCTACGGATGATCTAACAGGGCCCAATCAGACTTGGTACCGCGACGCCCTCGATTTGAACCTGGATTATAACAAAAGCAAAACGCCCAATGCCAACGATGTCATTGAATTGTCTGCCTATGAGAGGCCGGATAGTAGGGATACAACAACCTGTTCTAAGTTAAGGTCCCAGAAGCCGTTTTCGGAGATCGATGATCAGAACATTGCAAATGAGCAGGCAACTGGTTGGGATAGAAGGTGGAGGCCACTTGAAGCGCCTGGTGCGTGGAGGCGGAGGGATTTCTGATTTGTCTGCTTCTTCACGATAGTGTAAGGGTCGTTAGGGATTCTTTGCTTCCCCCCCCCCTGCTGGCTTTATTTGATTGCATTATTTATAGGTGTTGGGTTTTACGGGTTATGTCGGGATTTAAAAAGCATATAGAGGGTACTATAGTGTCGCTGCCTTGGAACATAGATAGCATTTGAATTTTGCGATGGCCACAAGATATAGAAAGCTTTTAGATAATTTTTGTCCCTTAATGATAGGGGGGAAACAAGATAAAAGAAATAATTCACTCCCAGCTCCATAAGCGCCTTGCTTGCAAGCGACATAAACGAGATCTATTATGTAGAGATATAGATCTATCCCCTTGAATAAAAAGAGCTTTTTGTTAGATGTAAAGAACCGGTCGCAGTAGAACCCCAGAAAGGGTGTAGTTAGCGCAAAAAAGATGATTGGAGGCTAAGCCTGGTCTCGCATGATATCATCCTAGTCGGTTAATCAGTCATCGAACTTGAACGACTTTCCGCCACCGATGTCGATGGGACCACCACGGTACGAGCCACGCTTCTTCTTGTTCTTTTCCTTAGTGAAGCCCTTGCCGCGCGTTACGGAGAGATCTTTGAAGGCCTTCTCAGCGTATGCGTAAGGAACGTAGGTGTTGGACGGGTGGTCATGGGGAAGCTCGCTGAGGGCTGCTAGCGGCGTAGGGCGAGTGCCGGTGTGCTTTCTCTTGCCGTTGCCGTTGTCATTTCCTGGAGCTGGCCTAGGGCTAGAGATAGGGATTTGGGATGTGGCAGCAGCCTTTTTGGCAGGAGCCTCGGACTCAGAGTTCTGAAGTGTACCGCTTGTGCTGGAGGATCCCTCGGAGGAGTCATCTGAAGAATCGCTGGAGCTCGAGTCAGAAGGAGGAAGCGGCGTTTTGGTGGCGGCTTTTAGGACCTTCTTGTCCGCCTTTTTGGTGGAGTTGGATTCAGATTCAGAGTCGGACGAGGACGATGAATCAGATGAGCCCGAGGACGAATCCGAAGATGAGCTGGACGAACTTGACGAACTTGACGAGCTAGACGAGCTAGATGAGGAGCTAGACGAAGAGCTGGAAGAGGAATCGGAGTCGGAGTCGGACGAAGAGTCTGATGAAGAGCTTTTACTGCTGGAGGATGAAGAAGAACCTTTTTTGGTCACCGATGTTACTTTGGTCTTCTTTGCTTTCGGGGCTTCCTCTGAATCAGATCCCGAGGACGAAGAAGAGCTTGAATCCGCCTTCCGCTTAACTCCTTTAGAAGCAGGGCCAGGGGCGGGCGCTGCCTCGTCCTCGTCTTCATCATCAGCATCACTGTCAGACGAACTCGACGAGGACGAGGACGATGAGGACGATGAGGAAGAAGAAGACGAGGAAGAAGAGGATGAGGAAGAAGACGAGGAAGATGAAGAGGACGATCCGCGTCTCTTCCGCTGAGACTTTGGTGCTTCGGACATCTCCACATCAGAGTCAGATGAATCAGAGTCTGATGAGCTATCGGCATCACTGTCACTGCTCGAAGATGAGTTTCCAGAGGGGCTAGAAGCCGTCTTGCCGTCCGCTTGCGCTGCGGAGTTTTGGAAGATGTCTAGTAGAGAGGGCACATCTTTGGAGTCCGTTTCAGGCGATTTGATGGATTTTTTGGCCAACTCCTTAGCAAAAGCTGCGCTTGTGGACGTAAGACCTTGTTCAGAAAAGAAAGTCGAGAGCGCTGAGATCAAATTTGGTGGAAGTGCAGTGTCGGCACCCTTGCTGGCCTTGGTCTGCTTCATCGAAAGTCGTCAGTAAAACCACTCTTGGGTTTGTAAAATATGGTGGTGTGGAAGTGTTTACCTTCTTCTCCGTCTTTGCGGATGAGCCTTTTTTATTTTGAGCAGCCATTTCAGCGAAATGATTTGGGCCTTTCAAGGTCTATCCGTGCTTATACCTTTGTTGATCTGGTGAAAGGAAAAAAAAATGATAATGCAAAAAAATTGGCAGAAAAAACTACTTTTAGGCGGTCATTCAGGGGACACATTCCTATTGGTTAACTTGCTATCTCGATTCAGAACTCACGTGCCTTCAAGGGCATGAGATGGGAAGAGTGCAGGCGGCCATAATGAAATACAATATTTGGAGGGCAAACTCGCAGTATATAATATTCTATCTCTTTATTGTTGCTTGTAAAAAAAATCATATATAGTAAGATATAGCTTTAATTTTAAGTACGCCATTATTACACGGAATTACATTGAGTAGATGGTGAGCCTCGAGAAATATGTGGGAGAATACTTGTTCTCATGTATCATCCGGTAACGGCCACGAGCTCTCCGCCGCCGGTTCCATCCCCAGTAATGAGCTAATGATGCCGCTGAAGTCACTCACTCCTCCATTCTGCACGGGCTTTGTCTGATATACAGTCCTGCTCTCGCTCTTGCCTCCACACTTCTTAATAACGCCTGATATCAGCTCGAGTAAACTAACATTTCTATTGCCTCCGTTCCGATCCTGCGCATCCCACCCGCGTTCTTTAGCATTCTCGACCATGTTCACCTAGCTTTGGATACCTCCTGAGTGATCCAGGCTAGTGACCATTCGAATCACAAGTATGAATGGCTCCGATCGATCGAGGGTTCCTCCGGGAGAAATTCCGCCGCAGAGGGATCCTCGCCGAGGCGCTGAAAGTCGGAATGGTGGACACGCTGGCTCGGGAGATGGTGCGTCGAGGGCGGAGAAATTCGAGGACGAGAAGCGGAGGATTGTGCAAAGTAGCTTTGCTAAAAAAGATAGTGATGGTGCCTGTATGTCTACAGAAAATCCTCAATTACTCCCAAGCGAACTTTCTGCATTGCTCTTCCCCACTGAGCCTTTTCAACCGGACAGGCTCGCAGCAGGGCGATGCCCCGTTGTCGTCGTCTAGATCCCAGGCTGACCTTTGTTTCCCCTAAAATCTAGTGGTTGAATCCTACATCACTCACGTTCGAATTGTGGAAGATAGCGCGTATCCTTCCAGCCCCGCTCCGCCGAATGCACCCCCTGAGAACAAGAAAGCGAGAGTCATAATTGTCGCGGTGAGACGGTCGGGCAGAGTGCGCATGCACAAGGCTAGGGAAAATAATGACGGATCATTTTCAATCGGTAAAACATGGATGTTGGATGATCTCTCGGCGATTCAATCATTCAATGCATGGGTGCCCTCCACCCCGCTGGAGGAACAACAAAAGCAGTGGGCGTCGAGTGTGGGCTTTGTGGTGACTGTCGGGAAGCCGTATTACTGGCACGCGAAAACCTCAAAGGAGAAGGACTTCTTCATTGCGAGTTTGGTGAAGATCTACAAAAAGTACACGGGTGGTAAAATGCCGAACCTCATAGGGTTTGATGAGCGTGAGCGACAACTCCTTCTGGGGGCACCACCATCCGGCGCAAAGGGACCTATACCTGGTCCATCGCACCCTGAAGGACCGCTCCCTCATCCACGTCCACCATCGTCCCAGGGAGGAAGTCGGCCGCAATCACCTCATTGGGCGGCACGTGCACGCAGTCGTGATGCAGCCAAACGACGACCAGCTGAGGAAGAATTACCCATACGAGCTCAGAGGAGTCGCGAGCAAATGCGACGGCCATCAACAGGACAGTCTGGAAAAAGTGGACCTCCTCCGTTTGCACCTCCTCAACATCCTCCGCCTGTCGTCCCAGTTGAGCAAAATGACCAACTACCACCCCCGCGTGCAATTGAGCGGCTTGCAGCTGAGACTGGATCACAGAGGACCTCTCCACTCTCACCCCCGGAATCCAGGAATAAGGATGTCCCTAGCAGCCTGAGAACTGCGCAGTCCAGGGAAAAGATTAGCAAAGAGTCCAAGGAAGGTAGTCTATCAAGCTTCCACACCGAGTCCCGACCACCATCCTCTCGCAGTGGCAAAGCAATACCTGAACCGCGTCCTACACCACGTAGTCAAGATTCGAACTCCAGTATACCCGGAACGAGACGAGTCGATGATGAAATTGTTCCGGGACTTGTTCCCAGCGAACTGCGAGTTAAAGACCCCTCAAAAGGAGGTGTTACAGGAACTTCCACTTCTTCGGGGCAAGTGACAGCCCCTGTAGGAGACCAATTGAGCAGCTCGAGCCATATGCAACCTGCCGATGTACCACCCGCATTATTTCCAGGTTCCTCTACAAGTAACAATACTCCTGCCAAGGCTGTTGAGGCACCACAAACAGTTTCAGAGAACAAGCCTGAGCCAAGTGAGGTTATTAAGGAGAGCCAGCCGGCTTCCCCACCAACTAGTCCTCCGGAAGGTCCAAAAGGGAACGAAGAAGATGGGTTTGACGCCCATCGACCGGGCCTTGGACCTATGATCAAGAAGAAGTCAAATAAAGATGTTGCGGGTGCGTTCCGCAAGGCTGCTAACGCCTATGGCGCATTCAAACCTCGAGCCGGAGGTGCTGGCGAGAAACTTTTGGCTGCTGCAAAGAAGCAGGCCGCTGGAGAAGGACCCGATGGGATTACCGGTGTTGTGCCTGCTCCATCCCTCCGGAAACCAGACGAGGACTCTAAGGCGATAACGGCCGATGAGATCATTGAAGAGACGACAGCTGTATCTACACAGGAAGCAACAGTACCTACGGTGACGCCACCACTAGATATACCAGATGCACCCGCTGCACCAGAGCCTCCCAAGGTTCAGATTACAGAGGCTGTTGCTGATACTACCGTAACGCCTATGCTGGACGTACCTGGGGGTAACTCGGATGCATTAACCTCTAAAAAAGATGCAAGATCGCGTTCGGTATCGCCCTCTCCTCGAGATCGGAGGCGCAGGCGTCATGAAGATAATACCGTGAAGTATTGCCAAGCCCTCGGGCTTGACCCGAAAGTTCTTCTGGATCGTGGAGTGGACTTTGATGATATCTTGACCGACCTTGGCTGGAATGGTCGCCTTTCAGATGAAAAGAGAATCGAAGATCTTGAAGCCGATGTTCGTCGAGAGATCGGTCGTGTCGAGGCTACAAGCTGGCTTGGTAATCTCGAGCAACAAGAAGGCAAAGTCGATCAACTTGCCAAACTAATCGACAAGACTGTTGATGAGTGCGAGGAGCTAGACAATCTCCTGACATTGTATTCTCACGAACTCAATGTAAGCTTTTGCTGCTTCCTTTTAGGGTTCTTTTTCTGTTTTGCTAACCCAAGTTTAGACTCTTCGCGATGACGTATCATATATTGAGACCCAATCTCAAGGTTTACAGGTTCAGACCGCCAACCAAAAGCTCCTTCATAATGAGCTACAAACTCTATTGAAGACTCTCTCCATTTCGCCGAAAGATTTACAGCCCTTGAAAGAAGCATCGCTTAGCAATGCTGATGGCTTAAGAGACACCGAGATTGCGCTCTCTACTTTATACAAGGCGATGTTGATGATTGATCCCGGAATTTGGCACAACAAAAAGCGCTTCGATGCTTCTGGGGGGCACGGTACTGTGGGCATCTATGCTGATACTGAGATCGGGCAAATGCGTGCCATCAAGGACAAAAAAGAGGAGTACCGTTTTCACTCGACATCCTTTCTTCAACGTCTCAAGCAATTTATGGGTATCGCATATCAAGTAGCCGAGCAGAAACGGGCGGATGCGGCAGCAAATTCAAACAAAGATCCGTTGAAACTTGATGGCTCAACTAGAGTTTATTCTCGCCGGGAGTTATGGGTATACAGTGCTTTAACCCTCTTTGCTAGGGAAGTTAGTGGGCCAGAGTGGCAATCCTTAATTACTTCGTACGAACAACATGCCAGGCAATCCTACCAAGCCGAGTTCCGTGATAACAGCATGGCCTGGAAAAAGACAGCAAGGAAAATGACCGGCGACGAACAGGAACTGCTTTTCACTCATCAAGACAAAGAGAAGGAAGCGGAAGGCATCACAACGGCGGCGAGGAAACTAACTGTGAGGCGGGGAAAGACTATCAGGGCGGCTGCGGGATTGAGACTTTCCTCCGGCGAAAAGCAGCATGGAAAGCTTGAACCTTTCGAAGTGTTCACGGGCGCTCTTCAAGCGACAACGAAGATGGTGTCAGAGGAGCAAAATTTTATCGTGCGTTTCTTCCACTTAACCTCGCTTTCGAGCACGGATTTTGCGGATCTTGTGGCCTCGGGGGCACCGGACGAGCGCCCGCTTCCAGACTTCACCATCAAACAATCACCCGATCCGGATCGAGCAATGGCAAGGAAGGTTGAGCAGACCATGGATGAGCTTTACACATTCTGGCCTACTGACATGCAAAACCTTGTGGACTGGTCCATCAAAGCGGATCCTCTGTAAGTCCACAACAATCAAGCTAACATTTGGTTTTATTAAGAACTAACGATGACCACAGACAAGGAATTGGTATCCTGTTTGCCCTGGAGAAGTCGATCTCCGAGTTGGATGATACAAACCAAGATTTCATTGTCCACTCACTCCAGAAGCTACACACGCGCCTTCTTGGCCTCTTTAATCGGTTCGTCGATGAACAAATCCGTGGCATAGAAGAGACCAAGGTCAAAGTCAACAAGCGAAAGGGTGTTATTTCGTTTATGCGAGTTTTCCCCAATTTCTCTGCTGCGGTAGAGAACATGCTTTCCGATCCATCACCGGAGCTCTATGACGTCCGCATCAGCATCGATGAGGCGTATGACCGTATCAACCGGGCGATGTGGGAGTCACTGAAATTCATCGCGAAGGAGGCACCCGGTCAGTCCACGGCAGTCGCAGCAGCAGCCAGCTCTGGTGATCCTGAAGACAAGGAAATACTGAACTATCATATTCTCTTGATTGAAAACATGAACCATTACATTGAGGAAGTTGACGTTAGAAACCTACCAGTTCTGGAGCGATGGCGTGATCGTGCGCAAGAGGACATGGATGAGCACATGAAACTTTACCTGGACTCTGTGGTCCATCGGCCACTTGGAAAATTAATCGACTTTATTGAGTCGGTTGAGGGCCTGGCAGCAGCGACCAGTAGCCCAGCAGACATTGCGAGCCGTCCTAGCCACTCACGCTCCGTAGCGAAGAAGGTGCTGGCAGCCCACGACGGAAAAGAGATACGGCGGGGAGTTGAAATGCTAAGGAAACGAGTTGAGAAGCACTTTGGCGATGCAGATGATCCTGGACTCAGCCGGAGCCTGGTATTAAAGGTGATTCGCGAGTGCGAGAGTCGTTATGAGCAGGTGTACGACCGGACGCAACACATCATCCGCACAGTGTATGAAGGCTCACTTGAGCTTGAATGGCGCAAGGAGGATGCTTTTGCCATGTTCCGCAAGTGATGTTGTATGGTTTTTAAACTTTTTATATTCTTCTACTATTCTTCTAGCAAAGAATCCTTAGTGCATGACGACTGGGCAATTATTTTACCATGTATGGATCATAGAATGGCGCCTGGGTTGGATACTATCTAGCAATGCATTTCCTTTTACCACCAATAGTAGTATTCTTGTGGCCATGTAACACGGTGTAACGGTGTACGAGAGGAACGTCGGAGCATAGGGAGTGGAGGCAATGGCGCAGGGCAGCTCTGTGAAGTGCAATAAGAACGAGTGGGACGGCAGGATTGTGATTGCTGGAACTGCCAAAAGTTTGGGAATTGGGAGCTGAGTGCCATGGACCGGGACCACTCATTTCAGGCTCAGGGGCTATTACACCAAATGCCCTGGACACGGAAAACCACAGGAACAAACAAACAATGGCAAGCTGGCCCTCAGCCCGCAGTCCACGAGGCCAAATTGCCCATTAGTAACCTCTGAGTCCAGCCCTGGCACGGTTCGTGCGATTGGATCTGTTCTCGACTCTCCGCCTCCCGCTTGGACAACGATCGACTCTCTGGATCTTTTCTTCTCGTTTGATCGCCTTGGCCCCATTTGACAATCCTCGAGTCTCAAGGGCTGGTGCGCGCGATCCTAGCTTCTCTCCTTTCCTCAGACGACCACTCGTTTCGTCTGCGAGTCAAACCCTCCCACTGGTATGCTCCCTCTCGCTCCCCCTTCCTTGCCTCTTCTCCACCGTTCCCGCCAAGCTGAGCAAAGGCACTCGACCGGGGACTCCACCTCCGCCCACTACGCCTAGGGGCTCAGAAATCGCACAGGATCAAAGGACAATTGGTGGTCATCCTATCTGGATACCTGTCGTGTTGGTTGCTCTGCCTCTCGTGGACTCCTGATTCTGCATCGAGCTCGCTGCTGCGCCGTGCCTTGTGATCGAGGACTTTTGATTTTCTTTCTTATCACGGCCTGTCTCAAACACGAGAATCCTCAAAGCTGATCGTCGATTCTCTTCTCCCTAGGTTTCAAGTATACCGTAATAACCCTTAGTCAAGAATCGTATCGAATCAATTGGCACTGATCCGCACGTCGTCGATTCTATTCACATTCCTTTCCAACCTCTCGAACCCTGATACCGACGACAGGATACCTCTGCATGTCGCGGCCCGTCCCCTTGATCAGATCAGAATTCCAACCAACTCCCCTCCTCCCTTCGCTGAACCGCCGCTCCTCACATTCCTGAAGACGGCCCGTCGTGACAACTGCTGCGGGGTGCGCTCTGGCTCGCCGCATCGATAGCAGACATGCCCTGGCGGCCTCTGCCTCGAATTGCCTTTGCGGTCGCCATTTACCCCTTCCAGCCTTCCACCCCGGCCGACCTACCCCTAGAACTCGGCGATGAGCTATACATCATTGAGCAAGGCGGACAAAATGGTGAATGGTGTCGCGGTTACTTGGTTGCTCCGCCGTCTTTGCTGGCAGGTTTAACGAGCACCAAGGGTCAAACGCTCGAGGCGCGAGTCTTCTCCGGCATCTTTCCCCGCAATTGCGTGGAGATTCGCGAAGTGCTAGGTGATAGCGAGGGCAACAAGACCTTAACAAATGGAGATCGGTCAATTGGCGACAGGACAGAGGATGTGGATGTGGATGTGCGGAGCAGTCTAGCTTTTTCTCAAGACGGCGAACATGCTACCGGCGAATTGTCCGAGGTTGTGGTCGCAAAGAAAGAAAAGCCCTCGCAAATCTTCATCCAAAAGTCTGACGATGATGATCAGTCAACTCCACGAGGGGCGCGGTCTAGCCCCTGGGGTATGATGCCACTTACCCCAGTCAATGTAGCCCCCCGAGATCCGGATGCGCCTAAGCCAGCCGCGCCTGTTCCTATGCTCAAAATTGGCGACGAAACTCCCACCTCACTTGCGGAGCCATTGGTTGACGAAATCGCCTCGTGTTTGCGCGAGTGGCATTCCACCAAGCTACACGAGCTACTCCTTTCACAACAATATCAAGTCGTGGAGGAAATGTCGAATATTGTCCAGGAACTTGATTCCGCTAGACGGAAGCTTTTATACAACGTTCTCACCTCAAAGGAGAAAGAGGCTCTACGGCAGGAGGTAGTCTGGAAGCTTGTGCGAGGCAATAAACTACTTGGTGGGGAGGTCATTGTACGAGATCCCGAACAGAGAGGCCGGCTATTAACAGGCGAGGATTCTGCCGTACAATTGGCGAAGCTCCAGGCTGAAATGAGCATGCTCGAAAACAGTCCCACCCAGATTTCCGACGCTGCTACCCTCAGTCATCTGCTCTTAGAGGTCAACGCTGTCTCAGGTAATACTCCTGGTCCTGTGGTTCTGGCCGTTTATCTATGCACCCTGTCGGAAGCTGGCACGTTGAAGCCCTTGTCCGAAACATATAACCTAGACATTCCGTCTCCAGAACAATTTGCAAACTCTGGCCAGAGCAACAAGCTCAAGACGCTCTTTACCGAGCTGTCTAGTACAGATATCGGGGATGGTTCGGCGGGTGGCCCCAAGCTTTACCTTGTGGTGAGTGTTAGAGCGCCAGAGGTGACTTCCGCAGGAAACGCCCCCGCGTTACCCACATCCACAGCTTCTCGCGAAGGACCAACTTCTCCTAAATCGCCCACCAATGGCAACTCTGTTAAGGGTCCGGGCCTAAAACCCCGCCGCAGCATGATGTGGTCCTCCAAACAACGCAGTGCCCAGAGTCTAGAACAGCCAAGGGAAGCCACCAAGCCACCGCCTCAGTCTTCCGGGAGTACGACAAGCAACAAGGCAGGCATTCAGTCACCGAAAGACGCTACTCAGCTTCGTACCATCGGTATCGGTCTCCTGGAAGTCTCCCAGATTCTACGTCAAGATAAAGACGCTGAGCAGGTGGTCAACATTTGGTCCACCCCTGAGCGGAATGAGGAAGGGGAAGGCTACACAGATGGGTTTGACACCTTAATCCGTTCGTTACTGCCAAGTTCAACTGGCAAATATGTGAGATCTGCTCGAGCCGCTCGCGTCCATCTTCACCTTTCCCCATTTGTCGATTCCGATTCAGACGCTTTGGCCCGGAAGAATCCAACAGTTCTACATGATGTCGTTCAAACTAGGAGGATTGGGTTTTCGCAGGCACCAGCTAGGCCTAGGTCTGATATCTACCTCACTGTCTCGCAGGCTACCTTCCCGGCTGAGGCACTTCTCTCGCACCCTCATTCTGGCCAAATTCCAATGGCGTCATATACCGCACTCCGCAATCTGCAGCTCACTTTAGAGGTCCGCACCGCGTCAGGGGAACGGGTCGACAAGTGTGTCTTCCCAGCTTCATCCAACCCAACCGCGCATACAGCGTGGAGAACAACTATCACCGAGAAGGGAAAGCCTTGGAATCAGACCATTCGCCTCGACATCCCCGCTGACAAAATCCCCGGCTCCCATGTGATTATGAGCATTGCGGATGCCCCCGAGTTCCCATTTGCGTTAGCTTGGATGCCTCTATGGGACAATCAAGCCTTTATACGAGACGGCCCTCATTCTCTACTGTTGCATGCCTATGATAAACATACTTCAAACATTGAGAATGGTAAAGGTGCCTATCTATCTTTGCCCTGGAGCGCTCTGGGCAAGAACGAATCAGCGAAGGATGAGGCACTCACGGGCCCCCTCGCTACCCTTCACATCGACACGCATCTGTGCAGTACGGAATACTCACAGGATCAAGTTATATTGAGTTTACTTAACTGGAAGGAGCGGCCCGTGGATGAAGTCTTGGATACTCTGAAGAGAGTTCTTTTCGTTCCTGAAATTGAGATCGTCAAGCAGTTGAGCAGCGTCTTCGATGCGCTGTTTTCGATTCTCGTGGAAAACGGAGGAAATGAGGAATATGAAGACCTTATTTTTAATAACCTTGTTACGGTTCTGGGGATTGTTCACGATCGACGATTCAACCTGGGCCCGTTGGTGGACCACTACGCGGAGAACCAGTTCAATTTCCCTTTCGCAACACCATGCCTAATCCGAAGCTACCTCCGTCTCTTGCAGGCTAGCTCTGATCTGCAGCATTCGCGCAACCTTCGCGCTACTTTCAAGGTAGGCCGACATGTGTTGAAGTTCATCATCAACGCCCGGCAGCAGCAGCAGTTGAAGGAGGAAGGAATCGGTATCACCCGTGTTCAGTCAACCTTTAATAGGGACTTGCATACAATCTTCAAGTCACTGGAGGCGCTGATGAAAAATCCTTCCCCCGCGATGGTTGGCAATAAAACTCTTGTTGTCCAACACTTCCACACCTGGCTTCCAGAGCTCTCCGCGGTTCTTAGCCGAGATGAAGTGATCATGATCGCTTTGAGTTTCATGGACTCCTGTGCTGACGTGAAAGGAATGTTGATACTGTACAAGTTGGTTCTAATTCAGCACTATACTAGACTCGATATCTTCAGCTCTGGGTCAGAGAGAGAGGGTCTTGTTTCTAGCTGTGCCAATTGGTTGCATCCCTACTGGGGAGCCACAGGCGCTGTCTCTGATCTGTACCGTGACCAGGTCCGTTTGGTATGCGCCATTGTGGCAGAGCTTTTGACTCAGCCCGATCCGCAACTTTACACCTTTATGCCAAAGATCATTTCTTCGTACTACTCCATAATTCCCGATGGTGTGGATGATACCGAATACTTGTCTCTTCTCTTCAGCAAATCCTTCCCCTTCCAGCTTAAGGCTTCAAAGACCAGCCAAAAGTTTGATGAAGTCCTCGTCGAGCTTTCGGCCATAATGGCTGCAACCGCAGCGATACCCAACCCCAAACGGTTGCGGTTGAAGGGTCTTGAACTTACCAATTTCCTTTCTCAGGCCTTCGAGGTTCATAATTCGATATTGAACTGCGAGGCGTATCCCGAGAATTGGTTCAGTATCCACGTCTACAACCACAGGGCGACGGTGAAGAGTCTTGAATACCTCGCGTCACTGATGATAGATAAGCTGCTGCCCGCTCCCGATGATGCGGAAACCTTTGATACAAGGATGTGGGAATCTTTCTTCATGACACTACTGAAGGTCGTATCAAGTGATGCTCTCGCCCTGGAGACTGTTCCAGAGCAGAAGCGGCGTACTATCTGGAAGATCGCTGGCGATGTTCGAGAACAAGGCGCAGATTTGTTGCACTCTGCTTGGGAAGCGATCGGCTGGGAGACTGGCGAGGAAGAGAGAGAACGTTATGGACTCAAGAAACTTGGTGGTTACCAGGTGCAATACGTCCCTGGTCTTGTAGCCCCTATTATTGAGCTCTGTCTGAGTGTTCACGAGGGGCTACGTCACGTCGCTGTTGATATTCTGCGAACCATGATTATCAGCGAATGGGATTTGAACCGGGATCTATCTATTATTGAGACTGAGGTAATATCCAGTTTAGACAATATCTTCAAGTCAAAGAACATGAACGAGGGTGTTATTCAGAAGCTCTTCATTGGTGAGCTGCTTGCTCGTTTTGATGGCTGCGAAGAATTTGATGAAGACCTCGCAACGGCAGTGAAAGCTCTCATAGAGACTGTTGATGAGCTTCTGGATCTATTTGTGGCATCTCAAGGCGGCTCTATGGCCGAGAGCTTACATGCTCTTCGGCTAATGGAGTACATGAAGGATATGGGCCGAGAGGATATCTTCATCCGCTACGTCCATGAGCTCGCTCAAGGCCAAGCTTCCGCAGGCAATTTCACTGAGGCCGGGCTTGCACTCCAATTCCATGCGGACTTATATGACTGGGATCCGAGGCGGTCCCTGCCCGAGCTAGCCAACCCTGCGTTCCCTGAACAAACGCCCTTTGAAAGGAAGGAATCCCTGTACTTCTCAATCATCCAATACTTTGAGGATGCTAAGGCTTGGACACATGCGCTAGCTTGCTATAAAGAGCTTGCGTCGCATTATGAAGATACGGTCATGGATTTCTCCAAGCTCTCGCGCGCCCAGAGTTCGATGGCGAAGATCCACGAGTCCATTGCGAAGGAAGACAAGCAGTTCCCCCGCTACTTCCGGGTCTCGTACAAGGGCCTTGGATTCCCACCTACATTACGTGATAAGGAGTTCATCGTTGAATGTTCCCCGGCAGAACGCATGGCTACACTTATTGATCGCATGCAGAAGGAGCATCCTGCCGCGCAGGTGCTATCTTCCGGTGAAGTCCACGACTATGAAGGACAGTTCTTGTTTATCAGCCCGGTCAGTGTGCACCGAGACATGAACCATCCTGTCTACCAGCGATCCAAGATCTCACCGTCTGTCCGTGACCACCTCTTAATTTCCGAGCCCACACGGTTCAGTTCCACGTTGAGGAGACATACTCGCGACGTGGATATCCAAGAACAATGGGTGGAGAAAGTTATCTACACGACATCCGAACCCTTCCCCAATATTCTTCGGAGAAGCGAAGTGGTCGGTACCGAAGAGGTCGCATTATCACCCCTACAAACCGCCCTCGAACGGACCTGGCGCAAGACGCAAGAGCTCTACTTGCTGTATAGACGTGCCGCGTCTGGCGAAGATATGAGTTTGACAAACCTGACTGAAGCTCTTGGCCAATTGCTCGACCTAAGCTCTCCCTCGCCAAGCTGCGTTGCCCATTACCGTCAGTTTTTGACCGATGAGGCTGAAGACGACGACGACGAAGAGGACGAGGACGAGGGCGAGGGCGAGAATGCGAACACACCCAAGCCGGTTGATCCGTTGAAAAACGCCCTTGCTGTGGCTCTCATTGACCATGCCTTGGCAGTCAAGCACTCCCTCGCGCTATACTCGCGTCCTGCACATCAAGCTACACAAAGCGAGCTAACACGTCAGTTTGAAGAATCCTTTGCGCCGGAACTCTCTTCCCTTCGACCCGTCGAGGCTGCGCCTCCCCTGCCTCTTCAAAGACCGTCCCCTGTCTCGTCAGAAAGCCACCGAGTCACTGCTCTGCCTCGGTCTACCAGTCCAGAACAGGAGTTGATTCGTGCCTCACGGAAGAACAGCCAGATTCAAAGACGAGGTTCACGGAAGCAATCTGTCAGCCAGCGTATCAGCATCATGAACCCTTTCAAACGCTCCAATCACGGAACAAGCAACTCTGTCGCCACGTTACAGGGTCAGCCGAATGGCAAGGCTAACGGTCATGCTCGGGCTCTCTCGTCGGGTAAAGAAGAAGCTGATCTAGATGATGCTGCTACTGTTCACAGTCGAACAACGAACCAGTCGCGGGATACGAACCAGAAGAGACGGAGTTTCTTCGGAGACGTCTTGCAGAAGCACACATCCTCTTTGTCGATAAGCGCTAGCGCTGCTGGGGACGACAACGTGTCACATAAGAGGCAACGATCTCGCAGCGCCTCTCGTAGCGCTGTGGAAAAGTCCACGGAGAACGTGAGCCGCACCACGTCTCGCCATAATAGCACCACAGAAGAACGACCAACTCCCTCGGCCACAAACCCCAAAGGAGGGTGGTCAACTATACCTTCAGTCACCGAGCACCCCCGACCAGTAACACGCAGCAGTGCGACTTCAAACTCGGTTCGCAGTCCTGAGTTTCGAAGTCCTGTCGCCCACACCAACGGTGCTTCGAACCCCGGGGCCCAAGGAGGTGTACGGGATTCCGTCATGAAACGCTTCAGCTTGTTCAAGGGTGTCGGACGAAAAGCCAGCCGTCTTGATTTCAAAAACGAGCAAACCGTTCATGAGGAGTGATCCGCTCTTCGCCCTATTGTTTATTCGTAATGTCTGGACATTATTCCTTCTTTTCTTTTCTTTTTCTTTTTTTTTTTTTTTTTTTTTTTTTTTTTCGTTTCCACCGAGAATCATGTTTTTGTAAACCTTTAATTTGTTTCGAGTCTCAGGATATAAATTATCGCCTTTTATTCTGACTTGCGTTCTTCTCTCCTTCACCTTTCCGTTATTGATTAATTTCATTTGCTCTTGGATATGAACCCATGCGGCGGCTCGCATATCAACGAAACTCTGATACCTCTTTCTTTCTCGTCTCTCAGATCTATTTCCATTCGATACCTGTATATCTTTTATTGGCTGTTTCTGTTGTCATTTGGGACTGTACGATATCCTGATTTAGTATTTATATCACATGGGCTTGTTGGCTTCGCGTTTTCCGAAAATCTATTTAGCCCCTAACAAAATATATATTTATCAAAAATAGACAAAACATTGGCCTTTACTTTATCGCGGCAGTTGAGCCGTTCTATTCTAGCTAGCCATTAAATAATTTTAATTCTATAAAGTCTTGCAGATTGCAGATTATATATTATAGATACCTCACTCGCTCATCGCATCAACCTCCAAATCTAAATCAACCACCCAAGGCGCATTAAGTCCCTTATAATCAACTGTTACAACACTCGCATTAACAAACAACGTCTCCTCACCACGTCGCAATGGGGTGCCAGACCCAGAACTAAGATCCACATACGCACCCCGCTCCTCCATCACATCCTCCCGGTCCCAAGATACCTCCTCTGCCCTCTTGATCCCAGTTCTATTCGAATCCACAGGCAAATCCGAGCCTGATCCCTCCCACTCAACCCTTCGCGCCCCATATCCCTCATGGATATGCCCAAACACATGTAGCGCCGGCCTCGCCCTTCTCACAGCCCGAAACAGATGCTCACACCCTACACTCTGTCCACTCCCAACAACCTGGTCCAGAACCCCGTACGGCGGACCATGCGTGATCAAGATATCCGCCCCGGGGTAGTCCGGGACAGGCGTTTTCGCGCCCTGCCCGTAGTTAAACCGGTCTTCGCTGCGGGGGTACGCAAATGCCCACGCGCAGAACTCGGGCGTGTAGGGGTTCGCGTAGACGGTGAACTTTGCCCCCGTGGACGGCAAGACGAAGGTGCGAATTTCCTCTTCCATGTATACTATGCCTGCGGATGTGACTTCGGGGCTGGTGTAGAGGGCTTTTATCTGTGCGGGGGACTCTAGTGCTGATTTCGACTCTGAGGATTCTGATGTACTGGTACTGGTAGCTGAAGGCAAGGCAGCTAAATGGTCTTTCCCATTTGATTGGCGGTAGCGATGTCGCAGCCATCCGACCCGGTTGTAGTAGCCCTCGTCGAGTGTGATGTCGTGGTTACCGGCGATGACGATTTTCAGCTCGGCGGGGTGTGATTTTAGGAGCTCGAGCATGGATTTGTGTTCGGAGGCGAGGCCGACTTTGGTGATGTCGCCTGCGTGGAGCAGGATTTGGGCTGAGGGAAGCGGGTGCCTGTAGGGTGTGTTGGAGGCATTGGGGCCGTGGGGAGGTGCAGGGGGTGTGGTGTGGGTGTCTGAGAGGAGAAGGAGCCGGGTCTTTGTTGTTGACTTGGGCATGTTGGGTATGTTTTAAGAGAGAAAGGGTGAAGGAGGTTGATGCGTTGAAGATTGATGGATGGAAATGGAGGGGGAGTTTGAAATGCGGGGAGCTATCTCGTACACATTATTCCGAGGTCGAGGACTCGAGGCAAAGTGAGCCAGAGAAATTTCTAAGTCTATATCTTACTGGAACAGAGTACCGTAAATCGTTCATTATCGAGCTCATCCTACATATGTAACCGCCTAGCCATGAAAAGCCGGTGCCATGACGGTCGTTGTGGTAAAGGTTGGTGCCATAAAGGTCTTCGGTCAGGAAAGTTCTGAAAATTCTGAAGTTGCTAACTCCGATACCACACCCTTTTACATGACAATCAAGGCTTCACAAATAAATAAGAGGGAAAAAGTTTATTTTTTGCGATATCTCTTCTCATTTACTCGCGTTTACTTGCGGATAGCACGCTGGTAGAACGCAAGCTCCTCACCCTCCAGGATGTAACCGTCCACACGGCCGCTCTGGCCGGGACGAGAAGCAATAACGGCATACAGACGACCGGACTCGAACTGTCTCTCGATGGCAGCCTCGGCCTTTCCGGACTCGGCGAAGCGAGCAGCCTGCTTCTTCACGACGCTGTTGCTCTTCTTCTCCTCGGTTGTGTCGGTCTTGGCCTGGCGTCTGCGGCCAATGGGCTGACCGTAGTGGGCCTCGTACCATTGTCTGAAGGGAGCGGCATCGATCTGGACGACGGCGGACTTGGTCAGAGTGTTGGTACGGACAAGTTCGTTGTTCGAAGGGTGGTAGGCGACAACGATGACACGGGTCTTGCGGGAAACACCCTCGGAACCCCACGAGAAGTTGCCAGACTCGAGACGGAGACCACGGAACTTGCGGTTACCACCACGGGTGCGGACAAGGTGAATTCGCTTGGCGCCAATACGGGTGTTGGCGGGCTGGCGACCCTTCTCGAACGCTCTGCTTTGCGTCAATTTGCTGCCCATATAATTTTCTAATATTTCAATCCATCCTCAATCATACCTCTTCTTGCGGTAGTGAGCGCGCTTAGCACCGGTGGCCGAGCGCTTGTGGCGCGAGTCGCGAGAGATACCCATGTTGGCGGTCGATGTGTGGGACTGTCCAGAAAGGAATATTAGCACGAGTCGAGAATGCAAGTAAGCGAAGCTGTGTAAATCCAATATTCTGTTGCGTCAAATTCTATCTTGTCGAGCGTGATGATCGATGAACGATGAGTACTGCTGCCGTTGGAGCAATATCCAATCCACAAAATCCCCAGGCCAAGGTTCAAGACAAAAAAAAAATTCTTGAAATCGAACCCCTCAATCCAATCAAGGCAGCGACGATATCGAGATATTCCCTTTGCTCTCCAGTCGTGAATCTTCCTCTTCTCTTCTCTTCTCTTCTGTTGAATCGATACCGGTTGACGGGTGGAAATTTGACAGGCCGAATTGAAGGCGCACCGACAGTCGCTCGACGAGATAGAACCAACGGAAACCGAAAAAAAGATTCACAGCAGCCATAAAGTAATATACTCACCTCTAATCTTGCAGCCCTTCACCAGGAACGCAGCGGCAAGGGTTGTCGTTAGGTTGTCGGGGAGTTGAGTGCTTGTCGTCGGCGATCGTGGAATCCGTGTGTGTCTCTCGCTTGTCGAAGTTGCCCTATTTTCGTGGGCGCTAACCGATCGTGGCTAGATCCTTGCCCCGTGACCTCGTCTACACCTTTCCATCTGTGGCTAGGCTGGTCGGCTAGTGCCTTAATTTTGTGCCTTATTGTGAAGCTTACATAATGGCTCTTGGCACATATTCCAGTCCACACTTTATACTCCGACCCTGACAAGCCGCTTCAAGTGTTGCTGATAACTGGAAAGAATAGCCCGACAACTATGATAACCTTATCAGTCTAATTCCATGGTTCACTGTTCACGCTTCCCATATGATAGCATTTACATTGTCTAACACAGCTCCATGATGAATGCACATTGACAGTTCTACCCAAGTCAGCCATACAGTGACCCTCTTAACACGATATCTCTTTATTTACTCAATTCTACCTTCTACTCCCCTCTATGTACACTATACAACAACATAACCCCGTCAATCAAGTACTCTCAGGTACTCTTCTCATGCTCACCCTCACTCTCAATCCTCTTCACCTCCGCATCAAACCTCATCCAAGCCGGAAACCCCTCCACAAACCCAAGCACCATCCACGTCCACCAAAGCCCCGAAAAAATCTTAACCCCATGCTTCCTCAGCCTCATCCAGCCCAGAAGAAAGACCGCCTCAAACGCATGCGCGCCCGCAAGAGACCCAAACACCCACGGCTGCCACTTGACACTAAACTCCGTAAACCCAGGAAACCTGGCCCCCAAGTCCAAGGTATCGTAGAGCAGCGATCCCGGTTCGAAATTCGCGCGGCGCGAGTACCCAACCAGCGTGGCGAGGCAGAGTGCGAACCCGATTACCTGCGCGCCCTGCGGTGGGATGTAAGAGGTGACTTTTGTGTCGGAGAGATTGAGCCGGCGCAGGGATTCCTTGTGCATGGCCACGACGCGGGCGCGGGTTTCGCTTAAGGAGGCGAGTGGCGGCGTGAAGGGGATTATGTAGCGGGAGCCCCGGGCAGATATGATCATGTCTGTGAGACGGAGGTCTTCGAGGGTTGGGGATTGGGCGGCACTCGCGGAGACGGCGCAGTAGGCGCGGAGGTAGAGGGAGAGAGAGCGGGCATGGTCATTGTTCATGTGCTTGATGATGAACGCCTTGCGGGATTGGTCGTCGGCCATTTTGGAGGTGAGCTTGGGGGAGTTGTTTGGGATCAGGAGTGACCAGGAGTTCCAAGTTGGAGAAGAGTCCCTCCCGTATACGGCTTATCGGCCGCCAAGACACCTCGGCCCATTGTCTACATGTGCTGCTCCACCAGGACATGCTCCGGATTCCGAATACAACTAACTCCCGTCTAGCTAGGATTGACAGTTTGAACTATGTTTTTATATTCGATTAACGGATCTAGACCCAATTACAGGAGAACAGAGAACACTAAAAATGCCAGGACTTGAGCCCCCAACAACCATCACAATATTAACAGCGGAACGGTATCTCCAACAGGTAAGACGGCAGTTTCAAAACCTCGTAACTCGTTAGGAAGCAAGAGCACGGTGTGAGATGTCTAGTTTCGATATTCTTAGGCACTATTTTCTCGATGGCGTTAACTCCTATTCATTATTCACGATTGGCAGGTAGTTCAAGGCAGATATAAAATGCAAAGGTTCAACTCACAGTAAAGCTAGGGTCAAATCGCCATGGATTCTTGCCTTGAGCTCAACCTCGATATCCAAATTGATGTCCAACTTCAACTTCAGCCCCTCCTCGTCGTCAATGCCCTTCTTCTGTTTGACGGCCGGCGGCTTGTCTTTGCTGCTTATAGTCTGCCCTGGGCGTCGGCGCGCTTGCACTGCCTTGCCTGAGGTATCTTCCTGGGCTTGGTCGTCGTCTTCCTCGTCGTCATAGTCATCCTCATATTCGTCGGAAAAGTCATCCTGCTTGTCATCGTCCAGGGGCTCTTCCTTGATGGGGTTCTGTCTTTGCTGTTGCTTCTCGGCGGTCGCCATTGTGATCTGAGGTGGAGGTGGAGGTGGAGGAGGTGGTGATGGTGATGATGGTGGTGCAGGAGGGTTGGCGGGAGGAGTGCGTTTGTAGATGTATCGGCGAGCCAAAGAAGCGCAGCCGGGCAGAAGGGGAAAACTGAGAAAAACAGCAAAAAGCGAGAGGCCAAATGACATAAAATGCCGGGTATATTAACCAAAACAAAAATAGAAAGACTTGACTGGGATCAATTGGAGGGAGTGTTGCGCCGGCCGCTCATATACGTCACCCCCTCAAGCACCCCCCAACACCCTCAGCACCACCACCACCACCAGCCTAGCTCCAATAAATGCATCATCGGAAACACCGAATTAGCAATCGCGTCCAAAATCGGTGTCGATTAAGGCGCGAAGGAAAAGCGATGACGGCATATTGCATCCCAGCATTTCCTCCAGCTCCACCTGGGTGTCTGATTCATCATCCATTCATGTCCCTGGCCCAAAAGGCAGAAAAAGCATGCGTGTAAAGAAACATGCGACCCAAGGATCCGCCCTGTCAAATCTCAGGAGATAATTAAAAAATAACGGGGTGGCAAGCCACCTAATTTTATCCAACCAGGCAGTGCCGCGAAGTGGTACCGACTCCAACCTTGGAACAACCTGGAGAGATCGAAACAAATGCAGAGCACGGGCCAGGCGTGATTGGCTGGCTGGACTGCATTCATCTGTGCTCAAGCAAGATTTGCAACGGCGCGAGAAAGAGGATTCTGACGACGCCTAATTTACTCCATCGCGCGGGCTGCGATGGGGTCGGCACCTGCACCGATCTGACAATCCCTGCTCCAAAGACGTCATGTCTTGCCCACCCCCGGCGCCATCTTATCCTCTGGGTGGGCTGGCCTTTCCTCCAAGTCATACTGCGGTGCCTCTTTCATCATAGCTTCCCTCGCAGATATTGCGGTCAAGATCGGGCCAGCTATTCCGGGAAACAATGACGCTGTCCGCTCGTGAAGTAATTTTGATTAACCCTACCCACCAGATGCGTGTTGCAGGGTTGGAAGGGTTATAAATTATAATACCTGATGTTGGACGAAGGAAATCCCCTGTGATACTGCATACCATTACCCTCCTTACCCACACACTTATCTCCTCTGCACCTCATCTACTCTGGCCTATATACACTACATATACCCCACTACCCCCTCCCACCATAATATAAAACCCTCTTTTGAAAACCTCCTTCGCAATGGCCGACTATTCAAACCAAGAGTCCGACCAAGAGTTCGGCCAACCCGCCCCCGAACAAGCCCCCAACCAAAACGACTCCGACACAGAAGACATCCAGCGCCCCGAGATGGAGCGCGAGCCCGAGCAGCCAAAACGCAGACGCCCAGTCCGTCAACAGCGCCGGCGTAAGCAGCAATCAGACGGCCCCCTCGGCGGCCTCGGCGGCGTCGACCAGGCCGGTGACCTGGTGCAGAGCACAGCAGGCAATGCAGTAAACGGAGTCACGGGGAGCGCGGGCAAGGCCGTTGGAGGCGTTCTCGGTGGAGGGAAGAGCGAGGGAGAAGGGAAAGAAGGCAAGGGCAGTGATGAGCAATTGAGACTCAGGCTGGACATCAACCTTGACATTGAGGTGCAGCTGAAGGCGAAGATCCATGGTGACTTGACACTCGGATTATTGTACGTGTCTTTTTTTTCCCCTCCCCTTGCTTTGTGTGTTCATACCACGGACGCTGGGTAGATATGCTGACTGACTGATTAGGAATTAGTAAATGATGGCCGGGGTCTGCTGCCTTCTGACCATGAGTGCTGGTGACTATTGATTGGTGCCAGCTCAATATGTCATGTTGTTCACGAACTTGGGCTTTGTATTTTGGTTTCGCTTTTGCGGTGGATTGGCTTTCTAGCACTGGCTCTAGATCCGTCGTTCTTCTTTCTCTTTTCTTTTTGCAAGTCGCCTCGCTTCATTTTACCGTTTAATACAGGCGTGTCATTTGTTCTATCTTGACGATTGCATACATTGTATTCTATGTAAAATGAATCAATATTCAGATGCAACCTTTATATCCCGTAACTCAAAACAAACCTGAGATCTAGCATATGCGAGGAGAATAGTACATTGTGTGGGTTGAGGAGGCAGTTTCTACAATCCGGCAACACGCATCAGTCCATAACCAATTGTGACGACCACTGCCCATGACATCAGACTGGCAGGGATACCCCGCGTGAAGAAGTGTCGCACTCGCAAATAGCGCTGGCCAGTCTGCGGCACCTCCGTCATAATGGCGGCTAGAACATTCATTAGTCTTGAAACGCGAAACAACCAATAAAGGGTTCACATACTCATGTTTGGGAATCCACTGGTCGGCAGAGCCATGGCCACTGAGCACATCAACGCGCTAGCCATCACCAGCAGATTCGGGTGTGGGTCGTCCATACTGACGCCAATCTGTCGCACGAGAGGGAGCATGATCAACGCTGCGACAGTGTGCGAAATGAACGTCGCAACGACCAGAATCAGCGCCGAAAATACAATCAGTACTCCGTAGAGACTGAAATCTTGGACCCGCTCCCGGATGCTTTCTGCCATGGTTTGCAGCAGCCCCGAAGATGTCACTGCCTTGCCGAGGCAGAGCCCGCCAGCGGCAAGAATGATGATTGTCCATAGGAAATTGTTGAAATCCTCCTTGTTCAGAATTCCGGTACCGAAAAATAGCACAATGGGGATGATCGCAATCACACCCATGTCGCCAAACACATGCTCGAGCTGGTGGCTGCCACACCATAAGCCGATTGTGGTTAGCGTGACAATACTAATGAAGTATTGTAGGCCACTGAAGTTATCTTTCAATGGCTTAATGGGCACAATCGTAGTATCCCGGCCTGGGCGGAAGGTAACCAGTAGAAGCACCCAGATTAACAGAATCGAGATAATACAGACGGGCAACGAGATGAAAAACCATGTACCCCAGCTGATGGAGGGATACATGTTCTGGAGGGCGATAATGTTCTGCGGAGAGGCAATTGGTGACGCTGCACCACCGACATTAGCAGCCAGCGCAATGCCTAGAACCAACGCTTTGGCAAATTTGGAATCCGGCGGAAGGTTGCGCAATAGAGGCTGCAAGTGCATTAGCTGGAGTTCACAATACATAGAGAGATTGCTAACCTGAATGATTGAATAGCAGAGAACCGGGGATGCTACGTTACTAATCCACATGCTGAGAAACATGCTCACAAACATGTTGGTGAGCAGCACAACACGGTGGTTAGACCCGGCTTTACTCAGTACAAACATCGCCATACGTCGCGCGATGTCGTGCTTTGATAACGCTGCGGCTATGGTAAATCCGCCCAAAAGCAGCATGATAACAGGGGTCCACATGGAGCCAAAGGCAACAGTGGTAGCCTCTTTCGGTCCCAAACGCTTATAAGGCTTATCATCTGATTTCAGGATGCCGAGCAGCACGACGAGGAACGGAATAAGTAATGAAGTTACGAACAGCGGGATAACCTAGATTGTGGTCAGCGTGTTCTTCAGATAAATGGCATCTATCCAGACTCACCTCAGTGGCCCATAGTAAGCTCACGAAAACGAGCATCGCCAAACAGTTTTGCTGTTCGGGCTTCTGCATGATCGGCACCGAGAGTAGCACCGCGAATACGATTATCACCAAAACAAGAGTTGCAAAGTTTGCGCTCCACAGCCAGGTTGGCGCACTAATCACTCCAAATGGTGTCCGGAATTCCTTGCTCGGAGCTACTTGTTCATCACCCTGTCGGCGCGCCTCTGCAGGATCCTCGTCCCCTCCTAGAAGAGTCCGGCGAATACCAACATTGGCAGCTTGAGCTTTCCTTTCAATGCCAATCATTTCTCTCCATACAGTGTTCCTCTCCCATACGACATGCTCCCTAAGGTGCAAGCGAAGCTCGCGCTTGGCCAGAGACAGGTCGCCATTCGTAGTCAAATCCGCATATAGGGTCTCGATCTGGTTGATAAATCCCTCGACTTTTTCCATGGTCGAGTTTAGGAAAGGGTAGGCCGAAGATACGGCGGAGGCCATGTACTCCCGCCGCAGATTGCGATCCACGGTCTTGTCGTACTTCTTCAGGGCCTTGGAGAAGCCAGTCTTATTCAACTGGATATACGACTTCAATCCACAGAGAGAAACATAAACAGCAACGATCCGTTTTTTCAGGGAAGCTGCGGAGTTGTAGAGATCTAGCAGCGTCGGATCGGTGGTGAACTGATCGGGCTGAGTCCCGCGCCTATTAAACCCCTGACTGCTAAAGCCGTACCTAGAATCTGTCCAGATTGAGCTTCTCATATCATCGGCACGGTCATCATCGAAGTGGGCACTGTGTGACTGGCCTAATGATGGACGCGCAGCGTCCTCATCGCTATCCTCGTCATCCTCGTCAGCAGCTGGCTCGCTGGTCGTGCTCTGGCGTCTTTCATGATCAAGACCAAAGTCGCCTGGCTGATATTGTCCGGATCCCGTACTCATCCTTCTCGCTTTGGCCATGCCATCGTGCATCGGGTTCATGTTGGCCCCAGCTGCCTTTGCTGTGTATTCCTCCGCATCTCTCATAACATCGTCAACCTCCGTGAAGATGTCCAACTCTTTCGCACGATAGAAAGAGCGTATCTTATCCAACTCCGCATCGAGAGCCTGCAGAAATATTTTATCGGCACTTGGTGTACTGTCGAGCAAAGGCGCGGACTCGACGTCAGTCCCTGGTTCATTGACTCGATGGGCCTGTTGTTCCAACGAATATATCCTGCATCGCGAATACTTTATTAGCATGGTGTTGATCAAAAGCTACACAAGCACGGCAATCACGTCACACGCCCCCCCAAAGATATAAACGGGAAAAGGGGAGGTGTATAACGCGGCAAATAGCCGCTCGGGGAGTTTCCAACGCACAGTTTCTTTAGATTGCTATAGGCGATATAATACGCACTCCAGTCCGGAACGGCATTGAACTGGATGCTGTGAGAAAACTTCATCCTGAGAGTTGTTGTGTCGCAGTCTTCGGTCTTTTCAGAGCGACGATGAAGGGCTTCTACCCAGTAACGGAGATTTACAGGCTGGCCCCAGCGGAGACGACCTGACGGACGATGGCCTGTTTTCTGAAAGGGTTGAGGTTGGGAAGGTTGAGGGGTTCGAGACCCGACTTTCGTGAGTTGACTGTGGTGTGGGGGCCCCGTGGTACGTCGGGCGGGATACTCGACGAGCTCGATATCTTGCGAAGCGGGGTTCACGCGAACTTCGTCAGCTGGGGCACTCGTCGCAGAAGCGAAGCGTGCCACTCCTTGTCCACCTGCATTCGACGACACGGTGTGCGGTGTGGTAGGCGTGAATCGCTCGCTGGTCTTCGGTCGCGGCTCAAGAGTGGAGTTCGGTCGAGGGACAAGAACTCAGCAACTGGAACTCGAATCCCCCAGTATGGGCGAAGGTAATGGGCATTCAGAACTCGTGATTACGGCTCTAGGGACAGCGTACGCGCACTACCGAAGCCGGGAAGCTCACTTTGCAATGAGATTTGCACGGATGGACGGACCTCGAGTTCCTGGCTTTTGACTTCAGGTGCACCGCCCACGGGTCCAGCAGGTTGCCTGATCGGGAATAGCTTCCTTGGCCACTACGAAGTATTTGCATAGAAGATGCCATATATTTCGACCGCAAGTGCAATCTCGATGGCCTCTGAGCCCTAGAAGCTTCAAATCTCTTCAAGATGCTAGCAGCGTTTGTCTCTGCGAAACAGGTGCTTTGTATCCAATGTCTCGGTATACTTATCAGGCGAGGACCTCCCTCCGAACAATCCCAGCTTGGGGATTACATGGATTATGAAAGACGTGATGAGCAGAAACCTGTCACTGGAGAACCCCAGCTCGAGGAATCCATGGATTATGACGCAAGTGATGAGAATGAATCCGACTCCTGAGAATCCTAGCTCGTGCGCTAGGTGTAGCCATCTCTTTTGTTGGGATTGTCTAATATTCTGGTCAGAGCCGTATGCAGAATGAGAGTGTATTTTATTTCTCCGTTTAGTATAGCCATTAGATAGTATTGCGGATTAGTGGCGAGTTTATCTGGTATAAACGGATTGAGGGTGTAATTTTTATCTTCTATGCTTTTCACAGTCATCCTGTGTACTTCCACTATATATCCCATTCTTCGGTTGTGCTCAGGGCACAACTGCAATTATGTTTAGGACCACTACTATACACCGTATACTTTTAGTTCCGCATATATGGTACGGACCATTAGTCCCACTCAAGTAATTGCTTAATTGCAGTTCAATTGTACACATCTGACATAGTTATAAAAAGGAAATGCTCAACAAAAATCCTATTCTTATAAATACAAAATATGGCGGCAGATGCAACAGGGAAATTGACCCCTGTCTAGCATCCTAGCAGTTTGGAAGAAGTAGTTCCAAGCTAGCAACTACCCGCCTAGAACCCCTTCCCTCTCTTGTTGGCCTTAGCTCCAATATTCACACGACCCGCGATACCAAGCTTATGCACACCGTCCCTCTTCTCCCAGACACCGCTCCTTCCCTCCGCAACAGCAACAAGCTCGTTCGCAACGCGGTGCGCGAATTTCGCGTCCCGCCGCTTCTTCGACGCATCGATGATCCACCCAATGGCGGCCCTGCGGCGCTGGCGCTCCGCGAGTGCGATGGGGACTTGCAGCGTTTGGCCACCACCGGCGATACCTTTTGCGTTGTGCAGTTTGATGAGCGGGGCGACAGAGTCGACGATGAGGGATAGGTAGAGGATTGGGTTGAGTGGGAGCTGGGGGGTGGGGGGACCGGGAAGGAGAGGCCGGTTAGGGTTGACTTGGGGGGCTGGTGAGGAGCGAAGGTGGTCGAGGATGATGGACATGTTCTATATGTACAATTAGCTACTGATTCAGCTTTCACGGCGCTGTCCGCCCAGAAGACCTAGACCTGAAAGACCGAACATACCTTTTGCGCAGTCGCCAACTTCCCATCCTGCATAAGGTTCTTGGTGAACTGCTCGACGACCGGCTCATACCGGTACCGGAAGTTCTCCGTCCGCGGAAGCGACTTGGGCGCCTTATACTTCAACCCGGGGGCCAGCTCCTCTGGTTCCTGGGTGGCTTCTGAAATAATGTTCTGGAACAGAGCGGCCTGCTCAGTATCAGAGATAGGCTCTTCAGGCCCAGCACCGGGTTGCCTCTCAACCTGTAGACGACGAGCAGATGTCGAAAATGAGCGAGACCCGGACGGGCCCTTGTTCATCTGGTCCTGGAATACCTTGGGCGCGTGCTTCTGAGCTTCCTTATCGCGGGAGAGAATCTGCGTGACACGGGTACGTTAATGTCAAATCCAATATCCAAGCTTTTCCCAACAAGACGGAACCATATAGATGCCTTGTCTTGTCTTGTCTTCGTCGAATACATACCTCTGAAACCATCGTCCCCTGCTCCAGCTCCGGGCTTGACGGCGTCCCATCACACCTCTTCTCCTTGTCCATAATGTTATTGATCTCGGCAGCCTCCTGGCTAACATGCGGCAACGGATCAGCCGCGTGCTGCGCATCTTCTAATTTCTTCTTATCGTCAGAGCCCGATGAGTTCCATCGTCGCTGGGCGCCGGATTGTGTGCATGGTGCGGCGTTGGTTCGAATAAAAGCGGATGCGATGGAGCGCTGTGGTGTGGTGGGTTGGCGGAAGACAGGGACTGCCGTCCTGGCGGCGAAGAGGTTGAGCCGGGGCGGCATTTTTGGGTATCTGTATCTGGAATTGGGTTCTACAAGCGTGTAGAGTAGTGTGGATGGTGAGTGATGCCGGCTCGCAGGCGTTGATGTTTCCTGTCGGCGAACGATTTTCCTCTCCACATGCGCTTAGTCATCCATTCTCCGTGCTGCCAAGAATTCACTGTCAATGTGAAATCATAGGTTTCTCTTTGGACGCAACTTAAACAAGGCACTTTTGTTTGATAATTGAGGATAATTACTCCGATGACTAAACTCGTACAGATAAGAAAAGGCACCAATGACCGGCTGGAGTGATACAAAATTCCCAAATCCTGTTTAAGCCACCCCGTTTTCCGCGCCAAAGTCAACATTAAGAAACAAAATTCAACTAGATGAGCCCTGAGGACTCGCTGTACACGTATGATAACTGACCCGCAGTGCAATAATTAAGCAGTCCGGCCCGAATCAGGTCTTCAAAAAGGGATAGAGGTGTATAAAAGAGAGTTGGTAGATTTCTGAGCAGATCGATTGGCCAAATGCGTTAAACGAGCGCTTTTTGGCATTTAGTAAGATAGGAAACGGCATATAGTAGTATGGATCATTCAGAGGGTCGGCCGAACAGGTCAAAAATCCTTCGAGGGTGTCTCCAAATCACGCTCAACGTAATTACCACGTTTAAGGGTGGAAGAGAGCACCATCATCCGCGCTGTCCGGGTACACCCAGAAGGCAAGTGCTAAGATCAAGTACCTGTACCCAATTAGTGAGATTGTTTTATAATAACATAATAGCAGGGTAGATTCAACTTACATTCCCAAGCACAGGCAGCCTTCAAGGTAGTTGGACTTGCCGTCTTGGATGAGGTATGTCACGACCAACCCTGAGATAAAGAAGGATACAGTCTCGAAGATATGGAAGTGGAGGGTCATTTCGACATCCATAATCCAACCCAAGATGACGAGGAAGGGAGTGACGAACAGAGCAATCTGGATACTGCTCCCGATGGCAACGCCAATGGCAAGATCCATCTTGCCCTTCCAGGCGACCACAACCGCAGTCACATGCTCTGCTGCGTTTCCGACAATGGGGATCAGAATGAGACCAATGAAAGTCCGGGTCATGCCAGTCTTGTCCACAATGCTATCAATGCTTCCAACCAAGTAGTCGGCGCAGATTGCAACAAGAATCGTCACAACGACCAAGGCAACGCTAGCGGCCCACGGGTTAAGCAAATGTTCCTCCTCTTCCTCCGGAACGCCCTCTCCTGCGGCTTCTGGGTCTCCAGCTGTCTCATGGTTTACTTCTTCGAAAAGTTGCGAGTGCGACTTGAGTTGGAAGAAAAGGTAGATGATGTAGAGAACGAGGAGAATGATAGCGGTCCAGTGAGACAGGAATAGAATATGCGTTTCAGTCTTGTCGGACTTGCTGGATGTCAATGAAGCGTAGAGCGTAGCAGGAATAATCAACGACGCGGACGAGACGGTCATGAGAGAAGACATGGTGGATGCGACTGTGCTATTGAAAGTTTGCTCCGGATAACGGAGGCCACCAACGAAGAAACAGCAGCCGAGAACGAGAAGGATGTTGGAGAGGATGCTTCCAAGCATACTGGCTTGGACAACGCGGATCTGGTTTTCTTTAAGGGCAATGATGCTGACCTATCAACGAAATCTGTTAGTCCAAAATCCGCCCGGATACACAAGAGCAAGGAAGAAGGGGGTCATACAATCAGCTCAACGGCATTTCCAAACGTCGCATTCATCAGCCCACCGAGAGCCTGGCCTAGGGTTGCAGCCAATTCCTCCGTTACGAAACTGAGCAGCGAAGCAAGCGGGACGATCGCGAGGAAGTTCAGGGCGAAGACCGTTACACTATCCCACTTGAGAACACCGGCAATGATGCCCAATGGGACAAAAACCAGAAGAACGTTGACATAGTCGCGCACAAGCACCTGCCAGGTCAAGTGCGCAGCATGAGACGGCCAGTTGGTCCAGTGGCGCTCTGGCTTCTGCTGGGTTGAATTGCGGCGAGAATCGCCGATTAGGGCATCCTGTTCATTGGGCTCTGATAGGCCATTGGTTGTTGAAAGACCAGTCATCCTTCTTGTTGGACCCCAGGAGTGTCTTTTAAAACTAGAAAAGATGCTTTGCGAAGCTGGCCAGGTAGCACACAAGTGGTGTTAGCTCAGGTCGGTCCTCGGTCAGGTAGGTTCTCAGAACGGTTTGCCGAGGCTGGTAAGCACATTAAATGCTGAACGAGCTGCAGTAAAGGAGGGGGAAGAGGGAGAGATGGAGAGAGACAGAAGAATTGAAGGGAAAAAAACAAGCAGTCTGGATGAATGACAAAGACGAAACAATCAGCTCAAAGAGAGTGCGATCCAGAACACTGAAAGAAACCAGCAGTGTGGATCCTTGCAAGACAAGAGGAAACAGAGCCCGAAGTCAAAGCAGAGATATGATGGAAGGAGGGGAAATAAGGGATCAATTCAACAATAGGAGATGGAAATCGATGGCGAGGTGGATGAAGAGAGATCTGAGTTGGGAGCTTCGGATAGAGATGGATGGAGAGTACCAGTACTTACACATTGGAGAAGTGACGGTGGCTTGGTCGGGTGACAAGAATTCGGCAAACGGAGAAGGGAGGACTGGTTCAGTCTTGGAAGGTCGGGAGGGAGAGGTCTTTGCTTGGTAGCACGGGAGATTAATGAGTATCACGGAGGAATCAGGGTCTCGAGGGTGGATGAGTGTGAAGAGCACTCCGTGGTTGGCATGCGCCTGTGGCTGGAAAAATTGACTTCATTGCCCGGTCACCTCATCCCATTGGCCGCATTCTGGAGACAAGACCGACCGATGCATTGGAGCTCCTCTGCACAGCCTCACTCGATCGCCCAACTCCCCACTCTAAGTGGCCTGGCCAATTTCCGCTGCATTATCGACCACCTGGCTTTGGATTGTAAACTGTTATAAGATCGCAACCCCTCTCCTCTTTCAGCACTGCCACATTTATCGACATGGATCTTAGTTCCCACGCTCTCCATTCCATGCAGTACGGGGAAAGGTGTCTCGGGCTGCCCCCAAAGCTAAAAACCAAAATGCTCAAAAACCAAGCAATAACAGTTCCTAGGAGAGAAAAACGACCAGACGATCCAGGGTCCGGATTTGTCTGTCTTGGCCTGTCTTGGCCTGTTTTTTTCGCAAAACACTAACTGCTAGCGTATTCTTGTCTCTTTATATTTCGTTCCATCACGACGATTAAGTTGACAACTCACCGTGACTTCCCCGACCGCTATTATCCGTTTGGAGAAATAGCTCACCTCTTAATGGACCCTGCCTTCCTCCCTGGATCAAGGTTTGAGAGCGAGACTCCTCCATCCCTTTTCAGTTAGTCTCCAAACGGAACGGGCATTTCTTGACCCCCTGCAATGGAGATACGCAAGCCACAATGAGCATGACGTCAGCCACTACGCAGCCCTCATCAGCCATGTTCGCGGCGTTCATGAGCCACGTAGGTCCTGTCGGGTCGAAATACGTACCTTCCTGCTACGTGCCGTAATATTTCACGCTGAGGTGAGACGGCTTGCCCACGACGAGGAAGCGAAATACGGTCAGGCAACCGACTAGTGTACGTAGTGTGTACTACTAGTGAATGAATTCTAGCTGCGAACCGAACAGACTACAGAGGTATCATAAGGTAAAAATTCAAAATCAAAATTGTAAACTGCCGTGATATGTACGGTTAACGAAAGACATCCTCTTCCTGAGAGCGAGGTAAAACATCTTAGTCTATCTAGATATAAAATATCGACAGATCTGATAAAAGAAGGGGTAAAAAAAAAATTACGAGGCCGAGCCACCGCCAAGTCCTATAAAACAATATGTATGAGCGGCTGAATTCTCCATTTCCGGTCCGGAGTATATATAAGATAAACTCACCTGCAGCAAATGCGAGGTACCACGTCCGCGACGCCCCACCGTCAATTGAGCCGTAGTCAAAGTTGGGCTGTGCGAAATAGTTCCAGGAAGCGGCTGGGTCGATGAGAGCCAGGTTTGCGTAGAGGACGCCCTTCCAGCCGCCCTCGACCTTTTCAGCGGGCGTGGAGGCGTTGGATGCGAACATTGCGTCCCATTCCTCACGCACGAACTTCTGGCTGCGGACGTAGGAGGAAGAGGGGAGGAGGGGGAGCATGTGGATTCTATTGCACTGTTAGTTTTTGTTGCTTAAGCGTGGGAAGGGTGAATAGTGGGTGGTACCCTTGGATATATTCGAGGTTGGCACCGAAGTAGGTGGTGTGGTCGACCTTGTTCTCGAATAACTGAGATTGCTAGGTTAGTGCTGCGCTTGTTCACTGAAATATGTCGGTAGTTTACTTACGATTCCAGTAACCTTGTTGGCGATGAAGTTGGCGGGCTGGTTGACGTTGTCGCTGTCCATGAGGAAATAGTTGTGGAAGCTGCGGCGCAAGACACCCAACATCAGGTTTCCTCTGGCTTCCAGGCTCGCATCGCCGCTTGTCTTTCCCCACATCTTGAGAGCGTACGCATACATGGCATCTTCCGAGGATGATTCTTGGTCCTTACCGTCGAAAGACTCGAAGAGACCCTTGGCCCATGAGTGACCGTGATACCAATCAAAACCACGGGAGAAGGGGAACAAGGGGTCGTTGGTTGCTGCGTTGCCGGAATCCCGAACAAGCATGTTGACCCAGTCACGGTTCGCCTCGATCCAGCTCGGGTCAAGGGCTCCAATGATCGCAGCGGCATGGATGAAGTATCCATAGTGGAAGTGGTGGTCGTTGTAAAGGGTGTTTCCAAAGTCAGCACCCTCATCGCCGCCGTAACTTGCGGAGGACACTACGCCCTTCCACACGGTGTCGTAGACCAATGGGAACTGCTGTTTGTTCTGCACAAAACGGGCAAAGGCCTGCTTTAGCTTGTCAAGAGCAGGTGCCGCCGCGGCGCTATCACCAACGAGCTTGTCCACAGTGTATATAATGGTCGCGAACTTGCTCAAGGCTTTACCGCTGTAG